GAGCTCAGACTCGTTTGGCAAGAAATTCTGCTGAATTTTTTGATTGGCTCGCCAATCCTGCCATACCCAGTCTGAGAACTAAGACAAGTTTCTATAACAACATTCACTATAGATGCGAGTTCAGTCTAGGTCAACTGGTTCAGTTACTTGGGGGCCCAATCGGAGCACGTTATTTAATCTCCGGACCAATAGATAAGCTACGATAAGGAAATTACATAAGCGGACAAATAACGCAGACATATCCTTGAAAACAACGCCAAGCGGCAGACAAATAGGTGGTCAGACGGTCACAATCTGCCGTGTCGGACAACCCTCGTTCGCTACGACATGTAGATTGCTTTGGGCGTTGTAAGTGGTTGACCGCAAAAATTGTCCTTCTGCAGTTAGTCCTATAGGGACTCCCATAACTAATTTGCAATAGGTCGTCGAAAATCTCTGTGGGATGCAACAGTGTCTCCATTGGTACCCAATATCGCCCCAATAAGAGGGCTTTTATTGGTCGGGCGTCCAGCACTTGATAAGCTTCAAGTTGGTCATCATGAGTGAGGTCAATTCTGTAGGCATGAGCGGCAACAAAACTGATCTGTGACTTTATACTTGTACACATGTCCATCCTGAAAGGTCAGGTAGTGTACTCGTGTACGCATTCATGATGGTCGATATGCCTGTCGGCAATGAGGACGTGATGAACTGTGCTGAAGAGTCTTCATAGGCGATCATCGACGCACGTGACAGTGACATCACTATTCAGTCACGTGCAACTGTTGCTTAGTCACAAGGCTTTCATCCCACACTGCTCTGTATACCTCGATGATGGGGCATGTACTCGGGATTTTCGGACGAATGCCTGAAATGTCCTATGCATACTGGAGGTAAAGATGAGAGAACCGTCCGAATTGCAGTACACTGTTATGATCACGATCGAGAACACACTATACTGCCATCGACGTTACGGCATCTCGTTAGTTCAGAGTGACCTGGACGCCTGCTGGAAAATAGGAGACATATATCATTTACGTCGTTCGAGTGCTTCAGCGCAAATTCAGGGTCCTATCTATTTTCGTAAGTGACCTTGACTTCCCGTCGATCCAGCTTGACAACTGAGTGGAAGGGAATGACTCACGACCGAGAAGCCATCGACGATCAAACATAGCTGCAGCAGGGAGTGGACGGCGCTTGGCGTGTTTGACGCACCATTCGCTGGTGTCAGGAGAAAGATGCTAGAGGTGTAGGCGGAAACAAATTCCCGATTGCCATGTTGATTCAAGAGGACAAATTGGCAGATATCTGTGTACATCGGTCGATTTGCGACCGTTAGCACGATTATATGTAAATCCGGGTCATTTCGAAGGTTCTGGCCGGGTTTAGTGTCAGGTGTCCGGCTGTGTAAACGGCGTGGACAGACCACCCATGATGAAACCAATTGGTGTCAACCGCCCACTAAGCGACCATGGGAGCGTCCTTTGCCGCTCCATCGTCGATCGAGTCTCTCGATTTTGGTGATGGGCAAGATCAAGGTCGGGGGTTTGCAGGGGTCAGTTGCTGACCCTTGGCAGGTTTGTGATTCTGCATCACAGATCCAGTATGTTGGCGTCCGATCGCGAGCCTCGTTTTCCACGCTGTCGGAGATCGAACCACACACGAACCTCCACTAAACCGTTCTTCGATACCGATTTGCCCACTTGGTAAAAATGGTCTGGCCTGCTACTTGCACGCTGATCTGTTATTCCCCATGTCTTACCATACCATCTCATCGCCATTGCACCTGCGATTGTTTCCAACGTCCATCATCTCGAACGAAGAAACGACAAAAGCCCGTGGCGTTGCGATCGTAATTGATACCACAACGACCGAAAGCACTCAGACGAGCCGCCACTCCGGTCAAATCATTAGATCTGTCAAGCAAGTGCTTTCACGCAACAAACACCGCACGATCCTATCTACAAAGCAGCAAATCGCCTCAGACCTTCATCCTTACTCATAATCCGGTCTTCAAGCGATGCCGCATTATGGTCACCGCTGTAGCGCCATCTACACAATCACCTAAACGCTCTTTCTCCTCCATCAGCAGTAACCCCCGCCGCAGCCATCCTTCGCAGTCCAAGTCACTTCCGAAGAGCAAGAGAGTAAAGATTGATGACACATCCAATGGCTCGTCGGAAGAACGATCTGCATCTCAGGTGTCAGTTAATGCGGTCTCCAAATTGCCTATAGGCGGAAGCCGTGATTCCAGCAGCGATCAGAGTGCAGCCAAATGGTTCGACCGGGTAAATGAGAATGTACAGCCATCGCACAACAAATATGGACGAGCTGAAGGTACGCCAGGAGGTTCAGGGGACATTGTTCTGATAGCTAACGGTAGACAGTGGAAAGTCCATTCTACATGGCCCACCAGTCCAGCTATCCTGGTGTGCCGGTACAGTCCCACACCGAAGAAGCTTTCGGTCAACGAGCTTCAGATGACACGGAAAGGGACGAGTTACGTGGTGTCATCGACGATCTGACGGTGGAGAACAAAAGGCTCAAACACATTCTCAACAACCGGCAGTCACAATCAAGCCCCTCCTCAACAAGCGGTCCGGATAGAATTATCGAAGTTCGGATGCATGGGCTGCCCGCTGAGAAGAAAAGAGAACTCGAGCAACTGCTCAAGAGCTTTGCCACTGGACTCAATGGTGAGACACCTTCCAGCGCTCTCGCACCGGTCGAGAAGTCGCTATCTAGTATTGCACCCAGCGCTCCTCCGAGGCTCAAAGCAGAGCTTACCGCAAACACCGATTCCGGGTATGCCTCGATTTCGGGCTCCGGCTTGAATTCATCACATGGGACCGCGATGTTGCGCGAACCTGTCTCCAGGAGCAAGAGAGACAAAGACATCAAGGATTATCTACACGATATCCCCGACTCCCTGTTTCCGCAAGATACCTTGTCTGTAAGCGAAAGTGCCAGAATGATCATGGTAGTGCAGCGGCTGGAACAATTGTTCATGGGGAATCTGGCACAGCCTGGTGAACATAGCTTGCCAGTTCAACAACAGCAGATCTCTCGCGCCGCTGCAAAGGCAGATCGGGCCGAGAATCGCAGGCAAAATCGCGCAAGGAAAGTGGAAGGATCACGTGAAGCCCGTCGAAGGCCAGCGGAATCAAAGCTCAATCTGGATGCCGTTGAACACGAGCGGCAAACTCTTGCACAAAAACAGGACCATACAAACGAGAGCTCTTCCTCTTCAGCAACGCCACGATCAGCCCACGACGGTCTGGGGTCGCCGGATCAACGGCCGACCCGACCTTTGGACCTCGACATTCATCGGGCTCAAACCGCAGTGGACAATGTCCAATACCTGCGCCATTTGGGCTTCTCATCACCGGCGTTTGACGAGAGTCCCGAGGGCAAGCAGCAGCCATGGATGTATCTAAACTTATTGATTAGCATGGCTCAACTTCATACCCTCAACGTCACGCCTGCTTTTGTGCGCAAAGCCGTCAAACAGCTCAGCACCAAGTTCGAGCTCTCCAAGGATGGACACAAGATTCGCTGGAAAGGAGGACCTACGGAGGATGATTCCCCAGATATCGAAGCGACTCCAGAGTCGGCTGGTCAACGCGCGTCCGAAGCTACTCCTAATCTCAGTGGAAGGCAAAGTGGGCGAGGAAGTATCACAAGTACGTTGAATGATCCGCCGTCCATGTCCATATCCGACCATCAACGCCATCACGAAAAGCCCACCACTACGACGTCCAAGTTGGTCACGCAATCCACAACAACCTCCTCACAACCTGCCATCAATCCATCTTCCGGATCTAAGTCTCCGACCTTCGGCTACAAACCTGTCGTCTTCAAAGGAAAGAAGAGTCGCCTTAGGGCCGGCAACTCATATCTGGACTCGTCAAGCTTTTATGATGACTCGGCTGAATCTAGCGGTCTTACACACGCAATGAGCCGGTCAAGCCTCAGATCCAAAGAAGATGCACGCGAAGGCCTCATCACTTTCTTCAGCAATCCATACTTTTGCACTGATCTGAGTGGAGATCGCTCACCTATCAATATGAGATCTATCGACTCAGAAGATGAAAGAGAAGTCCTTGGCATCGCGAAGCAGCAGCAGTCACAGGAAGAAGTCATACGAGATTCCAGTACCTGTTACTATACAGCTAAAGTTGATGAGTTCGTGAGGTCGTGGCCCGCCATATGCTCGGACGTCAAAATGGACTTTCCACCCATTGATGCAGCAGGGGAGGACGAGACGCAACCTATGGAGCTTGACGCTTCTGGCATTGGTGGCGTCAGACCCGAAGACAATTTCGCTCTTGACGTCCAGGTTGGCAGGAATAGAACCAGAAATGCCCACACTGAGGAGAGAAGGCTTGGTAGAGGGCCGGCGAAGTACAATTACCGGACAACTGCATGCAGAAAACTCTCGCTGCAACCCTCGCGTCTGCCGCCGCCAAGCTATGTATTCTTCACAAGCGGCTCGTCCTCAAGCGCAGGTCAGGACCACTTCTACGGCGACGAGAACAGCGAAGCATCTGAGGAGGAGGAATCCCCTCTACCTGCAGGTCTCCTTTGGCAATGGTCGACGAGCTCCAATGAGCGACAAATGGCGGACGACGACAATTCGGAAGCCAGCTCGTCGCTCGGCGTGTTAGAAGCTGCACGTGCGAGGTTCGTCAATCCTGGTGATGTGATACCACAGGATCGTGACTATATCCTAGGTCAATCAGGCAGAACACATATGAGTGGCAGTCTGGCGGCGACGGTGGGCGCGAGTTGGTCTGTGAAGTCAGTTGCTGAGCCTGAGCCAGCCCGTGAGGAGGATGAGTCGTCTTCGAGTGATGTGAGCGTCGATGAAGATTGATCGTCGGGTTTCACATTCTGAAATTGTTTATCGAGTTCATTTCACGAGCGTGGCGCTGCTGGAGTTTGTACGATCTCTTGAAGAGTTTTTGATCAGATACCCATTGTTATTATTGACCATCGGATCTGGGCCTGGATCCAGTGCCTAGTGGCTGAAGGATCTTGTATAGAGCCTGCCGAAATAATCCAAGTCATCATACCCCTCCGAAGTATGTATGTCGTACCTATTGTCTTCTTATTGAACTCTGTGCATCGGATCGTGTGTCGAATGGCACGGCTGCTCCCGGGCTAACAACTCGAGGGTGCATGCGCACCCCAAGAGAGAGAGCACGATCCGATGCCGTGTTCCCTGAGCCGAAGTCAATCCGAGCTCATTCCCCGCACACCGGAACCGTTCTGCTCTTTTCTTTCCCTCGTCTCTCTCGATCGCGGACCCGATTCCGGGGCAATTTGTTCGCTGCCGTTGCTCGACTCCGCCTTGCCAGAACCCGAGTCCTCAAGAAGCCGAGTACTAATACTGAAGGTTGGCTAGCTGCTTTCCTTACCTCCTTCCTTTCTTCTGGTTCCCTCTTTGTCTCTTCGATTTTCACAGCCCTGTATTGTGTACCGTCAGTTGTGTCGTTGTCAAGCGCGTTCATCATGTCGTTCCTCGAATCCTCTCTCCGCATCCCCTCTCAAGCTTCCCGGAGTTGGCGGACGGCTAGGTACTTCACACGAAATCAACGAAAGGTAGATTGGATCTGAAAGTGTCTCTCATCTACAGCGGCACTAACGCTCTCTAGCAAAATCTCCTTCTGACACGATCTTTCTCGTCTACCCTCCGCCGCAATGAGATCAATAAAATTCTCCCGTCAGCCGCCGAAGCCATCAAGGACATGAAGTCTGACTCGACTCTACTCTGTGGTGGTTTCGGTCTGTGCGGTGTCCCAGACACGCTCATCAACGAAGTCGCGAAGACTCAATCCATCACCGGCCTGACCGCCGTGTCCAACAACGCAGGCATCCCCGGTGCCGGTTTGGGCCAGCTACTCGAGAGCCGCCAGGTCAAGAAGATGATCGCCAGTTACGTTGGCGAGAACAAAGTCCTAGAACGAATGTACCTGGGAGGAGAAATGGAACTCGAGCTCACACCACAAGGCACACTAGCCGAGCGATGTGCAGCCGGAGGCAAGGGCATCCCGGCATTCTACACACCCGCCGCTTTCGGCACGGTCGTGCAAACAGGCGAGATTCCGCTCCGACACAATTCAGACGGCAGCGTTGCACAGTTCGGCAAACCACGCGACGTCAAGGTCTTCAATGGAAAGAGCTACGTGATGGAAGAAGCCATTGCAGGCGACTACGCGTTTGTCAAGGCCTACAAGGCCGACAAATTGGGAAACTGCCAGTTCCGACTGGCTGCGAACAACTTTAATGGTGCAATGGGTCGCAACGCGAAAATCACCATTGTCGAAGCCGAGCACATTGTCGAGGTCGGCGAGATTGACCCTGTCGCCGTGCACCTCCCGGGTATCTACGTGAACAAGGTGATCCAGTCGACCGCCGAGAAGAAGATTGAGAAGTACACCAACCGCAAAGACGAGAATGCCGACGTCAAAGACAGCTTAGGCAAGGGCGAAGCTGCCTCCAAGCGCGAACGCATTGTCAAGCGCGCAGCCAAGGAGTTCAAGAACGGCATGTACGCCAACCTGGGCATCGGCATGCCCATGCTGGCGCCTTCGTTCGTTGACCCTTCAGTCGAGGTGCAACTGCAGTCTGAAAACGGCATTCTCGGCCTGGGTCCCTACCCCATTAAAGGCGAGGAGGATCCGGATCTGATCAATGCAGGCAAGGAGACGGTCACGCTCAACCCGGGCGCCGCTTGCTTCGGGTCTGAAGAGTCGTTCGGCATGATCCGCGCCGGTCGCATCAACATGTCCATGCTGGGTGCCATGCAGGTCTCGGCACGCGGTGATCTGGCCAATTGGATGTTGCCGGGCAAAGTCAAGGGCTTCGGTGGCGCCATGGATTTGGTGTCCAACCCTGAGAAAACAAAAGTCGTCGCCCTGATGGAACACACCGACAAGAAGGGTAACCCCAAGATCCTCAAGCAATGCGAGTTCCCGCTCACTGGACGCGCCTGCGTCAGCAGAATTATCACCGAATTAGTAAGTCCTCCTCCACCTTTCTTGCGGCTTTGTTTGCGACTAACGTAATCTTCAGGCCGTATTTGACGTCGATTTTACCGATGGCTTGACCTTGATTGAGACCGCCGAGGGTGTCACTGTCGACGAAGTCAAGAGCAAGACCGAAGCGCCGTTCAAGGTCTCTGAGAACCTAAAGACCATGGAATCCGCATAGGCGTGTGACAGGCGCTTTCGGAACTCTATCGGTCTAGTACTGAACGACGTCGGATATAATCTACCAGCACCTGCGCTGCACTCGAGCGCGTCTACTACTATACCCTCATACATCAACATCCGAGGACGCGATGCTTGCATGCCTTCACAAATGTGAGGTCGAGGCCATGCTTTGGCCTGACGAAAAGTGAGGAAATTCGCTTGGTGTGGAAGACATTGTTGGGTCCTCCGCACGCTATCTGTGTGGACAACTGCTCTTCTCAGGGGAATCAGGCCTTGTTAACATGAGAGAGCTGTACCATTCGCCTTGTGTCCTGCCGGCTACGAGAATGTTGATATCTCAGGAAGAGGACATATTACGGTCTAGCTTGGGACCACAGGCACGGTACCACATGGGTGTTCATTTTCTGGGACATGTTCATTGCAGTAAGTATTTTTAAAAAAGCCATCTGAAGATATAAAATCGGCCTGGAATCAAGAACAGTTCAAATCATCTACGAAAAAGCTCAGATCTCGCCCTGGAATGCATTCTCATTCATTCATTACTGACGTCTCAGCAAGTTCGATTTCCTACGTAGTCCGTGTTTCATCGCTAACCTAGACCGTGAAAACGCCAGATGGTAAGAATTAACACCAATACTATGCATAATCCCCGTCCCCTCCAGCGCCTTGATATCAAGCTAAGCTCAGCAACATTCGTTGTCGTCTCATTTCTTCATTGCAATCCCTCAAGTATTTCAAGACCGCGTTGACACCGATAATACTCGATCAAGCGTCACACTAATACCTTTCTTGAGTGGCGTTTCCTTTGCTGTCCATAGCTCTTGCATCAGCACGATCGAAGGGCCTTGCATTCACATGGTTATGCTGACTTCTTTCGTGTCCCTCCCTCAGATGAACCTTTGCGCATTTCAATCGCTGTGCGGTTTTGAGCTGCGACCCTCCTCGTCACTTCCAGACTGCAGTCGCTCAGATGCTTCACGGTCTTCCTCGAGCATATCGATCGCGTCTTCCAGATTGCCTGCCGCGGCACCAGCGACGGCATTCAATCTTGCCATGTCATTAGGATTGGCGCCAAAGCCCATGAGCTTTAAAGTCTTGACGCACTCGTCGATGGCCGCGCAGTTAGCTGGCGCTTTTGGATGGGCTCGGGAACGCCCACGCGCACTGGCTGCTGTGTGATAGTGAGAAACGGCATACGCTGATGGCTGCGGACGAGGAGGTTGCGTGGTGGCCGCGAGGGGCGCCACAAGGGCCTCCGAACTGGGCTGATTACGAGGCAAGGCAGTCAGGGTAGGGTTGTTTCCAGTTCGGTACGACAACACGCCATCTGCTGATCGCTCCCAGAACACTGGAATGTGCTCGGAGGAGCTAGACGATGATGCATTCGCCGGGGTAGCCGCAGTCGAGGCTGTTGCCTTGCGCTGATCATTTGAGGCCAGCTGCACCGGGTTGCCATGGGTGCGAAGATTATAGGGATATGGAGCGAAATACCGAACACCGTATCCAGGTCCAGGCATGTGACGACCATCATCGCGGCCAATTTTCGCCTCATTCTTCATATGAGTCCAGGGGTGCTTTGCAAAGGTCTCTGGTGAGACATACTTTGGAATGTATCGATCGGTGTAGTTGACTGTTCGGCTACGATTGGGCAAGACTGCAGGCAAGCTAGGCTTGTGGTTCAAGGCATTGGCTGGTGCAGTATTGGCAGCGTTGAGGTCTGGTTGAGATCGCTGAGGACGAGGTTGCAGAGCAGGAATGTGAGCCAGGGGATCGAAAGGCCCATTCAGTCTCGCAGCTGGGTTTGTTCCTGAGACTGTCTGATTTCTTCTAGGAAAGATTGGTGCCCGGGGATATGCGTCACTAGAAGGGGGACTCATGCGGTGCGAAGGTAGATCTGGACTTCGCTCGGGCATTGAGGCTTTCCCAGCCGGAGTCGTTGGCGCAGGTTTTCTGTCGGTTATGACTCTCGTAATGGGCAATGCAGCAGTCGAAGCTTCGAACCTTGATTCAGGCCAGGCCCCTGGCAGTGTCGTTGAAGGCTCCTTGCGGTTTGTCTCGAGGGAACCAGGCGAGACCTTTTTTGCAGCCTGCTTTGCATCAACCTCGTCCTCAACAGTAGGCTGTTGATACGCAAAGCTTTGCTTAACTTGGTGAGCAGTGTCTGTGATGGATGCCAAGTCTGCGATTTTGTTAGCAGTCTCGTTGTTGATGGCTGTAATATTGGAGAGGCGTTTCTGCATCGTCTCGGCCCAGGCGTCCCGCTCAAACTCTCTCAGGGTAGGATATCGCATGGTAGCTGGGCCTGTATTCTCCTTGTGGACCTCTGGGGCCTTGTGTTGCAATTCCATGACACTCTTTGCCTTCCGTAGACCGAGCAATGGAGGATATCGAGCGGAGAAATCTGGGTCATTGGACTCCATGTCCAAAATGGAGTGCTTAGCAGATGAAGCAGACGGTTGCTCCACGTGCGATCTCCTTACTTCCTCGAGCTGACGCCGGCACTGGGCAGCTGCCTTAGCTCTGAAATACTCGGCAGGTGATTTGTGATTGGGATCAACATTTTGGTCGAGACGAAGTTGACGCTGCACTGACTTTGTCTCCGGCTGAATAGGTGGTGGTGGTGGAGCGAAATCCACGCGTTTGGGAGCCTTTTCAACGGTGGGAGGCACCGCAGGCTCTTCAGGTTTCAATGCCACTACAGAGGAGCGCTGTAAGGGTAGGTCTCTCGCTGCGTGCGTTGTTGGCTGGGCTAGAGAAATCTGGCGTTCGTCCTGAACCCTTTGAATACCTTCACCAATTGCAACAGCGACATCTAAGCCAAAACCTCCCACTTGGATTAGTATGTCCTTGAAGCCACCCAGTACATCCTCGACAGCAGTGTGGTCGCTCTTTGCAGTCTTGTCAGCGATATTTCGTAGCCCCTCTGCTGTTGACTCGAGGAAATCAGCCAAAGGACCGAGTTTGGATTCAATGCCACCAAACATGTCAGCAAATATCTTGTCAACTCCTGCTGGCCCATACTGGCCATTTGTTGGCGGCGAGTAGGCAGTAGTACAAGTCTCGGCTGTCGCAGGGGCCGAGTGTGACTGAGAGGACACAATCGAACCGGAAGAGATTGACACAGATTGAGAAGGGACAGGGTCGAGAGGACTGGGTCCAGACTTGAACTCCGTCACAGCGTTGAAGAGAGGCATGCCTGCCGGAACCTGCTTCGGGGTATCGGGGTTGGCTTGTGATAAGCCTCGATCTTGCAGTTGTTTGCTTGTGTACGCCTCATGTTCTCTCCATTCAGCCAAAGTTGCGTTGGTATGCTTGATATCGAAGATATGCATCATCCTATTCGGGGTGGAATCGTTCGGCACTCTGAGTGCGGGGATGGCGTAGAGGTTGGAATGCTTCACAGGCTCGTCGAGACGCTGACCCAGTTCAAAGGAACTGCCAACGGTGATGATCTCGCCATCATCGTCGTCGACGTAAGACAGTGTGGCGTCTGGCTGAGACTTGACGGTACTGTCATATTGCGTGCTGGTGACCTGAACAACGGCTGGTGGAGCCTGGGGACTGTTCAGGGCGCGGATGCCGAAGGCGGGCAGCAGAGTATCGTTAGCTGGCTCGGCCATTGAGGAGACGGTCAAGGCTATCGGCATATGAGGCGAGTGATGTCAAGAAGTTGCATAGGGAAGGATCGAAGATGAGAAGGAAGTGGGAGGAAGTGAGAGTGATGTGAAGGACACGAGGCTGCAGTGTAAAGTCGTCGAGGCGTCAAAAGTCCAGGCAGCAGGCAATTGCAGGGTTCCGCACCTTAGAGGCAACAGTTGGATTCCACTGCAACCCCGCATTATTCCACCGTCATCAACTGACAGTGAAGCATATCACGGCACATTATCTGACGGGATACTCCTATGTCAGGTTTTGCACATGGTACACAACACGAACAAACCAGCCTTGGGTCATGAGTATAATAAGTGTCAATGCCGAAATGTACAAAATGCTCACTTAATATAAGTACAGTGGTATCCTTTCCATGCCAAAGTCTTCAACGTGCTACCTCAAAACTGCCGCCAATGCTTCCAATGTCCGTCGAGATTAGTCCCACTGTGCAGTCATCATCGTTCCTGCATCTTCCTTCGAAAACAAGCCTCATCTTCTGTTACAGGTCCGTCTTCAGAATTCTGCATAGTCGCCATAATATTACAAATCGAGTAAGAAAAGAGCTTGCTGCTAATAAAACAGGGTATGGAAAAAGACAATGTTGCTCGTGTGAAATGCTGGCAACTTCATCCAGGCCGCATAGATTTCCTGTTCGTGTGGGCATCGTTGTCGTCGTCGAAATCTCAGAAGTAACCAGCGTGATCGTGTGTCTGCGTGATCTGGGTTGCGTAGTCCAAAGAAGAGTTTTACTTCTTCCTCGCGAACCGCTTGTTGAGCAGTGCAAGCACTTTGGAAACGTCGAATTGGACATATTCCAAGTCAAGATCTTCTTGTCCATCTTTCTGCATCTCAAGCAGATCATCCAGCTTAAGGTCAAGTTCAAGAAGTCCCCGAGCTCGTCCTTGAGAGGATTAGTATGCCTTTTCAGTTTGAGCAACACGTTGAGGCAAAACTCACCTTTGTAATGCAAGCTGATGACGAATGTGCCTGCAAGTGGACTTCGAAACATGAAGAAGATATTACCTCTTCGGTTCTCTGGAACGTTGCTTCTTGTGATGACACCGTCCTTTTCCAGCTGGGCATGAGTGAATTTGTAAGGCCCAAGCTCCTTTACCTTCTCAGTCTTACCCCTTTTTGCGCCCTCGGACTGACTTCGAACGTTGTGCAAGTAATTCTTGTATGTGTCGAGTTGCGACAGAAGATATGAGTTGTGATCTCGTATTGTCTTGTATACGTCGTCAAGTTTGACCGTCTCTTCAAGAACCTTCTCTTTCAAGGATCCGAGATGGGCCAGTTCTTGTTCCACTTCGTCACGCAGAATTGCATAATCATCTGCACGATCGATAACTCCCATCTCGGACAGGGTCGTTAACAATTCCATGCACCTGATGCCCTTGCGAACCATGACTGCATCATTCTTCAGCGTTCCTGCGGCCTCGGCAACACGATCGAGCCGCAAAGGTCGTCGCATTACAGCTGCAGAATGTGGCAAGCTTCGCATGATCTGCACAAACGTGCTCTTGGCTTCCATAAAGAAGACCTCCTCCTGTGTGATGTCTAAAGCATGGGTGAAGTCCTCGAACGTCGATTCCCACCGACTGTACAAAGGGAGCGTGATGGCTCTGTTTTCTTTTCGAGGCACCTGAGGAGGGGCCAGGCCCAGTTCCTGGAGCAAAATTCCTAGATGAGAGGAGGGGTCTTTGGCCAGCTCTGCATTATGCTTCTCCAGCATCGCATGAGTGGCGTACACCTCGTTCAAGCTGATGTTGAGCTCGAGATCGCGTTTTGACAAGGCCACATAGTTGTCCATTTCTAAACTTTCGTAAAAGTCCTGGACTTCGCAAAGGTCAAGCATGAATTTGTTGCAGCGGTCCTTGTTCCGCTGAATGAACGGTTGGAGTTTGGCCATGTATGGTTCTTTAGCGTATGAGGGCTTGTTCGCGAGATTCTGGAGCATCTTAGCGATGTATGTGAGCGTCCGTTTAGGCTTCTCGTCCGGCACCCTTTCGATCAGCATGTATGATTTCGGCGTGACGATGGCGGGGTTGATGAAGCGAAGGAAGAAGAAGCCTCCAATCAATGTGCAAATGGCTTGATCCTGCGCATCAGGATACTTGCGCCTTGAAAGATTGCGGATCTGCTTGCAGATCCATCGGATGCCGTACGGAGTTTCTTCGAGACAGTCAATAATGGCAGAAAGAAATCCTTCCGCAATCTCGGTCAGCATTTTCAGCCGCGGCGCAATGATAGCTTGCACCTGAACGTTTTCTGCCGCATATTCAGCGGTCACAGACCTGGGAAGGTCGTCGGGAAGTGATCCCGTGTCGGCTTCGATCTGCTTGATCATCGCCTCATACACTTTCAAAGGATTGATCTCGAGGTCAACATCGCTCAATTCTGTGAGTTGATTGATCTTTTCTGCCAGAACTTCTTTCAAGAAGCTCTGGCCAGGGCCGCGGCGGGTATAGGTGGTCATCATCCTAGACACTGGTGTATTTTGTCGTAGCAAGGACGAATACTCAGGTGTCGTTTCGAATTGATGTGTCAGTACCGACTGAAACATTGTCAAAAGCAAATGTTCTTCACGGCTCTCATACTGATTTCCATAGATAGTAAACATGACAGTCTGCAGTAGAGAATCAATTTCGGCCATCGTTACCAACCGGCATAGGTGAGCAATGTGCCTGGGCTCCGACTGAAGCATGAAAAAGAGGTTGCCATATTTCTGGGTCTTGTCATCGTTAGGAAAAGATCCTTCCATTAGCTCGGCAGCTTCGTCGAGGTGACTCGCGACTTCATTTTGCTATAACAGTGTCAGTATGGTCGATTCCATCCTTAACATTGTTGAACGTACCTCTTCCAACGCCATGCGGTTCTGGATCAGTAGTGCAATCCTAGAATCCAGGTATCGTACATCCTTTTCCAGGACAAAGTTCTTCTTGGACTGATTGGAGATTTTCGACTTCAGATCTCGAAGTGTACGTTGTGCCTTTGCCAGATCATCACTGATTTCCAGATCCTTATCTTTCGCGCTCATGCTAGCATACAGCGCGGTCATGCTGACACGCTTGCTTTGTCGCAAAGAGCGCGCGCCATCGTGGCTCGAGTAGGTGTTCTGGCGACTAACGGGCTCAAAGGACGAGCTCGTCGAGGTCGAGGCCCGCGAGGCAGGTTGAAGCATGGTCGCGACCGACATATCAGCTATCTTGCTTCGGTGTGATCTAGACCGCTCCTTTGCGCTGGAAATACGACGCGGGACGTCGGTGCGGAATGTAGAGCTCATCTACTCACACAGTCCCAGAAGAAAGGATCGGGACCATATAATGTAAGCCTTGGGGGGTTGTGACGTTGGTTGTGTTTCAGATTGGCCTGCAGCGACGCTCAATCGCTCCCTTTCCGCAAGTCGTAAGACAGGCTGGATTGAAAACTCGGACGTACAAATATTTCGCGAAATTGTTACCTAGTGTTGACCTCAAGAGGACTGTTTGGGCGCATGCGACCTGCGCAATTGCGTTGCAATGATGTGTGTCGTCTTCCCCGACGGGATTCGTACAAACAGTCCACAGACACTCCGCCCGTGAAGTATTACAGATATGCTGTTTGCGATCGCGGCAGGAACGGCTGGTTTCTTAAGAACTGGTGGGGTCAAATATTCAGGAAGCATAAACGTGTATTGGACGTCGAGCGCAGTTGTGTGCCTGGCCACGGGAATGACTGTTTCGGGATGCGAGGATTCGTTCCGGATAGGGCGCGACAATTACAGATGAAGCCGGCAGAGGCGCGTACGAGTGTGGTTGGAGTAGGGGGAAGATGCAAGGAGGTTCGCAGACAGCGAACGGTAGAGTGAGGATAGATGTTGTTGAGGATTCGAGTAGGAAGAGAGGTCAGGAACCAGGTACGAGGACTGCGCAATTGGAGAAGAAGATGGTTGATACAATAGGCGATAGGAAGGATAAAGAGGGGTTTGAAAGAAGATCAGAGCGTTAGGTCGATGCTGATTTGAATCTGGGAATATCCAGGGCCGCCGTGTGCTTCAAACCGTCAAGGATGGTGCACTTTGACCCATCGGGATTTTGATGGCAGTTGGTGGCTTGCCCACTCCCATAGAACGCAGGCGTTAAAATCGCCTGGTGTAGGGGTGGAACCGCGGATTGACAATGGGAGAGCGGGACAAGGGGAGTGGAAGAGATGACGGGTGGTGGATGTATTTGTGGATAGGCGGCCACCTTGAGTTGAGCATGGGGAGGAGGCCAGGTCGGTAAGTAGTGGGTGTCGAGGCGTCAGGGGTAAAATATCTGATTAGACTTCAGAAGCAACAGCCCCGGACCAGAGATGTAGTGAAAATACCCATTCTTGGATGCTTGAGCCGATCTTGATTTGATTGTAGCGACAATGTCTATCGACCAGGAGGACGGAAATACCATAACTTGCTCTTGGAACCTCATGTATCAACGGCAGGATCAATCCCATTCTGTACACGGAGGGCTACGCGCGGCCATATTTCCTGTTCGGACATATCATGGTGAATGATGGATACTGCACCTACCAGTCATGGTGTTTGTCTCGCCTGTATGACTACGATAACGATGATGTGCATGTTCTAGCCTCCCTAGCCCATTGCTCGCCCAAAAGCAAATATCAATCTACCAATGCACTCTGCCGTCGGAAGGGACTTTCTTGATTTCAATATACATTGTTGTAATTTGTCCTGAACTCCCCTTTCCGCATCTCCTTTGTTTGAGATTTTCCCATTCTCTGGTAATCTTCTGACAGCGATTCCTGAAGCATTCCCGCTCAATTTGCCAGGCATTCCATTCAAAGAAATGGTTCAACGGCGTCAAGGACCATAGAGATATGCAAGGAGAGCCTCAAGACCCTGTAAGCAAGCACAGACAGGTACCCGTCCAGGGACCACCCAATTAGATCATGACTTGCCATTCCCTTTCAGAGAGCTTGGGCCTCCTCTGTGCGCCTACCCCGAGATAAGGATTTGACCGAAGAAAGATAGGCATCAACCTTGCAAGAATAGGCAGTATATTCATGGGTTCATCCGATCTTCTCGCTGATGATCTCCCAAGAACGGTGTATGTTCGGCACACTCATGGCCCAGTGACCATCTTAAGCAGGGCTAGAGGCAAGCCACGGCGCGACGAGGCGGACGTTCCTAGGCCTTTTGGGTGATTTCGCCTCACGCTTACGAGACATGCTAGCCATTGGCCACCACCACAGAGAGGTCTTACGCTGTGTCATGTTTCACAGAAGGGCCAGTCGATGACGCCTGGGGTTGGCTCTTGTGACTTACCGAGGTCCAACCTGCGACTCATTGTCAGTTTCAGCATCGAATCAAGCCGCGCAGCATACCTAAAGTGGGCACCTAAGAGTTGGAGTACTGTACATGTCAAACCCTCACATTCAACTTGTAACCAAAACAGCATTCCCAAACAATATCGCTTCAACCACCTGAAATCACTTCGCATACAGGATATGTTTTATCTGTGGGGGCTTAAGCTACGGATTATACGCACCAGCGATCTGTCCGCCCAGCCTGAAGACGTAATTATGGCGACAGGAGCGAGCTCATTTTCTGCTAACTAAGTAGCTCCTTCCTGGCAGTATCCTTCTCAAATTCTCACGAGGCGTACGTACCGTTGTACCTGTGAAGCCTGTCGGTGGCTGACTGCCAGTTTCTTCTCGTTCGGTCAAGCACGTGTTTGGCAGCTCATGGTCGTGCGATGTATCAGAGATGGCAGCCTCATGAGATCAGTGGCGCCCTTCAAGACCTTCACCATGAGTCGGGTCATTTGGAATGCATCGCAGATTTGATTGATCGACGTGGTGTCCGCCAGCAAGCAGACAGCCTGGCAGATGTCCTCTAGTTAATTTGTGCGACATGCAGGATGAAGTACACTCGTTAGCCACGGCCATATAATCATAAATCGTTTCGACGGAAGGGCATCCCACGACCCGTGAAAATGGGTTATGGATGAACTTGTCAGGTTCACATTTTCGGATGTACCGAAACCAGCGGTGGATTTTTCCCTGGTGGCTTTCTCACATGCGCCTATACGTACCGCAGCGTAGCAGAACGTAGTGCGTCTAAGATGACGCCAGAATATGCCTCGTAGCCCAGACAGATAGCATTATTGTTGACCATCATTTGATCCAAGTCTCAAAACGTGGCACAAGAAGCCTGCAGGGCGGGAGACGGTGGATAGAACTCAAAACCGCTGGCAGCGGGAAAGGGGTACAGCTCCTCGTGCTACTGCAAGGCCCCGCCTGCGGAGGACGTTACTCAAGTTGGATTCAGAGCCTGACAGCGGGTAGTTATCCCTCTCATCTTACAGACAAGTCAGGGGAGAGGCAGAGATAACATTATTACGTCGTCTTCTCGTACAGCTTGGCTGTAGTAGTCATTCAGCAATGTGACCTATTGCTCTCGTAACATTCAATACTTGCAGCCGAACAGCCTCAGTCGAACCTCCTTCGCAGATTATCGTACTTGCTCTCGGGATAGTCCAGACAATTTGGCACATCTTCCAATCGACTGTGCCCACCGCTGTGCATCAGGAATGCCTCGATGAGATCGCCACTGCCAGCTGGCTTGTTGCCACTGGACTCCCACCACATTCCGCCTCCGAGGCCATAGTCTCGCACAAAGGCTGCTTTTTGTGCCACAACTACAGGAGTATCGTAGGTGATCATGGTCTTCGAAGATGGGGCGTAGCTCCAGCTTGCACCAATCTCGTGATCGTGATACTCGGTACTATCAGGCTTCGGGAGAGCCTTGTAGTCCCAGACTCCTTGCTCCCAGCTTCCTTCGCCCACTCCGCTGTAAGGATGGCCCGGACCAGAAGTGGACGTGAAGGCGCGACCGTACAGAGGCATTCCAAGCACGATCTTCGAAGGATGTACGCCATGCTTGGTGTAGTGCTCAATCGCCGCAACGGTACTGAACGGTGTCTGTGCAGGGTGTGATCTTGATGGAAACAGGTTAGCTTGATGGGCGGCTATTTGATCCCACGAGCCTGCAAAGTCGTAGGCCATGAGGTTCCAAAAGTCCAACAGCCGATCCATTTCTGCGATTTTTAGCTTCTCGAAATTTGATGGTCCTGCAGGACATGCCACGGTCAGATAAAAGCGGGTGTGATGACGCTTGGCCGCTGCAGCATCCAGAGCTTTCCTGGTCTCGTGCAACAGTCTGACATAGTCCTCTGCCTCAGCAGCATTCTTTGGATACTCCCAGTCGATATCAATGCCGTCAAAGCCCAAGTCTTCTATCAATTTGACCGCGCTCTCGGCGAACTTCTTCCTGCCGCTCTCGGTGCTTGCCGGCTGAGCAAAGTTCGAAGAGTAGGTCCAGCCGCCAATGCTCAATAACAGCTTCAAGTTCCGGTTTTTCTTCTTCTGCAGAAAGAGTTGCTTTGCACAACCGTAGACATTAGTGCCAACATCATTCCAGCTATCACCTTCGTAGTGCTTGTCGGTATCTGACCACGGGTCTGTGAGGTATACTTCTCCGGATTCGGGTCTCACGTTCACGAACGCATAGAGGACGTGGGTAAGGTTCTCGGCAAGAAGGTCTTGAGGATGATGGTTGCGTCCGTACGGCGCCCAATTCACGTAGTAGACCACAGATCTGATGCCGTGACCGCCACCCATGGTGACCTGAGAGAAATCAAATTCGAACTGAGGGAGTACTTGTGCTGACGACAATGTGAACGCTTGCAAGAAGATGAAGATCAAGGCGAGGAACGCGAGCATGCCAAATCAACACAGATATGTGTAAGATGAGTGCCTGAGAGAGGCAAGCTTTCTGTGATCAAGGTGAGGCTGTGTGACACAAAACTTTCCGCACATAACGTTTTGGCCGTATGTCTCACACTGAAGTGTCTGCCTGAGTGCTGACATGTAAGGTACCAGGTAGTTACTGTACAACTGCAAGAGGGGTTCTTGCTCAACGCGTCAACAAGTGGCTGTGAAACGATTGTGGCTGAGCCCTAGGCTAACCGAGAAAGCGGCATCTAATCTAATCGCGTCTCAAGGCCAAAACGTATAGCCGGACCCAACTTCAACTCTCTCAGCCTCGGCACGCAACCATGCCACTCCTCCCTGAACATCAACTTACTGATGCTCACACGGTACAGCCTCAGTTCCTTTCGTCCATCTTTGCGCCCATCCCAACGAATCTTCAGCTTCATACGCTCGGTGTCTTCGAGCAGTATGCCTCTTGAGATCCTTTTCTTCGGCGCTGGCGCCATTGGAGCATTCTATGCCTCCCGAGTGGCCCTCAACTCAGACACCAACGTCTCTGTGATCTGCCGATCGAACTACGCCGAAGTAGCAAAGAACGGCTTTCGCATAAGCTCATCACAATACTCAAACTACCAATGGCGGCCAACGCGGACCTTCAAGTCCGTCCAAGATGCCCATAGCAGCGGGGTCAAATGGGACTTTGTCGTGGTCTGCACTAAGGCACTACCCGACCTCTCCGACGACTCCAAGCTCATCGAACCCCTAATAAGACCCGAGACCGCGATCGTGTTGATCCAAAATGGCCTTGGTGTTGAACCGCCCTATGCTCAACGGTATCCCCAGTCCAGCATCCTCAGCGCCGTCACCATCGCGTCCTGTGCTCAGGTAAGTGACGGCCACATCAAGCACAATCGATGGACCCGGATCAACGTGGGCCCATACTTCTCGGACTCGACTTCGTCGTCCGCCAAAGACAAAGCAACCGCTCAAAACCAGACTTTTGTCGACCTGATGCTCAAAGGAGGTGAGATCAAAGACGCCGTCGCCGACACTCACGAAAAACTCCAGCTCGTCCGTTGGCATAAGATCGCCATCAACGCCTCAATGAACCCTTCCGCGGTCCTCGCTGGGGGGGCCACCAACGAGGAAATGTCCAACGACTCCGAACTCTACACCCACCTGAAAGGCGTCATGGACGAAGTCCTAACGACCGCACCCAAAGTCATAGGCCAGCCGTTCCCCTCATCATTCGCCTCGCCGGAAGCGATCCTCCGATCCACGCAGAAGAACAAGTCAGGAAGCAAACCAAGCATGTTACTCGACTGGGAGGCAGGCAAGCCAATGGAGCTGGAAGTCATTCTGGGTAACCCCATCCGCCTTGCCAGAGTAAAGGGCTACGAGATGCCAAGAATGCAGACTTTATATGCTCTACTCAAAATGATGCAGAAGCAAAGGGAGGCAAAGAAGGAGAATCGGAGTAAACTTTAAGAACACCCTCAATTCCGCGGAAGTCGGCGACTGTATCATACTATATTCGACGTCGCTACCCAGATTGCAGGCTATATCATGCCCAACCTATGCCAATCCTTCTCAGACTCACGCTTTGAACCTAAGTCAAGTCAAGCACCTGAACTGGCTGTATTTTGCATGAACCAGACCCTCTACAGCGACAAGCCCGGACTATTCCATGCTCGTCTCAACCTCGCAACCTCGCATTCCTAGTCATCTCCTGTGGTACATTCACTTCGCCGCAGTCCCACTCGGCGTGAAATCTGTCGTCGAAAGATTTTTATTCCCCTCTTCACCTTGGGCAACCGATCGATCAGACTCTGCGGAAGATGCAATGTATCCTTCACAATCTGACGCGGCGTCAAGCCCAGCCACTGTTCCAGACTCATGTCCGTATACCTTGGCGCCTGCATGACCTCCAAACACACCACCGTAGTATTTCCCGTGTTCTCGACACAATGGCTGTTCTCGATGTGAATGTACCCGACGTCACCGGCTTGGAAATCAAACGTTCTCGACGAGTGGGCGCGGAAAAACTCATGATGCGCGCCTTGCCAGCAACAAAAAGAATCCACTCATCCGACGTCGAGTGCCAGTGGATTTCGCGCATGGCGCCAGGTTTGATCGTAACACCGCCGCCGAGAAGTTCGATATGGTGGTTAGTTGGAGTGACAAATGCATAGCCCAACAATAACATGAACACCGAAGAGGGTAGGATGTACTGGAGCTCGGCACGGTTGACAAATCAAGCCGGCCGGACAGCAGAGCATTTAGCAAACGTCATGATAGACTGTGGAAGGTGGAGGAGATTCTCATGGACCCGAGTTGCCAGAGTCGATTACCGGCAGCAAGCTCTAACAAGTGTAGGTGACGAAGAGACTCATATTCCAAGCTGTCGTAGCGGTCAGCAGGGCCGTTGCGTGGTTCTTCCTGCAGACTTAGTGGTTTCTGAGATCCGTGGTCGTAGGAACAGGTACAAGCCATATCAATGCCGTGATAGAGTATAGGCTAATGTCGAGCTCCAGGGATCCTCTGTCAACACAGCACGCGGTTCAGCCTGCACGGGGGATCATGTATCTGTCTTTAACTACCGCCAGGCTTGCCGGCGGGCAGCGAACGATCTGGCACAGGCTGCGTCCAACTGTCATGTATGAATGGAGCTTGGAACAGTCTTCGTGATGTCAATTGTGCTTCTTACCAAATCCAAATAGTGCCTTGATGATACATGCATATGTGATGAGGCTCGCTTTGAGATAGTCGTTTGACGTCGGAAATTTCATGCCTTAGCGCATGCGGACGCGTTTTCCCCAACGTCATGATCGACCGGCATTCGTAGAGCAGGCAGAGGTCGAAGCCGTCCAAATTGAACATAGTCTCGTGCGGCAAGTTATATCCATAACATCGAGGATCGGGGAGGCATTCCTCAAATTTGGGGTCATTCACGCCATGTGGCGATGCGAGCTGTGCTGCTCATAATCCGTGTTCAATATGGTTCATAACAGCTAGCGTAATTCCCAGCAGAATCATGTCTCTTCAAGACGCCGTCGTCTTGGCTTCCCTTTGCGGAGCTACAGGCGAAGGAGGTTTCGGTGCACCCTCGCTCGTGAACCACGAACTGGCGACCAATGTCGCTCCAACGATCCACGCCGGCAACCAGATGCACAAGACTCCGGCAGGGACACCCCAGCTCCACCAGATATTCCAGCCGAAAGCGAGGCGCTGAAGCCACTGCACCAGGAGATCGTCCCTGCCCAATACGATCATGCCGTATCCAACTAAGCCAGCTGCAAGTCCCATCGGACTCATGACAGCTAGGATCACATATTGCAGCAAGGCAGCTACGGGGTTTGATCGGGTTCTGTCCACAAAAGCGAGTGGGAAACAGACAATCCCAAGAAACATGCTGAGACTGAAGTTCAATGTCGCCATAACTGTCAAGAACAGTCCTAGCAGCAACAAGCTTAATGATTTAATCAGGACATACTGTTCATTTGTAGGAGCTGAGAACGCCGGGAGAGTGGTGTTGTTTGGCATCTCTGCCAATGCCGATGCCAGGATTATCGGTAATGCAAAAAGTCCCAGGATCAATAGTAGAAATGTGGACGGCATGGCTCTATCTCGGAGAGAAGTGAGTAGATACAGCGGTATCAGTGATGCCAGATGAGCCGCGGTCAAGAAGGTTATTGGTAGAAGTAATTTTCTGTCCACGGCCTGATATTGCACTCTCGAAAGAGGTTTGCTCGGAGCTGCCGTGTCAAGTTGTGAACTGCTAGCCTTTTCCCGCTCTTCCACCTTGCCGTTGGTGGTTGGTGCTGATTTTGGGATGACTTGATAGCCGCTCAATACCCACAGGTAGATCGCCATGATCGTGTATGCAGCAGCTATTGTCATCGCACTAGGAAGATAAGTACCAATGCTGACGAAGCGATTGGACTGCATCATTAGGTAGAAGAAAAAGCTCTGGTGCAATTTCTCCAGCAGATTGTTGAGACTTCTGCAAATACTTTCAATGGTCCTGCCAAAAGCCATTTCGTCTTGCCAGCCTTCGTCAATGGCCGTCAGGGTGATTGCGTCGATGTGATAGCTCATGAAGCTTGAATGAGGCCCCGTAGCTTGGCCCAGAGCCTGAGATGACATTCCTCGTACCAATGTTTGAAGGCGAATAGGGTAGGAGCTCTGGTCGTCCGGTCTTGTGTAGGTATGCTGAGATTGTATCACGGTTGGTATCCCCATCTGCCCAGATGCGATTGAGACGGCTGTGTTGATCAAATCGAGATTAGGCAGTGCTCCATTGATGCCGTCGTAAGCGACGTGGAACGTCTCGAATCGGTGTTCAAACGGGTAATCAATACAGACCGCTCCCTGTAGGGCACCTGACTTCAGTGACAAGTCCTGTACCGTCTCTGGGTTATGGGTAGAGTGGTACGCGTCAAGCCAAGCCTGTGGTCCTGCAGTACTATCAGGCGTAACCAGGAATATGATGTCCTTGGACCAGAGGGACCATCGCTTGAAGTATCTTGACAGGGAGATGAGGAGAGGCACGCCGTTTACATTTGACATGTTGTCGATGTTCTCCAGGGCCGCAAGGAGTACGATGGCCTCAGTCCCGTCTCCGCGTGGTGCGTGCAGTATGGTGTAGACATTCTCGCCTTCGTACGTATGGCCAGACGAAGTGTAAGAATATCGCTGCGTCGCAGTCTTGAAGCCAGCATTGCGGAACAACTCCTGTACTTTGGCACTTCTCCTGTCTCGATCAACTTGCTTCTGTTCCTTTGTCACAGTGCTATTCTCAGCCGCCGCGGCAGGCGCACTCAAGACTGTAGCCAGTTCATGTCGATATGCCCGGAAGACATTCTGCTCACTCCCACCAAAGTAGGTGTGTACTTGACCGGGCAGCAGGGCGTTCTCGGATATGTACGTTTGCCTTGAGTATTCATCGAGGGGCAAGAGCAGCATCCATATGATGCCACCAAGGATACACAGTGCAGACAGATACGGCGGGATTCGTAGAAGTCGTGGATCGTCCTTGCGCAATCTGGAAATAGAGTCTCCTATGGCATGAGTCAGTCAACCTGTATTCGGTTCATGGAAAACGAAGTTTCCTACGTAGTAGACCCATATTCACCTCGCTCAGCCGCGTCAGCTTCACCGCAAGGTCCTTGTAAACAAATGATGTATGTGGTCAACTTTCAGGAGGGAATCTGTACTTTCTGACCTCAATGCCGAAGATCAGCCGGTGTTGTATTGATCGACGCGAGGGAAAGTCCTACGCGTGGTCTTCCATATTACTAGTGTCTTTCCGCACCTGTGAAGTGTCATGATCGGGTGGCTTCAGGTCTAACTTCACGGGCTTATCAAATAACGAACAAGACCTATCCGCGTGCGAAAGCGCCATCCGATCCTATACAGCGCACAGAATGCAATACCCAACCACTGTGCTATGCTCAAAATGACTAGTGCTAACAAAGATCCAACATCATATCGCTGCCATTTAGGGGCCCAGCCTTTGCCCACCGTCTGTGCCTCCCACCCAGCCCAAGCCTATTGGAGATATGTGTTCACCCGGTCCGGTTGTAGAACTGGTTGGGAGGACGCCATATCGACCGTAGGTTTTTTGGTCAACTGAGACGTAGTGCGGTAGTCTGCCGAGTAGATTGAGTTTCCCTTCAATCCAGCGAAGGACTTTCTCGGGTGGTGCAAGGAATCGGATGTAGCCCAAGCCCCCTGTTTCTCGTTAGCCATCAGTAAGACGTCGGTGACTAGGTCGACAGAGCGCCATCGTCTCAGAAAGGACACAACGTACAGATGTAGCCAGTTATACAGCCGCTCAGGTGGCCGAGAAAGGATGCATTCGGAACCAGTACAGACGTAAAAACAACAAGGACCAGAGGTGTTATCCATGTTGGTATCTTTTGGCCGGAGATTCTGCAATCATGTTAGTCAACAGTGCCTCGACCCGTGGACAATCCACGCCGAGTTGCAAAGTGTGGCACATACTCAAAGTACGGATTGGCTCTGTACGTCTTGATTGACTCGGACGCAAGTAGCATGAATACCCAGATACTGTGTCAAGCGTCAGTTTCGTCTCGTGTAGGACACCACCCACGGCTCGTAATGAATTCTCATACCTTGCACCAAGCACCGGAGTGTTGTCTCTTAGAATGACCACATCCAGCAGAAGATATAGTCCCGCAGGTATTTGGCCTAGCGCTATATTCTCAGTCAGCATCTTTTGCCTTGACCTTTTCGCTAGCCCGCTGTTCTGACAAGGCAAGACTTACGTCCCAGGAAAAGTGCAACGCTTGTCAATGTACCCCATTCGGCCTCGAATCTCTCAAGCAACGGCACAAGACACAGAGTGTCCATCAACATGTGGAAGAACCCGGTATGTATCAGTGCGAATGTGTTCAATCTGTACAAGCTCCCAAAGTTGATTTGCTTGGGATCTAACGATCCCCATTGTATGACACTCCAGACCGTCTGAAGTTCGAGAAGCCAAAATGCGAAAATGGCCAAAAGGATCAGCCGTGTGAACAAAGGGAGGCGGACGATATACGAGCGAAGACGCGAGGGATTGATGAGTCGAGTCGGCAGGGAAAAATTGTTCGTCGTTATCCTCGGCGGCGGCATCGCTGCGCAGGTGGTAGAGAGGAAGCCTTTGTTGGCGAAATGAGATCTCGTGCCTTGCGTCGGAAGCTGACTGCTGGGGGTCCTATGCTCTGACAGCTTCGTGAGCCAGTCCGAATGATCAAAGTAAATACTACCAATGCCCAAGATTACGGCGTCGCGCCATTGCTCGGTCAAGGATACACAAAAAGTGGATGTGGTTCGATTGTATGCAGAAATCTGGTGTGTTGTATGAACTGCGCTCTGGCAAGATTTCTTAGTGTCAGCCCCCAAATTGCGGAGAGATGCTGTGAACACCCCCTTTACTGGTAGTATTTCCATTTGCCGGCATATCCGTAAGGGATAATTTACGAAGCGACAACTACATTCATGTTACTGACACTCTTTCCAGGACAAGAGTCAGGTAGGTAGAAATTCTGTTCTTTGATTAATTCCCTCTTGTTGAGCAGGAGGGCTAGCAATAAGTGCTATCTATAGACAATACTGTGTATGGGGTATCAATAGTAGTCAGAGAGTGCATGACGTGAAAAGGCGCCTGGGGTATCATGCAAAAACAATTCCAACACCCCGTCATTAGTTAACCCAGAAGTAGCAATTCGTCAAAACGTCAAGGGGTATCGGTCGCAGGCCATGCAGAGAGTGTTCAGCCGTCCAGCAGAATGATCGCAAGAAACGTAAGACCTGGTACCTATTTTCATGTTTTCCTTCTCTTTCCTGTTTTTGGTGGGTTTCTCGACAAGAGGGTAATCATGGACTCTGCCGTCGAGCATGTCACCTTCAATATTGACGTGATTTCTGAGCTGCCTTGAGCTCTTTTCGATATGCCCATCCCTTCAAGCAGAGCACAAAGACTTCGTAAGACATGATGAAGGCCGTGAAGCCCATCGTGACCGTGAAGACAAACATCGCCATAAGATTGGCACCCTCCATGTAGTGAATGATGTCTTTGGTGCTGGCCATGAAGACGATGCCACCAGAGATGAGGCAGAAGGCAGACACCAGCTCAGTTGGTGGACGGGAGGGATAGATGGAGCTAGGGGGAGAGATGTACATGACCACGTAGGTGATCAAACGAGCAACGGAGAACCCTGCGAGCAACGTCCCCCATTGCTTGTGAACCATGGTGGACGTCATCGAGTCCTGGTGGTGAGAAGACATCATCATGCCCAGTAGGAGAATTATCAAGGCCGGCATAGGATTGAGAGAGGTGCCATATTGTTTGGGTTGAGTGCGCAGTTCAAGAGCTTGGGTAGGAGGCAACTCTGGTGAAGTAGGCATGTTATCGACCACTGCATTGAGGCACTTTCGAACGGTCTTCGATTCGATGAGCATACCGCACTGCGAAATGAGTTAGAGGATAGTGAACTCTGATGGCAGGATATGTCTTTGCTTACCAGGCCACCGCCGAAGAACATGATGGAAATGGAGACATGTTCGAGATCCTGGGCAGTCCATTCACCGCCCCAGGCAGCGAGGTGTTCGAGGAAGATGTTGGTACAGCCGTACAGCCAGATGACAAAGGACTCGACGAATTCAGCCGATGGCAGAGAGGCCTTCCATTGGCCAACCTCGCTGCGGGTCGGCTTGACGTTCCACGCCCACCCGAACTCGGCAAAGCATCCCATCCAACGTCCAAGAGTTAACAACCCGTACCAGAAGAAGATTCCGCCCTTGATAAAGTGGGCAAGGCCATTGAAGACGTTGGCACCTCGCTGTTGGATAGTCAGCCCTTCATTCCTTCATTCACCCACTTGCCTACGCCCATCGTGGTAGGCTCCCGGGAGAGAAATCACTTACGAACATGCCAACATACGTAACTCCTCCAGTCATCAACGCAATGAAACCGAGAACGAGGATGGTCCTGTCAATGACTTCGTACACTATCTCGATGATGCGCAAAATCTTGGCCGAAAGGAGATTAGGCACCCAGGATGCAAGATATTTGTCCATGAAGCGCAGCCAGCTGTTTCGAGGCTTCCTTGCCGACAAGGACTCATGTTCCTCATCATCTGCTTCCGGCTGCGGCTCTGGCTTCTCGAAGTCATTGTAAGGATCTCGTCGATTCGGGTTTATTGGGGAAGCATCTCGACTGTTCAGTGTGGATGATGCCTCCGTTCCTTGGCCACTGTCGCCCGACCAGCGGTGATCTGAGTACAGCGGTGTGTTGTGTTGTGTCATGTTCTCGACAGTTACCGGCAGAAAAGCCCGACCCTCAGCAGATGCGGCCTCTTCTGATCGTTTGCCTCGCCCCGAATAATGGAACATCAGACTCATGATGACCTGGGCAGTGACGATCCACGTTGCGATCCAGCCAATCTTGTGGTGGGCGTTGTTCTCATACAAATCTGGGACGTTGACGTTGTATACGGTCCCAAACAAGACTCCAAAGCCGTTGAGAAGGAGGAAAAGGAATTGCACCGGAAGAGCGAACCTCGATCGGGAGACGCTAAAGACGACGCCTGGGTATGTGAGTATATGTAAGTGCAAGCCCGTACACTCACTTACCGACGGGTAGGATGAAGAACCATGCCAGCACCATAAGGACTATATGTGCCAACATCATGTTGCCGTGCATGTCCAAACCGGCATAACTCGGCATGGCATAATAGTCCGACAGGCCATGACGTGAAGGAGCCTCGGCCTTTTCCATGCCGCCCATGTCACCCTCAGGATGTCCGTCGTCACCATGCGCCAACGTCAGTGCCGCTAGTTGAAGCAGCACAGCTGCTGTCGCATATCGAGAAGCAAGCATCCGGGTCGGTCTATTGCGGGTGTGTCCAACAATTCTTCCGTTACTCCGCAGCTCCGACGTCTCCAACGTTACCAGTCGTTCGACAGGAGCGCGAGCCTCTCAAATGGGTGAGGAAGGGAGTGTGCAGTGTGAGAGCCCCAAGTTCGGTGTCAGCGTGGGAATACTGTCTGGGGGGAGGAGTAAGCAGAGAGCAGTCTCGCGACAAGACGATGCGCGGAAGAACAGCGACAACGAGGTCAGAAGACGTGCGATGCGAAAGAATAAGGGAACAACTTTATACAACAGGCGGCGAGCGCAGGGGAGTTTAGTTAAAAGGCTGCCGGATCCATAGGGAAGTTTCTGCTGGCTGCGAGTCATCAGACCGTTGGTTTGAAGTCACGAAGGGGGCCGGAGGCAACGCGCAAAGGAACGGACGGACGAATAGGTCAGCAGAGCATGATGGGCGGCCGGATTTGTCGGATGCGCGAACTGAGGGTTTGATGCATGTGGTGGCTCTTTATCGCCGTGGTAAAGAGAAAAAGCGCAGAGATGTCGACAAGGCCCCGAGATGGTGAGATGCATGATTGGCGGAAGCTACGGCGTCCAGTCACTGAAGCCTTGGCAAGTCCTCTAAGTTACTGTGTTATTGCTGATGCCACCGAAAAGTCAAGCCTTGATGCCCACCCACGGCGCCCGCAGCATCCACTGGCACCTAAACTTACTAGGGCACGTCAGCGCCCGGGAAGAAATTTGCAGGGCTTCTCCCTCTTTCCCTGCGCTGACCAATAACATTGTCAAGTGGGACACTGGAGAAAAGCTCCGACCCTTCATCAATTCGAGTATCCTATGTGACCAAGGAAAGGACATATGATACGAATCCCTGTCAATTTTGTCAAGCAGCCATGATTCGGAATGCCATAACGCCTTCTAATGCTCCGTACGACCCCCCCGCCATCGAATGATCTTCCTTCGTGTCATTCAAAGAGGAAAAATGTGTGGTTTGGATCTCAGCACCGCTAGCCATGGTCATCGAGGACATCGCTATAAAAAAGACAAGGATGATTGTTGATACTGACACACTCCCAACTGCTGACAAAGACAGACCTTTCCTTGCGGCAAAACCTTTTTGTGGTTCCTGCCCCGGATGTACGAGTCTTACGGCATCTGCCTTCTATCTCCGGCTCCAAGATCCGACAGATCTTTTTACAGACGAATCGATGGCATTCGTTTTGCGAAGGAAGAAATAGTCCACTCTCAGCCTCATGGGAGTCGGGCCCGCCACCCGCACAAGTACCCGCGCCAAGAAGGTTTCATTGGGTTCATTTCTATACTAATATGGTATGTATCTGCTAGAAGGTGGGCCATCTGCGGTATTTGTTGACTCGTGAAGGACCAGTGCACATCCAGTTGTCCATGCAAGAGTTTGTATCGGGCATGTCGTTGTGCGATCTCAACAGCCAGCCAATTGAGGAGTGGTGTGACAATGGCACCACGACTGGTCTGATTAGATCGAGCAGCCCATGAGGCAGAGAGGCCTCATGTGAAAGGCGGTGACCCAGTGCACCAGCGAATCCCGTACGGAACGGAGACTCGTGCCTTCCGCAACTCGGTACCCAAGTGGCTGGGAAAGAACATTGTCAGGTATGTCCACTGGAGGTCAGGCTGCAACATTATTAATCGTGGGTCGATACCTACATCGATGACCATACAACAGACGCGGTAGTCTTTCCTTCCCTGGCTCAATGTTCCGCTTTGGTTGTCACTCCCTTACCTGTCGGACCCGCGCCATAAGGTACTCGACTCGAAGCAGTCGTCCTTCGTTGCCAGATAACCTCAAACAGGTGCTTGCCTGGGTTGCCCACACGATTTTACTAGTAAACTTGTTACTTTCCGCCCGCGGTTGCCGTTTTCATCACCCTCCGCAACATGTCGCGGAGTAAGTTGGCTAGAGCCATCTGGGTCCCTCTGATCGAAGATCTGTTGAGGTCACGAAATGGCGCTATACTGTGTACGTACCTCATTCGTTCTACTCAACTTATTCTTTGGCCAAGATACACAAGTAGCTTTGACAGGGGGAGCTCCTTTGCGTTCGGCCCGGCCATACTGTCCGAGGCTCCGAATTCCCCAGAACCTTTGCCGATTGAACCGCGTTGGTACTTTATCTTCCGGGAGGTCGGAACTCACATTTTATTCTGCCTACAGTGATCGATCACTCTTCTGCGCATTTGCGAAGCGACGCCTGTACGAGTGCGGACATGCACGAAGACTCCAGACCTTCCCCGCGGTCACCCAAGGGTCCGCCGACCATAACAAAAAACCACTTGGCTGTACCAATGCCATTTTTGAGTCACGACTAAAAAGAGGCTAGCCACGTATACAGGTCGGGCTTAAGCGTTAGTGACAGTGTGACGCATGCAAGTGGTCACGAGAGCGGTCATGCATGGGCGATCCTGTTTATGCACAATTGGCCGCTGCACATTATCCCCGCTGCATAATTTGCCGTATTCTTAAGCATAATATCCTTTTCGAGTACAGCGAGCCAGGCAGCAAGCCAGCAATCCTGCACATGTTAACCGTGAGGCTTTATCGATTACCACACGAACTACTCGGGAAATGGGTATGCTTCCCGAGTTGCTATCAATGTACCTATCGCCACGTTATGTGGTAAATGCTCCTGTCCTGATATCTGATAGTTGCATGTAGTTATGTACTCATGCCCGAAGCCGTCTTTTGTACCTCTCAACATTCAGAGTGCAGGTTGATGCAGGGCAGAGACCGGGGACAATAAGCTCTCGGGAGATCCAGGCTGAGGCTCGGCCGGGGAATTGGCAGTAGTAAGGAATGTAGGGTGTGTAGGGAGTCTTCTCGCAAGGCTATCATCCCTGCCAAGCTCCCCGATCTCTGGTGGGCCGGAACCACCAGGCTACCAAAAGAAGGGGGCTTTGCACTCTCATTTACACGCTAACCTTCGCTTCCTTCATGCGAATGCCAAGTGCGATGGTCATGTCTTAGAGTTGATGAGATCTCCACATACCATCGCTGGTGAAGAGACGACGGGAGGCAATAGAGCCGATATTGAACAACCTACTGTAGATGCTATTGGCACGCGTGGGCACCAGAACAGCGTTACACTTTTGAGGACCATTGAGGAATCGAAGTCAGCAAGGCCGACGCAGTCCGTCCCAGAAGGAACATGGATGCTACATAAGGGTAGGAAGGTTGGTAGACAGGTCCAGAACAGCGTTACACTTTTGAGGACCATTGATGAATCGAAGTCAGCAAGGCCGACGCAGTCCGTCCCAGAAGGAACATGGATGCTACATAAGGGTAGGAAGATTGGTAGACAGGTAGTGGCTGCGCGGAATCATTATGGGATCACACGAGATCCAGTGGTAGATCATGCCGGCGGCAAACCACAACATTGGCTCTGAGTACACGATCTAACAACCAAAAGGTGTTAGAGCTCCGCTGGTGGTGATGGGAAATGGCAAGCCAGTCTCCGGAAAGGTGGCACTGACTGACCACCTTGGGCTCCCCAGGCTCAATGAAGCCGTTCTCCATTGTCGGTGGGGAGCTCTTCGCACGCAACTATGTAGCGTTAGCCCTTGATGCGAGGAAGGTCATCACCACCGTCAATGTTCTGACTGGTCCCTGTCAAAGCACTCATTGTCGCGAACCTGCTGGACCTTGAGCTTGTGTCGTCGATATACCTTCGACTCGACGGTGCCAGTTATCGTCTACTGTCTTTACCATCTGGACGCTTCTGGCCTGAGAGAGTATCGAGGCAAGTTCGCATCAGCCTGCTCGTTCTTTGATCGTTCTTTGTGGCATGGACGTCCTCGGAAGCTGCCGTTCGTCGAGCCATGTCCAAGAGAAACTGTCCTCAGACACGATAATGGAGCTTCCTTAACAGCACAGACCTGCGCCCGCGCCATGGGATACCGCACAAGAGAAGAGTATGTTCAGCTCATCAACCGCGGCGCCGAAAGGATTGTTCGTCGAGATTCCACAGTGTATGGACTCCTCTCATGGGCTTATGAGCAATGTGGTGAAGCAAGTTAAAGAGCTGCACCGAGCACCATGTCCGGACAAGCTGCATCAGTCCCGCCTGATTTGACGTCGATCCTGCGGCCTCATAGGCAGGTTCGATGCTGGCGAGCACAACAGATTGGTTGTTTTCAAAGACCACAATGGTGATGTAAAAAGAGCAATAAACATCCATAAAGCTTGTCGGACGCTTTGAGTTCGGTATGACAAAGACGGGGGGTGCCAGCGCTGTAGTAAAGAGGATAAAATATAGCGTAACAAGTGAGGTGACAATCTTGGCTCGCTGTTAATGTCATCAAAAGACGGCTGATGGAGAATCTACACGGAGGACCTGCTGCGCGGGAGAGCTTCCGTAGGCTATTGTCACCGACTATCATCTCAGAGCAGTGTAGGTTTTAGATCTGATCTTCACTTTTTTGTGTAGAATGCAATGGAACTCTGGTGTTAGAAAGCACGGAGGTATCACCGTGGAAGACATGGCGTGATGAGGTCAAGGCATGCTCAAGAGTCAAGCATGGCGGCCAAATCTGGACCTGGTGGGGATAGCTGATATGATGCTAGGGAAGTAAGCTTAAGGAGATATTAAGGGCAGTGCTCACAGGGACGGTCATCGGTAAATGTGTTGTCAGCGACTTTGTAAGGAGATGTAAATCAACCAAGGAGGACGTCAAAGGCTAGCAGGCTCAGGACATCGGTGCGACCAGTAAGCCTCACTAGCCTGTCTACTTGGCCTATACCATGCGAAAAGCAGTTGACCGAGAAGGACGAATTGTACATACGAAGAGACAAATACCTCACCTGGGATTGACGTACGGCAGCTGGAACGACAAGGTCGACAGAAATTCAAAATGAAGCTTGGGACGCCGAAGGGCACACGTCCAAAGGAACTTGGTTTGGGGCCATAAGGGTGGTCACTGGTCTTGGAAGCTTCCGATTTATGCCCATGGGAATAGAGGCTGTCATTGAACGAGGTCTGTAGCGTTTCCAGGCCACGAAGCAAACGGAGCTTCAGGGAGGGAAGCAGCCAGCCAAGGGTAGATTAGGTCGCGACAACCGTTGATGGTCATGCCGAAACCTCACCGATGCCGCCCTGAACGGCGGAGGGGTTCCAGGGAAAACGCAAGTTTAGGCAGCCAAAGCGAAAGCTCTGAATTCCGGTACTGGGAACGCGTTGCAGAAAGGAGCGGGAAGAGCCCAACCAGGTCACTGTGGGCAGCTGTGACAAGCGCTCAGCTCGCAGTATGCATCACGCCAGTCAAGGCTTCTCCCCTGTGAGCGACCGCAATCTCTCATGCAAGAAGGCCGTGCCCACCAATACCTTAGGTAGTCGGCGGCAAGTCTGACAAGGACATTTCGTACAGACAGGCACCCAAGGGCTAAAGCCGCTTCCTATGGGAGATCTGACCGGGCACGGCGGCTTGAGTGTGACAGGCGGTCTGACAATGGTGAAACAGCTCCTAACTTCCAGGCGCCAGCCGTTGAACAACGCGGGATGATGTTAAAGCTCCTCCATTAGAGCTGCTCACTTGGCTCAATTTCGAACTCGCTCTTCTCCTTTGCGAGTCGAGCCTGCAATAGCCTGAGCACTCATATACAGAGCAATCCAAGAACCGTGAATATATATACGTGCCGTGCTAAAGGTCGTTGGGTCACCGCGAAAGAGCGAAGTTTGCGAGCTTTGCATTAGCAATACCTACACTGTCGCGACACCCACGTTTCCAAAGAATAGGCATAGTCGTCCCACGTCAGAGACTCAGCTGGCAATGCATTGACTCTTTTAGTTGCAATCGAACGTTCCCTGTCTGGCCAGGAAGGAGGGGCTGCCTCTTCGAGGACAAGCAAACAAGCGGGCGCAGTCTAGGGTTGTTTTAGACTGCAGATAAGCAGGGTCTCAGGCCCAGGTGATGAAGAGCAGAGTAAACAGGCTTGCCAGCTTCGGCGCAACAAGCCTATGAGCAGTGCGAAAAGTGAAAGCCTGCAAGGAAAACTGCTGCAGCCTAGGTCCAATTAAATTCAATTATGTTGATTTAGGCATCATTAGCGCCTGTGGTAGTGGAGCAGCAAGTCCAAAGCGGACAGCAAAGGAGCAGTAACGGCAGGGTGCGCGTGGTTACCTACTGATTTGGCGGACGATTTGGAAGGGAAGCCGCGAGCTGCCCTGCCTGATCAACTTTTTTCCTCCTTCTTTTTTCCTCGGGTTGATCTTCAGGTGCTGCTCGCCCACTTATTAGCGAGCCCCCCCCTTCCCGATCCCCCAAAACTTTTCTTCTCTTTCCCATTTTTCCTCCCGCACTCTCTGCCAAAACTGCTTCGTTGGTTCTTGCATCGCCCACCCATTCCAGCCGTCTTTGGTTAAAGCTAGGCTTTGCAACGTCAACCACCATTGCGCCCATAACGCGTCTACCACTATCACCATACAGCTGCAGCTGAGATTCAGATTCATAAGCCCTCTTAGCTATGGCCAAAAAGTCACTCGATCCCGAAAACGCGACGACTTCCGTAAATATAGCCGATTTCCAGCGAACCCGCGATTCGGTAAGTACAGAACCTGCATTGCATCACTCACTTCCCATCGCATCCTGCTTCATTTACACGATCCCCAAAACACGACCCCGCGACAAGGCTACGCCGCACCCGTCAACAACAACAATCTCTTTGCTCACTGAACACATCCACCATCTCGTCGCCAACTTCCCCTCATCCTCCACAACATCGACCACGCAGCCGAGAATGTCTTCCATGTCTACCCATGTCCCAGTCACACCGGAGACCATGAAATTCATTGATTTCTGTAACCATGCTGCCCTCTCTATCATCTCTGCCCTCAACAACGATTTATCTTGCACCGCTCAAATTATATCCGACACACAAAATGATTATGAAGCACTTGCTCACTCCTACAATCAGGTTATCGTCGCACTCGCGACTCTTCAGTCGTCCGTTCAAGACCTTTCTCGGGCCTACATTCAACATGCCAATACCGTCCTTACACCCGGCAAACACGGTCTCAACCCAATTGACGCCAACTTGACCAGCATCCTCACCGAGTCTGGTCTCTTGGCTGGTCGACCAGCCGACGCCGCCCCTGCTGCTCCTGAAGCCGAGGTCGACGGAAAGAAGAAGCGCAAGAGGACTCCTCATGACCCCAATGCGCCCAAGCGTGCCTTGACCCCATATTTTCTGTACATGCAGAGTGCTCGTGCACATATTGCCAAAGAGCTAGGTGATTCAGCCAAGCCCAAGGAAGTTGCAGATGAGGGTACTCGCCGATGGACTGAGATGAGTCCTGGTGATAAGAGTGTAAGTCTTCCAATCTGTCCCTGTTCTGTATCTTGCTGATCGACCTCTAGGTTTGGGATGACAAGTACCAAAAGAACTTGGCCGCTTACAGAGTCAAGATGGCAGCCTACAAGGCCGGACAGCCAGTCCCCAGCGACGAGGAAGCCACACGTTTGGTTGAGTTGGGCAAGGCTCCAGAACACGTTGCAGGTGTAGACGCCGAAGCCGAGACGGAGGAAGAGCCTGCTGTGGCTGAAGAGTCCGAAGAAGACTCTCCCGAACCAGTCAAGGAGCCATCACCGCCAAAATCCACCAAGCGTCGCAAGACCAAGGATGCCGAACCCACTCCTAGCAAGCCCACGCCAAAGGCTGAGCCGGCGGCCAAGTCCCCAGAGAAGAAGGTCAAGAAAGGCAAGAAGGAAGCGGCGCCCGCCCCTGTTCCAGCGGCAAAGCCTGAGAAGGGACGCAAGTCGAAGAAATGAGTGCTAATAGAGGACCTAACGGCGCGTGTGAGATGGGTTGTACTCAGGTGCATGGGTCGTGGTTCGTTCATACAATTTCGGTTTGGCTTCAGCTTTTGAACAGTGTCAACACCATGGCATAGTCCATGTCAGTCAGTCATTTATGTTGATAGTGGAAGCGCGAACTTGTCACGCGTTTCGATTGACACATATGTAACAAGGGCGTTCTGCGGACACACTTTGCTGTATGTAGGCAAAGCAGTACGAACACTACAAAATGATTTCAATCGGCGCTTTTCGCATCGCTGTCGTTCCTCCAGGTCAAGTAGATGATACAACACCTTATTGCGAATCCGGAACCCTCCACACACAGCGATATAGTGTTAGGTTTTGACAAAAGTAATATCAGCAGCTCTAATGTTGACATACTGTATAGGCCTACTAGGTTGGTCTCAAGATACTGGCTGTCGCAAACCTGCTGGACCTGAACTTATATGGTCGATGTACTCCCTGTGAGACAGTGCCACTTTTCTTTAAAACCAGGCTCGTTCGGTCAGGCGCGTAAGGTACTGTAAACAAAAACAGCCCTTTTGTCCAGGATGTTCTCCGCACCACGATAAGGTGTTCAGGGTTCATGGAGGAAGCTATGGGTAGCTTTATCTCGACCGGCTAGATGGAGTTGGCCCAAATCTTCCACCCATCAGACCTCATGCCACCGTGCTTTGCTCCATTATTGCCCCGCGTTGCGGCGCTCGCCGATGATAGGCTAGCAGACCACAATTAGCCAGAAGAGATAAACAAGTCGCTGAGACTTCGCGTGGAGCTTGGGTCGTCTCGCCTTTCTTCCAGGACTGAAAACTTATCACATCGTATGACAAGGGACAAGCAACATGCAGCTCGTTCCAAAGGAGGTGGGATAAATCCATCGAAGGAAGAAAAACTTATTGTGCTGACCTGGAACAGCTCGACAAGCTCATTACCTCCCAGCTGGGATTCCTGGCACAGAGGCGACTGGCTAGAGGTGTTAAACTAAATCATAGCGAAGCAGTCGTATGAGAACATCGGCTGGTGGACCTGTACCATGGCTGATCTTGTTCACAGGCTCTGATTGCCAGCGTCCTGCATGAGGTAAATTCACACCTTAGAGCGCAAAGATAGGAGTTCCTAACCGTCACGCAATAGCTGGTCAGAGATGGCAACCATACTTGCGCTGACCTCATGTCCATGGGAAAGCAACTGCTCGGTCGACGCCATGTTCTCCCGGCAGTGGTGTCTACGCTGCACACCGTGCAAATTGAGGGCACATTCAAGACCGGCACGTACCTCGTGACTGTCGATCATCCCATCAGCTCAGACGACGGAGATCTCGAGAAAGCCTTATACGGCAGCTTTCTTCCTGTCCCGTCTAAAGAAGCATTTCCTCTGCCGGATGCAAGTGAGTATGAAGACAAGAAAATGCCTGGAGCCGTTATTCCAGTCAAGGAAGGCAAAATCGTGTTAAGCGAGGGTCGAAAGAGGATCAAACTGAAGGTGACCAGCAAGGGAGACAGACCGATACAGGTAATTGTACGCCATCAAACAACTTACCAAAGCTTACCACTTGCTTGCTAGGTTGGGTCTCATTATCACTTCATAGAGACAAATCCTAAATTGGAGTTCGACAGAAGTCGAGCCTATGGCTACCATCTGGATATTGCCGCCGGCACATCTGTTCGTTTCGAGCCTGGAGACATGAAGACCGTCACACTCGTCGAGATCGCTGGTCACAAGGTGATTCGCGGCGGTAACAATCTAGCTTCAGGTGTCGTTGACTTATCTCGTGTTGATGACATTGTCGGCAAGCTGCAGCAAGCTGGTTTTGCGCATGCTCCGGAACCCGCGGGCGACTTGAGTCATATCGACGCATTCTCACTGACCCGGCCAGACTACATCGGTATGTTCGGACCTACAACCGGCGACATTGTCAGACTGGGATCGACCGACTTGTGGATCAAGGTCGAGAAGGATCTGACCGCCTATGGGGACGAGTGCAAATTCGGTGGTGGCAAGACTCTCCGTGAAGGCATGGGACAAGCGAGCGGTCGGAAAGATGAGGAAATGCTCGACACCGTCATTGTCAACGCCCTCATTGTCGACTGGACAGGTATTTATAAAGCCGACATTGGCATCAAGGAGGGTATGATCTCCGGCATCGGCAAGGCAGGTAACCCCGACGTCATGGACGGCGTGCACCCCAACATGATCGTTGGCAGCGGCACAGATGTGATTGCTGCCGAAGGCATGATCCTCACAGCAGGTGGCTTCGACTCACACATTCACCTGATATGTCCTCAACAAGTCTACGAAGCCGTGTCAGCCGGCATCACGACCTTCCTCGGCGGCGGCACAGGGCCCAGCGCGGGCACCAGCGCGACAACCTGCACGCCCGGCAAAACGCTCATGAGAGACATGCTCAAGGCCGTTGATCAGCTGCCCATCAACTACGGCATAACAGGCAAAGGCAACGACAGCTCGCCTATCGCGCTGCGCGAGTCCTGCGAAGCCGGCGCCTGCGGCCTCAAACTGCACGAAGACTGGGGCACCACACCCGCAGCAATCGACACATGTCTGAGCGTGTGCGACGAGTACGACATCCAATGCCTGATCCACACCGACACGCTCAACGAGTCCGGGTTCGTCGAGTCGTCCATCGCCGCGTTCAAGAACCGCACGATCCACACGTACCACACCGAGGGAGCCGGAGGCGGCCACGCACCGGACATCATCAAGGTCGTCGAGCACGAGAACGTGCTGCCGTCCTCGACCAACCCGACACGTCCGTATACGCGCGACACCCTCGACGAGCACCTGGACATGCTGATGGTATGCCACCATCTATCCAAGAACATTCCCGAGGACGTGGCGTTCGCCGAATCACGCATCCGAGCTGAGACCATCGCCGCCGAGGACGTGCTGCACGATTTGGGGGCCATCTCCATGATGTCGTCCGACAGCCAGGCCATGGGCCGCTGCGGCGAGGTCATCCTCCGTACGTGGAACACCGCCCACAAGAACAAGCAGCAGCGCGGTTTCCTGCCTGAAGACGAAGGGTCTGGCGCCGACAACTTCCGCGTCAAGCGCTACGTGAGCAAGTACACCATCAACCCTTCCATAGCACAGGGCATGAGCCATCTGATCGGCAGCGTCGAGGTCGGCAAGATCGCGGACCTGGCGATCTGGAGACCCAGCATGTTTGGCGTCAAGCCCCAGCTCGTCCTGAAAAGCGGATTCATCAGCCAAGCGATGATGGGCGATCCGAACGCAAGTATCCCGACGGTCGAGCCCATCATTTCGAGGCCCATGTTCGCGCCGCTCGTGCCGAAAACGAGCATCATGTTCGTGTCCAAGGCCAGCGTGGACTCGGGCGTGATTGAATCGTATGGATTGACTAAGCGCGTCGAGCCTGTCAAGAACTGTAGAAATGTGGGTAAGAAGGATATGAAGTACAATGCCGCGATGCCTAAGATGAAGGTCGATCCCGAGCGGTATACGGTCGAGGCGGATGGCGTGGTATGCAAGGCCGAGCCGGCGACCGAGGTTGGGCTTGGTCAGGCATATTTCGTCTTCTAGTGGAAGAGAAATGCCTGCGTCTGTACATGGGTTTTGGTAAAATGTGTTGAAGGCACTGTGGGAAGTGCGCGATGTTGTTGATCTTCATGTCTGGTTGGATATGGGAATGAAATGTGCACTGGAAAGTTGAACATATTTGAAAATATGAAGCATCTTGACTGGCCATCTAAGATCAAAATGATATGATGTTTGCAAAGCTACAACGAGCTGTGAAGTGACAACGAACATGTACATGATCGAGAGCGACATTCGATAACACTTGGTAGAACCAGGCAGATTATCCGAGGATGGTGTTTTATCTATCATAGAGATGCAAACAAGCAGCCCGGGCTACTCTTTGTGTTTACATTTCATAAACAGCTGCGCAACCCTATGCGCCATGCTGTGTATTCTTGATTGAGAAGAATTCCTGACTACGCTTCCACCGAGGAAAGGAGAATGTACACCTGCCGAGACGCCATTCAGCAAAAAGACCCATATACCCATTTCATCGCTGCGTCTCAATCAATCATGGCTTTTGCTCGTAGATCATCCATTCGCCTTGTTCGTCTGCGTTCATCACCCACTCATTCGTAATGTATATCATTTAATCGTGCACTTTCTTGGGGGAAAGCTTTAAGGGTTTTGCATCTGATGCTGCGGTGCTTCGCTGTATCTTCAGACCATGGCCGGAACACCACCACGGCCTGAAGCATGTGTTCGCTGGCGGTCTATAGGATTCATTGGGTCAGCAGTGGGATATCTTCTTCCGGACACGCCTGTCATGGTAGTCCCAACCCTGAGTGGACCGCCTTGGACATGACGTCTCTGAGTGCCGCTCCTTTCCGCATCCGACGGTCGATACCTTTGGTCCGGCTGACTGCCGGCGCTGCTGTGTCGAGTCAATGGCTCGAAAGTAGACTGATCAGGATAACGGATAGAGGGTCCACGAGGGTCAAATTGTGCTTGCGCTTGTGTGGCCGTTGTGGGACTTGACAGCGTTGGGTCACTATCATAGCTTGTATCACGCCAATGAGGACCACCAGCTCGATAATGCGGCTGAGAGGGGTGTTGAGAAGCATTGAGCGCCCGTGGTGGGTGGTGTTCAGGGCGCAAAGGTGAATGTTTGGGAGCTGGTGCTCGGGAACCTGCATCTGATGAATGACGCCGTTTGTGTGACCTCATAAAAGAAGGCAACCATAAGGAAGAGGAAGAGGGACGACTCTTTCGGTCTTCGTCGGATTTGCGATGACGACGACCCGGCTGAGATGTCTCCGAGCTGGCCTCGCTGCCAGTGTCTTCATCCACAGTCGATGGCGTGCGTGCAGGTGAACGATATTGGAACGCATGCGCAGACGACCGTCTTGAGGCGGGATCGTTAGGATTGACCCCCCGTCTACTTTGCGGAGGACTGTGCACCGCGCTCTGCTGGAGATGGCTTCTTGTCGGCCCTGAGGTGGTTTGAGAACGCTGACGAGTGGGTGGAGGTGGAGGCCTTTGTGCAGAATGACTGCGCGCTTTTCGTGCCTCATTGGTGGCTCTTGGATCCCAATGTGGTGCCCGTTCTCCTGGAGACGGAAAGTTGGGGACACTGCTTCGTCTGCGAAATGCGTCCATGTTATCTTGATCGTCTCTAGAACTGCTCCGCGAGTGTCGTGCCGGCTGATGTCCAGAGAAATAGCCATCTTTCCGGTCGTATAGGTCCGGGTACGGAGAATGGTGAGGTGAGTTCTTGAGACGGTGCATGTACTTCTGCTGATTCAATCGCCCAGTGACATCTTTGTGCCAGTTCTCCATCTCTTCGTCAGCTTTAGCTGGAAAGACGCCTTCTGGGATGTACTTTGGGAAGATGTTGCCATTGGGCATTGCAACATTCCATCTTTGCACCGCCTTTTGCATGAATCCCACATTTTCTTCGGGACATAGTAGGATTTGGATAGTCTGCCAACGAGCAAAGCCAGCTGGGGTGAGACAAGGTATTTTCGGGTGTTCGAAAGGGCTTGGGGTTGGCTGGAGGCTGTGGAAACACCCCAGTGTCTGGTACATGAAAGACAGGGCACTCTCAGAGGTCTTCAGGAACAAAGCGTCGTAATTTCCGCCGACTGCTCTGTAAAAGGCAGCCAGGCGTTGCGGTGTGAGTTCGTCATTAGGTCCAGGCTCGAGCGTAGGCTGCGAAGAACATTAATACTTGTGGCGCGCACGGTCACAGACCCTACTAACGATGATTTTGGCAAGGCCCAAGCATAGCTGTTCAAGCTGTGTTGTCGCGCTCTTGTCGGGATTGATCAGGTACCTCCAAAAGCCATGACCCGCGGTCTGAGTGTCGTTCATGTTGCGGAACCGGGTCAGTAGCAACGCTGAGTCGTTTTGGTAGTACTTCTTGTTGCTGCTCTCATCATGCGGAGTCAGGATCGCAGGAACAAGAGGAGGGTCAGTATGAGGGAGATACTGGCAAATGATTGCGGCGCTTTACATGGTTGGTGGTTGAGGTCACTGGTCAAGTCAAGTGCAGCTGTTGCATTTCGTTCACCGCTGCTTCCCGTTCGTTCCCTGTGCCACTCCCCACGAGATGCACTACTTATTAAGTTGATGGATCTGCCCCAGTCCCGCCCGTCATGCGCTGCCTGGAAAGCCTGTTGTTCTGCCTATTTACCCAGGGTCTCCATCGAATCAAATGTACAATATTAAGCCACTGATCGACTTCAAGGCCCGCATGCCCCCCATGCGCATTGCCGGCCAAACCTCCGAGGTAGCAGCACTTCCACCACTACGAAGTCCATACCTAGAGACGAGCCTATGCTTTACGAGTGTTGTCTCTCGCTGATGCTGCTGTCATAGGCAAGGGCCGCATTATCTCCAACTGTCAAGCGGTAACCTCGAGCTGCAAAGGTTACCCACCGCGCATTGTTCCGTGCAGACGGGACGAACAGGTGTAGGCATGTGGGACACCTTTGGGAGTCATAACGTCGTGGTTGAGCCGTCCTCCTGACTGTCAACTACCACAAGCCTGAGGGCTTACACATTCACTCCATGAATCATGGATGATCAAGAAACTCAGTCAACCTTTCTCCGACTTCCTATCGAGATTCGACAACACATTTACGATTTTGCCATCTCAGCACAGCATCTGAAGGCCCCGGATCAGCGGTTCGTTGATCCTCAATGGCATGATAAACCTCAGGGTCTTCCAGGACTCCTTCTAGTCAACAAAGCTATATCTCAGGAAGCAATTTCCATTTTCTACTCCAGAGCTATACTGAACATCGCCCCATTACATCCGCCAGAGTACCTATTCGATGCTCTCAATGCCAGAGGACCCAAGCTGAACTTGACATTGGGGCTGCAACGTATGGTCGCACCTTTTCCTGCTCAAAATCTAGCCCGTGTCGAGACTTGCCACATATATGCTGGACAGTCGAAGGCCATCAACGCTGAAGCCTATGAAGCTCTATTGGGATGGCTGATGACTCGGACGTCCGTCCAAAGCATAAAACTCTCTTCACGCTTGATGACCAGGTTGCGGCGTGCAAGAACAGCGCTTGCATCAACTCACAACTTATACTTGGCAGCCTCGGGGGTGTCTGTAGTAAAGACTGTCTATATCTATTCTCAGCACGCTCGCTCACCATGGGAATTGACACAGATGTCACGCTTGAGATCAGCGTTGGCGGGCCGAGAACTCCCAGTGGTGCAGGCCCACGTTTGGAATAAGAATCGTGGAGAGGAGCCCTTCCTGGATCCACGATGGGATGTCCGACATAATGACGATGACCAACCGCTTGCGAAGATGGACCAGCTCTCGACATGGTATGATTCATTGCTGGCAGCAGATTCTATTTGCCAAGCTCGTGTAGGCCGGCAGCCGGAGCAGACTGACAAGAAATTGTATCAAGTCTGCTTTGTATTCGAGGTGCCACCTTGAGGAATTGCAAGTACTCAGACCATTCGATTCATGATCTTCTTTTCTCCGCTCCTCTTGTGACTGCTCTCAGACTGCCAAAGCTCAAGACGTCGCCAATCCTCTCCATGCCGGTGAACAACATGACAAGTCTATCAATTCCACAACCCCAGCCACCCGTAGGCGGGAGACCCCATTCCAGTGCCTCGAGATAGTCCTCGTCGACTTTCATGGCTTCTTCATCTACTAGGTTGTTCTGTCGTGCAAGGCGTTGCTGATCCACAAATTTCCTGCGCTGTTCAGAGGGGCTGTTCTCCTCCTCGTAGCAGTTGACCACCTCTTTGCCTTGAATGAACAATTCTGCCCTCGCTGCAACAGGCTGACTGTTCGGAGCGGTCGGGTGAATGTAGGATTTGGCGAGTGGCGAAAGGCATTCGGGAATGTTGGTGATCCAGATAGGTTGCGCCTCCGACTCGGGCTCTATGTAGATAGCCCCTAGCTTGTCAAGGAGCCGGGGGACAGTGGGATTGCACGGGATAGGGATGTCTTTCGACTTCAGAATCTCAAGGAGGTCGCCTTGTGCTTGCGGTGATGACAGATTAGGCAAATCAACGCCTAGAGCGGCGTTGAGAGACAGGATGAAATCGTATTGCTGGAACGATTGTTGAACGTCTTTGAGAAGGAGCCGTGGCTTATCCAAGTCGTAGTGACCGGATACTGTTTCCATCGCCGTGGCTATAGAGGCTAGCAATGCCTCAGTATAGGTCATGAGCTGTGGCAGGTCATGGCGAACCGCATAGAACTCGCAGGTGTAGAATTCCGGATTGTGTGTTCTGTCGAGACCTTCGTTCCTGAAGCTCGGTCCAATCTCGAAGATTCTGTCCATGCCGCCAATGATCAGACGCTTCAGCCATAACTCGGGGGCAATGCGCAGGCTCAGTTTTCGGTCAGAAAACTCCATGGATGTCGTCTCGAAGGGCTTTGCCGTTGCGCCTCCTGCCGCTGCCGATAGGATGGGAGTGGTGACTTCGATGAAGTTGAGCTGCTCGAAGAAGTTGCGCAAGGTGCGGATGAGAACTGAACGAGCTTTGAGAGTCGCAACGACTTCAGGATCTGTGAGCATTTCGACATTTCGCGGGACGTAGTTTGTCTCGGAGAGTTCGGTCGTCGCGAAACCTGGTTGCTCGACTGGAAAGCGCTGTAGACATGGCGTGAGCAGAGTCGGTAAGCTGGATGCTTTGACAGTGATCTGGCCCGACTTGCTGCGGAATGGCGGTCCACTTTTGATTGCTTTGGAAGGTCAGCTGGGTAAAGAGCAGAGTATTAATGATGGGAAGGCTTACAGATGTAGTCTCCGCGTCGGACCAGACGACACTGCCGTTTGAAGTCGTCTAAAGATATACCAAAAGCCTCTAAAACCGCGTATGAGACCGAAACTTGAAGCTTGACTTGATCTTCGACAATGTCGAAGAAGACCAGTTTTGAGCCGCTTAAACGGATAGACGTTATCCTTCCGGAAACTATGGTGTTGATCAGAAGCACGATCCTGCATTAGCATATTGATCGTCTCACCTTCTATCTCCTCGTCATCGGGCACAGGCTTATCTTCGACCCTGGCGTTGGAGAAGCTCTTGACGAGGTCTCCTATATTGCGGGCTTGCGAAGTTGGCTCATATCGTGGGTACAGCGCAACGTTGGTTGGAGCCAGCTCTTGCACACGCTCTTCGACCTCCTTGCTTGACCACACCAGGCCAGTATCGGGTCCCGCCTGATTGTCAGCCCTTGCATGTGCGGTTGTGAACCTGGCTCTGGCGACCCATGGTGTCGTCTTGTACGGAGACTTGTACCCGACCCGAAGTTGGTGTGCACTACCTCTCAGAGGTTGCAGAAGCCTGACCACGAGCATAAGCAGGAGTCCTCAAAGCGACTTGAGGGAATATGAAGCGTGTTTGTAGGTTCAGGATTGGTTTGGAAGGTAGTGATCATTGCAAGCCAAGGCGAGCATCACTCGCAGCGGTTCTTCTCGTTGTCTCTTCATTATGCAAAGGGTGTAAGGGCAGATGCGACGACGTACCTCTGTGGACACTGCAGACGTGTAAGCCGCCATCCTGCGCTGCTGGACATCAATGTTGCAGCATCAGTGCTCTCGCCGTGACCAATGCAGACGTGATGTTTGGAAACAACGTGTTGAATGCACCTTTTGGAGAAAATTGCTTCGCGCCCGTCGCTTAAGCTTCGGTAGAATTTATAGGCACTAGATTGACTCGCAGCTCCGCAACTTTGTAAGTTAGCAGTACATCTACAATCATTTGCGCAGGTTGGACATCTTCTCTTGCAGACAATTCAACGACGAGAACGCTCATTCCCGGTACACTCGAATCATCACTGATCCACTGCGACCATGTCTTTCCTATTCGGTGGCGGGCGTCCTCAGCCCAGCTCCGCCGAGAAGATTGCGGCAGCAGAGCAAGAAGTTGAATTAGTTTCAGACATGTACAAAAGGTATGGTCAACGGCAACATTGAATGCACTCCTACACGAAGATGGGAATGTGAAAGACCCGTTGCTAACTCTCTTTCGTCCAGATTAACAAAGTCCTGTCTTCAGAAATGTGTGCCTGCCGACTATCGCGAAGCTGAACTCAACAAAGGCGAGAGCGTCTGCCTCGATCGATGTGTGGCCAAATTCTTCGAAGTCAACATCAAAGTCTCGGAAAAGATGCAAGGAGAGGCTGCGGCAAGAGGAGGAGCCGGTGGCGGCGGTGGTGGTATGTTCGGCATGTAATTGTATGGACTCGTTGCACTTCTACCAACCGTGCGAAACATGGTCACGAGGACATATGCGACTGCATGGGAATGGGTGATATCGTAGTGCTTCTAAACAAATGGAGCATTGTCAACTGCACCGACTGTCACCATCAGATTTTGTACACTACTATGGTCAGCGCTCAAGATTGCGGCCGAGTCGGCGCGAAATCGCGGCGATGGCTCCGAGAGGAAAGAGCAAGAGCTGCTTGGAAAACTCCCTTCGATTGCCATGGAGGATATCATAACTGGGTTTGGGGTATCTCAACTATACAATTGCAACAAAACAATCCTCGCCCTTGGAACTCCTCGCTGAATATTACTTAAACACCGGCACCGAGCCAGTTCGTGAAAAAGTGGCAAGTTCTGACCACTGTACTACTCTCGGTCCAAGCAATAGTAGGCATCGTTCCTCATCGTCAACCAGGAGCTTTCCAGACACAACACTATAGCGTGAGCCCTTGACGGAGTGAAGGCGACAGCTCTATCGTGGTCCTGGCTGTCGTGAACCTGACGGGACATCGAACTTGTATGGTCGACGTGCTCTCTGTCAATCGGTGCCACTTGTTCTGGGAACAGGCTCGGCACACCTCAATTAGACTGTACTGCCTTGTGTGAGCCCATGAAATTAAAGAGTCTCTGAATCCAGGGGACCGAATCTTTCTTCTCGCCTCCAATAAGTTCCTTCACTCTGGCCTCGATTGCAACCACGTTTTTCTCGAAATCGCCAACTCCGTCCTCGACCTCTTGCAACCTGGATTGCAAAGATTCCATCTCATAATCCATCTTGGCAGCTAACATCTCAGTCCGGCGGAGACTCTCAGTGAGTGCGCTCTTCTCATGCGAGACAAGGTCGGACGATGTCGCTTGGTACGTCTGGTACTCGTCCAGCCGATGATAGTACAATTCGTTGAGATGCTCCAAGTTTTCATGCGCGGCATGGTCTAGGTTCTCGACATGACCAACTCTGGTTTCGGTGAATGGAACAAGAGCCTGTTGAACAGCGTGTATCCGTCTTGCTTTCTTTTGTGCAACAGCGACCAAAGCGTCACGTTCGGCAAGTGCATTGGTGAGATCGCCTTCGATTCGACCCCTCACAATCCCTTCCTCAGCAACACTCTCCCAGGTTTTGAGTACGGGGACCTCCACAAGGCTGAAGGATAGTCGCCGATTGAGGCGTTGCTGCCGGGGACTATCGATCTCCAATCTGCCGGTCAGATGAACCGCACTAGCTGATCGACGTAAGACCCGGCTGTGTAGTCCTTGGTAAGGTGACTCGGTGGAGAAGTTCCTGTAGATGTCTGCTTTGAACTCGTTGCGCAGCTCAGCCAGTTCGGCGTTGATTTTCCTGCTTCTTGGAGAGTCTCCTGGTAAAGCTGGTCTCAAAGCCTCACGGTGAGAAGGGACCTTATTCTCTGATGTCGTTTCTATCCTCCGCGGAGGCTGCCCTCGTGTTTTCTTAGGTGAGGTTGTCTCCGCCTCTCGCAAGGCCATATTGAGTGCTGGAGGACCAGTGCGTCTAGTTGTGGGCCGCAAATTATAGTCGCGGAGAGTCTGGGCTTTAGATGACTTGGGAAACGGACTTTCAGGCCATTCTTGAACTTCATCGAGGTCCCTCGAGTAGCGTGAGCTGTGCGTTTTCAATCCTCCTACGGCGTCCCGGATTCTGCTGCGATTTGATCTGCTCTCTTGAGTCTGGTTCGTCATCATAGTATCAGTACGCTCAAGAAGGCCTCCGTCAGAGGCCAAGTCGGGTTTGCCAGTGGTCCACAGGAAGTTGCCTTGGTCGTCGGTCCTGAAGACTCTGTCGTTGGCCTGATCAGCTGGTGCTGCAAACATGTCCCCAGACTTTACGGGCTTGCCCTGCCATAACCACTTCAACCGTGGGCCAGCTACAAGCTGAGCGAACCGTTCGATGTCAAGCGTTTCGGCTTCAGAGATACCAGCTTTGTCGCGTGCTCCGACAATTCCCATGACCATCTCGCCACCCTTGCCGCTGAGTTCTGCAACAGTAGATTTGACCGATTTAGGAACAGTCCAACCCTCGCCCGCGGCATTTTTAGCTGTAGCCCGATGAAGACGGTCAATAGTCTCACGGTCCAGGCGGCGTGTCTTCTCCATCTTCTGGCCTTTCTGGAAGTGGCCAATGGCCCTTTTCATCGAATAAATGTCCAAGACGTCTTTGCCCACAGTTGCGCCAAAGGCTTTGAGACGGTTGTAGGCTCCAAGAAGAAGGCCGAGGAGAGCTGCGACAGTGGTCGGACCAAGAATGCCATCATTCGGTTCTATGTTGTAGAAGTAAGTACCAATGTCCGTCCACCAATCAGTGACAGCCTGCTCTGTAATGTCGCAGAGCAATCCGTCAGCATACAATGGCTGGAGCTTGTCATACATGACCAACGCAGTCTGACATACGCGTACCAACTCCATGACAGACTGATACAGTGGCACGGCTTCGCTCGTCCGGTACAGGTGGTGGAACTTTGCGACTGTGCTCGACTGGGGAGGCTGAAGGTTGATAGCAGCTCTTCCAGAACAGCCCATTCGTTTCAGGTTCTCATTTACGATGAAGTCCTCCCTGTGTTTCCTGACATCACCATCTGGAATAGGGATCACCGTCAAGGCGGACGGAAACCCGCTCAGGTTGGTGACCATAAGAGTACCCAAGGGTGTGTCTTTTTCCTTGGCATGAAATTGAGAGACAGCCGAGAAGTACACCCGCAACCTTTGAGACCAATTGCTTTCATCGCTCGGAACTGCCAGGACGTTGACCAGAATAGAGTGGGATGGGTCGCCAGTATAAGTGCAGATGACAAACGTAGGATGAGACCTTGAGCAAGCCCATTGCTCTACTATGTACAGTTGGTATCCCTCAAGTCGTCGCCACCGCTCGATAGCGTCGGTCGCAGGGTCCTCTTCCAAGTAACGGAATGCGACGGGATCTGAAAAAACCAGTCGCTTCCTGCTTTGTCCTGGTCGGGCAGGGCGGGATCCAGCCGACACAGGACTGGCTTTCTGCTGAACATCATCTGCCGGAGTCTCGGGCCCTTCCTGAGGACTCGACTTTGGAGACTTGTCACGAGGTGAGCCTCTATGCGACTGATGATAGGGTGTCAGAAAGGTCGGAGATCCAAGAGACATGGCGGTCCCGCTCATTGCCAGACGCCGTTGCCATCCATCAGCAAGCGGTCATTGCCTTGTGAAAGAAATCGATTTAATTGTGAAATGGTCTTGATGGTCTTGGGACCGTACGCCTATTGTCGCTTTGGCTGTTGTGATGATGTGCAAGTTGGGAGGAGATGGAGGTTGTCTCTTGGGATACTCGGACTCTCGGCTCACCCGCCCGAAGGCCGGCATATTGGTGGACGGGTTGGTAAAGCAGCGCTGTTCCGGGCGTTTGTGGGGTGCGACATCCTGACGTGCTTATCAACTAGCGCCCGTCCTCCATCCGTATGATCATCCTACCGACTATCCATATCGCATGCTCATGCGCCTTCGTCCACCACCCCGAAATCCCACATCACCTTCCTACGACCTACTGAACTCGATCTCGAATACTTGCAAACACTCAAGAACCTCCTGCAACAATGGTAGCTACGAAAGAGAGGTCGGATCACCATTGAGACATTTCATTGACCCTAAGATACGTCGACAGATATGGAGGCAATCAAGAAAGAGCATGACAAGGTGTGGAACAATTCCAAGCAGTCCAAGACTGTCGGCCATGTCGACGACATAATCAGGTCACTTCAAAGGGCGCGGGACGCCATTGCCGAGGACCCTAACTCCAGACAAATCACTCTTGCGAAACTGCAGAACCCCGTCAAGTCATCATTTGATGGCATATTCACCGGCCTGAAAGACACACATGGGTTGCACAATAAGTACACCAGAGCGTTGGACAAGGTCTTCAAGGACAAAGTACCGAGCACGGACATCGATGCTCTTTCGGCTCACCCAACGCTGATCAATCGCGCTATATACTTACACCTGCTCCGAGAAGGACTCTTCGATGTTGCTTCAGCGTTCCACTCGGAAGCACTTGAGCGGCAGAACCTTCGTGAGGAGACCGCGGCTCAGTTCGGCTTAGATGTCTCCATGGAACACCCATTGGGCCTGGATCAGAACTCGGAGGAGGACATTCAAGAACAATTCTCGAACATGTATCACATTCTCAGCGAACTCAGGGATAGCCACAACTTGCAACCAGCCATTGACTGGGCGCGGTCCAACGCCTCTGCTTTGGAAGCCCGCGGCAGCAACCTGGAGTTCGAATTATGCCGATTGCAGTTCGTCAATCTCTTCATGGAGCGTCGAGATGATGATGGGCATGACTTCGCTGGGCCTATGCGCGCTCTTCAATATGCACAGACCGAATTCCAATCATTCAGAGGACGTTACCTGGTAGAAATCCAGCAGTTGATCGGAGCTATTCCATTCTGCTCGAACCTGGATGATTCACCGTACAGTACTAGGTTCAACAACTCCACGGCATGGGAAGAGGTTGCCACGTCATTTACACGAGAGTTTTGCTCATTACTAGAGCTATCGGCAGACTCACCGCTATACGTGGCCGCTACCGCTGGAGCAATTGCACTTCCAACACTCATGAAGCTACAAACCATACAGAAGCAGAAGAGGACGGAGTGGACTTCACAGAACGAGTTACCTGTGGAGACACCGTTGCCTCCTTCTTACCGATTTCATTCTATCTTCGTCTGTCCCGTGTCCAAGGAACAGACTACGGACCAAAATCCACCGATGATGCTTCCGTGCTGCCATGTGATTGCGCAAGAATCTTTGCAGAAGCTGAGTAAAGGTGCCAAGTTCAAGTGTCCTTACTGTCCGGTTGAGAGTCATCCGAAAGAAGCGAAGAGAGTCTTTCTGTGAGGGTGTACACGGAGTATGATACTATGACACGGCAGCACAAGGCAGCCCTTGCGCTGCGTTTCCCCCTTTCCCAATGAGAGAGGTTGGCGCTGGGATACAACAGATGTATGGTCCAATGCTGTAGAGGATTCCGGGAGTTACATCATCCTAGGGCTTACAATATAAGGTGGATAAAGCAGAAATTCGAGCTATCATGTGGCGATGACTATATGAGGTCGGGTTTTTCGAGGCTTAGCCCAGGAACAAACTGCATGAACAATGAACCCTACCATTTGCAGCCCTCTTAATGCAGGTCCGTGGTGTTAGCGGAGTGTTAGGGCCCCAAGAATCCTGTGTTTCACCCGAATTCTAGCTCCACAGGATATGCATGGGCTTCACACCATCTTCTTTGGCAATCGCAACAGTCCCGTGTAGCACTCCCTCGATCCGTTCTGCCTATTCTACCAACTTAGACTCACCCACGCATGTGCGTCGCACTTTGCAGCAGCCTACAACATTTCACCATCAGCCACGCAACGGTCCTGTAATGACACGAATCCCGAACGGTCTGGTGCAACGTTGAGACCGCCACTATCACAGACCCCGCCACGCAAGAGATACGGATACAGGTGGCGAAAGAAGCGGGTGCAGTTTGCTTCGGCTAACGTTTAGCTGAGTAGGGCCCCAGGTTTCCGGGCTGAAGGAGACATGGGATAAGAGTGCCGAGTCACACTGATTTGACTCATCCGAGAACCAGTCATTGAGGAAGGTGACTGACAATCCCTGGGTAAACCTCCAATACGGATTACAGTGGTTGCATTGGTCATGTGCCTACGTGCATTTAGCGTGTGCCAGGCCGACGCGCGGGACGTGTCCTGGTACTTCCGGTCAACCTATATCTAGCTGGATTGAGAATGATTTCCTGGCAAGCTCGAAGCAGCCATCCTTTTTCTCTTGCAAGGTAGGCGTCCCTTTCCACGCAAGATAAGAAGCTATTTCTCCTGTCAGAATGTCTTCCTTATTTCCTGATGCACACCCTGAATTGATTTGATCAATATCAGGCAGCCCTGCTTGCCTCTTCTCCCAAGGTTCTTTTGTGCTTTTTTCCATGCTACTGATTTATTGCTTGCCTGCGCTGTCTAGAACCTCGGGTCTCTCATTCCAACCGTCCTTTGCCTACTGTCCAACCACTTTGGCCTTACAGCTAGCCTACTGCACCCATCCCATCTCAACATGTTCAGTAGCAGCACCAGAAGACCACGTCCCACGGACAACAGCTTCTCATCAAGGTATGGAACCAAGAAATCTACAAAGCAGAAATCCTCCTTCCGGGAGCAGTCCATCACCAGGGGCTCAGAGAGACTCGATTCTGTGAGATCCCCAAGGAAAGAACAACAGCCAGTGGGCAGGTTAGTACGAACTGACATTTGAGCTTCATCGTACTGACATGTACAGCACTCTCACTTCTGCTATCATTACCCTCTGCGTCGGTCCAGGACAGCGGCTCTTCGCCGGCCATGAAGAGGTTCTCTCTCGTTCGCCCTTCTTCGAGGCTCTGTGCAGGGACCAATTCCTCGAGAATCACTCGAGACGAATCAACCTGCCAGACGAACAGCCGGAGATCCTGTCTGCTGTTCTAGAATACCTCTACAAGGGTGACTACCATCCGAAGTTGGCTCATAATAAAAGAAAGGATACATGGGAGCTGGAAGACGATGCGAATGGTGCAAACACTATCATATATCATCATGCAACAAAGCAGACATTGATGAAGGACACTGTCATATAGTATGTTCCACATTTCAACCATGAACGTCTACTGATGTGCTTCCTCGGCAGCTGCTCAGCCGATGTGTATGGCCTTGAGGAGCTGAAACGTCTTGCTCTACGTAAGCAGGGCTTACGATCAGGGATGCAGATTTCTACTATCCTGGCATCGGCACGATACGCATACAACCACACCCCAGACTCTGACTCGAAGCTTCGAGCTCAGTACCTTACTCTGATCATCCGAAGCCGCAACAACTTCAAGAAGAGCGGCACAATGAAGGTTGAGATGGAGCAAGGTGGACTCTTGTTCTTCGACCTCTTTGTTGCCATGTGTAACCATATGGTAAGTCACTCGGCTCTTTTGATTGTCAAATTCAGTCCATTGACCTCTTGTAGGATGATCTCAAAACCATCCGCTCCCCATTCACGTCACCATTTACTCGCTAGGTCGAGCATACTGTACTGTCCAACCTACCAAATTGCCAGGCATCTATCATGCCCTCCAGATTGACTCTTACGGAACGGTGCTCTTGGGATATTTGTTTGATTATTGAAGGTACCTCAAAATGCCTGCTTTTGCTACCACTACCAGAATGTACGACTAGATACCTCGCTCTGATAGCGGGAAGGAGAACGTTCGGGGATTCCACTTCTCATCAGCCTGACATGGCTATCTGCTATGTAGACTCCATCTTTTTAGGCTTTAGAGACTGAAACACGGTAGTCTCATTAACGTAGAAAACGTCCTGATAATGCAATCCCAGCGGGTAGCCGGCACAGCAATCCAGGGTTCTCAGTATGTCCCGCGATGTGCTCAGTAATGGGGCTGATTCCATTGGATGGTACAGCTCATTCCAGACCTCTAGCTTTGGGTTGCAAAAGGCAACCGATCCTAGACCCTCGTTTTTGCAGTAATCAAAAGGGCGATGTTCCCCGTCTGGCGTATGTCTGGAGTGACTGATAGGCGAGCTGCGAAGGTGCCTCGTGATGCAGAAGCTCGGACCCCTGTATGTGGTGCACCCGTGTATGAGTCACAGAGACAAATGCATACCCATTGAGTCTGATGGTGCAAATAAAGACTATCTGGCAAGGAATGTCATAGGTGTAAGCTCGGTTTTGACACGTGCTATTCTTTCCCCAATGGTATGGGAGGTGTGGAGAATCGAAGCGCCTCGCTCCCTTCCTTTTCCTTGCCGTCCTTGAATTCGTGGACCCCACCCAGACCATGTTGCAGACTAGTGTCGATGCCTCAGGTTCACCGAGAGCCTGTCATTTCAGAGACAAACTTTCGCTTGAGTGGTGGTACTGATAATTCGGTCTGTCGTGGAGGCTGAGAATCTGGCAATATTCCGCTAGCGCGCATGCAACATTAAAAGTAAACTGTGCCACCGTATGCCGTGTTGCGGTGCTGATGATGTGTAGTGACATTTGGTGTGACTCGAGGTCGGGGCAAGAAGCAAGCTCTAGTGTAGGGGTTGGCGCGGCATCAGTGCGCAACGGCCTTCCAATGTCCAAATGCGAATATGCTTCGTCAATGGTTTAGGGCGCATGTGATACTCGAAGTGCGTCTTTTCAGACCCCCGTGCCAGGAAAGGCGCCAGCCTTGCTGAGGACGACAATTCCTCGATCTCGCGCGATGTAGCCCTTCATCAAATTCTGTAGCAGCACCCACGTCAGTATGTAAACATCAACTTGGCCCGCGATTTATGGTGAAGGAAGTGGCCTTGAGCCAGGCACCCGTTCATCTAGGCAGCCAGTTGACACAAATCCAACATTGGTCACATGGGGCGGGACAAAATAGGCAGCATAGAGACAAGTCTAAGCAAATGGCTCGCAAACGTACCTTATAAATCATATTGGCCATGAAACATTCGACTTCGTCCCTCTCGATCATCACGTCCGTGGTACCCTTGTACCCAACGCGCATGCCAGCTTCAAACTCTTCGACACGGATCCTCGTTCGACGGATTTTGCCCGTCACCTCGCCTGTTGTGGCATCTTTGATGTCTTCAAACCCGGCAGCAAGGAAGACCTTGCGGAACAGATTGCGCAGGCAGATGTCTCGGGTTCGTTCGAGTGTGAGGTATATGCGACGTCTGACTAGCTCGGGTTCAGCTGTGGAGAGGGCATTGTCGAAGGCTGCGAGTGCGCCTTTACGGACGGCGGTGAACAGAGGTGTGAAAAGTCCGGAGAGGGTCGGATGAGGTGCAAGCAGGGAATTGGTCGGAAGTTGATGGTGGTTGACTACATGTGCCGGGATGAGGTATGTCAGGATTTGTTCACGGTTTTTGAGCGAGTCCTTGTGACACAGGTCCAGCGCTTCGCTTAGGTTTCGTTCTGCTTCCGTGTAGTTTTCTTGCAAAAAGTCAATCACGCCCCGGTAGTACTTGAATGTGCATCGATGAGATTTGGGAAAGAGTTCCAGTGGTGGGAGATCAGCTGATGCAGCCTCCAATGCCCGGATAACATTTTGCGTTAGTGAGATGGAGTTTAGCTTGAAGTACGTCTTGAAGAGGAGGTTGGTGGTGCTGTAGATGCCCCATTTACGGGACTCTGCAAGTTCAGCCCGGTCACTGAGACAGACGGTGAACATGCGATTGATGGTCCATGCTGCCTGTTCGAGGTTCTTGTTCTTGTTTCCGTCGCCCATGATGTCGTCGGACAAGCCGTTGGCGAAGACGTCTGCATTAGCGTCCTTGGACTTCCCTTCGCTGTCGGCTTTCATGGCTAGCATCCGAATGTACTTGCCTGCGATATTGAGACATGGCACAGTCCAGGACTGGAAGCCGAAGTTCGTGTAGCCTCTGACTAGAAGATTGCACATTTCTTTGTAGGCGTCGAAGGCCTTGATCCAGTCACCCGTGCCATTGCCTTGCTGTAGACCATCCAGTTCCTTCACACATTTCCACGATGAGACGAAGATGTCCACCCAGGCATTTGCTTCTGCTTTGGGTAGCTTGACAGCGTTGCGGTCTTGCACGAGATAGTACCGTATATCTGCCGAGATTGTCTGGTAATTGGAGAGTTGGGCGAATGGTTGTAGTCGGCGAGGGTCATGAGCGGTGTCGACAGGAGCTAAGCAGGAGGCCAACAACCTTCCATTGCCTACCCGCTGGGCTTCATGGAAGTCGGCGAATATACTCCCCATCAGAGTCCCTCTTTAGGTGCTGGCCCTCCTCCAAGTAAGCAACAACTGAATTTTGGTCTGTACATGGGAGGTTGTTGTAGTCTCGAATGAAGTATCGACCAATCAAATGACGCCATGCCGTCTGGAGTCGGAACATGCCAAGCCACACACAAACTTTTTTCTTGGCATTGGCGTTGAACGAACTCCAACCGCCAGACATTTGACCAACGCAGTTTTTGCGATCAGACACACATCGACGACCAGGTAAATTCGAGGCCGATCAGACACAGTCAAGGTATGTCGGAGTCGCCTTTACACAATCGACAGACAGTGCTAACGTTCTACAGATGGGTAAGTCACTTTGCAATTGCCATTCTTTTCCGATTATCCATCACGAGCGAGTGCGACACGGGACGTCTCAATTGAAGCAATGTGGACCAGAGAGAAGAGGAGGAATGAGTGCAAGCACTCTCAGCATTCCAGTCAAATACTGGATATGAAGGGGAGTCTGGTTGAATGACTTGGGACGTCCGCCCGCTTTGTCGAGTTCTCGCACAATCGATAGCCAACAACCACACTCGCACATGGATCTCGTTCGAAATTTACCGGTGGTGCTGTACATCAATACTGACAAGCTCTTTCCCAGGTCGTCTCCAAGAATACCAAGTGATCGGGCGCCATCTGCCCACGGACGCCAACCCGACGCCCAAGCTGTACCGCATGCGCATTTTCGCACCCAACAATGTGGTCGCCAAATCCCGCTTCTGGTACTTCCTGATGAAGCTGCGAAAGGTCAAGAAGTCGTACGGCGAGATCGTCTCGTTGAACGTCATCCACGAGAAGCGACCGCTCAAGGTCAAGAACTTTGGCATCTGGATCCGATACGACTCCCGCTCCGGCACTCACAACATGTACAAGGAGTACCGAGAGATGAGCCGCACCGATGCCGTCGAGGCCCTGTACCAGGATATGGCAGCTAGACATCGGGCCAGATTCAGGAGCATTCACGTATGTTGGCTCAAAGAAGTGCTCAAGATACACAGTGTGGCTGATGCTTGTGCTTGCAGATCCTCAAAGTCGTCGAAGTCACCAACCCCAACGATGTCAAGCGTCCCTACATCAAGCAGTTGATCTCCAAGAACCTCAAATTCCCTCTTCCTCACCGCAGCACCGGCTCCAAGAAGCTGTTCGTCCCTACCCGGCCCAGCACCTTTGCTTAAACGGCTGGTTGCCAATACGATTTGACGCCGCTGGAGTTGCTGCTGCAGTGTGAATGAGTGATACTTGGCCGTTGAGCGGAACGAAGGGGGTACCGAAGTTCGAATCGAGTGAGGAAAGCGGTGGAGGCGTGGTCGGTTTTTTGTGGCCATGCGAATAGTGGGCTAGACAAAGCTCCACGTCGACCTCCTCGCAGAGCGAAGCAAAATACAGGCAGGCAGCATGCCTTGATTCACAGAGAGAATGCAAGGCTTGCGCAAATGGGAGTCTGCAAGGGTCGAGCACCAGTGATGTCTCATGCGTCAATTCAAAAATCATTAACGTTCTCACACTTCTCCGCCACGTTCTTTCCGTGCATGAATTTCACTTTCCCAAAAATGCAGCACCATGTGGGAACGCTGAGTGATAAGGATCCGTTCATGATTATTAACATCTACGCAGTTATGTCAAGCACTTTGCAATCATCGGCCGGTTGCCATGCAGATACATAAGCAGTCCACAGATCCTCGTCAGAAAAATGACCATCCAGGGAGAGCGTCCTCACGCCTCGCCTTTCCGCTCGGGCTCAGCTCCTGTATATGCAACAGCACTTAGCATCGCATCAGGTTGTTATCGCCCCGTCGGTCGAATCATAGGATCGGGCTGAGAGTAAGCAGCACCTGTCGTGCTTTCCCGTTCCCAACAGCGCCTTTCTTTCATAACGGACCATGGCATCCCATGAGGCGACAATATTACGCCTGTCGTTGTTCTCTTCCTCGTAGTGATCCCAGGATGGCCCCGAAATATCCTGATTGTTGCCCATCTCGGGTTTCGTCTCCTGGCCGCCTGCTCCAGAATCCTAAGATTTCGGAAAGCATTTGGCGGAGTGATGAGAACTGCATGATTGCGGTTTGATGGTGCGGACCAAAGTTCAGAACAAGGATAACTCAAATAACCTCCCAATGCATTGTTTTTCAGCCGTCGTTTAGGCTAGGTGCTCTTGCTGTCCATACGTGCAGCTCGTTGTAGGCGTGCACATTGGGATCTGCGGCTTGAGCGAAAGCTTCAGCGCACAATCGCTTGACATGTTCGGGCGGCCAGTTGGAAAACTTGCACAGAGGAGCCAGACTCATGGCCTCGAGACCAAAGCCTCCCGTTTCATTGACCCCGGGTGACATGCAAATCTGCCACCATGCGCCAGCCTCTCGGTTCGTCTTGGACCAGTCGTTCAGGGGGATCTTATAAACCGTATGGAAAATATCCTTCTCCTCAAATCCCGCGGCTTTGAGCATTTCACCTGTTGTGGGTTCATAGTGTAGACGACGATTGAAGGCTTCGTACGATCCTTTGATATACAGATCCCACCAATCGGTCAGTTTGCCGGGCTTCAACGTGCCATCGTCACATCTCGGCTGAAAATCAATTTCGACAGACTCAAAGTATCCCTTGCCAGGAACCAGGTGCCGAAGCACCTTGCGAAAGAGTCCGAGCCAGTCAGAGACGCTGCCTAGTCCCATTTGGAGATGGATCATGTCCCAAGACCTTTCACCCAAAGCCCATGGTCCCTCATAATCCCACGGGGCTCGGATACCAACATTGGGAAGCAAAGAAGAAGGCCCTTGGTAGTGAATATCGACGCCGACAAATTCGGCATCAGGCAGTTGTTGAGCCAGTTCGTTCATCCACACACCTGTGCCGCAGCCCAAGTCGAGAATTCGTACTCTCTCACTAAGCGCTGAGGCCGGCCTTTTGAGAGACTCCATTGGAACAAGAGTCAGCCTCGTGGGACCCGCGGGCCGAGATACTCTGATCATGGTGTTCATCATATCCAGCCTTTCGGCTTCTTTCTCGTCGTGCGGCAACATGTATTGACCACTGGAAAGACCCGTCAGCGATTTATAAGAAGAGAACATATTTGATATGGCTGACCTCCTAAAAGTTCCATACAGCCTATCAAACTCCTGCACAGTATGTCTGCCAGGAAGCTGGGAAAGAGCGTCCGCCATTGGGGGCATTGCAGATGAAGCTTGAACAGAAACTTCGGCTGGAACCGAAATACTGTCCTTTTGATGTACTCCCGTGCGAGCGTCACCAAAGAGCCGTTCCCGTCAACCAAGCCTGGTCGCGCAACGGTCAAGCAAGCATCTGAGAAGAGGTTACAGACCACAAGGCTTGTGCCAGCACGGGAGGCGCTCGTTTTGCAGGACACACAATGCAGGTTGGCGGTCCAGGGCCCGGTTGTGGCCCTGGTGGGGTTTAACTTTCGGAGGGGCGAATGAGTTGGGCAAAATTGAAGTTTGTAGCAGTCTGGGGGGTTAGAGATACTAAAGGATCAGATGCGTCCTAGAAAGAGTCCACAGACTCGTATCTAGTTCGTCTTGCTGTGGGTTATAGCCGGGTAAGGAGTGGATTAGTGTGGAAGATCATTCAAGGCTCTAGTGGATAATGGTTGCGCATAGGCCGCCTCGTGGTACCCGACAGCGATAGTGTTCCGAAGCCTCGAGGTGGAATATCTGGTGAATGGAAAGGTCAAGATGGACAAAGACAACATGGGGAAGGCGATTTGTCCATGATTGCCTCGGAAACCGATCGTGTTCTGAGGTCAACCGGAGCGTGAGATTTCGGCTGGTAAATTTTATCCGAAGTTTGGAAGATGTTTTGTCGTATTTGTGCAATAATATAAACAGACTGAAGTGTGTATGACAGGGCAGTAACGCCAATGGTGCCCCCAGAAGGCAACGGACTTTAGCGAGGCATGGAAACAAAATGTAACGTCAATGAGAATAACCTCGCACGAAGCGGTCAACAGATCTCAAATGCCAGATTTGATATAACCACTCACTCTCCCCAATATGCGGCAGGAGGATTTGTGCTCGCGACGCGAAGGTAATTTCGTGCGTGAGTGGCGTGCTCTGCATAGAGTGATATATACTTCAGAATCTTCGTTCAGCAAGTTCAAATGTGGTACTTAGCAAGGGAAGGCAGAAGGCGCAATAGGGATGGCGTCGCTGGATTGTCACGAGGTGGTTAACTTTTTCTTGGGGGGCATTCCGCTGCCCTGACAGCTGGAATTTTGCAGGCCGGGGCGCGGGAAGCTGCAAGCCATGGCCTTGGAGTCTTCTGACTCTTCAGCTTGCTTCGGGTCGCAGTCTTTAGGTGGGCAGGTGGGGTTGGCTTAACTGTGGTATGGGCGAGCCGAAGCGTGCCGTCCCAGCCAAAACAAGGGGCACACCTTGTCAAGCTCGACTTTAAGCAGTCAGCTTCCTCGGTTTCTATTGCTGCGACTCCTTGTAATTCTTGCCTCACTTTGCCAACTTGTTCGCTACCACTAACATTCAACTTTTGAGATCGTCCTGGGGTTCCTTACTTCTCGAGACAGAGACGTTTCGGTCCGCAGCTACTAGGATGGTGCCTCTACACCCATCCTCCACGCATTTCTGTCCCTCCAAAATCAAATCGTCCGTTGCGCGGCCTGCTAGGGACTAAGTGAGCGTACCGTGGTCAGACATCAACTTCCCTTGTTCTGAGAGCCTCATGCCGGTCGTTCGCCTTGTCGAGAGGCTTGCGGCGACAACCCAGGTGCTACGTTGTAGGCGACAGACATTACTACGTTTGCAAATCCTCTGCTGGCTCACGGCATGATACATGACTGGGATATGTCAAGCTTTCAGCTGTTATAGCAAGGCTGAAACCCCCACCCAGCCTATCCTATGACAACAAGGCTACGTTTTGCGACGCCTGGCGGTGCAGCCGTTTCTGATCAGCGGTGAACAAACTATTGAACACGGTGCTGACAAGAAGTAGGGGTGTCGAAAATGACGTTGCTGTCTCGAACCAGAAGCATGGTAATCAATCTTGTAACAACCTCGAGTTGATTCAGCAGCGCATCTCTTGCCTCCTCCCAACCAGTCGCGACCTCGCTTGTTTGAACTGACATCATAACGATCGTTTTTCTCTGTGACTTCAAATTCGGCCATCCCTAGAACCATCCCGTGAAGAGATGCAGCCCAACGACTGAGCAATATCACAATGCTGGGATCGACCCTCCTTGGTCTTGTTCGCCATGCTCTACTACCAGAATATGACACTGGAAAGCCATCCATCCTGAAAGCATAGAGAGATCAGATCGAAGCCCGAGTCGCTGCCGTCAATATCTTCTGGAATGCCAGCCTGTAAGGTAGATGTGCACGCCATCTGAACATACCTTTATCTCCTAGTCAGTCGTGCCTATATCGAACCCGGATCAGACTATGGACGCTGGACGAATTGATGAGGGTGCCACACTCGTGGCGAGTTGCAGCTGTTGTTGGCTTTGTAGCTTCCTGTTCCGGGCTCGAATATAAATCCGCGAATCGATAGTCATGACGATTGCGGGCAAGTCCGTATAAGTCATTATATCCTCCACAATTCCACAGCCACCAAGAGTGAGGTCGATGAGCATCGAGTTTGATAATTTCAGACTAGCAGAGACCTTCCAGCGAATTGAGCTACTTCGTATAGAACTGCTGAGAAGTGTCAGTTCGATCGACAAGAATCGCATGTCTTGCTGGGGTTGAGCGTGCGACCGAAGAACGACCAGAACATCAACGACATCGACCATGCCACCTCCCAACGTGGAAGGCGTCGAGTACTACGACATTCCCGATTTCTCCTTCTCCAATGGAAGTACTCTGCACGATGTCCGTGTAGCCTACCGAAGTTACAATGCTTCATCGACAGCGGGCGTCGTGCTTATCCCCACATGCTATGCCGGCTTCATCAACACGACCTTGAGCTTCACCAGTGCTCCATATGACGCCCTGGCGCCGTACCATGTGGTCGTCGTCGCCATGCTGGGCAACGGCGAGAGCTCCTCCCCATCCAACAAGAAGTTTTTCCCACTACCAGGCGAGTTACGCTATCAAGACGTCATACACGCCCAGCACCAACTGCTGACGACCCACCTGAAGGTGTCCGAACTCGAAGCCGTCGTTGGCTTCAGCATGGGCGGCCAGCAAGCTTACCACTGGGCATCCATGTATCCAGACTTTGTAAAGCGCAGCGTGGCCATCTGCTCGTCCGCCCGGACAAGCTTGCACAACTATGCCTTCCTCGAAGGGCCCATAGCCGGGTTGATCAACTCCATCGACTACATTGCGTGGCAGGCCATGAAGGACAAACTGGCTCGCGGCGAGGATGTGGGGGCAAAGTTGAAAGAGCTTACTCCCAAGCATGGTTTACGGGCTTTCGCACGCGGTTATGCGGCTTGGTTGACTAGCACGGGCTGGTTCCGCAATCGCGAATTCAAGAATGCCGGAATGCTCAGCTCGGAGACCATAGAGGAGTGGATGAAGAAGAGGGAGGAAGGATATATGGCGTGGGATGCGGATGACTTGCTCGTCCTCGCGCGCATGTGGCAGATGGGCGATATCGGCTTGGTGATCCCCGGCCAGTCCGAGGTGAAATTGAGCCAGCTTGGTGGTGATGTCCCAGACGATGACTTATATGTCAAGGCACTGGGAAGCATCAAAGCTAAAATGTTGGTCATGCCATGTCGGACGGATCAGTACTTCCCGCCCGAGGATTCCGAGATCGAAATGAAGCATCTGAAACATGGGACACTGGCAGTCATCGAGTCCACTTGGGGTCATACTGCTGGTGGTGGTGCCAATCCTAAAGATATCGAGTTCATGAACAGTCGCATCGCTGAGTTCATCAAAGCATGAGCAGCATCTCGGTAGGAACAAGACAATGAATTCATGTAAGAACCTTTCAAGTCCAAAAAGTATATATTGAAGAACATAGAGATGTTACTTCTATAGCTGGACTTTAGAAAATGGGATCCAGAATCTCGCCACGCTTGAAACAACTCCATGCCAAATATGCGCATATATCGTAGAGTAGAGGAACAATCCTCGTTGACCCATGACATGCATCAAAACCGTTTCGAACCCGTATATGCTGAAAATATCTCATTATCGCTTGTTGAGTGACATAGGAAAAGAAATTGCAACAACGTTTTTCGTCCTCCCCCTTTTTAGTCATCAGATTGCTGGACCTGCCACGACAGTATCATCATCCACAGAAATAATACTGCTAGAATGATGGACCAGGCGAATGAGGCCTTCCAACACGAACAGATGTTGCTCTGCGTCAACCAGGCCAACGTCTCTATCGAAACGCCCGTGTATTCCTGGTTGTTGACATATGTGTTGCAATTGCTATTGACATTCCCGTTGCCGTACAATTGGATCGCGGTCTCTATCAGCACCGTGACCCATAGAACGAAGAGAATGAAAGAGCCGAGCAGGATGCCGTTGGGTATTAGCATGCGCCGCCCGGCGAGGATCATGATGATGACGAGGAACAGAATGGTCAGACCGCCTGTTATGACGGCGAACGTAAACAACCTGCAATCAAGTCACGTCAGTTTTGTCTGTTGGATGAGATCAAAGCGCCTGCTTTAGGGGACGGGACCGTGCGTACCATGGCACTCCAACTTTTAATTGATTCTGGACTGATATAAACCACGCGTTTATCCCCAGCACTGTCGCTGCTCCTGCGAGGACGACAAAAATCCACAGATTGAGTTGGACTTCGGGCCATGAGTACCGTCGCCGCGACTCGCGAACATAGACCTCGGTCGTCGCCATGTCGGATTATAAAACAACGCGCAGACGATGCGCCGTGTTTCTTGCTGTCGGTATGTATTCGCGAGGGTTCCGCGAGAGTGCAGCACAGGGCCGAGTGTGATCGCCGCAGGTACTTGTAGGGTCAGGTGGGTTGTGTTTCGACGGTAGGGACTGATTTATCAGACTGCGACTATGAACGACATGGTGGTTTTGGGACGAATGGATGTGTGCTGTACAGGGTGTTGAGACATAAGATTGGTTTGCGAGAAGTGCAGATACCCGAAGGACAGACGTGGATAGTGTGTGTGCGTTTCATCAGAGTGTGATGCGAGAAAGCGCAGCCCGATCCAAGCACCATGTGGCCGCCAGTTTGTGGTTGTTTTGGGCGGATGCGGAGCGTCGTGCCGGTTGCTGTGCAGCATCAGTTTCGGACTAACCATTTTTTCAGGCGCGGCACGTGACAACATATCTGACGAGGACTACATCAACGACATAAGTTCCAAGTCAGGCATAGACACGACAGCGTACGCCTCGACAGCAAGACAAAAGCGCTGTACGATATGCCTGATGAAAATTAGCCCCGTCAAGAGCTAAAGCTATATTGTTGTACGCGAAGGAGCCCTACTAACAATAAGAGACAACACTCAATTTGAACCTGAGGAGCAACAGCAGTAAGATAGTACCCCTTCTTCTGGAAACAGGCTCGCCAATCACTCCAGTACATACGCCAATCCCATCCATGTCATTTCTTCCCCTTCACTTTCCTTGTCCCTCAATATCCGAGAGCTCAAGGCTTGAGTCTGCACTTTGCTCCACCATGATAGCTTTTCTTGCCCGCTTCGAGAAGCACGACGGATACCAAACGTTGAACACAACCATCACTGCTGCCATAGGTACTGCGTCGAAGATATACAGATACAGCTCATGGCGAATGATCGTCCCCTCGAAGCCCTCAATAAATTCTGCCACGCGCACAATTGATCGAAGCATGACGAACGCGCTGGCAATGTACAGTATCCGAAGATACTTTTCCCAAGGTAAAGAACAGGCACGGGGTGTATTGATTGGCCTGGCGCGCAATCGAAGGTTGAAAACCACCGCGACGGCGATGAAAAGGCCAAAAAGGACGATCTGAATGACGAGTCCCGTCAAGACGATGTGGGACCCTGTCTTTGCTGTTGACGGTTTGCTGCTTGCCCTCAGTCCGCCGCCTGTAAGAAGTTAGAACATGTCCGACGAAAGGTTCGGACCTGCATGTCCATGGAACCATTCAAGCATACCACCAAGCTGGATGAAGAAAGAGAGCACATCTCCCGCCACGAAGCTTTTCGTCAACCACTTCTTTTTGATCAGGCTGTAAGATTCGCCGTCCACACTGACAATTATGCGGCCTAGTATCATGTAGATGCTTGCCGCGAACAGTGCCGGAGCGACGAGAAGAAGGAGGGTCTGAATGACATAGGGACCGAGAGTCGGATCTGGCGCTTGCCCATGCGATATTGCCCGTGCTGCATATCCCACGGTCTCGAACTGCAGTCGTAGAAGTTAGCAGAAGTCTGCTGGAGTTGGTGTTGTCAGGGCAGGAGAGGTGGAACTATAAAAGATCACTCACAATACCACCTGTGAGGCATGGAATGAAATACCAAGTTCTATACTTGGCAATCAAGAACGCGTGCCATATGGTCGATGATCCGAAAAGCACAGCAAAAACACAGGCGGCAGCCAACGAGGGATCGTAGTGATAGAACTTGAAGGTATCATCAGGGTCGGACGACATCTTAACGATGGCACTTGTTGGTTGCGTTTATGGGTTGTCAAATCAGCTTGAATAGAAATCTGCAGCTTGACGGGACGGGTGTGCGTCGCCGAAAATGAGCTCAGAACCAACAAGCAAGAACAGAGAATATCGAGTGCAGGATGAGGATGAAGACAAATGGAATGAAGCCAGAGATATACCAGCAGCAGCACCGTACACCTGATCTTGATGGGGCTGTATGGGACGGGATTCCGGTGCTGCGCCATTGACGAGCAGGGTAGAGATCCCCGAGATCGTGCAATGCTCATAACATTGGCCAGGTATACTGGTGCCTTGAGCCTCGTGTTTCGATGCAGCATGTGGAGCATGATTCTGACCATGCTTCCTGAGTATCAGGTATGAAAAGTGGTCCAATCTGTCGTCGCATGCAACGAATGGGGTAATTGACTTATGGATCTGTCACACAATCGCCCAGTTTGGCTGAAGAACGGAATTCCGGTCGCTCGATCTTGCCTGGGCCAAGTGGCTGCCGACGAGGATTCGCGGCCCAGATCCAGGCTTGAGTCGGCTTTGATTTCAGCATTAGACTGATGTTCGAGACTGATGACCTGATGTGGTAGGAATTGTGAATGCGCAGGACTGCGATAGTCCCGCCTCCATAGTAGCCCTGTCCTGCGTTGACGGCTCCTTAGAGGTAGCTCAGCTGAATGATGTTTGTTCAGAACATCACCAATATCGAGGTTCCGCCCTTCTTTTCATCGCTCGTCAAATGCCGTAGTCAGGCCCAACGTGCAGGCTTATCGGGAACAGGAGGTCTCGAGGACGTGTTGATAGACATGTCAGACTCTGTGGTTTTCTCAACCCACCGTAGTTCTGTTGCCCTTGACAACGGTCTTTTTCCACGACTCGACCTGCGCCAGACTCCCTTCGATGAACGTCCGATTTCATTCGAGAGGCAAGTCGTGCCATCCATAGTTATACACTAACTTCAACATGAGTGTGAGAGTCGTTGCGCGTATTCGACCTCTTCTGAGGTCGGAAATTGAAAAGGATCAGATTCTGACCAGCCATGATGGGCCTGACGGGAATCCAACCATTGTCAAGATACCAAATCCGAAGAACTTCGCCGAAGAATACAGCTTCCAATTCAACAGTGTCTACGAACAGCAGTCGACGCAGCAGGAGCTGTTCGATCAGGAAGGTAAACAGGAAAAGCAGCTCCTGATGTAAAGTAGAACTAATGCGCTACTACAGTTGCACCTACGATTAAGCATCTCTTCCTCGGCTACGATGTTACAATATTCGCATATGGCTCGACTGGTACTGGAAAGACACATACGATGCGCGGTGGGAAATCTCTTGTCGACCGAGGAATGATCCCGCGACTGCTCAGCGGCGTGTACAGAAAAAGTCGGGCCATTGAGAAGAGCACCAACGGCGAGACAACCGTCGCGGTGTGCATGAGTTATTACGAGATTTATAACGATCGGGTTTTCGACTTATTTGACGCTCCTGAGAAGCGAACGCCTACCGGTCTTCCCATCAGAGAAGCTGAAGGCGGCAAAACTATTGTTGTGGGATTGACTGAAGTCCCCTGCGGTTCGCTCAAAGATTTCGAGGTACTCTACGACAAGGCCAATGCCAATAGAAGTACAGGCGCCACAAAGCTCAACGCCCATTCCTCCCGGTCGCACGCGATCCTGTGCGTCAAGGTCACCATCACAAGTCCCACAGAAACGAGAGTCACCACGGCAAGCGCCATTGACCTTGCTGGATCCGAAGACAATCGTCGCACAGGCAACGGTAAGGATAGGATGGTGGAGTCGGCTAGCATCAACAAATCACTATTCGTCCTAGCACAATGTGTTGAGGCTATCAGCAAGAAGCAGCAGCGCATACCGTACCGAGAGTCCAAGATGACGCGGGTACTCTCCCTGGGGCAGAACAACGGCTTCACGATCATGATCTTGAATCTCGCCCCAGTCAAATCATACCACCTCGATACACTTAGCTCTCTGAACTTCGCCAACCGAACGAAGAAGATTGAGGTCCGAGAAGTAGAGAACGAGCCTATGTTCAAGGGACCTCCACGGCAGGTACCAGGAGCAGCCTTGGGCGGACCTACCATGCAACGCCAACCGCTGCGGCCACTTGCAAACAGTATAAACGTCAACCTCGCTGCCACCCGCGATGCTGCAACCAAGAACGACAAACCGCCAAAGGCTTTCGCTGTCTACTCGGATCGCACCAAACCTGTGCACACGAAGGCCATCCCCCGAAAATCATCACCACTAAAGCGCAATGCAGATACGTCCTTGATCGGCTCGAGTCGGCCAAGCAAGGTCGCCCGCCCCACACCGAGCTTCATTCGTCGCGGACCAGAACCAGTGGCCATCACAAAGGCCTCAATCGAATCGCTTGTCGAGCAGAAAGTGTCCGAGATCCTTGCCGCCAGAGCATTGAACGCGCCAGATATAGCGCCAACCAAGACCATCTCGGAAGAGGTTCAGCGGCGTCTGGACACTATTGAGAAGAGACTCGAAGGTCAAGATGGCGAGCGTGCAGAGGGGTTGAGCTATTTGTTAATGGCGAAGCAGCATCAAGCACGGGGTGAGGACAGCAGTGCGCTAAAAATGTATCAGCTCGCGCAGCCTTTCTTCCCCGAGAACGAAAAGCTGGTCGGCAAGATCGAGAAGCTGCGAGAGAAGATTGCCAGAAGAAAGGAGGAGGACGCACCTCCCAGTGCAGACGTCTCTAACGATCGCAACCATGTGGTCGAGGAGGTCGACGCCAGCTACCACGAAGACGAGCCATCTGCATACCACGAGAGCGAAGATGACGAGGCATCTAATCGAGTCCGACCTAAGAAATCAAGGCAGAGGCGGAAAGCGAGAGTCTCTTCACCTGATCCATTGACACAACAGGATGCGGAATCTGGTGCCGTGACGCCTCGGACACGGCACCTGCTCGACATAGTCAACACGCGCGACGTGAGCAAGATCATGACTTTGAGTGGCTTGGGCACGAAGAAAGCCGAGAACATCGTCGAGTTTCTCAGCGATGACGGTGCAGAAGGCGCGGTATCACTGACGTCCTGGGCTGATTTGACGAGGCTGAGAGGCGTGGGAAAGAAGACGCTTGAGACGATGCGCGAAGGTGTGGTTGTTTAATTTCTGAGCCCTTCGGTCTCTTCGCGTCACCTGTTCGACTAGAATAGGCTGGCTTGAGCATAGCATGGTGTCATATTGTTTTGTGTTTGCATAGCGTGGTGTTTGGGGGCACGGATAGGCACCATGATGAATAGAGACCTGCGCATGGAAGACCAGAACCCCTCAAAGGTGGACCCAGTCACCAAAAGCGCACTGCTTTGTGTATGGCGAGGACCCTCAGTGGGTAGTTCATATAACTCGCGTCCATCAACCGATCTGAATTCGACCATGGCATCGTCCAACCCTCTATGTACTCTGCTGCCATCCTCAGGCCATCGCATGTCCTGCGTCTTGTCCGACAGCTCGGAGTCTGAGCCTACTGTGCCAAATTGACTTTTGTACACATCCATGCCAGTCAGGTACGGTCGAACCAGCCAGGAAAATCCCCAGCAGGCAAAAAGCCCGCCGCCGGAGCGTGGGGAAGTGCCTCGCCCGCTGGCTGTCATGCTTGCGACTGGTTCCAGCCAGCAACAACAGGGCCGAAAATCGATCAGATTGTCTTTGGTACTTCCTGAAGACTATTGACCCGATATAGTGATCGGCTCCACCTGTGCAATCGAGAACTTGAACCCAGACACCAAGATAGTCTGATGCGACGACAAGTAACCTTCATGAATAAGCGTTTTGCCTCCAAAGAGATCGGGTGACGAATACCTACTGTCCTGGTTCGTCTGGCCACTGCAAGATCAGTCGACACAGAGCCTTTGGGCAAAGCCTGCCGTAGGGCCACACCAGTGTTTTCGACAGCTCAAGGTCCTCAAGTTTCTTCTTTCCTCTTGCTCTGGAGAATGTCGCGCCCACACGTCTCTCGCAGCCAAGGGCGATCACTCTTCAGCAAAACTCACGCCTTCCACAGCCGTCTCCTCCAGGACAACGATCCCATACGGATCCCTATCCCTCTCACTAACCACTACCTCAACACTTTCGTCCTGCAACATCTCCTTCATCTCTTTCTCCAACCCAGACTTAGCCGCTTCTTCATCCCTCACTCTTGCCCACTCCTCAGTGACTTCATCTCCAAGTTTCTCACGCATCACGCCCCAAAGGTAACCTCTCTCCGAATTCGAATGGAACAGACTGATCACACACCCGCCTCGTTCGGTCACAGCCAGCGCTTCATGGTGACTCAACTCGCCCGTGAAAATCAGGTCGGCACGACATCCGCGCACCACGCCACTTCCACTGCCGGGGCATGTAGCCACGCTGGCAATACTCATGGCCTCGATCGTCCGGCCCTGAGGGATCGCCACGGCAAAGCCTTTCGGCAAGCCTATCGCATGAGCGATACGTGTGATCAGGAGTGTCAGGGGTTGCGGCTCGGAGAACTCGATCAATCTACCTGCGCCGGTGTTGGAGGTGGTGTAAGCTGCATCCGAGGCAACGAATTGGTTCGCCGAGTCAATCGCTGCACGTGGAGACGGGGTGATCACGCTGCGAGAATGTGATATCACTGCTGGGTAGAAGTCGGAGGTCGCTCTTGGGTATGCGGGTTTCGAGTAGGTTCTGTGCAGATGAGGAGCATTTTTGCGAAACAATTTAGTGCTTTTCGCATTGGGTGTCTCGTTGGACTTGAAGAAGGGGTCGTCGTGGTCTTGGTCTGCCGCGGATGGCGATGTTGGCTTCGTAGACTCTGAATCCTTCTCACTCTCAGAGGTGGTGACTTCGGTCTCGGATGGCGGCGACGGTGGTGCTGCCGCTGAATGTGCTTCTTGTTCTGGATCGTCCATTTTTCCTGTCACCATGTCGCAGAGCCAGTCGGCCATGCCATGGGGGACGGTGTCGACCGCGGTATGCGGACAGTACACGCTGATACCATGCGCGAGAAGTAACGTTATAGACAGCTGCTGCGAATCGTCGGCGGTGATGGACTTGAGTCCGCGGAATATGATGGGATGGTATGCGACGACAACGGAGTGATCGTTTTCGATGGCCTCGTCTGCGACGGCACGAGTGAGATCGACGGTCAACAGGACGGAATTGCGATTGCGCGGACGCGAAGGTATAAAGGGTGCTTGTACGAGGAAACCAGTGTTGTCGAAGGATTTGTCTGCCAGTACTTCGGGGTAGAGTCGGCGCATGGACGACACCACTGCTGTAGTGAATGGGGAGACATTGTAGGTGCTCATATTGCGGATGGTGGAAGTATCCGTTTTAAAAGTGCTTTTGCGTAGAGACGGTGTTCTTGAAAGAGTGGGAAGTAACAGCTGTCGCAGCATCAGTGACGGTCGGCGACCTGGTCAGGCTGGATTGAAAGCCACAAGACACATGTTGTAGTAGAGCGACCAGTATTGTATACGTTTCTTTGCTCCGAGCTTGCAGGCCGTTTCGTTGTTTATTTGCTGGTTTTGGGCATTGCCAGCCAACTCCAACTCCAACTCCAGTATTTCAAATGACGCAATGGCCCGCAGGAGACAAGGATCTGGGGAGCTTCGAATAATCATCCAATATCCATCTCTCCAAAAAAAGTCACCAAGTTGATTTCAAACCAATCGACCGAACATTGTATCTCACGCAAGTCTTTGCAGAGCGACAACACATCTGAGCAGCCGACGAGACCTGAGCACTGTTCAGTAGTCAATCACCACCTCGAACGATCCCGAAACGGTGCGATCGTCCATGCACGTCCGCATAGCATTGCAGGCCGCCCGGAGAGCATCGACGAGTATCCGCGCCGCAACAACAGCATCACTACCCAGGGCTCGCTGCACCAACACCATAAGCCGTCTTTCACGACGATCAATATCCACAACTCTACCTCGCCAGTCCACACCCATGGCCGCCCAGACAGATACCGCCGCAGCGGAGACCGCAGCGTCGTCGGGAGTCACGCCCGAAACGCTCAGCGAGAAGTTGAAGCAGACCATCGGCGCAACCTACGTGTCGATAGAAGACATGTCTGGAGGTTGTGGTCAGGCCTTCAACGCCATCATCGTATCGCCCGAATTTGAGAAAAAGACACTTCTTGCCCGACATCGACTAGTGAACAACGCACTCAAGTCAGAGATTGCCGCTATACATGCTTGGACTCCCAAGTGTCTGACGCCGGAGCAGTGGGAGAAAGAGAAAGAGAAGTTCGGAGGCTGAGTACAAATGAACTCATAAGCGCGAAAGTTGCAAAGGATGAGTTCATTCCCGAGCGAAATAGATGTTCTAGTTACGGGCAGCCGACGACATCCATCTTGTCGGGTTCTGCTGTATGATATGAATGAGGAATAGCAGGAGCGAGCAAACAATATAAGGTCATGAAATGAAGGCAGTGCTCTGATCGAAGGCAACAACGCGTTTCTAGGCACGTATGGAAAAGATGTCCGACACGATACATGCTACAGCCTCTCTTGACATACCACAATATTACATCATCCTAGACTTCTGTACAACAAACCATTCCTCCTCTCTTCGTCCCTCAATCACACTGTGCCAGATATAACTCCGTGGCCAAGGTGCAAGGCCGTGATAAGCCGTCTCACTTATTCCAGAATGGATATAGATTTCTTGTACCTCTTACAAGTCGATATCTTTGGTGAGACGCTTCCAGCCACAAACGGGTATCATCATAGTTGTATCCCCAACATCCTTCTTAAACCGTGTCTTCGTCAAATCGTAAACAAGTCACTGTGTGTCCCCGCAAAGGTGTAGCACAATGCTTCCAGCTGATGTCTTTTGTACACAAACAGTAGGAGAGGAAGTCATCGTTTCAACGCCTTGACTGCTGCAGAATATGGCCGGAAATTCAGGTGAGCCATCCTTTCACGCGATAATGGAGGACGGATTGCGACTCTTCCTGAAGATGGCCGCACTGCTTCGCACAAGTGCAGCAGCTCTCGTCGTCTTGCACGGGTCACGCCCGGGTATACCAGAGCGTCCTTCATTGTCGCATAGGAGCTGCCATGGGCTGTTGAGGCGCGTATATCCGTTGCCTTTTGTTAGCACTTCCCATGTCTCCTCCTCCTGACATCTCGGATTGTCCTCGTCTGTGCGCCTGGTTTTGCATGACGTTGTGTCTCATACCCAAGGGAGTCTGCGGGCCACCCTGATAGGAGGCAATATTCCCATTCGCATCGATATAGTGTTGCTGTTGCGGTATTCCGGATAGATGCATGTTTGGGTTGACGGGTGAAACTCCCGAATACTGACTAGGAGAGTTCCATGTGCCACTCGAGCCTGCCGGAGAGGCTGCAGCTGACATGTCATCTCGTGAGGAGTGTGCTGTAGAGGCATGTCCGCCGGGAGGGCCAACAGCAGCCGACATCAGTGGCGCATCCATATTTTGTGGAACCTTTTTCAAATGCATAAGATGCTTTTCTAACAGGTCCAGTAGTGACTTTCGAGTGAACGGCTTTGGCAAAACGTCGTCCATGCCATGGTGGAAATACATCTGAATGTCATCCGACCGGATGTTCGAGGTCATTGCAACGATCGGAGTCCTGTCGAATTGGCGGATGATGTGACAGGCCGAAACACCGTCCAGGTTTGGCATGATGATGTCCATCAGGACCATGTCGTACTTGTTGCCTTCTTGCATCTTGCTTACAGCCTCCAGACCGTCAAAAGCACAGTCCACAACGCATTGGAAAGAGTAGAGGAATTTGCCGCCAATCTGGCGACAAGTCGGGTCATCCTCGACAAGCAGTATCCTTGGTGATCGACTCCAACCGGGATCGACTGTCCCACTCTTCTTGCGACTCTCAGCGAACTGCGCACGTGGATCCTGAGTATCTTTCGAGGGCAATGCATAAGGGATATTGTGGATGTGTTCGCTATACATGGGATCAATTCCGTTACTGGTACCCATTGGATAGACCACACTTTCCAACTCATTTGGATTCATCTTCGAGAAACCCATGCTACCGCTCGAAGTGGCCGAGTTGGGACCTCGATATTGCATACTCCGAGGATCTTGAGTGATGGGTGGGGTTGCAATGCTTGTATTCATCTGCTCCAAACCGTTAATGTTGAACTGACCGTTGGGATTGAGATCGTGCAGAAGCTTGGAGGCGTGCTGTAAAGGCGATGCAGGTACATCCTCGTCTTGCTGAGGCATATTTTGACTGGTGGGGGTCAGGGTCGTGCTTGTTTGGGCGGGATCGGATTGCGGAGCAAAGATGGCCTTGCTATCCCTTCGCTGCTTTGCATCGACGGAATGTAGGAATGTCATCACATCTTGCATGACTCGGTCGTGATTGAGGACGGTCTTTTGAAGACGAAGTAGCTCCTGTACCACCATTTGGTGGTTCATCTGAAGTTGATTGGTACTTTGAACAAGTGACTCAATTTGTTGCGCTTGCGCTACGATCTGTTGGTTCATAAGGTCGATCTGCTGAATGGGTATTTGTTCTTCGCTGAGACTAGAGGGTTTTCGAGGAGCAGGAGCTTTTCGTCGGATATTATCGAGCGTATCTTTGCTGTTCGCTTTGAATTCAGGATGACGGAATTCCCAGGCATTGTTGCCGTATGTCGAAGGTCCACCCTCCTCATTATTCTGTCGGACCTTGTGGAAATCGTATTTGTTCAATTGACGGACGAAACTGGCAAAATTGGAGTGCTTGAAATGTTTGGGTAGAATCGATTTGGTAAACTTTTCGTTCTCGAGGACGACGAAACTGTCGCCGTCATCGCCCCAACGTACGACTGAGGAATATGAGGGGTCCTCGAGCATTCTGCAAGAGGAAATCAGTGCCTGCATATGGAATATTGGTCTCATCGATGGACATACTTATATAACTTGCGCACAAAGTCGCTCGAGTTGTTCGCCGATGCGCCACCACCCTGGCTATCCATGTTGAAAGGGAGATATGTGTATTGATTATAGATTCAGAGGACAAATAGAGTTGCTGCGCCGCTGCTGAAGGGCGAAACAATAAATGTCGGAGGTGCTGTGATGGGAATCGGTGATGCAATCGACTTGCACACACCCAGATTCAAGACTGCATATCGCTGAAGGATGCGCAGGAATCGAGGAGGGAGATTTGGAGTATATCACAATCTAGGAGTACGTGTATATGTTGCGCTCCTCAGAAAGTCAGACGGGATGGAATGCTGGCAGCGATGTACGAAGTGACACAGACAGATGCCGAATATTGAGTTGAACGTCGACAGATGTGGTGGTTTGTGCTTGGGAAAAGGTTCGTTGGCGGTGTCGGTCGCAGCCAGAGAGAGACCTCGGGTAAGATTCCCTGCAAATCGTGAGGGATGGGGAGAGGTAGCAACAATAAGAAGATAAACTGAGTTGAGATTGATTGAGAGGATGCGCTTGCGAAAAGTGAAGGGAGGGTGTTCGGAAGCAGGGACAGGGCAAATGCGCACGGTGCACGGTTCGTTCTGGGAAAGGTGGGAGCGAAGTGACCTTTGGAAAGGGTACGAGGGTGCGTGGGTGCGGCGATGATGATGGTTTGCAGGGTCGAGGGAGAAACTCTAGCAGGCTTCTGCTAGACTGATTCTGACTCGTTGAAGCCACATCAAAAAGGTGCAAGATTTCTGGTGCATCGGCTCACTGGCAAGCTCTTTGTGGCAGGGACCACCCAGAAGCCTGTTCTCCTCTGACGACACTGGATAGCTGAATCCAAGTGGACGCCGCTTCGACCTGGGCATTTCGTAGGAGCTCCTCCTAAATCAGGAATCAGGTCTTCTCATTCGAGCATTGACCGGCGGTGGGCGCCGCATTGATGGGGAATTGTGGCCCTGGGAAGGGGGAAGATGTGCGTTGCGGCTAAAGATACGGGCGGCGAAAGGGATCAAAGAAAAAGGTAAAGGTACGAACTAGTCGTTGAAGCAGGTCCATTGATAGGGCGGCTTCTTCGATCAGATCGTCTTTTCTGGCTGCAAGACTGGTTTGTGATCGAGTGCAGTATGCTCCTGTTTTAGGCCACTCGCATCTTCTGTCTGGGTGAACCAAATCCCAGAAGACCCGTGAACCATCCCTGCTGTTTCGCTAAACCGGCCCTTGCAAAATCGCTAACCCGGGACTTTGCGATCACAGCAGAACGAGAAATGACGAGGCGGCGCTGCGGCGCTGATTCTCCCACCCGGGTTTAGTCCCAGGGAAACTCTGTTCCTTTTGATCCCAATCCAGTGAGAAAGAGTCGATCCAGCGCCCAACAGCGACGAAGACCAATTTGGCCGTCCAAACTTAAACCCTTCGACGCAGCCACCGACACGGGTTTGCTGCTGATTGTGTCCCGCAGGTGGCACAGGGTCATTTGTGCCTTCGACGAACAGGCGGGCACGCAACATACGCTACTGCTCCGGGAAATGAGTCGATGCTCACAAGCAGACAAAGGTTCTCGAGAGGCATCGTCTGCGTTAGGAAATGAGCGACGAGGTCTGACAGGTCTGACAGTCGCTCCTACCGACTTTTAAACACCGGAGTAGTTGAGATCTGCCCGTGGCTGCGAGGCTAAGGATATCAGGGACCTGGTGATTCGTGACAGCACATCAAGAAAATCCTAGGTGCCGTGAACCATAATTCGTGATTGCCAACCGTTGACTCGGGAGTAGATCATAAATTTGTAAGGGCCGTGTGTACAGTCTTTGCTACGACCACAGTTCAACTTCCTGAAATGAGACGTTGTTACTCTCTGTTTGAAAGAACCCATTGGAAAAGCTGAGCGCAGGGGAAGCTTTGATGGAAACCACTCCCTGAGGAAAATGGTAATGAAGGCGCTTCTCACGCTCAATGATTAAAAATGTCAAACACGCCTCCAAACCAAGAAGGTCAAAGGATTCGACAATCACCTCGAGTCTATGCCGCACTTAAAGGATCCGGTGAACTGACAGCAGACAGATCAAAGTTTTCCCCACACTCATGGCTGTTAAGCAACAACGATCTGAGGCTGCAAGGGGCATGTTGTTGATGAAAGAGAGCGCTGGGCTCCATATCCAGGGTGTGGCCTTTCCTTTTCCCTAGTCTGCTGTTGGGCTTTCTTTTGCAGACGTCGGCTGGGCATGGACACAGGCACGTGCTAAAGCATGCATGGGTACAGTCTCCGTGCTGATATGGGTGCTTATAGACACCAAAGAAACATCGGTAGCATCCGGCACTTGTACAGTAGATGGATTCGAGAAGAATGTTACCTATGCAGCCAGAGGAGCTCTTCCAGTCCAGTGATGGCACAATAGATGAGCGCAGGTAGAGAATGCACATGCGCAAACGACAGCACCCACAAGTCAGTTGTTATTTTCGTACCCGAGTCAGGAGAGTTGTCGGAATGTAGTTGCAAGAAGCCAGAAACCTCCTTCTGATTGTTTATACATTTGCGTGACTCAGGGCGTCCGGCGTCGCCGACGGGCACGTACATATCCTGGCCCGGATAGAATGCAGGAGTACGTTTCTCACTTGGTCAAGATGCAATATCTTGACATGCAATGTAAGCTGCCAGAAGGTACACGCCCGCTAAGATACGTGGCCAATGCTGAAATGCCCCACGAAGCGGAGAGTAAATAATGGCCTAGAACTCTGTAAGTCGAGCCGCACGATAGGGCTGCGGCATCCGGCACAAGATTACGAGTACACGCACCCGGCAAGATCTGGCTTGCTGGGTAAAAGTGCAATGTACTGTGTACGAAGTACTCATACAGTCTCAATTCAGCTTCTGTATCCGGTAACATTAGGCGCAAAGAGTCTAAATTGCTTGAATCGGGAGTGACAGGTCTGACTGGTGTTTCGAAGAGGGCTTCCGGAAGAGCTTGCGACTGTTTCTGTTCAGGCATCAAGAATCCGAATATGGCTAATAGAACGAAGCCCTCCCTAGAGTATGGCCGTTGCGATGCAGAAAATCTGCCCCTGCAGCTAGCTGGCTGATCCTGCAGAGGCCAAGTACTAGTACTATTCCAAATATGCGGATAAATTTTGACTGACCCGATATCAAAAGCGTGCGATCTCTAATCATAATTGTCCCTGAACGGACGGAAAGCATATCGACATCCAGACGGCTTTGGTTTCCGTATACCCACCATTACGTGGTCTGAAGAGATCATTACATACCTAGGTAGATATATTTGTCTTTCAATAAGAACCCCTCTCTGCCGTTGTTCTTTTGCTGCGGGAGCCCGTGAACAAGGGAGGGACCACGGAAAAGAAATGCTGTCCCTGGCAGAATTCCGAGATCTGAGATCCCAAAGTCACGCTTCATCGAACGACGTGCCGTGCTGGCATATCGATTGGCCGACCGGCTTTGGACCGTGGAGTGCTTTGCAACTGTTGAAGCTCCAAGCTGAGCCTAACTTCTATTTTCCTTTCCAAATAATAAGCGTGCTTTATTTTCCCCGCACTTGCGCTATAGGTAGGAAATGAGGACAGCTCCAGTGCAGTGCAGCTCCAATGCGATTGCGTCGAAGGTGAGGGTGTCGCGCAGGTAAAGTGAAAGTCTGGGTGCAACTGCAGCATCATCAATTCCAAATCTTTGCACCAGTAATAGCAAATTTTACATATACTCGAGCCATGCTCTCTCGAACCTTCATTCGTGCCTCAACATCACTTCGTCCATCAGCCACCTCAACACCCTTCAAAAGATCATTCTCTGCTACACCCGCAATCATGGTATGGTCTTATCGTCCCCAACCTCTGCGTGTCCTGTTTCTAACTCATTTTACCTGCAGGTTAGGGAAGGAGACTCAATCCCTAGCGTGGACCTCTTCGAGAACTCCCCTGGCAACAAGATCGACCTCTCCAAAGAGCTTTCATCAGGCAAAGGCGTCATAATTGGTGTTCCCGCTGCCTTCTCTCCCTCATGCTCCGAGCAACACATTCCAGGATACATTGGCAGCGACAAACTCAAGGAAGCTGGAAAGGTGTTTGTGATCTCCGTGAACGATGCATTTGTGTAAGACTCCAGGAAAATCAATGTCACATTCAGAAACACTCACTATTTTGCAGCATGAAGGCTTGGGCCAAGGACTTGGACTCTTCCAGCGTCAGCGGCATTCGCTTCCTTGCTGATCCGACCGGCGAGTTCACCCGTGCTTTGGATGTCGAATTCGACGCTACTCCCCTGCTGGGCAACAAGCGAAGCAAGCGATACGCCGTCGAGACGGAGAATGGCAAGGTCAAGAAGGTTGCCATTGAACCAGACCCGGCTGGTGTCACTGGTGAGTCGATTGTATAGCCCTGGTCGGACGTCTACTAACCTCAGAACAGTTTCCTCGGCCGAGAAGTTCCTATCCTGAGAGCCACTAAGATGACCGCGGTCGAACAGCTGCATCTGAGCAGCTAAAAAGTCGTAACAGATAGTTAGAGCTCAAATACCAAAAACACAAATGTGCTAGTGAATGGCATGCAAGATAGGCAAAGCAGTCAATACTGAAAACTTCCATTTGCGCTTCATATGCATATGCGGGTTTATCTTATCTTATGGTTATGTTTCGAAGTGAGCTTCCAGACTATATGGCTACCGGTGTCCTCGCCCCTTAGAGCTAGGACGATGTCGTTAACTCAACAAGGCTCTTACTTCCGCCCCGGTTCTAGGGTACAATTCTCTCAATGAGCCAACATGGTCGGTGGCACTGTCATCTCCTCCTGCAACCAGACCAGACTCAGCATCCACCATGTCCAACATGCTCTCCAACTCGTCAAACTCGGAGCAGAACCGTTCGACAGCTTCTGCGACAATGTCCTGGGCTAGGGTCCGGTCAAGCAGATTCTTCAAGCTCTCTTGAGCGTCCATGACCGAAGAGGACAGAAATTCATCTAGCCGCTGAGCCGCTAGGTCGAGATTAGACGTAAGCCAACCCCTTCTTGTCTGCGGATCGTGACTTCGTCGCGTGTCCAGCTCCTGCATCAGATCGCGAACTCCAGAATCCTCGAGCAGCATCGTGCTAAGGATCTCAACAAGGTGATCTCGCAGCGACTGGATCTCCTCTGCAGCTTTCTCTAGGGGCGTCTGGACCACAGGCACGTGGGCAGATATGGCAGCCAATGCCGACCTCAGAGCCGTCATGTAGTTGATTTTGTAGATAGTACTGCGATGCATGTCAGGAATCTGGCCTGCAGATTCATCACACGCCGTGAGCATCCCTGTGAGCATAGCACCAAATAGGCGCTCGAGTTCGGCTTGGGTCATTTGAGGACCTCGAGCTCGCGCCACCTCCGAGAATTGAGTCAACGCAGTGGCCAGGAAGACCGGTGGAGTCAGGTCAGGCGAGGGCGTACTGTCGACAGCGGCGGCAGCAGTTTCCTCCTCCATAGTCGTCTCGAATTGAGTCAAAGATGACGCTTGCAACGCCTGGATCAGCTTGCTCAGCGAAGAGTCCGAACCGAGTAGTTTGCCAAAGATGCCCCTGTAAAAGTCGAGCAGATTGACCGTCTTGAACATCAACACCGGATCGCCGCTGTTGCGTACCGAGAGGTCAATTCGAGACTGGAGGATTTCGCACACGGCTGCGAGATCGCGCGAGACGAGGTCGGCGAGAGCCTTGCGACCGTCAAACACGACATCCTGCTCGGTCTCTGGGACGGAGGAAGAACTCGTAGACGACGCACTCCCTCGTCGTTGACCGCCACCGATTCGGGCCCACGGCTCGCTTGCCTTGCTGGCGGATAGACCCTTGGCGATCTCATCGCCGTCAGAAACAAAGAGACCCTCGAGCGCTTCCTTCTCCGAGACGGCCGCCGAGTGCACCCATGCGAGGATGTCGCCGACGTACCTCAGTGGTTCGTGCGTTGAGAATTCGATGGCTTTTGCCGCGCCCGCCGAGCCCGTCAGCGCCGCGTGGAAAGACTCTGCCAGCGTGCTCTGCCTCGCTTCTGCGAAGAAGTCCAGGCAATTCTGGAACAACGTGGGACGTTCACTAAGGACTCGCAAGGCACGGCGAATGGCGCCACTGATGTGCGGATCCTCAAGATCCAAGCCTTTGAACTCTCGCTGGATCCAATTGTAGAGTTTCATGAATCCAGCGTCCAGGTTACGTGTCGTTTGCTCCATCAACTCCAGGCCTAGTCGTTGATTCTCGTAGCCCAAGAGGATTTCGCAGTCGCGGTGGATCTGCTTGACCCTGGCTAGAATCATAAAGAAGCGGTCGTCCAGCGGCTCGGCGGAGCTAGTGAGGATGTTCAGGTCAGAAGTCGGAATGATGAAGTGTGTGGTAAAGGCGTCGAGTAGAGCCTGCTTCGTCTCGGTTTCTTCCTTGCGTGACATGAGAGTTGTAGCTTCTTCGAGGACGGGGCTCGATTCCTGTCTCGCGGCCTGAATGTGCTCGCGCATTGAGGCACATGTTGCATTTAGCGTGGTGAGCATGGCGCCCACGCGTCTGAGTTGCTGTACAACGTGTGAGCGGCCTGTAGGTAATGTATTCGAGTTGAGCCTACCTCTGCAACCTTGCCAAAGTCATCTACTATTCTTGCATCGCAGTCTATCACCTCCTTCTGCGCATTGAGCTTGAGGTTTCGCCTCGTGTCCTCGTCATTCTCCACGCCACGCTCGTCCAGCAGTCGGAGGGCGTCGCGGATCTCGTAGTCGGTAAAGGATGAAGAGAGGACGCTTGTGAGTTTCGTGCTGAGCGCGTTCACCCTGCGAGACGACACCCCGTCGGCTCCAGGAGTGGAAGGGCTATCAAGCCCACTGGATGAGAGACCATCGAGGCTATTGAAGTACGTTGTGGCCATATGTCGAGGACAAGAAAATACAGGGGACGTGAGGACAACGAGGCTGCGGAGATAGGACTTGGAGAAGTGTACAGTAGACTCCAGCTTGCACTAAACAACCCCACTGTGGGACGAGCACGATATGTAACCATTTGTGGAAGCAGGCATACTTCTTTTGCATGGCTTGCTTATCACTCGATCTATCTGTCTGAAACTACATCTGCGAGATCAGCCACTTCACACCCCCAATCAGATTTCCAACGAATTGCTGGCCCTCAGGCACAGAAGGGAAAATCCAGAAATAATGCGGCAGCCCCTTGTAAAAGTCATGCTTCGTTGGCACACCAGCCTTCTTCAAAGCAGCCTCCATCACAGTAGCGTCGTCTCTCAAAGGGTCTTTTTCACAGCTCACAAAATACGTTGGTGGAAAATTCTTGTGGTTTTCGGTAGCCAATGCCGTGAATATGTCGCTATCCTTGGGATCGACCCCAGTAAGATCATAGAAGTTTTGCATCGACTGCTTGTCGATGATGGGAACGCCCTCCTTATTCTCTTCATAGGCCTTGAACATGGACTGGTACTCGGCAGGAACGTTATCGAAATGCAGAGTCGCTGGGACGATGGCAGCAACGCCCTTGATGCCGTCCCGTTTTGCGGGGTCCTTCACTAAGCGGTTGGCGACCTGCAATGCTAATGCACCACCAGCTGAACCTCCAATGGTGTAGAACTTGTTCGGGTCACCTCCGAATGAGCTCGCGTTCTCTCGTGCCTAGTCGACATTAGCAAGTTCATGGCGCTTCATGGCGCGCGGTCTCTCATACCCATTTGTACACGCTCAATGTATCTTGAAGCTGTGTAGGTGCTTTGTGTTCAGGAGCAAGTCGATAGTCAACATTGACTACAATGGATGGAGCGTGCTCTGAGATCACCCTGCAGAGCAGATCATCCGAGTTGATATCTCCCGTCACAAAACCCCCACCATGCGTCCATATCGCAACAGGAAGCGGTCCTTGCTTCGCGGCCTCTGTCGGAACATAGACGCGGTACTTAATACCATCAACGTCGCCGTCTTTACTTTCCACAGCATCTGAAGGTTTGGGTGCTTGCGGGAGCAACATCGCAACGAGCTGATCATACGTGGCTCTCAACTCTTCGGCACTACCATGCATGACCATTCGTCCTCCCAGCTCCTTCTCCAACTACAGGCGCCATTGTAAGTATTGGCTAGGAGGGCGGTGCAAGGACCGACTTACGTCTAGCCATGACTGTGTGTAACTCATTCTTGCTTTGTTCTCAGGATTGAAACAGAGAGAGGGTGACGGTGATGTTGACGATCGTAGAAGAATTGAGAAGGCACAGGATGATAGTCTGGTAGAGCTCGGTAGATATTCGTGGAAAGCCGGGACAAGTTGTATTATATGACCGAGGAGGAGCACCGGACGTCTGGACCTCGGCGTATCCCCCCAGGTAGGTGCGGGTCAATTCCGAGGGTCTAGGCGTGCCAGTGCCAGATCCCCATACTCGTACGGAGTACAGTAGCGGCCCGGCCTTGCGGGCAAGGTTCTCCGCAGATACATAATCGTCATATACACGGCAAAACAGTATCCAGTTTGTCGAGTCAGAAAGGCCTACCAGGACATAGGTACCTCGTGTTTGACGATACGTACGTTGGTTGAGTTCACAGAGTGAGGCCACCCACTAGCTGAACGAGTTCAGAAGAGCTCTTTCCTCCGCAACACTGCACTGAGTCGAGACCGCTGCCGAAGACCATCCGCATTGAGTGATCGTTGAATTAGCTTGTATGGAAAGTCGTGGTCTGAGGTCAGGCATCCTGGTGAATGGTTTACACCGCGTCGGGAGACTTGAAGGAATCAAATCTGCCCTGGAGTGCTTCGGTCGACACCCTGCAAGGTGCTCTTCACTTGTTGACCTAATCATGCCTTTCTTCTACTGAGCTGCCTTGTCGATTTTGACCCTGTCATCTTTCGTGACGATGACTGATCTATATGATAGGACTACACAGCAGATTTCATGCCTCGCCGAAGTTGTAATGATTAGTTTCCTGGGCATGCTTTGTGGCCCCGGCCTCACCGACGCAGGTGGCTCCGCAATCACCACACTTTAGTGTGAAGCCCGCAGTATCGGTAAAATAATGCTTCTCTTGAAGTTTCTGGCACAAAGCGACGGCCTGGGGAAGAACCTCGTCGGATAGTGGTGGCTCAAATTGTTTGACATCATCCTCTGGTGCCATTCCGAATAAGCTCAAAGCGATTGTGTCGTAATGGATACCAGAATAGACCAAAAAGCATCTTCGTGGAGCGCCTTCGTTGTATCTGTCCACCCGCAAAGTCTGGACATCAATGCTGCAGATCTCGATATCGAATTGTTGACTCAGAATGTCAAGCTCGATCTGTCCGCCCCAGGCATCTTCGGTCTGTATCCAGCGGCAATATGCATCCGGGTCTTTGTTATCAAGTATTGCTTTGGTGTATTTCTCTCGGTTGCCCTGGATGGTGGACGCAACGATGGACCGCAGCTCCGTCATTGTGTCCATGTCAGATATGACTGCACTTGCGACCGCTCGAAATAAACATGAGTTGTCATCCGGCATGATTCGTAGGACAAGGCTGCCTCCAAGATCTGGAAGGAAGACTTCGGGTGGATCCGACATCTCCTTATTCTCTTTCCGGGACAGTGACAGAGGAGCAGCCGATGGATTTTGTGTTCTCGGCGTAGCCCTGTACGTGTTTGACGTGTTGTCCTTGGAAGGCCCCGCAACAGCAGCAGTCGCCCCTTTCCCTGATTCTGGGTACTCAAATGTCTGTGGTTGCTGATTCTGTTCTTTTTTGCTAGAAGATTCGACCAGGTTGACAATGAGCTGTTCCCCGTTGAGCTTGACATCAAGCTCTGACAACAGCTTCGAAGATGGATATTGATCGAGCATCAGCGTTTTAGGCGGATAGCCGTACTTGACCTCGAACGAACACAAAGACGTCTCTGTGGCGATTGTCTTCTTCAGGGTCTCAACTGTGGCCGAATCATCCAAGCTGACCGTACTCGACTTGCCAGACGGGCCTCTGACACGAACCCTCATGTTGCTTTGTCAAATCAGCTTGTCCAGATGAGCAAGAAAGGTCCGCGTCTCCAGTCCTGCCGTTTGCAGAGTTTCTTGTGTTTTGCTGGGACAAACAGGTCGATTGACTGATCAGCCAGCAAGTTCAGCGTAGAATCGCGAAGTCGTCCAAAGAAAGCGATCGGATCAGCTGAGGCAGTCCTTCTGGATGTTCGTTGGGCTTGCACCAGGTGCAAACAATCGTTAATTCAGCTCAAGTACCCGAGCTGCAGCGGAACACTTGAAAGTCGTCGAATTGACTAGATGGAAAGTATCATAGGGTACTGAACGATACCTGACGAGGTGATCGCCGAGTCCGAGATTGGTCAAGGTTTCCGCGCCGTTCGTTTGTGACACGCCCAACGCGAACTTCCACCGTGGAAAGTGACCGCGTTCACAAATCGCCCCAGCAATGCAACACGGAACCCAAAGCTTCAATCTTAGATCTCATGGTTATATAGTGGAAGTTGTCAAGGGTCGAGGGTCGAGGTAAAGCACGGGGAGTTGAACGACACTGCCAAGACTAGTCGCTGTGGTAGAGCCACTCGCAGTTTAAGTACCACGCAGTTTTAAAGCCAGAAGTCCGCCGAGCGCATGTTTGTCTGCACAAACACTTCCGCTTACAACGCGTATATTTCTGTCTAATATGTTGTCGCCGCGTTGTCTTCATTGTCCCATCTGATCCATCCCGCGAATCGCGTAAGCAAACACCCGGAAATGGCAGAGTCGCAAACGGCGCAACCTTCAACTGCGGAGCCCCTCGAGTCTATCGAGGTAGAGGCCGATGATGTAAAGCAGGAAGATGCGGGTGAAGAGAAGTCCGACAACGAGGCAGACCCGGCCGACGAGACCGCAGGGGATGATCGCGCGGTTTCGAACGCACAGTACAGGGCACTCAAGAACATTACTGAAGTATTGACCAACCACACGATCAAAATTAAGGGCGATGAGTATGTCCTATACGCCTAGGGTATCATGTTGAGCTAACTTTCGATGCTAGCGCATACCATCCTTCGGGTTTGTTCAAGCGCATTCCGAACCGACGTCTCTTGCCGGACTATCATGATATTATCAAAGAACCTGCGGCAATCAGTACACTTAAGGGCAAGATACAGAGGAAGCAGTACACAGGAATCCCGGAGTTCGTTCGTGACTTCGCCTTGATTGTGCATAACGCCCAAGTATACAACCTTCCCAACTCGGCCCCTGTACGTGATGTACTTATGCTGCAGGATGTGTTCAAAGAGGAGTTGCAGAAGCTCGTGAAGGAAGGCTTGGCCGAAGAGGAAGCAACAGTGTTTCCAGATCTTGGTGAAATACCTTATGCCACACCAGAACCAGATCCTGCATCCGACGACGAAAACGAGGAAGACGCGGAAGAAGAGGACGAGGAAGAGGACGCCGAGGCCGATGATACCGACGACGATCGACCAAAGAAAAAAGGTCGTAGAGGCAGACCCAGTCTTGTTGCACGAAAGAGTCGTGACGATGGTGACGACAAAGTGGACGACGGTGATGTGCGAAAACGCCGGGGACGCCCTCCCAAAGTGGACACACCTATGGAGGCCCGGATCAAGGCCGTGCTGAAGGGCATTCGCAAGCCTAAAGATCGGGCTGGTAACGGCAAGATACGACACTTTGAACGATTACCTGACAAAGCAGAATACCCGGTATACTTTCAGGAGATCAAGGATCCTATTGCACTGGACGCTATCAAGAAGAAGTCAAAGCGCAAGAAGTATCAATCACTGGAACAGTTTATGAAGGATATCGATCTGCTCTTCAACAACGCAAAACAGTTCAACGAGGAAGGCAGCGAGATCTATCAAGACGCGGTGGAGCTGCAAGCGGAAGCCCATAAGCTTCTCGAGATCGAAAAAGCAAAGCCCGACGATGAGTACCTTATGGAAGACGGTAGACGGCCCCTGCCTTCCGGCATCCTGCACAAAAACGAGCTCTGGAAGGTCGGAGACTGGGTTCACATTTCTAATTTGAATGACGTGACAAAACCTATTGTTGCTCAGATATATCGTACCTGGGAAGACCCCGAAGGTCAAAAGTGGATCAATGCGTGCTGGTATTATCGCCCTGAACAGACTGTGCACCAGTACGAAAAACACTTCTTTCCCAACGAGGTGGTGAAAACTGGGCAATACCGGGATCACAAGATTGAAGAAGTCCTCGACCGATGTTTCGTGATGTTCGTGACGAGATACAATCGTGGCAGACCTCGCGACGTCGATCCCACCAAGGAAGTCTATGTCTGTGAAGCTCGATACAACGAAGAGAAGCATCGCTTCAACAAGATCAAAACTTGGGCCAGCTGTCTACCGGACGAGGTTCGAGACAAGGACTACGAAATGGATCTGTTTGATCAACCGCGAAGAATCAAGAAAATTCCTAGTCCTCTGAAACACCTGCTCAAGGATGACACGACGGAAACGGACGAGATCCCTCCACCCCAATGGGGTCATCCTAATGCGCCTCCGGCCGTTGGTGCCATTCACAAACAGCGTCGTGACGAGAATGTAAGTCAATGCCACTGGTAGCTGCACTTTATGCTTCCTCAAGACTGACACCTTTACAGCAATCACCACCTCCAGAACCCACACCGCCACCACCTCCAACTCCGCCTCCACAACCGGCACGACAGCCCTCAATCGCTGCAATACCGATCCAGCAGGCCCCTCGGCACAGCATAGATAGACAAGCCAGCATTACGCCTGCAAATCTTCAGCCACAATTGACACGTCCATCTGCTACACCTCAAGTAGCTCCATACCAGCCGCAGTCCATCTCACCTGCTCCAACGACCTTTGCTCGCCAAAACTCATACCAGCAGTCACAGACACCGCACTTACAGCCTGCCGCCGCACCGCCGACACCCGCTGCTCAGCAGCCATTACCTTATGCCGCTCATCAACAATTACATCCTCAGCCAAGCTTGACTGCAGCACATCCAACAAACTACGCCGCAACCACACCAGCGCAGCCCTACACTCGTCCTGCGGTGCAAGCAACACCGGCATACAACCCATATCCTACCCACCTGCCAGATCAGCGCGCTGCTGAAGTCTTTGTACTATCAGAAGCAGCAAATGCAACGATTCCAAAACATATCCGGGAGCGCTTCCCTCATGATGAGAATGGCCGTGTCTTGTTCTTCACCAAGCCGCCAATTGTTCCTGAGAATATTGTTCGAGGACGAGATGGCCAATTCCTTGCTCATACCGAGAAATATCTTGCTGCCAAGGCTGAAAGAGACAAGATCATTGCGACTCGAAAACGAGCTAGAGAGGAAAGTGGTCACGAGATGAGTAAGCGAAGTCGACTGGGGACTGTTGCTTGATGGAAAAGGGCGGTTGTTGTTTGCAGAACCTCTTCATTTGTGGCATTCTGAGAGGAGATGACCAAGCCCACCACCTCTCAATGGTTGTTCATCTGTTTTATAAGCGATGGCGCTGGGGGAAAAGACTCGCTCGACCGGCGACGCTGATCAGCAGCAAGCCGCATGCAGTTGACATTCGATGCCCGCGTATTAGAAAGTTAGCTACCCGATCTCGGGCTGGATGTAACTTGTATTCAACCACCCAAGCTCTGAAACAGTTCATCCCTGATTCTTTTCAACGTATCCAGTTCCGTTTGAGCCCTTTGCACTTCGGCCCTTGACACGTCAACGTCCGGGGGCAGTCCGTTGAACTCGCGGATCGCTTTCTCCAGCGTCTCAACTCTTCTTTCTTTCGCATCGATGTCTCCTTGCTTCGAAGCTAAGTCTGCAAAGGTTGGACCCGCGATGGACCGGGAGGCTGCTTGTCGCTGCAAAGCGGTAACTCGATCCTCGTACTCGGAGCGTTTGAGCAGCAGTTGCTTCGTTTCCCGCTGATGCTGGAGCGTCTGCGCATGGAGTTGGGAGTAATTGATCGCTGTGTACGTCGGGAAGCCTGGTGTGGAGGGTAGTACTTCTAGAGCCGATGCCGATTCGTCATTTTCTGGTTGATAATCATCTTGATGCCTGACTACTGGTGTCTGTAGCTGGTTCATCTCCGTCTGAAGATCGGAGACGAGACCGTTGATAGACGAGAGTTGCGTTTCAAGCTCGAATATGTCGTGTGGCATCTTGAGGATCTGGGTGGAGAGATTGTCAACCATAGACTTGTCCGTGTTCGATGTTGGACATCCGAGCAGGATGGCTGAGCTGGCCAATGATTCGAGCGCTGATTCTGCTGGCTTTGCGAGTGAAGAGTTGAGAAGACGGAGCAAAGAGTTGGGGCGGTCGTCCGCTGGAATTGACGAGCTGACTTGTGAAACCTTCAGTTCTTCTAGTTGAGCCTGGAAGAGAAGATCGCGAAGTTTGTCTGCGGCGACGTTCTCTGTCATCAGGCTTTGCAATGCCTTGAGTGTGGCTGCATTGCGCTCGAATGACGGGATTGGTGATGGATGGTACAATGCTGACAGCCATGTCAAAACCATAGACCATGAGTGCACTTCGAGAGCCTCGGCACGAGCTTTCGATGGCGAGGCTTGCGTGCTTAGATCGCCAAAATCGGACAGATTAGGAAGCATCAGGGACATTTTGGTAGAGGGAGTCCTCATAGCGAACTTCCAGGAGAGTTGGGCGAGTGTTTGCGTGTGGAGGAGGCTGGAGACCCTGGGAGCCTGATCTCACGACCTGGCGGTACAACACTTGATTTTGACATAGGGTGCTCTCTCTGTCTTGAAGATAGCATGTCTGGCTGGAAGTAAACAACTGCAGACATCTGGGCTGTGGAGTAGCAACGCGTTCTTTCAGTAGTGAAGTCGACAAGATCGAGCCTTGCAGGGGCGGTGTAATGCTTCACCCTACATTGACTACGGTTTGGCAGAGTGTGCACAGAGCCTCATACAGGTGTCCTGACTCCTGGGCCGTTTGCATTCCTCTGCTATATATGACACACTGTCACTCCTGCGCCATTGGTGTCATTACGGCAAGTAGCTTGTCGAAAGCCAGCACGTGGGAGCGATGCACTAGCGGCTGCGCAACGACAAGTTCCTCCACTGGCATCCAACACAGGATTGCCCAGCCATGATGGGCGCGCATAATTATGCTCACGTCGCTCCAATTCCAAGAATTTCTTCGGAGTTTCTGGCCAGCCACATAGACTCTTGATGCCTCTCGGACGCAAGCTCCGGACCCTATCAAAATTGTACCTAGGTGTGGCTCCATTACCTAATCGCCAGGCTATTCAGTTCCTCGTAGCATCGAGTTCGACAGGCTCGTCGCAATGATGGCCTCATGGCCTCTTCGTCTCCGTTATACAGTAAAACTGCATTGACTTGTGCTTTTGATTCCGCTCTGGTTCGAATTGAAGTGGAGGTCCGAGGCTGCCAGCCTGGCCGTCTGGGCAACGCCGGAAACGGTTGTCCCGCACACTTGCAGCAGAGCTCTTTAGAGCTTCACATTCTGCTCCTGATCGTATGAGAGTGTTGTTGTTCTGCGTGGGTCAACATGACCGTGCCTTTGTTGCGATACACTCAATATTCGCTCATGTGCAACGGCCGGGTTTCGATGACGGCTACACCTTCATCCCCCAAGACCTGGCCAGATTGACGCTGTTACTTGCCCAGAATCCAGCGTACTGCGACAACCCTCCCACACTTCCTCCAACAGCTTGTGCGGCTTTTAGCCTGCGGCCCAGAAACTCTTGAGTTGCTGCAAAGTCTTTCGATGTGTCCGTTGTCATGAACATCTCTGAGCTCGCGTAGACGGTGGCAAGAGAAGCTCGTTTCGTGTACCAGGAGAAGTCGACCGCGGTGTCACCCGCAAGATACCACAATTCGTCGGATAGAGCATGAAGTTCCTTGAGTGAAGCCGGTATATTGCCTAGGAGAGACATATAACCCAGTGCCTGCATGAGAAATGTGTCAGTATACTCCTTTGACTTGCACTAGCTGCATTCTTACCCCTTGCCATTGATGTATAATGTCTGCGTTTGCTCTTAACCGTGCCATTGCCAGTGCTCTGACCTTGGCCCCCAAGCCCAATTGTGTCCCTTCTGGAAATTGTACATTGTTTTTCAAAGCAAGCCTTTGCTTGACCAAATGATAATGGATGAGGTCGAATGCGCCCCGTGGGAACAACTGCACTGTAACATCTAGATAGCCAGCATCTCTGGCACCAAGCGTCAGAGCCTCATCGGTGAAACCGTGGTTTGGCACGCGGGCGATTGCCGCGGACAGAATACGATCTTGGGTTTTGGAGAACGGAGGCGGATCAGGATGATGTAGAGAGAAATAGGAACGTTCGGATCGCGAAAGTCGATTTGAGAGAAGACGATTCGCAGCACAAGAGGGAGATGTAATTGTACTTAGACGCCGGCTGACTCTGTAAGTAGTTGACATGGTTCGTCGTGTATGTCCAGGCGAGTCAATTGAAGACTTGGGGGGGATGGTGGTGGTCGCGCAGGACGCGAATGGACATGCACTAGGACCCCGAGTCTGCAGCGATCCGCGAGTCCGGCAGATGTAGATGGAGGACGACGTCTCGGGCTTGAATACTGGACAATCTACGCTTCTTTGACTGGCTAATACGTGAGGAGGAAGACGAGCTGCGACCAGAATGCGGCCTCCCCAAGATCCCTCGCAGATCGCATCTCAGCCTTACCCGGCTCGCCGGCAAGCCTTGGCGGCCTACTCGTACAGGGTCCAACTGAAGGAAAGCATATTGTCGGCGACTGATCCTCTTTATTATTGATGGGATGCTATTACTGTTTAGGTCCTCTAGAGTCAAAGGTCAGGGACGATGGCGCCAGTATACTACATTTCGTCAAGTAGAATGTACTCCCGGGCTGGGTTTGTGGCTTCTTATGGCACATGAGAAAGTGTCTTTTCTCCCTCCTCTGGACCCAAATGGCATAGGAAGCCGACTTGACTTGATCGTACCCCCATACGCTGGAATTGCCTGCTGCACGTTCACGAAAATGCGAGATGCCGTCTGGCCTTGGGCTGAATCAGGGGTCGTTGAAAGGCAGATTTTGTACTCTGTACATTGTTTGTATTCCCCCGCTAGAGCTCACCGCGGTTCTGCCGGAATTACGGCTTGCTGGAGCGCGCAAAAATGGGACCGCTATGTATCGAAGGTGCTTGCCATTGCCCGTGCATAATGAGAAGCCCACGACCATGTCATGCACCTGCAGACGCTGGGCATCGCAACGCTTCTCTGGCCGAGGTAAAAGTAGGCTCGGAATGCTTCTCATTTGCTCCCTACATATATAACCTTATAACTCGCGCGGATGATGGAAGAGTCCATCCGGGTCTGCTAGTTCAAAGCTTAGAGCCACTTGTCAAAGTCGGTATTAGGTAATGCGCTGATCATGTCGGATGGCGTCTGCTGAAAGGACGCATATCGTTTGCGAAACCCTGTTATTGCATGTGTTGAACTCCTCCAAAACACGTTGATGAGCGATTCCTGTTCGTTGCGGAGTCTCGCACAATCACCTCTTCCTCACAGCGCATTGGTGACGACGTATGTTGCCGGTGTTGACCGGCAAGATAGGGAGGAGGGGGACCAGGGATACAAACGACGAGGGTTCGGATATTCGGCAGTCAAATCGACAAAAATGCAGATCAGGATATCACGCATGTGTGTTTCTTGATCGACCCCAGGAGGGAGCCCTCGCAACACGTATCAGTGGCTGAGCCAAGGCACCTAGAACATCTACCTAGGTACGTCAAGACGTGTACCGTCTACACGTACCAAGCAATGAAAAGCGTTTTGCCGTTCCATATATCTGAGGCCGTACTACTCTCAGAATAGCCTTGACAGGTTGATACACCTCCACGTGTTGGACGGTGTCATTTCCATATTGGGTCGACTCTGATCTGCAGGATCCTGGTGCATACTACGGTACTACTGGGGTCAATAGCGTTGAACAACGGACCGAAGTGGCTTGCATGCTTGCACACCATGGATGCAGCGGGACGATCAGGAGGAGAACCTTCCCTTTCTACTGGCAGGCCCAATGAACCCCATTCGAGAAGGTCAATTCAAAGAGAATGTGGACCAAGAGCTTGGTGTCGCTCACTGCTGTAACGAAGGAACTGGCACAAGAATATTACTTTCCTATTATACCCTGCGCGTCGTTGAGTAAAGCAGGTTTTCTAGATGTCAAGGACAATTAGATGTGTGGTGCCTGCGGGCGACAGAAAGGAATGGTGTTCTGTGTGTTGACAGGTCGGAAATGAATTGGGCGCAGCAGTCACTGTCACTTTTTGAGTCAAAGAGCATTTTGCGTCACTAGCGCCAAGGCGCCCCATCCATTCACAGGCCAATGTCTGCGTCCTTCCCACTTCACACCCTCCGTCACACTGTTGTCCTGCAGTAAAGTCTCATCGCGGTTACTCCTGCATCCGCGAATAACAGCTGCAGCCACAGCCAGTCCGACCTGGTAAACTCATCCTACCCTACCCTACCCTACCGACCGGTATCTTTGCCCGAACCCTCGCATCATCCCATCCCAGACCCTGCCCGCAACGGCCCAAAAAACTGCTTCGACTCTCCCCTGACATACTCCGAAAGAGGACAGGCCGCCGTTTGCTGACTGCGCGAGCAGGAACTCTTCCCGAAGCTCCTTCATATCCTTCCATCCGAGAAGCCTTATTGGGTACGCGTTGACAGAGAACCCCTGCTGGAACCATTCTTGACGCAAGACAATAGTCACCTTGTGATCGCTTGTTCTGGTTAGTCAGACATCCCCCCAGGTTTGAAAGAGGGACACATCCAACAGGGCCGTCCACAGCTGTCCAGTTCCTGCTGAAGAGGTTGATACTGGTGAAGAAAGGCATCCTCAGGAGGAAGCAACGGAGAAAGAATTAGCGATGTTGACTGACACGGTGGATATACAGGGTTCCGACTTCAGCATCATACTGCAGCAAGGAAGCAAGACCTTCTCACCATATCACAACTCCGCCCTCCAATTAACGTTTACCTGCGGTAGAACAAGCAAAAGGCGCCATCTCCACCCGGCAACTGCTTTAACTTGTTTCTTGCCCGCCCCGCCTTCCCTCTGCTGTGCTTGTTCAGCGAGGAAATTTTTTATCCGACCATAGAAGCGGCGGCCGAATACGTGCTCCGACATCTTGTCTCTAACGACGCGGTCAGTCAGTCAGTCAATTTGAGGCTCTGCCAGAGACTCAAGCAAATCCTGCCACTCCAACTCCGGGTTTTCGTGGCCTTGCGACTCGCTCCACTCAGACAAATCGAGCTGTCCGCACCTGAGAAGTGTCCAGACAGCCCTTGTACAACTCGGGAAACCTTGTTAGCTGGCCTCTGCCCCCTCCCCTCCTGCATTTTCGTGCATGCGATCCTGATCTCGTAGACTGAACAGTTGAAACCAACCGCAGCGACGTCTCGGCAATCGTCCATCATGGGTGCGTATTCTCTCATTCAGTCACAGTGCCCCAGTCTCTAGCGTCGTCCGCGTTGGTTGGGTCAAATACGCTGGTCACCTCTCATTACCTCGTCTTGCCCTAAATCCGCTTGTTCATCTTCACTGCATCAGCATTTGTCCTTGTCCTCAATTTTTTCACCATCTCTTGTTTTCATACTCTTCCTTGGCTGGAGAGAATTGTTGGCTAACTGATCTGGCGTACAGTAAGTGACACCAATTTTCTGTCGCGAACACAAATCGAAGTATCACCATGAGACATGGAAGTCGGGTGAGGTTCAGAGCAGGGCATCCATTGTCAATTGGGCTGGGTCCACTCTGGCCTTATGCGGTTCATTGCATCACTTTAAACAATCTGGCAATATTCACCACCACTCTCGCGCAGCTGGACAATCACACGGACCTTCACCTTCACGTGCAACATTGTCTCAGATTCACCTGCCCAGTCCATAAATTGAACCTCACTTCGCACTCACCATGATTGCTTTACCGCGCGAATTTTCTGACCCTTTACAGAGAGACCGAACTCGTTCACCGCGTCGTCGATCGCGAAGCCCTCGACGCAGCCGCCGCTCCTACTCCCCTCGTAGCCGCTCTCACAGTCGAGGCGGCGACGACTACCGTCGAAGCGAACGCCGATCTAGAAGTCCCATGAGTGGTGCACCCAACACCTCTGGAGGATACGCGGGGTCAGGCTACGGCGGTAGAGGTGGAGGTTCAGGAGGTCCGCCCCGGACATTCGAAGATCGGTCGGCTGCAAAAGAGCAAATGATGCAATCGGTTCGCGAGTCGTCCCAGCAAGACCGCCGAGTCTATGTGGGCAATTTGGCTTACGACGTCAAATGGCATCATCTCAAAGATTTCATGAGACAGGGTTAGTGGTTACCGATCATTTTAGGCGTCGATCGCTACTGACATGGAATACAGCTGGAGAAGTTCTCTTTGCCGATGTCTTACTACTTCCAAATGGAATGTCGAAGGTGGGCGCCATTGTGTGATGCGGCTGGTTTCTCTGGTCTTTCTTTCTGGTTTTTTTGTTGGACGTTGGATTGACGGGTTGGACCTGGTCCACGGTTTTGTAGGGATGCGGGTAAGTTGCGCCGACAATCAATTTATTCTGAGTCCTTTCTGACAGACTCGTCAGGATTGTGGAATATGCAACTAGGGACCAAGCCCAACAAGCTATTTCAACGCTCAGCAATCAGAGCCTCATGGGTCGTCTCGTCTACGTTCGAGAGGTAGGACAGTCTGCAACCTTGGACTTCTGTTAACACCACTGACGACGACTTTTCCTCAAACTAGGACCGCGAAACCGAACCTCGATTCATCGGCCCCCCCGGCGGCCGCGGCGGCGGCGACTTCGGCGGCGCTCCTCCAAGAGGCGCTTACGGTGGAGGCTATGGTGGAGGCCATGGCGGCGGAGGTGGCGGCGGCGGCGCAGGTGGTGGTCGTCAACTCTACGTCTCCAATGTTTGTTCTTCCTACAAACCCTTTTCGAACTCTGCGTCATGGAGGCATGGTTAACTTTGCATAATAGCTCCCATTCAATGTTGGTTGGCAGGATCTGAAGGACTTGTTCCGTCAAGCTGGTATGTAAAGTGCCTTGTCGAAACGCTGACAACGAGTCTCACAAAAATATAGCACAGGAAGGAGGTGTCATTCGAGCCGATGTCCACATGGACCCGACAGGCAGACCGAAAGGTACCGGTATCGTCGCATTCGAATCCGCCAACGACGCTCGCAACGCTATTCAGCAATTCAATGGCTACGATTGGCACGGACGCGCACTCGAAGTTCGAGAAGATCGATATGCAAGCAGTGGCCCCGGTGCTGGCTTTGGCGGCCGCGGCGGATTTGGTGCTGGAGGAGGATTCGGCATGCGTGGCGGCTTTGGCGGAGGCAGAGGAGGCTTCGGTGGTCGTGGAGGTTATGGTGGTGGTGGCGGCGGTGGCTACGGAGGTGGACGAGGCGGCTATGGCGGTGGAGGTGGTTACGGAGGTGGAGGGTATGGTGGTGGTGGTGGCGGCGGCGGTGCTCCTGCTGTTCCCCAAGAACAAGCCGCTCCAAACCCTTTCACCGACTTCGCAACCTTTGGAGGAGAGCGAAGCCAGATCATTTACGTCCGAAACGTCAGTCCCCAGACAGCACCTCATTGACTCCCATACTAACATCGTGCAGCTCCCATGGTCCACGAGCAACGACGACTTGGTCGAATTGTTCAGCACTATTGGCAAGGTCGAACGTGCAGAAATCCAGTACGAGCCTAATGGACGCTCTCGAGGCACAGGTGTGGTGGAGTTTGACTCTGCTGAAAACGCCGAAACTGCTATCTGTGAGTCTTTCCCTTGTCCTTTGCAGCCGTTCTGACCATTTCGCAGCTAAATTCACCGGCTACATGTACGGCGGACGTCCACTTGGATTGACCTTTGTCAAATACAACAATGCCAACGGCAACGAGATGGAAGGTCAAGAAGCTACCGAAGGCATGACTCAAGATCAGATGATGTGATCATCTTCGACGTGCATGGATGCCCATGCCAACCCTTGACGTCCTGCTGACGACGTAGCCTACGACATCGCCATGGCCTTTACCTGGTGATTGCGCTGGATTCGAAGGCCATTCAGATTGTACTTCTACGGGTCACGGTTGGCTCTCAACAACAGGCACTTGGATTCCTACGGGCTCGTCAACCGCTCTAATTTCATATTGTACCAAAAAAAGTTGTGATTTCGGGAATTGGTCATGCATCGATTGCAAACATGGAGGTTTCGTGCGATAGCTGAGCTCGACTCGCCCAATAAGGACATGGTTCCAGCACTTGCTTGACCTTCAATCTGCTTGTGGTCGGAGAGCCTTAGGTAGTAGCAACGTTCTTGCTTGGTTGATCGCGGCCAGATGGAGACTATTGAAGCCCTTGTGGTCCCAGTGCGCAAAATGATATGGAGTTGTTCTGTGGTAAAAAAGGGTCGCCCGTGGCTCTGAATATTGGGCTCTCGCGGTATCGAGACGAGAGAGATCCTGGCACTCGCCGCAGGCTTGAACTTTCGCCAGAGCCGAGCCTGGGACAGTCGCATCGCAGGTGTCTCAAAGTGTGTGAATTGGTGCAAGCTGAAGTAAGGGGTGGCACCCTGGTCTGTACAGTAGCGCGAACAGTAGGCCATCCAACCAGTAGACGGCAATGCAACCATTGAAATCGAGTCATGTACGGTCCATGTACGGTCGATGCAACCACGGCCTAGCTTGCAATGTTTTCCTCTCCATTTCGCCCCAGTGTCCGAGCTCTTGAGTCCAGCTTCGATATTGGAGTCGATAATATTGGAATCTCTACTTGAGAGGATGTAAGTTGCCGTAGACGATACCAGTAGGGCAGACACCCGTCCTGTATCATAGGTTGTTGGGGGGAGGCAGATTGACGACGAGCCCGTACTGTGGCCCGCTTCCTCGTATACCTTTAAGTACGTGGGGAGGAAATAGGCAGAGACACCCCTGCCTCGCTCCCTGTCTGTGTGTTCACGTCTGCCAGTGCGCGTTTCGGGGTCTCTTACACGCCTTCAGCTTTTCGCAGTGGATCGACACGGTAAAGCAGAGGGGGGTCGACGAAGGAGGACACTGCGTAAAAGACCCACTGCTGCCCTCCTGGCAGAGATGCATGTGGTTGGAAGGTCGTTCTGATCTTTCCAAGCTTTGTATTCCTCGAATCTTCCTGGAATGATGTCTTTGTGGAGTGATACCAGACACTCCTTCCTTTCTATTACATTGCACATATACAGGTGTTACCATCCTCAGACAATGCGAAGAATGTCCATCCAGATGACAACAGCGTACCTCAGTTGTTCAGACGATGGCACCGACTTGGGCTTGGGGTTCGCCTTGTGACGCCTGTCCATTGGCTGTAGGCTTCAGCTCGACCCAGACTTTCGTCACTCTTTGCTTCGCATCCCCAAACACTTTGGTCATGACAGTTTCTCCATTGACCTGCTTTTCTTCAATAGCGTCTTGGGTATTGAACTCGCATATCAAAGTGCTATTGAATGGACGTGGAGGATTCGACCAGACGCTGAACACAGCATCGTGCGCAGTCACACTTTGGATGTTCTGGAAACCCTGCTCGGCCGCATATCTCATCAAAAAGTCGGCCAGTTTCCTCGTAAGTCCTTTTCCTTCGGCATCGTGCCTTGTAGCCGTTGCGTTGCGCAGCAGGACCTGCTTGGGTCCAGTGGGCTTCCAGATATCCTTGCGCGGATCTCTCTCATTGATCATGCTATACGTGGTCTCGAACGCTGGCAGGACTTTCATCAAGGGGCCCATCTTTTCCAGGTCCAGTGGATTGATCCCATCGTACGACATCGCTATGCTGACCAGCGGGAAGTCCATTTGTTCATGCAATTCCTCAGGTGACGCATCGATCTTGTTAAGATCCCAGTACAGCTTGCCGTTGGGCTTGGATTCTTCTCGCTTGAACTTGTACTCGAGGTCGAAGATGCCAAAACTGTGCCCGGAAACGATCTGGTGACGGAGGAGATACTCACCAGCTGAAAATCCTCCAATGAATCGCTGGCCGGCATCTGGATAAGTCGCTGGCCATATCGGCGAGTAGAAGGCGTTGGAGTGGAACCCAACAGCTATGGTCCAAGGAAGGTGTTCTTCTGTCAGTCTCCTGATCTCATATCGAGCCGGGAGGTTGGACGGGTTTGTGCTGGTGGCCACCGAAAGTCCGGTCATGTTGATGTGTAGATGCGCAAAGTGAGAAGAAAAGATCGTTCTGATCAGCAATCAATTGCGGTGCACGGTCTTGCCAGTGTTCTGAGATACGGCCATCCTTGTACAGGCGAGAGTGAAGGCCTTCAATCCACCTCAGGAATTGAGGCGCTTATATACCCACAGCATTTCGAGTCTCATCTTTAAACATGACCGCGTGAGGCTGCTGAAGGCGACTCGTCCCCAGGACCGAATGATAGATCATCAGAGGACTAGCAATGGTCCTCGATGTGACTCGTGCTGCTAGGATACGGCGTAAGGCTTACCACGCTGCTATGGCAGCTAACCAAAGGAGTCTGCATCGAGGCCAGAAGAGGAAATACTCACGTTACCTCAGACGCCCTCCATGGGTAACGACCAATCCTTCCTGAGTAGCGTCGATACTGATTGTGGTACGCTCTCCACTGGTTGAAGTTTTTTGACTCTTGACCGAGCAATACATCCTTTGATAAATGATGATGACCATATCCATTGAAGGTCTGCGATGACTCTTCGTGTGATGAAAGCATGTCGCAAATATTCGTCGAGTTCATGAGACAAAGCGTACCATCAGACTTTGGACGATGACATATCTTGTGATCCAATGCACACATTATTCATGCGAGGGTTCCGACATATTTTTAGTGATATCTGAATTGGCTGAACATGTATCTTCGTTGATTGGATTTGATTGATTTGGTGCTTACTGATTACAGGATTCTTAACTAAGAACTAAGGCTCACTAGGCATACAGTGGAGACGCGGGTCGCGAAAGCTTCCTCATAGGCAAATGTTTCTACGAGTACTGTAGCTTCATGTTCAAGCTGTGCAACGTGTTTCCATAAAAAAGTTCCACCCACCATTGGCTAGGTTTACGGTACTCAGCTGCTCGATCAATCTAGGAAACGGTATACGTGATGACCGAAGGCATGTGAAGATATGTCCAAAACAGTTCCCACGCACACAGAGGGCCAACGTTCCCGACAAACGCCCAGTGCATCCGACGAGGCACGCAACAGCGAGCGACTCAATTTCAACCACGTCGATTCTTTCGCTGAGCACCACCGCTTGACTCATCACCTGGACACTTTTCGACAAGCCGCTGCACTCCTTCTTAGCGACAGCGATGTGGACAATGTCCCAGGCCTCAGCGCGCCCGAGGTGCAGGCACTGCATGATGAGGGCATACGAAAATGGCGCCAACCACGAATGTTCTACTTCACCGTCCTCGTTTGTTCGATTGGCGCCATTGAGCAAGGCTGGGCCCAGACGGGTATGAATGGTGCCAATCTCTATTTTCCTCAGGCTTTTGGTATAGGGTCGGATAGCAAGCATGACAATTTCGTTGTCGGCCTCATCAACAGTGGCATCTATTTGAGCACTGGACTGTTGTAAGTCTGAATTCCATGTTCTTTGTATCTCAAACTGACTCTGCAGGGGTGCTTGGTTGTCTGACCCCATCAACAATCGTCTTGGCCGCCGCGGCGCAGTCTTCGTCGGCAGCGTCCTGTGCCTGATCGCCAATTTCGGCTCGTCCCTGAGCAGGACTTGGCCGCAGCTACTTTTTTTTCGATTCGTTCTCGGTGCCGGCCTGGGCATCAACGCCAGCACCGTTTCCGTCTATGCGGCTGAATGCGCGCCAGCTGCTATCCGTGGCGGCATTGCTGTTTCCTGGCAAATGTGGGTCGCTTTCGGCATCTTTATGGGCTTCGTCGCAAATGCCGCAGCATACAGCGTGAGTGACTACACCGGCGGCACGTTGTTTGAGGCTAACATCGTGATCAGTATGGCGCTGATGCATGGAGGTGGCAGCTCGCTGGACCCGTGATACCAACCGTCCCTTTACTCATCATGCTACACTTGTGTCCTGAGTCTCCGGCTTGGTATATCAAAAATGAACGATATCAGGAGGCTTTTCAGTCGCTTTACAAGTTGCGTAATACTGAGCTACAAGCGGCCAGGGACGTATATTCCACGTATCTTCAGCGGCGTGCACAAAAGAAGGTTGAGGAAAGCGAAAGCCCATCTTTCGTCCGTAAAATTATGGAGCTTGTTACTATTCCACGGATTCGACGAGCTACAACTGCTTCATACGTGGTCATGCTATCTCAGCAGTTATGTGGCAGTAAGTGCTGCATTCTCCGATTGCCTTTGCGCTGCTGACGAGGGCTTTTTAGTCAACATCATTGCATTTTATTCGTCCACGGTAAGCTGACAGAGTCTGATGCCGAGTTTCGCTCGAGCGGTAAACGAAACATGCTCATGTCGAGTCTCTCCAGATTTTCGCGCAGGCTGGCTTTTCAATGTTGGGTGCTTTGGTGGCTTCCTGCGTATTTGGCTTCGTCAATTTCATCGGAGCATTCCCAGCGATATGGACAATGGATAGCCTCGGTCGACGTTCGTTGCTGCTTCTGACGTTGCCGCTGATGGCACTTACCATGCTTTTCGCCGGCTTGAGTTTCAGCATACCCCCAGAGAACGCAGCTCACTTCGGGCTCCTCGCGACTTTGATCTACCTGTTTTGTGCACTGTATTCGCCTGGGATGGGGTAAGTGTTCACTATTGAGGGTCAATAAAGCCTGTGCTGACATGCTCTAGACCCGTGCCGAATACTTACTCTGCGGAGGTTTTCCCTCTCTCACACCGTGAGGTAGGCATGTCTTTCGCTGTCGCCACTGCGAACTTCTGGGCTGCAGTTCTGTCGCTGACCTTTCCCGGGTTTGTGACGGCCTTGGGGTCGCAAGGGGCATTTGTCTTGTACGCCGTCCTCAACATTCTTGCGCTGGTGCTAGTGTTTCTCTTCGTTCCCGAGACAAAGCAGAAGACTCTGGACGAGTTGGATGGCGTCTTCTCCGTCTCGACACGGACATTCGTCAAGTACCAGACGACCGAATACCTGCCCTGGTTCGCAAAGCGCTATATCTTGCGGCAAAAAGAGGCGGAACTGAAGCCACCTGCGTTTGGAGAGGAATATGAGCGGTTAGTGGGACAGGACGATGATGATGATGATGCGACATCGTAGGACAGTAGCCTCAAATAGATTGCTCACTCGATCATCGACCCTAAGAAGAGAGCCGAACTTCAGTTGTACGATTTCATGTTGCTGGGTCAGAACTTCAATGCACTTTCCAGTCTGACACACACTGAATGGAATTATACATCGGACTATGCCGATATCACGCCCCGTGCGTCTCCATGCCTGATCGAAATGCCATTATTGAGTCGTCAGACAATGACATTTATATTCTGCCTTTGCTTTCGTGACGTCCAACTCCGTTCGGCGGCCTCCGCCCGCATTTCGAACATACCTAGGTACTTGGGTATTTATTTCCTGTCTCTCCTGCACCACCACACTATCGACCTACATACTTCACTTCTGCGCCATACCTTTACCATGTCTTCTCCCATAACCTGCCACGTCCTCAACACCCTCTCCGGCACACCGGCGGCCGGTCTCAAAGCCACACTGACCTTGTTATCAACAACCTCCTCATCACCTACACGGTTCCACGCCCTTACCAATGGCGATGGCCGTGTGACGCAGTGGGAGCCGAACTCGTCTACGGCACCCACACTGGCGCAGGTCATGCAGGGGTTCTCGGATGGTGAACGCATACCGTGGAGCATCACGTTCGACGTTGGCCCGTGGTATGAAGACGACGGTGTGGAAAGCTTCTGGCCAGAGGTCGAGGTCAAATTCTACGTCAAGAAAGGCGAACGACACTACCATGTGCCCGTCTTGGTTGGCCCATGGACATACACAACATATCGTGGATCTTGAATGCTGGTGCGTCGAACCAGGACATCTGATAGGGGGCAGAGGACAATGCCGGACGACAGACTGTGTACGGCTGTTGCTCAGTTCGGTCTGTACATCAACGCATTCACCACCATCGAGATATACAAACAGTGCATGTATCTCGACAGCCCTGCTAGTCTTTTGGTCTCTTCTCGACACGGCCTGCTACTCCATCCTCAGTCATGAGTCCTGCATACCGAGTTGCGCGTCTTGTGCAATTGTAGCGCGACGCGACAGCTTATGAAGACCTTTCAAACGTCCAGCATTCAAATACGACGGTCCAACACTGCCATGAACGAGAAATTTATATCCCACAATTCCAAGGAGATCAAACTTTTGCCAAGAGAGAACTATTCAATCTCGATATCTTTTTGACGTTCACTGTCAGCATCATCCATCTCCACTTCGGTACAGAGTCACGTTTTGCGACCACCCGATTGACCATACAAGCTCCGGCTTAGCGACGAGTGATAATCAATCGGTGCTTCGCGCAGGTTGTGTTGAACCCAATTCCTACGCTTGGCGTAATCAGGAGACTCGAGCACAGTGTCGAGATTGTGAAAGTTGTGGTGTGTTTGCAAACAGATCATGAAGCAATCAACTCCGCCCTAACAAGCCGCATGTTGTCATCGGTATCTTTGGTATGGTGAATAGGAGGAATATGATGGACTGGAACGCCGGCCGTTGATTGTCACCACGATTGGCTCGTTGATGTCGGGCTCGGCGGCATCTGTGCTTGCGATGGGCCTGCCGGCCATCCTGATTGTCTGCTGTCTCTCATATTCTTTCGACTGCCGTTTGAGATCGTCGATTTGTTCCTATGCCGTGTCTCAGTCATCAGGTTGGCGTTTCACCAGGTCGCAAGCATACCTTTGTCAACTCTCGCCCATTGATGAGATAGCCTTCTCGCCCCTAATCTCAGATGAGTGCCTGTGGACCGGCGGGTGAAAAGGAGTATCCCGTACATGGTACGAATAGGGTCTCACTGTAGCAGTCGGCCCCAGATGGTACTGGATCTGGCGAAGGACTATCTGGCGAGACAGGCCATAGCCTGGAAGCCAGTAGTCATGAGATGCACTGTCGATTGAAGACATTGCGCTGGAGCGGGAGTGGTGCTGCAGGCACAGCAGTCACAAAACGTATAGAAGGGTCTCATGGACTTGAGTTCTAGTCGGTGCAGGGTGGTCTTGCTGAGGCACTATGTTGGAATGTTCGTCTTGGTAGAGAGGAAGAAGGCGCTATGAGTGAGCAGCCTCGAGGCTGATATAAGGCTGTCAAAGGCAAGGAGAATCGTCTCAGAAGGCTGCCTGGTGACCCACTGGGACCAAGATGAATGGAGCGGACCGGCTCCCACCATTTCTGTATAGACTGAAGACGATAGGAAATAACCAACGGCTTGTAACGTAAGGATTGCACCGAATGGCTGCCTTGTTCTATTCATGCAAGTGTCGATGCGTACTGTTCGCCACAGATCGACCTATCAGAGAGGCAGGAGCGACCGGGATCCAACTGATGTATTTCCACTTTACAGGCTACGCCTCACTTTCGCGCTTCCATCTCATACCACTTTCCGACATGTCACCGCTCTGCCCATACTGCTCAATCAATGCAACACGTACGCCTGGGCGCATGCCTGCAGCAGCATCTTCGAAAGCAGTCAATCATACCTCAATACGTGGCTGACAGGCAGTCTGATGAGTTCATGAAACGCCCGTTGCCGTGGCAAATGAAGATCACCCACCCACTGCCTGCCCAAACCACCAGGTATACCCAAGCTGCGATTATTTAGACACGAACGACTGCCATAGTACCCTCCGAGACTTATCAGTGATCGACTCCCTCTTCACAGCACAAGAGTCAATGATCATCGCTGCACGGAATGACTTTAGAAGACCCGGGGCGAGCCTCACAATGCAGCCTACTACTGTGCTGCGGGTCACAAATCGAGCCCCTAACAATTACACTTGCAGCTCTGCGAAGGCTATGCAGGACCACAGAACTACCATGCAAAGTCGCTCTCACCGCTCATTCGAATCATCCCTGGGTGCAAGACCGCTGCTCTCCTTACGCGCTGGAGACTTCCATGACTTCCTGTTCGCACACGTGAAGGACCAGGAACACTGGTTCCATTTGTCTCCGCCCTCTAAATCGATATACCCACGTCCCTGGGTGAACACCAGTCTTGTACAACCTTTTTGACCCTCAAACTGTCTGGTTCTCCGAGGTGGCTTGTCCAATGAAGACACAATATCTGGCAATTTCAGCAGTCTTCGGAAGACCGAGAACTCCGAGAAAGAGCTTGCCTCATCTTCGGTTGTACCATTCATGAAGTGCTCCTGATGGCAGAGCTCCTGTGACAACGGGCTTGTCTTCTTGGCCAGCTTACTATGGGGGAGGTATATGTCTCAACCAATACACTGCTGGTCGCACTTCAGTATCTCGAACAGGTGTCGAGGGTCAACCTTAGCTCCACCAAGTCGCTTAAAGCATGAGGTCTCGGTCAGCTTGGAATTGCTCTGCTTCTGCAAACGGCAGGACTGTACCATCATGCTCCACCATGGCCCTGAGGACAGCCTGCGGCCCTGCGAAGGCTAGTCGTCCAAGTTGATGTTCAATACTGCGGCACCAGATCTGTCTACTATCTTAGCGGTACTTTTGTGCAAACAAATGCCGTCATAGGCCCGTTGGTAGGGTACGCCTGAGAGTGAAGCTCTACGGACTAGTCTCCAGAGATGATCCCCTAGTATGGGTCAGGCTAGCCTTGACCTACAGACCAATCACCTGTCGCAAGGCTCTACGACCTGTAGACCTGCAAACGGCACCGACGATCCTGCAGATCCTGATTGTGCGACTACTCAACTTTGGCCTGCTAATCAGGCTAATCAGTCGAGCGTTCGGCTACTTGTACATACCCATAAGATCGGCGCCCTGGACGAACGCCGCTCATGTCGACACCGTCACATGTCCCTCTTATGCCGGCAAATGACGAACTCTGTCGATCGAGGTGAACCCACCAATCTTCAAGGAACTGGGGCACAACCCGTAGGTATTGGTAACGACGACCAAATGCTACGGGGGATCAAGTCATGCTCCATGGAGCATGAGATAATCATACTTACTCCTCTTCGGTACAGTATGTTGATACCCTGATCGACGTCGCAAAATGGTCCAAATCTATCCGTCCCCTGCAGGTGTACGCGGCCCATCGCATTGCCGAGATTGATTCCAGTACAGAGGTTCCGTACGGAATGTGTCCATCAATTCCTCATAAGTCCTGACACAGGGTCACAGGTCCAGTACCAAGCTGCTTGGATGACATGAAGGGAGGGTTACCAATACGCGACGGCTATGATCAGGTGAACTGCCAAGTTGCCATAAGCCAGCCTCACTATTGATGATCGGCGCTTGTCGCATTGACGCTGCCCTCCCTCTCGTCGCCATGGTGAAACATCTCGATCAGATAGCCACAAGGACAAAGTTGACACCAAAGGGCGACAGCATGCCGGCATTGCCGTCTGGTCACAGTCCGTGGTAGTCGTACACAAGGTTTGGCGGCATGCGCAGCATATGGAGCCGTTCCACGACGCAGCCTTTCTAGCGGAGAAAGCAGTGACAGCCAATGACTGTGTCCTGGACTCCTCGCATCCGAAGTTATCAACCCCATACCATCTATCGCACGAGCTCATGCAGCCTGCAGGGCCGCGGAGCAATAACATTGACTGCCATGCCTCACGTTGGGACCGCCCTCTCCACATTTGCTATGGGTGGGCTCGTCGAATGCTGCGCGATCTAGAGGTAGTTCGCTAGTAGACTGGGCATCGAGGTCGCCCTCGTCGGACAGTTGTGCGCGGCAGGGCGGTATCTACCTCCCTCCCTTGCAGCTGACCTGTGAATAGACTGGAACTACTTTCAAAGATCGAGGAGTCTAGCATGCATTCTTATCTGGTGCTTGTAAGTGTACTAATCCAACCAGTGCTACCTTGGCCAAGGCAACACTGCTTTCACTTTTGGACCTTCCCAGCAAACTATCCCTCTCGCAACGCTCTCATCGCGATAAATGATTGGACAACCAGGCGCTCTCCATATACAGGGGGTGACAAAGAGATCCTCTGCCTGGAGCGCCTCGCTTGATTCGCCAGTCTGTCGGTCATCTGCGTACATGCGCTGCCTTTCCTTGCCTCACTGGGCTCGGACAGTAAGTTCTCAAACAGTAAGTTCTCAGACAAGGTACGTGCAGACCGCCAAAGCCCGAAGCTTCGCTCAAGCAACATGAAGGAGTGATTGAAGATCATGAATGAATGTACAGTCCAACCCGAGACCGCCTGGTTCAAAGAAAGAAAGGCATAGTTGGCAGAATGCACGAGCAAAAAAGACAAAGACATGATACACGTTCCCATTGGCATGCTCAGCCCAGCCATGGCCGATCCCAACCATATTTCTTCGTTTCAAAGCAATTCCCGCTATCCCTTGATCCCATCAAAACAATACCCAAATCCACATTATTGCCTCCCGACGAAAACTCCACCATCTTCGCCTCATCAAGTCGTTGTTCATCCCATTGGTTAGTGTACACTATTTGCTCGTCACATCTTGATCTGTACGGTCTTCCTCAAGTCGTGAAGAAGTCTTGGATCGAGGGGTCCAGCCCCATTTCCATGCTGCCATAGTCGAGGAAGGTATCAAAGTCGTTCTTATCTGGGTCGAGCTTCATTTGGAACTGTGACGATTGAGACATCATCGTGCTCGAAGTGTCCGTGGGCATGTCAGAAAAGTCAAAGGCCACGACGTCAGCGGCGGGCGAAGAGCTCGAGTGCGACAGACTGGGGAGGCTGTGACCCGAGAAGCCATTGACCGCGCTCATGACAGAGAGACTTGGATCCATGACAGGGAGGTCTGGTAGCATCTGCGATGGCTCACTGGGATGCAGGTCAGGGATGTCACCTAGTTCGGCTGGGGTCAGTTCTCGGTAGTTCGGCGTAGGCTTGTTGCCTGTCGAGTATCCTGGACTGGCTGGTGGTGTGAACGAAAAGATGTCAGGCGGGAAACCCATCATCTGATCCATGGTCATGGTGTGGTGCTGAGGCATGCCGAATAGCGCCATGTCCTCGAAGGGCGAAGGACCTCTGATGCTGAGGTTGTCCATGTTTTCGGTAGGCGGCGATCCCCAGCTTGAATTGGAGTAGCTCGAGTTCGACGATGCGTACGCATCGTGTGCTTCACTGGTCTTTTGCCTGGTTCGGCTGGCCTTGTCGAGGCGGTCTTCCATCTCAGGTCTGTGTTTCCTGGGTCGGCCTCGCTTGATGTTCTTCTTGACTACGCCATCAAATGCGCCGATGCACATTCCTCGCTGGCGATGCCTTGTTAAAGCGTCGTGGCGAGCGAAGGAGTTACCACAAAGACAGGGATAGGGCTTGGTGCCGGTGTGAATCTTGGCATGTCGCTTGAGGTCATGGCCGCGGACGAAGCACTTCTTGCAGTGGTCGCATCGGAATTGTCGGTCGCCGAGATGAGTCTGAACGTGGGATTTGATGTTTTCCTTGCGACCGAATTTCTTGTTGCAACCGTCAAAATTGCAAGTCCACTTGTTGTCCACAGGATCTGGGCCGTCTATGTACTGGGCAATGTCATCAAGAGTGATGTTCGTCTCCTCGATCGAGGCTTGGATGCCTGGCTCCAGGTTGAGGTCTGATATTGACATGCGGCGAGGTGAGAGGGCCGGTCTACCTGGCGAAGAGCTACCTTCAGGAGCTTGCCAGGAGGTCAGGATTGGTACACCATTCTGCTCCAGTCTGGGAGCATATGAATCGCTGTCGAAATCTAGCTCTTCGTCCGCTGCTCTCGACTCTACCTTTACCTTGGTGGGCTCGGAATGTTGTGGCAGTAGTGGGCTTCGAACTCGTCTCCGACTTGCTGGAGTCGGCAAATCGGCCACTTCAAAAGATGTACCGGTAGGTGTTGACAGAAATGCAGGCTTGAACTCTTCGTTTTCGATGATACCTTGCAAGGACCTGCCTCGTGCCATAGGTACTGGATAGGGTGACTGCATTGCAGGTGATGTTTGAAGCGATCGAGAGTATTGGACTGCCGAGTTATGCTGGCTGAAGGGAGGTGTAAGAGGGAATTGTGCTGCTGCAGTGTCAGTCTCTGTCATATATGCACGCACCGATCTAAAAACTCACCACTCTGGATTTGGTGTGAAGGTGTGTGTGGCCGCAACTGAGTCTGCACACGCAGATCCGGTTGCGACATTCTTCTGGCGTCAAAGGACATGCCATTGCTCTGAGGTGGATGGACGATGTGAGTGGCTTGGAAATACCGAGGGGTATTTTCGTCCATGAGTGCCATGTTTGGCATTGAAGCGTGCATTGGCATGCCCATTTCAGAGAAGAATTGTGGTGAATGCGAAAAGTCCATGCCTTGGTGGTTCTGGTGCATGAAAGCATTCATTGTCATGTTTTCAAACGGCGTCCCAGGCATTGAGCCCGAAGACGCCGAATAAATACCGCACTCGGGAGAGATTGGTAGGTCCATAGGTATGGTGAGTTGCTGCTGGCCCGGTCTTGCTATTTTCTGCTGCTGCGTTTCCCGCAAAATTTGTTGTCCGTGGATTGATCCTAGGTTAGTCATACTTACCGTGCTGCCGTGTTGCTGCTGTCTACGGATGGGGCTTCGTTGTTGTTGGTCGAAGGATTGGCCCCGTCTGTGCAGTGATTGTCGTTGTTGTGGCATGCTGGTACTGACCTTCATGGCTTCAAAGGCTACAACTGGAGTCGAGTTCTGTCTCCGATGTACTGCCTGTCGATGTTGAAGAAATGAAGGCGGATTGGACATCATCTTGAGGCGAGATGAGTTCGAATGGTGGAATTGTCAAAGGTTGTTGTTAATTTCCTGGTTCCTTCTCTGGTTCGAGACTGTGTCGAGGATGCCCGTTAGCTTGCTTCCCTTTGCCAGTGTATGCATTCTTCGAGCTCACCTCACGCAGCGCGAGGGCTGCGGACCGGGCAACGGTCTTTTTCTTTATGCTTCTACCAGTCGCAGGCGGGGCTTGCGACTTTCGTGTATATGAGAAGGGGCCCTCTCAGGGCAGTACGTTTTGTATAGGTCAGAACTGGGTCCTGAGAGGCTTCTCGCTTGTCTTCTTGTAGATCTTATGTGTGTGAGGGTGTAGTACTTGTTTGTAAGGTGTATGAGATATTGGAGTGGATATGAACAAGAGGAAGCAGTCAAGTACTGACGGCGAGGAAAGGGAAAAAGTCCATAAACAGAAGCGTTGTTATGGGTAACGGAGCTTACGGCTTTTGGATTTTAGTGGACTGACTTTATCACGCTTCCAGCCGCTGACGAGTCCTGAGAGGCAACAATGATTAGATGTCGATTAGATAAGATTCAGCGGCAAAAAGTCGCCACACTTTCGCCAAGGCCGAGCCACACCATGAAATTCATCTTCAATTGCGGCATCTCGTTTTTTGTTTCTTCTGGCTTATCAAGCACTTCTGCATTCAGAAGATTGAGGAAGACAGTAACTGTCTAGGTGAGTTCCTACTTGTCTGTGCTTTAAATCCTTGAGAACGCCTTCTCGTCCACACCAGCGACTCTCCAGCGATTGCGCATTCTCTTCACGACCACGAGAAACTGACTTGTTCCTTTGCCAGATCTTCAAGATGCAGATCTTCGTCAAAACTCTCACGGGTAAGACTATCACCCTCGAGGTGGAGTCTTCTGATACCATTGACAATGTCAAGTCAAAGATTCAAGGTATGTTTGACCTGAGTGATAGGCGGTTTGCGACAGGAATTGACAATATCTCCTCAGACAAGGAAGGAATCCCGCCAGACCAGCAAAGATTGATCTTCGCCGGCAAGCAACTCGAGGATGGACGCACTCTCTCCGACTACAACATCCAGAAGGAGTCGACTCTGCACCTTGTCCTCCGACTTCGAGGTGGTATGGCCAAGAAGCGCAAGAAGAAGGTCTACACCACCCCCAAGAAGATCAAGCACAAGCGAAAGAAGACCAAGTTGGCTGTCCTCAAGTACTACAAGGTCGATGGCGATGGCAAGATCGAGCGCCTGCGACGTGAATGCCCATCGCAGGAATGCGGTGCCGGTGTCTTCATGGCCGCTATGCACAACCGTCAATACTGTGGTCGTTGCCACTTGACCTACGTCTTTGATGAGACCAAGTAGGCTTCGGCAATGCAACATATGGGTGGACCGGTCACTACGGAAATTCTAGAGCACGGAACTTGATGCCAGAATTCAAATAGGCAGTTTCCCAATCGAAGAAGGAATCCAAATACTTGATCTCAAGAACGTGTTGCCCTTTCCTCATTCATATCAGTTACACCCGTCTGTGAATTCTGTACTTATCGCAGGGAGTTCCTGATACGGCAAGGATGGGTGGTGGGAACGTGTGTGCGCCCTGCTAGAGATCCCCGTCGAGCCCATCCTCCTGCCAGCCAAGAAAGTTTTTCTCCTTTCTTGCTGTGGTGATAACGTTACAAGCAGTCAACCAGCTGTTCCGATCATGCAGGTCATGTACACAAACATCATGTAAGGCGCTACTGCTACCAAATGTCAGCCGTGCATGATACCCAGCCTCGTTCGGATGTCAGTTGCATTTCTTGATTGGATCAAGTGTCTGTATCCAACTGCAACTTCATCGGTGCTCGTTGGCGCTGAAGAAAAAAGCGACCCATGGCTCGCATCTCCATCAGTGGCAGGACTAATCTTGACACGCTCTCAGGCTAACAGTTCACTGGCACCATGTGTCAGTACACCGATCCTTGCCGTTTTCATGCTACATAGTATGCACAGCATGTTTACATTTGCTCGAACTCGAAGAGCCCCAGCCATCGGTCTCCTAGCCATCAATTCACATTGAACATTGTCCTTGCCTCGAGTATTCATGAGACGTTAAGGTAGGTGTACTTCCTCCTTTCCACCTTTCTCTTCACCCTTCACTCTCCAAAAGTCGACTTGCTTGCCAGCGTTGCCCTCTCCAAGATCCAGTCGCTCGGAACGTGGATTTACAGAATGCGCAAATTCTTCTTCCTAGCACTGTTCGCCCTACCTGGGCACGCGTGGTCAGAGAGCATGTTTTTCGCCCGCTCCACTTCGAATACACCCTTCTGTTACTCAGGTGACAAACCTTGCGGCGCGTACTGCATACCTGGCACCTATACTTGTTGTCCTGACTTGGAAGGTGGCTGCCCGCTGACCATGGAATGCCAAAAGGGCAACAACGCTGTATACGGATGCTGCCCTGAGGGGAAAACCTGCACTGGTGAAGGAGGTGCAATGACTATTGACTACAATACCGAACTACTCGGCAACGTCTCTACCGTTGCCGCACCAAGTACGACAACCACGTCAGTGAAAAGTTCTGCCTGGACTCTTGCAGTGGGTGATGCTGTGGCCATGGCAATAGTGGCAGCTCTTTTGGTTGTCCTGTTGTGATTCCGGCTCTGTCATCAAGTCTTCTTCGAACGAAATGCGAAATGGTAAGGTTGTTGGAGTACGAAAGGCACTCCAATACTACGACAAGCGGTACCATATATCCTTCTGCCTTCAACCACCTCATGTTACCGGATATACACGGGTGGGCAAACTCAAATGGAGTACTGTATCTCCTCGTTTCCCCGCTCACATTCTGGGGATGGGAAGGTTTTACCCAGGCTTCGCTAGGCAGAGCACCGCCTGAAAACGATTGCCGAATGACGCTGCGGGGTGTCGATACATCTCGAGGATATTGCCGAACATAAGAACATGGACTTCCCACAGAGTATAGGACACTGATACCTCAACCTTGAATCCTCTTTCGGGCAAACAACAATCTGTACTTCCGTACCAAGTCAACCATCATAGCATGTCCAAAATGAGAGCAGCGCGATACCACGGCAAAAGGGACATCCGCGTGGAGGAAGTTGCAATACCCGAACCCGGACCTGGTGAATCCCTGGTCGAAGTCGAATGGTGCGGGATCTGCGGCAGTGACCTTCACGAATATGTTGCCGGTGGGTCTTTTTCTCTCCAGGGTTGACCTTCAGGGCATCACTGACTCCAATTCAGGTCCTATGGGCATACCATCTCCCGAACGTCCACATGCCTTGACAGGCGCTGTGTTGCCGCTCACCCTTGGTCATGAATTCTGTGGTCGCATCAAGAATGCCCCAGAGGGCTCGAAATGGAAGGAAGGACAGGCTGTCATGGTTGACGCGCACATCTTCTGCCGAAAGTGTCTTTCCTGCACTTCAGGGAACGACCACATGTGTGAGAAGCTTGGCTTCATCGGTATCAGTGATTCCAGGCGTGGCGGTGGTCTGTCCGAGTACGCTGTGGTTGAAGATGACCACATCTACGCTCTTCCCGACAACGTCAGCCTCGAGGATGCCGCCATTATTGAACCTCTCGCTGTTGTCCATCATGCTGCTAAAATGGTGAATCACAGTCTCCAGGGTCTGGACGTGCTCATTGTCGGAGGCGGACCGATTGGTGTCGCGATGATTCCTGTGCTACGGGCTCATGATGTCAAAAACGTGTTCCTAAGTGAGCCCACGGCTACGCGCTGGCAACATGCGAAGGGCTCGGTTGAGAGAGTGATCGATCCCAAGACCGAGAATGTGGGGGCTGTCTGCAAAGAGTTGACGAGTGGAAAGGGCGTGGATGTCGTCTTTGACTGTGCTGGAGTGCAACCTGGGCTACAAGCCGCTTTGGATGCGCTCAGACACGGAGGCACGCTTGTCAATGTCGCTGTTTGGGAACAACCTGTGCGTCCGAGTTATTGCGTCCGTGATGGGACCTTGGTGCTAACATTATGCTTAGATATCAATCCCGTTCTGGCAGTTCTTCCTCAAGGAGCTCAAAATTGCGAGCTCTTGCTGTTACAACATGCAGGACTTTGCGGAGGTTATGGATTTGATGGCACAAGGTGATTCCGCACGCTCCACAAACTTCTACATTTATTGACAGACCTTCCAGGTCGATTCAAGGGATACGATAAGATGGTGACGAGTCGGATATCGTTGGAGGATGTTGTTAAAAAGGGGTTTGAGGAGCTAGTCAATAACAGGGATGAACACATCAAGATTATGATCTCGCCGAAGTTGAAGCAAGGTGAATGACAAAGCTGCATTAGATTAATGGTCTATAATACAGAAATTCGGACAACTATGAAACAGGTATTTGACGGAAACCTCTGAGTATGGCTGCCACGGACAAAGGACCGCAATGAACGGGTTCTCTTTACATTGGGCATAGCGATATTGTCCTTGCAATTGGGGGGTATATGTATAGCAGAAGTGTGCAGCTGACATTTAGATGACAGTACCCTTGTTCTGCTTCTTGTCGACATTCCAGTTCTTCCAGATGGCGATGGAAGGAATGGCCAGGACCAGAATGCAGGTGGCAGCAATTGATTCGTACTTCTGGGCCTCTCCCCAAGCGTGGTTGATGGCAGTTCGGACGGGAGTACCCACAGCATAAGTCATTTGAACAGTGTAGCCTCCAAGGTAGATCGTCTCGTAGTCAGCTTTGGCACTCTCGGGGAGCGCCTTCAAGAGCGCGTTGGCGAACGTGTTATCGTAGATGGCAGCAGTGACGGCGTAGCCAATGGCTCCACCAATGCTCGAGCACAGACTGATCAGCGACAGCATCATCGGCACGCCGTCTCGATCCGCAGAAGCCATGACAGCCATGTCCTCGCCGATAACGAGAGTGCCACCAGCGAAGGCGATGAAGATCTGGCACATGACGAGATATCCGATACCATACTCGTTGCTGCGGAAGTGGACCATCAGACCGGCTCCTAGGAACATCAACGGAAGACCGAAGAATAGACAAGTGTATTTGAAGTGCTTCGTGGCGCGGACCCAGACGCCGAAGACGACGCCCCAGAAGCACGAGCCGACGTTGTATATCTCCGTCATGTACCCGGCCTGGGAGTAGTTGAGGTTGTATACGACCAGGATGAACGAGTAGTAGTAGATGTCCCAGCAGTAGAAGGAGAAGTAGAGGACGGCCGCGAGGCAGCAGGCGCCCAGGACGGTGCGCTGTCTGAACAACTCCCACCGGACGAAATGCGTTCTGGCGAAGAATTTCTCCCAGATGGCGAAGATTGGGAAGAGAAGAAAGCCTACGACAACCATGCCGATGAATTTGCCCGAACTATACTGCGCCTTGCCGTAGCTGCTCAGCGAGAACGGCAGCAGGACAAGGACGAAGGCGGCCATTAAAAGGATGCACCCAACGATGTCGAATTCGTGGAAGTAGTGCATGAACGACTGGAAGGCGTTTCGGCCGCTTGCCTCTTTCTTGAAGAGACCCATCTTTTCAGCCTTGCGTTGGTAGAACTTGAACACAAGAACCAGGGGCATGAAGACGAAGAACATGATGATGATGAAGGCGCCATAGCCCCATCTCCATGTGGTCGTGTTCAAGAACGCCTGGCCGAGCAATGGAGCGGTGAACGCGGTGCAGATGAACGGCGTGCCCACAAAAGCGAAAGCAAAGGCTCGGTTGCGAAGACCAGAAGTGTCGGCCACGAAGACGTCCATGATAAGGTAGATGGCATCGTAGCCAATCCAGTAGAGCGTGTAGCCCGCGGCATAGCCACTAGGGCCTTTGCAGGACGCCAGGATGATCATGCCCAGGAGGTAGACACAGACGAAGAGAAAGAAGCCTTCGGCACGACCCCAGATGTTGAGGATCTTGGCGATAGGTAGCTTCAAGACACCTCCGATAATGCTGGCCAGAATCGCGGCTGTGGTGAGTTGAGGAGCAGCTACGAAGTCGGCGTAGGCAGCGGCATTAAAGAGGGTGGTCGTTCCTTGCTGCAGGGCAAGCATGAAAAAGGCCACCCAGATCCAGCCGTAAGTCGCGTATACGGCCCACTTGGGCCATACGAGGGCTACGGCCTCAGCCTTCTTGACACCGAGCTGAGCATGCTGGGTGACATTGTTGGGATCGCGTAGGATTTCTTTCTCGTTCTTATCGGGCAAATCCAGACTGTCCGTTTCTGAGTCGGTAGGGACATCCGACGCCGACGCTTTACGAACGGTGGGACTCTCAGAGGTTGTGAACTTCTTTTGAAAGAAGCCCATTTTTAAGATGCCAGAGAGAGATAAGTGAGAAGGTGAGTCGACGACAACACCTTAGGTCGCATATGGCGAATGAGGAAGAAGGTCATGCATGGTCCTTGCAGGAAGGGACTCTGGGGACTTATTTATCTTCAGAGAGTTCTGATCTGACAGTATGATAAACTTCATAGATAAGTGGCACCAGTATCCCCAAGCGACCTGGGCGACGGGGACACTTGCTTCTCGAAGGTCCACAAGGAAGTATCTGATAAGATAATCGCTCAGTACAAACCCCACCATCGTTGAAGAATTTTTCTGACGTGGTATGGAAAAGTATGAGATGGCGTGGCCGGGGTTCAGGGTGCATTGAGTTGCGTCTGTCATGTCGTTGTCATTGGTCCTTGTGGTCGGCTCGAGCGGCAACATGATAATGATAGCTCGTCTTCTGCGGGCTCCATTGTCATACCAAGACGAGACGAAAGAGCTTGAAAAGGGTCGCACAAGGAAGCTTGTTCCAGTATAGGTACAGTCTAAGCGTAGGTCTTGTCTTGCTTGGCGTGGTGCATAGGTGCTGTATGCAGTGTGAAGGTGGCATGAGGTGGAAACATATGGGCATCAAGAGGGACTCCGTTGCCCTCCTCTAGGGACTCGATAGTTGCTGCGCCGTAGTCCATGCAGCTAGTCGGAATGAGGCATTTCTCGTGGACTTCAGCGTGCCAAAACCCATTGGCACTGGTCATAGCCATCTCGATCAAATCTTATCAATCGCCATCATTGGCTGTCATCGCACAACCCCGTCGTCGCTGATCCGCTTTGAGGCGGCTCGATCAAATCTTATCAATCAGAATTTTCATCATAAATGCGGGCGCCGATGACAGCCAATGATGGCGATTGATAAGATTTGATCGAGATGGCTATGACCAGTGCAAAGAGTCTTAGCCGTCGATCTTGCGTTACACGGTAGGTCTCCTTTGGGCCCTGCAGGTGTGCATCATTCAACGGCTGCCGTACAAATAGGCTGGCTTCCACTTGTGCCCTGTATCAACTGATTTATTATTATCTGCAACATGTCATTTAGATGAGTTCGTTGGCTATACGAACACTCGGTTATTGTCATTCCACTTTCAGGCGAATTCCCATCATGTCCCTGAGGCCCTCATACAGCAACTCATTGGGCCTGAAACCTGCTCATTCAGGCCTGGCCCGCATTCCCGGTGGACTATTGCCCCTGCTTTAGTGGCTATCTTTTGCAAAATCCTGTTCAAGGCCAGCGCGTCTGGACCTTTCAAGGCACTCAGGTACCAGTATGCTGGCGCGCCGCTTCCTTATATATCTGATAGGCATGACGTTGTCCAAATGATAGGGCAGACCATCAGCTAGGTGATTTGCCTCATCATGAGTTGCTCTTCGGTGTCCACCTGCGCCGTGAGCGCCGGGTCGTGGCATTCTGCCCCAGGTTTGCTTGGAGCAATGTTGTCTACATATCTTCCGCATGCGTCACGGCTACCGTGGGAGAAGACGAGTGCAAAGATCTTTCCCACCATTGCCTAAACTCAGATGCGATACCTGTCTTGATCCATCCTGCGCATTTGTTGACGGCACCATGTCTATATCAACAAATCTGTCGGTTATCAACTTTACACCGTATGACTGGACTCAGATAGGAAGATCAAAAACAGCAGGACTGACAGAATGGACTTTTCCAAAAAGCCTTGCATCAGGTAGGTAACATCAATAACGCTGGCGCAAGCTCGCAGCACTGACGCTGGTTCCAGGGCAGGCATATGATGCTGAGATCGTAGTGAGTAAACCAGCTCAAGCGGAAGCGCAATGGCCCTTCACTTGGAACGACGGCGCAAACCCGGTCGCCAACCTCACACTTGCGGTCTCCGGCAGCTCGTACTCAATCAACGCCGCCCTCGATGAATACAGTACCGAGCACAACCCTAAAGGTTCTGTCGTGAACATCCCCTTGACCAACGAGGCATGGTCTCCTTTCATCCTGGTTGGCAACGAGAGCAACCTAGCCGGAAATAACCCTCCGATCGATTGGATGGCACAGAATCTGCCGTACATCGGATGCTTGACACTCCAGGACATGGTGATTCCAGGCTCCCACGACGCAGGGATGTCCGAGATCAACTATCCGCGCGAAGGAACCGCTGCCAACAGTCAAACCCAGACGTTGAATATCACGGGACAATTGCAAGCAGGTATTCGGTATTTCGACATCCGCCCCACGATATCACACGGCCAATTCTATACTGGGCACTATACAGACGAACTCGGTGCCAACGGCGAATCGATCGCCGACATCATTTCTGACATTAACCGATTCACAGCCAAGGGCAACAAGGAACTCGTCATCCTCGAGCTGAGCCACACCATGGACACGGACTCGTCGTACCAGGCCTTCAGTGACTCCCAGTACGGCAGTCTATTGTCTCAAATCCGCACGAATACAAAGCACCTATACACGGGCCACGGGTCCGACGTCCTCACTAAGTTACCCCTGTCCGACTTCATCAGCAACTCTGCGGCAGTGGTAATAGTCTGCGACGAACGAAACACAAGCTGGCTCGCGGCCAATGGATTCCAAAATAAGGGGTTCTACTCGAGCTCCCAGTTCCCCGTGTATAATAATTACGCCGATACTACGGACCTAGCCACCATGCAAAAGGATCAGTACACCAAGCTTGTTGCCCAGACCAAGACCCCGGACAATGCCGCCCAACTGTTCCTGCTGTCGTGGACGTTTACTCAAAGCATCATCGATGCGGTTGGATTGGGAGGGGACACTCTGCGCCAGTCGGCGACGCTGTTCAATGGATTTCTGGCCCAAGTTGGTGGCGCTGTGCCGTACACTGGGCCTGTTACCTGGGTCGCGGATAAGGCAGGGCTGCCTAATATTATCTTGATTGATAATGTTCCGACTAATAATAGGTTTTTGACGGCCATGGCTATTGGTTTGACAAGGTTCTATGGAACGCAATGTTAGGGATAGCTATGTCGAGTATAGCTTGGTATGTCTTGGGAATGACACGTTTTGCATAGCAGGGACATTGGGGCTAATGTGAATGTATGAATGGGGTGGTGACTGCGCCCCGGGATAATGCAGTCTCATTTTCAATGCTTTCTGAAGATTCCAATGCTTCTGTCTTCTGTAAGATGCAGATCTGATACTAATACAATGCCGTGTTCTTTACTTCGTATATTCGTTCTGCTAGTTAGCAGCCTCTTTCGCGTGGACCCTGTCACTCCATGAGCCTAGAGCATTCAAGACTTTTTCTCCTCGCCTGCCTCTTTCTCTTCTTCTTTTTCTTGCTGCTTTTCCTGCGCCTCTATGTGTTTGAGGATAACTTGTTCGCGCTTCAACGCCTCTTCATTGACGTCGGTCCAGCCGACCTCAGTCAGGATCTTGCCCACCATGTTCTGATACTTCAAATGGCCCGTAACGTCACCGCTCATATCGTAGCTTTCAACGCCATACACCCCCTTGATCTCCTGCAGGCCTGCAATGCCGAGTTGGACGCTACTGGTGCGGTACAAGAACGCCAAAATATAGTCATTCTCGGAATAGACGTTGATCACACGGCCGGTGACCACGCTGCGCATCGATCGCCAGACCTCGTCATCACTTGGCACGGGGGCGCCGATGAGCACCACACTCTCAATCAGACCAAAGGCTTCTCTCCTGGCGAGCGCTAGCAAGCACGAGTAAATCACCCTGGCGCCGAGCGAGTGCCCGACCAGACTCACGGGTCTTTCACCCTGGGCCTTGTTGATGAGTGCATCAGCGAGCACCTCGCCTGCCTTCATGGCGCGCAGCTTCGCGACACCGAACGGGCTGTCGACCATTTTCGCGATCTTCAGGATTCCAAACGGCAGCATCAAAGCGGACCACAGACCAGCCAGGATTGTGCGCTTGATGATCTCCTTCTTGATGTAGCCCCAAGCTTTGGACGAGATGAAGTTTCCCAACGCGTTCCCCAGGTTCATCAGGGCTTGTAGCTCCCAGCGCAGCGCGAAGGGTTCGCCGCCGTCGCCCAGCACTCGCCATGGCTGCGTAACTTCCTCTTCTTTCGTCAACCAGCCTGTGATCCCGATGGTGACTCTCAGCCGCCGTCGCTCGTGCTGCTTTTCCTCGCTGTCATTCACGGAACCCTTGACCGGGAGGAACGCAAAGTCTTCGATCTCCTTCGCGTATTTGTCCATCATCTGGCCTGTCATGCGTCCGCCGTACGCTCCAAACAGTCCACCGACGAGGACTCCACTGCTGGCCAGGGCGCCGAGGTACCCTGCCGCAGCGGTTGCTCCGAGTCCGAGACCGCCCAAAAGTCCACCGACCCCAGCAGCCACCAACGGTGCAGCCAGACCGCCCGTGACGCCAATAAGTGCCGCGCCAGCCACGCTGGCCAGTCCTACTTTCCATTTTCGTGCTGTTGCGCTGGCCTTCTGGGCTGCAGAGGCAGAGTCACCAGCGTCCATTTTGCTTGCGGCCGCTAGGAGCCCGAATGCAGTGTCTTTCTCCATCTTGCTTAACTCACCCGCCGAGATGTGCAGCGATGTGGCGAGACGCAATATCAGCGTCCGAGAATGGGCTCGATAAGCCTCGAGACTGAGTAGCATCAGGAGGATCGCCTTGAGGATAGTGGAGCGTTCAAGGTGACTTAAACTCGCCAATTGTGTCTGGACTGGTGGGTAAAGTTTGGCGAGTCGCGCATCTGCCACCTTATCCCGCTCATTGGGTACATATTGTGGGTTGTTGGTCTGAGTTGGAGGTTTGCGAGCGTGCTGTGCATTCTCCCTTTCTTCTCGCGAGTTGACCACTTCACCCACTCTTAGGACCACGCTCTCGGACCACTTATCAAAGAATTCGAGAGCTGATTTCTTCAAGGCTTCACTTTGAGGAGTAGCGGAGACTGTGGCTTCCTCTTCATGTTTTGCTGCTTCGCGTTCCTGTTGCTGAAGGGCTTCAGCTTCGGCCTCTTGGCTGCCATCTCCAGGGTCTTCGATGTTCAGTTTGGAGAGGTCTGGTTCCGCTTCTGAAGGCTTTTCTTGTTCGGTGTCTGATTTTGGGATCTTCTCGAATCCGTTGATGATATCATTTCTCATATTCTCTGTAGTGTTGGTAATTAATAGGCTAAGCTCGGCACGCTGCTCAAGGGTGAGCAGGGTTGCCAGCGACTGATCGTCTGCTTGTTCATTTTGGGAGTTCGTCTGGGGACTGGCATGCTTAGGCTTGGAGCCGAAGTCTGATAGGAAAGACATGGTGACTTGGCTTTGAGTGCTTGTAGCCTAAGTTTGATGCTTTACCAGATATGTATGAAGCAGGAGGACAACGGTTTCCTATCTGAGTATCTCGTCATCTTTGGAGTTAGATGCAGATGACGACGGCCAAGCTTTCACTTTGTCCGTGGATTTCACTCCGAGGTTCAGCCTCGTCACCCAGGCTGCTGTCAGATCATGCCTACATCGTTGCAGTGGAGGTACACATGCGCACGCCAGCGGATCTTTCAAGAACGTCCTTGCTGAGGGCAAATTGGAGCATCGAGAAGCCCGCGTGATGTCCATATTGAACAAATTTCCCGGTGTCCAAATATGACCTTGCCTGGGAAATGGAAGAACCTTGGCCAGGCACCCTAATCGACTGTCTCTTCAGATAATTTCAGTGAAGTGAGATTGATCTTCAAAGTCGTTATTCATATTGATCCATCAGGGCTTGCATGAAAGCTCCTGCAGGCCCACTTTCCATTACATTATGTACAGCTCAGCAAGCAGCTTATATCTACAGTGCCCTGCCCACCTCGCGAGTCTGGCAGTGGGAGACATCCCCGAACAGAAACGCCTTCCCAGTATACAGACAATCGACAGAGGCCAAGCTCAAGCTCGGCTACTGTCTTCGGAACGCTGGCTATCATAAGCCGAGGTCTGAAACGACGTCTGTGACAACATCACTTACACCCGACAGATCCACGGTGGGATCTATGTCAACAGTAGGATCGATATTGATGCTGTCGGCGCCGGGGCTGTTGCAGTTGGTAGGACTAAATGACGAGCCGATGCAGTCGTCATCTGAACGGGCGTTTATCTCTGGCTCCGGTTCTGGTTCGGCAGCTCTAATGGCGATGGTCGGGTCGATGTCGAGGGACGGATCGACGTTGACGCTATCTGCGCCGGGACTGTTGCAGTTTGTCGGGCTGAAGGATGAGCCCAGACAGAGGTCGCCTCCCACGTCTGGGACAGGAAGAGCCAGAATCGTGCTGGATGCAAAGAAGACGAGGAGAAGACTTTTGAAATGCATCTTGAAGGGTCGATGTGTTAAGCCTCTTTGCGTGACGCTGGGGGAGTGTAGAGCGAGTGACTGGGTGTAGGTAGAGGCGTTGGGTAGGACGAAAGTGGGATCTGCCAGACGACCTACCGGTACTATATAACCACGGCACGATGCGCTGTGTCAAACACGTTGAGCCATTCGTAGCAAGATTACCAAGGAAAGCTGCTCCATCTCCTGTACGGAGTAGTGCTTTGCTGATCACTGGCCTTGACCTTGGTGAAATCCTAGGCCTAAAACAGATGCGCAAAGAAACAAAGCTGTTCAGGGCAGATCTCTTTCCGTACGTGATGAAAGTCGCGACCCTCGTTCGCTCTTTCAGGGCAGAAGTAAGCAGTGATATGCAGGAAGGCGGATCCCCGGACTTGTGGCGTTCCGCATCGACGTAAATGCCCTCTGCGGCTCTCGTCGCCTGTTCCTGAATAATGATCTCCATTGTGAGGAGCGCACAGAGGTACTTATATTGGGACTGCACGTCTTCTGTCTGTATTTCCTTGCACTTGCGATATGGTCAAGGTCTTCCGCGAGATGGTCACCCAGATATAGCGAGAGCGAAGCACATGCCATTCGTCAAGCTCATCCCGACGAAATGTCAGATTGACCTCAGGAACGATCGGCAGGAGGGAGTTCCCACCAGGCGCTGCCGATCGATCTACTTTTGGGTTCATACCGGAGTGCTGGCACAAATCCAACTTCACAATGGGCCACTGGAAGCTCACATTTATGTCAAACTTCAGCTAGCCAGCAGACTTGAAGAGAAAGGCCATACGTAGGTCCAATTTGGGTTTGGGTTGTGATCTTTTTGGGTTCCTTGACTCGGATGACTCGTCCGTACTATCTTACCCGAAATGCATACTGCGGCTTCGTCGCAAGGCGCCTGAGTGTGTTGCATATAACTTTCGCCCACAACAACGTTCAACCACTGATGATCCACCAGTGGCTCGGCCACTGGTCAAATAGACACTTCCGGCAGCGCAAGCTACGAAGTCGAGGTCTATTGATGTTAACCCATGAATGCTCATACAAGAGTAGTGGTATTTTGTCTTCAACTGAGCAAGAATAACACAGTTATCATATTATGGGAGTCCTTGGCGATGATGATGCTCGTACTGTGGGATACGGTGCTATGGAAGAGCTGGGTGCAATGATATATAGCAATAAAAATGAGCTGCAGCCGGTGGTCGCATGTCATCACGCCTGCGAACGTGTTACACACTCCCACAAAACATGTTCCAACATTTCTGTCTTTGAGGATGCTCACCGGCAGATGTCTGAGACTCTGAGGGGTCTGACAGAATTCAAAGGCTGTAAAAAGCCTACGTACCGCACACAGATGAGAAATAGTGCTCACATCATCTTCAGTTGGAAGAACTGGACAAAACACTTGATCTGTTGCTAATCGTGTTGTACCGCATTCAAGTAGGATTGCTAGAGTCCGTGAGATCGCAATGAACAGACCTCTGGATGGTGGTCCATAAAACTTGGATGCTTTCTACAGACAGGGAGAACGGCCAAATGTAAGGTCGTGCGGTGATCTCATCCTCTGCAGTCTTGTCGCAACCTTGCCAACGACATGGCGCATGGTCTCCCGCCCTTGCTTGACTTGTCTCTTTCCTACTCTTTGGATGTCCCTACCTCACTGCACTCTGCTCTAGCTCTGGGCCGATGTTGGTATATTTGAAGTCGGATCTCGTTGATGGTGAAAGATCGGCTACCGAGGCCGTCGGGCTTTGATCTGATGAAATGCACATTAGAGCGAGCTGCTTGAAGTGCAGTTGCAACGGCTTAGTGTTCGTCTGGGCATATTGGTCAAGCAAAGGCATGCGGTGCGGACAGGAAGGATGCCACTGGTACGATTGGGATCGGGGGCGCCTTGAGGGTTGTCCACGAAGTTCATTCTTGCATGGCTTGTAACTTGCCATCGCCGATGACCACAACACAACTACGAGCGCATCGAACGTAGAAGTCTGCGAAGTCTACGTTCGATGCGCAGGAACGATGCACAGAGTGCAGGATGGAGAAATTGGCTTCGTAGAAAATGATGGGCGACTCGCACTGTGCCGCGGTTGCGCGGTTATGACGGCAACATTCTGCGGTAGTTCAACCCACCTTCCAGTGGGCCACCGCAACTCACCAGTGCCAAAATCAAGATGGGAATTTGTCATATTGGTGACTTGATATCTAGGTTCCGGCGATGTCTTGTACCGCTATACAGACATTCTCATATCAGCCGTGGTGATGGCGGATGACCCAGAGAGACAAACTGACGTTCAAGAGGAACAAAAAGTGCCATTGGGGAAGCCGCCCACGAACAACGACAATGAGACCGCGCCTTCCTTCGAGAGTCCATTCGACCTTCCGAACTGGCGGAAATGGATCAACACGGTCCTCCTAGCCTCGATGACCATGGCTGTGACGTTCGGTAGTTCAGTTTGGTCATCTACTATCACGGTCACGTCCAAGCAATTCGATGTCAGTGAGACCGTCAGTATCCTGGGCGTGTCCCTTTACGTTCTGGGCTTTGCTCTTGGTCCTATCGTTTGGGGACCAATGTCCGAATTCAAGGGTCGGCGACTGCCTCTTTTCTCGGGATTCTTCGTCTGGCTTCTACTTCAAATCCCGATCGGCGTGGTGAACAACCTGCCTGCTCTTCTCGTCTGTCGATTACTCGGTGGATGTTTCGGTGCAGCACCAGTCGGCCTGGTGTCGGCAATGTATGCCGATTTCTGGGAGCCAGCTGAACGCGGTATCGCGACGGCGATCTATTCTGCTGCCGTGTATATTGGGCCAACGTTGGGACCGGTCTTTGGGAGTCTCGTGACGGAGAATCCCAGCCTGGGCTGGCATTGGACAGCATGGTTGACCCTCATCATTGGAGGTGTCGTCGGCGTTCTGGCATTCGTCTTCGTCCCGGAAACATATGGTCCCGTCCTGAAGCTGAGAGCAGAGACAAAAGCCCGCAACCTTACCAGAACCCCTTCCCAGAGATCTTACGGCAAGCAAACCCCAACCTTTCGGGACTTTGTCGGCAAATATATGGTCAAGCCATTGTTGATGCTATGTTATGAGCCGATGCTGATGGTGATGACACTGTACGTTGCGATTGTTTATGGCATCTTGTACCTCACATTCTTCGCTTTCCCCTACAGCTTTACTGAAGGCCGCGGCTGGGATCCTCGTGTTGGATCTCTGCCCTTCCTGAGCATTTTAGTCAGTGTCCTGGCTGGCTCCGTGGGCGTTGCAGTCTACTCGAAGAAATACTATCAACCACGACTAGTGGCACGAGGCTCTGTGCTACCGGAGGATCGTCTTCCGCTCGTCATGCTGGGCAGTGTAATGCTACCAGCAGGGCTCTTTTGGTTCGGATGGTGCTCGAGCAGCCACATATCACCTGTACCGCAAATCATCGCCGGTCTATTCATCGGGTGTGGAATTATGCTCATTTTCACAAACTGTGTCGCATACATTGTGGATATCTATCTACAGTCGGCCGCGAGTGCATTGGCTGCAAACACATTCGTCAGAAGTGCAGTCGCAGCCGGGTTTCCGCTCGCTGCGCCACGCATGTACCGGGTGCTTGGAATCGCTTGGGCCACGAGTGTTTTGGGATTTTTGTGTATATTGCTCATACCGGCGCCTATTCTTTTCTACAAATATGGCCGCAAGCTCCGACAAATGTCTCGGTATGCTCCTACACCGGCCTAGCTGTCCGGACATCATGCTGTCCATGGCACGATGACCACTCTCATCCACCCATGTAAAGCAAGGTTACTACTGTTGGCTGAAAGGTTTATATGAAAAAGTTCGCGTAAGTCAGTGGTCAGGCGACACTGTCGGTGGCTTCGCCGTCCATCGAGCTCATGTCTTGCGGAGTGGTCCTGCAGGAACTCCTCATCTTACTCCTCACTTGAGTCCTCGGTATTCCATTCCACCAATACAGGTGGCTGCATGACCATCACCACCATGCAACCTCCAACAGGGTCAACGATCAATGGCACGATAGGAGGGGAAAGCTTGGAGAAAAGCTTGAGAGAAGTAGGCTATTGACCTCACATGTACGGAGTACGCGGAGCGATGCCGATCGACAAGCAAACCATCCCTGTATGGACACTGGGTATAACAGCATCACCCATCTAGTATCACATCAAATATGCCGCATTTCCCGTTACTCCTTAGCTGACGTTGTCCGAGCCCTTTCTACCTTTTCTCCTACAGCTCGCTCGATCTCGTGAAGATGCATGATTTCTCCACTGGTTCCAGGACGCTGTCGGGTCAAAAGCTCTCGCGGCTGATCGGTCTGGCATGCTCAATTGCTTTCATACTGTTCGGCTATGGTTTGTTTGAGTCGTCGTTGGGCTGTGCGCAATACTTACGTCCACAGAGCAAGGCGTCATGGGGGGTGTAATCACCGGCCCTGCTTTCACCAAGCAATTCCCTTCCATCAATACAACAACGGCGAAGGGCAATACCCAGCTTCAGGGATTTACCGTCGCCAGTTATAACATTGGCTGTTGGGCAGGTTCCCTGCTTACAATGTTCATCGGTGACAAACTTGGCCGTAAGAGGACAATCATCATCGGAGCTTCGGTTCTCGCAGTAGGAACCATTATTCAATGCAGCTCATACGATCTCGCCCAGCTTATCGTTGGTCGCATCGTCACAGGAACTGGTAATGGGATCATCACGTCGACCATCCCGGTCTGGCATGCAGAGCTCTCCAAAGCTCAATCCAGAGGGAAGTTTATCACGACTGAGTTGTCTACCAACGTGGTCAGTGAGGTCCTGAATGGTTGCATACGTTGTGCTGACAATCCTGAAGGGCGGCGTTGCTGTCGCGTACTGGGTTGACTATGGAATGTCGTACGTCGACAACGGCGCTCAATGGCGGTTTCCAATCGCCCTGCAGATTTTCTTCGCTGTCAGTACGATCTTGATCCTGCTTCCACTCCCCGACACACCACGTTGGCTGGTCAAGCAAGACAAACGAGAAGAAGCTCTGGAGATATTGACGCGTCTCCACGGGCATGATGGCGTGGCAAACGCCCAAAGGGACCTGCTTGAGATTGAAGCTGCTCTACATGAAGAACGTGTTGCACAAGCCAAGCTTAATGCTCAGGGGTTAGTGTTGTTTCTTCATGGGTCGTTCCTAGTACTTCTACTTACGTGCCCTAGACCCATTCGCACCATCTTTTCCAATGGAGAACAACGTTTCTTCTATCGAACCATGCTCGGTGTCGGTGGCATGATTATGCAGCAGCTGAGCGGCATCAATTTAGTGACGTTTGTTCCCTACAGACTCCTCCACCCTGTTGGCACTCTGACCATCATAACAGTTACTACGCGCCCTACATATTTATCAAGTCCGTTGGCTTCTCGACTCGTCTGTCAGCTCTCATGTCCGGCTTTCTCAGCCTCTTCTACTACCTCTCGACGCTCATTCCGATCTTCATCATTGATCGTGTCGGCCGCAGGATTCTCCTCCTATGCAGCTTGATCGGCATGGGTACATTCATGTTTGTACTGGCAGGCACCACATCAGTGGTCTCCTTTGCTCCCGGCATTGTCGCTACTGTCTCACTATTTGCGTACGACTTCTTCTTCGGCGTAGGCTGGATACCTGGCCCATGGTTGTTAACCCCGGAGTATGCTCCTCTGACCATCCGGAGTCAAGCTGCTGCATTAGCGACCAGCAGTACGTGGATCTTTACATTTCTCGTGGCGGAGATCACACCGATTGCCATCAGCAATATTGAGTGGAAGACATATCTCATTTTTGGATGCCTGAACTTTGCATTCTTTCCTATTATATATCTCTTCTATCCAGAGGTGAGTCTACCTACGTCCGCTTTTGGGTGCAGTGGCTGATAATGCGTATGACAGACTAAGGGTAAAACGTTGGAGCAGATCGATTTGCTCTTCACGGGGCCCAAGATATTGATTAACGTCTCTAATGAGGAATTGGCAAGGATGCAACAAAGACAAGTCGAGCAGGTTATTGATCACAAGAGTTTCGTCTTGAAGGGGATTACACAGGCGACACAGGCGAAGCATGTTGAAGAGGCGTGAAAGATGTGACACGGTAGCGGAATTGGTGTAGAGTGGATCTGCAAGGTCATTGATAAATGTGCGGATCGTGTTTAGGAAGATACCCAGGTCTGCCATGCTCTGGTCCGTATGCACACATCGTATGTAGAACGGAGTGTAACGTAGGAAGTTGTTGGCAAGCGGGAGCCCCGTATGCAAAGAAGCCTTGCACAGCCTTGCGAGTCGTTCTGGATGATTAGGTAAGCATCTTGGCGTCATCTGGTCGAAGACTTCAAGTTCTTCATCTTCGACATCATCTTCATTTTCGCCATCGTTCCCCTAACAAACGATCGAGGTCGCAAATCACGTAGCGCAGAAAGGACAGGCGCTATAGCCTCCCATTTGCAAGAATTGCACATCAAACCAATTCACAGCCAATAACTTGTGCAACCAATACAGCAATGGAAAAAGAGTCCCTCCTCGCTATGACCAAGTTGCTCAGGTGCACTCGCATACTGTGAGACACTGAGTGGCTTACTGTTCATTATAACTGTCGATGTTGCATTGGGCTCTGAACACGCCGGTAGCCAGGTTCTTGGACCGCTGAAACGACGCGATGAAATCTCACAGGCGACCGACGGCTCAACGTCCGCGTTTGCTTGGAAGACGAATACCAGCCATTTCGATGCCAGGCCCAATAATGGAGCACAAGTTCGATCCGGAATCTGGGCAGGTCTATTCAGAGACTGAAGTGCGCTTCAGGAGGACTAAACAAACGGATTGGATTGGGCAAGCTAGAGGAGGCGGCTACATCAAGAAGGAGCGCCCTGTGGGGAGTGGTGCTCGGTCTCTTGCCCACCTGGCCAAGATCAAGGTTGCTAAGCAGTTCCCCAGCCTTACAGCGGACCATTTTGCTTCAATTCCCTGGTCATTGGCGGAGCAGATCTGGGAAGAACTGCTGTCTATGTGTGTTGCACCAATCAATGTGCTTGGATGTGGCTGCTAATGATCAATACAGGGGAATGGAGAGTTTTCACGCATGGCGGATTCTTGCCACAGCATATCCTGGCCCAGACGAATTCGACAATCCTGAGTACAGATATTTCATACATATCAAGACGCCATCGTTGCCATATACTGAGTATTTGACCGGCATCACGTCGGAAAGCTTGAACTGGCTGACCTGTCTTCGCGTCTCACCACAGCGAATGAGCACAGCCGACCTGGTTGCTATTCACAAGACCACCAACTTAGCCGTGCTAGATTTGTCAGATGGGCGCATCCTTCCAGATATCGGCTCTCCGAGGTTCGACGAACGAGTCTTCCGATCCTGGGCTGATCTGGCCAGAAACGGTCAGGCCTTCCAGCATCTTCGGGTTCTCCTTTTTGCCTGGCAGGATTCGTTGTCTGATTGGATTTTCAAATACGTCGACGCCTTTCCATCGTTGTGTCGTGTCCTTATCACGGATTGCCCAAGAATGCACCAGAGAAACAGAGTTGATTGGGAGCCTATTACACAAGCTGCCGGCTGGGAAGCGAGGCACGCAAAGAAGAGTGCCAAAGACTTACGTCCGGTCGTCCAGGGCTGGAGACGTGAAACATCTGGGTATGTCGCCGGCTGTTACGATGAGAGCTTGGAACTGTTCAAAGATTTGGCGCATCCCAGACGACCGAACATGGTCGAAAGGTTGCCGATGTTGGAAGTGTGGCTGGACTATCCACGCCCATGGACACATGTCGTTGATGACTTCCCATCGACGCGAACGATATGGTTTGACAACACCAAAACACGGGTTTGGAAAGAGCAGACGGAAGGATCTCAGGTCAAGAACCATGAGGTGTCTAAGAGAGTGAGGAATCAGGACGTGGCATCGCAAGGATCGGCATCACCTCCGCCAAAGCGAGGAACGAAGACTCAGCCAACGATGAAGTCGAGGGGAAAGAACATTACAGCTTTGCTAGGAGAATTTCAGCCTCGATAGATATCTACGATGTTGCAGAGAAGAGCGTTTTCTAGATGATTGTGCCTGGCGAGCTGAGTGGAGTCTTCAGAGCATTATCTCAGTAGCCTCGTTGATACCTAACTTACCTGGTATCTGGTAGGTACCCTCCGACGTTAGCGGGCTCCCAATGCGGCGAGTCACGCTCTCCGCACGCGATTATAGAAGGTCAATATATAACGCCCTCACCTGAGCGACGGGAGATCCATACTACTTTCGAATAAACTCCTCACTATTACTGCGTTATCAGCAATTCTAGAAGCTTGTGCTTTTTTCCTTTTACGTAGGCGTCCGTATACTGGGTCCTCCCAATGATGCTTTCGACCGCGCATTGAACCAAATTACTGTCTTCCCACTGCTCTTCAATTCCAGATCCGTTGTCACCGAAAAGACCACCTCAAGGTACAACCATCCGCAGCCATGGCCACGCCCAACAGAGAGCCTCCAACACCCACCTCGCCTGCGCTCTCTTCGAGATCGAGCATGGAGACCGCTTCACCTTCAAGCAGAGCACCGTCCTTGCGACTACCATCCATGCCCAGTGCAGCCGCTCAACACCGTCAAAGCTTCAACGAGCTGCGAGGACAACCTCCCTCCCCACGCTCTCAGAGACAACTCTCCATGTCATCCCAAGCGGTACAAGATCTGATTGACAACCCTCCGTCGAAACATCCAGATCCCAGATTTGCGGGACGAGACTGGACAACCGTCCAAGTAAAAGAGTTGATCAACCCCGATAATCTCAGATTTGTGGGCAATGAAACGGGCATGGAAGCGGCTACAAAGGCACGGATAGACCTTTTCTGGCAGTCCAAATAGCAGAGCTAACAGCACCAGGTTCTTGTCGAGTCCGGTTCCAGCGTCATTCTCATCCGCGACAAGGATGGTACATCTGTGATTGGGACTTTCGACTACCACGACCTCAACGCCTACCTACTGCTGGTCATCGGCCTGGCGCATCCCGATGACGAGCACGCAGAAGACTTCAATGAGATGGCGCAACGAGCAAGAGAAGGCAAACCCGTACACCTCCGGGACATCAAGGACATAAGCAAGAAAGAGCCATTGTCGTTCTTGTCCGAGGACGCGAATCTACTTCAAGCCATTGAGACGTTCGGAAAGGGCGTGCATCGCGCCGTTGTGGTCAACCCCTCGACAAAGCAGGCCACCGGCGTCCTCAGTCAAAGTCTCCTCAACAGATTCCTGTGGGAGAACGGCAGAAGCTTCCCAGTTCTCGATCAACTGTACTCGCAACACCTGCGCGATCTGAAGATTGGATCCAACGACGTTGTTGCTATCAAGTAAGTTGTCCAATGTCGCAGTCCTTCTCCACGAGACAGGTGTACTAACAACCTATCAAGTGGTGACCGACCTCTAGCGGAAGCTCTGACATTACTCCTGAACGAAGGCGTCTCCTCGCTTCCAGTACTGGACCACAATTCCAACGTCATCGGGAACATCTCCATCGTCGACGTCAAACTCCTCACAAAGTCCTCGTCGCTCCCCCTCCTCCGCAATACCTGCATCCACTTCATCACAGTCATTCTCTCCACGCGAGGCATGTTCGAAGGCAAAGATTCCTTCCCCGTTTTCCACGTCACACCACTCTCTACATTGGCACACACGGTTGCCAAACTTGTCGCCACAAAATCCCACAGAATGTGGATCACCGAGCCTATATCGCCGAGTTCGTCCGGACCACCAACCCCGTCTCTGCACTCGGCCACTCTCGCCCCAACATCAAGTCATTCCTCCCACATTTCTGCCCCCAGTGGACCACCTGCAGCAACGTCTGTCCCGGTCGACGCCTCTGGGACCGCCGTCGCAGACGCATCAGCAAAGACCCCCTTCATTATGCCCACTGGACCTAGCATCTCCGCCTCCGCACTTCCAGGCGCTTTTATCTCCGGTCGTTTGGTCGGCGTCGTGAGCCTGACGGACATTTTAGTCCTGTTTGCACGAGCAGGTGGATTGGGGAATGCGGCTGACCCCAGTGAGCTGCGCCTGAGACGACGAAGAAGCAGTTCCAGCAGTGTACGAAGGAGCAATGACCTCGGCGCTCGACCTGTGCAGGGTTCCAGTCTACGACCTTCCGCCGACCCGGCGAAGAAATCTAGTGGAGTTACTGGCACGGAGAATGAGAATGGAGAAGGATGAATGATGATGGGGGTCATACTATTTTCGGACAAAATATCAGTTGAGGAACGAAAAAGACGGCGCCGGTTGACGTTCGGTGTCCCATGTTCTTGGAACAACCATTTCTTTCCCAGCCATACCCAGACCATGATGCTGGAGAAAGGGGCTCAACCGCACATGAACCACGTGCTGAGCAAGCTTTCTATCTAGAGAAGCACCACGAGGCAAGGGAAGCTTGCAGGGGAGCACCACCAGGCAACGATCCCGAAAGTTTGCGCTCCTCTCACAAGCCCCTCTCTGCTTGGCGCCAACGACATCGCGTTTGCTCGAGCCATCGGCACCAGTACCAGCACCGTTGAGAGGTGGCGGGAATACCCGATGTGCTTGTCGAACCTACCTAGGTATGTAGCTACCATAGATGCTCTAAGCAGAGTCATATCAGATTAGTAGGTCAAGGCTGGTCAAGGCTGGTCAAGGCTAAAAGATAGTCAAAAAGACAATCAATCAACATACGTCCTCACCCTTCCTTTCCTTAAGGAGGACCATGTATGCAGAACAAAGTATGCGGTATATACATAGCCCCTGAGGTTGAGACTTTCAGTCCAGAAGCGACGTGATTCCTGGCAGGTATTTGGAAAATCACCTAGGAACAGAGATGTATTTGGCCTAATGAGAAGGTCGAAAAAAACTTTCGAGAAAGAGGTTTGGGAGAGAAGAATGTTTTCTTTTATTGTCACACTGCGCTCGAGCTTTCCAGGTATCACTTTTTTGTCTTCCTTTCTTCATCCCTCGCATCCCAAAAGAACCCCCCAAACACGATCGACCTTGTTACCAGCCCGATCGGGTTCTCATAATCCTCCTCTTGCCAACTCATCAGCGTCCCCTTGTGGACGTGACCTGTACCTTAGAACTTTGTGCCATTTTTTTTCAGTGTCGTCAACGTTGTGTACAATAACGTCGTCAAATATACCATACCAGTGTGCAGTATGCACATCTCATTATATCCACCCCATGTATCGTGTGCCCAAGCACCTCAAATGGCCAAATCCACAGATCAACGCCGTCAGAGAAAGCATCGAGCCGATCAAAAGTCATAATAAACTGTGTCACATGTGGTGATCTGTACCATATGTCGTCCTGTAAAAATAGCGGACTGGTACGACAAGGAAGGAAGGGCAACAGCCACTTTTTCTTCCCAGCCAATTAGAATGTAGGTTGCAAAATGCAAAGATGTCCACCAGGACGCCATGGCCGGGCAAAGCCCAGGCTCATTGGAGCAAAAAGCACCATGCAAGGCCTGCGAAAGCAGTGCCATGACAATGCGTCAGTGGAGGCATTGAGGACTCATGTCATCATGTACATGTTTCATGTCCATACCAGGCGTGACGACGCCAGGGGTGCCTTGTGCAGAACCAAACCGGTTGGATTGCGATCCACTAGAGGCAAGGCAGGTGGATGGTGTGGTGGACTCCATCATGGATACACACCGGATGTAGCCGTATGTGGCTTGTCGATCGTAGCCGATGTAAACTGAAAAATAAAACATGGTTGTGGCTCACTTTGAGCTCGGTCACCGAGCAGGTTTACTGCCGACCAGTGGTGGGAGTGACTGCTGCAGGACTTGTGCCATCTTCCCAGGACCCGTCCATGACGAAGTGGTCCCAGAACCCTTCGCCGGCAGGGGTGACTTGCCCTGATCCAAGAGCTGGAACGGAGAATCCGAAGCCCTTGCTCTCCTGGGAGAAGTTGAAGTCCAACCCCATGGTGGGTGGGTTGATATACTCAGCCGCTGGGGTGGGGGGCTGGTTAGAGTGCGAGGCAGCCGGGGTCGATCCTGTCGTGGTAGTTTCGGTCTTGTTGTCCGCGGCGTGCTCGAGAGCGGCGGGAGCCAAAGTGGCCGACATGCCCGGATAGGCGGAAGGATGGACAGGCATACCCTTGATGCCACCCTGTATATCGTTCCATGGATAGTATGGGTTCGACAGCAATTGATCAGAACCCTGCATGAGCATGGCGTAACTAGGGTTGTTCGAGTCGAAGCCGGGTGCGTGAGCGAGCATTTGCTGCGACTCGGGCGGCAACGAAGTAGTGAAAGGACCCATATCCTGCCACAGGGGTGGGAAGGAGCCGTTCGTAGCGGACTGAGTCTGTCTTATATACTCGGGGTCCGGCTTGGTGTCACCGGGCTGGATAGAAGCCGGTGTCGACATCCTACGCTGGTCCAGCATGGGCGGCGCGGATGTCTGCGGTGATGCCGAAGCTTGGTTATTTGGCACAGCGGCCATAGAATATGCTCTACCATGGTTGGAACGGTACCCCGGCTGATGAGGTGACTGGTAAGGTGCAGGTCGGTAAGATTGCTGAGGTGACTGAGCCACATTCTGAGGTGGTAACATTGGAGATGGGAACATATTCTGGTTCTGCGGGTACGGGCCGTTGGGGTATTGACCATAGGAATTCTGTACCATCTGTTCCATTGCGCTCCGCATTGCCACCTGGTTGGTTAAGTAGGCAGCTAGCCTTCGGTTGAAGTCGGTTGAACCTGTTTGCAGATGTGCTGTAAGACGACGGTACTGCATAGGCAAATCATCGTCCTCCTCTTCGTACATTTCTTCATTGATAACGTCTTGTTCGGTCACCCGTAAAGAACGACCAGTTCGACGTTTGTGAATTTCGGAAGCTCTTCGTGCTGACTCTACTCGAGCCTCTAAGCTTCTGTCACTTCTCCTCGAGGCTGCAATATATGCTCTGAGAGCAGTTAGCAATGGCCAGACAGCAGATGTTGTGTCCCGCTAACCTTTCCTGGTTCTCCTCATGTGTTCGCTCAGTTTTGATTGGCCTTGTAGGCGGTGTCGTCCTTACCGGAGGCATGTTGAGGTCGTGTGGGAGTTGTAAATGGTAGTGTGTACGGAAGAATCCTCGAACGCGTGGAGGTGAGGTGATATATCAACCCGCGGGTGCAACGGAAGTAATATGCAAGGAGTATATCGGTATAGCCGAGAGTCAAGTGTTGGGTGGCGCCTCGGTAAAGATTCGTTACGAAACTTGGGTAGATTGCTAGTCGTTGGGCGATTCGGTAGGAGGAAGTCGCAATACACGGTGTGGCAAGAGTATGAAAGCAAAAGTGTAACAGGAAGTGAAAAAGATGCCGGGATGGGTCAAGGGAGGGCCAGCATTAAGACAGTTTCTCTCACAAGAAGATACGAGGGGAGCTAGAAGGAGTTCGTACAGATCGCTTGGAAATATAACGGAAGAATAACAAAGTGGACACACTGGACCAGGAGATACCCTTTAGCGGCGATGGAGACAACGGTTCGGATTCAGGATGGGCAGGGACAATATTGGACTGAAGATCGCGGCAGAAGGTGGCTGAGGGGCCGTGGTATGCTGGTTCTGGTATTAGATTTGAGAGGGACTTCAGGCTGGGTGATCGTTGTGGTTGGCTGAGATGAACTCCAGCGGCAGATCACAATGCAGTAACGAGGGCAAGAAAGTCAAAAGGTCGCAAGGGTTGAAGGGATTTGGAAAAGGCATGGTCTCGATACGAACAACCCATTCGCCCTACCATCGACTTCCCGCGCATCGCAAGGTTTTCTGGCATCGCACACCATACTGAAAGAGGAAGGCCAGAAAAGGCAAGGGACTGTGCGAGGTGGATGGGGAAAGTGCTGCAGCCCAGGCGGCGATCATAGGCCGCCAGTGCGCTGAATCGATCCTGGCTGGCGCCATTCCCGTATACCTTTTCCGACGGCTGATTAGTCCGGAGAGCATATTTCCTGCGTACTTTCGAAAGGAATCACCTCCCGAGGAATCTCACCTTGCTCAGCGATAAGAAGTTGTAGCGTGGGCTGTGTGGGACACGCTATGAGTTCATTGTTCCGATCTCAAACCTGTAGATCTGAATCCCGAGACCCAAATGGTCAAAGAGATCGGTGGAATGGACTGCAAAAACTCGATCTCCGGAGGTGTCTATCTTGACCTCTTCAGTCGTAGTGCCAGATCTTAGCGCTGCCTGCCTCGGCTATCGTGGGGTGTCTCAACGGCCGCAAACCACTGACAGCTTTGGACGGTATGATGCAACAACCTAGGGGCACGATACTCGTACTGCTCGAATTCTCCATTCGTTGAATCTTCTATCGAGTAGCTCGCGATCCGCTGGGATGTTCCCTGATCTCAGAGCGGCAGAGCTTGTTTGAGATTCGCCAGCGGAGATATCTCCCATCAGACAACTCCTCCTTAACTGCCTGGTGGAACTACTAACATGCACGGTGCCTCCTCTTGAGATTTCTGGTCCGGGAGACCTTCGTGTCGGCAGTTTGTTAAAGCTGACTTCGAATTTTCGTACTGGAGGATAGAGCTGGCAGCATCATACTGCCCTGTGCAGAGTTGGGCCTCGGTCTCTGAATGTGTTTGAGGCTGTTCATTCGCTGCGCATAATAAATGCGTGTAGGCGGGTTCGAAAAGAATGTGGAGGCGACGGCGGAGAGGAGATCCACGTCTGGTTGAGAGAACGGAAGATGCCAGAAGTTAAGATTGTCTGAAGAAGAGGGAGGGCCGGATATGCTCAAGGATGACTCGTGTTCTATTCTGAAAATGCGGCAGATAGAGGAAGACGGATGAAACCGTGAGAGCAGGTCTGGTGAGATGCGAGACGATGATTTGTGCGCGGGAGATGCCCCGTTCAGATCTTGCAGAAAAGCATAAATGACATGGTAAAAGGGAAAAACAGCGTGGCAGCCACTGCCAGCTCAGAGATTCGACGGTGCAGGTGGTGGAAAGTTCCAAGATGCGCGCACGCCATGGTGCCCTTAGTGCTATCCCAGAACCTTAGTTGACTCGGCCCTTTAACCATCCGACCCTGACACACTGCACGATAACAGTAGAAATATTATTCCAAATGTTGTGAAAATCTTATATGGGTTCTGGTATGGTTTGGTTTGGTGTCCTATGGTGATGGTACTCCTGCTGTGGAAATCTCCAGCTTACCACAATTGAAGGTTTCTTCGTACAACATTGTCAGATCGTCCACTCTTTACAGATCACCCCTACCTCCCGCGGTGCCACCTTCGTATTTTTGCCATCCCACCACGAGTGCCTTTTTACCACCACTCCACTACTGCCTGCAATCCCACAGATTACAGCATGACTCGCACCTGGCACCAACCACAGCCCACGCTCAACTAACTTCCACCTGCTCGGCATCATCCCAGGGTGACGTCCATTCCCCTGGCATTATGCGAGATCGGATCTGAGGCCGGATCTGGTACCCGCCAGATCTGATGGGTGTTACCACGAATCATTTTGTCTGCATCACTTGCGATCGACCCTCACACGAAGCTATGACGAAGTGTTACGAGATGCAGCCTCATGGTTTCGTGTTCGCAAAATCTCCCTCTTCATCACAGCCTATGACGATCCTCCTGCCTCTTCAGTCCAAGTTCTCATACCCACACGTTCTTTGGAATCTTTACAAAGACGGCGTCCACAAGAGCAGGCACAGACATAGACTATTCGGGAACGGATGGGGAAGGTGACAACCGCATCTTGAGGTTCAACTTTGGCATATATGGGGGTTGCTCGGACCATAACTCCGGGTGCTGAACCTCCTGGCTTCCAGAGGGGGTGCCCAGCTGCGCCGGAAGTGGCTGCACAAGATTTCAAAATGGCCCGCGCGTAATGCTTCCCAGTACCAGCTGTCCGGTCGGATCCAGCTGCCGCACTAACTAATCCCCAGCGACGGGACCGTGCCCTGCTGTTCCTGTGCCTGCCCCTTTAGTTCGTAAGATACCTTGAACCTCATCTTCACCACGTTGCCTTTCCCGGGAGGAACTCCATTCAGAAGGACTTCCTGTTGGATGGCGTTTCGTGCTTTGGGAGACATCTCGCGACCGGTTTGTGGTTTGAGTTGCAGTGAATAGCTCTTCTCCACGGCTACTTGAAAATGCAGGTTTGTAATGTGTGAATTTGTCATGTTCGAAAACCGAGCAGTAATGAGGATGTATGATGCGCCTGCCGGCCGTCGTGGTTCGAACTCGATTTCCACGTCCGAAGAAAGCACTTTGACGGTTGAGGTCTCTGGTAAGGACGACTCAAACGTCCATTCGTCATCGCCCTGTGCGCCAGCAGGAGCAGTAGATGGCTTGGACATTGCAGCCAGAGGCTGCGACTTGGCCTGTAATGTGTTGGCCTGTTTTGAAGGCGTCGCCGGCCGAGAGCTCGATGAAATTAAAGACGCAAATGGGTCGACAGACACTTGACTCTGCGCCCGCTGCTGCTGCACCGGCGGTGCAGGAGTTGTAGGTTTTGACATTGGTGAGGCGCTGTTGAGGGATGCAAAAGCATCGTAGTTTGCTTTTGACAGGGCTTGAGGGAACGCTGACTGACTTGGAGGCGGACTAGATGGATTTCCAAATATCGAACCAGAAGGAGCTGTGAAAGTGGTGTTGTTGTTGGAACCAAGTGATATGGCGCCCACAGTTCCTGAACCTGATCCATTGTCCCCTATTGATAAGCCCAGCAGATCATCCTCGACTGTTCTATGTTGTGATGGTGTCGATTGTGTTGCAATTCCTTCATCAAGTAGGGAGAGAGAGCCATTGGCAGAGGACTCCACGGGTGCACCAGTGGGCTCCGGGTCGAAATCAATTAGTGATAGCTCATTCGCTGCGTTTTTGCCAACTCCTGTCGTCGTGCCCAGTGTGCCCTTTGCAATCTTGTTGGCAGCTTCGACGTTCCCTGCTTTCATCAGCTTATATCTCTCGATCGTCCGATGTATGCTGTCGTTGATCTCGAGCAGTTTGGCAACCGCTTCAGCATCATCCGATTCCTCTTCACACATTTTCTGGATCTTAGGGTGAGCGCTTTGGAGTGCTGAAACGAGTTCCTATTCACGGTCAGTGGATAGACTGCGTCGTACATGTGTATCATACTTCGAAGACGTCCCCGTCGCCAATCTTGTCGCCCTCTTTGTGACTCTGAAGCATGTCTTCGAGAATCCTGGCCTTTTGCTGTACTTTAGCAACTTCTTCAGCAGCCTTTGCACGGTAGTCTGTCTTATGTCGGGTATCGTAGCCGGCCATCACTTTCATGAGGCGGTTCGCTTCTTGCAAGTCTTGAGGCCTCCCTCTCCGGATGAGTTCCTGGAGTTTCGCAGACTGCGCCGCTCGCTCCTCTTCCTCCATTTCTTCCGCAGACTGAAGATTCTGGATCATGTCAGCGTGATTCCGCTTCGGAGGTATTTCGATCTTACATCACTAGGATTCAGAACGGCGGCATCTTCACTACGGATTTCCGGAAACATGTAGCCTTTGTATAGCAGCAGCCGGTGCATATCCCTTATATAGCCCAAGTCTTCCTTGTATCTCGATGTTTGACATATCGTTTGCCGCCATTCTTCTATAGCTTCCAAGATCTTGCTTTGAACGCGGCTTGGCCGTAAGGGAGGTCGCTCAGGGAATCGTCGTACCAGTTCGTTGAGGAATTCCTTGGTGCTAATCTGTAACTGAAATGGGTATCCGCAGTTCTTGACACAATTGTCGAGTAAGGATAGTGCGAGGAGAGAGACATTGGGATTGCGGTGGTTGATGAGTTGTACGATTGTGACTGCCGCCTCACGCGGCGCATTGCCCTTCTTAGAGTTGATCAGATCAACAATCTCGAGGTTAAGGGCTAGATTGGGTTCGAGATTGGCGATTGGGTCGCAGGCATTGTATATAAACCGCTGCAGCGTCGATCGAGGAGGGGAGAAGCCGTCGAACTGATATTGACCCCTTGAGGCCATCCTTGCCGAAGCCGCTTCCATGTTGACGCAGACTGCGCGGAAACAGCTTCGCTTGTGACGGTCTGTTGGTGAAAGTGCAAATGGCAGCCGCTGTTCAGGACTCTGATGTGAGTTCGGACGAAGTCCTTGCAGCCCGCGTGAGCATTGCTGTTCTGACAGAGTCCAGGTTGTCTCTTGGCGGCGCCTGCTCAGGAAGTCTTTAGATGATTACCGTGTCGGGACAGACTGAGGGGCCGGAACCTACAGCCTTGCGCGGGGATAGCCGCCGCCTGGGTCAAACCATATTGAACCAAGAAAATACAATTGCAAAGAGATGGGTATGAAGAGTCCAAAATCTACAGTTCCGAATCCTAGAAAATGCACAAATGCATGATGTACGCCTCGACAAATGCTACAACCCGAATGCCATGTCTCCTTTCTGATTCGAGTATGAAGATTCACGCTCACTCTCAAAACAATCTCAAAAAATGTGACTGGTCATATCACCTCACTCGCCGCGGACTAGACATTTCTGCAGATTTCGATGCTGGTGGCACTGGTAAGTCCTTCATCGGCGGTGGTGGAAGAGGCCCATTTGGTGGCGGCGGTCGCATGGAAAGCGCAGGACTCGACAATGGGTTTCTGTTGCTCAATAATGAGCCACTGCTACTAGTCCTTGGTGGAAACATCGGTCGTTGAGTGGGCTCGATAGCCGAAGCTGGTTCTGGAATGTTGTCCCGCTCACTGAAAGCCAGACGATTGGCACGACTGGATAGGCCATTAGGAGAGTCTCGTGTCTCCAATGAAAGGTGCTGTAAAGACAAAGGAGGAGGCGGAGATCTCTCTGCTATGCCCGTGGGGGTCTGTTGCGGTTGTTGACCGGCAAATTGAGGCGCGGCAACTGTTATGTTGCCAGAGGTGGGACTAGCATAACGTCGAGCAGTCACTGGAGTGCCTCGAGCATCGCTTGTGAACGAGGAAGTTGAAGCAGCAGAAGTTGCGTAGGAGGCGTCCGAGCTGGTACCGTCGCTCTTGAGTGATTTCGGAGCTGGGGGTGCGAGATATGATTTTCGATTATGCCTCTCCATCATTGAAACAGCCCAATCCTGTAGATCCACGGGTGTCCGTTTTGCCGCTTGCAGAAAGTTGTCTCTATCGTAAAGCTCTCTGGGAGTCGGTCTCTCATCCGGACTCTTCAGAAGACATTTAGCGACGAAATCTTCCAGAATGCTGGGGAAAGCTTCGCTCTTGGGAAGCTTGGGAGCCGGCTCATGGACAATCTGCTGCAACAGATCGAGAATGCCCATAGGTCCCGCACTGGCTCTGTCTCCTGCAGCAGAGTCGCTAGAGTCAAACGGAAATCTTCCGATTGCGAGTTCCATTACGGTCAGGCCTACACTCCAAACATCTGATTTGATCGAGTAGGCTCCTCCTTGAATCCGTTCGGGCGCCATGTAAGTTGAGGTACCGACAAAGGTATTGGCGACCGAGTTAACGGTCTCGGTAGCGACACCAAAATCGCATAGTTTGATCATGCCTCGAGAGTTGACCAGAACGTTCGATGGCTTGATATCACGATGCATTATGCGGTGTGCTTCGTAGAGGTATACAAGACCTCCGAGTATAGATTCGGTGATCTTCCCAAGCACATCCACCCGGATAGGCCCGAAGTCTTTAGATATGCGATCCAGTGAGCTGCAGATTGTCAGCGCTGCGGTCAACTTTTGCCAGGACAGCACTCACCCGCAATCCATATATTCCATACAGAGCACAATATCTCGAGCCTCATTCTGGAACGCTCCATAGAACGTAATCACATACGGAGAGCTGCAATCATGTCCCACTTGTAATTCTCTCACAATCTGCTTGCGAACATTTTCTTTGGCGTCGACCCTGATGATCTGGTTTTACTTAGCATTCGCCGGTGATAGTGAGACCCTCTGTACGAACCTTTCTCGCCATGATAACCTTGGTCGACGCATGCATGACCTTACTGACTGTACCGCCATTGCCGGCGCCCAACTCTTTGAGGACAACCAAGTCCTCGCTTCTCAGGTCGAGCTTGAACTCCAATCCGATCTCTAGTGTATCTGTCCGGTCACTTTCGGTATTGCCCAGAGCCCCCGGTATTTGTGAGTCCCCTTCCGAAGGGTTGGCTGCCCTTGGAGGAGGAGCACTCAACGCCAGACCTTTCACATTCTTTCTCTTCAGAGTTCTGGCCTTGAACTGGTCGGACATATTGTCGGTTAAGGGTCAGGTGTCCACCCGAACTCGTCTCGCTGAAGACGTCTCGGTATCGATGTCGAAAATGAAGGCTCCAGCCGGGCGCAGGAGGCTGAGTTGAATCTGCGAGCACGGGTATATGCAGAATATTGGAACGGGCGGCTATTTTGAGACCCCAAGCACGATGACGACCCGATCCATTAGGCGCCTAAAACGAGGTGGTTGACCAGTGGGAGAAAGGTCAGAAGCAGCTGTCACGGCTGCTTGACTAGGGAACAAAGACTGGCATGTGTCAACCAAGCATGAAGGCTGCAGGTGCAATCGTGGTCTTGCGAAAGAAGTTGGCTGCAGGAGTTTGCAGGTGAGTTGGTCCCTGGTTGAAGATCGAATGTGAAACTGGAGACAGGGGCGGTTACGCAGTGCTCAAAGGGACGATAACGGCGCGGTATTGATGTCTGAAAGCAGAACAAGGGGAGCTTTTCGTCAATGGTTCATCTCATAGGTAGATGTAGCTTCTGATGGTACACCAATAAATGGTTAGATGAAGATTCAAGCGAAAGTGCCTAGTCAGTCGTTGGCATTTCCAGCATCACCGTAGGTCCGCAGTCTGGACACTGCATACGTGTATGAAATGGATACCCCGCAGGCCGGACGACGCGATCAGAAGCCCAGAAGCCCTGAAGTTTTAGGTAAGCATCCCTGAAACCTACTCATAAGCGGTCCACTTTTTTTACTACGGTGAAGTATTTAGTATGTTTGCGTGACTGTCCAGTTGGGCTCACATTTTTCGGGGAAGGAAACAGTCGCCGCACCGCAGTTCGCAGTTCGGCCCTTCAACATTGCTTCACCTACAACTGACTGCGAAATTGGTGCCTGTGGACAGCAAACGAAGGTAGCAATTCGCGTTGCTGTACTTACCCTTCCATCCTCCTCCTTTCATATCTCTAACCACTGCAAGCCTTGTCAACATGGATAGGCTCATCGACGACCGCGCAATACAGGACGATGAAGAGGACGATGAATCCTTCGACGAGGAAACTGGTGAAGTGACAAAGAAGGCCAACGGAGCAAACGGTCGCTTCGACGACTCATCTGAGGAGGAGGAAGACGACGATGACGAGGAAGCAGCTGCAGAGGTAAGATTCTACGTCTGGCGCAAGGGCATCTCACCTAACACCTCCTCCAGGTTGCAAAAGGTTTCATCGTCGATGAGGACGAGGAAGAAGAAGAAGCCCGCCGAGAACGAAGACGAGATCGGAAGAAGCGCCGGCGCGAAGAACGCGAAGACGAAGGCTTAGATGAGGAAGATCTTGAACTCATTGGATTAAAACCTGCGGAGGAAGCACCCGAACCAAAATTCAAGCGACTGAAGCGTGGGCCCCGTGAAGACCGCGATAGGCAGCAAGTCGGTGTCAATGATATTTTTGGCCACTCGGACGATGAGGAAGAGGCTGTTGACTACAACCGACGAAGCCGTCCAGACCGTCGTGGTCTACAGGACGAGTTCGATGACTTTATCGAGGAAGACGTGTTCTCCGACGACGAACAACAACGGCAGCGAGAAGATGAAGAGGTCGCTCGGCCGAACCGTCGTGGTCTTCCAGATCTAGGTATCGCAGACGTCGCAGGTCTCGATGAAGCTGCCCTGGAGGACTTCCGCGCAGCTTTCGGTGATGGCACCGACTACGATTTCGCTCTCGAGAAAGAGGATGAAGCCGATGAGGAAGAAGCTCAGAAGGACAAACACTTGGACCTCAAGGATGTCTTTGAACCATCGCAGTTGGCCGAGAAGATGTTGACAGATGAAGATAATGCGATACGCTACACTGATGAACCTGAACGACATCAACTTGCACGCAAACCCTACCGCCACGTCGAGCTCACCGAGGATGAATTCAAAGATGAAGCTGCGTGGATCTCCAATCTCATGCTTCCGGGCAAACAATTCACCTCCGATCTCCATGAACCATTCAGACGGTCGATTGCGCATGTTCTGGAGTTCCTAGTCCGAGACGACTATGAGGTTCCATTCATATTCCAGAACCGAAAAGACTATCTTCTTCACGTTGTCAACAAAGTCGTTGGGAGAGAGGAGGACGGGACGCCGCGCACAGTAGCAGACGCCACCAGACTCCTCGTTCAACGCGACCTATGGCAGATTTTCGAACACGACCTCAAGTATCGTGCAATTGTCGAAAAGCGACAAGCACTGCAAAAGACATACCAGGACTTGAAGTCGGCCAGTGTTTCTAATGATACCATGTTTGAAAAGATGCTTCCAATGGCAGCCACAATGGAAGAGCTGCAGGACCTACAGGACTACCTCTACTTCGAGTACGCCTCACAATTGAAGGACTTGGCGTTGACATCTAACGGCGAGACTAATGGCATCAATATGTCCCAAAAGAAAGCCACGACGAAGACTGTTTACGAGGAGATTCGCACGTCGAAAGCCTTTGGTCTTGTTCGAGCTTTTGGTATTACTGCTGATGCTTTCGCGCAAAACGCAGCTCGAGAAGGCGTCCGGACTTACACAGAAGATCCAAGTGACAGTCCGGAAAATCTTGCAGGTACATTTATCGACGAAGAGTTCTCGACGACCACGAAAGTCCTTAAAGCCGCCAAATCAATGTTCACCGAGGAGCTTGTCATGAGTCCGAGGTTCCGCGGGCTCGTCAGGAAAACTACCTACCTTGATGGAGTTATTGACTGCCATCGAACTGAGAAAGGACTGCGAAAAATTGACGAGCAACACCCTTACTACGAATTCAAATATCTGAGGAATCAGGACTTTGCGTCATTCGTGCAAACACCTGATCTCTTCTTGAAGATGCTAAAGGCCGAAGAAGAAGGTTTAGTCGAGATCAGGGTGAGACTTCAAACCCCGGAGAATTTCAAGAAACAGTTACACAAGCATATCGAGACGGACAACTATTCCACTATCGCGGACTCCTGGAATGCGGAACGTCGCGATGTTGTATCCGTTGCTGTGGACAAAGTGATGAAGCTCATGGGCCGACTCGTCAAAGAAAACTTGAAAGACTCGTGTGAGAACACCATAGGTATCGAGTGCCGAGAGGAATTCAGCCAGCGGCTTGATCAAGCTCCATATCAGCCCAAAGGCATGAGAAAAGGCACGACTTCTCGCGTCTTGGCACTTACCAATGGAGGAGGTACACCTGGTCGCGACCATATTTACTGGTCGTATGTCTCCGACGATGGCAGAGTACTTGAGCATGGCCGGTTTAAGGAACTTGGCCCTGGTGATCAAGAACGAAACCTCCCAGATGGTAAGGATGTGGAGGCACTGGTCGAGGTCATCCGCCGGAGGGAGCCAGAGGTCATTGCCGTTTCAGGCTTCTCGCCCGACACTCGCAAACTCCAGTCCAACCTCAGCACCCTGATCAAGAATCATGATCTGCGCGGCCCTACCTACACCGATGACGACGATCGAGACCGAAGTGATTTCTTAGACGTCATCTTGGTGAATGATGAGGTTGCACGTTTGTACCACACCAGCGACCGTGCGAAAGCTGAGCATCCGGGACTTCCACCTTTGGCGCTATACTGTGTGGCCCTTGCGAAGTACTTGCAAGACCCTCTGAAGGAGTATGCTGCTCTAGGACGCGATCTTGTCTCAGTCAGCTTTCATCCGGCTCAAAACCTTCTTCCCCAAGACAAGCTGTTGAAGAAGCTAGAGATGGCGCTTGTGGACATTGTTAACATGGTCGGAGTCGACATTAACGAAGCTGCTACTGACAGCGCTATCGCGAATCTCCTGCCTTATGTCGCTGGCCTTGGCCCCCGAAAAGCTTCACATGTTCTCAAAGTCATCAACCTCAACGGTGGCTATGTCAGCACCCGTGAGGACCTTCTTGGAGTTAACGAGAACCATCCCGCCATGGGATTTAAGGTCTGGAGTAATGCTGCATCGACTTTGCACATTCACTTCGACATGCAGGAGCCTACGGCTGAATATCTGGACAACACTCGTGTCCATCCTGAAGATTACGACATTGCCCGCAAGATGGCAGCCGATGCTCTCGAGCTTGACGAAGAAGACATCGAAGCCGAAAGACATGAAGGTGGGCCGGGAGCTATTGTCCGCCGACTGATTCGGGAAGAAGCTCAAGAACGTGTCAATGATTTGGTCCTCGAAGAATACGCGGAGCAGCTGGAGAAGAATCTGAATGCGAAGAAACGTACTACCCTGGAAAACATCAGAGCTGAACTCAACGAGCCCTACGAGGAGTTGAGAAATCCTTTCCGCACCGCTCTTGGTGAGTCCGAGGTCTTCACTATGCTTACAGGCGAGACGAGAGAGTCCCTACAGAAGGGCATGAACATTCCTATGACCTTGAAGCGGGTGACCGACATGAATGTCGAGGGCAAACTCGACTGCGGACTGGATGCCTTAGTAGAAGATGGCCAGTGGGCGGACAGCGGCATCTCTCCGAAGCAGTTGTACACCATTCATCAGACTGTGCCGGCACATATTACCTCGATCAACCGCAAAGATTTCGTTGTAACTGTCAGTCTACGGGAAGATCAAATCAAGAGACCTTTCAAGAGGTACAACCACAGTGACCGCAGTTACAACGAATGGGATGACCGTGAAGAGGCCGCAGACAAGAAAATGGTGGAGCAAAAGACTGAATCAGGTGGAAGGGTGACCCGTGTCATCAAGCACCCGCTGTTCCGACCGTTCAATGCCAAGCAGGCGGAAGAGTACTTGGGTAGTCAGAACCGTGGTGATGTGGTGATTCGTCCGTCGTCGAAAGGAACGGATCATCTTGCAGTGACTTGGAAAGTGGCTGACGGGATATTTCAACATATCGATGTGCTCGAACTCGATAAGGAGAACGAGTTCTCGTTGGGTAGGACCCTGAGGATCGGTGGACGCTACAATTACTCCGACTTGGACGAACTGATAGTGCTGCACGTCAAGGCCATGGCTCGAAAAGTGGACGAGATGTGCGGCAACGAGAAGTTCCAGGACAAGTCCAAGGCTGCATTAGGTGAGTATTCCACGACGAAAAAATTGTGCACTTGCTAACTATCGTGCAGAGGAGTGGTTGACCACCTATACCAACGCCAACCCCAAACGATCCATGTACCAATTCTGCATCAACCGCGAGCGGCCGGGACAGTTCCATCTTGTGTTTAAAGCTGGTCAAAAGGCCAAGCTGATGGATTGGAGTGTGAGGGTGATTCCTCAGGGGTTTGAACTGATGAAGACGCCTTATCCTTCCATGAGGGACTTGTGTAATGGCTTCAAGCTGATTTTCCAGAACATGCATGATTCTGCGGCATTGGGCAGACGAAGATAGCGATAGCACGGGTTGCACTTCCTGAGGAATTGTATCACTTAGCAGGGCAGAATAAAAGTCATTGACCATCACTTCTACCTTGCTTTTCCGTAGTGGTCTGATATAGTGATGTCGTCCTCCATCCAGACTCCAATTGCATTAGAGCTTGTAGTCGACGCGTCCACCTTTGTCATATAGGCCTGATGTTACGATATAGTGATGATGACCGCCTCCTCAATAGGCAACTCACATCGGCGCTGAGGACGAAGCTCTTCTCCGCATGAATGAAGAAATCGCTGTCGATGCTTACCGCGGGCATCACTAGGTGTAGTAAGGACGTCGCCGTCGATGATAACGGAGGCTGTTACTAGGTGCAATGAGGACGTCGCCGTCGATAGTAGTAGAGGGTATCTCAAGGTTCAATGATGGCTTCCGGAACCATAGGACCAAGACGTGCTTCCGACGCAACGTCTACGTACATCCTCGATACGGTGGCGAAGAGGTCCAGTCACATCAATACAAAGGTAGTGCGATACTGACGGAGTGCATTTCGTACTGAAAACAGCCATTTGATACTCTATCTAACAAGTTCGCCGCAAATCCAACACTATCAAATCTCGCCAAAGTCCTCCCCAGTCCACCCATATGTATGTGTCAACCGCCTTCCCAGGTATCTTGCCATAAAATGGGGGATCTCGTTGCCAGGATGCGGTTCATGCACCTGGAGGCTTCTGGTCACATCAAGGCCCTCTGGTATGAAGTGCCAGACTGAGCCGTAGAGCTTCTCGGCCCTGAAGCCGATCTTGGTCATTGCGTGAAGGAAGTCCTTCCAATTGACCTCCCTTCGTTGGCACGTTGCTTCCCTCGTATGGAACAAGGAGCGGAACACTGTCAACGCACGCTCTTTCAGCTTGAACTTGACAACAGGTTCGGCAGCAGTAATAGGTTCGGCGACGTTGTCCTGAACGTTCGCTTCAGGGGCAACCTGGGCTTTGCGGGTCTTGATCTTGACGCGCGGACTCTCTGCTGTGAAGCGTCCAGAGGTCTGTGGCTCGATAGCAAGCTTTGCAGTATCAGGGACCAATTGATGCATGGAGTCCCAGGATGTTGTCTCTCGTCCTTCGTGCGGGCGAAAAGGAAGCGTTCGGTTGATAACACGCGTACCTTTCGAGTAGCGACGTAGAATGTCATTCAGTGTCTCACCCATGTTCTTGTGGACAAGGCAGTCCCACCTCCTCCAAAAAAGGTCCAAATTCCATTCCGAACGTCGTAGGATTGCCACATTGTGCTCGTTGTATGCCTTGTGGATTGGATAGTTGAGAGAGTCTTTGATTGGAAAGTCCAGACGACTTTCTGCTGCACCTGTAGGGAATTTGCCATCCTTCTTGAAGATCTCATCCATGCGTGCGAAATTTTCGACCTGGGCAGAGTCCGTGTTGTCCATTTCTCGTAGTTTTTGGTTAAAACAGAATCCCCACGGATAAATCCCTTCAAGCACCCTGCAGATGTTTGCGACCAAGGCAAGTTCTGAAAATCCATCCGAAACGAAAGGTGACAACCTCTGCGCCTGCTTTGGATCTTTCTCGATCTTTCGCTGTATCTCGTCGACGATTTTGTGCAAACCGACTTGCTTCAATGCAGTGCGATGGCCGTCAAAGAGGTGCATGAATAGCATCATCAAAGGATCATTCAGACGCTCTGAGTTCTGCGCTCCTATGCAGACGATCGATAACCCTTCTGGATCAGGTTGTAAGATGTTATCAAACCATCCCTGTTCTGACACAGAAACAGCCATGGAAAGATCATTCTTGAAGGACATAGCAAAGAACTCTGCAAAAAACAGCAACCTCATGGCGGCATCATCCACATCTTGGGGCAATAGTTCTTGATGATCAAATTCCGAGAAGCCTTTAGGTGCTTTGTTGTACAGTACTTGGGCCCCCTCATAGAGTATGTCCCAGAGCGAAAGACGACGATACGTTTCATGTATCTCCGCATTGATCACGTCATTCCAGAAGCATTCGCTCTCAGGACCTGGCTTCTTTCCCTTCCACTCTCGGAGGTTTTCAGGTCGGTGCTTCGCTCTAGACAAGAGCACTTGCAAGAAGTAGCCGGGATCTTCTTTGATACTCCAAGCATGATCCTCTGCTGCTGCTCGTTTGGCCCCGATTAGCTGTAGCAGTTGATTGGTGTCGAGAGTGTCCGGAACCCTGAAAGGTGCCTCTGCAACCACGGTGGCTAGGTTGAGATACGTCGTATCTTGTGGCCAAATCTGTGCTGATTCCGTACAGAGCAACACTGGGCCTCTCAAAAGCTCGTCCTGCGGCACATCGGAAAACATGAGATAGCAGCAGTCCAGGAGAAATTCGTAGATTTTGCTTTGAATTTCAAGAGTCGCAAGTCCACTTGCGACATCGAAGTGGACACCACCCAGCCAGAGATAGAACTTCTTGTAATCGTTTTCCTCCCAGTGTGTCAATGCTCCGTACGTTTCAGGCGTAGTCCGTCCCATAAACACCATAAGCTGCCCTGGAAGCCAAGCACCTTTGATTTTTCCATTGTTTCTGCCAACCTCGGTAGCCGCCAGGTCGGCATGAGCAAAGACATCTGGATTGGTGCGTGCACGAGAGTTGAGTAATAGGGGTAGATTTCTTGCATGAGCAAGATCCTCGAGATTCATCCATGGCCACTTGTAGACGGCGTCGGACTCAAGGGGCCTAGGTGGTTTGCCCTTTGGAGGATAGATAGCCTCTAGAGTTGCCTGGATATCAACACCATGGGTGCTAGGTATTTCCGGCCACGCAGCTTGCAGAAGCTTGAATCTCTTGTCTTTGGACTTCTTTGCCCATCTCTGTTGCAGACGACTCTCTTTGTGGTACAGTATTTGTGATATCTTGTCGCGAGCGGTGAAGATCCTGTTCGACTGTGTGCTGATGCGCAGTTTCGCCTCTGCAGTTGAAATCACGAAAGTGTTCTTTGGTCGAGGCTCTTCCAGGAGCAGTTTGGACATAGTTTGTGGATCCATACTGTCAATAGTGTAACGAAGGTATGTGATGCAGCCTTGCTCGAGAGTGGACAGTTGCAAGTGCCTTGCAGAGGTGTGTGTTGTAAAGGATCCCAAACAATGACAATCACAAGACAGTCTTGTCGCAGGAAGTCCATATTCACCGCGCCTTGGCTATACTCCTCGATTATTCCTGGCAGTTGTCATTCACTGTGGTCGGCTATATCGGTTGGAAAGGGGCATCACTTCTGATGTTGCCAAGGAGTGAGGACAACTCTTGTGTGTGAAGCTGGAGTCCTGAATGGTGAAGTCTAAGTAGACAGCCAGGTGGAAGTATATATATACAGCCCCGTTGACATTGAGGACTGTGTTGACCACATAAAGCCGGACAATGGACGCTGCACTTGGCGTACATCGGACTTTCAGATCACGGATGCCTCTTCATGGAGACGACATCCTCCACTGTCTGAACAGAAGGTCGAAAATGCCCGATTGAACCCCTGTTTTTTGGGCTACAATGTCAATGGCAATGAAGGCAGCGCGCGCCTACAGCATATAAGAGCACACACTCTGACTGTCTCGCTGATGAACGTATGGTGACAAAGGCTGAAGAGTGTCCAATGGGTAAAGTGGGAGATGCACCACTAAAAGCAGGCTTTTGCCCGATATCAACAGAGCACTGCTCCATGACATCGTGCTCTGGCACTGAGAGACATTTTTTGTCCTCCTCGCCCTCAAAACACGTCGCAGCATGCTTGAGGATTGCGTTGTTCAGATTCGAGATCGTGGAAGTTCTCGAAGTGCTCCCTTCCTCAGATGTAGTGTCATCCATGGGTGCAGTGGTTGGGACTGAAGTGATGGGGGACCACCACACTTCTGCCATGGTATTCAGGATTCTGTCACGCATGATGCCATGTACAGGTGTCGGAAAAGCGAGGCATCAGCGCTGAAGTCCATGAGGTGATGTTGTTTCAAGTGGTCCTTGGCTTGAGGTTGGTCGAAACAGGAAACTGCGCTGATGTGACAATACTTCACAGTACATACACTGCATCAATATCGATAGGGTAGAAGATGGAACTGGGGAACAAGCAGCCTGTGAATGGATGATGATGATCTCCATCGATTATCTATGGAAGGCTTCATCTAGCCTCCTAAGAGGGTGCCAGAACACTCTACATGGTCAAGCATCAAACAACAAACCTGTTTGCCCTTGACAAAGGAAACAAAGAAGACTGAGGTGAGTTGAGGCCTCTACAGTACTCCGACTCGTCATGATTGTCTTGTCAACCACGGCAGCATTATGGATGTGCTTCAAGACTTCAGCGTCCCCTCCACAAGTCCGGCCGCCACTCCAGGTGCACGATGGATCGCAACAACCTCTAAACCGACACTCTGGAACAATCTCCTGAAATCCTCCTCCGTCCTCTCCTTGCCTCCCATGACCATACACGCAATATCCAAGGATGCCGTATGTGCCTCCTTAGTAGTCATGATCTCCGGCAAAAGCATATCGGCCACCAGGACCCGGGAATCTGGCCCTGTCATGGCCGGAATGACTTGCTTGAGCAACTTGACGCAAAGCTCGTCGCTGTAGTCATGGAAGACGCGGCGGAAGTAATATGCCTTTGCACCTATCACATTGGAGCATCACCGTCAGCATGGTGCTTCAACGGCCGACATTGACCACTCGATATGGTCAGCCTTTGCGTTGCAACTCACCTTTGACAGGCTGCTCCGTCCAAAAGTCGTGCTTCAACATCCTGACGCCCTCAGGCACTGTCTCTTCTTTCTTCGCCATTTCAATGATCGACTCCAGATCCTCCAACACGACATGCTCGGGTTTGAGTGTCTTATATTCACCGAGAACTCTTTTAACCACGTTACCTACTCCACCGCCGATATCGACCAGACTCACACGATCCGGGTCCTTCTCAAGCTCCTCCTCCGTCAAGGCAAGCTGATTGAAATCATAGTATCCCGTGACCGGTACCATGGCATCCCCTGTGGTCAAGCCAATCTGGAACGTCTTCAGCTTCTCTGGGTCTTTTGACATGATCTCCCACGTCGTCAATTCTGAATCGCTGGCATTGTGATAATCCGAGTAAGGATTGACATAAAAAGACGTTGGCTCCACCGCGCCGTGTTTTGCGAGGTACTTTGGTAAGTCTGTCATAGGCTGCAGGAAGTGGTCGAACATCAACGTGAAGAAGAGACCTGGAAAAGAAGTATATGCCTGCGAGAATTTGGTCGAACCGTACGATCCGTCGGCCGATTGTGTGATGAAGCCTGAAGCAACCAGTGGGCGGAGGAGCCTTTCTGAAGTACACATTGTCAAATCAGCTGCAAATGATCACCTTGGGAGGGTTGGAGGACTACAAGGCATTATCGACTCCAGGATAGCACTTCATACCAAGTAAAGCCTGCTGAACTCCTGACTGCTCACTAAGTCCCTTCCCAGTGATTCTCTGACTCTCGTCCGTAGGCATCTTTTCGAAGACCTTGAGATCCAGTAACGTCCGAACGCTGACCATCTCGGCCATTTGCAGTGAATGCGCTTGCACCATCATCGCCGGATCCATCAGTGAGTGCTGGATCTTCCTGGTCAAATTCAACAAGGCGGCCTTGGAGGCCTGCGAAGGAGCGTCATGGCCTATCGAAGGGACACAAGTCGCCGTGAGTGCTGACAGTTCCGATACCAGCGATGTCAGTGTTGAAGCGTCCATCGTGTCTTACCGATTCGATAATACTGATAAGAGACAAAGAGTAAGTCTGAATCGAGCAATCACCCGTAGGTACAGGCAGTAGCAAGCTAGCGACCAGCTTGCATGGGCCTTATGCAAGAGGTTCTTTGGCGCCTCCACTGCCAGCACATCGAAGCTTCATTCGAAGCCGTCAATGGAGGCTAGTCGTCTGTGCCCGTGCGCCCGGGACATTGCTCTCTTGTTCACGCAGGCATATAAGACGCCTCCGTGTATTCAACTAGCTGGCGGGACGAGCGACAACATATGGGCGATGTGAGCATGGAATATTGAATAAGTTGGAAGAGGTATGTGTATTTCTCTTATACTTAGACAGTAAGCCAGCATTGAAGAAAGAGTAAAACCAGTCACCGTGCCAATGCAAGCTGTTTATTGCCTCTCGACCTTGCACGACCATCTGTGGCCTCATGCTGCCGATGAGTTGAGACCTTCATGCCCTGGTACCATTCCCAACGCCTTCCTTTGTTCGCCGACCCTCAAAATCAATAACCAAAACTCCATTTCAACCCAGCTCTGGATACCATAAAATCCACAGTCCGAACCTTTCCCGCCATAGGCCTATGTGTATTGCTCACCATGTGCCGCAATACTGCATGATGAGTTCCGTAGTTCCCAACTGGTAACGCCATTTGATCGGTCGCCCGGCCGTGTGTAATCGTGTATCGTTCGTAATGCGTAACCGCCCAATGGCATGGAAGATGTTCACGGCATCATAGCATCTGCCTCCTCGTCCGTGACAAATATCTCAGCCACTGGGCAATGCTCCTCATCACCAAAGTCACCATCATATTGCTTCTTTCTTCCTCGCTCTCCATATCGTCCCAGCATGTAGCTCGGTAGAAACAGCTCGTCGTTCCATGTGAAGCCTTGACTGTGTTTGGTATAGGTAATCAATCGAGGAGGTTCATCCGGATCACCGTGATGTCCATTGAGATTAATAGACTTGTAGGAACTGGAAGCAAGCATAGAGGGTCCCAGCGGAGAAGACGAGGGGTTGAAGAGTGTAGGCATGCTGCTGGGCGGAGGATAGCCGGCCTTCTGCTTGTCTTTACGCTGGGTGGAGCCGGTGTTGTCGAGGAGCGGCGAAGTTGCGGGGAGCTGGGTTCCTTGACCTGAGGGAGATGCTACCGTCCGAAAGTGGTCGCGGGCTTGCCCAGGCGTGAGGTTATATGACCAGGGTGATTCTGGGTCAGAGCTAAGGGAGGATGGACCGGCATCGGATGAATCGGCTCGTTCGTGGGTTTTCATGAAGCGTTCACTACGACGACGTCTGGTGATTGGCATATAATCGGGACTGTTGCTGAGATTCAGAGGTATCTTGATGGCTCGGGAGCCTGGAGGTAGAGAGGCCGGATGATCAGACATTATGATGCACAGAGTAGTTGGTGAATTGAGACTCAATAGAAGGGCGCGCTCAGCACCGACGATATGACTGCAAGGCAAGTCGAGGTACTGTCGAGGATGTTTACATGTGAAGGTGTGTACAGAAGAGGAAGAGGGATGGTTAGAATCGGATAAGACGGTAATGAAGGGCAGAGGGTGTCACTTCAAGAGTCATTGAAGAGTCATATGAGACCTGACGCATTCTCCCCGCACTATTCTCGTGATAACGATAAGACATCGCGCTAATACATCTAAACCATTCCCCTTTTCCGATTGGTCGAGAAGAGGTTCCTCCCATCTTGCCTCTTTGTTGTATCGTACAAGTAGTCTTTATTGTCAATGTCTGTCTCACGCATAGTACCATGGTTCATCAAAGACATGGTATCTATGGCCACGGACACCCTCTCCCCGGAACAGTGCTGGGAATCTTCGGCCTGGCGGAACTTGCTCCTCTGAGATTCTCTCATTAGAATATGAGGCTGGTTCTCCCACCACGAATTTGCCGACCTGCTGCTTGTCAGTGATGTCTTTGGACAGAAAAGATGCGACTCACCTGGATCTCAGTGTCTGTAATGGTACCTCGGCTGACACGAGCATAACCCACACGCTTGATATCCTTGTAGAGAATGTACTCGCACCATCGATCCCAATCACTCGGTTCGATGTCGCGCATGCCACTCTTCTCACCCACATATATGTTGTAGTTGCCTTCTCCAGGCTTGATCACAAGGTAGCTCAGCAATATGGCGGGGCGAGGAGTCGCACGCATGGCCTTGGCGAGGTACTCTGACTGGAGGCGACGATCTTCGGGATCTTCCTCTTGTCCGGAGTGGAAGACGAAAACATCGATCGGTGTACCATAGACATCCAGAGTAGCCTCAATGGCCGGCGCAAGCTCACCAACAGGCGAAGGGAGCAGATGATGTGTCGAGTTGAGAATCGGAAATTTGGAGAGCAACGCTGATCCCCAGGTATGTTTGTTTGGTCCGGGACCATAGTCCACGTACATACCAAGATCTTCGGCCAGATATTGGGTAGTGTCACGATTGCCCATGATGATCCGTTGGTTATCCGACTCTAGCAGCCCGACCACATCGAGTTCCAATTCCTTGATAGCAGCCGCCATCCTTCTTTCAGACGACCACATGTCGTTGTCGAGCGAAAAGTGAATAGTCCAGATACCAGCTGTGATCAGCTTATCGTCTTTGTGGTAGGGCTCGTAGTTGTTTGTGGGGAACCGGAGGTACGCGATCGAGCCAGTCAACAGCTGCAGGGCAAGTAGAATGTGCAGATAGTAGGCGGTCTGTTTCCGTCCTCGTGGGCTTGAAGTGCTCTTCTGTTGATGGCTCGTGTTGGTTATCAAAACCGAAAAAACGCCAGCGCCAACCAGTAGCATGGTCGTTATCATGACCCAGTCTGTATGCTCTCTCACGAGAGGTCCACCAGGCACAAAGGCATAGGCCACAACCCATACATGGAATAACAGCATTATGTTGTAAATGAAGTAGCCAAACCCAAAAGTGAGCGCCGGGTTGTGTTGGACTGCTGATGCGATCAAACTGGGAGCCACTCCCATAAGATAGAAAGCCAAGAGAAGACCACCATAGTAGCCGGTCCACTCAGGGTATAATGTGAGCAATGCAGCGCCCACGGCTCCGAGTCCATATGCTGTCCAAGATGTAAGGAAGCTCGGTAACGCGATTCCGACGAAGAGACCTGCACTCATAGCCAAGATTGTGACTGCACCATGAGGCACAGCCAATGGACCTCGGACTGGAAACCCCTCCCAGACCCAAAGAATCATGGTACTAGAATCCGAGAGCAAGGAATGCATGCCGAAGAACAATCCAGCAAGGCCAAGTCCTGCCATTAGGCCAGACCCCTTTTTGGCGTTTGGAGGGACATAATCCCCACCACTGACGGACACCGGACGAGTAGACCGCCAGACAGCGAGGATAGCCACGATCAAACCAGTCTTATTCCAACCACCATTTTCAGCATTCATGATCGGCCAGACAGGATTGTTTGTATGATTTGCGAACTTAGCAATACTCGATAGAATGAGGCCAATCGTCCAGGCCAAGATTCGACTTTGGAGACGAGCCGAGTTTCTTCTTTCAGCATACCACTCCGCGGACCATGCCAGGCATCCAGCTGCTAAAGCAAAGGAAACAGTAAACAGTCGATATGCCGGATCCTTGACAAGCCACGCAAGGAGCCCTACCAAGGAGGACATGTGAACCCAACGGTTGTATTTGATGGCAAGGGATCGAATAGGAGGGATGCTAAGTAAGACTGGTGAGACAGTGCACATGATCATCGCTTCATAGCCTGAGATCCCCATATGCCATAATGGAAAATACCAGACGAGGACCCCCAGTGAAGTAAGAATGGACCAGAAGAAGAAGCCATGGAGGATGTCAGCAGTGGCATCCAACATGGCAGGCCAGTAGTAGGGTCCTTCGAATGTTGAGGTTTGAATAAGAGCACTGTCACGTCTAGAGATCTTGTAAGCTAGGTAATCAAGTTGTGGTTTATATGGCTTACTCCTTCTCCTTCACTGAATCTTTGAGCAGTTTCGCATCACTGAAAAAAGTCAGTCACCCACCAAGTCATTGTCACAACTCGGTCGTACTTTTGTGTATCTTGGGAGTAATTGCACATACCCTCTGCTGAGACCCTTCACATCTTTCACAACAACCTCAAATGTCTCGAAATCAAGCGCAGTGACAGCGTCAAAGCCCACATCGAAAAGAATTAGTGCCCACTCGAAAAATGCATATATCGTGTAAGCTGGCTTTGGTCAGCTCATGCCTTGCGCTTCTCAGCCTCGCTAACATACCACCAGCCACCTTATGGACCTTATGTTGAATAAAAAAGTAGATTAGAGGCACAAGAGTGCCGAAAAACAGTCCGGCCAGAATTTTTCGATATTGAATGGCTTTAGGATTTGGTGGACTCAGGGCGAGGCACCCTAACGTCCAAGGGAGAGTAGCCACAAGGTACGAGATCATGAAGATGTCGTGCCAGTTGTGGTCGTCGGTAGATGTCACGTATGTCCATCCTCCGCAGGTAACTGTCCTGAACACACCCGTAGCTGCAATAATACCTGGCAAGCTTGTGTTCGGTCTTCTTGTAAGAAAATACCACAGTCCAACCAGTGCGAATCGAGGCCCCGAAGTGATGGCTATGAAGACCATGAAAACGGATCGTTCGGGATATCGATCGCCAATGGTGGCAGAAACAGAAGGAAACCACTCGTCAGGATAGCCATAGTGTTCGTTTTCTACAATTTTGTGGTAATGTAGAGAGACCCCGACGATCAAGGCCCCTATGAAGGCAGCGTATGCGACAACAGTATGAGCCCAAGAAATATATTTCCCATTGAGCTGGCAGCAGTTAGCTCGAGCAATGATGCGGGATTGACCAGTCGTACAGAGAACACCACGTCGCCCTCCTTCTGCTTTGGCGCCATCTTGTATCTCTCTCTAATGTGGACTGAAGACCGACATCTATTGGAAACGAGGACGGTGAAGAAAAGAGTGACAAGAATGGGTATCTACGGAAGAAAGGTGTCTTTCAACAAGCTGCGCGTGAGACCAGAAGGAAAGTTGTCGGAGGACCCCTGATCATCCGAGAGCCTTATTAGAGCTTGTGCATTCTAGCTGGGACCACAAGGCCAGGGACGAACGGCCGCTAGATCATCGGGACCAGCAAGGCTAACAGAATTGTGGCTACATCATCTGCGCCCAAACGCAGAAAAAAAAGTTGTACCCTCTCCGCATCTCGCTGCCAGTACATTCAGAACGAACACTTCAACACTCGTCACGGCAACCGAGACCACCTTCGCAATATGGCCGCCGCGAGCGACAAAGCACGTTTCTTTCTCGAGCAGTCCGTGCCGGAACTAAAAGAGTATGAACGCAAGGGTATCTTCAGCACCGACGAAATCACCAGCATCGCCCGCAGACGGTCCGACTTCGAACACAAGATTAATGCCAGAGGTTCGACGCCTACAGACTTCGCCCGCTACGCCGAATTCGAGATCAATGTTGAAGCCTTGCGGCGAAAGAGGGTAAAGAGACTGGGAGTTAAATCAACCACACATAGCGGCAAACGGCGCATTTTCTTCGTCTTCGATCGCGGGACCCGGAAGCATGCAGGCGACGTCGATTTATGGCTTCAGGCATTAGAATTTGCCAGGAAGGAAAAGGCTTACAAGAAACTTCAGCAAATATTCGCAAACGTTTTGCGCCTACACCCTCGAAAGTCGGACCTATGGATATATGCTGCAGATTTTGCAATGGACGAGAACGGAGACATGACCGAGGCGAGGAGCTACATGCAACGAGGCCTCCGATTCTGCAAAGGATCAAGATCGATGTGGTTGGAATACGGAAGGCTCGAGATGTCGTACATTGCCAAACTGCAGGCTCGGCGAGAGATCTTGGGCATTACGGTTGGCGAAGCGAAACGTTCGACGGAGACTGCGGAAGAAGATGAAAATGTTCTGGAGTTGCCAAAATTGACGGCTATGGACGTCAACCCCGATACTGAAGGAGACGAGCTCAACAAAGCAGCCTTGCAGAATCTGGATTCCACGCCTGCCATGAGTGGCGCTATCCCAATTGCCATATTCGATGCTGCTATGGCTCACTTCCAAGACCCTGCATTCGCCCTGGACTTTTTCGGCATGGTCACAGAGTACGACAACCTTCCGGCCTGTCGGGGGATTGCAGAGCACGTCGAAGCAGAGTTGATGAAGGGCTATGCGCAAGACTGGCACAGCCAAATATGCCACATCCGTTTGCCGGTTGTCTCAGTACCTGCTGACTCCCCAGCATTCGTTCCTGCATTCAGAGAAGTGTTGAAGCGCCTGAAAACAGCCAGGGAAAAGACACACAGTCACGACTTCGTGTCTTCAGCAAGAAGCTGCTTACAGAGGCTTCTGGAGTCATCAGACCTGGACCCAGCCATCAAGACCGTCGGTGATGCGGTGCTGGCGTCCTTGGAGGCTCAATGAGTACGTTGTCAACATAATCCAGAAGATGGACGCACTTTGGAGCATATCAATCTCTGCCACCTCCTGACCTTGCTTGCTTCTTGCTCGAATGTATATGCTTGTCCTTTAATCGTGCCTCTTTGGCAGCCCTTTGGAGTTTTCGAACTCTTTCTTTTTGGTCCTCTGTCGTCTCCCCCGGCACGGTGTGCTTATAGACATCCATAATGAGTTCATTGAGCTTGCGGTAGCACGTGTCCTTGTTTGCCTGCTGCTTTCGACTCTCGTCAGCTTGAATCACAAGGCTGGACGAGTTCTCTGCATGGTATCGGGAAGAGAGGATGCCCTTGTGCAAGGCAGTCGGAAGAAGAGGTAACAAACGGTCGACTGGGATGCGTAATTGTGCTTTTGAATTGACTCTGCTACGGTAAGAAGATGTTGGCTAGACCATGGGTAGAATGCCAATCATACTTGTTCACGTTCTGACCACCGGGGCCGCTGGAACGACTGTAAGTAATCTCGCCGAAACCACGCAAAGACTCCAATAGGTTAGCTTTCTTGTACCACTCTCTTGCTGCCGTGTAGTCGTATTCTGGGTTCTCGGCACTGGACGCATAGTACTTGGTAGATGTCCATGAGAACTGGCGTGCATACAGGGACTCGGTGGTCAGACCGTATGGTCTTCTAAGCCATGTCAACATCTGTGTTGCTCCGCTCAATGAAGTCGTGCAGCCAGACAGTCTCAAAGAAAGAACAGTCTTCAGCACCTCACATTGCGCAACGACTCTACACAGTACCAGGACATGATAGAGATGAAAGGCAGGTTTTGTCGAAAAGGTAAGTCTTGCCGATCAGGTAAGTTAGCCGATGTCGGCTCTTTGCTGCAGCTGCGCTCGCTATCTTTCTGCTGGTTCTTTTCATCAAACAAACACCGACATCTCTCACCTTTCTCTACACAATTCATCAACACTCACAAGACCTCTCCTTCCGTTCTCATTGTCATTGTCGCTGTGTCAGCGAATTACTGCTACTGGGGCTGTCCTGAGGCCCGCCAAAACTCATCTTCGTCCTTCCCTACATCGCCAGCCTTACGCAAAAAACGCCTGGAGACTGCCCTCCATGAGGCCCACAGCTTCAAGATGACTGATACAAACCCTCCACCCGAAGCGCAACGCTTTGGTAGATCTCAGACACCTGAAAGCCCACGGCCTGTCCACTTACCTGAGCCTTCCAACATCCCAGTCCTGCTGAACCAGATGGATCCAGTTTTCAATGATACTGAGACCTACAATATCCCTCATAACCAGAATTTTTCTCCTTTCTCAGATATTGCGCACGCTATGCATGAAGCCAACTCCGAGGAACAAGACGCCGTCCAGAATTTCTTTCGCGCAGCTGAGGAAGAGAATGCGCGTCTCGAGAGTGGTCCCGATGCGAATGGTCAAACAGCCCAGAATGATTCTGCCACGGAAGCCACCCTTCTCTCAACGTTTGCCGAGAATCCCACATATACCCAGTCGTCCGCAACAGCTGCCAATGTCCCTGAGGCTAGCTCTGGTCTGTCGCAACCTACAGGGCTATCTGGTATTGAAACAACTTCGGTTCCCGAGGTTGACCATGCCAATGCCGTCGATGCCACTGCTACCCGTCCCAACGGTGCTGAATTGACGTCTGAGCCACCGTCCAGCGTGCAGCCTGACATCCACTTCGATTATTCGGGAGTAGACTATCAGTCGCTTCTGGACACAATTTCTCAATCTGCTTCCACTGCTCCTGCTGCGGATCCTGTCTCTGCCCCAACTACTGCGCCATCACTCGTCGACCCAGGCACCCAGTCAATGTATGCAGTTCCAGGTTTACCCCCAAAGCCACCAGTGCAAGCGGACGTGCAAGACAATTCTGCCTATCAGACGTTCCCTAACCCTAGCACGGACATGACTGAATCATATCAACACGTGAATAATGAAGCCGTTCAAGCCAACAATGCAGACTCAATCGCTCCTGGATCTAACCCATCCATGATTCAGGGACTCTCTACCCAATTCCCAGGTAACTGGCCTCAAGCTACCAGTCAACTCTCGCCCAACAATGCATCACCTACGATGATGGGACAGCACTTTCAACCTCCTGAGCCTGCAAGATCAGTAGATGCCACTGAGAGGCCATGGACACCCAGAACACAAACACTCTATGATCAATTCCTGGAAGACGAGCGCCGATATGTGACTGAAGGTATTTGGGATAAGTTCCCGCATGGATCTCGACTCTTCGTCGGCAATCTTCCCAGTGAAAAAGTTACCAAACGTGATCTCTTCCACACCTTCCACAGACATGGACGCCTAGCCCAGATCTCCATAAAACAGGCCTATGGTTTCGTACAGTATCTCGAAGCTGCATCGTGTTCTGCGGCGCTTGCGGCGGAGCAAGGTGTGGAAATTCGAGGAAGGAAAGTGCATCTGGAAATATCGAAACCGCAGAAGAACACCAAGAATCAGGGTCAAGGGAACAAACGACGCCGATCACGATCACCGGAACGTGGAGGACAGAGACAGAATGATCGACAGGGACGCTCGAGTTACAGTGAATACAGGGATGACCGACACAGACGTGATGATTATCGCCCAGCACGTTCACCTTCGCCCAGAGGCTATCGTTCAAGAGATGACTACCGACCGAGTGTGCAGAGCCCGAGGTTTGGTCCAGGTGGAAGGCCAGCATCTCCATATGGAGCCAACTTCCCGCCACCCATCCCTGCCGGCTATGATGAGGAATCAACGCTGCCTCTGCCGCGAAGAGACCCGCGAGAAGTTCCCGATGTTCAATTGCTGATACTGGAGCCCTCGGTTGCTCAGAGCTTCATCAACTGGATTGAGCAGGGCTTCCGTTCGAAGGGATTACGTGCTTCGACCATCTGGCTCAGTCCTCGGCTTCCACTTAATGGTGTGGTCAAAAGACAGATCATTGAGGGTGTCCAGGCCGTTGTCAAGTTGAGTCAAGCCGCTCAATACAATAGCAAGATACCACTGCAAGTATTTGACCGCTCATCGGGTGCTTCGAATGTCAACTTCAACGAGTATGTTGATCTCGACGTTCCTGTGGCCGCGGACATCATTCAGCATGCGAGACAAAAGGAACGTGGATTTGCTCAAGCGCCACAATTTCCTCCACAAGGGTACAGTCAACCACAATACAGCCAACCAACTCCCCAGTACCAACCTCAAGTACCTCCAGCGTATCCACCACAACAGCAACCACAGTTCCAGTACGGCCAGCCACCCCAGTATCAGGGTCAGCATGGTCAACCGCCAACGCCTGTGACCCCAAGCACAGCCGCTCCGAATCTTCAACAACTATTGGCAAACCTTCGACAGCCTGGAGATCATCAAAGTCCCGCGAATGCCAGGCCCCCACAAGATCTCGCAGGACTTTTGAGTAACGTGGCTCGGCAGCAGAACCAGGCTGGTCAATTCCCACAACAGCCTCCCCAGCAGCAGCAACAAGGATATGGTGGCTCTTCAGGTTATGTGCCTGGCCAGCAACCACAACAGAACGTGCAGAACATTATGGAGACCTTGGCAAGGTACAACCGATGATCGTAAGACTTGGACAATGAGACAACCTGAGGATGATTGAGCTTGCTGCAGAGCTGGAGATGAGCTGTGCAAATCGACACTCAAGATTGGGATTGTGCTACTGCGTCTCTCGTCATGCGGGAGCTGGCGTAGTGTGAACGACACAGCATAACCAGCATCAGACCTCGGAACAGAGAAGGCAGAGATCTTGTATGAGGTACGAAGAGCTCGAACGTGTACAGGTAATGCCTAGATAGCATCAATAGTGAGATAGAGATCCCACTTGGAGTCTACACCGTCTTTTGACTTGTACATTGGGTTTGCTACTCGTCCTTACCTTGCGCTCTATATCTTGCTACCCAGCTTAGACTGCGTCATGTGCTGGTCACTGTCGAGCGTCGCATTGACAAACTTTACCATGGGTTCCACCATGGCAGGAGGCACGTCGTGTCCGACGCCGTCGTAGACAATATCTTCCAGATACAAGCCTCCACCTTCAAACCAGCCGCCCTTGCCGATGGATTTTTTCAACCAGTCCAGAAACGGCTTGCTGTGGCTATAGTTCACCAACTTGTCGCTCCCACCCGAGAGATTTAGAATGCGTTTATTTCCAAAGCATCGCACCATCGTGGGCATGATTTTCGCTTTCTCCTCCGAAGTGATCTCGTCATGCAGATGTTCCTGGCCCGGCCGTCTACTGAGGCCACTGCCACTCCACAGCAGTCCCGCCGGGTCGGATTTCCGGACAGCCTCGACCAGCGCGGGTGGAAAATCTGATGAACCCAAGAACTCTCGCCCTTGAGTGTCGAGCCATGTCCGTCGTTTAGATAGTCGGGCACGGTCGGCCATTAATCGACTGTAATCCGGGCATCCGATGGTCACGATCGCCGCGGTGATCCTGGGGTCTTGCATGACGCAGTGCCACGCTGCATGGCCGCCGAGTGAAATACCCATGACCAGATTCTGCACGATGCGACGCTCGGAGTGAGGGAAGATATAGCCTGATAGATAGTCCAGCAGTAAAGATGTGTCGAGCGCGGTGCCCGCGTAACATGAGAACATGTCTTGGGCGTGGCGCTCGTTGCCGCTGCGCCAGGCCTCGTTGGCGATTGCGGAGACTTCGCGGGTGCCGTGATTGCGCTGGTCAAAGGAGACTGCGACAAGTCCCTTCTTGGGCCCTCGGGATTGTGAGGGATGATCGTTCCATTCTGTGATCAGATGGGCGGCGAAGGGCGCCATGCATTTCTGCGTCTGGAGACGAGGGTGCAACAGCCATAGGACGGCGACGTCGGTTGTGCCCTGTGGAAGTTCGTTGAGCCCGAAAACTGTGGTTAGGATGCCGGCTATGTGGTATGTTGCCGCTGAGATGGGTTCCGGGTGTGGGATGGAGTGTGCTGTTGAGCCTGTCGGTGGTGGACCGTAAGTGTAAGCTACTGGGTTGGGAGTGTTTTTAGACATGATATGGACTGGTCGTCAATATTCAGGCTAGCGAGTGAGGGATATCAAATATGAACAGAAGAGAACGAGTATTGAAGTTATATCAATCAGCGACGATCGATATGATGTTACCATGTAGGTCAAGTACCGCGGCTCAGAGGTGCCGGTTTTATGCGGGGAATTTTTAGTTCCTCCGTCAAAATCTATATCCAGCAGCCTCGTCAATGAATCATCTACGTGAAGATCAATCCAAATTATGGCGCCTCGGATTGAGATACCGTGACAAATTTGGCCGTTGGCATACGACCAAGGACAGCCTTGATCCTGCGGAGAGTCGTGTGACGTTATCACAGATGGCCACTCGAAGTAAAGCTCAAGCTCTTGCGAAGCGTGTCCCATCTTCACGACGCGCCAAAGCTTCCTTGCATGTTCGGAGATCTCCAAACCATGATCTGCTGATGTCGGGTTCTCAGCCCTGAACCTCAATTGGCGAACTGGGCGGTGGTAGGTAGTCGAAGGCGTTTGTGACTTGCACAGGTGTGGCGGCGCGTGAGGTGACTCCACTTGTGAAGACAGAGGATGGCATCCAGCCACAGCGTCGGCTTCGAATCGCGCAACTCATTTGAACCGGCGGCGCAGGTTATTCGAGTCATGCGGCTCGTTCGAGAGGCTCATGAAAATCGTAGCATTCCTCTGATCCTGTTATACATGGACGCGACCCACGTTCGAGTGGCAGCTTCGCCCATCTCTTTCACAACATCATCGTAGTGCGTAGGTCTGCTCTGCGGATGACGGGTCTGCGCTGGCATTGGAAACTCCTTGACAAATCGATCATCGAGAAGATTGTATAGTGCGTTAATCTGTTTCATTGCCTTTTGTTGGTTTATCTGAGAGGGCTCGGTCGGGGTGGCCAGGACTTCGTTGTTTGATGTGACATTCTGAGCAGCGGCCCTGGCAGATGCGACTTTGTTGAGATGATCTTGCATGACCTTTTGGAAGGAGACATATTCAGGACGGACTTTGTCCACGGGCCATTGCTTGATAATACGCGCCCAGTGTTTCAATACGACCTAAACAGGGAGATTAGCTGAGGCAATGTAGGCTGATACGTATGTCACTCACCGATTTCTGCGACATTTTGGCGGTCGTTACAAGAAGACTAAGAAAAGAAACGTGGTGGTTGTCAGAGAGATACAAAGCGCATTGAGACTCCTTTGACCTGAGCCCTGGGGAAAATAGCATCTGCGAGTAAATGACGCCTACAAAGTCATGACTAGGCTAGGCTGCTTTAGGGAAGGCACGATTCCTTAAGCTGCTTTAATCCTCTGGGGGCTGTGCATATGGCCTAATGTCAAATAGCCGGGCTCGGCTCTGTGGTGGCGCACCCGTTGTCTTGGGGTTCTGATTGACTTTCCCTCTTCTCAAAACTCACCCTAATCGTCTGACCAACGACGACGTCCTTCCACCCTCTTCCAGGTCTCATCCTTTCCTTCACCTAAATACCTCCGTCCTCGTCGGTGTGTCTCAATCGACATTTGACAACACAGCGAGTACAAGATTTTGGAGCCGCAGGCCGTGCGATGGCCCCTCAGCGATATGAACCGGTAAGGGCTGCCTGGATGACGAATCCACATCAACAACAACATGGATCATCACTAACGGCGATCAAGGTGAATTCTCACGACGATGATATCGATTCTCCTCTTTCTCCCGACTCTCCTCGACACTCTCCATCCTCTCCACCTCCATCTTTCCATTCGAGAGCATCCTCACCGACAACCCGGCGCCTATTGAACCAGGATCCTTTATCGCACGAAGCCAATCAAGATCTGGAAGATACTTTCGATGATGGCGAGGCATCAGATGCAGAAAATGATGGCGACGATAGACAGCGGCTGATGCGGGCTGATTCGACGCTTGCAAGTCGAGATGCGACGACGCCGTCTGCTCCGCCTGCTGATGCTCGGCCAAATCCTACGATAGAGCGTAGGGTGACTGAGCTCCCGGCTTTCAGACCTATGCCTACGTCAAACAGACCAACCGATGGTGTATTCGCAAATCTCTCAGCAAAACCCGAAAGGGGCGAACCCCTTGAAGACAAACCTCCTGTAAGTTAACGCGCGACCTATATCAATCATGTCATGACACTAACAATATCACAGACATACGAGCAGGCCGCCGCAGATGCAACACCCCCCTACTGGGAAACCACCATTCTTGCACCGGGCATGTCGTCCGACGAGGTCTATGTCGACGGACTTCCTGTCGGCTCAGTTTTCTCCTTTGTATGGAATGGCATGATCTCCATGTCATTCCAACTTGTCGGATTCCTTCTTACTTATCTGCTTCACACCACTCACGCAGCAAAACATGGCAGTCGAGCTGGCTTGGGACTGACCTTGGTTCAGTATGGCTTCTACATGACTGGTTCATCCAGCGATGGGAACCAAGGCACAGCCAACCCAGGACAGTTTTCTGACTCTTCGCCCCCTGATCCGAACAGTCATAATTTCGATCCCAACAATGTTGACGGCTCAGGTCAAAGTACGGGAGGACATGGACTCGGGGGTTTCACGAGCGCTGATTGGATATCTTATGTTTTGATGATTGTTGGGTGGTTTATTCTTATTCGCGCAGTTTCCGACTTTCTGCGCGCAAGGCGGCATGAGCAATTGGTTTTGCAAAGTCCAAGCCGCGGTCTCCCTGTACCTGTCGTTGCTGAAGGGGAAACACCAGAGCAGGCTGCATAAGCAGGAATGTCTGACTTGTCCTTTGCTGATAGCCTGGCTTGAATGGCGAATATGAGATGATGCCTTGAACAATGCTGCTTTGAAGTCCCAAAACTTGTCCACATTGAGCAACGTAGCGTGAACCCCTTTTCCTTCATCAGAAGCTGTTGTATACCTCGATTGCTTAATCTACAGAATTGAGAACAACTGACGAACTATGACCACAGGAAGGAGGCCCAGAACCCGATAATGCTTCGATACTCGTAACAAACAATATGTCGTCCATAGCCGCAGACTTTCTCTACCTCCGATCTCTTATCTACCCGCAGCCCCATGTAAGCCCTTGCAATCTCGACTTTAGATGCGCTGCCAGCTGTGCCAGTTGTAGGTCATTGCGATTTGACCGCGTTTGTGCAGACTTCTTATTCGGACATGTCAATCTTGTTCTCGAGTCTTCTTTGATCGCGAAGTTCCCCAAGTCGCTCCAATGCCTTTTGCAGGGGGATCAGCTCGCCCATCTTCTGTGTCGCCGGGTCATCACGGTTGCGGATGTTGACGGTGCGAGTTTCTTGTTCCTTGGCGCCGACCACTATATCAACAATGTTAGCCATGAACAGTCTCACCAAGTCTGGGGCCTGTGTGCCCCTGGGAGTAGGTTAGCACCTACCAAAAATGAAGTTATACTGCGCCAACTGTCCCGACCGAATCTTCTTCTGCAGAGTGTTTCCACTGACATCGATGTCGACATACATCCTCGCCTTGTGGAAAATACCCTGGATCTCACGCACGTAGTCCTCGGCGCTCTTCATGACGGGAATGACCAAGACTTGGCGCGGAGACAGCCAGAACGGCCATTTCCCAGCGAAATGCTCGCACAAAATCGCGATGAAGCGCTCAAAAGACCCAATGATCGCGCGATGGATCATCACGGGGCGAGCCATACCTGGCGCCAAACCCTTCGCATCACGTCCGGTGGTATGCTGGGCCACGGCCTCACCGCTCTCGCCGGTACGATACTCGAGCTTAAAGTTCTGCGGGCCCTGGAAGTCCAGTTGGATAGTGGCGCATTGGTACTCGCGCATTAGGGCGTCGGAAATGGTGATGTCGATCTTGGGGCCATAGAAGGCGCCGTCGCCCTCGTTCATCTCCCAGTTATCACCTCTGAAGTTTGTGAGCGCTTGCTTGAGGCGGTCCTCGGCCGAGTCCCACTCCTCCAGCGTGCCCATGTATCCTTCGGGGCGGGTGGAGAGTTTGAATTTGAAGGGAAACCCAAACAGACCGTACACGTGTTCCATGAAGTCGAACAAGCCCTCGATTTCGGCTTGGACTTGCTCGTTCGTGCAGAAGATGTGGGTGTCGTCTTGTTGAAATTTGCGCACACGAGTGAGGCCGGACAGTGCGCCGGATGCTTCGTTGCGGTGTAGCACACCGAAATCAGCAACTCGCCATGGCAACTCACGGTATGAGCGCTCTTCGTCGCGGAACATAATGCAGTGTCCAGGGCAGTTCATGGGTTTGAGCGCAAAAACGCCCTTGTCCTTGTCCTTGATCTCGGCGATAGGCTTGCCATCGGCCTTTTGGTCGCTTAGCGGCATGGGGTCTGCTGAATCGTCCTTGACTTGTACGCGGAACATGTCGTCTTGGTAGTGCTGCCAGTGGCCTGAGGTCTTCCAGAGGTCGACATCGTACATGTTGGGGGTTTGGACTTCTTGGTATCCGCGGTCCCAGTACTGCTCGCGCAGCATTTGTTGGAGGGCGTTGAAGATGCGGGTGCCGTGGGGCAAAAGGAAGGGTGAGCCGGGGGACAATTTGCTGAACATGAAGAGTCTTTGCTGCTGACCGATGACTTGGTGATCGCGCTTCTTGGCCTCCTCGAGGAAGTGCTCCCAGTCTTTGAGCTGTTGTTTCGTGGGGAAAGCAACGCCGTGGATACGCTGGAGGGAGTCGTTGTTCTGGTCGCCTAGGAAGTAGGCAGAGCTGTTCTTCATGATCTTGAACGATTCGATCTTGCGGGTGTTTTGGATGTGCGGACCCTGACACAAGTCGACGAGGCTGCCGTTGCGGTAGACCGTGGAGGACTCGCCGTCCGGTACGAATTTCTCGATGTAGTGCATTTTGTACTTGCTGTAGCCGAACAACTTGCGGAGGTTGTCTTTGGACACTTCGAGGCGCTCGAAAGGTTGCTTGTCCTTGAAGTATTTCTTGGCGCGGTTCTCGATCGACGGCCAGTCTGCTTCGCGTACGGCTTGGCCTGGCTCAAGAGCCATGTCGTAGAAGAAGCCCATTGCGGTGGGAGGACCATGGGACAGGCGGCAGCCGTACTCGTGCTCAGCACACTCACCGAGGACGTGTGCTGAAGAATGCCAGAAGACGTCTCGACCTTCTGAGTCGTCAAAGGTGAGATAGGAGACCTTGCTATCTTGAGTGAGTGGGCGGTCAAGGTCCCAGACTTGCCCATCGACTTTGGCAACCACGATTTGACCAGCGCGTTCTTTGGGGACGTTTCTTAGCAGTTGGCCCGGAGTGGTTTCCCATGATTTGCCTTCAACGGTGATATCCAGACCAGGACCTGGGATAAGTTTGATCTGAATAGGCGTCTTTTCTCTGCTGGCCAACTGCTCGTCGTATTCCTTCTTTAGTTGGTCGAAAAGCTCATTTCTTTGCACGATGAAGTCTGGCAGTGACTTCGGCGGTTGGTTGGCCGCTGGAACCGCTTTGGTAGACATTTCTTTTGGTCTGTTTGGGATCTTCTTTTTCGAAGATTCGCTTACTGGTCTTTTTGATGTGTTGGCCTCAGGGGTGGATGACTCAGGGCCACTCTGGCCATTTGCTGTACCGTTTTGACTCATATTGGTTCCTTTTAACACCCCCCAAAGGTCATGCGGGTTGAGACTGACTTTCTTCTGGTGGCTCATGCTAAGATGTCGGGCTGGAATCGATAGAGAATTGTGGTATATGCTGTTGTGGGTGAGGTGTTGTAATGAGCCAATCACGTGTTTTCTGAAGCCGCATGAATATCGGGCGGAAATCATAGAAATTTATTTCCCCAGGAAATTTACTCGATCACAAAGCCCACAACTTGGCCCTTCGCACCACAACTACAACAACAATGTCCTTCCGAGGCCGAGGCGATTCGCGAGGTCGTGGTGGGTTTGGTGGTGGTGATAGAGGAAGAGGATCGTTTGGAGGAAGAGGCGGAGGTAATTTCAACTCCTCCGCGCACAAGATTTTCCCTGCGCCGAAATGAAGGCTAACATGGAGGTTGTGTAGGACGAGGTGGTTTTCAACAACGAGATTTTGGACCACCCGCTCAGGTGTTTGGTGAGTCTTGACATGCGAGTGCGACTTACAAAAGCTGATTTGATGTAGAATTGGGCAAATTCCTGCACGCTACCGAAGGGGAGATGGTCTGCGAGTCCGTCAACCCGAAGATTCCTTTCTTCAACGCACCAATATACCTGGAGAATAAGGTGCGGAAAAATAGTCCACTGCATCACGCATTATCTGACGAATGCAGACTTCGATAGGCAAGGTGGACGAGATCCTGGGACCGATAAATCAAGTCTACTTCACCATCAAGCCACAAGAGGGTATTCAAGCTACATCATTCAAGGCCGGAGACAAGTTCTACGTTGGAGGGGACAAACTACTACCGCTAGAAAAGTGAGTGTGGTATGGCCAAGATAAGGGAACAACATGCTGATGAGTTACAGGTTCTTGCCCAAGCCGAAACCGCCGCCAGGTACGTTTTGATAGAGCTCAAAATCGCTATACAGTTACTGACGCTTTGACAGGTGCATCGAAGGTCCGGAAACCAGCTGGAGCAGGACGGGGTGGTGCCAGAGGTAGTTTCGGTGGTGGCTTTGGCAGAGGTGCCCCCCGAGGTCGAGGAGCACCGAGAGGCAGAGGCAGTTTTGGTGGTGGTCGGGGTGCGCCCAGAGGCCGTGGAGGCTTCTCAAGTGGCAGAGGTGCACCACGAGGTGCGCCACGAGGTCGCGGTCGCTACTAAGAGGTGGTGGTCTCGTCCTCCTGAGTGTTCCTGATACTGCATGGGTTTGGCGTTAGGGAAATACCCCAAAGAAAAAGTTGCTATGGGATGGCTGGAATGGGTGTATGAGTGTTTTCCTGGATCGGACTTGCTTGCCATACGGTTCCTTTTTGCAGTGAACATGCTCTTCAAAGGAAGACTGCGTGTCATGCCGATGTCTGCATCTTTCTTGAGCTTTTCCTTTGTCCTGGCACGTGACCTCTATTTTGAGACTGAGACTGTCAAACGCTGCAAAATGACGACAGTGACGACAATTCGACGTGGCTGCGCCTTGTTTGCCCAAAATGTTGATCTTCAAACTGGCCTTGCTCTTCTACAAAAGTATTGTCTGCTTCTCGTAATAGTTACAACTTCTCAATTTTCGGTACCTCCATACACATAGGCGACCGACTTCTTCACCTAACTTCATCTCTTACCCTGTATCCTCTCCTTTCGCGACCATGTCTCGAAGAGCTGGGGCAACCAATGCTGGTCAAGAAGAGACCACGGTGAAACCGAAAGACAATAGTCAAGAGAAGCAGGCTATGCTGTTAGCCCAAGATGTTGGCCACTTCAGTCTAGTCAAGTACACATCGACCAGGCCCGTCAGCGCGTACAGCACTAATTGAAGGCAGGGCACTGCATCTGGCTGATCTGATCACTGAAATGAATGGTACCTACTCAGCAATTCTGGCATGTGGTATAGCTTACTGACAGGACTTTAGGATTCTGTGGATGTATGTTGGACGATTTTGCTGTACTGGAAACTGCCTAACATCTCTGATGCAGTCATGTCAATACTGTCTTCCATGCGATACTGCCTTTCCGACCCACAAGACCTGACAAACCTGTGGTTCGCGTTCGGTTTCATGCCCCTCGGCCTGTTCTTCGACTTCTTCGACGGCAAAGTAGCACGATGGAGAGAAAAGTCTTCGTTGATGGGACAAGAACTTGACTCATTGGCTGATCTGGTATGCATGTCTCTGAGTTGTAAGCCTTGGATATAATCTGACAAGGTTCGAACTAGGTGTCCTTTGGAGTCGCACCTGCCGCCGTAGGCTTCGTGCTCGGCTTCAGAACCAACATCGACCAGCTCTTTCTCACCTTTTATGTTCTCTGTGGCTGTAAGTTGTGCTTTTGCTTGCCGGCGGCTGGCTCTATCTGGCCGTTGCTTCGTGCCCTTTGACTTGAGAAGCCTGCTGATAATATACAGTGACGAGGTTGGCTCGGTTCAACGTGACTGTGGCAATGCTTCCAAAGGACAAGACGGGAAAATCACAATACTTTGAAGGCACGCCCATACCATTCGGGTGTCTGACAACGGCAGCGGTTATGGCTTACTGGACTTCCATGGGATGGATCCACCACTCTATACCATTTGGGACCGTTTTGACAGGAACCCCCTTCGAATTTCACCTTGCAAGCTTTATGTGGCTCCTCAGCGGAAGTCTCATGATATCGAAGACGCTTCACATTCCGAAGCCTTGAAAGGATCGCGGGCCCCAGCAGGGAAATCCGAATGGCATGCATATAGATGGGTGGTAGACTTATGCATAGACAAGTAGCAGTGGCAGTGTCGGACTTCATCCACTCCCTGGAAGTATACAGCTTCAAGCTTTCAAGCCCCATAAGGTTCTTCTTGCGCTTCACCTTGCGACATCGTGATTTGCTGTGTAGTCTACGTTAAGCCAGATGGTCATCACGAGGTGACCAAAGATTCTGCCACACCCTCGAACACCACCTGTAGCCACACACACCCACTCCACACCGATACAAAAATGTATAGGAAACTGGTTCGAAACCAGCAAAAATTCAGTCGGCACTACCGTTATAGGTAATACCTTTCCCGACTATGATCCCCTTCAATCTGTCCTGCTATGAGGTACACAGATGAAAGGGGACCATGGAGATGGACGAGACTCCCAATTTTCTCCATCAAGCGTCTATCTCCAAGGAAAGGCCCGCCAACCAAACCACAAGTGAAACGCAATTCGACGTGGTGAGTCTGAGTGATGGCCATCAAGGCAATTTCAAGAAGAAATTTCGGGACTTTGATATATAAACACTTAAAGGTACTTCACTTCACGTGCCCACTGCTGTTGGATACAGGGTGTACGCCGCACCCAAGCTGCATTGTGAAGGATGTACGCCGTCAGCAAAGACCGCGTAGCGAGCTTGAGGGACGCCCCCTTCCAACCTCAGCTTTCGTCTATCATTGACCCAGGGCATCCTCAACATCATAGACCTAGTGCTAATCCCCCGTGTACCTGGCCACTGTGACTCTGTGAATGTTGGATCAGAGAAGGCTTATACCACTCGCCGAAGAAGTCTCGACAGTCCTCGACAAAGACGTCGGGCCGCTCGAGTGCCGCAAAATGCCCGCCATCATCAACTTCTCTGTAGTATACCATCCGACCTGTAGGCTTCACCGTCCGCTCAGTGCCGGGCCTCGTATCGTAAAGGTATGAAGTATACCCGAATGGCACTTTGATATAATTCTCTTCGCGCAGAAAGTACTCTCCAAAACCCGCGTGTTTCACGTTCTCAAAGTACGGCAACTGCGAAGTCATCAGGCAGCCACTAAAAAAGTAGAGCGAGCAAGTCACTAGGATTGCCTGGTCCCAGTCATCATTGTTGAGATTCCCTGGAGCGACGGCCTCCTCGTACTTCTCGCCTACCCATGCGAGGATGCCGACAGGGTTGTCGTTCAGTGCGACACCAATGGTATGTGGTCGGGAGCGCATGGTCACCGCATAGCCGAGGTGGTTGTCATCCCAGTCGTTGTATCGTTCCTTGACTTTCTGCTCTCGGACAGTCAAATCTGTGATATCGTCTCCGAACGCAACGGGGCAGAAGTTGAGGTGGACGGCTTTGCACGCAGGGTACTTGGAGCCCATTTCTCGTGCGACGAAGGAGCCCCAGTCACCTGCCTGGACTGCGTAGCTTGAGTATCCAAGCTGGATCATGAGCTTGTTGAAGACTCGTGCGGTATCCTGCATGGTCCAACCACGGACTGGAGGACCAGAGGACCAGCAGAAACCAGGTAGACTGGGCACGACGACGTGGAAAGCGGGATCCGTGGCGTTGGGTGGATTGACCAAGGAGTCGACGACACGATCAAATTCGTGGAATGACCCGGGCCAGCCGTGCACCAGTATCAGGGGTACTGCGTTGGTTTTTGGCGATTTCGTGTGCGTGAAATGAACACGTAGTGTGCGGCCTTTGTCTTCAATTCCGCCTATGCAGTGCTGATGCCGATTGAGATGTTGTTGCACAGTGCTCCAGTCAAAATCGTGAAGCCATTTGGTGTATAGCCGGTGGAACCATTGAATTGGTGGACCTAGCATATATGAGGCGGCGGTACCAGAAAGATAAGGGTAACAAACCGTAGTCTCCGCCTGCTCCAGGAACAATTGGATGCGTCGGCACTCTGGTATCCTGCAATTTTCTCTTGAGGCGAGCTACTTCTTCTTCGGGCACGTCGATTGTGAAGGGACTAATTTCCATTACGGCGAGTAGGGGAATTTTCTTCCGCGTTTGTTGCGCAAGATATCGGCCCTGCGAACCACCAGACATATATAGCTGTGCTGTGTGCGTATCGACGACGTCTGGTATTAGTAAAGTCGCGGCCTTAACATTTCGTAATGCGGGGAATCAATGTGTCGTCAGTAAGTCCAGTCCCATTCGCCATACTCCAAAAGTAAGAATGGATCGTCCATCGACATCATGCCTTGGGTATTATACTGGCCTTGGTTGGCAAGTTGCGTCGTGAAGTCGAGATTGTTGAAGTCAAAGTCTGGCTGGTAGGTCGGATCAAAAGTCTGAGGAACCGCAAAGGTGTTTACAGCATTGAGGGGTTGCTGTCCCATTCCCGATGTAGCTGCATCGTTGACCTGGGTGGGAAGTGACATAGAGCTAGTCGGCATATTGAAGACTGCTTGTTGACCCGTCGCAAATTGAGGCTTGTTGGGTGCTTCTATCGTGACATCACTTGTGACATTTGCGATGGAGTTCTGTGGCGATGACTTGGCTTGCGAATCTTGGACATGCTGCTTTGCGATCTGCAAGGAATCGTCAAGCACATTTGTGATGAAGGAAAATAACGTCCTGTCATCTGTGCCGACCAACTTGTGAAGACTGGTTATTGTTTGAGCCATGAGAGCCAAATCGGCAGCGGCCCTCGAATCCAATGGATTGTGAAGAATGTGCGTGAAGAGTGCCAGGAAGGAAGTCACTGGGAAATAAGGTGCCAGCCAGATCAGCTTATTGCGAACATCATACTCATCCAGATAACTGACGGTGAGGAGAAGTGACGATCGAGCGCTCATCAAGCATAAGGCGTATGACGACTGGGTGCGATGCTTGGATCCATCATCATCTGGGGCTGCACCAGATGATGGCGTGCTCTTCTGGGAGTCTGGGTGCCCTGTATCTTCAGACGCCCACAGCTCGTGATGCGCATTGACGCGGTGAATAGCTGTCAAACAATGGTAGTAGCTGTAATGGAGTTGAAGGACAGAGTGACGGAACTCTTTATCACAGTATATCGGGTTCTCCGGCCTGATCTCGGAAGGTATTTGCTCCTTCCAGTCATGAAGCTCGGCATCGAGTTTGCTGATGGATTCAAGTCTCTCCGCGGTTGTATTGTTGCGGGCTTTGGCCGCGTACAGCTCGTGGAAGATCCTGCTTTGAATTAACGCAAGAGAACATAGACTCTGGAATGGGTAAAAGCCGGAACGTTCGCCAGTCACGGGTATAGATATCTCTCCCTGAGAGGGTTGCGAAACAATCTCAATCTCGGCATCATCGTCGTCGATTGCGGATGGTCTGCCGATGCGTATCGACATGTCTTTGTCGATGACACATAAGATCCAGAACACTCGTTGTCGCTGGTAGGATTCTGATTCGGTAAGACCGAAGCTTTCAAGGTGCCTATGCAGACCTAAGGAAGAGCAGACCCGGGCGGCGATACCAATTAATAGGAAGGCGCCTTCTGGGTGCATCTAAAGATGTTGAGAAGCTGATTAGAAAGATGCTCAGGCGCAGCTGGATCAACGTCACAAAGACCGGGACTTACTTGTGTTTGCATGATATACGCCATCCCGATCAGAGTCTGCACCGTCAGAAGGTCGTATTGTATGAAAAGAAGAGTCGGAATCATAGAGCTAGCGTTCTTGAAGTATTTCCACGCCATATCCATGAGGTTAGACGTGAATGAAGGGTCAACCATGCTTATATTTCTGAGCACCGCATCCGTGGCCAAGGTACAACCGATCGATAGGACAATGCTCAATGCACTGATCCAGGACCCGTCTGGTGGAGGAGTGTCAGAGTATTGTCTCTCGAAGAGTTCCCAGAAAGTGTCTCGTGAGAACAACGGATACACGGCATTGAAAGTTTTGAAATAGCAGTCCACCAAATAGACTGCTATCTCTCTTGGTGGAAAGGGATATATGTCAGAAGGTTCGTTTGACTGACGGCCAAATCTAATTGAGGGCCACATAGGGCTACGTTGCTGAAACTTCCTGAAGATTGCGACCATCTTATCTGAGCCGAGTTTGCGTTGTATCCAGGCGAGCCCCCTGGGGGAGAATAGGCTGAGGCCAGATGAGGATCCTGCGTGTGCGGGTGAGCTAAGCCGGCGGAATCCCAATCATGCTGGGTGTGAGCTTACCGATGAATTTCTGCTCGCCGGCATCATTGATTACTAGGTTTGACACCTCTTTCTCCAAAGGCGCAGGTGGTGTCTTTTGAGCAGTATCCGGCTCGACATGGCCCTGTGTGGGTGTCGATTTAGCTGTGACGCTAGATTCCAGTAGTGCCTCCATCCGCTGTATCCTTGACTCGATGGAATGAAGGAAAAGGGCCCTACGAGCCGGGACACCTTGGTCAGCGCGATGAAAATCGAGTGGGATCCCCTGACAACGTACTTCTTCTCTTTTTGGGATTTGCGTTGTACTGGAGTGATAATACAAGCGACCGCCCGAGGACGACAATTTGAGCATGGCTGTTCGCCTTGCTTGTCGCATTTTATCTCTACGCCACACAGCGAATGTTAGTATGCTGCATAATGATCAGGAGTGGAAGAGAGTGTCGAGGAAGGGAACAGTCGCGCAGTCCGTACAGCATAATCGCCGGCCTCCCAAGGACATGGTTGCCCATGCCGCCAGGCAATGCGCTATGCTGCTCGAAGGACTTACTCATTCGACGGCAGAGGTCGCAACTCTGACGCCCTCGTTGCTTTTTGGACTCCGTCCCGGATGCGCCTGAGGGAGTCATCTTGTTCTGCAAACCTCGAGGAAGTGGTGGCTAGTGATTGCAGCGATTGGACAAGACAATGACGTCGACTCTCGTGATCGGCGCTGCGACTCACAGCAGCTGGGAGTGGTACGACTCTCAAAAGGTGAAGGTCAACAAGAAGAGGAAATGAGACGCCATTGGCATCGTGGAGGTATCACGCATAGATCATGTTACCCTATCCAGAAAGAATGGAAGACGTAGGTGGAATGCTTCGTAGATCTTCGGACGTCGTTGAACTGGACTCCCCAAGGCCAAGCTTCTTTCTCGGTGCCGTAACACTGGCGTGCCCGACAAGCCTACCTGTATTTCCAGAAAAAGTGGCACACCGTCTGACGGGGAATACATCAATGACATAAGTTCATGGTCCAGCAAGTTCGCGACAGCGCGTACTTTGACCCCAGGCTAGTAGGACTATACAGTAGAGCTGACGACCTTCCCAATATCAAGAGCTGATGCCATATCGTTGTGTGGGAAAGACTCGGCCATGACAACAAGGAATGGTATCTATTCAAAGCTGACGAGCAACTACCGTCAGACAGTGCCACTTTTTCTAGAAATAGGCTTGCGGGCGAGCTGGGTAGGTACCTACCTGGTAGGCAGGTACTGTAGTACTAGCACAGACCATGTTACTTACCTCCTGTCATTAAGCATACCCATGGCTTCATTCTTATTCTGTATCATAGGCGTACACTCATGTTGAACTCTATGCAGGCTTAATTCAAGAATAAGTCTCCAATGTTAGTCAGACCTCAATTTTGTCTACTCTATCTGGCTCTCTCTGCCGTCAGTAATTCCGCCTGCCAGAGATAAGTCTGTAAAGCTTCGCCCAGCATATAGATAGCTGATTTGTATTCTACCACCACAAATTTTGTTGAAAGGGGTATCTCTGTGTTGAAACATTTCGTAAAAAGCACACGCAAAAAAGGATCTAGAAGAGACCGTCGATCTCGCCGGTCTCAGGGTCCACGTCAACGTTGAGATAACCCGGAGCTGTTGGAAGACCAGGAATTGTTTGGATATCTGTCAACAAGGTCAGCAAGATACGTCCTTGAGAAGACGCGATGGGAAACCAGAAACTTGCGAATAGAGCGCATGCGAGACAAAGGGGCTTGGGACATACCAGCGGCGAGAGCATAAAGATATCCTGCTCCAAGAGCCAACCTGACATCCCGAATGGGTACTGTGAAGCCAGTGGGCGCACCCTTCAACGCAGGATCGTGACTCAGACTGTACTGCGTCTTCGCAATGCATATAGGCAAATTTCCAAACCCGTTTTTGTTGTACATGTCGACCTTCTTCTGCGCCAGTTCACTGAACTCGACCTTCTCGGCACCGTACATTTCCTTTCCGATCTTCTCGATACGCTCCTGGACGGGTCCCTCCAAATCGTACAAGAGCTTGAAGTCCTTCGGTTTTGATGAAGCTTCGACCACGGCCTTGGCTAAGTCAACCGCCCCAGCGCCGCCTTCGGCCCAGTGGTTTGCTGGTACAGCTGCTTCCGCGCCAGCGGAGAGTGCTTCTTCCTCGACGACTTTGAGCTCGGCATCGGTGTCCGTCTCAAATCTGTTGATGGCGACCACGACCGGAATACCGTATGCTCTGGCGTTAGATATGTGCTTCTTCAGGTTGACACAGCCGGCTCTGAGCATTTCGACGTTTTCGGTACGATAAGCTTCGGCCAGAGGTGCGCCTGCGGAGATCTCTGGGCCACCACCATGGACCTTCAGCGCGCGAATAGTGGCAACAACTACCACGACGTCTGGCACGAGACCTGATGACCTGCACTTGATGTTGAAGAATCGTTCGCCACCCATGGTGAAATCGAAACCGGCCTCCGTAACCACAAACCCGGCTTTGGATTCGTGGTCCTCGTCAGGCTCTGTGCCGGCCAGCTTCAGCGCCAATTTATCAGCGATCACAGAGCTGTTGCCGATACTGATATTTGCGAATGGACCAGCGTGGACAAAAACGGGAGTACCCTCCAAGCTTTGCATAAGGTTAGGTTTGATAGCGTCCCTCATCAGGGCAGTCAAAGCCCCGCCGGCGCCGATGTCGTCGCAGGTGACAGGGTCACCAGCTTTTGAGAATCCAATCACCATGCGTCCGAGGCGCTCGCGAAGGTCCTTCAAATCACTGCACAAGGCAAGGATAGCCATGCACTCGCTCGCGACGGAGATGTCAAAAGCAGTCTCCCGCGTGTGCCCCTTCTCAGTCGGTGCTTGGCCGATCGTGATGCCTCGGAGATATCGGTCATTGACGTCCAGAACTCTTCTCCATGTAATGGTCTCAGGATCAATGTCTAGCCTGGCGAAGCGATTGATTTCCTCTGGGGTCAAATCATCAGGATTGGTCTTGTCGATGCCGAGCTTCTTCAGTCTCCGGAACATGACAGGCGCAAACTCTCGCTTGCCCTTCTTGCTTGGCACTAAGCGCTTGTACAGGGCACCATCCTTCTGTGTGGATTCGTGGAACATCCTTGTATCAATGGCAGCCGCCAGAAGGTTGTTTGCGGCGGTTATGGCATGAATATCTCCTGTCAAATGAAGGTTGAACTCATCCATAGGAATGACCTGACTGTAACCACCGCCAGCTGCACCACCCTTGATACCAAACGTCGGGCCCATACTCGGCTGTCGAACATTGGCGAACGTGATCTTGCCCAAATGGCCTCCAAGTGCCTGTGTGAGACCCATAGTGGTTGTGGACTTACCTTCTCCAAGCGGCGTTGGTGTAATGCCACTGACCAGGATGTACTTGCCGTTCTTACGGTGTTCCAGTCTCGAGAGCAGCGAAAGATCAACCTTTGCCTTATAGGCACCGTAGGGCTCAAGCTCGTGTGGAGCAATTCCAACATCGGTAGCGATGTGGGTGATTTGCCTTGGGTGTTGTGATCTCGATATGGCAATGTCCGATGGTACGGGCGTTTGGATCTTGATAGGGAGGGGTGTAACATGGCGAGCCTTCAACCTCTCGAAATATGCGGAGGCAGAATCAACCACATTCTGCATGAGCATCGCCACTGTCATTGGGCCAACACCACCAGGTACAGGAGTAATCTGAGAAGCAACCTCGGCTGCTGTCGCAAACTCCACATCGCCCACGAGTCGCTGGCCAGACGCCTTCGAACTGTCCTCAACGTAATTTGTGCCAACGTCAACGACCACCGCACCAGGCTTCAGCCAATCACCTTTGACGAAATTGGCTTGCCCAATCGCTGCAACAAGCACATCGGCTTGTTGGACAACCTCCTTGATGTTCTTGGTCCTTGAATGGCATACTGTGACGGTCGCATCTGCGTTCTTCAGGAGATAGCTGACTGGGCTGCCCACAATATCGCTCCGACCCAGGACTACAGCTGTTTTCCCTTTGAGCTCGACACCACTCTCTTGCAAGAGAACCATGACTCCTTTCGGTGTGCAAGGAACAAAGTACGGCTTGCCACCTCTTTTGGCAAGTTCACCAATGTTTTTAGTACCAAAACCATCCACATCTTTCTCATCAAGTACGGCCGACGTTATAGTATGCTCGGATATGTGTTTGGGGACAGGTAACTGGATGAGTATGCCATGGACAGCAGGATCATTGTTGAACTCCTCGATTTGTTGTAACAGTTCTGGCTCAGAGATAGTGGAGGGCAAGTGGACCAGGGCGCAGTCAATTCCAGCTTCTTCTGCAGCCTTCAACTTCATCCGCACATACGTCGTAGAGTCCGGCCGGTCTCCCACCTGGATTATCTTCAAACATGGCTTATACCTAGGATTGACCTTTTGTCTCTCCTTGACCTCGTCGCCCAGACGTTCCCTGATCTTCTGGGCAATCGCCTTCCCATCGATTTTGGTCGCACCCATGACTGCCGCTGTGCTTGAGAAGACCCTCTTCGATCCAGACAGCGATTGAGTTATAGCTCGGACTCGAGAATTGCAAACACAGAAACCTCGCGCTGCAGGTGCCCTTTTGCTACTCGCACCGACGAAATTTGCGGCACTTCTGGTTTGCAGAGTCAGGAGGAAAGGAACCGTGGATCGGTAGGGTGATATCGGAGCCGAAAGAGAAAGTTTGGAGTAACAATGTATGTGACGGGCAGCAGATGTACTCAGATATTTTGCACTTGCTACTCTGCTGGCCATCAGGGCGCCTGCTCTTCTAGTAAAGGGTCGACAAGTCACCGAGAAGATTGGTGTCTTCGGTCCACAAGTAAGACACTCATTGCCGCTCTTTGTACAGAGACCACGGGAGTTTCCAATGGTCAGTGTGTCATAAACATTTTTGTGGCTTGACTCGTATCTTGAGGTGTCGAAAAATTCCATGACTCGGGGAAAAGAGAAGCGCAGTCTTGGCCACCAAATTCCCACATCGCTCTTCGACGACTCTGGAACGACCGAAGCCGCAACCGAGTATCCCAAGTCGCCTTCATTCTTCACATAAATCCTCGTACAGTTGCCGTTAGAACTTTGCGGCATCGAACACAGTCAGAAAACATTGCGAGATGAGGCCCATACTTCTGCAAGGCCACGTACGTTGCCTCATGCGCACATCAGAAAGATCCTGCTGACACAATAGTTCAGGAACGGTCTCTAAACCAAATCAAATACAACAAAGACGGTGATCTACTTTTCTCCGTGGCGAAAGACAAGGTCATCTGTGCGTGGTTTACGAGCAACGGCGAACGACTTGGAACATATATCGGCCATCAAGGTGCCATCTGGACCATAGATGTCTCTCCTGACTGCCGAATCCTTGCCTCCGGAGCCGCGGACAACACGATAAAATTGTGGAATATTCGCACTGGAGAAAATGTCAAGACCTGGGAGTTCCCTACTGCAGTCAAGCGGGTTGCTTTCAGCGAGGACGGAAAACAGTTACTAGCCGTGACCGAGAAGCGAATGGGACACTTGGGAACCATTGTCGTCTATGACATCCAATATGGAGAAGACCTGACGGAACAGACCAACGAACACAGCCTACGGATAACTTGTGAAGATAGCAAGGCAACAGTCGCGGGATGGAGTTATCTTGACAAGTACATTATTTCGGGCCATGAAGACGGCACAGTAACTCAGTGGGACTCGAAGGTAGGTCGATCATGTTGTGAAATCCTTGCCCCTACTGACAGGATCATCCAGACGGGTGAGAGTCTGATGACCGTTGAAGCTCACGAATTCGATACCACGATCAATGACTTGCAATTCTCTCCTGATCGGACATACTTTATCACGGCTGGCAAGGACAAAAGCGCAAAGGTATTTTCTTCGAGTCTTTGTGTGTTATGAAGCTTGTCTAATTACAGGTAGATCCTTTCGTCTCGAGACTTGAGCATCCTGAAGACATACGTTGCCGACACTCCTCTCAACACGGCCGCCATCACTTCAAAGAAAGATTTTGTCATTCTAGGTGGTGGTCAAGCCGCAATGGACGTCACAACGACATCTGCGCGTCAAGGTAAATTCGAGGCTCGTTTCTATCACAAGATCTTCGAAGACGAGATTGGCCGTGTCCGGGGTCACTTCGGTCCTCTCAACACCATCGCTGTCCATCCCCAAGGTACAGCGTACTCTAGCGGAGGTGAAGACGGCTACGTGCGGATGCACAACTTCGACAAGGCTTATTTCGACTTCATGTACGAGGTGGAAAGAGAGCAAGCACGAAAGTAAAACACCTTCCTTCCTTGATGATACCCGCCGCAATGAGGATGTACGATAATGGTCAATGCGTGACGATCAGAAAAGCAGGCTTTATTAGCCAATTGAACGTGCTGTCGATGCGAAGGGCGTGCGGGAATGGTTCCTGAACCCGAAATCATCTGGACCAGTCACACCGACAGTCGAGGCCCCTTGATTGCAGAGTGCACCGTATCGGGTCCCTTCGCACGAAAAGGAGTCGGTTTCAGTATGGAAGCGCAAGAGCAGCAGAATGTCGGAGCATGTCTCGTTTGACGCTCTTGCCTGGATTACACAGACATCATCTTGACCAATGAAGTGGCATCTCCAAGAGTTGACGCCCACCCGCGCGTGCCACCAACATTTCCGCTTCACATTCCGAGATGGAGGCGCACAGAGATAGCTGACAGCATGGTCAAACCTTCTGTACCGGACTGGTTGCGATTAAGAAGCAGTGGCAGGAGGATGAGGGTAGAGCCAACGGGGCCACCAGTCAGTCGATGGTTGCCAACGTGCGGGTGTTGCAGGTCTGTTTTGGTCTCCGGCTACGCGGTGTTTTGAGGTGCGGTTGAAGGCTCGGCGTAGATGGACACATTCTGGGCGAGACGCCGACCACTAAGGGCGCAAGCGTCTAAGCGTTCTCACCTGCTTTCTTGCTTTCGGCACGAGGGGTTTCTCTACGACACGTTTCGCCGAGTCGGTATGGCAATGATGAGGCGGCCAAGTTTAGGACATTCGAACTACAAATCTATGCCTGCTTGCACCACCCTCACTCAGTGGTCCTATGCTCTCTCAAGACTTCGCAGGATATGTTGTGCACATCCGTGGCCAGCTCGATGTTCTTCTCTACGCGGTCCCTGCTGCCTTAACCTACTAGCCCTCCGCGCCATCTTTGATGGTGGCTTTTAGTCTGTACCCCCTCTGCTTGACCATTCCTGTGTGCTGATCTGTCTTCTTTGAAAACGCTCGACTCCGGCAAGTGAGGACTAGCAGGGAAAGTCAGCCTGCGAAGTAAACGCTTTTCGCGAGGCAGCATCTCTAAATTGGGTCCGCGCAGTATCTGATACCAGTAGACAGTGGTCGAACAATCATTTTGCAAATGGTTTCAGTTCCCAAATTTCACGTTGACCTAAGTCGCCAGAATGTTGATCGCTCAACTGTTGGTCTTGGATCATGATCATTATGCTCTTCCTGTTTTTCCAGATCTCAAGAAAAGAGCGGCTTCATCCCATTAAGCCCATCGAAGATCCGGGTCGACTCGAAAGAGGCGGAACCATGCAGGCCTGTCGCACACGCCGTTATCCCGCAGTTGGCTACGCCATCACCCGAGTAGACCATGGTGGCGAGGGCAAATCTGTTGTTGGCAAAGATTTCCAGGACATCTCCGTCAGAAACGATGTCAAGGTGGAGCTTCTCCCAGTGTCTTTCTCCGTGATGGTCCACGGCCTCGAAGAGTGTGAAAGGTCCCTGCTCGGGACATTTGTTGACATCTTCGCGCAGACTGGAAGCAGTACGCTCGACCGTAATCGTCTCCTCCACCAGAGATACGATGATCGTTGTTCGAATCGAAAGGTCCTCATTGTGCCGAATGTACAGAGCCACTGAATCGCAATCAGTGCTGACGGCGACGACGGTCTGCAATGACCACGCTGAATGTGACGTTCTACAAAGATGTCGACTTTGATGCTCAAGGGACGGCAACGAAAATTGAGGAAATACTCTAGCTTGGCGACAGTTTTCCCGTATCGAGCTCATCTCAGAAAAGGGACGGATGCCCAATGTTATGAGTGTTAAAGATTCCGAATGATCTTCCACGAAACTCATGCTCGAGATTTCGTGGAGTGGGCTCCGCAAAGCCCTTGTGACTCTGTCGATTTTGAGGAGGAATATTTCCCTTGGGACGGCAAGCGAGCCATTCCAGCCTTTCTCGTGAGCATAGTCCAACGAACAGTCCTCTTCCGGTATCCATCCATACAATATGCGTCTTCCAGACCGTGAATCAACGAATGAGTTCGCTGCATAATAGCATCCGTGGTCCAGGAATCCATCAAAGGTAGGATGAAACTTCACAGCATCCACAGTAGTGTCCAGGTATCCAGACATCCACAAGTTCTGGCGAATTGTTCTCGCCGGCAAGCCTGGAGGCAATGTGCCATCGAGGATGTGCTTCCTCTCCACATCGCCTTCGGCGCCAATGATAAGAAAGTCCCTCGAAACCGAGTCCGACTGTAGCGTCACGAAATTGACACATTCCCAATTCGTACCAAAGTTGCCCGACCACTTTTCCGAGGACTGCTTCCTTGCTGGGATGTCGACGAGAGGACCCAAGTATTTCCATTTTCCTAGGCGCTCAGGCTCAACAGCATACAGGAAGGTCGTGGGTCCGGCACCTGTTACACCTCCGGAGATGAGGCCATACAAGGCCTGCTCGCCCCTGAGTCTGTCAAGTGCAGGCCAGGCTGAGACAAAGGGATCTCGAAACCCAGTGACACTCATCTCGGCCGGCTCTCCCTCCAGGATTGGATTGTTCTCAGATTTCTGCCATGTAGCACCACCGTCATGTGAGGTGGCCATTGAGAGGCCTGCTGCGTTCCGTGGGTATGGAGGAGTACTCCAATGAAACGGCAGATGTTTGACCGAGGAGTAGAAGATCGTCATTTCGATACCGCTGCCAGCAGGGACCAAGCAACCCGTGAATATGCCTTCTTTATCATAGGGTCGGGATGGAAAAAGCGCCGGCTGCATGGATGCCTCTTCCCAGCTGATCATGTCTCTGCTTTGGATATGGCCCCATGACATATTGCCCCAGTCGCAGCCATCGGGGTTCCCTGGCCGACATCAGTATACTAAGGAGGGGAGACACAGCAGACACACATTGGTAGAAGAGGTGGTAAAGTCCTGTAATTGGGTCGTAGCCAGGGCCGCAAGGGTCGTTGATCCATGACTGCGCAGTGAAATGTATTACTGGTCGTTTACTATCGCCATGCTTTGCAACTCTGGAATCGGCCATGCGCGAGACTGCCACCCACAGTACAGTATGCTCGCCTTTTGCACATGTGTAAGCCGCAAAGTGTCATTCTCTACCGTCACAATGTCGATGATCGGCCGACGCGAGAAAATGATAGATATTGCTAGCCTTGCAAAGGATGTACGAGGAAAAGTGGCCGTCATGGCTATTGTTCGGCCAAACCAAATTGACTTTCCACTGATTGGCGCCGCACAGGCAAATGAAATGTCTCGACAAACTAGTACTGGTGTCATTTCGATTGAGATACTCCTGATTGTCGCCCACGATTCCCCTTGCTCCGCATTGAAAATCTGGAGGGCGGAAAGAGCCCGCACCTTCCAACTGCTGGCCTGAACTTCACGAAAGAAGCCCCGGAAACGCGGCATCATGTTTCCGTCCTCAGATTACTACGCCTTGCCGAATCGTGCATCTCAGCTCATGAATCTATTCAGTCATTCCACGTGCAGGGTCTTCCCCTTTAGTCTCACAATTAACGACGATGGCAGGAAACGCATTTTTAGGAAGAGATAGTCCCTCCGCAAGCTCAACGAGCAGCACGGGAGCGACGAAAAGAAAAGCCGGAGAGGGTCAGGAGGAATCTCACCATGTGAAGAGAGGCAAGTACATTGCTACTGCCTGCAACGAATGCAAGAGGCGCAAGATCAAATGCACTGGGGAAGTTCCCTGTCGTCGATGCAGGCATATGTCGCTTGAGTGCCACTACCGACCACGCCCTGTCACAGCTGCTGTTCAGGAACATCGTGAAATCAAGGCTGTGCACGACCACATGGGAAAGCTGCAGACACAAGTGAACGCGTTGAAGGCGCAGCTCAGCAAACTTCAGAATCAACAAACTGCATCTCCCACAATCTCTACCTCACTCCCCACGTTGAACGCTCAGCCTACCTGGCCCGGTAGTTCTTCCAAATCCCTTTCATCAAAGACTTTGCCCACCTTTCGAGGGTCCACGACTTCGACTTACTGCTTCGATATTGTGAAGTTGTCTTTGCAAGCGATGGGCATCATTGATATGGCCACAGAACATCTGCAACCGGAGCCGCTCGAGGCACCACAGACCACGGCCCCAGATACCAGGTTTCATGGGGATCCACTATGTCTAGTCGACAGAGAAGAGGCAAGGAGACTTCTGACCATATACGAGGAAGAATGCCATCTCACCTATCCGGTCTTCGACTTGAACGAACTACGTAACCATGCAGACATGCTCTACTCGTTCACTTTACCCCTCCTCAGGCATGGCTCACCGGGGTGCGATGCAGTGACCAAGTCTATGATGACTGATGATCAGACCACTCTCCTGAAAATCGTGCTGGCTTGTGGAATGATACTCGACGGCCACGGGCGCAGCGACCTTGGCCAAAGAATGTACACATCCGTTAAGCACGCAGTAGACAGCGTTATGTCACTACCACTGACCACAACGTCACTTGCATTGCTCGTCGTCTTCGCCACATTCCACTTCTGGAATAATGAAGAGACTCAAGCCTGGAGATTGATTGGTCTTGCCGCCAGGGTCAGCTTTGAGATGGGCTTACATCGAAGCGATATTCTGGCACGCTCGTTCACTACCGAAGCCGAATTGAAGACCGCTGTCCGCGTCTTTTGGGTGGTCTACGCCCTGGATCGAAGATTCAGCTTCGGGACTGGCATGCCATTTGCGATACAAGATTCAGATGTTGATCCGGCCCTACCTGCACCGGTCAGTCGATCAGCCAAAACCAAAACAGACTATAGCTAACTTGTTTCAGGATAACGAGTTCCCCTATCTTCCCCATATCACCAAATATAACCAGATCATGACTGAAATCTGGGCTCATGTATCAGCCCTCGAGTCTGGCAAATTGCCGTGCAAGGACAATGTCGATTTCCTTGACTACCAGGTCTTACGATGGTATACTCAGCTGCCAAGTTCACTTGGTTTCGACGACCATGACCTGATGTCTGAGAACGCCATCCCCAGTCGAGGCTTGCGCCGGCTCCGACTTATCATGCGGCTGCGTAAGAATCAAGCAAGGATTTCAATCTACAGGGTCATGCTGCATTCAGCGAACCAGGTCGTTGCCAATCAGAAATGCGCAGAAACGGTGACCACAATAGCGAAGGATACTATCAACATCATTACAAGCGTCAACAAGATCTCTGACCTCTACCGAAGTCAGCAAGTTTGTTACAATTACTTCCTGGTCCAAGCAGTAGCATCACTTATGCTTGCCGCAGTCCGAGTTCCTGGCATATTCAATCATGATGCTCGGAGAGAGCTTCATGCTGCGATCGATCTGATTGAGAGCATGAAGACACAATCGGTGGCTTCGAAGAGACTTTTGCAGACGATTCGAGATTGGAAGTTCTTTGAATCGAAAATCAGCCTGCTCAAATCAGGTTCAGACATCGTCAGAAGCACTGATAAGTCTGGACATCTCAGAAAACCTTACCGATTCTCGGAAGATGGCAACTCGGGCCAAACCAGAGAAAGGCATGGAGAGAACATCGTTACGAATGAGCGGGATCTGCCAAACCAAATCGAGGTCTTTCCCTACACGCAATCATCAAACGGCCCACAAGTGTGTCGAGAGGAGCAAGCCTTCAATTCTGTCCCACAGGGCACGGAAGATGATACTCTGGACTTCTCGACGTTTGCTACAATTTTCCCATCAGAACCAGATTTCCAGAGATTCATGGACGAGCTGTTCTAGGGTTCTTCATATGTAGGCGTGTACCAGCAACGTTTGGGCACAATTGAATGTTTTTGATGGAGTGGACCCCTTTCTCAACTGGAAGAGTGAAAACAGCTTTATGAAGCCTGTATGGAGGAGGGAAACGCCGGATCATCTTCAGCGATTTCCGCACCTACAAGACAGTGGCATGCTGCTTTTGACCGATGCCAACCGGAACTCCCTGTAATATTCATGGTGACTGCGCAGGTTGATATCTCGAGACCATACAAGCCCCCTTCTCTGGCTCCTTCATCCGCAATGATTACGTCAAATTTCTGCTTAAGAGAGTGACGTTGCAACTTGTCGGGGGCCTTTGCGTCGAATCCCCGGTTATGCCAGCCCTCCTTTGCGCTGCAAAGAGTTTTTGCGGTCTTCCAGATCCGCGGTTACTCGGATTTGCCGTCCAATTGCTGGGCTGTCCGCTGGCGCTATCAGCATACAAGCTTCAACAAGCAACATCAAGCATTGGAGGGCCGTAGAACCCTATGATCACAGCGCAGGGGGCTGTCATTCCGCTCGAAAAGACATCGAATCCGCACCTACCGGCAATAGCGGCAAGTCGCACTTGCAAGGTATTCGGGGCGTGCCACGGGGAAATTCTGCGGCAGGGATATCGGCGTGGAGACCGAGTTTGAAGCGCTCCGCAAACACATTTTTATGGTCTATCATCCCCAGTTCCAAAAGACACCAGTCGCTTCGAGTGGAGTAAGTATGGAATTGCGGAATGCGTTCCTGACTGCCTGGCCTCGGGAGTGGCGAGTACTGGGATTGATTAATTGATGCAATGTCCGTCGCTTTTGCTTGTATTGTACAGCGCCTCCTTCTGCTGCATTTTGCCTGTCTTGGCTTCGTGCTACGCTGCCATTTCCTGCTCCACTGGGCGAAGTCTGTCTGCGGATCATCGTCCTGCTCAAGCAAAACCACCCGCCCTTCCAGAGCCTTGCGAAATACATCAATCCACGAGATGGAGAAAGCGGACCAGTATGAGGTCGATTCGGAGCCTCGGAATGTCGACATCGTCTCAGACGAGCATGCAGTCGCGAAACATTCGCCCATGGTAAGTAATGTCTCCTTCCACCACCGGAGTCATTCAAGTATGAATCCGTGTTGATAGCCTCAATCATAGGACTGGCCATGGATTCGCAAGCACGTTATCCTGGCACAATGCGCATTGCACGCCGCCGGCCCAGGCTTTACGAGTGCGATCCTCATTCCTGCCATCGGGTCTTTGGCAGAGCAGTTTGGGGTCACAGCACAGAAAGCGTCATACCTGGTCGCCGTTCACGTCCTTTTTCTAGGCGTTGCCCCCTTCCTGTGGAACCCCCTGATGAGTGCTTACGGACGCAGACCGATCCTCATTGCGACCATGTTCTTGTCGTGCGTTGCCGCGCTGGGAGGTGGCTTCGCGCATTCGTACGGCACTCTGATGACGGCGCGTGTCTTTCAATCCATTGGCATCTCGTCCGGGTTCGTCGTGCCTGGGGCAGTCGTCGTCGATATCTTCACCAAAGAGGAGCGGGGCCGCAAGAATGGCATTTGGACACAGATGGTCTCGCTTGGTGCTCCTTTGGGCGGCATTATAGGCGGTCCTGTCGTATACTATATCGGTTGGAGATGGGTCATGTGGCTGATCGCGATATGCAACGGCATCCAAACGATAGCTTACATCCTCACTTGTCCTGAGACTTCTCATGTTCATCGACAACAGGCTCAGCTTGGCGCGTTTCACTCATCAGAACTGGTCAGACCACCTAAGAAAATATCTGGCCGCCTGGGTCTGCGCATGTTCATCGAGCCGATTTTGCTTCTGCAGTCGCCGCATGTGACGCTGGTCGCCTTTGCGTACGGAGTCACCTTCGCCATCACGTCGCCGGGTATTTCGGTCATTGTGCCGCTGGCGACAGAGGAGTTTTACAACTTTGGAGCAGTCGCGCAGGGACTGTTCTTCATTGGACCACTGGTTGGGATTCTGATCGGCGAATTGCTGGCTGGAAATGCGAGTGACTGGCTCATGAATCGGGAGCGACGCCGAGCTGCGGAGGCAGGCCAGTCTCCAAACCTGGAGCGACGGCTTCTGGCCGGGCTGCCTGGATACTTCATGGCGCCTCTGGGGGTGATCATTTTTGGTGTGACATTGCAGAGCCACTGCCCCTGGATCGCGCCTTGCATTGGATTTGCCTTGTCCGACTTTGGACTGCAGATGGTCACGACGCCGCTCAAGACTTATTGTATGGACTGCCACGCTTCGCACACTGGGTCGGTGTTGCAGTTGGTCAATGCTACACGTCAGATCATCTCGTTTACCATTCCCTTTTGGAGCCCGAATTTGGGTGACAAGGTCGGCTTTGGTTTGGGATTCGGAATTGAGGCGATCATTATGGCCTTCTTCTATGTATGCAGCTTGTTGGTATTCTGGAAGGGTCAAGATTGGAGGCAAAGTGTGCAGGTGAAGGGGTTGGTGGATGTGGACAGGTCGTAGATACCTACCTACAGGTACCTAGGAGGTAGTCAATAGCTGTCCGTTTCTTCACGGTCACATGATCTCGGCAGCAATTTCCTCATCCCATCAATTGCCAGAGTCTGTGCTTGACTTTTTCTCTTTATCTCGCTCAAGTCCTTCTCCTTCAAATTCCCCCACATTGATGACTGTCACATTGTCATTGTGCCACTTTTCATGCCTTTTCCACTCACTTGGATTCCCCGTTCCAGCGATACGACCTGACAAGCATCTCTCGTTATGTCATCCTGCATCTCCTCGAGAGATCTGGAGAGGGGACGACAATGTCAGAACAAGGTTGAACTGTATCCATCTCTGCACATCTCGCGCACTTTTTGACCCAAGATTGTCGATATCTGAGGCTACGGCTACTCAAAGCACTCGACCACGTATCAATTACAAGGCGTCATGTGCAGAGTTTGATAAAGTTAGCGCGCCATCGACAATCTCATCTGCATTTTGCGGAGGAGAAAGTGCTCTCACATTATTTTCCGCCCTATCACATCATCTTTTCTCGCATTACTACCCTGACCTTTTTTTCTTACCAGCCGCACACCTTTCTGCCTGATACTTTGACTTTTGGAAATCGCTCAGCGAAATAAAGTGTGGAATTATGCTGCCTGTGTACTCGAAGCTGTATCGACTCATCAACATCGATATATAATCTTATACTACAAGCAGTCACCCACTCAGCATACTTCGTCACACGACACATGCTCACCAGCCACAATTCATGATTGCTGCCGCATAGACAACCATTTTGCTCGGCAAGTCAACTACAACACACTGCCTGTGCACAGAGCACAAGCTCAACGACGCCTTGAGGACGAGCGTGGTATCGCAACCACTCAGGTCAATATGGCTACCAAAACGGACTTTTCAACACCGGACATACCCATGTCCGAGGCAACCTTCTATGTCTCATCCTGCACACGCATCAACGCACCAGCGTCTCTAGTCTTTCGAACACTACGTAACACCGAGACGTGGAAAGATTGGAATCGCTGGATCCCCCGAGTGACAATCACATACCAGCCCGACGACGAGGACGACGCCACTGTAGCCGAGATCGAAGAGCTTGTTCGTAACACATCCATCGCCGTCAGCTACGACTCGGAAATCACAGATGGCGCGGCCAACCCTAACAAGCCAGCCCAGAAGAAACCCTTGCCTCCTGCCGTGAACGAACTGCAAGACGACGGCCAGGGTAGAAGAAGTTCTGACGGCTTCCTCTTCCCGCCTGTCACACGACAACGTCTGGCCAGCAACGCGGGCAGACGCCTCTCCGAGCAAATAGGACGCCCAAGCACAGACAGCACCCACTCACGGCCCATGTCTCCAGCGTCAAACGGTCTGTCGGGTGCGCAAAAGTACCAAGCCGCGCAAGAGGCGCGCAAATCATCACTTTCAGCCGAAACTGGCGACACAGGGAAGGGCGGTGCGGCAGTCATGCTCGAAGCCCCAGGCGACTCGTCGATATTGGTGCCCGCACCACGCAACACTGCGTCCACGGCGCTAGCGCTCTCGCACCGCAAAGACAAGACGTCACAGGAAGCCCGGCGCAAGAGCTCCAGTGCCCGCCGACAACTGAACATAAATGCATTGTATGGCGAACCCAACGTACGCATCCAAGTCGGCACGAAGATGACATTCCACGTCAAAATGAAACTTCCCCATTTCCAGGAGGTGCGCGAGATGAACATGGTGGTAAGCGAAGTGTCTCGACCGGACGATCCGCTCGATGAGCCCGAGCCGGGCAGTCTCGCGCGCGCCAATACACATACGGTCTCGAAAAGCGGGGTTTATAGGCTGGTTTGGGGGATGGCGAACACGTATAATCCGCCCAAGAGTTTTCCCAAGTTCTTGTTGCAGGCGCAGCGGGTGCATGAGATTCGGCCTATAGTGCAGGGTGATGGGAAGGAGGTCTGTGAGTATTGGGATTGGGAGTGCCAGAAGGGCATGTTGGCGAAGAAAGTTAAGAAGGATTATGGTCCTTATATTCAGGAACGGATGAAGGAATGGGGTGAACGGTTGGGACAGTTTTGCGAGAGTATGGGAGGAGCGGTGGAAAGGAGAGATTTCAGCGTTGCTTGAGTTAGCAGGACGCTGTGCAATTTGTTACATGCGCGGTGGTGCCGGTGGTGAGTGGTGATGAGACCAGATGGACGATTTGCGTAATGAGGCAGCTGTGTCGCGTTTTGGACTTTTTGAACCATGACTTGATGCGATATGTTATGATATGCGGAAAGAGGATCACGCTGGAAATGCGGAAACGAGCAGACGATCTTGTGAATGCCCGGACGAGATGCAGACGAAGTGATGAACTATACTTGGTCTACACCATAGCGTAATGATATGAGTATATTGTCAATATTGCTATGAGTCATAGTTAGCCTTGTGGTCTTATTGACATCCACATTTCATCTCGTATATTCGTACAAAAACCTTCTCGAGATATTTGTTAAGATTTCGAATTGAGCACCCGCATATGTGTAGAGTGACCTCACACGCCATAGATTCCTCGTGCCGGCTCATTCGCCCATCAACGAAGATCTTCAAAGTCCTTGACATCTTTTTCATTGCGCCATGGCTTTACTCTGAAGATGTAAACAAGTCCTCTTCAGCCATGCAATACTTGCTCCTTTGCAGGCCGGGAGGTACTGTACCTCGCAAGACAACCCCAGCCGGCTCGAATCCTGCAGGCGGACGTAGCGAAGCGAGATGAACCGCGAACGAATCGCGGGTCTGCCTCAAGCTGACTCTCTCATTCCCGGTGCAAACAATATGCTCTCTGGCAAAGGGTTGCAAACAGCTCGGGGTTGGGCCGCAATCACCGCCGGATGAGCCTAGTCGTGTGAAGTGGCCTTGGTGGTTGGCCGACGTAAAGCTGCACTTGCATTGTGCGGTAAGGCTGCTTGGTCAATCCTTCGCGGGTTTGTATTCCAACCCAGTTGGCGACATGACCTTCAATCGCGCATTCCTTACTCCGGCGTAATGCGTCATCAGTCATCACGTATTCTTCCGTGGCTGCTCTCCCTTGACAACATCCTCCACCACATCCAGCCAGTCCAGAGCACTGATGCGTCCCATATCAGCCTTGAGAACTGCTCGAGCAAGCGCCCTATCGACCGTGCCCATCCTCGGCACTCTCGCACCCTGCTCTCCACCTCGGACATGGTCGAGAACCATCCATCCCTGTGTCGCCATGGCTTGCCTTTGGAGAACACTGCCTCCGTAAACGAGCATCTGCCCTGTTGCCGCGACCAGCAACGTGATGGCCAGCGAAAATACATCCGATGCTGTCGTTGCCGTCGAGTTCGGGTCGCGCAGGACCTTGGAGCTCAATAGCTCCGGCGCCGTGAATTCCCTAGTCACGGCGGAAAGTGTATTGGGCGTCGTCTCTTCGAGATTGAGTAGTTGCGCCGACGAAAAGTCCGCCAGAACCGGGTCGAATGTCACTTCTGTACCTGAACCTTTCACGTTCGCCAGGAGAATGTTGCCAGGCTTGATATCTCCGTGAACCACCTCCGCGACATTGTGCAGCCACGCGAGCGCGGAGATGAGCTGGTGGGCTAGACGAAGCCACTTGGCTGTGCTGCCGACTACGGGGTCGTGCATGGTCCAGGTCGAGAAGTTTTCGGACGCCGAGACGGCGCATTTGCGGATATGGTCTTCCAAGGAGTAAGGAATGGCTGCGAGGACGATCGTGGCCTGGTCAATGGTGCCGTAGAAGGGGACTACGTATTCCTCGTTGTGGGGCATGGCCTGGAGATAGCTGAGGATCTTGGCTTCGCTTTTGAGGACCTCGGTCGAATCGCGGCGGGTGGGCTTCTTGACGGCGACCAGAAGTGGTGCGGTCACAATTGGAGATGAGGGTGGTGTCAACGCGCTCGAAAGGTTTCCAGATTTGGTAGATGCAGTGCCTTTGTAGACGATGCTCCACGCGCCGGTGCCGAACATGGCGTCGCGTCCTCGTTGGTCCTTGAGGATTTCGACATCGAATGGACATTCGGGTGCAGACCTTTTCGCGGCTCGCATCGTGGCATCCCTTACATTGGTGTGTATAGGTTGGAGTGGTTCACGTCGCTGATCATGTTTCGAGATCGAGGGGGTTTCTTGCGCTGCTGCGATATTGGAAAGGTTGGATAAGGATTGTATTTGACGCGGCGACGTTGGAGGGGTCAGCGCCGAAAATGATTGACCTGTAGGTCTAGTGTCTTTTGCTGCAGTGGACAGCGAATCAGGGGTGACTGGAGGAGTGCTCATGCTGTTGAGCACAGAAGGGCGAAGAGGAGTCGTCATGTTGGCGACGAAGCGGGACTCGTAATCAAATCGTAGATCGAGATGTCAGTTTGCTCTGGTGCGTTTGGTGGAGGGCTAAAGTCGTTGTATGAAGGCCGTTTCTCGCAACCATGGGTAGTTTTTGACTGTCAAGAGCAGTATTTCGAATAAAAGAGATTGGACAGAAGCTATGCTAATAGAAGATGTCTCGAGGTTCTTAAAGAGAGGGCAAGGAAATGTGCGCGCGCTAAACGACCCTTGGACCCGTGGTTCTGGTAATGAAGCTCGGATCACACCGGCGGCGACTCTCGCTTACAAGATTTCGAAGTTCGGCGCGGATCATAAACAGAGAGACAACGTTGCTGGCTAGCGAAACGTGGCAATGGCGGGATGTGACGTGGCGAGCGAATGAGACTCGGTGCGAGGAGCCGCGTGAGGTCGCGTGGTAAACACTCGGTCCAGAAAGAGCCCTGTGCGTAGGCCGCGCGGGAGAGCTTCTAGAAAGGGTTAAGCAAAAAGAAAGAAAAATGCAGATGAGAGAATTGTTGCAAGTAAAAGTTAGGAAATGGTGTGAGAGACGGTAGTCATGAATGATGGGGTGGAATGGAGGAGGCTGGGATTTAGACGTAGTTTGAGGATTGATATGTAGAGGAAGGAGATGTAGATAACGACCCCGTGGAGAAAAGGAAAGAGGGACGCGACGGGCATGATGAGACACGAGACACCCTCTCACACTTATTAAGACGAACGAGATCAAGATTCAAGATCTAGATTTGGGGCAATTTCATCTCAGCCGCCTGTGACATCAACAGGTCGCTCCGGATCTTGAAGGAAGACTGACTAAGGGTCTCTGTGAACAGATCAACGGTTTTTCCCATTTGGGGCCCCACGCGAAGAAAAAGCAAAGACAGCAAAGTATCGGATTGGACTGGATACGATACCAGGTCGAGGAATTCCTCACGTGAAGGTGGAAGAAGGCAGAAGAGAAAACGTGCGACACGGAGGGCCACGATTGGGATGCAATTCCGTGTAACCGTTAGATGGGCTTCTGGAGGGAATCTGGGATACCGGTCTGTGCGCCCGGTCTCCGAATAAGCGAGCGGAAGCGCAAAACTATATATGCACAGTGTGGAAGACTACTGTTTCTCTATACGAGCCTACCGACGTATTCTCAACGAGATTTGTATAGCGGGCATAGTTGACAATAATAGACAGATTTGGGAGAGAACAGAAAGGCCGGTGTGTGTGAGAAAGACAGGTATCGTAGATAGATCAAACAACAAGTAGAAGGTACGGAGTACTAAATGTCAATCCCAGCCACCAGACATGGCCAGGCCCAGTCGACCACACATGGCCCCCTTCCCTCCGGCACGAGATAACTCAAAAGGCCCTTCCACATCCCTCCCCAGAAAGTCTAGTATTGCACGCTCATCGCACGCTCCAGTCGCTCTGTCACCTCAAGTATTAGATCTGAAGGACAGGCACCACCCCCGTCCATTCTCCACGAGCGCGTTCCTCCCAATACCCGTCCTTGCCAGTCTTCAACTTCCATACCACTTCGTCTTCCAGTTCGACTTTGGTGAACCACCGAGCCTTCCATGTCTCGTCGTTCGACTCCATTTCTCTCCGCCGTGCCCTTTGCCCTTCCTCAAGCTTGTTCTTTAACGTCTCTGCTTGATCATGGTCGCCCTGTTCGAGTGCAACTTGGTCAGGTCGGAGCCGGCTATCTGTGGGCGGGAGTTTCCCCTGCTCAATCTCGGTGGTCTCGTTGAGCTGCGCAGCGAAAAGAGTCATGCCATAATGTTTCGGCGCATTCTCCACCAAAGGCCCAACTGACCATACAGTTGACCGAGCCAACTTGCCAGGTTCCTTCAGCTGCAGTGAGTTCGTCCACGTCCCATTCAGCCCTTCCGACCGCTCTTGCCCGTGACTGTCGATGGTCTGCACTTCCACTTCCTCGCTTCGGCCGGAGAACATGCCTTTGGCCTTGAACGTTACTGCCGCCTTGTGTCCGGAGCTTTCATTAATGATGGTCATGGTCCCTACCGGTTCCACGTATTTTTCTCCTGCAATAATGTTCCGTAAGAAGCAGGTCGCAGCGGACCAACTATACACCTCTCCCGTGGAATGCAGTATCAGTCGAGCTTTACCTTCCGTGATGATCTCGGACGATTTGCCCCAAAACTTTTGCGATGGCAGGGGTGACTGAGTAAACGTCCATTGGCTCGACTCGGCGTGAAACGCAAGCTGGACGGGACGATGCGACACCTTTTCCGCAACAAATCGGAAGCCGCGGTCTTCTCGAACCAGCTCGTACGTCTCTCCAAGCATGGGATTGAATGGCTTCCGGATCGACCGCTCCTTGACCCGCGCATTCGACAAGGCCGACACGGCGAAAGCGGAAACGTACATCAACCTTTCAAATACATCAGGACTCTTGTTGGCGTCATCCAAGAGTTGCGAGTATTCGAGCTGTTCAGCTGCCCTTTGAAGCAAGGACAGTGGCTCGTTGGCTGACACAGGCATAGATATGGTTGACAAATCCTTCCCCACGTTCTTCCTGAGGAATCCAATCAGGCTAGGAGGCATAATTGTCGGAGGCGCAATGGTCGCCCTCCTTGATATTGAATGGTCCAGTGGTAAGGGAACAAGTGACTTGGCCCGAGGTGGGAGATATGATGAAACGCTCCCAGAACGTCTTTTCATCACTTCCAAGCTATCCTCCCCAATGTCACTGCTGGTCACAGAATCATCATCTTCGCCGGTGCCCTCATCTGTAGCTTCGTGATCTGTGTCACTGTGAATGTTCAGCAAGCGATTATTGTCCTGCGCATCAAAATATTCTTGCGAGTCAATCGACTGCAGACTCATTCGAGACACTGCAGACTTTGGCGGTGTCGTCCTCCGGATCTTGCTCTCCGACATGAGGACTGCAAATTCGCCGACGACCGAGTCCAAATCGTGGAGTACTGCTTTGCAATGATCATGCATACTCTCCTCGGACTGATTGTAATGTCTAGAGTAACCGTTGGGTAAATGTTGAGGAGACGCTGGGCCATTGCGAATGACTGGCTCAAACCCGGGTGCGGGAACAGCTAACTGAGCTGACACGCTGCGCTTGAAGATGTTGGTCTTGTTGTAGGTTGCGCTGGACTTTCGCTTCCAGAATGGTTGCTTGTCCTCTTGTCTGAAGTAATCTTCCGTCGGTCCTTCTATGGGCGTCGAGCCAGCGGAAGTGGACCCCAGTCGAGGTGAAGGAGGCGGAAGTGGCTGTGCCAGCGTATCGAGACATATTCGCCTTACTGCATCTCGTGTTCCCGATATTCTGCTCAGTAGATTCTCTAGTCTTGCCCAATCCTGATCCTCCAGCGGCCCTGTCCCGTCCTGGAAGCCGCCTCTGCCGGTCTCTACGTGTAGATCGTCGCCAGCAGTGGTAGCCTCAAGCATGAGACGTGTCGCTGTCTGCAGCGCGTTCGTCCAAGCCTCGAAGTCGGCGTCGTTGCTTGCTTTCAAATGCCAGATCTCGGCGCCAGAATCGATCGATATCTCGCGCGAATTGGCATTGGCCGCAATCGCTGCCAACGACAGAGGAATGGCTCCCCGCAAAGCAGAAGAGTTGCGATCACGATAGTAGGACAGAGTAGAAGAGGTGTAATCTAAGCAGAAGAATCTCTTTGCATAGCCCTGATGCTTCTTGCGCCGGCGCTTTTGGAGAACTCCAGTGAATATGGACGGGGAATCCAGTCGTAATCCTTCAGAGACCGCCGCGATGCTCGGCGGGCCGACGCTTCCTGGGCCAGAATGGGTGACCGATAGCTGTCGAAGTGAGTCGAGCGATTCTTTGTCCTTGGCCTTCATTCTCGGACTTCTCTTTGGCGCCGAGGCTGATGCTGCTATTGCCATGGCCGTTGCCATCGCCTGGCCATGGTGCTGTTGCGCGCCGAAGTGTATTTGAGGCTGGCATGACGTCGGATACGTGAGCAAAAATACTGTCGCCGTCTTCGAGAGACTCTTAGAGAAGGTGTTATCAAACACCAGCGCATAGTTGCCCGCTTCGCCGATGCGCACGTCATGTCGGCCTTGCGTGACCTTGTCGGCTTCGCACTTGCCCACCCATCTTATCTGCTTCAGCCCGATACCCGTCAACTTCTCGAGGGCGGTGGTAGAGGCCTCGGGCCTGTCTTCGTCCGCAGCAAAGGTATTTGGTGAGGGTGGAGGAAGGGAGGTGGAGGAGGAATGCAGAGTCGAGGCAGGGCCGGGGTGTTTGAACACTCCGAAGTTGAGAGACTTCTTGTGAGGCAGTATCGTCCAAGAGATCGTATATTCTTGCTTCACGTTGACCCAGCGCACCAGATAGTCCTGAGCAGCCCAGCGTTAGCGACAGCGTTGTACATGCACATGGGGTGTCAGCGCACCCGCGAATGAACCTCTATTTGTTCGAGACCGGCCATGTCGACCTCCCGATGCAATATGGTGATATTAACGCATCTCAAGACGAGTATGGAAGAGTGTGTGTTTCCAAACGCGTTTCCTGTGGAGGTTTAGGTGTACCGTCTCCTGTCAGCGGTGCTCTGTTTATGCCAGACACGAGGGGGCCACGTATTGAAATCTTCGGCGGAATTGTCATTAAACTTGCCGAGTGAGCACGGATAAGTTATTTATGAATGGAACCCCTCGACCAGGCACATCTGACATAATACCGGTATAAGTTGGCAATGTTTTCAGGTTTACTCCTCCCTGTCACGCCGACCAGTCGCTGGGTCATGCATTTCAGAGGATCGGACCAATGTCTTGTAAGACTACCTGCAGTTGGTCCACGTGAATCAATGGTTGCTTCGTGGCGGAAGAATGCCTTCCAGGTCATGGGCAAATAGTTATACAAAATGCCTCGCGTCTCGACATATGCCCTATCTCGCATCCACCGACAACTTTTTGGCTCGTTTGTTGCGGCCTGAGTCTTCTTTGGTTTCCTTCTTGCGCTTGGTGCCCCGCGAATTGCCCCCTTTCGGACGATAGCCGCCGTCGTCCTCTCTTTTGCGCTTTCCCCTTGCTGAAGAGCCGACGTCCATAGGGACTCCGTCGTCATCATAAAGTTCTGGTTCCTGTTTCAATGCTTCCTTGTTGACCGACTTTCTGGCCGAGCTCCTCGAACCGGTGGCGCGCGTGGCCTTTTCGGCACCCGGCTCATTGTCCTGCAAGAAAACCTGGGGTTGGTGTTTGCGAAGCCAGTTGTAGATAGATACAGGATTCTTCAGCTGCATCTCTCGTTCTCGGTCCGTAGTCTTTTCTGCGTTTCGACTTCCTAGGCTATTGGTAGTGTGGGACCGAGGATTCGTTGATGTCCCATCTAAAAATGCATCCAACGATTGCAGGTATTGTTCTTCCCGTCTGATTGACAGAAACATGTCTCCTGTGCCGGTGGTCGGGTCCGTCTTGTCCCCATTCTGCATTGGAGGTGGCGCAAGCTCGAGTAGCGATGTGTAAGAGCGTTCCGGAGTAAATGCCAGAGTGTCGAGCAAAGAACTTTCTATATCCCAGTACGTCTTTGCATCGATCTCTCCGGTCTGCAGTTGATATCTCGCCTTGCGGAGTCGTAGATGTCCTTCCTCTTCGGTGAGCTCTTCCTTCGCGATGCCGTCCCGCTCGTTCTGCTGAGACGGAGGTTTGAGATCGTAACGTAGACGCGGTGGCACTTGAGGGCATGAATTCAGATCCACGAGCAGCTGAAGTAGTTGACTGCACGGTGGTCAGTTAGCTATGGTATCGTGCCCGCTGCGAAAGTCTTACTCGGTCTGCTCAGCTAGTCGTTGTGATATGTCGAGGATCCGCTGCTCCTCTTTGAACAATGAAGTGCTTTCTCGCGTCTTTTCTTCAAATGTGACCATGATCTTCCGGTACTTGCGCCTGTGAATTCTTTAGTCCATGCAGAACACATCAGGTCCGGCCAAAAATTACCGGTAAGACTTGCGAAACGCGGCAGGCTGCTCAGACATGCTCGTCTGCTGGGGCATCGCAGGGGCTTCGGAAGGATCTGCGGCAGACATGGCTGTATAAAGGGCCAGAGGTGATGTTGTGAAGGTGCAGCGACGTCTGAGATCACAGTCAAGGCGAAAGTCTTACGTGCCCAGCAAGCAGGTATTGATTGCAGTGCTTTCGAGAAGTGAACCACAAGTCAACTCTCGCCACGCGTTTGAGGAGAATCGCGGACGGAACCTACAATACTTTAACGCAAGGACGGATATGATTTCCGTCAACATTAAAAAATTCCTTGACCATAGAATCACTCAATAACTTTTTGCTACGAGCACGAATTTGCCTGAGAGTCAAATTAACCAAGTAACATAGGGACCACGCCTTGCAACTTCACAACATGAGCGTCACCGAAGCTGCGAACGAACAAGGGGAGTTGAAAGGTCGAAAGCGAAATGCTGAAACGGCCGAGATCGAAATTGATGTCGATGCCCCAGAACCACCCTCTAAGAAGGCTTTGCGCAAAGCAAAGCGGACGAAACCTCTCATAGATAATGACACTCAGTCCACGAAAGCAGTCTCAGGACCGTCTCTCAAACATTCCGAGCCGCTTCCCGAAAATCAGAGGCGATCACCATATGGCATCTGGATCGGCAATCTCTCCTTCAGTACGACTAAAGATGATCTTGTCAGATTCTTCACTACAAATTCGCAGACTCCTATTGCCGAGGAGCAGATAACGAGGATTCATCTTCCACCAGGACCAGTGAAATTTGGTAAAGCAACGAACAAAGGCTTCTCGTACGTTGACTTTACGGACGAAGCCACACTCAACGTGGCATTGCAATTTAGCGAGGGTCTCCTGGACGGCAGACGAGTGCTCATTAAAAACGCAAAAAGTTTCGAAGGGAGACCGGAGAAGAAGGCGGAGGATGACTCGCAAAAAAAGGCACCCAGCAAGCGAATCTTTGTGGGCAATCTCGATTTCGACGCGACTATGGAGGACCTCGAGGAGCATTTTGGTGTTTGTGGGACTATCGAGAAAGTCCATATGGCGACATTCGAGGATAGCGGCAAGTGCAAAGGCTTTGCCTGGGTGGACTTCACGAACCTGGCTTCAGCAGAGGCTGCGATGCGAGGCTGGGTGGAACCCAAGAAGATTTCACAGGTAACATCGTCAGGCCCAAGACCTGCGCAACAGCGGATCTGGCTACGGAAGCTCAAAGGCAGACAGTTGAGAATGGAATTTGCCGAAGACAAAGTCACTCGATATCAGAAACGATATGGAAAGAATGCAAAGACCAAGACTCAACAAGACGAAGAGACCGAGGAGCCTATACGAGAGGTTGACGATGTTGCAGAACCGCTAGCGACCAAATCTGAGAGCAAGAGGCCTCCGAGCAAGAAAAGGAAACCCGAGGGCAAATATACTGAGGAAACAGTACAGAGATTGACTGGAGCCATTATTGAGAGTAAAGGTCAACGGACGGTGTTTGAGTAACGTAGTGCATACAGCGAAGCAAGCTATTGGAAGCGTACTATGTACCAGATAGATTTCTTTTGCGGCCTAAAGATTGCGACCAGTCTCAAGAGAAGAACCATGGGTACTGTTGAAGTTGTGATGGTGGAGAGATCTTATTGAGTTGGAACTCCAGTGTCATACGAGGTCGTACTTTGGGCCAGATCCGCCTAACATCTTGGCGTGACGAAAGTCTGGGGCGATTCCTTCGACTCGCTTCATAACCCAAAGACAAGCCCGCTGGTGGTGAACACTCAAGAAGGGCATTCATCCGCCTTAATCTTGACCATATTAGTCCATGCGCTGTTGTAGCGTTGTTGGAAGTACTTTGTCTTCTTTGTAATTCCATCTCGAGATGCGTCGATAGCTTGTCCTCTCCGGTACGGCACCTCAACTTATCAAGTCAAGTTCCAGTCGAGATCGCAGATTGTTGTCCATCGTCAACGATGTTCAAGACCCTTCGTCCCACCTAGACGCTCTGCACGAATCACGATCTATTCTGCCCTAGTTCCGCCGAATCCCTTCGCTCGACTCGAACATGCCTGCACCTACGAGGAAGAATCTGCTGGGGAGCAGACGGCGACGGCAGGATGACGGAGAGGAAGAAGAGTCGATCATCGGAGACTTTGCCGACTCCTTGAGTGAGGGCTCTGCAGTGAGTGATGGTGACGACGAAGCGGAGGTTGAGGGTAGCGAATTCAGCGATGGGGAGCATGCGCCGGCAGAAGATACTTCCCCAGCCAAGAAAGATATTCCCTTGGAAGGTGTGCAAGACGTGGCTACTGCTCCATCACAAGAAGCTGCTCCCAAGTCTAATGGCGGGTTCCAACCCTCTACCGATACTGAAGCAATGTTGCATGGGATGAATCAGACTGGACAATTGCCACAGGTGGAAGAAATACAGTTTGAAGATCTGCTTGTTGGGGAAGAACGTGTTCCGAAAGCTGTTGTCAGCATTCCAAAGGCACCTCGAGACGAGACTCCAGCTCAACGGAGTCGTAGGGAGCATCAGGAATACATCAGACAGCGGAACGCTAACCCGGCCTTCGTGCCAACACGAGGAGGATTCTTTTTGCACGATACACGCACCGCGGCGTCAAACGGGTCAAATCCTAGATCTTTTATCCGAGGCAGAGGTCGAGGGTATGGCCAGCCTGTACACCCAGGGTATGTAGGCGTCTCCCTGTTCAGACTCAAAGACTAACAGTCCGCAGCAGGGGTTACGGCTTCAATGAGGCCACGGAAAAGCCGTGGGCTCACGATTTACACGAGGGTCACGAGATACCGCAGCTTCCAGATACGTTGCCAGTAAAGCCAGCCGTGGTGTCACAGAAGGAACAAACCGAAAAGCCCACGCCCTCCACCGCCCCTAACAGGTCATTTTCCTTCACGAGTGTCCTAGGAAACGTCACTATTCAGATCTTCCTGCCAGGCATGGAACAAAAAAAGTCGATCCCAAATGTAGTTAGAAGACAGCACACCCTTCTGCCGCAGCACCGGCCCCCTCTCAGACGGGACAAGCCTGTTCGCATATCACTGCCAGACATGACAGCCAGATATATCTTCCCCAGCACCGAAAGGTCTTTCATCTTCATTCCGCGGGCCATGCGACCAAACCAGCAAGCCTACGGACGTGGTCGAGGTAGAGGAAGCTTCCACGGCAGCCGTAGACCTAGCATATACGGCAGTGCTTATACTCCAAGTATTGCCATGAGTCGCAAGTCATCTATTGGGGCGTCCACCATGCGGGATGGTATCATGTCTCCAGCCGAGTCTGTCATGTCGCGTATGGTTGGTCCTTCTTACGACACGACGCGACCCATTGTACGCATGCCATCTGGAGGCCCTACGCCATCTACTTCACGGACGGGTGTGCCACTTCTGAACGGGCCGGCGTCCACAAGTCAGACACCTGCGTTTTACGGCAGCCACTCGTCTGCGATACCAATGCATCAGCCAAGGCCGCAGAAAGCCGTATCTGTTGCAGACATCGAGTCTCCGGCGTCACTCCCCTACAGAGCTCCACAGCAACAACAAGAACTACCGTTCCATCAACAAGTCCCATCTCACATCCCCGCGCCATATAGTGACGACAAAGCTGCACAACAAACCATGCCCGGGATTGCTGCAACCACACCTCTTTCGCAGATCCCAGAAGGTGCGGTTTTTGCACAAGGCTTCCAGCCATATCCTGCGATGGGCGCGCCAACGTATTATGGTGGACAATATAACAACGGGCCAATGTTCTATCAGCCTTTAGCCGACAACGGTTCATACGGTATACCAATGAATGGTCCTGCCTTAGCTCCCAATTTCATTCCAGGATCTCAATCTCATCCCATCGGATACCTGCCTGCTTCAGGACTCGCCGATGGTAATGGTACCGGAAACATGGTTCCCCACGAATCGAACGGCATGGTGTACTACTACAATCCTCCAATGTATACATCGGATACTCAGGGTGGTCTTCAACAATTTCCTGGAGCTACCAACGGCAATGTGGGGATGATGACAAACGGGATGCCCTCCCAGCCATTCTATTATTCTGGAGTACCTAACGGGATGTTCTATCCGGCAAACACAGCCTGATCTGCGCTGTCGGTCTGCTGGCCTTCAAATAATTACCGAGCGTTGCAAGTTGTTCTGTCTAGCGGGTTGCGGTTTTCCTGTTGCATTTGCATTTTATGGAGCGATTCGGTTCGTCTGGTTTAACAGACAGGGTTAAAAGTGTCAAGGACTTCTATCAAGGATTTCCGTGGCCTGGGATGTCCTCCTATTGCGTTCTTGATGTACATTATTTGAGTATTTTGTCTAAAGGATATCTTCTGTGGCTGTTGCTGAAGACCACAAAACTTGGAGAACTCCAGGTTCAAGATGAGGGTTGGCTGAAGAATACAAGGTTGAATTGATGGATTATCTATTTAATTGGCTTATCTGGATTGTTTTTAATGTTTGGCATGAGGCTGTCCTTCTAAACCGGTGTCTATCCGAACAATAAGAATTCCGGGCAGAAGGGAATCTGCCTGATGAACAAAAGCGGCTTCACCATGGCGAAGGAGAATTGGAGTAGGTGCAGTTCAGTGATTCGCCGATACCAGGTACCTCTCCTCGTGTAGTGACCGGTGAATGAACTGTTGTGCTGTCGAGAGGTTGATGAGGTGGATATGAATGCGTGAATGGTCGTTGCCTTGCTTACGTGAAACCAATACTTCCCCGCTTCGGACTGCGGCCTATCGTCACTGCCTTGCCTGATGCTCCTACCATCATCACTACTGACTGACCTACCACCACCCTTTCTTCCATCACCTCAACCTTATCATCCTAAGGTCTAGAGGGGGCGTGGTATCTAATGCTCTCATATCGACGCTCTTCCTTCTTTGAAACCTCTTATCAGACCTAAATAACGTCTCCTACCCGGCTCGCAGGTCGATCCAACCCCAGCCTGCCCGACACCGCCTCACTACCACCCTACTAGGCTGCTCTACCATCATGGCTACAAATCATCCTCATACAGGCCCTGTTGGTCCTGACACCTTGATCACCGTCAAAGTTATCATTGATGGCACGAATCGACGATTCAAACTTGCTCTTCGGGACCTTGGAGCCAATGTTCTCCCGCAGAAGGTGCGTAATCTCATTGTTCTGTCAGCATCGAACCGTTTGCACGCTTCTTCCTAGTCTACATGGTTTCTTCCAAAGTCGGATTTCGGCTAACATGCGAAACACCAGCTGCGCTTCTTGCTTGCTATTCCTCCTGAGAATGAAGTCAAGTTCGATCGGTTCTCTGATTCCGCTGGTGCCTACATCACCCTAGACAGCAATAACCCTGGAGTCTACAAACAATTGTATCGGGCAGCCAAAGCAAAGCTCAAGCTACGTTTGCGGGCTACAGTTCAGAGATCTATGAAGATGGAACAAGAAGAGAAGAAGATGACAGATGAGGACAAACTCGCTGGCAGTGCCGCCACCAAGGACATGTCCGAAGCCTCCCAAGGGGAGCCTAGGCATAGTTTCCTGGAGACCGTTTTGTCTCAGCCTGCGGTGCCATCCTTCAAGTCTTTCCAGAAGACGTGCTCCTATTCTCCAACCTGTTCCATCCCAGGTGCATTCGACCTTGACTCCGGCATGGATTCAATGAAACCTCCTCGGTTCTGCCACACCGACCTCTTCAGTCTACCAACACTCCCATCGTTCACCGACTTCCCTTCGACGGCATATACCATTGACTGCAACCACTGTGGGGCGTCTGTGCCTGACGAGCACTATCACTGCGGTATTTGCGAGAACGGCGACTTCGACTTGTGCAAGGCCTGTGTCGATTCGGGTGTCACCTGCGATGGAGACGAGCATTGGCTACTGAAGAGAATTATACGTAATGGAGTCGTGATCCCAAGTGAGACTACCACCGTACCAGCAAAGAAGGCAACTCAGAATGAGAAGAGTGCGACTGAGGAACCAACCACACCGATCAGTCCGGAGAATGATGATAGCGAGCGGACCTGCAACTCTTGCATCTGCCGTACGTGCTTGAAGATCATACTTGTATTCGTTTTGGCTGACTTGGCTAGAAATGCCGGCTCGTGAATTCGTCACTTGCCAGGATTGCCCAGACTTTGACCTCTGCTTCAGCTGTTTCCAGAACGGCGAACACGGTCACGACCCATCCCATGCGTTCTCCATCCATGAGTCCGCCGAATTCGCTGGCGAAGCTCAGGTCAAGGCTCTCTGCGCTCCAGGCCGCAACGTTTGCCATAACGCTATCTGCGATGGCTGCGACAAGGTAAGTCGTGGTGGACCGAATCACTTCGTTCGTCAGGCTAATACCAGTTCAGGACATTTATGGCATTCGCCACAAGTGCTTGTCGTGCCCAGACTTCGACTATTGCTCCACCTGCATTGCCTCTGCTGGCAAAAATCATCCTGGTCATCGCTTTATTCCTGTCTACAAGCGACTTCAAGTCCCTCGCAAGGCCAAACAATACCATCGTGGGGTACACTGCGACGGACCGCTATGCGTCAATGCTAAGGGCTACATTGTGGGTGATCGGTACAAGTGTGCGGTTTGCCACGATACCGATTTCTGTGCCAGCTGTGAAGCTTTGCCGGAAAATGGGCATAATGCGACACACCCATTGATCAAGTTCAAGACTCCATTGCGACATGTTTCCATCACCACATCTGAAGCGTCCGAGGATGGAGAGACGGTTACTCAACTTGGAGACCGACCACTGGCTAAACACGCTGCTACCGAAACCACTCAATCTACATCTGCCAATGCTGCAACTCAAGTCCAGACTGTCGCCGAGGTCAAGCCTGTCGAGAACGCAGTAAGCACGACCGAAGCTGCACCAGCCCATGACGTTCTATCAGGCAAGTCCAGCTCAAACGCCCTTCAAGCTTGGTATGTCTCGGACTTGACACCGGATGGTACACGTGTTGCCACCAACCATCTTGTGGTTCAATCATGGACATTGCGCAACCCTGGTCCTGAAACTTGGCCAGCAGGATGCGCCGTCTACTACATCGGCGGGGACGACATGCGCAACCTTGACTCTCTTCACCCATCAAGTGTTAGCACCATGACCAATGCCAACCGCAGCAATGTGCTCGAAACCGCCCTTGAGCCGGGTAAGACTGCCGTCTTCACGGTCCTTCTGAAGTCACCTGCTCGTGAGGGCCGTTCTATCTCGTACTGGCGCCTCAAGACTCCCGAAGATCTACCATTCGGCCACAAGCTGTGGGTCGACATCGAAGTCCGATCTACGCCTGTCGAATTGCCCATTCGTTCTGCAGACGTGCCCTCCGCTCCGGCTATCGTGGAACCCGAGAATACAGAGATGGACAAGTCGCAAGCCAGCTCTATCATGATCTTCCCAAAGCTTGACAAGGAGTCTCCAGTCTCTAGCGTACACGATGTCAGTGAGAGCCATGTTGAAGCACCTGCTCCATTGATGGAGCCTACCACCAAGACCGAGGGTCACGATTTGCTTGAAGATGTAGAGAGTCTCGAGCTTGAGGAGTCAGACAGCGAGGATGACGCATTCTTGACAGACGAGGAATACGACATTCTCGATGCAAGTGATGAGGATTTCTTGGAAGCACAAACTCAGCCTGCCAAGTAAGGTCAATTGTCATCTGTACCTTGGCAGGATGTCCGAGGTCTAACGAGACAAGAATCACAACACGACGAGCAGGCCAAAAGCCGTCACGGCTCCCGATCTACCAGAATGATTCAAAACACACGATCAGGAATATGGGGAACAAGGTGTGAGGATGGCTTTTGGATCTGGGATGAAACGGCGCGACGGGGGCTATGGGACTCTTTTCCTTTACTGTTGAACCACATTACTCATTGACATGATCTCTTGCTTGCTTGCATCTAGTAAACAATACGAACAATGTGCTCCAAAACTCTCGAGTCACTAAAAGTGTGAATGATTTAGCTGACAGTGGTCAACCCCATATTCAAATGGTGCTCGAGGCCTCCAGCAGGCCAAGAGCATATCGGCCCGTGAACAAGAATCGTGGGTGATTGTTGAAGGCATGATTGGAGGGCTCAATAGGCAGAGATGAGGGGTTGTCATCATAGGGAGCGAGGCCCAGATTCTGGGGGAGTATTCACAATCTCCAGGTTTTCCGAGGCAAATAATAATGCATGTGCTGGCACTGGGCAGTTGGCAAGATCATTCCACTCCGCGTTCAGGTGCGTTTGAGGATTTGTGAGGACCTACATTCCGTTTGCCCTATTCACCGCTTTCGATTTCTGGCTGAATCGCACAATTGATTCACTGTTCTCGCGTCTGCCTGAACAGTTTTTGTCACTTTCGACAGGTATAAGAGTCTGGCTTGCAGTCCCATCCCTATGGAAATTCTACGCCTTCCATCTCATTCAAATATAAATCGAGCCTCACTGCCTAAAGGGTGACAAACCCCGTCGCATTGCTGATCTTAACGCCAGAGGCAGCAACGCCGAACAACTCGTGCATTACTAGACCATCAGTATCTTACCACTAGACAAAATAAGAACTACAGTCACCATGCACGAAGACCTGAGAAGAAGAGCCCTTGAAAGTGGCAAGACCGTCTCCAAGAAAGTCTTGTCGAAGCAATCCTCACAAGGAAGTTCTCGAGCCAACTCGGCCGCAAACTCTCGGGCAGCATCTCGCGCCCAAAGTAGAGAAGTCTCGGACGACGAAGATCCCGGGAATGGCAACCTAAGTGATGACACTACCCAAAGGTCAGTATTGACGCAGCTAGGCCGAAGAGACCTTTGACATGGCTAACGTTGCCACAATATGCAGTATCAACTCGATAGACGCACTCCTCGAGAGCGATGATTTCAACGAGCAAACGACCGATGCCACCCGAGAACAACTAAACAGCACGATAGATGATCTGTTGGAACGGAAGGGTAGCAGCAGCAAGAGCCGAGAGGAATCTTTGACTTCATATGTTCGGTGTTTGACATCCCATTACCTCGCCGAGGTCCTGCACGGCCGAGTTTCGGATATTCTGGATGCGCTTGGGCGCAGCGTCAGAGCGGAAACGAGCGAAAGAGAAACGACACTGGCTTTACGGGCGATAGCAGTCACCGCCATCACATTCGCGGATGATCGGATCTACGAGACTGTTCAATCGCTGCTGAAGCGAACAGCGACTGACTCCCGATCATTGACCGTCAAAACTGCGGCCATCTACGCGTGGGGAATATGCCTGTCATTCGGAGGGGCCGGAGAAGACGAGATTGCCCATGCCATGACCATTTTCCTCGAGATCGCGTCAAGTGATGGAGCATTTGTGGGAGCGGATGACAGTGCGGAAGTTGTGTCTGCAGCGCTGAATACGTACGGCTTTCTGGCGACTGAGGTGGAAGACCTCGAGCATGATTCCGAAGACGCTGTTGCTACCTTTCTCGATCAACTGGATGCGGACGACGTACGAGTACAAGTCGCAGCTGGAGAAAACATTGCACTGCTTTACGAAAAGAGTTACACCCCACGAGAAGAGGGCGAATCAGGTTCATCATCGTCGCCGTCGTCAGACGAAGAAGAAGAGGGCGAGACGGCTGGCCGAGAGACTCGAGAACCCGATACCTCAGGCTTGATCAAGAGATACAATGCGTACCACAACAGTAGGGAGGTGTTGGAGAAGGTCAAAGGATTGGCGGGGTTGAGCACAAAATCAATGAATCGACGAGACAAGAAACTGCTTCACCAGACTTTTGCCAGTGTGGTGATGACGGTGGAACAACCGCAGCGAGGATTGCAGTCGAACAGCACGACCAAGAAGGTTGTCCGGATCCATCGCGAAGGAGAGATGCGGGTGGACAAGTGGTGGAAACTGATCCGACTCAATACGATCCGACGACTATTGGGAGGAGGTTTTGTGAACCACTACTTCGAGGGGAACAAACAAGTGCTTAATGCATTACCCATGATCATGAGAGGAACAGACGAAGGCGGCCTGCAAAGTCCACGGAAGGCGCTGCACAAAGCCAGTAAGGGCAGATATCGCGACACTCGGCGATTCATCTCGGCAGACGCACCAGAAGAATAGAGGGAGCCTCGGTTTCCGGCGATGTGAGCAATTTTTTGGACAGCAAAAGAACTTTGAAGGGGAGTCAAATAGCATATAGCGATATATGACTACAAATGGGATAATATCTTATCGTTGTTGTGGACATCGTTCTGGACGCTTGATATGACTCGCGAGCAACCTCGGTATTGAGTGCTGGTGATGGGTCTCGCAACAAATACCGTAATGAGAAGATCATCATTCGACCATCATACGAGTTACGAGAATGAAATTCTGAGGATAACGCAAATTAAGAATTTCATCAGTGGCTGATGAGCACGTGCTCTATCCGCATTCTAAGTTTTGAGTGGGAGAATAAAAATGCTTGGTAAGGCTTGGAAGGCAATACACATTTTTCATTGGTTCAAATGTAGACACTACGGCGAATTAGAGAAAGATTGGCGGCGGTAGTGGCGGATGTCAGTTGTTATTGTTACAGAGAGATTGTTAGTGCGAATACGTACGTACTTTGGCAGCAATCGACGCGCAAATTGGGTTTCTCCCATACGTATGCACTTCGGAGCAGGAATCAGAAAAGACCCGAAGGAGTAATGGTGAGTGAGTAATTGTGTATCAGCCTCGGGACTCCCAACCAGCCTGACAGGTGGTATGACTGTGCATTATTACATAGCTAGGTATGCAAGCAAGCAGCACGAATAGGGGGCAAATTTGATCCCCATAACATTATCTCATCTATCTGATAGGGAACCCGGAATGAGGGCCCCTTGTAATATCTGCAACACAAGGCCGACTTGGCATTGCTGACGTTGGCGTTCCCCAGTTTATTTTGGCCCATATGAGTAGTAGCCGCAGCAGTTAGCTGGACCTGAAGATTCAAGAAAAGCACAAGACCTGTCTGTGGTTCTGGCTGAGCTGTTTATGGCCCCTCCCCCGTTTATCCTGGCAACTGGAACTGGGCCTGATCAACACGCACAACGTCCTTTACGGAGCTCGTCCTCTGCTTGCCTTACGCCTCAGGTTTTACTCCGCCCCGTCTCATCTCGCCTTGCCTTGGAGCCTCCTCTTCTTAGGCTAGCCTATTTTCACCCAGGAGAAAAAAACGGTCCCTTCTCCGTCTTCCTTCTCACTTCCATTCTCAATTCACTCAACCTCACTCATTTTTCTGGCCACCCGTACCATAATATTCTTTGGAATTCTGCTATCCTTTCTCTTGTTGTCCTGCCCTACTCGCGGACCTCTAATACCTGTTTTCTTGCTTCATTCAAGAACGCACGCCGCTTTCATCCGCACAGCCCGGTGTCAAACTCCCCTGTCCACGCGTCTTCAGGCTCGCAACTCTTAGGTCGGCCACAACCACTTCCCTCCGGAGATCTTCCTGGCCCTCCACAGCTTTATTACTCCCCTGCCCCGACTATAACAGACTCCCCTGTCACTCCTTAAGTCAAGTCACCTGTTCGAAGACCAACCAAGGCCTGCGTTGGATACCTGTGCTTTTTACGTCCTTCAGTCAGCACATGTGACGTGTCCAAAAACCAGACACGCGACCCCTTTGCTCAAGCCGGCAGTCGATCACCCGTTACCAAGCCACCAAAGCCAATGCTCCGAACATTGTAACGACAAACACATAACCATTTCTACAATGGCCACCGTCTACAATGTCACAGAAGCCGCTGTGGCTGCCCAACCCAATATGGGTGGCGCTCAGTTCGCCTCTCATACCTGGTTGGAACCTATTGTAAGCTCGATGCCGGGTCGTCCCCTATAATTTATCTGGCTAATTCAAAGAAATATAGATCGTCCTAACTATTATGATCACCTCTTTAACACTCAACCGTCGACATAATTTCCGCATCCTAGAAGCCAATCGAGGTCGCTCGACTACTCGATCACTCCTGCCCCATGACAGCCAGGCGTCCTCTCCCGATGGCTCCGTCGATTCCGGCTCTTACCTTTCTGGCGACTCTGATGTCTTGACCTCGACCAAGTATCCTCCGAAGAAGCGCAACTGTTGCGGTATGCTTGTGCGTACGCCAAACTCTTCGCGCTTTGCCGATCACATCCACAGCCGGATCCTTGCGAAATTCCCCTTCCTCATTGAAATGTTCTACTGGGTCCTGAACCTACTGTTCTATGTGCTCACCAAGGCCATTGCTCAAACATTCTTCTCCAACTACGACGGCTTGCGTGAGCTCGCACAAGACCACGGCGTGCTCATTTTGGATATTGAGCACAAGTCCTGGTTAAGCTTTTTATTTCCGATCCAGGAGAGAGACTTTCAAGCTTGGTTCCTCAATGGACATTTGACGGCTATTACCTTTTTGAACCGCATCTATTCTCTTGTACATATTCCTGGTACCGTTACGTATGTTTCTCCTCCTCCTCCTTGCCATGTGTTTTCTGGCTGACAATCTCTAGCTTTTTGTCGTGGTACTATTACTCCGCCCCGAACCATGACACCTTTGCCGTCGTCCGCCGAACAATGACGTTGGGTAACTTTTTCGCCTTCGCCATCTTCACCGTCTTCCCTACGATGCCGCCTCGACTACTACCCAAGGAATATGGATTCCACGACACTGTCCGTCAAGCCGATGCCGAATCAGTATGGGTTGGGGGAAACTACGTCAATCAGCTCGCGGCGATGCCTAGTCTACATTTCACCTATGCTTTTGTTATCGGATGTACTTTCCTGTATCATTCCGGATTGCTTCGACGCACGCGTAACGAGCCACGAAAATCCATTTTCACGCAGACCGCTTTCTCGGTCGTTGGCATTTTATACCCCTTGCTTGTTCTGACTGTTATTGTGGCAACGGCGAATCACTATTATTTGGATGCTGTAGTCGCCATGATTACTGTTTCGCTGTCATTATTGGCCAACAAAGCGTGGATGTTCCTTCTGCCGGCAGAGGACATCCTCTGTTGGGTGTTGAGAGTGGACAAGCCTGTGCCGACGACGGGCGACAGGCTACTGAGACAACAGGGTGCGAAGTATCAGCCCGTCAAGGATGAGGAAGATCCTTGAGCGTATTCACTGTGTGCATTCCACGAAAAGCCTTTTTCTTCGGCCTTGAGGGGATCTTATTGGGGCTGTGGCTCGGTTGGACTAATGGGGACCGGTCAACATACGCGACTGAGGGAGTTGGACATCAGCCACCTTGAAGCCGACTGCACATCGAACACGGCAATTGAACCGCGAGAAAACTCATGCGGGATATACTGAAGTCACTGGCTTGTCGATTGGAAAGACCCGATACCGTTGAGGAAACGAGTTGGAGTGTCCGAATTGAGTCCCCACGGCTGTTCCAGCGAGAAACAAGGAGACTTGGACCGGGTCCTGTTTTCTGGCCAGTTTGGTCTGGCAAAGACACTCCGCTACAGATGTTCAAGGTCTGGAAGGTCGGCGACAGTCCCATCGAAGCTTGGAAGAAATTCAAGCGCAAAGTCGGGAAAACCTGCCCTCCATTTGACAACACCGTCCCTGTCTCGTCTTGGAACACTCAGGCATGGAATCGACAACAGCAAAAAGCGAATCAATATCCGACATGCCGAACAGTCAACCGAAGCAAGTCGCAGAGGCGCTCATATGGACCCCAGGACAACACACGTACATCTGAAGACTCCATGAGCGTAGCATTGCATAGCGGAATGGGAAAATGTCTTCCCTTGGTGTAATGGGACATATTCTGAAAAGCGAGATTGGGTGGTAGATCGATATCTAGATCCAAATAAATGTATCAACGTTACTCTCTGCACTTTGATCCATACCTGGTATCGGACATTTCTTCCGTTCTCCTTTTCCTTGCATGAGTCAAGTTGCCCGGTATTTATCATAGGGGGCTTTCGTGGCGATGCTGAGCATTCAATCTTGCACTCTGCATCACGGGTTGAACATAACGGGTAGTTTTATGCTCATGTCGACAACTTTATTGGGTATACGACATAAAGATTCGACTTCGGTGACCAGGCGACTTTCAGATCTAAGAATATTAATACGAAGATCTACGTCTAAGTTTTCTTCTTTTTTCTCTTGTCCTTGCAAACTTTGACGCTCCTACTCAGTGTCCCTCAGGGGCTCTTGTCCATGGAAGTGATGTATCCAACACCCCGTAAATTCAATCAAATATCGTTGACGGTACGTTGCATGCAATGCACCGTGGGACGATAGTATTGAGCGTGCGAGATCGAGGGCCTGCACGTGCATTTGATCCGGACTTAGGTCATCCTCCTTTTCGTTGTCGTTGTCATTGTCGTCGTCATCTGGCGCGCTTAAGGTATTGCTGAAACGGATGGGTAGTGATGAGAATAGGTTTGACAGCAGGCGTTGAGGGTCTTGGATCGTGATGCTGGAGGAGGAGGTCTGAACCGCTGATTTCAGGACTTCTGTGTCAGTGGCGGTGCCACTGGAAGACAAGAAGTGTTTGAAGAATTTTTCGACAAGCCCAAAAGTCGTGAGGAGGTCAAGGACTCTGTGCGCCGACAGTTCCTGAACACTGCAGTCGGCTCCGTCTTCGAGCTTCGACTCGGACTGCTCGGCGTGCTGGGACGTGCGTGCTCTGCTCTTTCTCTCTCTCTTTCGACTCGCATCTTCCATTTCAAGACGTTCCTTCAACACGCTCGTTGTGTCCATTTCTTCAAGTAATCCGTCCAGAGACAGATGTTGTAGAAACTCCAATGACGCAACCCGACCCCGATCCTTCTCAGCCTCAGCCTGACCGGCCTGGGCAGACACAGATTGCCCGTCCAGCAGAAAAAGAGGTCTCGTATACCCGATTTCCTTGCGATACAAGAAATTGCACACCCACGACAAGATAATGCACGGCACCAGCACGGTGTATCCCTGCCATCTTGTCGCGGTGATCATACTCGCTGCGCCGGCGACCAGAGAAGTCGGTCCTGCGAGAAAAGCATAGACCTTGACACGGGTGTACCGGCGGAAGAACGCCGCACCTGGCCGAACTGCTTGCCGACGCGCTGCACTTTGATGCCGACTCGAACGCCGCCAGACATACATCGACCAAAAGAGTCGTAAGATGCCGTACGCAGCGGCGGGACTGTTGCCGATGTATCCCGACAACAAATTCGACGCTTCGAAAACTCTGGGATTCGCGCCGCCAATGGCCATGAGCGTTCCTGCGCCTACCAGTGTGGCGCCGAAACCCATTGTCACATCCATTAGGAAGCGGTCGATGATCTCGGTGAGGAGTTCGAATTGGTTGACATCTTTGTAGACTTTTAGTGCGGTTTTGGGGACGCTTGCCTTTTCACCGTCAAGTTTTGAGGTGGATGTGTGGTGCGACAGGTCGAGAAGTATGCGCCGTTCGTGGCGGAGAAGACAAATGTTCCGCCAACTTAGTCTGGCGTCTTGGATGGCGACACCAGCAAAAAAGAGCGCGACGCAGCCTCCTATGCCCATTAGGGCTGCGGCGAAGGTTGGGACAGGGATGGTGTTGAAGACGTTGGCTGCAAAGTCGCATGCATTGGCGAGCTCGAGGAATCCGACAAGACTTAGGAGGCTGTTGCGGAGGCTGGTTTGGTGGGCTGAGGTGTAGTATATTCTCTTGCTGTGGGTTTCATGTCGATGGAATGTCAGGGGTGGGTTGGATGTCAGGGATTTGTTGTTGTTTGATATTGGTGACGTTGAAGGGAGCTGCTCGTTCTTCGTCTCGGCCATCGTGTTGCTTGATGGATTGGTCGTTGACACTGTGGAGACGGGTGTAGGAGTGTTAGGCTGTTGAGGTTCTGTTGCGCTTGCGGTTCTTGTTGTTGCTGTCTGTTCGTTGTTTCCAGTCGTTGAGGTGTTTGGCAACGAGGCCATGGCATGTTGTTGCCAGTAGGTGTCGTTGTGGAAATGAGAGCGGATGTTCTTTTAACAATTTCGTGCCATGAAAACGAGAGGATGGAAAACGAGCCACAAATCGAAAGCCACAATATTACCTAGAAAGCCGTCGAAGCACAGTCCACAGGATGGTCTAGTCATGAATCCGGCGGGAAGGGAGCGGAATGTTCAGGGCTTGATATAAGGTACCTACGGGCAAGGCTAGGCCGGCCTGGAGCAGCGCTGTAGGAGCATCCCTACTGGTAGTCAGAGTTCAGGTGTGCTCAAAGTTTTCTCTTTGGGTACTACATTGCGTGGATTTGGGCTTGGCTTAGGTCCCTTGAAGGTGGCCGTTGGGTACCGGGTAAATGTATGTTACAGTGAGTGAAAAATGAAGATTCGGGATGGCCTAAATGACACCGTGCACCTTCGGGTCAACCTATATTTAGATCAACAGCTTGGCACGAGTACACAGTACAACTTGAACCTTGATGAAACAGAGACTGAGATACCTCGATTGCATCATAAAACATAACGACTCTGTGATATACCAAGCAATCAGTTTGGCATCTAGAATTGTCACATATTGGGCGCTGTCATGAGACAGGACGATGGGTCTGACGAAGGCATCACTCGAGGCTAAAGTACAAATGAGAATTTACTTTAACCCCCTGAGCATCTTCAAGCAGCCCATCCCCACAGTCGTCTCGCTGTCCAGGAGTTAGCTATGTGACAATACACGAATCCAGATCCTCTAACGCACGAACTGTTGATATCATGCCATATATCTACTCTATCATGTGCAGGATTCTCTAATCATCTTGTGCAGCCGCCATTTCGGCCCCTTTTCATGCAGCCTTGCATGAGGTGAAACAGTACCTGCGCAAAGACACTCCAAAACCACCAACTATGAGCTCTCTAACCTCGCAAAACCACTGACACCAACATATATGGCCGTCGACTTCACTCCCTCGGCCCTGCTCAACATTTTCAGGTGCCTACTCCTCGTCGTTCATGCATGCAGCTGCATAGTCGTACTGAGCATTCCGAGTGCGGCCCACTCCCGGTGTTCGCTATGCGACCTGTCGGCCTCTATGGCGCTGACTGTGGCGAAAAAGGTATCCGGGAGACAGGACCTGGTTACAAGGGCATTGTCATCGTCCTCACTTCAAGTATTGTATCGCCTCGGTCGAGCCTCCTTGTTTGGAAACAGCAGGCTTCCTCGGCAGTGCATCGATGACCCAGCTCCGTCGTCAGGGATTGAAAAAAGCCATCACATGTGAGCTAGGTGGATGTCCTAGCTCGCTGACTATCAGGCAGCGTTCGTGCTAGCAGGGGCTAGTCAGAGAGGACAATTTTGTTCCCCATGGGTCGAACATCGAGGTGTCGTACACGGTGTCTTAAACTGCAGCAGGCAAATGTTCAAGAAAGAAGGTATTGTTGATCTTACCCGGGTCATCCTGCTTTGTATCGCCTCTCCATCGCTCTTTGCCAGGATCTCTGCCAGGACTCTGCAAGGAAATCATTCCACATAAATTTGCGAAGTATTTTCTCGACCGACCCCCAACGCCTGGTCTCCCTGGGGTACTTCCTCAGCGTCTCGTCCATAACCTTCGAGATAGGCGACCACGACTTGGACAACTCCAGGGCACTGGCAGCGGCAATCGAGATCCAGATCAGACAATCAATGTGCTTCTTCTGCAATTTTGCTTGCTCTTGGGAAGATCTTGGCCACCCGTTCTCGCCAAGTGTGTCTTCAAGCTCTTGTAATGCCTCTTCATATTCTTCTCCACACTCTTTGTCTCCGAAGTGCAATCTAAAGCAACAGCCGATCAGGCCAAAGCAGAGCAGATGTTCAATGGGTGTCGTGCCCATGACCGAGATACACTGGAGGTCGGCGATGATGTTGAGTAAGTTGCGGCTCCCAGGAGAGCTGGGTCGCGAGCTGATGGGGCTCAAAGTAGGGCTATCCCCAGTCTTCGTAATAGTGGAAAGATTGGCAAGTATGTCGATCATCTGAATCGACAACTCCCCTGCCAGAGCCATGTCATTGAAGGTGGAGGACACTTTCGACAAGGCTTCGCATAGTTTCATGTCGAAGGGGAGGGAAGGGTACACGGGCAGCTCGTTTCGAAGAGGGGAATCTATGGTCAATCGAGACATGTTTGTAGCAGCTTCATTCCTGTCTTTGACAAAACTCCACAAAGCCTCGTATCTGTAATCGTCAGGTGACTATGTCATAACAACAACGTCAATACTCACGCTTTCATCGTAGACAGAAGAAAGAATTGCCATGGCGTTTCTCCGGTGAGGTCGGCTCTGATGCTGCGAATCTGTTTCATAGCACCGACATGTTTCTTGGCACCCTCATGAACCCCCAGAATATACTGCATACGCGTTAGCCTGAGACTCGAGGGGTCTTGGACTAGGTGACTCACATCAATTGTCGTAAGCGCCGCGATGGTTGTCATGGTAGTGTCATCGGCACATGTCTCCTCCGACGCGAGCCTGAGTCGAAGGGCGTTGAATGCGTTCGAACGATGATATGCCAGACCAGCATCTCTGGACCAAGGAATGCCTTCCTGCAGAAGCCATGATGCACGGCTGAGAGCCACTATCGCCTCAAAAAGGATGGGTCGCTCAAGGGCGTAAGGAAATATCAACGATTGATAGGGTTTCGGATGACCTTCGAAAGCGAACGCTCTGCCGTGTTGTGGTGCCCAGACCTCTAGATCTGCAGTATGGTCAGCATCAGCACGATTTGCGAACCGGATGACTGTCTTACAATGCTTCACCATGCGTGGTACGCAGCCTTCGGATGGTATGGGGAAATTGTTGATCGGTTCCGTGAAGAAGATGTTGACTGAAAACCTGGGTAGCCTTAGAGGTCTTTTGCGTCCTTTGGCATAGCCATCGATGGGGGATTTTCGCTTCCGAGAAAGTTGCACGGAGGCCAATTCTTTCCTGTCAAGCTCCCAAGAAAAGCGATCGACCGCAGAAAGGGTTCGTTGATTATTGCTGCTAGAAGTCTTGATTACAAGCTCCGGACGAGGTAACGACCGACCGACCTGGATATCGCTCGTCCAGCCTGGTGGATGCTGAGCTGCTCCGGCGGTGTCAGTAGCCTCAGCAGGGCGCAATAGTTGATCTATCCTCGTTGACCGTGCCATACTTCCTTCGTATGGAGGGGATCATGATTTAGGACAAAATCATCATTTGGTCATCCAGGAGATCGTCAGTCTATGATTCTGAAACAGCATGGTGTATGAGACGCCTAAATACCCCGCGACGAGGTTAAAGAGTAGTAAATTCAACTCAAAGCAGACCTGTCAAGAACCAGGGCAGCGCTTACGCTTGGTCAGCTCGAAGTCATGGAAATCGTCCGAAGGGCGGTGGAATAAAGCAGCGGACGTGTGCTGCTTGAGATGGGAGGCAGCATAAGAGATTGTGTCCCTTTTGGTAATATCTGGAGGCGCTGACAAGGCCGTAGGATTGGGTATTAACCCGACCAAAGAAGGTGAGCAATGAGCATCCTGAAGAGGTGAGATGGAAAAGGACTCGTTGCACCTGTTCGGTCGTGCATCTTTCATGTCTCGCCGGAGCGATTTCCACCCCAAGGAACGATTGGTGAGTGAAAGCGAAAGCCCGGTGGATATTCGAGGCAGGGGTTGACGCTATGAGATGCCAGGCTATCAACAAGGTGCTTACATCCGCTCTTTAGGGGGTGTCTGACAACAACGCGGGGCTGGCTGATGACATGTCTTGTGGAGGACTCGACGACAAGCGTCGCTCAAGAACCCTTTCTCGGTGCTCACCTTGTGCATGGCAAGGAATACTGATCCCTATACTGAGACCTTGTGCTCCGTATTGGAAGCGAGGTCAGACAATAGCCTCCGGCATGCAGCCGCCAACTCATCCACCGACCACTTTTTCATTTTACCCTCTTCGGCCAAGAAACCAAAACCTCCTTTTGCACATGATGCCCACAACTCACGGTGTCCGGCTTCCTAAGGTCCCAGCTGGCACGTTCGGAGTCTCGGGTCTTTGTTGTGATACTTCCGCCGGATCAGTATCATCAAGCCTCGTTTGACACATGCCGGATCACTTGATGGGCATCTTCTTCTCCCGGCTGTTGTTTGTCAACATCGCGAACCCAGTTGGAGCCGGAGCCTCCATTGATAGCGCTACCACCGTTGAAATTGTACGAGCCCAACGACGCAGTATTGCCGGCCAAGACCTCCTTGAAAGCGCATTGGCACTGACCGATTCTAGCCCAAATGTTAGTTTGATATGAAGCGGAAGCTGTGGCACTTACTCGATGCAGTTCTGCCAGACTGCTGCCGGATTACAGGCTATCAATGTCCATTAGCTGATGCTCAGCTTGGTTGTCGGATTGTTTGCTTACATCCATACAAGCTGCAAGAGAAGTCACCATTATCTGCACATGTACAGATACTCCGGCATTGAGATGTGTACAAATTGTAATAATTCATGGAATCTCCCTGAGTATCACCACGAGGCTGCACCTGTGTATCGATCGGTCCATCGTCTCCATTAGGTTCGTCACTGGTCTCGTTCCCTCTCTTTGGAAGGTTGGAGCAACGGGTGAGAAAAGTGCGGTCGTCGGTAGTGCAGAAGACAATCCAAGCCCATTTGGTTGGCTGTATGGAGCTCGAGGAGTCGTTGAAAGGGTTCAAGGTCCCGCTGACGTCGTTTGCCATGGCATCCACCTCGGTCGAGTCTTGGGTCGGAGCAGCGGCACTGGGAGTAGGGAAGGAGAGCACAGCAAGCATTGCAGTCAAGATCACAGAAAGGAGCTTCATTGTGAATGCCGACCAGGGAGCACACAGGAGAATGGTAAGCCAAGCTGATGAAAAAGAGCAGATGGATGTTCACAGAGTAGAGTCAAGCCCAATGATGCTGTTGTTCCTTAGGACAGTGTGAGACTGGCAAATGCGGTTGAAGGTGTAAGAAATCATCGTCAGATTCAAAGCAGCAGGAGGAAGTCGCGGCCAAGATCAGACGCAGGACCCTCCATCGCAACCGCCATTGCCGACCGTGACCGTCGCTTCCTATGGACTTGTATCATTTCTTGTCTTCAGAAGTAGAGTTCGGTCCTTGCGGCTCTTCTGATTCCTTGTCGTCCTTTTTGATCTCGATAATCTGTCATCCATCAGTATGTCCACTCCAGAGTCGTCCACTTGTCATACATTATTGCCTAAGATGCCTGATTAGCAGTTATAGCAATCGAATGAGTTATCATTGTTTACAATCTGCACAATGACCCCAGTCTCCGTCCTTTGTCAGGTCAACCCTTCCACCACAGTTCGGGCATTTGGCCATCTTTCAGGGACCGAGTGAGGTTGGATAACGTGGATAGGGGACGCTCCAAACGCATTCAGGGAGTGACTGAAGTGAGGATTGAATATATCAAGAGCTTACTGTACTGCGAAGAAGTCAGTGGGAACAACAGCTAGATATCAACATGTGTAGCGACGAAAGTCGATATGCACACCGGTCTGTGCCGGTGATGATGTAATCATTGCTCGGGTTGGGCAGGTTTGTACTCCCAAATGCAGAAGCGCGAGATAATCCTATACAGTCGACTACAATCACTTCCACTGTTTGCCAAATGCTCGTCCAAGCGATTCCGATGACGCCTGTCGACTCTGCAAACCCCCTACAGGAGTGCCCGCCTGAGCTGTTTGCATCTCACCCAGGCTGTTCCATACCTCCGATATTGTAGCACGCTCTCGAGGCAGCACAGAATATTGCAAGCCGTACATCTCACTCCTTCCCAATGGTGGCACAAATCGGCCGGTCAAAAGTCTGAAGATCACCTTCGGGGACAGATAATGTCGACGAATGCGTGCCCCAAGCTGGAAATACTGCTCAAAAATCTGCCGCAATGACAGTGGGGTCGACGAGAGACTGATGTACGCCACACTGGTGGTGAAAGCCTCTGGTTCTTCTTCACTCTCCCCACTCCCTTCACCTTTGTCCTCGCTGCGAGGCGCTTCGTCCTGGCCAGGGAGATGAAATTGCTCAGTATCCAGCAGCTGAAAATGCACACCACCCGGCAGTCTTCCGCTATCCTTGATTCTAAGCATCAGGGCGAAGAGCGGAAAGTGGTTTAGACATGCCAGGCAGGTATCCAGCGTCGCCTTGAACGAGATGATTGTCATCCGGGCCAACGCAAATGTCAAGTAGAAGACCACAACAGTTGGCAAAAGAAAGAACAGCAGCGTGAATAAGATTGTGCCAAGCAGAAGCTGATCCAGGTCGTAATCGCAGTTATCGATCCGATTGCGAAGAACGTTCCGCTTCTTACCGCGGAACAGGTGGAAAAGGCTGGTGATGATGGTGAGCTGCCAATTGAAGATGCGCGCACTGGCAACGTAGAAGGAATAAATGTGCAACGTCGTCAAGCTGAGCAGATCTGAGCAGATGGCAATAGGCATGCTGGCTCCTGCAAATGAGGAAACCCCAATGATGTACACGATCGTCGGCAGTCGGGACAGAATAAGTATGACTGTCGTTGAAGACCAATACTCGATAACCCACAGAAACAGATCACCGAGAAATGCCGCAAGCTCAGTGTTCAGCTTCAACCCACCAGGATACGACATGAGCCATCTGATCATTCGCCTGAGTCCTTCAATGGTATAATCGTTCAATACACTCTCGAGGAATTGCGCAGTGGCTGTAGCGTTGTCGCCCAAGAAGCTGGCTAATGCTATGCCGATAATAACGTCATTCGCAACAAGCCAAAGAGAGTTGTAGAAGCGGATGTAGTCGCTGTTCGTGGTTGGGAAAGACGACCACGTCGCATGACGCTGCCGCAGAAGGGAGTATTGCGTTGGAAAATAGGAAAATTGCTGCAGTCTGAGGTGAACTTGTTGGCAGCAAGCTAGAATGTCCTTGAGCGCAAGCGTCCCATCAAGTCGTCGGCGACCCTCCGGTAGCTGGAATCTTTCCAGTGGTAATGGCCATTCCAAAATCTGCAGAATGCCTTCTGCGAGAAAGCGGTGTCCGATGATACCAACCTTGAACATGTACAATGACATGGGGAAGACGTAGGTCATGAACAAGGTCCACACAGACCAGGCCGCAAACGCATATAGAGATTGGGCAGATTCAACCACTCTTTCGCTCACTGAAAAGCTGCGCTTCCTCCGAGGTCCAACTAGTGGCGTGTTCTTTTGTAGAAGTTCCGCCACTTCTTGTGCACAATTGATCTGACGAAGAATCGGCATCAGGGCCATCTCCTTTCTAGTTGGCACCTGTCTGACCACGGTATGGAATCGTAACTTTGCGACCAGCTGACCAACTCTTTCCCGCTCCTTTTCCTCTTGAAGCGCTACATCGTCGACTGCATAGACAGGCGCCTGTGCCACGCGACCGAGTGCGAGGGAGATGGGCTCAAGGGAAAAGTATTGCATCTGAGTAGGATTCGGCGGCTCGAAAAGGACGATTTGCACGGACAGGTTGGCGTCCGGTGGGCAGTAAATGTATGGCCTCTTTGCACCAACAATGCTGAACATGTAGATCCTGGTAGGTTCATACTTGTCCGGCAAGGGATGATTTAGTGTACCCAGAACGTGCATCTGTGAGCGTTCACAGAGCTGAAATATTCGCGCAAGTGGGTAGGGACTGTTTCTGAAGAGCGTGCCCATCCGCAGAGCGGTTTCGACATTGTGAATCTGCGATGGTCAGATACACCCCTATGCACCGTCCTGCGTCAGCATACCTCAACATCTTCCAGGACTGTTATCACAAAAAAGTCCAACTCTGAGTTCCTCCATCCCACTATTATACCGGGTGTGGTTGTCCGAGTGAGATAATTCGGCCAGAATACCCGTAGCATGCCATCGCTATTCTCGACCATGATAGCATGATGTCAAGACTCAAAAGGAACCTCGTCGACGTAGTTGTTCTCGAGCCGAGATCCCATGAGCCGGCAGCCGGGGGTGCTATAGTTTACTCAGCTTTCGTTGTATCTCCACGTGCAGCCTTACTCACAACCGTCTCTTCGTGCGCAGCAAGCCTATCCAGAGGAATGGCGATAAGGAAATAGGTGAAAGTGATGATACCGAAGCCTTTCGCTGCCCGCGCCTACAGTTGGGTCAGTCAGCACTCTATCCGCATGCGCTCTCGACGTACAAATACACCGTGATCCCAAGCAAAGAGGGATAATTCGTAGAGCCTGGTTACCAGATCCCAACGCGCAGTGATATATCCGGCAACGAAGATGCCAATAGTCAGGGACGAGAAAGGGTGCATCCACGCGAATATTACTATCAGCTCCTAGGAGAGGAGATCCTTGCCGCAGAGACTGCCCTTGTGGCACCTTTAAGAGATCAAGGAACAGCAGCTTTGTACAACGACAGCGACAGGCGCGTTATCGGCCGAGGTTTAGCCAGAGTAATGTGTCTACAAGCAGTCTAGCGTCTTCGGCTATACCTCGGCCTTTGACTGAACTCATTTCCCTCACCAACGTTGCTGTAGACTTGCCCTTCTTCTGTACCACAGAGTCGTGTATGAAATGACAAAGACAACCTGAACTTGTGTAAGTCTGAGGGTGAATGGGTCCAGGGGCTTGCCGAATAGTGTGACAGATCTGTGCAAAAGTGTTGGAGATTGCGAGATGAGCTATTGCAGGTAGCCGACACTGGTTGTCCAGCCTCCTGACTTCGGACTTTGGCCAGGGAACTGCGAGAAGGTTGACCTTTGCCGCAAGATCCTTTCACCCAGAGCCAGACCCTACAGAGGTAGGCTGCACCTTCCACCCTCCACCAGCAGCAAGGTGGTCGACAGCGACCTAAAATACCCTGGTTGTGTGTGAATGCCCCTGCTTGCAGCCGTCTGTGGCGGGCCCTCAGGCGGGTGACTGCATTTGTTGAAACTTCACAGTATCCAAGGCATTTTGCGCTGAGAATTACCCAGCGCTCAGAACTACACAGCGCGATCTAGCACTGCGCAAACGGCAATCGCCCAATCAGGCGCTGCGAGTTCCTGGATCGATCCTGCCGTCGTTGCCTGGCTTGATCTGGCTTGATCGACTAATCAGACGCTGTCGCCAGATCGTGACGCCCAAGTCGGTTTAGTGCGCACAGGTCGATCTGAAGCACTCTTTCCTGGGTATAAAACCCTCAATTTGTTCATTTCACCAACTCAACCCTGAACTCTTACCTTGCCCCGATCATCCATCCAGTTACTCAAGCTTCTCTGTGTCTCTCTTTCTTGGACCAGGCCTCAATCAAACTTGGATACTCATAACTCTTACTCAATACATTCAATTCAACCCACATCTATCACCATGAAGTTCTCCAGCATCTTCGGTGTTGCCATCATGGCTGCCAGCGTTGTTGGTTCCAGTAAGTCTGCCACAAAATCATCTCACACCCACTCTTACTAACTGATCAATAGCCACCGCTGCTGTCGAAGGCGCAAAGGAGATGGTCATCGCTGCTTTGCAGGGTGAGATTTCCGTTGCGCACCATTTTGGCAACTCAATCAACTGACTTTTTTGGCAGCTCGTGAGGTCCCGGCTAATGAGATCAAGGCATTTCTTGACCTTGTTCCTCGTGGTATGTTTGAAATCAGTATCTCACTTCCAGCACATTGCTAATTTTCACTTTGGTAGATACCGTCACCGTCACCACCTCTGCCTGCGGTCCTTACGGATACACTCCCGGTTCCTACGGTCCACCAGCCTCTGCCTCTGTCCCTGCGACTACCGGTACCACAACCCCACCAATTGCGACCACTGGCACTGCGACTCCCACTCCACTGACTACGACTTCCATTACCTCCACTACCCGGGTGACCACCACTACAACTCTCACTCCAGAGACTGCGACCACTGAGACCCCAGATACTCCTCCAGTTGTTCCGGGTACCACTCCTGTTGAGAGCACCACTCCGGTCACCACCACCTCAGGGGTTGGAAGCACTGGCACTACTCCAGAGATCAGCACTGGTGTCAATACTCCGGCTAGTAGCAGTGTCGAACATACCACGTCCTCCACTACTACCGAAACCACCGAGTTGACCCCCAGTACTTCGACTGCTAGATTCACTCCAAGTACCTCCACACCACCTGCTCCCGTCAATGCGGGTGCCACTTCCGGCATTCATGTCGGTTTGATCGGTCTTGTGGCTGTGTTGGCACTTGCTTGAGTACACACCTCAACCACATACCCCCGACGCTCTTTGCAGCTATGTCTGTTATGTACTCAGCATGCACACATACGCATCTGCAACTGACATCACACACTCACATCTCAATGATTGAGATCACCAGGTGACATGGAATAATAAGACTTGTTATCACTGGAACACATCAAAATTCGACCACCGGCAACAAAGATGTCAACTTGCTTGGGAGTGGTATCGAAAGTAATGGGCTATTGCACGATAATACGGTTCTTGTCACAATAGATGACTACTCGATCATAGGATCATTGGACCATAGCTGGAAAGAAACTAATTGCTTTACAAAATAACCTTCCTCTCTTGTTCCTTTTGTAGTAGCTGTCCATGTCCCCGTGTGGTCGTCCCCTTATGAAGTGCCCATCGGTAGATTACTCTCGTGTTCCATTGTCTCCTTGTTCATCGTTCCCCATACAGCATCATACTGAAGTCTTCATCTACGAATCATGCGGCCGCAGCGCGTTAAACTCGTGTGAAACAAAGATGAGCTACTTTCTGTCTCTCAATGGAGCCTGGCTCACCTGCACTGAAGACCTTGAGCTCCTCCACAAGCCGTGCCCCTGAATGAGAAGGACAAGGCTGAGATTATCGGTTGATCTTCGGCTTATCTTTCTTTGTGAAGGACGTTTGGTGTCACTGGCTGTGCAGATGTCATTTGGTGCTCATTTTGCACGCACCAGGCAGAGCTCATGTGCTTTTGTCTATTGGACTGCAGTAACTCATTGTCTCATCCTTTCAGAAGGTACAGGTTGAAAAGAATGGAGAATTGAGTTACGGACATGCTCGATGTCGAGCACGTATTAACCGTCTCTCGTCTATGTAGTGGTATCTTCAAGAATTCTTTCCCCATTACGCCTTTTATGTCTTTTCCCATCTTTGCCGACATCCTCGAAGAAACCCTCTTGACGTAATCTCAGGATCTCGAAGCCCACTTCCACAGCGATGAGGATAATGATCATCCATTCGAGAAACAAGCCGTGCTTCTCACTGAGTCTCTCCCTCAGGACAGTCGCAATCTCCGCCGCATAATCCATCTTCTCGTTCAGCACTTTGATTCGAATACCGACGTCCAGTGCCCTTCCTACCTGGTCGTAGTAGTTTTCCAGATTGAGCTCGTGGCGCGAATCCCAGAAAATATCGGGAAGGGAATCTGTCAACTCCGAATACAAATTCAATTGCGCACGGAGAAGAAGGAGTTGGCCTGTCTTGCGGAGAATGAAGCCTCGAGAAAGTCTGAAGGGCAGGCGTGAGCCTTTGGATAGCAAGGCGGGTATGTCAGCTGTGGAGGCAAGATAGGCGGACAGATTGGTCTCGAGAACAGCAAGTTTGGTGCTGCGCGCAAAGCCGGAAGAGAAGGCGATCTTAGTCAGAACCGTATCGACCGTTTGATATTGTGATTCGGTTTCATCGTCACTCGTGTCCTGTGAGGCTTGCTCGTTCCTCTTTGTGCCAAGGATAATTGTGTCTCCACGAATGACGCTGTGTTCACGATTGGGATCTTCTATGTAATCCAAGTCCTCGGTCTCGATGGGTTCTTTGTGAGGGTTCTCGGCGGCGGGAAGCAGAGTGCGAGTCGCAAAATACGAGGTGAACCCTTCGGGAAGAGCCCATGTCACCACTGTACCTGAGGGGAAGATGAAAACATCGCCTACCTCTCTGGACGACAAATCGACGGCGCCCGGGTTGGTCGAGCGGTAGATGGATGATATAGGGACTTGAACGTGGATCACCTGCGGAAATAGACCTGTGCCCAGCGGATCGGGTTCATAGCCCTTCCCACGAAGGATCTCAACGACTTTGCTTAGGTCGAATTGCTCTGCCACGGCGTATGCCGTTACCATTTTTGGTGTCCCTACATCTTCTTGTGTCTTGGTGCTCGATTGTATCAAATTTCCGGCTTTTGATCTCTGTGCTTCCAATCCAACTCTTCGGAGGGACGTCTTGGTGCCGGTAGGACGAGCTGTCTTCCTCTTCTGTGCTTGGATAGACGCCGAGTCGGCTGCTACGCTCTCCTGCTGCACATCTTGTCTCTGGGCTGTCTGACTTTGCAACGAAGTATTGGTAGAGAAGAAAGCTCGCCGCCGCGGACGACGCTGAAAGATTGGGGATGCATGGAGCGGTCGCAAACTGGGGTACCGAAGAACGTCTTGCCCAGCACGATGGCAATTCGCACATATGTATTGGCCTCCCAGGCTCAGTGCTGGCCGCATCGTCGCTGGTCGCATAGCTTGTCATGCGCAAGCAAATGTCGAAGTTTCGCTGATGGAAATTCCGCACGCATTTCGATACGTCTGGACAAATTTGCGTAGTGCTCCGCAGTAGAAGATTTCTGCTGCAGATTTTAGGCGCTGACAACGAAAGGAGCACTTCCTCGGCGCTCGTCATTAAAATTGTTGGAGTCTCCAATGCTCAACCCCCATACAAAAGCGCCGCGCCAACGTGTGCACACCACACATGTACAGATGACGCGGCTATAACGGAGCTACCTCCTGGATGGCTGCTGGAGATGGCTCACCTGAGCCAGACGACGACGAAAAGCTGGAAACCCAGCCCAGCAATGCCCCCGAGCCTCCAGATCCGACGCGCGAGACGGACGAGTCCGATGATCATGAGGACGATGAGGAAGAAGAGGAGGAGGAGGAGGAGGAGCCACGACTGAAATATGCTACCTTGACCAAGAATGTCAGCCCAATATACCGCAACGGAGACGCTACAAGCACCTTCCTCGTGGCAGGGGACAAAATGGCAAGTAGAGCATAAAACTCCGTGTACATCGGCTGATATGAATGCTCTAGATTGTTGGGACGCACAATGGCAACATCGTATGTTGTCCTCATCCTTGCTCGGTACTAGCTTACATTTACAGCACGTCTTTTCATTACCGTCCTTCAGTCCGCTTCGGGTGTATCATGCACATACGGCAAGCGTGTCTGCGATCTCCATCTCGCCATTCATTCCACCGATCTCAATCTTACGCCCCGATATACCCCAGAAGTCTACGGCAGAGTCTGCGCCTATCAATGACAGGACGCCTGCAAGCTCCCCTGCGCCGAGAGGCAAGCAGCAACAGCAGCTGCCCCCTATACCAAACATACCCTCAAACCAGATCTACATAGCTACTTCCTCTATCGACGGAAATGTCTGCGTCAGTTCATTGCTTGACCCACGAGATGTCCAGCTGCGCAACTTTGGACGACCTGTGCAGAGTGTTGCCCTCTCGCCAGATTACAAGTCAGACAGGAATTACTTGTCAGGAGGTCAAGCTGGAACGCTGGTCTTGACCACTGGTGGACAAGCGGGCAAGAGCGCGAATGCAACCACTACAGGCGCTGCAGCTGCCGCCTCTGGATGGTTCGGTTCGATTGGTCTTGGTGCCAACACAGGATCAGATAAAGTGTTGCACAGTGGTGAGGGCATCATCAGCACTATAAAATGGTCATTATCCGGAAGATATGTCCTGTGGGTCAACGAGCAAGGCATTAAGATAATGAGGTCAAACATAAAGCTTGAAAGCCATGAATCAGGGTTGGAGTGGAAGCGTATCAGCCATGTTGACAGACCTACTCGGCCGGGCTGGGAAGACATGGCAGGAGTCTGGAAAGCACGTGCCGAATGGATAGATTGGGACAGTCTAGACGTTGACGACGATTCGCCTCAAAGCGGCGCACTCTCCCTGTCAACTAATGGGACAGCTTCGAAGCCAGGTCTCGAGAGGGCCAGACTGGAGGAAGTACTGGTTGGCTGGGGAGATTCAGCATGGATCATTAAAGTCTACCCTGGATCTGCAGAGGCTGGGAGCGAAAACAAGACTGGACGCGCAGAGGTCGCTACGATGTGAGTGTCAGCGGTCAGATCGCGACAACTAGCTAACCCCTCACAGTATACGATTTGATGACTGTACAATATCTGGAATTTCGCTATATACCCCCAGCCTGCTTTTAGTCCTTGCGCACATGGAGAAAAGAGGGTCTCAGTCCACTTCACAGAGTAATGAAGGTACTAGGAAGGGCCGCCGCACAAGGCACAATGCATTGGAGCCGGAGTTGCGATTGATTGACGTCAACACTAAGGAAGAAGTCGACACAGATACTCTCAGTGTGAGTAGGTTCGAAAGTCTATCAGCTTCAGACTATCATCTGGGTGTGCTTCCACCCATCCGAATACCGGCCGCTCTCGCCCAGAAAGGATATCTTGGAGCACTTGGCTCCGGAATGAACACAGTTGGTACCAGCCTCTACACGGGAGTTGAGACGGTTGGTCAAGGCGTTTGGGATGCGACGATGTACGGACCACGGATCTTAGGTGCTGGACGGATGTTTAGTGGTGCCGACAGTATTAGGAGTGGCAGTGGCACGAGTGGTCCCGACAGAGCTGCGAATGCAAGAGAACGAAATTATCTGACGGGCTGGCTCCCTGGGCTCAGCAGCAGCGACACGACTGCTCGTGAAGATGACACTCACTTGGCAACTGCACAAGGCATGAAGATATTTATCTACAGCCCCTACGACTGTATCGTTGCAGTCAGACGCAATCTCAATGATCGAATGCATTGGCTGATCGGCGTGAAGCGGTACCAGCAAGCTTGGGAACTGGTGGATCTGCACCCTGAGGCGGCAGGTCTCTCGAGTGAAGGTTCTGAAGCGTCCACACCGCCAACTCCATCGAAGGCAAGTTCTACCGCTAAGTCTGGTGGTGCTCTTGCAAATGCAGTCGATGCGCGCCAACAAGCCACGTTAGCAGAGTTTTTCGCCGACAGCACCTCCATCACCAGTTCGGCGCAAGGGAAGAAAAAGCATAAGTTCTCAGCAGCTGAGAAGGAGAAACGTCGGATTGGCGAGCTTTGGCTGAAACAGTTGGTCAATGCCCAGGACTGGTCTACAGCTGGAGAGGTGGCTGCAAAGGTGCTTAATACCACGTCTCGATGGGAGCACTGGATATGGCTCTTCGTCAAAAACCAAAGATTCGACGAGATATCGCCGCACGTTCCGACACTGGAACTTACGCCTCCATTGCCATCGTCGATTTTTGAGATAATCCTTGGACACTATGTGGAGGATGACAGAGGTCGGTTCAAAGAATTGATTGATCAGTGGCCTTCGGATCTCTTTGAGATTAGCAGCATCACTGCAGCCATCGAGGACCAACTCCGTTCGGGGACGGCATCTAAAGGCTCCGACGAATGGAGGTTGTTACAAGAATGTCTGGCGAAGTTGTTCCTTGCCGATGGACATTATGACGAGGCCTTGAAGTGCTATATCAGTCTCCAAGATGCGGATACGGCCATGTCGCTCATCAAAGATCATCACCTTGTTGACGCCATTGCCGATGATATACCAAGTTTCGTGCTGCTCAGGGTGTCGCAAAGCCAATTGAAGTCTGCGTCGGTTGACGAACTGGACGACTTGGCGTCTGACCCAATTCAACTGCTCGTCTCCGAGGCCACTGCCGGGGTGGTGGACCCTGAAGAAGTGCTCACACAGCTCGACAGCGCTCCGTTGAAGCCCTTCCAGTATCTTTATCTTCGGGGCTTGTGGCGAGGCGAAGGCACGGACGATAGCGCAACAGGTCCTCGTGTCGGCCATTCAGCAGCAGCAAACGCGCTAGCGGTTGATGCAGGCAAACAAATTGTTGAACAGTCCGCAGACACAGCAGTCGAACTATTCGCCGAATACAACCGTGCATTGCTGATTGAGTTCCTGCAAGCGTCGACAGCATACACGTTTGAAAAGGCCGTCAAAATATGTGAAAAGAAACACTACGTGGAAGAGCTGGTCTATTTATTGAGCAAGACGGGCCAAATGAAGAAAGCATTGTTTCTCATCATTGATGAGCTGAGAGACGCTTCTAAAGCCATCGCGTTCGCCAAGGAACAAGACGACAAAGGCCTTTGGGACGACTTGCTGGAATACAGCATGTCCCGGCCACGGTTCATCTCAGAGTTGCTTGCAGAAGTTGGCACAGCAATTGACCCAATCACCCTGGTCAAGAGGATACCGTCCGGTCTTGAAGTCGAAGGCTTGAAGGACGGCTTGAGGAAAATGCTGCGGGAGTACGACTTGCAGGACAGCATTAGCACTGGGGTGGCCAAAGTATTGAGTAGTGAAGTGGCCATTGCAATGGAGACTTTACGAAGGGGTAGGAGAAAAGGCATCAAGTTTGAGGTGGTTAGCACTACACACCATCGCAAGCAAGCTGCTGTCCAAGATGTGGAGCAGGTCCAGAACGGGGAGGAGGAAGAAAAGGCCGTGCCCGGAAGCCGTGTCGAACCAGGTCATTGCGCGTCATGTTACAGGGCGTTCAACCAGGATGAGAAGGAGACATTGGTTGGGTTCGCGTGCGGACATGTCTACCATGTATCACACCTTCTGCATGGACCTGATGCCGAAGGAGACGAAACGCTTCTGCCGGAAAGTGCTAAGGATCGGGACGGCGAAAATGTCGATGAAGTCAGATTTTCGAGATCAGTGGCGCCTAAGGTCACTAATGCACGATTGCTGAAGGACAAGATACAAGCTGTGGGCGGGTGTGCGATATGCAAGGAGTCGAGAGAGCGGGTTGAAGAGGTTGGTGGAGGATGATGAGATGGACGAGGAATGCTATCAGTGTATATCAACTCTTTACAGTTTTGTGCTCGTCACAACGCCGAAGAGTTATGCTTGAGCTTCTCAAGATATAAACCAGGTCGCTGGCCTTGTCGCACACAGTGCCACAAGCAAGGGCTTTGGGACACTAAACCACGCCTGTGTCAGATGAACCATCCATCATCGTCGCCACGGGAAAGAACACCGAGACCAATAGCCGGAGCAGGGCGCGGCTGCAACTGACGTCCTCGTTCTTTGCGCTTGAGGCGGGTTGACACCAACCATGTCTCCATGTCTGCGTCGAAGACGTAGTCTCGGAAGCTTCATGCGATGTAGATTCCTCCAGACAATCACCCGCATCTTGGCAAGGCACAAAAGTCTCACTATGAGTTGTGGATGTGATCTGAGTATGGTTGTGGGTCGACGATGATGGTGCAAGCTCTGATGTTTTGCGCGACCGTCTTGCGGGTCGCTGAGCCTTCCCTAGATAGCATAGTGTTGTACACACGCTGCATCCGATCTGCTTGTCTGGGTGTGTTCGAAAGTGGCCGAATTGGACGCAAGGTTGACCCGTGTAGCCATATCTGAACGTGCCTGATCCAGAGGGTGAAAGCTTGAAAGGGCTAGCCACTGCTTGCTAGTCTTCTCCAATATATCATCCTTGAGCACTGGTCCTCCTATCCGCCATGAACGACCGCACACCTTCAATGCGATTCACGAAGAACATCCGCTTCCTATCATTCTTCCAGACCAGGACGCCGGTCTCGTCTGCGTATCGACACGGTGCCTCGTAGTCGGCGTTGTTCGAGAAATCTTTCAGGAGGAAGCCGTGTGTCGTCGTCATGCGATCTCGTTCGAGTTGCCAAAGATGGATTTGGTCGAGGATGGTGGCGGGCAGAACGGGGACGACGCGGATTGGGTCGGTGCTTCGGGCCTGTAGTTGAGCCTGCTCGGCCTGTGCGTGCCGTCGCATCTGGGGATGCGCATGGGCTGTCAGGTACGAGATTATCTGCTCGGCCGTAATTCCTGCCTGCACGGCACGTTGGACCGAGGCTTTGCTCATTTTGCCGGCGACCAAATTGGGGTGGCGAGAGCGCAGGTTGACGAACAACGATAACAAGGCTATCTGAAGTTGTGATGAAGTGTAGGCGTAGACGCGGTAGTTCGTCTCGACGATGATGAATCCTTTTGCCGAGCCAGCGGCGGACGGGGACAGCGAGGAGCCGATGGTGGTGTTGGTTGCTGAAAGGGCACTGCTCGAGTCGGACGTCAGAGTCGTGGCTAGGCGAGTAGGGTAGAAGAAGTCGGAGGGCGTTCCGTCGCTTCGCATTGGTTGGTAGACGATGCCGAATGAGACGAGATCAGACAGACATCGTTGCTGGGTTTCGTCGAGGGTGGCGGTCGAGTATGCCAGACCAAGTTCGAGGGATGACACCAAGAATAGGAAGGATAGAACGTCAACTTTGTCCATTTCGAAGACTTCGGCGTTGTCGACGTACAGGAACAATAGCGCCCATATCTGCGTGTTGATGTCTTGAAGCACAAATGCAAAACCTTCTTTGGTGATCTTTGCGGTTTGCCCACGACTGTAAGTGCCAGAGAGTTCGATGAGATGGCCAGCCTTCAAGAGCTCGATGACTCCCGGCGAGGGCTCGATGGCCGCTTGTTCAGCATCTAATGGTGTAGATGATGACCCTACCATGTAACCCAGTATGCCCTCCCATCGCTGACGCGAGTATTCGTCCAGTTTTGGTATGGTGACCTTTAGGTTTGCCGGCACGTTTGCTACCTGACCGAACGATTTCCTATCGCCTGCCCCGGTCAGTGCTCCCCGAAGAGACTTGGCAAAGTCTGGAGTGAGGCTGTAAGCTTTGGTCGAGTTGAAAGTGACGTCTCTGAAGATGTGATAGCGATGGAGAAGATCGAGGGCGTGTTCACGTTCTCCTCTGCTGTTGTCGTTGACAAACAGCTCCAGTTGCTTGATTGGCATCGGCCGAGGCATGTAGAGCAGCATCATGACGAAGGACTTTGCCAGACTGGACAGCCGCTTCCTGAAGATGGCGAGGGCGGATGCTGGACTTCTGTACAGTCGGTAAAACTGGGTGCCTGGGAGCGTCTCCAGATACTCCCATGACTGCAGTGTGGTGTCGGTCATTTTGGTGGGCAGATGGAGACAAGCGCCGAGGAGCGTTACGAGATCAATGCATGTTTTCGAGTTGTCTTAGCCTCCGATGAGCCGTGACTCTTGCTGTAAGGATGTACTGTAGTGAAAGAGAGGAACTGAAGAGAGATGTAAGAGGTTGAGTTAGTAGGCGCTAGCATCGCCAAGGCATTGCCTAGTAGCCTAGTTTTAACCGTGCTTTAGTTCTGACCTTAGGGAGTTAACCATGCTTTAAGTTAGTGCATCGGCCTAATTCGTAACTCCAGACTCCGTAACTCCGGTTTACCATTCGTCGACCTGCATAACAAGGGACAGTGGGATCGATGATGCCTTGGACGGCCTGACTTCTTTTCCTAACATGTTTTGTGCCAGTTTGGTCCCTTATGCCACAAGTGAACTCCATCTAAAAGTGATGCCACTAATAGCAAAGCTATCTCACCATGGGTAGACGCACACCGTCCTCTAAACCCCGTTGCAGGCAGGAGGAGTCAAATTCACGTCAACGAAAGACTCATAGAAAGTCGAGATTAGGCTGTCGGAATTGCAAGCTCAGGAGGATCAAATGTGATGAGACGACGCCGTCATGCGAGAAGTGTCTCGACTTTGGTGTGACATGCAACTACGATTCAAGTGTCCCCGACCTTCAACCACGTTCCGGCAGCACCGAAGGCATCGAAATCGATTCGACTCTAGAGAAACACTCCCCCGCCACCGGCTCCTATGTCTTGGACATGGTCAACATCTATCTGAGTGAGAATCAAGGTCCTACCGCTGCCAACGAGGGGCTCTTGCGCTTAGACCTGTCCGGCATGGAACGACTGGAAAGGTTCAACAAACGCACTGTTCTCACCATGGGAACAAAAGCTACCCCCAAATGTTTCCGAACAGCGATGGTGCAACTGGCTTGCATTCACCCCTGTGTCATGCACCTCGTCCAGTCTATGACCGCTGCCCACGACCGCTTTTGTGCTGTTTCGGCTACGTCGCGGCAGACCACGGATGAAATCTACCATTTGCACAGGGGAATCAGTGGCATGCATCAAAAACTGTCTCGAGGCATCCGACCAGAAGACCGTGACGCGTTGTTCATTGCTGCGTCCATACTTGGCGTAATGATGTTCTTCCAAATCGAAGCCTCAAGTGTTGAGAATGTGTGGCCGCTGGGCGCTGGCGATTTCGCATGGGTTGGCATGAGCGATGGCAAGAAAGCCGTCTGGCGTGCCACCAACCCACTGCGTCAAGACAGCATGTGGCGAGCTGTGGCTGAGTCGTACGAAATGCACTTCAGATTCACGGAGAAAGAGCCCACAAACATGATCTCGGTGTTTGACCATCTTTGCACCAATAGTTCTTCCCCACCAGCAGTGGCGAACCCTTACCACAAGACCGCACAGTTCCTCATTACATTGCTCGCTCTTGAGCTTAACGATACAACCTGGATGAGATTCCTCGTGTTCATCTGCCACGTCGATCCTCCTTTCAGGGCACTGATTGAGAGAAAGGATCCATGGGCATTACTGATGCTTGTGTATTGGTTCATGAAGATCTGCAGAGGACCATGGTGGGTGTCGACTCGAGCAATCCTACAAGGCCAAGCCATTTGCATATATTTGGAGCGCTATCACGCCGACGATGTGCTGTTACAGAAAGCAATTCCACGACCGAAACTGGAATTTGAGGAGGCGGAAAGAGAAGGATGGGGCGGCTATGCTTTCGTTGGCCGATCGAGTCCGATCACAGTGTAACAGTAAGGTAGAAGAAATACCCCTGAGTAATGTTTGTATTTTGGTTACGATGCTAGGATGAGATAATGGCCGGGTCTTGGCACCATGTATTCGATGTTCATCGGCTTCCGGGGCCGCGCTCCGAGACGTTTACCTTTGGATACCATCATAACAATTCCGCCTCTGATTATCCTATACAGGTCGCTGTCTGGATAAATAGCACGGGCAGCAACCTGAAGTCCCGCCATCATGTCGGCACTGAAATTTGTGCGCTCCGTATGCTTTACTCCGACCCAGGCAAGCTCCATTCGGACTGATAGCTGACTTGTCCAGGTGTGGGAGTCGTTTCAATCGACTTCTGGGGTTGAGCCACGGTATGTTGAGACCATGTGACGGGAAGAAGCGTGACTAAATCGTAATAGCTTGATCAACACTGTAAGTCTTCTCGTCGGCATATTTGACACGGAGACCTCTACCTGCGCACTTGGAACCCATCACCCATGACTATCTTCGACTGATTGGCATTAGTTAAGGATAACAGCGGTTGAGCCAGGCAAAGTGAACTTTGAACTACCTATTGAGCAGCATCACACGAATCGGTTGGGCATACTGCATGGTGCCACCCTTGCCACGATGGTCGATACGAGTGGTTCACTTGCGCTTGCGTCTCGAGGCCTGTATTCGACGGGAGTCTCGACGGATATCAGCGTGACCTACCTGGGTGCTGGCGGCAAGGTAGGTGATGTGGTCAAGGGAGAGGTTATCTGCGACAAATGTACGATTTCTACTCCCACCTCCGTCTGACTTACTGACCCATTGCAAGTTGGCAAGACACTCGCTTTCACATCCGTCAAATTCATGAACAGCAAAAACGAAATCGTCGCCCGAGGCAGTCATACGAAATTCGTGGCTTCTGCATTTAAGGACGAAAGAAATATCACCGATGAGCTGAAACCAGAGGTCAGTGAATCCCAAGCGAGTGAAGCGACACGAACGAGCTTCAGTCATCGAGTATCATAGGTGGAGATGTACATGCAGCAAGAGGTCTGTAGGGAATTTGGCCGAGACCGAATCTGTACTTTTCCAGCCTTTCGAAGCTAGATCCTGCATTTGGACTTGTTATGTTAGAGACTTGTGCGGAAGGCTTAGAGATTGGCATTTTGATGAGACCCATCAAAGCACATACTCCTGTGGCTTCCCAGCCTGTAAGAACACAATTAGAGATACCGCATGTATCCATCTGAGTTCTGTCTTTCCCTAGGACCATTATGACAACCTTTAGATACCTACGAGGAGGAAATGCGAGGCTGCGCAAGGCTGAGGCTACGGTGAAGTTGAGGTGCTGCTACGTCATTTGTTGACTTTCTGCGCAAGGCTTCAATTCACTTTTCGGGGCCAGGTGCATCTGCTGCAATCTTTTCATCAGCATAGGGTCCATGCAAGCTGCGCATTACTTCTGCTTGCATAGCTGACATGAGGACTTGCAGGCCATGAAGGCAGCGCCACTGCTTTGAACATGGCACCACGCGCCTCCAAATCCTCTGCGCGTGGCATTCCAGGCCTTCCTCCTACCACCTTCGTTCTTGACAACGGCGGTTACACTATCAAGGCTGGGTTCGCACCAGCGCCATTCGTATCTGATCAGGACGCGCTTTTCAAGTGCCGTGTAATTCCCAATGCCATTGTGCGCAGTCGCGACAGGAAAGTCTATGTTGGCTCACATTCGGAAGAAATCACACAATGGAGCGAAGCATTATTCCGGCGGCCTGTCGAAAATGGACAAGTAGTGAGCTGGGAGACTCAGAAAGAGATATGGGATCAATCATTCTTCGATGAGAGTACTGCTACCACAGAGTTGCTGATCACGAGTCCGGAAGATACAACGCTGATCTTCACCGAGCCACCAAATACCATGCCCGCACTACAGAAAAATGCCGACGAGATCATCATGGAGGAATGGGGCTTCGGGGGCTATTCCAGGATTATTGGTAGGTGTCACTGAAGCAGTCACTGCTTGTCCTCAAGCAAGATTCTAATACCTGAGGTAGGTCCATCCCTGAATGCGTACAACGATCTCCATCCTCTGTTCGAAGAAACATCGTCTCCTGCAAGTGACTCCATGAAAATGGAATGCCTCCTTGTCATTGACAGCGGCTACAGCCACACCACAATCACTCCGACATTTAATGGTCGTCCAATGCATCGCGCCATTCGTCGCCTCGACTTTGGCGGAAAGCATCTCACCAACCTGCTGAAAGAGGTCATATCCGTACGTCACTTCGACCTACACCAAGACACCAAGATCGTCAACGACATCAAGGAGGAGGTGTCTTTCGTCAGTAGCGACCTCAGACGTGGTCTAGAGAAGACGTGGAAGGGCAATAAGAGTCACCAAACTCCAGTGCCAACCAAAGTGCTGGAAGGAGATGGCGCTGTGAAGGCGGAGCAACAGGCTCTGAGCGATGAATTCCGCCTCGACTATATCCTTCCAGATGGCATGCACATACTGAAGGGATTCAGTCGACCCCATGACCCTAGCCCGGCAGCACGAAAACGTAAACAAGCAGCACTGGCGTCAGGAACTGCGGATGCGGAGATCTCGATGACTCTTGGAAATGAGCGTTTCACCGTTCCAGAGATACTCTTCTCGCCCAGCGATATTGGGTCCAAACAGCCAGGCTTAGCAGACATCGTCATGCAGTCGCTCGCAGTGCTTCCTCCTCTTGTGCAAGCCACTATGCTATGCAACGTACTCGTTGTGGGCGGTACGGCGAAGATTCCAGGTTTCGTCGAGCGTATTGAAGCTGAGCTACGCACAAGAGTGAAGGCGGAGTGGATAGTTCGTGTCCGCAAGATGGAGGACTCCATCACTTCCACTTGGCTTGGTGGTGCGAGGATGGCAAGTCGTTCTCCTGAGATTGTCAGAGAATATGGCATCACTCGGGAGGAGTACCTCGAACATGGCAGTGCATGGGCGGCGAGACGATTCAGGTCGTTGAGTTGATCGTTGTTAATATTGCAAAGCCTCCAGGGCCACAGACAACAAATCTCATGCGCGGTGGACCGCGCAGTTGACGACTTGATGGCAACCTGTCACAGCGCAAAACCTAGTCATCTTAGCGTTCTCGACCGTTGTTTTGAGAGAAAGGTCTGCACTGTGAAAGTCTTGCAGGAGGACAATCGCGGAGACTGATTAGCGACCTGATGTGTGCTGAAAAATCTCCGATGCTTTCACAACAATGCCCATTTCGGGGTTGTTGCACAAGCACTTGGGATTTGTTCTATTGCGCGACGGCATATCGGGTGTCGAATATCATGTTTTAGTGCGGCTCTGGACCCGACTCCTGTGGTATGCTGCAGAAGCTGCCAGGGTCAAACAAAGGATGATGCGCTCTAATCAGGTGGCTGCGATCGACGCCGAATCTGGATGTTCGAACGTTCTATCTGTAGGGACAACTCGGAGAAGCGTTGTTCAATTGCGAACTGAATTGCGAAGAACATCGGCGCCTGAGGCGCGCGGCAGGACTGATCTCCACACTGCTCCGTGATGGATATCGGTCGAAGTGTCGTTTAACACTCGCGGTAAGCGATTGTTGGTGCCTGTATGTTTGGCTCAGGGGACGTCCCGCTTCGGATTGACTGATTTCCCCGATCCCTCCGCTTCCACACCTCGCTGCTTACGAGATCTGGCTGTAGAATCTGGTGAGCGAGCATAAGGTGCAACCTTGTCGAAATCGCGTTTACTCCCCAACAAGGAATGATTTATGACGCATACAAGAGTCAAAGATAATCAAAGACCGCCACAGAAGTCCATGTGTGACTCAGGCATCAATCAACAAACGATGCGCATACGTCGCGCCTTAGGCCCCGCCACATACGCTCTGAAGCGGACGATTGGCTCTTGACAGAGGTACTGAGACAACCAAACCTCAGTCTTCCCCACAAGCTTAGACTCCAACGCACTACTGTACCTGGGAAGCTTGTCTCGACACCGTGCGTAGAGTGGACAACTGCGCATTTCGGATTAGTGATGCAAAATTCCGCCCCCTCGACGCAACAAGAAGAGGTTGCAGCCGTGACATGATTGTTCTGGACTGTTGATGGCCTCCGGCTGTACGAGGCTTAGCACACTCTATGTCACAATGTGAGAAGTTTCCGAGTCATCGGTACGAGGTAGTGAGTCAGCTTCCTCATACAGTTTGTCCCCAGATCCAGGCGCCCAGTAGGATGCCCGGACCATATCCAGTTCTCCACCAAAACCTCTACCGTCTCGGGCCCGGATTGGGTAATTGCCAGGGTCATTTTCTTGTAAGAAAGGAGGCTAGCCTATTACGATATGCAAATCCTCCACCACATGCCTCTTTTGTGCTATGTGCGTATGCTGGGTGCCTGTTCTCGGGGTGAGATATCCGCTCTCAAACCGTATTCGCATCAGCATATAAAGACTGCTTGAAGGCCTGAGTCGTCAGGCCTCATCCTCAATCTTCTTCCAACTCAGAAGCTTACCAGAGCGTCCTTCTACCCGACCGAAACCTTCCCACCTACTCATCACCATTACCACCAAATTGACTCAGGGGCATACTACACAACACTGCACAATGGCAGACAATAAGAAAATGTCTTTCGACACGGCTTCCATCTCCACGTCGTCCATCATGAGCGATAAGGAAAGAGCTCACTCGCAATCCAAGAAACCATCTCTCTTACAGAGAGCCGTCACAGGTATGTGGCCTTGCTCGGCTCGGCCATCTGAGCCCTCTATCGGACAGTCACTAACGGCGCATCGTAGCTATCAAAAACATCGAACCTCCTGAGCCCAGAATCCCTCCGGGCAATCGGACGAGCATTCCTGGTTGGGCCAGATGAGGGCTTACCGGGCTCATACCGATAATGATTACCCTTAACGCGACGTTTTTGTTTCGCAAGCGTGGAGTCTTTCTTTATTCATGGGGAGGGCGGCGCAAACGAGAGAGGACAGTTGATCCTCAGCATATCTGGGATGGTGTTTGAAATTCTGTCCACCATGGGAGTTCAAGAGCTGGGTCCATGTATGTCCTCTACGTAGATGATGCCCAGTTGGGATCCTTTGGAGCGAAGCAGGATGCGCTGGGGTCCAACTGCTTGCCTTGGGGACAGCGGATGGTCACAAAGGGGTCCTGGAACATCAAGACATGATGTATGCCCGGTCCTTGTGGTGGGGTGCATATGTTAGGCGGAGAATTTTAATGGGCTCTCGCTTAGACTAGATAGTATACCATGTTATTCAATGAGATGAAGTGAAACCCCTTACTCATGGAGGTGCTCGCATCGTCGTTGTTCAGTACGACTTATCCATTGTATATGCAGCCTTTCTTGAAGATTGGACACCTGATCACTCATGGACCCTCGTGCTAGTGGTGGTCCTAATCCATCTCACTAAGCGTTGCGCAGCCTTACCGGATGCCTGACTGATCATTAAAGACCCTGTTAGTTACGCATTTCTCATCGTTGACATGAGACCACCCAATACCAAACAGCGGATAGTAGACTATTGTTTTTCGGGAACACGACCATGGCCGATAAGTTTAGGATCGACAGTGTACGGATCGTCTCAGCTGCGAGCGTAGGGTACGTGCGAGAGAAGTGTTTGCTGCGCTCTCAAATTCACTCTGCCTTATCCCTGATATACTCCTACGCGCGGAACTGCAAGAGGGTCGATGCTTCTCAGAACGCGATCAAATGTATTTCATTTCTCGTTATGTGGTTCGTAGATACTTGTACATGAGCATGCGATCAATCAACACCCTGTTAACTGAGCCGCAAGAGTGCTAGATCTCAGTAGACGTGCCCTTTCGAGCTAACTCAATGTTTCTGGCGACAGGGCATGCATGACTCGCAAAGTTGAATCCTTGAGATCGATAAGACCATCGACAGCTTAACCATCATTAGTCATCTAGAAGCTCCGCTTGATCATCTTGCCTTTGGCGGCACACGCGGCAATGCATGCTTCCGGGCCATAGTTGGATCCGGTACCGATGTCAGGGAGGCGTCCATCGATGGTGGCGACGTTAAGGCCACCACCGATGACGGTCCCGGTGATGTTCTGCGGCAGACTGAAGAATGCATTGGCCAGGTTGGTGGTTCCAGTGTCATCCGAGTTCAAGGCGGAGATGAGTTGAGCGTTCTCGCAGCCGATGTTCATCATGGTGTGGATGGAGGCTTGAGGGAAGATGGTCATCTGTCCGGCATTGAGGGTCTCTGTGACTGTGCGGGCGCCGTTCTCAGCGATCATCTATTCAAGTCAGCGTCACGGTCGTGATGATTGCGGGCTCCAACCCTGGGGTGAAACAATTGCTTGCACAATTGCAGAGAATACTCACGTAGGTCATGGTTGTGCCAGAGATTGCGACCACATAGTTGGTAGCACGGGGGTGGAGATGCGGTGGAAGCATGGAGCATGGACCGAGGTTGAGCATAGCCTTGAGAACGTCAGTACTCCTATACTGGTGAACTCCGAAACACAGCATTCTCACCATGGTCATGCCCTGTCCAACGGTGGCAGGAAAGGTGGCTGCATTGGCATTGACGACACCTCCTGGGGAGAAGGTATACTTGTCCTGCTTGGTGAAGTCGAAGAACCAGTCCGAATTGTCAGGGAGCAAGTTCATGCGATCGAGATTGGTGTTGGCCATGCGAAGTTTCGCGACCAAGTCTGGATCCTTATCGACATCGATGGCCAAGGCGACCGAGGCGACCACTGCAAAGGTGACAAATCCTAGACCGAGAAACACCATGGCGAAGGTCTTCCAGTTGAAGCAAGACCGAGTTTTTTTTCGGTTGGGGGTGGTTGAGCCTGGTTGTTCAGAAGCGAGCTGTTCGAGCTTGATGATCGCGGCCTGCTTTTCAGCCTCTGGGAGCTCGTCAAAGAGAGTGATATTGCTGTTGTTCTTTTGGTAAACAGGAACGGTATGAGCAGGTGCTGGTGATTGAAGTCTTGACAGGATTTTGTTCACGCTCTTGGGCAGGGGGCTCATTGTGGAGATCACAAGTGACACATTCTTGGATTCACTGAGACGGTGGAATGAGAAATGAGAAGTAGATGAGGGAGCATGTGGCCCTTGATATAGGTCGTCACGATCCTTCTGGCATGTGCTCCAGAGAACTCTGGTTGTGTCCATCCTCTCCGTGATGGGGAAGCAGTCTTCCTCCTTGCCGGATACCTACTTCCAGTAGCGATTGACAGTGGACGCCTGACCTCGACGGGTCTCCGAGATGCTGCATGTCTCTGCACAATGCAGGACTAGACCATGATGCCTGGGATGTGACAACTAGCTTCATGCAAAGCTGTATGGCCGACACGAACATAGAGTCTTGGTCACAGAAGATCGACGCCAGCCCCCAACATGCATGTCGACTCACATCGGTCTTGAGAATGACTTATCATGAGGTTAGCACAAGCGAGCAAGAACATCGCGGCATAGTGTTGAGTAGAAAGGCTGGTCGCCGTTGCAATTATGGTTCCCGAAGAAGAAAAGGCCCCAGACCGCAGCGCGTGAAGTCCTCATAGCACTGGGGCCGCCGTGAAATACCGAATCTGACTGGTCGAGTGTGTTGTATAGACTTTCTTCACGTTTTCAACCCTTGCCTGGTCAGCAACGGGTCGTATCATAGCATCTTTGATATGGCAAGAGGATTGCAGGTCAGGCGTTCACCTCCAGATACCGGTTTCAGGCTAGCAATATAGGAAGAGCTAGGAGAATTAGGAAAGTAACCGACCTCGAATTCGATGTCCCGAGAACCGGGCAAAGAACAGCCGAACACCAGAAGGCTGATAAGGTCATGGCCGAGCCGCCTCTGCTGCCTAGTGAAAGCGAAGGAATGCAAATTGTTCCACCACGGGATGGTTCCTGGAGCCAATACGCAGACTATCGATAGCGACGTAATGAGGATATGGACCAGTCTGGGTGTTTTGTTCCACGTTCTAGAAGTTGGGTGAATCGTTCGCTGACACCTGTCATACTGTCAACCCCAGAGGTCGATGAAGGGAGCAGTATGAGCACGTGTACCTCAGCCCATCGCGTGGATCCCGACCATGCCGGTAGACAGGGGCGGAGGGAGTTTGGGTAGCAGCGAGATGCATTAGCATGGAGGTGTAATTGTGTGGTGATGTTGAAGTAAAGATAGCGAGGAGGAGGAGGACGTGGAGAGAAGAAGAAAGTTGGCAATTCACCACCAAGTGCTTCTTAGACTTCGGCCCCGTCAACCGAAATCTGCAATCGCGACTGGCCTGCACGGAATATCTGCAACTTACGCGTTTCTTTCACTTGTTCAATTGTCCATCCTTGACTGCGCCAACAATATTGGTGCACTACTGGATCTACGACTCTCAGGCGTCCATCTCTTGTCGCTAGGTCTCTGCTTTCCTTTCGGTTCCTTCTTGCGCGATCTTTTGTCCCCATTTCGCGTATCGCAGCTCCGCCAGTCAAAGACGGTCTCTCGCCCGCTCGCTCGATGTTCCTGTCCCAATTACTCCAGCGACAGAACGTCACTTGAAAGGAAACATGAGGTTTCCCCTTGTCAAGTCCACCTACTCGACCGCTCCGAGTCTGCGTTATCGCGACACTGGGTCATTTCGCTGCATCTCCAGCCGCTGCGAGACGGGCCAGGTGACCGGTACATCCGGCCCCCAGCCAGGGGTCCAGATCGTCTCCAGCACTTATTGGTCCACGTTCTAGACCCCAAGAGACTGCCGAATCGCATTGAATGGTACATTAGCATGCGAGATACCATGTACGCCACGACACTGGCTCTCTAGCCGCTGATCAGAAAGATGGGGAGAAAGACGCATGCAGTCGGAGATATGTCCCCAAATTGATCGCACCAGCAACAAGGCACTGTTCAGCCCCAACCCATGCACAGCCCACTTTCCCGTGTCCAGTGTCTATACGCTTGTCACTAGAGACACCCCGTTGGTAAGTAACGCGTTGTCATGTGGGAGGGTTTGCAAGAGATCCCCCCTCAAGGCGCATGACGCCCGCGCCATCTGCCCAAGTTGCAAGGGGTTGTGGACCTACTGGCATTGCCATGTCGTTCCCAGCAGGATTACCCGGGTACTCGAACTCTGTTCTGTTTCAGAGCGACCACTTGTCGAGGAGAGTCCAAGTTGCCCCGTCGTGCCCTGTCTACCTCTCGCATGGGTCTACCAAAGTATCAAGAACTGGTGGGAGTGAGTCTACTGTGCTAGGCATACAACCGTGGCACTCCTTGTACCATTGGAGACCAGACACGGCGAAGTGTGCAGCACCTGCTGCTCATAGCTCACTTTAGGACAACTTTAACATGTAATCATAGGTTGCCATTCAATCAACAGATTCTTTCGACGTCCAAAATACGCAGTTGATGCACAGCACGTGCCGGAATCCTGGACAGCTTCGCGAAAACATGAATACCCATGCATGACATTGTTCTGCACATACGGCGTACACCATGCCTATCACACTATCAATGCAATGATCTGCTTGGCCAATCGGCGGCACCCGTTCCACGATTGTACATCGTTTTCTCGCTTACGGCGCCGCAACCTTGTCCAACCTGCATGGCCGATCCCTGCATCCAACGTGCTTCTTCAGAAAAGATCAGTGACTGCTCCATGAGTGGCATCACTGACCAGAGCAGCATATTTAGCCAGTACACCTCTGGTGACTACCATCCTTGGTGGTATCCATGCCTTTTTCCGTGTCTCCATCTCCTCTTCACTCACGTCCACGGAGATGGTGTTCGTTGCAGCATCGATCGTCACCTCGTCGCCATCCTTCACCAATGCTATAGGCCCCCCGACGGCAGCTTCCGGACATACGTGTCCCACGATAAACCCGTGCGATGCACCCGAATATCTTCCGTCTGTAACGAGAGCGACATTTGTGAGCTTGGCACCCATGATGGCAGCACTCGCCTTGAGCTGTTCAGGCATGCCCGGACCTCCCTTGGGTCCCTCGTATCTTACGATAAGCACAAGATTCTCTCCGCGGGGTATTTCACCACGGTTGAGCGCTTCGTTGAGTTGGACCTCTTTGTCAAAGCATCTCGCTTTGCCGGAAAATCGCAGGCCTTCCTTGCCCGTGATCTTGGCCACGGCACCAGCTGGCGCGAAGTTACCCTTCAGAATCTGAATATGGCCGCTCGACTTGATTGGGTTGTCTAGACTCTTGATGATGACCTGGTCACTTGGCAGACTCGGCCAGCTAGCGACGTTTTCGGCCAGTGTCTTACCCGTCACGGTGGGGATTGTGCCATCCAGCAAACCAGCGGCAATCAGCAATTTCTGCACACTTGGTACACCACCGATCTCGTAAAGGTCGGCCATCAAATATTTCCCTGAAGGAGCAAGATCTGCCATAAAGGGGATTTTGTCGCTGACACGCTGAAAGTCATCGAGTGTAAGGTCCACTCCGGCGGTGACCGCCATAGCGAGGAAATGCAGGACTGCATTGGTACTTCCTCCTAATGCCATGGTGATGACAAGAGCGTTCTCAAACGACTTCTTGGTCAGCAGCTGCCTGGGAGTGATATTCTTCTCCAGACACACTTTGATAGCCTCTGCGGCTTTGGCACATTCACGCATCTTGGCAGGTGAGGTTGCGGGCGTCGAACTCGATCCTGGCAGCGACAAGCCCATTGTTTCAATGGCAGTTGCCATGGTGTTTGCCGTGTACATGCCTCCGCAGGCGCCAGCGCCGGGACATGCGTGCCGTTCCAGGTCCTCCATGATCTCGTCCTTCGTCTTGGATGTATCGCCTCCATCATCGGGCTGCTTGAGTGTGTTGAAGGTATATGCTCCGAATGCTTCGTAACACGTTGCGACGTTGACATTCTTGCGTAGCGTCTTCGAATAGCCCTTGTCGATGGTGCCGCCATAAATCATCAAACTGGGCCGATTGTGGCGTGTCATGCCCATGATACACCCAGGCATGTTCTTGTCGCAGCCGGGGATGGTGATGTTGGCGTCGTGCGCCTGTGCACACGTGACGCTCTCGACAGAGTCAGCAATGATTTCTCGGGTCTGCAAGCTGAACCGCATGCCCTGGTTGCCCATGGTGATGGCGTCGCTCACGCCGACGGTATTGTACTGCCACGCCAGCATGCCGCGAGCTGTCAAGGCCTTCTTGACCTCCTTCCCCAGGTCGAGAAGATGCATGTTGCATGGGTTGCCTTCCCACCACACACTGGCGACGCCGACGTGCGGGGCCGTCTTCATCGTCTGGCTGTCTGGCACACCTGCTCCGTAGAGCATTGCTTGGGCGCCGGGAAAGTCATGCTCGCGTGTTAGATGTGTCGAGTAGCGATTCAGCATAGGTTTGCCGTCGATGCCGGTAGTTTCATTGGAGCGGACGAAGTCTAGGTACCGTGGCTCCTGGAAGCCTCCTGCTTTCTCCATCTTGGTGATGTCGGTTGTTGGTAATCCTTGGAGCCAATGCCGGGGTGTGCGTTCAGATCTTGACCGGAAATCTCGTAGTATCTTCTCGCCGCACGTAATCTCTTGTAGCGTATCCCAATGTGCGGGGAAGCAGAAGATTCAATGTTGATGCCCTTCGAGGAGAGGTGCAGTCGTTCCCAATACTGCGCTTAAGTGATCTATGGTGGTTCTTTCTAACCTCGCAGAGAGACTCTTGTCAATTCCGGGCACTTGTTATGAGAGGATTGAAAGAGTCATAGATCACTGACCTAATCCTGGTGCTTTCGAAAAACGACCTCCGCGAATTTCAGTTCTCGCTTAATCGGTGTCTGCCCCGACTCCCCGAGGGGATTGAGGGGTATGCAAGCGCGTCTGCCAATAGGAATAGAGATGAATCTAAGGAACCACTATCCTGAACGGCTATCCAGGTGCCGAGCTTGACATAGTCTAGGGTTTCGCGGTCTGAGAGTCGAGTCTCTGCTTGTAACGTCCTTGATATTTTCCAGAATGCATCGACAGATAGACGGTATGAGCAGGTTTTGGTCTTGTCAAAGCAGAGTTCCTACAGACATTGAGATACATCTTGCTACGAACCCAATCTTCTGCTCGCGACCATCCACTCGGTTTCCCACCTTCTCGGCAGGTACTCGGCTTTCTTTGGGGGTATCGTCGATAACATGTCGTGACCCTCCTGGCATACACAAACACCAGAAGCAATGAACAGCACAGTAAAATCTCTTGAGGAAAGTCATGAAACTGAAATGTTCTGGTAAAATGTCGTTCCAGATTGCATCAATGCTTTTTTGAGGCCCAAGGGATATATATGCATATGCCGATTCGTACACATCTCCTCATCCTACGTTTGGCGGTTGACCACGCCACGCCAGACCAGGTTCCATCGCGATACGCATTCCGCATCCGGTAGGTGAGGTCATTCAGCCTTCCATGGTGCATGCCACTTGGAGTGGGCATTACAGTCCAAGCGATGGAAGCGCCGGAGCAACTAGGATATTTGTTAGTCATACGGATCAGGACCACGAAAGAGAAGGAAGAAACTCACTCTCCATGATGGCAGGCCCGAAGAGAACATTCGAGTCACTGAATGACTGCCCGGAAATGTCGACAAGAGTAATGAAGATGTAGGTCTGTCCGAAGACACCGGCAGGAATCTCGACGTTCATGCCACTGCTGATCGACGAGCCGTCGACCTTGACGCCAACAGAGATGATGTTCAGTCCCTCAACGAAGGTTACGAAAAGCTCGGTAACACTCTTGAAGTCGTGTTTTGATGAAGAAACATCTGGCATCAGTTGAATGCTGGAGCCGGCGGATGGAGGCGCGCAGCCAGAGCTGGAACTGGATGCGGCAGAGACATCGGTGGCGGAGGAAACGGCGGAATCAGTGGTGGTTGTGCTGGAGCTGTTGGTGGTGGTAGTGGTGCTGGAGTCTGAGGTGGAAGTGCTGTTGTCCTGGCGAACGCGAAGTTTCGCAGCCGCAGTAGTGGTTGTGGCAGCTGCGGAAGTGGTGGTGGACGTGGAGTCATTGGAGGCAGCAGAAATGAGAGTCGCGTAATTTGTGCTGCTGGTGGCCGTGGCAGTAACAGCTGCCTCGACAGCAGATGTAGCGATGCCGACTTCGTTGAAGCACTGCTGTCCACCTACAGCAAGGCCAGCAAAAGCAGTAAATGGCAATGGTGGGTTTGATGCTGGGCATGAGACGATAAACTCAGCAGCGAGCGTAAAGACGGAGTTGGGGTCCAGGGGCTATCGTCATATATTAGTTATCGGCCTTGTGGACGGGGTTCGGGTAGAGGCAAGGTGACTCACAGTAACGAAGGGATCTGGGGAGCCAATTGCTCCAATGGCTGATCTTTGGAGGGCAGTGTGTAATCCCTCATCTGCCATGATACTGGCGGCGACGGAAAGGATGCTGCTTGATTTGATGGATGGTGCAGCGCCGAGGTAGGCGCTCGTCCCGACGCTTTCCAGGATGGCAGACAAAGTAACAAAGCTAGGGACATCCGTGACCGGGAAGTTGTACTGGCATGGTAGAACCGGAGCAACACCGGCAGACTCGATTGCGGCTTCGAGAAGCGCAACATGAGAAGATTCATCAAATGAGATGAATTGCAGGTTCAGGAAGAATTCTTCAGTGAAACCAGCATCGATAAAGTCTTGCAGTTGAAATGTGTTGAAGGCTTCAAGGTAGAAGGTGTTCTCGAGGTGCTCGAGCTGAAGATTGAAGTGTTAGCTGAGTTCAGTCCTGGTTACAGCTGTCATTCTTACGGTCAAGGCGAATTGAAGGATGGTGATATCGACTTCAGACAAGCCAGAGCCTCGTTTGGCAAAATCAACAGGATGGGCTAGCGTCAAGCCGGCAAACATAGCACTCAGCGCAGAAAGAGTGGATGTCTTCATTTTGACGGCGGCGTATGTAATGTTCGAGAAATTGACAAAGGGTTGAATATAGACCAGCTAAAAGATTGAAAGAGAGTGCGCAGCACAAGTCAGAAGTGAAGAGACTTATCAAAAGCCCTGAAAGAAAAGATCGAAAAGAGACTTGTCAAAAGTCTTTGAGAAAGGAATGAAGATGCTCGTGCTGTGGTGTTGTAAATGCTCGACAGACCCAACGCTGGAATATATAGATGGACGCCCATGATAGTAAACAGTCAAGGAAATGCAAAGATCCGAACTCCAGCGCCGCTGGATCCGACAGTACCGAACAGACCTACTACAAATCATGACACCGGAGTGTAGAGCCTCTGGTTTCACCATTACTGATAGCACAGTGTCAAAGAGACACACCAAGGAGTAGGAGGCCTGCGAGCGCGGGAGAAGATCGATCCGGAGGACATCGCTTGCGCTAAGGGTTAAACCGATGGACATACAGCCGAAAAGGGATTGACGAAGATCTGGCAGACAGCATGGCCAGCTTCTGGACCTTGGATCTGATTGAGATCAAGACACGGGAATCATGCTTTGTAACCAGGGCAATTTACTGGCGATGCGCAAGGAGGCCAGGAAGTGTTTCTGGGGGAGAACAGCCGGCCATCTCCAGACGACCTACCATTAGCGGCTAGCCAGATGAGTAACATAGATCCCAATGAGGATAGAGAGGGCAGAAGATATCAGTATATGAGACGCTTGGTTGTCTCCTTATACAGCAAACGGAGAGGAGAGCAGCCCGGAGACATGGATAGCCGATAAATGGTGAAGCTGTTGGAGTGTTTCAAGACGTAGCAGAAGTTGAACCCGAGGCAATGCCAAGAACTATGGCTGTTGTCACGTGTGTGGCTTTGGCTGTGCCACCAAAAAGTCACGTGAAAGTTCCGGATCATCACGACTTCCGGGGTTCCTTATCGCTTATCAGATGGAGGGGAATGACGTCACGCTTCATCATTTGAGAACTTGAAGAGGGGTGCTTGAGACCTGACGCGAGGTTGACGCTTCTTCGATCCCAACATTGGTTTTGCCCAGCAATGCCCAGCAAAGCTTCCCTGTTCCTCTCCAATCGAACCTGTCGTCCTGACGCATGGCATATCCACGTTTTCCTGATCGGTAGACCGGATCGAAGATCGCTATGATGTATTCTGTGGCACAGGTGATCAAGCCACCAAAACCTGGCAAAATGATGGCATTGTCAAAGCGCAGGTAGTAACCCGCTGGATGCACATGTAAGTTGTATCTTTGGTACAAGGTATATAGATATCCGTGCAGGACTCCCGACTTCTGCTCCTACCTTCATACCACACTACAACTACTACACAACTTTCAGATCACATTCGTAATCCTTCAAGTCAACATGGCCGACCAAACTCAACAACCCGCCGCCACTGGACAAGAGGACTACCTCGACAAGGGTATTGGCGACCACACCTTTCAGTCGTATGACCACCTTGAGAACTAATTGATGATCAATAGGTGTTGACGCTGCCGAGAAGAAGTTCGGTGGAGGCAAGATTGACCCAGCCAAGCAACGCAGCACCAACGAGAAGATCACCGACAAGGCCCGAGGCATGTTTGAGAAGGCCACCGGAAAGGATGTGCCTGATAAGGTATGTCAACAACCCTCTATTTCCTCTTCCTGCAACTCCGCGTTGTCTGCCAAACCATCACCCATCATGGGAAGACGTGGAAAGCGAACAGTCTACTCTTTCCACGACGTTGGAGGAACAAACCTCGCTGACTTTTGTCGCACACAGTTCAGCAACTAAGCCACGCAAGATCATGAAGGAAACGAGCCTATCAGACCATGCAAGGATCTACATAATAAGAGCCAAAAAGATATGTGCTCAATGAATTGATTCAGTCAACCATTCGATTCCATTCTTCATGTTCTGTTCCTGTGACACAGTTTTTCACCTTCTCGTCCGAGGTTCAAATATAGGTATTTGTGCATGTTGATCTTGCGATGGGCACCAATCCAGTATCTAGGAGCGTAACACAAGTTACAAAAGTACTGGGAATGGAGATGGTTCAGACATTACGAAGATGCGTGCACAAAGCTTCACACTCTACAGTGTGTTGACTGACCTGATCCACGATAACTCCTAAGGCGACGAACAGTCAAGGCAGCGAGGACATGAAACCAAACAGAGTCAATAGATGTATCGCATGTCGAGATGACAGGAAACTTTGGGTATCTTTGGCCCTGCTTGATCTGCGTTGCTGGTCAAAAGTCCTGGATGTTCTGGCTTCCTAAACAATGTCCATAGACCTCGATGTCAGATGTCGCTTTGCCCACGCCACGAGTGAGAACGACAACCTCCATCTCATGCTAGCCCATCCACCTTTGTTCTTATAAAACGACCACCTCTTTCTCTTAGATTGCTGTATAGCCATCGACTTCTGGCGAGCAACGAGGACGGAGCCTGACACTAGCGCTGAAATGGTTGCCTTCACTAGCATCGAGGGGGATCGTGGACAGGCACTGAGTGAGGATCTCCTGGCCGGCGTCGAGGAGGATCTTGTTCTGGTATCAACGAGGACCTGCAGTACCAGAGAGATTCAAACAGAGTTGCAACAGATACCGGCTTCACTTCTGTCTGAAAGAAGACAATCGCCTCACCTTGTGGTCACCCACCTCTGTATTGCAACCCCACACCTGTAGTTGGTCGCCGACATGACTTCTAATGGGACTGACATGAAGGAAAAGACCTGCGCCAGCAAGCGCCAGGTGCAAAATGTTCTTCAACGCCCAGATCTTTTGCCTCTTGAAACATCCCTGACCACCGCACCAGTAAACCACACTCTGACTGGACTCAGGAAAACCAAAAGACCATATTCACCGGGGCATCCAGGACCTCAGATATGAGCTTTTGGGGCATATACAGCCACCAACCTGACCGTGCACCAAAGACAGTCACACCATTTGTTCACCACTCAACAGACAACACACAGCTCGTCCCTGAACAGCCACCAATTCCATTGACAGCTCGAACGTGTGTGACTTGGTTCGTTCCTCAACTGCCGCGCTTCGCACTAGGCGCTCAAGACTGCATGATATACCAATGCCAGTCACCCACCCGTGCCCGGTCTACCCTACATCGTACCAGAAGAAGGGATACTTTCCAGCAAGCCCGAAAAGAAGGGTCAAATTGAACGCCAACCATGAGGATTCTCGATCTGATATCTCATGCCCTTGTCAACTCCATAACTTACGAGTGCTCGTGGCCCCGGATGAACATATCCATTCCCATCTCCTGGGCAGGGAAAGAGCAACAAATAACAACATCTTGCTATCACCCACAAAATAGAGAAAGATAGCTTCACGTCTCACCTTCCTCAAACATACCAAGATCTACTTCATTCCAGTACCCTGAGTCCCTGAATCGATGCGGCTAAGAAGCGCTGCAGCTCTTCGTTCGAGTTCTCACTTGGGCTGCAGCTCTCATTCGCGCCCTGAAAGGACATTCGAAGGTCCATCGTGCACACGCACTTCATTCCGATAGCGCATACATTTTGACTCCAGTAGAGCGGTGGGAGCCATCAAAATTCAGTACGCCCTTTGGACAATATAAAGTTACCTCTGTATCGACGAATAACAACGGTACTTTTGCCCAGGGAACTTTCCATCGACGAAACGTCCATCACAATGTTTCCTTTAAGGGGCTTAACCCATATATACCGTTTCCAAGGGACTTTGTTAGGGTTGTCGATCACGTTCTGCATTGCCTGTTCTGTACTTGGGGTGCCGAAGGCTGAGGTGTGGAATGTACCTCGTGTTGTACCCTGCATTATCTGTGGTTGGCCACAACAGCCATGATAGTCGGTCTTGACGCCGATGTGACGTCGCCTTGGATCTGCCAAAAGCCTTAGCCACAAAGCAAATAATTACAGACCGTGACCGATCTGAAATGATCCCAGCGAGTATTGATGATTCACCAAAATACAATATTCCGTCCTCACGTGGGTTTGCGATCGACAACGGATTTTGTATTGCCGCTCTTGCTAAGGTTCTCTTCGAGGAAAGAAGTTCCATAGTCCAAAGATTATGGGGGTGATCGCAATATGTAATCGAGTAGGACATCCATGTGGCAATACGACCTGGCGCGCTGACGGCATCCTCTTTCGCGATCGCTTTCTCCCAAGTCAGACAAATGCCACTGCCATCCTTTTCGCCCTCCCCTTGTTCTTGGCCTGTCAGCAACACTGTGACCGAGTTTCGGATTCCGGAACCAAAGGTGTGCGGGCAACCCAAACAATTACGGATGACGCGTTGAATTTGTCCAAGTACGGATTCAGTATCCGTCACTCCGGAAGGAATGTTGCCAGAGGGGTCCAGGCGTTTCCTGGGTAATTTCCAGCGAGGGAAGCCATTAGGCTGATTGGACAAATGTTCTGCGTGCGGATGACGGCGGCGTTGTTCCGATCCAAACCCAGATGAGCCCACCAAACCGGTAGTCTGGCCACTGACAGTCGTTGCCTGTTCCCTAGCCTCTGATTTGAGCCCCACCAAAGCCTGGAGTCTTTTGGTGTCTAGGACGATCCAGACAACCCCCTCTCGGGGTACGATCGAGATTCGCCCATGATGGATATTCAACCAACAACAAAATACGTGCCATCCATCGAACTAGTATCGTAAGTGAAAAGCCATCATGACACGGTGATCAAAACTGGCTGATCACAATAATAATACCCGAGGTAAAAGTTCGGTTGGCCATTTTGCCATTCGTTGAAATTTTCCGGATCCCGCAAAGAGTCGCCCGCTGACTGGCGGTTATGTTTTGCACGCGCAGTAGCCCACACAGCTGGTTGGGCCTGGGTATATCGCCTGTCGCTGGTCGTGGAGACCTGAGTGGTGCCCACCAGAGAACACGTTTGAAGGTCTAGACCATCCCACGGCCGTTTGTCAAGTATCGAGACATGACTCGTTCTTGACAGTCTTTTGCATATCGCCAGGGATCGAGACCCTGCAACAAGCTGCACTTGGAGGCCATCAGTTCGAGACTGCAGTGGTTTCGACGGTTTTCAGCCAGGGGAGAACTGGTGCGCCCTCGTGGTTTCTCTTCCGACTGTCAGCAGATGGTCTGCGAGGCAGTGGTTCATGGTTTGACCAACCTCCAAAAGACGCGCGACCCGTCGGAGAAGCAGGTAGAGGTCCCAAACGATCTTGCGCGTAAATTACACCAGCATCCAGAAGTGCTTGCGCCTTTGGCAGTGAAGGATCATTTGATTCCCCATCGATCAAGATACCACCTGCGGTGATAGACGGGAGACGGGTGATTTGGGTGGAGTTGTCGGGCGACATTCGCTGGGACCCCAATGAGCTCGCGGTAGACAGTGTAGAGAGCGCATTGGTGAGCGTGGGCGGCGGGCCAACATGCTCATAGGTGCCTGAAGAAGTAGATGATCGTGATACCGAAGGCACATGCGGACTGGGTACGGGCAGCGGAAGGATGATTCGACTTCCAGGTCCTCCAGAAGACATGCTCGATTCGAGCCGAGGCGGAGCAAGAGTATACTCGGTGTCATTTGTTTCTGAGCCGTTTGAATTATCCTGGTCCAAAAAATTCAGCATGTACAAACACTCAGATAAACCAGGCAGGACACTTACGTTGTCACGAGCGTCGTCGATCAAAGCCCTCACTTCGGAAGAAACCATGGGCATGATATCGTTGAGGAGATTCTCATACCGTGCAAGACGACGGCTCGTCGCCGTGAGATCTTCTGCTGTCCTGGAAAGAACATTAGCTGCATACCGAAGTTGGCCAAACATCAGCCGCTTACTTCCGCTTCCTCCAGCCTTTGCCGTAGCCGTAATAACACGTAGTGCCGGTGTGAAGACATCTGCGACAAGCCGGACGAGAACCGTCGCATTTCGTCTTGCGCTCGCGGCAAGGTTCACAGGCATGGCTGGTGCGCGCCCTTTCAGGTTTGTCCCATGTTGCGTTGGCCGACCGCGAAATCGGCATCGACCCAGCGGCAGCCGTGGGTGTAGCGTGGTTGCTGTTATTGCCAGCACCTGTGGGCGTCGTGTCTGTTGGAGATAGACTGGCCCTTGTATTGCCTGTCGGCATGTCGAGGGATATTGTGAATTCACCGTCCCTCCCGCTAGATAGACATACAGAGAGATGCACCAGTTGTGCCGGGTGCCCTGTAGTGGAGAAAAAGGGAATATGTATGAAACACCACAGGATGATTTAAACACGAGGAGGAAAGCAAGAGCACAGACTTGGCAAATGAGATCTCGGAAAGAGGCGAAGTGGGAGCCAGCCGATAGATGTATCGAAAGACCGGGACGAACAGATGGAAAGTTTTTTTGTTGGTCGGGGTTTGGGGACGATCGGTCGATCTCGTATCGTGTGGCAGCGTTTCGGATGAGATGTGGAGCTTTTCAAAAGGGCCGTGACAGAGACAGGTAGCAGGGTGGAATGACGGGGAAGCAAGGTGTGGTAGCGCACGGTAACAGTGGCCGTTCGGCAAGCCGCGAAGTTTGGGGAAAGGATCAGGAGATTTAGAAGTGCGACGCTATTGGGTGGCGGCGAGAAAGAATGGATAGTGATATGAGAGAGAGAGAAATAGTGGCAAAGGTTGTATGGAGTAATATTAGGGTAGTAGAAGGCGTAAAAGGCAGAACCGACCGTCATCTTGCTTGCTTGTGTTTTCTGCTTATTGGATCCCTCCCCAGGGGCGCCAACTCATGAAGAAAAGGGCTTAGTTAACTTAGCAGAGTCTTCGAAGACGAAGAAAGCTGTCATAGTGGCCTGAGAGATAACAGAGATCCGTCCACACACCGGGGTGTAATGTCTTTGGGACTGCAGGAGCGACCATCCGGCGAATGAAAGGCCAGAAGGGGCGATGAGATCGGGCTTTGGTCGAAGGAAGCCATGACGGGCAAGGTAAGGTCAGGAACAAATTCGCCTCGAGAGGAAAAAATGGTATACGAGCCAGTGGAGCTACAAGACGGCAAGAAGCGAAAACTGTTGATCAAACAGGGCAGGGTATCAGGAAAATAATTGCGACAGCGACACTCGGCCACGGATATAACACGGGAGTGGAAAGTCAGGATTGCGGAGATGGCGGACGAGTGAATCTTGCCGCCCACTGCTAAGGTCCAGAGGAGCCGTCTGTCCCTCGTGTTATCAGCTGCAGGTGCATCATCTGATAAGAGCAAAGAGGGTGAGTCTAGAAACGCTTCAAGGGGAGCGAAGTAATGAATGACTGCGTTGCTTTATGCGAAGACGATGAAGGAGTACTGCCAATAGCTGGACAAGGACTGTGGTCTGGCGAGAGATGGAAATCTGCTGAAGAGATCAAGTACCTACCTAGGTAGACATACAGTTACAGTATGACTTTTCATAGACAACAAGTCCTTCCTTGATCGTGGACAGTAAATGCTTCCAAGTTAATAACAAGGCCCAGGCTCTAGGTACCTAAAGTATACCTGGTATGCCACGCGATAATCAGTGATAATCAAGCCGACACAGGTACGGATAGTCTAGCCGAAACTTGCTTTTTCTTGCTGGAAATAAATTCCATGCTAGGTGTCACTGTCCTGTTCTGATTCTTACCACTACAACTGCTGATCCTGATATCAGACTTTCTCTTTTTTCTAGGCGTGCCCCAGTCACCATCTTTGTCTCGGAGTTGTATATCCCTGTCCAAGCCATGCTCCGTCCAAAGAGCCAAATGATGGTCCACTTCACTCCGTGCTTTGCTCAAGTATAGGTGCCCAGCAGACCTACGAGTCCTCCGAGTAGTTTCTTCTCGTCTGTGGAAACTGCCGCACTCAGCCGCACACCCTGCAGTATGCCCCATACACAGTACACCATCAAGCGGTCACTATCCACGTAGCCAGGTCTCATTGTCTCGATCATGACGACCAGCCAAGTCATTCTCAGTGTTTGGAAACTCTCTCTCCGAAGGCCCTATAGGTGCGTTGTTCTACTACCACTCTTTTCTCTACATCCAATTTCAAACGGCAACACCGACACCCCCAGGTTCGTAACGTATCAGCAATAAACACCCATCTCGCATGCCAGATCCAGCCTGTCTATTACTATTAGTCGCGCTCGTACGGTACCTCGTTTCTTTAATCTATCAACTAACGTGACGTCGTCAATCCTAAAATCGTTCATGTGGCCATTCGGATGGCACCTCATTCTAAAACGTTCCAAGCCCTCCTGAGTGAGCAAAGATGCCGCTCATGCTCCTCATTTCCCAGACCATCGCCCCAATCCATTACTCCAATCCTGCTCGAACAAAGCCCTGGACTCAGTTTGGAAATTTGCATGCACTGGCAGTTGTTGCACCGTCCCCATAAAAAGAGCACATTCGTGTGCACTTGCACCCCGCTGACCCTGACTCGGGTGGGCCCCGGATACATTGACCACCAACATCCTCTCGTCTAGTGTCGCCGTTTCACGCTGCTGCTCTTTCGTACCGGTTCCACCCCTTGCATCGATCGTAGACCCGCTCGGTCCATACTCACGCGTGGTCCACGGCCACGGAGAGGCAAGTCCCACTCTTGTATCTGCTTCTGCAGATCAGGGTCGCTCTCATCGCCGATAAACGTCCAGCTCTCCTCAATATCGCCCTCATCAACGGGAGTCGTCGCATTAGCCGCGACAGATTCAATAGCCGCCCGTGCTTTGACCAGTGACTTGGCATACTCAAAGTCCCGATAAATGGCTTGGATTGCAGTCTGCACTCCATTCTCCTAGACTATGAGTTAGCTCCGGATGCGCCTGACAATGTGAAAGCCACTTCAGAACTTACCTGTCGGATTTGTTCTCCAAGTAGCCGGGCCTTGACAATCATTCGTTCCGAGTGGGTCGCTTCCCACAGCGCTCGCGAGAACAAGCTCACGTTGACCTTCTTCAGACAAATGCCGACCCCTAAATCTTCCACCCGTGACCCAAAAAAGAATTGATCACCAAAGAATGGTTTGATCACCGTGGGTACGCCTGCTCGCAAACTTGCGCCCGTGGTGCCTGCGCCGCCATGATGGACAGCAGCGTCAATTTGCGTAAATAACCAGTCGTGCGGGGCAGATTTGATCTGGAGGATATCTGCCGGTAGAGGCACCTCCGTCTTCAGAGCCGCAGGGTCTCCCAGCCGATCGCTCCAGCCTTTGGACAAGATGCACCGGACACCGGCTTTGAGCACCGAATCCACAACGGTCTTGGTGAGGGCTGCAGGGTCGGACACCACAATGGACCCAAAGCCGATGTAGACCAGCTTCTTGCCGTCGTCACGTGTGTTTCGAATGAAGGCCGTCAGTTCTGGAGGCGGCGTCCAATCCTGCGCCTCGTTGAGAAACCAATATCCGGTCACTCTCACCCAATCACTGTAGTCCAACGGCGGTACAACCACATGAGGCGAAAAGTTGTACAGGAATGGCACCTTGTTGGGTTGCATCTTGTCCAAGTTGGTGCTGCGCAGCCCCAACTCCTTCTTGCGCCACCGATTGACCTGCCCGGATATGGCTTTCCAAAACACATTGTCAAACATGACATATGAGTAGTAATTGTAAGCGCCTCCTATCTTGTGCTCGGGCACCGCGAACGCATGAGGATACGCCCGGGTCCGGGTCCATGGCATGGTGAAAGCCCGGAAATAGGGTATCTTGAGCGCTTCCGCAATGTGGATGCCAGCCATCGCACTGGGCGACTCAATCAAAAGGTCACTATCTTGACATGCCTGCCACGCTGAACTGAGAAGTTCGTCGATCCAGGAGCGAAACTTCGCCGATGCTTCTCTCAGGAAAGAATAGGTGAACATGCCATTTTCGACACATATTCTCATCAATTCTGCTGGATCACCCTCGACAGGTCGAAATTCGATTCCGTGCTTCTCGACCCAAGGACCAAACTCTGCATGAGTGGCAATCCTAGGTTTGTGGCCCTCCGCCAGGAGGCCCTTACACAGTGCAATGTACGGTTGCACATCTCCCCTGGAGCCAATCGTCAGACATGTAATGCGCAAGGATGCCAATGGCTTAAAGTTGATGATGGATGCCCGAGGGTTGTCGAAGAGTACAGATGCATGTTGATGGCTGTAAACTGCTTCAGCTGTGTCCGGCAACACGAGCTGATGATCCCCAGTCGAATCTTTGCGCGCTTCCTGCAGCAGGCGGTGCTCTTCTTTGGCAATCTCGGCCTCATCCTGGTCCTGCCTGGCTAAGATGCCTGATTCCGTCATGTAGCGTACAGTTTCAAGGCTGTGTAATAGTGTCACGGTACAGTCGTCGCGGTGTTCGCTGGAGCTGAACTCGAAAAAGAGCTCTTCGTGCCCTCGAATGACCAGTACCAGGCCATGATATCCAAAGCGAAATCCTTTTTCCTTGTCCACATTTTCAATGTCCTTTAACGGGAGGACGAGCTTAGTGCGAGTCCCCGGGAGTAGGCTTCGGAAGCAAAACTTGCGGTTGCTGATATAAATCTTGCCGTATAGGGGAAGTACACGGTGAAGGAAGCCGAAGTAAGTCGCCTGCAGTTTCTCGGTAGGCGGAAGAGCAAAGTGAGCACGAAATCGATCCCCATGCCCAACATTTGCCTCTTCATCTTCTGGGTCAATACCCTTGTCATCCGGGACCACACCTTCGTTTTCACCATAATGCTTCCGGTCGCCAGCCCACATGCCCGAGACTTTCTCCAGGTACGACATGGACTCCGTCGCCAGTAGCTTTTTCATGGAGACCGAGCGACTTTTGAGGTAGTCGGCAAACGCACCTGCACGTTGGAGAGGATAAGAGCCTGCTTTGACCAGGTCCTGCAGTGTCGGCGAAGTACCTGTACGCAACATACCTTCCGCGTGTGCACCGATTCTGCCCTCTCGCGGAGACCGTCCAAATGTGTCAGCTGCCTCTCTTATCGGAATAGGCGACATTACCTCCTTGGGTGGAGAATTGGATGGCATAGTCGGTCCTTCTGACGATCTCCGGGTAGGTTCAGTTGACATGGAAGCCAAAGTCTCCATACGTTGGACCGCTGGGGGATGAAAGACGTCGCTCCCGGTCAGTATCTGACTGGCAGACATCTGCGCTTCCGCTCTAGGCGATAATGGCGCGTTGGATGAGTCCGTTTCTTTGTCGATAGATTGAATGTAAGAATCCTCCGACTCAATGCGCCGTGTAAGGGGAGATTGTCGTCTAGATGTATTGACTTCCAGTCGACTTGTGCTCCCACTTCTGCGTCCGCGATCAAAGCTAGCACGACCATAGAAGTGCGGAGAGTCGACGCTCAAACGAGATGGACTGTTGCCACGTTGAAATTCTCCGCTCATCCTTGGAGACAGTCTGCCGCCCTCTTCAGGGGAAAATGGCAACAGCGTCGCTCTGACACTATCTTTGAGGGATGGGCTCGATTGCCCTCTTGGACTACCAGGCGTGACGTCTGATGTTTGTCGATATAAAGCAGGCCTGGCTCTAGGGCTGCGTAGGGTGACGTCTTTTTGTGTAGGAGACAAAAAGTCTTCAGATGTTCTTCTACCAGGACCTTCTGCAAGAAGGCTCCCAAGTACCTGAAGCGCATCTTGGCCGAAACTGAAAAAGGTGAAGAAATACTGTAGCAGGATTAGGCAAGGAAGCAGATGGGCACAAGGATTGGTGGCAGGTACATACCTCGTCAATGGCGTAGGAATCTTCGCTTTCTATGACTCTGATTTTCACTGTCTCAGCGAACTCCACTACGGGGCTCTCTTCAAAGTCAATGATGTTTTCCACGGGAAGCGATATCTTCACGCTATCTCCGTCATTATGAGAGCGGAAGATCGTCTTCTGCAGGGCTTGCACCCATTCTCTAGCGCTCGAACCAGTGTCCGCACGAAGGTGGTATGTACGGTGGTCGATCGTCAAAGAGAAATCCCTGCACTCTTTGCTTTTGTTCTTGTCGGTCAAGAAAGCCGCAGATATGCCGTATCTAAGGTCGATATTTCCAGAAGGGAAATAAAGGTTGGCAGGGTCCGTATAGTACGAAAGGACATCGCCGTTGAGCGAAAACCAATATCTCTTAAATTTGGAGGTTGTCCGACCCTTCTTGCAAAGGTACCCAGTTTTGCCGACCGTGTGCGATTTCTTAGGCAGGTATGCGTAAAAACAAATGTGCTGTTTGGTGATGTAGAGATATCCTTGCAGGAGTACACTCTGCAATAGCCAACATGGGTACTCAGCCACAACCTTTTCTGGCTGCTCGAAGCCGAAGATTTCCATAAGACGCGTAGCAAGAAGTGTTTGTGGTGTCGAGTCACCCCTGCTTCTTTGGGCCTGGACTTCTGGGGATGCTGTCAGTGTGAGTGCCTCCTCATTCTCCTTGAATTCAGCCTCCGCTGTGACGAGCCTGCTCAGCACCGGTGCATCTCGTGGATTGCTTGAAGATACTGAGGATTCATCACTCTCCGGGCTCGGGTCGATTCGTGCAGCTGGATTCTTTCCCTTTGGCTTGATTGCCCGCGCAGATAGGCGTGGTAGGGATTGTACTAGCCGATGTCCTGAAAGCTGCTTGCTTTTCTTGTCAACAGCTGTCTCTTTGTCATGTATCGCTACAGTTTGATTGGTATCTTCATTAGTTGTGGTTGGGCCGCCGGGCTTGGATATACCCTCGAACTGTGTGGACGTCTCTTCGGCGATCTCTTCCTCACTGTCGCTAGACTCATCGAATCTAGCATTGAAGTCCGTCCGCGACCCAGCGGCTGCTATCATGGAGAATATAGATTGATTCATGTATTGTGCTGGGGCGTTTCGACCTCTGGAAGGGGCGGTCACATCGTCTTGGGCGTCTGCTCCTAGACTGAGGCGAGCAGGCATATGCGAGGAGGGCAGTCGAACGAGTCTGGGATTCGGCTTCTGGAGTTTGCGACTCCCGCTTCGTTTAGAGGGGGTATCGTGGCTCGCCATTGTTTGATGGAATTGTGGAAACTGCAGCTCAAATGCGGTGTGTTTGCACGTCTCGGCGCTCCCAACGATTCACTGTCATGAAGGATCGCGCGACATTTGGTTGGCTTTTAGGCAGTATCTGTCCTGTCCGGAACTCGCGAGGTCATAGGATCAGCGTCTTTGGCTCACCTGACAGGAGCCCTGTGTTGAAGAGAAAGAGGTGCCCGGAATCCAACAAGATAGACGAGTGCTGACCCGGACATTATGACCCGCACAACGTTTGTATGATAGACAAAAGCCGAGACCGGTTATGGTCGTCAATTAGGACCTATCCCTATGCCAGGACAAGGTATAACAAGTGTATGTCGGCACCCTTGAGATGCATCGTGACTGGACTCGAATAGCGCGGAAGCCTCACTATTTACAGGCTGGGGGGGCATGTGGAACAGCACGAATGCGTAAAGTTAGGCAGCATAGCACAACAGGCAGGTCTAGCGAGTGTCACCTGCGTGTTTTTCGCATGCTTCTTCATTCTACAAAAGCCCAGCAGGCCCTTATATCTGCCGAGTAGATATCTTTATGAGCAAGCTGTGGATAGAAGCTGTCCGTGAATGTTTGCGCCAGTTGCCCGGCGATCTATTCTTTCCTTTGAATGACTTTTGCTTGTCTTTATCTCCGACATTGTTCCCTAGCGTTAGCCCAGACCATCGCATACTCTCAAGCCTTGGCATTGTTCCGGGCACTGGCTTCTGCGGTCAGCTTCAGTGCATCAGGACTATCTTCTTTGGGCATATGAAGCTCAACCAGCTGCAGGTAAGGTGCGCTGGAAAAGTTCTTGTCTTCGAACAAGGCAGACACCTCCTGCTTCGTCTTCACTTGATACGTCTTATATGTGCCTTCCTTTGCACCGAATGCGGCGGGCAGGGCTTGGTAATTCCAGTTCTGAATGTCGTTGTATCCCGCTTTCATACCGTGGATGAACCGTTCAATGGTATAGCCATCATTGCAGACGATGAAGAGGATCGGATTGAGCTGGTGCCGAATCATCGTGCTTAGCTCCTGAGCTGTGAGTTGGAAGGAACCGTCGCCTGTGAAGAGGATGGTGCGACGCTTGCCTCCAGTTTCCTTTGCTGCGAGTGCTACGCCTTGACATGAACCAGTAGCATAACCGATGCTTCCCCACAAAACTTGGCTGATATTCGTGACGTCCTTGGGAAAGCGAGTATCGAAGATACCATAGCTTGAGGTTCCAGTTTCTGTGAGAACAATGTCGCCTTCTTGGAGCCATTGACCCATTTTGGGCCAGAACCATCTATGTGTGATGGTCGGGTCGCTCGAATCCTCACTGGCGGGTATCTTGTTTTCAGGCGCGTCCGGCCCTGGCTGTACGTTAAGTTTCGGCAGGTTATCGATGACTTTGCGCAGGACACCCTTCATGCCCACGCCTGGGTATTCGGAGAAGCGAACCCGTGTATATGTGCTGTGGAAGTCGATTGTCTGCAGTTGTGATGTTCTGATGGAGAATCCAGCTGTGTTGAAATCGGACTTGACCTGGCCTATGGTCAGGACCAGATCAGCACCTTCAACACGTTCGCGAACGCCCGGATTGGAGCCGTCTCCTGCATATATTCCACCAAAGTTAGGCAAAGTCTCATCGACAGCACCTTTTCCCATAGGGGCCACAAAGACTGGCAGACCAGACTTTTCAATCAATTCGTGGGTCTCGGGCAGAACGCGGTGCCGAATGGCGCAGCTGTCGACCAGGATGACTGGGTTTTTGGCTGCCGTGAGATACTTTAAAACGACGTCGACGACATAATCTTCCCTCTCTGGGTCGTTTTTGTGAGGGCTGAGGTCGATTTTGGTCTTGAGCCGCTCTCCCTCGACCTTCTTCTTTACCATGTCAGTTGGAAGGGTGATGTAGACCGGCCTACTTTGGAGGTAGCATTCAGCCAATGCATGATCGATCTGAGACGGAATGTCTCTAGGATCCTTCAGTTTAGCCACGTCGACCGCGATGTTCGCTGCCATGTCTGCAAACACATTAAAGTTGCCGTTGCCAAGTGTATGGTGCAGGAGCATTCCATTCGCCTGCGACAGGGTGCTTGGAGTGCCGACAATGTGAACAACCGGGACATATTCTGCGAAACTATGACCAGTTAGCTAGACCATGCGGTGCACAACTAGATCACGAATGCCACTTACGATCCTGCGATTGCATTAGGAAGCGACAACTCCCCAACACCAAAAGTGGTGATGACAGCCGATATGCCCTTGATCCGAGCATATCCATCCGCAGCATAGCCTGCATTGAGCTCGTTACAATTGCCAACCCATTTGAGTCCGCAACCTTCGAGATAGTCAAGGGCGACTAGGTTGAAATCACCAGGAACTCCATGGACGGAATCAATGCCCATTTGCTTGAGACGGGTAAAGAGATAAGTGGCGGCATCCACAGGATCCCGGAGATCGGAGGTAATATCAGTGGTAGACATGTTAGCTGGTTGATGGGTTGATTGACACGACTACATGAAAAGAGCTCGCCTGATGGAAGAACAGCTCATTACATATATACACGTGAAGAAACGTCATCAGATGCAGCGGGCCAGCCGGCAGCGACTGTGACCTGAGAGACACAACGCAAGTCCCATAACAGCATATGCGATCCAGGTTGAAGCTCACGGCACGAAAAGTCATTGGGCCATAGAATGCAGGTGCCGCAGAAATGTGGTCTGATGGTGGCGCCCGGAACTCTCGAGGCGATACAGTAGCAAATACCACGCGCATCGCATCTGCTGTAGCAAGAACACGAGAGATCAACAAATTGCTCATGTAAGCACAAACGACTGGATAAGAAGTTGGAGTGATACAGTATTGTGGTGTAAAACAGTTAATTAGCCATCGTTATCTTGGATCTTGCCTTTTCCTTCAATGTCGCAGAGTATTGGTGCTTTCTTACTGCTCGGTGCAGCAATGTAGGCCTAAACTTAATGGAGTCTGGGGCATGAGGCCCTTGCAGAGGCAGTTCTATTATTGTCACTATTCTTATCTTATCGATGTTTGTTGGGTTTCCATCCTTCGACTCCTCGCTTCGCGCTTATGTTTCGTCCCTATTGGAGGCATGGCAGACAACAGCCGAAGTCCAGCCATTGAGCATAGGCCGCCAGACACACACTCTCGGACGCTTACCCTACATGCGTTCGAAGCCTGAACAGCTTCAACGATCCTGCTCATAGTGTACGGCTCATTGGACATCTCTGCTTCTGTGTGAGTCTCGGTGAGGTGGTTTGGATCCCTTGTCTCGTGTCTTTTGCGGTCTTGCGATCACCTGCGACTTGTCCTACCCTTGATCAACGACATTCCGCAGTCCACCGACAGCACATGCAACGGGCGAGCACACTCTTCGTGTCGTGAGCAGAGCTGTGCTATGAACCTCTGGCGATTTACTTTTCTTTGATGTCGTTGACCCAGCGTCCACAATATCACGCATCCACCTGCGCCGATCCATCGAGCCTCTCCGTCCGAATCTGAAAGACCTTGAGCATAGGAACAAGCAATGTCGGTGAAAAAGGCTACGCTGTTATAGCACGTTTCGCATTTGCCGCAAATACAGGCATTGTGTGTCCGGAGGCCGGCTGGACTTGAACAACAACGCGGCGGACCATGGTCTCAAACAGCCAGATCATGGATAATCAGCGACAACAATATATCCCTGGACCACCGCCACCTCCCGGCCAGGGCGTCATGAACCATCTTCCACCACCTCCTCCTCGACCGCATCCACAATCTACCCTACCTCCTCCCCCGCCTGGACCACATCCTTCGGCGATGCCGTTAGGGACGGTCTATGGAATACCGGGGGCGGGATGGCAACAGCCATGGGGAAGATCTGGAATGGGACAACACATACCCCCGCCGCCACCAATGTCGCAGAATCAGAACCTATCTTATGGCATGCGGCAGCCTTCTCATCTGAATATCCCGCCTCCGCCGCCAACACAGAACGACAAGCCCATTCTCTCCGCAACCTTTATTCCCACTGGCGACTCGTTTGGTCCTGGAGTAGGCATTCCACCACTCGACGATTTCTCATCTTTCTCAGGATATGACATGCAACTGCCCCCAAACGAACCACTTCTTTCGAGATCCGAGCAGAAATTCTCCGACAGCGCGACTGCATCGCATAGTTATTCCTACCCAAATCCAAATCAGCCGAATCCTGATATCTCGAACAGAGAGATCCGCGCTTCCTCCGCTTCCTCTAGCAGGCCTTCTTTTCCACTCCCTCTCCGCGACGTCAATGGAAATATCTCCCCAGGACCTCCTACGGCTACATTGCACAGCTCTCAGAATACCAGTGATCACAACCGGCAGAGGGCCTACAGCGCTGCCATCGCTACGGGCGGGGCAAGTGAATTGTCATTGCAATGGCCGTTGGAAAGAGTCCTTGTGTGGCTTGCAGCAAACGGGTTTTCGAAGGACTGGCAAGAAACCTTTCGTCTGCTCAAGCTACAAGGTTCAGACTTCTTGGATCTTGGCCGTGGGCCCAACGGTCGCGGCAATCTGGGCATGATGCACCAAACGATATATCCACAGCTCGCCAAAGTCTGTTCCAATAGCAACACCGGCTGGGATCAAGGTCGCGAGCGTGAGGAGGGCAAGCGGTTGCGTAAGCTCATTTCCAGGTTGGTAGAGCAGGGCGGAGAAGGGCCGGCCAGTGCTGGAATGGGCCATCGGAGACGTGAATCGGGCATCATGACAAGTGCTTCTACAGAGGGTACACTGGAGAACTCGCCTCATTTACACCGAGCAGAATTCAGCAGCACGCCTGCGACTGCTGGGCCAGAGGGCAGTCCAGGAAAACAGATGCCAGCCCAATTTCCTCCCGGGTTAGGACCACGGAACTCGCAAGGTCGGAGCAGTACGATGCCCATCTTCCCCAAGCACAACAGTAATTCTTCAACTCCGAGCGATGGCAAGCCTCCGGAGAGCCTCCTTGGTGCTAGTCGTGCGGACTACACAAGAGGCGTTTTCGCTGGCATCAACAACCGAGGTCGACACAGTCCCAATCTCTCTGGAGATGGTTCCGCTGGTCTTCTGCCAAAAGGCTTTGAGGTGTCTCCCAACGCCAGCCCAGGTCTTGGTAGCGCGGTACCTGTCTCAGCTACCAGTGTGTCTTCACAAGGGTATCGGCCTGAGCACAGCAAAAGCAACAGCACTGATTCAATGCAAAAAATAGCAGGCCAGTCGCGACCCGGTACCAACGCACCAGGTCAAGCGGAGCCGGGCAGAAGTGGGCCTGGTAATACTGATGCTGCCACCTCCGGACGTTTCTACGAGAGCCGACGTGACGCGCAAGAAGTTACTAGACCTTCACCGCTCGAGGCGCACCGGACATGGAGCAATGAGTATGCTCCTGGGCCCGGTGGAAAAGACCAGAGCAAAGGATTTCTGAGTAAGTTCATGAGGAAACGACATGAACATAGCCAACCTCCTCCGGAAGACCATGCGCTAGAATCCCCAACAAGCCCAGGCGGATTTCGCCTCTTTGCGAAGCCAAATGGCAATGGAAGCGACTCGGCACTGTACCAGCGTCCGGGCTCTGCAAGTATTGGCAGTGAGGAGGAGAGGATGCCATATCCTATGCGCCGGGCCAATAGCGTCTCTCGAAGGTTCATCTTTGTCACCCCCGACAGCTGGAATTACAGGCTCGTCGATGTCACAGAAGTAGAAACAGCTGTTGCGCTGCGCAGTCTTATCTGTATTGAACTGGGTATCCCGGATGCCGAATATGCACAAATATACATGACCGAACCTGGGCAGACAGACCACGAAAACCCGCTTCCGGACAACCTGCTGGTAGCTGCTCGTGGCCGTGCAGACAATTCAGGGACTTTGAAACTGTTTGTGCAGAGCCCGACCCTGTCAGCTGTTACAGGGCCAAGCTCGTCCGGATTGGGAGTGTCATTCAGCCAGAGGTCACAGAATGACACCGCCTCACGAAGCGCACCTATGATCAAATCCAACTCAGCTGGTGGCCTCAACCGAAATGGGTACCCTCAGAATTCAAGTCCTGTGCTAGAATCTCCCCACACAGATGCAGATCTGCTGCAAAAACGAGCGGAGGAATACCGACAGCAGACTGACGCGAAGCACAAGGCATATCTGGAGGCCCGACGGGTACAGAAAGACCAAAATTCGACATACAGTGGTAGTGGTATTCGTGGGAGCACTGTGATAGACTTCGACACCCCACGACTCTCGCCGTTCGAGGAGAAGAAAGCTGAGCCGCTTATACCTGTGCGGCGGCCTCCTACAGCACCATCGGAATCCACAACATTGACAAAGGTCAACTCCTTAAGAGCCAGGAATTCCGGAACTAGATCTTCCCTGGATGCCTTGGCTCGTATTTCCGACCCTATTGCTGAAGAGGATGCCCAACGGATCAGGAATAAATCCAGCTCTTCTGCAATCGCTGCCGGTGGGATCGGCGCCGCGCTAGCAAATGTTGGCAAAATGGCAGGCGCGCCAGCTACTCGTGGTAGTCAGGGAGTGCCGCAAAGCATGAGCAGAACTAGGCAAGAATCAGATTCTGGTCGAGGGGAAATGCATCCAGGTAAGTTGTCGCGGGGACCCCTAGTCTCAAACTCCCCCCCCCCCAATATACACGATCAATATCGCTGACTATCATGAAGGCTATGATGGATTTCAATCCAGCCGAGGACGTACCGCCACATTTGACGGTACGCACCGAGTCCGGGCTTCTCCAGATATAAGTCCTTCAGATGACGCACCTCGGCCGGGTCTGCAGTCGAGAAAGTCATATGGGCCGGACCTGGAGTTCAAAGAGACCAACGTATCTTTTGCTCCATCGCCCAACCCTATGCAACAGGATGAATCCGGTGATGACGACTCTGACGACGGCTTGTTTGCGATTCCTTTGACTAGCAAGTCGTTACCAAAGAGTGATGCTCAGGCAGTTGCGAATAAGGACCAGCGGCCAGCCCTGACTGTTGACACTGACCAGCACACCGGGAAAAATGTACGATTTAAGTCTCCGGGCTCATCTGGTGGTAATCAGATGAGCCAACCTGGTGCAGACGACAGCGCCACAGCTAGCGGCGACGGGTTTGAGCGTAGCATGTCCGACGGCAGCTTCAGCGGCTCAGCACAATCACCAGATGACAGGATGGGCCGAAGAGATTCGTTTATTAGTGATATTTGGGCCAATCGTCCAGCAATCGAGAATGTCGTCCATCATCTCGACGAATTCTTTCCTGGTGTCGATCTCGACAAACCTTATCTTGAGGAAAAAGGTGATAACAGCTCTCCGCTGAAATCTGCAGAGCAGAATCCACTCGAGAAATCCCAGCCTGCAAGCACCATTCATGGCACAACAGGCTTAGACCTGGAGTTCAATCGCAAGAGCGAATCCGATACTCTTGGATCTGATGAATCCACACTCAAGGCTCGAGACCGAGAAAGAGTGGCCACCGTCGCCCAGCGACAAGTTGGAAAAGCCTCAGGTGGTATTACACGCATGAAATCAATTCGTGAAGTGGCCCAAAAGCGTAACGACATCAAAAGAGGACCGTCGGTGGCCGTGAGAGTAGAGCAAGCCAATCCAAGCGGGATCGTGCGACGAAAGAGCACAAAAATGTTCGGAGCAAATATCGTCCAGATCAAGCCGAAGCCAGGCAACCGATTGTCGACATTGGACCCAATACCGCAGGAAGAAGTGCCTTCCGAAGATATGCCAAAGCGACAGGCAACCTTCAAGATCATTCGTGGTCAACTCATTGGAAAGGGTACCTATGGTCGTGTCTATCTCGGCATGAACGCAACAACTGGTGAGTTCCTGGCGGTCAAACAGGTCGAAGTCAACCAGAAAGCGGCAGGGCATGACAAGGATCGCATCAAAGAAATGGTCGCTGCTCTGGATCAGGAGATTGACACTATGAAAGATCTTGAACATCCGAACATTGTGCAATATCTCGGTTTCGAGCGCAAAGAATTCGCAGTCAGCATTTATCTCGAATATATTCCTGGTGGTTCTGTGGGCAGCTGTCTACGCAAACATGGGAAGTTCGAAGAATCCGTGGTCCGCTCACTCACACGACAAACTCTCGAAGGTCTAGCATATCTCCACCGCGAAGGCATTCTTCACCGGGATCTGAAAGCCGACAACATTTTGCTCGACCTTGATGGGACATGCAAGATTTCAGATTTCGGTATCTCGAAAAAATCCGACAACATCTATGGCAACGACGTCACCAACAGCATGCAAGGATCCGTCTTCTGGATGGCCCCTGAAGTTGTGCGATCTCAAGGACAGGGATACAGTGCTAAAGTCGACATTTGGTCACTTGGCTGTGTGGTCCTAGAGATGTTTGCTGGGAAAAGACCTTGGAGTCGAGAAGAAGCCATCGGAGCCATTTTCAAGCTGGGCAGTCTGAGTCAGGCACCTCCAATTCCAGAAGACGTACAATCAACTGCCACGGTGGACGGTCTAAACTTCATGTACGACTGTTTCCAAGTGTGAGTCTACCCACCCGGATGAACAATGTTCTTTCTCGAAGCTAACTTCCACATAGGAATCCAAACGACCGGCCCACTGCGCAAATATTGCTTCGACACTCTTCGTTCTGCATTCCGGATCCCTATTACAACTTCTACGACACCACACTGGCAGCCAAGCTGAGAAGTGCTGGAACTGCTCTAGCTGGGTAGGACATGACTCAAAGTGGTTTACCAACAATGCCGCAGTTGAGGGTGCCATCGAAGAAACACAGTACAGTAATCTACGAATTGATGATTGGCATGGCAGAGGATGTTGATGCTGTATTATATTACCATCTAACGTCATTCTGGGCATAGGGCAATTGAAAAGCGAGCGAGGGCGTTTTCAAGAGTCCAGAATCGCATCTTTTTTCTTTGGGAATTCCGCAATTTTGGCAACCACATTCTTCACCTTTGTTTACATACCTCACCTCTTGCCGCACCCATTGAGAGTGTTCTTTGTTTTATTGAGGCCCATCATAAACGATGTCATCCTCTCTTACAAGCCTAGACCGCCCTCAACCCTATTGTCTGCCTTATTCATTTGGGTGCTATTGTTGTCTAAATCATTTTGCTGCGAATTGAATTTGCTTCCTTCCGCGCATACCTGTTGAACTCTCTTCATTCTTCATCCCACGCATGTCCAAATTGCTAGAATATCAACGACGGACCTTTATCGACTAGGCTTCGACACAGCATCTCAAACAACACGGGTCAATCAGCAGAACATCACCATCAAAGATGTCAAACCGCGAGGTGAGTGCTCAACCGCCATATGTCCCTGTCAACAACTTCCCATGTAAGATTCGTGCTTACCCTATGGTATGCTGGATATAGGCGTGGGGGCAAGGCTTCAATCCAAAGCACCCATTCCCAAATATCCCAAGCCCAACGGGTTATGACGGCTCGAGCAACCCTCGTACTAACACGAGCAATTCCCAGTCTACCAAGAGCAACTCTCAGTCCATCAAGAGCAATGAAAGCAACCCTCAACCTCGATCCAATACCAATGGACCCTCCAGCGCTGGTAGCGGAGCGGGACGAGCTCGGACTCCAGCTCAGGCAGATGTTCCTGAAGCCAATGGCCATGCTCACAACCAAGTTCTTGAAAATGGCAATGGGTCAGTCCTTCTCGATAGCCACGGTCAAACAGTGCTCTCATACTGACTATGACGACCCTAGACAACAATCGGCGAACAGCGCGCGCGCACGCAAGCCCAAGCAAAAGCCAGCACCGATTCCGATCACACGCGAGCGTTCCACTCGTATTCGGCGAGCCCCAGAGCGCTACTCACCAGGCTTGTTCACGTCCCAGGCCAACGAGCTAGACAAGCAGACCCAGAAGAAGGCTGGAGCAGGCGCCAAGGGTAAGAAAGCACCGGCAAAAGCCAAAGCTTCGAGCACTGCCGGCGTCAAGAAAGCCACCGCCACGAAGAAAGCTGCAGCAGCGAAGAAGACCACCGCGAAGAAAGCCGCCACAGCCGCAACAACACCCAGGAAAAAGGCCGCAGCTGCGACCACAAAGACCAAGGCGCCAGCCAAGAAAGCCGCAGCGAAGAAAGCCACGCCAAAGAAGAAGGCTCCAGCTAAGAAGGCTGCACCAAAGAAGACTGCCGCAAAGAAGACACCAGCGAAGAAGGCTGCAGCGAAGAAGACGCCAGCAAAGAAGGCTGCGGCAAAGAAAACACCAGCCAAGAAAGCTGCTCCAGCCGCTGCACCCAAGAAGACTCCAGCGAAGAAGACTCCTGCAAAGGCCGCCGCTACACCTGGCACTAGGTCCAGCCCTAGATTGCACGCAGCCCCACCAGGAGAGGCCGGTGAAGATGGACTCTATCACAGCATGTTCTAAGACTTGAGGCGGGTTGGACTTGGTGTTGGTAGCCAATGGTAGTGCCAAGACGTTGCGAGGCTCGATCAGGCTGAGGTGAAAAGGAGGTGTGCCATTGGTGGCAAGGTGCTTGTCATTTCCATTCTTCATAACATCGTACTTCATAATATTTTCTCCTTCGACCTCCTCCTACCTGCACACCGTATAAGTGACACCGTCTGACCATTGTAGCTCCTCAGGTCCAAATCGATATTGATCCCTGTTGCCCATTCCGGAGTCCTTCGCGCACACCGACATAGCCCCTACTCTTTGATGGAGTGACGGTCATCAGCCCTACCGTATGATCCTATTAGCTTGAAGTCAGGGCACTCACTGTCGCGAACGTGCTGGACATTGGACTTGTATGGTCGATGTTCTCCATGTCAGACGGAGCCAATTGTGCCAATCATCACCATTGTGTCTGCTGGTCGCCGGTGACAGGTAGCAACAGCCTGCATCATCATGCAAGCCCCTTATGGGCTGCAAGGGTTACACAGACATGCAAGTCGAAGGGGTTCGTGGTGGTACTGGGGGGAAGAACAAGTTCGCGTGGACGTCCTGGTCACCACAGTGCTTCTTTACCATGAGATCCACCGAGCCCATCCAATGCTTTTATTTACGCTCTCAAATCAGCGACCGCAACCGTTCAGGAAATCAGAATCCGAACTTCGAGGTCACAAATCCAAGCGCTGCCTGCCTCTTCTGTTTCGCAACGAACTTGCTGACGTCGTCACTCCACGAGTTGCTCGCCTCGGCCGCTCGGTCCATGCTATCGCCCGCCAGACCAAGATTTTCCGTTCTCTCAGCCAACTGACGTTGCATATAAGCCCAGTACGTCTCTTCGCTGGCGTCTGGCTTGGGCGCTCTTCCGGTACGTGCCGCTTCTCTTTGCCGCTGGAACTCGGCTTCTTGAGCCGCCTGCATCTCCGCCATCATCCGTTTCGAAGGAGGTCGGGTAGGTCCACCTATCAGCACATCCATGTCTGAAGGCGTGATGTACTGCGTTCCAGCAATCCATTGAAGACTACTAATCGTCGGTCGCGGAGGAACAAGTTTTGTGGGATCGTATAATAGGTCGTTACTAGGTTGGAGACTCAAGCCAGCGCCAAAGACATTGACCATGGCGACTTCACTTGGGCCTGTCCATGCTAAGATGTCGCCGGTCGGGGTGACGATCGCATCAGCATATCGTTTCGTATCCAGAATGTGGTTAACGCGGGTACTTGCTATCTCTTTTAGTGCTGGGATGGAAAAGGCTCGAGCAGAACCATCTCCAAACAGCCCAACCAGAGCATAACCTCGCTCCTCAAACCGAGAAAACGAGGCTGAATCGCAGAAATAGCGGTCGAAAGTCTTGGAGGCGCCCTTGCCCGTGGCCGGCCGGAAAATATGAGCGGACGACACAGTAGCGACCAACACGACCCCATCGACTTTACGGCCGGACTGCAGCCCAGCCATCGCCTGACCTGTAGCAGCGGCGGGCGCGCCAGTCTGTGTGTCCATTGGAGAAATTGAGATAACGCGATCGTCTGATATTTGAGTCACGCCAGCAAATTGTGCTGAGTAGCGACCAGTCTGCGAAGGGAGGACCTTGAACGTGGCCACACGACCTCGAGATGTACCAACATACAACGCCAGTGAGGAATAATCTGTCAAGGTGTCAGAAAGGCGCTTTCAACATATTGGACCAACTCACCGTCACCCTCAAGCGTCATGATGCCGAATTCCATTGTCGTTGCATATTCAACGGACGGAGTCGATGGTGTGGAGCGGCGTTTTGTACTCTTCCCGTGTTTGCCGCTGGACAGATCGCTCAGTAGAGCAGAGTGGATGATTGCTGGACCACGAAGGTCGACCAGAGTCACTCCACCACCACTATAGGCCACAGCAACAAACCCAACATCGGAATGCTTCAGAGCCGTAACTGGGCCTTGTTGATCGTTGGTCATTGTTAGGGGTAAAAGCCCTTCCTTGAGACTGGGGTCTGCACGTCTGGTAATATCCGTCATCTTGCCTGGACCTTCATTCGGACCTGGGTCGGACGGCGCTTGTCCAACGTGTTGATTCCTGTTCAGCCTGAAAACCACCAGCTCTCCGGACACTAGACCAACGGACAATTCGCCCGTTGCGCCAGACATACTCATCTGGGCCACGTCTAATTGATCCCAGCGGCCAACGGCCTTGCCAAGGTCGACTTGTAGAACAGTAGGATTTTCTATAGTGTCACCATGCCCAGCATCCCAGACTCGAATCGTTCCATCAGCATGAGCTGCTTGGACAATGTTTCGGTTCTCGTGCCTCTTCAAAGGCTTCATCCCTGGAGCACCCCCAAGAAGTATGTTAGGACCATGTTGGCGTACTTCCCTCATGCCGAGCCATCTTGTTCGATCAACGTACGCAAGAGCAGTCTTCGTAATGAAAGGGTGTACAAATGACAGGGATATGTGTAGTTGGTTGGTTGGTGTGATGGGATGTCCCGAAGGGAAACTGAGGGTGAGTAATTCGCCAGATCCAAGTACAGTCAGAATTGCAATGGGATCGTGGGTGCCAGCGAAATGAGGCGATGTGCGAGGAATGGGGAGGAATGTGGTGACATGAGCGTTGGGTGGTGTTGGGAGGATGTGGATTCGTTTTGGGTTTCTGAAGTGACCACCCAGATAGTCCCACGATGATGTTTGGTAATTCGGCGTCATTCCCAGCTCCATGAAAGTCAGGCCCTTAGATGGACTTGTGGTGGAAGAACCTCCAGCCAGAAGTAACCCAGTATCATCTGCGTTCTCTTTGGAACACCACGCGATATTGAAGTAAGGCTCTTTGACCGAGGCCGCTCCTGGACCAGTCCGAGATGACCCACGTCCTGGCACATTGACGTCTGTCTCCTCAATTGTTCTGGCGAGGACGACTCTGCCGTCTCGGGGGTCCCAAAAAACCAAGCTTGAATCTTCATGAGCGGTCAAGATAAATGTCCCTGTAGGGTGCCAGATGGCGTGCGTGAGCCTGGGCCGCCTCGTTTCGTTGATACCAGCCGGGTCTCCGTCACCACCTGGAGCACCTCTGGGTACCTCATACTGGAAGAACTTAAGGGCCATATTCTGTTTGAAAGAGTATATGACGGCTCCTTCGGAATACCCAATGAGTACTGTTCCGATGTCTTTAGGGTGAAACTGCATGGACACTATGGGCAGGATTCGTGCTCGGGGATTGCGCTCGCGCCAGAGATTGGGGATCTTGAAGGGTGTTAAGGCTTCCCGGTCGAGATCATATGCCACAATATCACCTAGCATGCAAGTGTCAGCCATAGCCCGTATCGATGCAGTGTTCGTTATGGTTTTACCCACCATTTTGTAGCCCAGAAAGGCAGTAGTCGAGATTGGGATCCGTGAGAATAGCCGTAACGTGGCCGGGAGGGGCGTAGTTGGCCAGCATGTGTTTGCTCTCCAGACTGAAGACGCTGATGTCGTTCTTGCTATCTAGTACCATCAACTTGTCTGCGCAAAACTGGATGGTTCGAATGGAGGACCGTCGTGGTGGGGTGAAGGTTACGCAGACTCGCTTCTGACCATAGACTGTGACAATGCCAGGACCGAACTGGGACTCGTTGGTACCAACGGCGAGAAGGGACTGGACTGGATCATAGGCGAGTGCCGAGATCTGTGAGTTGACACCATATCGGGCAAACTTGGGCTATGGTCAGTGGTAGCGACAACAGAGGACAATGCGCAGTCCTACCTCGTCTAGCATAAACACCTCTGGTGAGATACCTGAGGAAAGATCATGAGCAATTCCAGCCTGCTTGCCTCGAAACAGGTGCGCCATGGTGCGTCAGAGGGCGACGACGGTATCTCATTACAAAAGAAGGCTTCGTAGCATCTGTCGTATTCTCGCAATGAAGGAGCGAGGTGCCTGCTGCGGTGAAACGTTGTCGGAGTGGTCAAGGCTGCGGACGTTGGATAATCATTGGGCGGGGGGCATTCATTAACCGTTTAAGGCTGGCACCGGGAAGCGCGGCGCGTTTGTCCCCGTGGCTGCCGTTATGGGCTGCCTTAGTCAGCAACTACTCGACTATCACACCTATCACTAGCAATAAGTTCTTCTTAACAGCAAAATTGGGCAGATAGCAGGAGGCAGAGAAGTGGTAAACAATGAGTTGGTCAATTTGAGTATGCTATCAGAGTCACTAGAACCTCAACTGCTTGCGCCTGCTTGCGCCTGCTTGCCGCGTCCGCTCTTGTCTAAGGCTTCTCCTGAGTGATGATATCCTGTGCGCGAGCAACAGGGACATCAGCAACGACGGTTGTGTCGACATTAGCAGTCTTGAAATCGCGCGTCTTGACCTTGCGCTCAAAGAGAGCGTCGAGTTCGATGGGTGTCCTTCCCTTGGTCTCTGGGAGTCTGAAGTAGACCCAGACGACAGAAAGTATGGCGAAAGCACTCCATATAAAGCCACCTTTCTGCTTCAAGTTCCACGCTCCAGGGTTCAGAATGGCCGGATTCAAGAAGCTCGCTCCGATACCGACAATGTTGTACGCAGCGCGTGCAACAGAGACGGTCTTGTTGCGCAGTCGAACGGTCGGGACTTCTGGCACAATCGTGAAGCATACCGGGCCGACCGTGAGGAAGTAGAGTAGCATGTTGACGATCAGCACTCCCCCAGAAGCCCACTGGATCCCATTTGTGGCATGCGAAGGAATACCCATGAATCCGACGGTCAACAAGGTCATTAACATCCCGATCAGACCCCACAAGTACATTGGACGTCTGCCAACCCGAGGTGTCAAGAACCATGAGGAGACAGTACCGATGCAGGATACAGCGTTCATACCGAGACCAAAAGCAAATGCAGTGTAGGCGGACGCTCCAGCTTGTTCCATGAAATACGTGACGTTTCCGCCGAACCAGTTGCCGCAGGTGACCTGACAGATCCAGGCTCCGACTGCCACTTCTGTGCGCCGCAGGTTGATGCCCCTGAAAAGTTCCAGATACGTGGTCCCCTTCTCGATCTCTTTCTCGTGCTCGTTTGTCAAATACATCAATGCGATGGCGTTGTCGAGTTGAGCGTCAGTGACTCTGTTGGAACCCAGTCGACGCAGGGCTTTTCGGGCAGTGTTCATGCGACCTTTGCGAACAAGCCACCAAGGACTTTCTGGAGCGAAGAAGGTGATCAGACCGAGAGGAATCGGCCATATCCACTGGATTGCGAATGGTATCTTGTACGCCCACTGGTCCTGTCGAGATAGGAGACTTCGAAGGACACCAGTCGAGATGAATTGACCCATAGCCCAACAGAGGGAGATGTAACTTGTCATGAGCGGTCGGAGCGTCAGAGGAGCAACGTCCGTGGCGTAGGAACTTGCCACAGACTGGAACATACCCCATGGAACACCACAGAGCATGTTTCCGGCGAACAGCATGCTAACATTTTTGGCGAAGAACGTCAAAAAGATGGACGCAGACAGCCAGAAGAGACCGATGAACATGGTCCATCGGTACCCGATCCTGTCAACAACCTGACCCGCGAACAGGAGTCCAAAGATGCCTCCCACACTGGCCATGGAAGAGATGGCCGACTGCCAGGCGGTAGAAAGTTGGTAATCTCCGTCAGGCAATTGATGGCCGAACCTTTGTCGAAATTGAGGCAAGCCAAAGAAAGAGCTGATGAGGCCTGTGTCATACCCCTCCATGACGAGCGTTGTCGAAATACCAATGGAGAAGAAGATGGCCCAGGGGTAGTGCTTGACTGCTTCTCGGAAGGTCAAGGAGTGTTCATGGTCGATGGCCGCCTGAGCCGACACTGTCAGTCGAGAAAGATCCCATGATTGCTCCCTGAAAAAGGGAGGGACTTCGAGATCTCCGTACACGCCCAGCTCTTCTCGTGCGAGCTCGACATGTTCGTCGAGGGTCTTCTCCTGTTGCTGCATGGCAAGTAGACCTGGGATGTAGTCGTGCGCCTTAGTAAAGTCAATGGAACGCTGAGCCTAGGACTGATCAGCAAAACTTGAGCACACTCGGACCCATCTGCTCTTTTATAGTTGCTTCGGCTCCTAGCCCCATCAACTCCAGGTTCTGCACCCCACAGTCTGTGGTCGCGTGGCCACTGGCCAGAAGCAATCAGCCCGCGTGTTCTCCGTACATGGAATTTCAATGGCAGCGCGCATTCTGTCGCTTCCGCAGAGGAGGCAACGCTGTCGGCGCCGATAGTATGGATCGTCACACCATGACTGTAGGGTTTCTGCGCAGTTCTAGCGACTTCATCAAATCAGGACGAAGCGGTTAAACATGTAGCAAATAGCCTGTGGTGAACCAAGCTAAGAGAGGCCTGGTTGGAGAAGAATATGCAGGCCACGGATCTCGGGTCTCGGAGCAGGGTACGGAAAAAAGGGCCCGGGGTTCACCTGGCCAGTGTGGCCGCATAGCCTCCCGTGACGACAATGCGGAGAAGACATGGTTTCTTTCTTAGTAGCCGGATCGAGCACCTGCTGGGCAAGCTTTTCCTGTAGCGAGGCAGAGAACGTCTTCTCGATGTCAGCTCGTGTATGTTCAGTGCGGGGTCGGGATATGTCTCATATGGTCTTGTACAGGCCCAGTGAGGAACTATTCTGCTTCAACAGCCGGGCACCTGACCTGACCTGACCCTGGGTAGCTCTTACTCACCGGTATTGTTCTCGTCTCGCATGGTCCGTTCTCTTCGACCTCGGTGATCGCGCCAAGATGACCATGGGATATGCCAGCCTCTTCACCATCTCGGCATCGCAAGGTACGACCGTTGAAACTCTCAGATGCAAGCGTGCGATCCCTGTCGTCGGCGGAAGGTCAAATGTGACCGAACACAACCATGCTTGAAATGTCGGGTTGGTCTTCTGACTTGTACTTATCATGATAACGTCAAGCGTCAAGTCACAAACCGTCGCATACCTGCAGCTGGTCGCTCCTCGGCTTCTGTTCGCAGTGCATCGATAGCACAAGATGACGCACGATCAGTCCAGCAGGTGCATGAGGGCGTTGGCCGTCAGTCCGAAGTATCCTCAGGCACTTCGACAGGGACTAATGCAAGTCTTCCTCGTCATGGACTCAACACAGCCAGATCCACTTCACCGGCAGCTGGGGCGGACTCGTCTGGGACGCGAAGGGTTTCAAGTCGATTGCTTCGATTGCACGTGAAGCTGTTCTTGAAATGGATATACCCTCTGTGGCCAATCGTGCGACCGGAAGAGACTCTTGCTGCCTGTTCCAATGTCGACTCCCTCTCGCCAGAACGATACTGCTTCCTCGTTGCGCTGTGTGCAGCAACGAACACTCAGCTCAATCTGGCTCCGCCGAGCTCAGTATTCGAGCCCGCAGATAGCGATGATGAAGATGTGACAGACACGGCAGACTTCTATCCTCCATCCGCACGAGACTACCTCCTCCGCGAAGCTGTCAGTGTTCGGAAGACGCTCGACATTGCCTCCGACCCCGATGTTGACACCATGTTGACTTCTTGTTTCTTGTTCAGTGCTTATGCCAATCAAGAGCGGCACAAAGAAGCTTGGTTCTATCTCAGTCAAGCAGTTTCCTTCGCAGTATCTCTACGTCTGCATGACGAGTCAACCTATACCTCTCTAGACCCTGTGGAGGCTGAGATGAAGCGACGGCTGTTCTATATGACCTTCATCTTTGAAAGGGCGTATTCCCTCCATCTGAAGTGTCCAGTGGTACTGCATTCAACGATTGAGAAGCCTACTATCACTTTCGATGACGATCCTGCTCCGATCGAGGCCTTTCTCGGGATTCTCAGCATTTTCGAAGCCTTGCCTCCTGACCTGTACAATTGGCTATGCATTCCACGCTCTGAAATGCAGCATCAAGCCGGATCCGTCCCTGTCTCCTACTGGAGCTTGTCCAACACCGTTCTGGCTCCGAACGGCGCACTTGAACCTCAATTGATCAACATATGGGTCACACAGCAGTGGCTTAGAGCCTTTCTGTGGCAGACAGCATTTAGACTTCGACTGCCGGACACGGTATTCATGGCCGCATCTCTCCCACTGGAAACGCCTTTGTCAGCGGCGAAATCAGTCATGGCAACCCTTGCAACGGCCTCTCCGAGATCACTTGAGATCCATGGAGTAGGTATGGAGCGCAAGCTGTTTGATCTGGGCACGTATATCCTGGACTTCACAGAAGGTCTGCCAATGTCCATCACCCGCGTTGCAAGTTCAAATCCGAAAGAACTGTTATGGGGAATTCTCATCTCACTTTCGAAAATCAGGGGGGCTACATCCTTCTTATTGCCGAGTCTGCTAGAAAGATCCAAGAAACTCCTCGCCGTGGAAAGCCCATGGCAGCCTGGCCTATCAGTGCCACAGAATGCAGGAGACGAACAAGAGATATACGAAATCCCGGACGAGATCAACTATGGATTTACTGGCCATGACGAAGTGACATACACGGGCAACAGTCAGGTAGGCTGGATACTATAGTTTGCCTATCTCACCTCATGCGGGTTCACCCCTTCAGTCCATCGCCTTTTACCAATCCGATCTCCCTGAGTCTGGCGTCGAGCTTGTTTCCAGAAAAAGTGGCACCGTCCGACCACTGTACCTCTACACGTCCAAGGCCATTTCACATCACTTCACTTTTCCACCACACCACTTTTACTTCACTCGACCTCGAATATTCAGCCTTCATATACGAAACTCTTTCAAAATTGCTCAACAATTAAGGTGAAAGACTGCCTTGCAAGACAAAGACCATTTCTTCAGTTTCTAGCTCAGCAAAGACTCTGTCACTAAGCTCATAACAGGGCACCGAGACAAATTCCAGGATAAATCTACTCTCTTTAAGAGACAGTGCCGGGCTCTGGTAACGACCTGTGAATGAAGTTTATACAGACTGAGAGCGGAGACATCTACAGAATGGTCATTTGGTCTGCAGGCATGTTTGAAACCTATTGTAACCCTTAATAAACCCCCTGGGGTTTCCTCACGATCAACCCTCTGAACGGGTTGACTGAGTTTTTGCTCTTTTTTGTGGCGCCGAATAGTTCTCTGAATTAGACATCCTTCCTTATTGCCAACCTGGATTCGCACACAATGATATAGTTCGTTTTTGACAGGAGGAAGGTTATCAGCTCCACCATATAGTCCTCCTAGCTTGAAGTCAAGGCACCCACCGTCGCGAACCTGCTGGACTTCGAATATGTATCGTCGATGTCCTTTCCGTCAGACTGTGCCACTTCTTCTGAAAATAGGCTTGCCGTCTATCGGATCCAGCGTCGTATACCGGTACGGACGTGACCGCGCCCACCCCTGTTCGAATGGAAATAGTAGGGAACGAAATGCAAATCCTCCACGACGCTACCTTCGGCGGAGGCTTTCGCAAGGTCCTTCCACGGGATGCTTGGCTCTGCGTTCAACTTTGGCAGAAGCGAAGAGCCACGATGCACAGACAGCGCCACGTACTCCTCTTCCGTGGTTGGATCGGTGACGAGTTTCTCCTCGACGTTCGCGTCGGGGTCCAATTGCAAACTCTTGAAGTGGTCCTCCACCCAGGGATTGTCGTAATCCTCGACGCAGTAAATGATGGGACCACGGGCCAGCGAGATTGTGTCTTGCGTTGTAAACGGATGGACTGCAACGACTCTTGGCTTCATGGGAATTTGAAGCGTGAATTCTGGATGTTCCACAAGCCAGGGAGTCGGCAGAGTCAAGTATCCCTTCTCGACTTGACTGTGCGGCGGTTCAGGGTCAACGCTCCACCCTTCAGCCCATTTAGGTATTCTGAGGCTGACGGAAACATTCTTCGACGCCGACGATAGTCGGAACTTGATGTCACCGTCCCAGGGCCAATTCGATTCTTGTGTCAATTGAGACTTCTCGCCCTCTGCTTCGAAGTCAAGCGTGCTAGGTATATAGAGGTGCACAGCCACATGGGTGTCGGTCTTTTCGCTTATCGTTGGTTGAGAGTAAATGTACCCTCCGATGATGGCCAAAGTTCTCATGATGTTGGGTGGACAACAGCAACACTTGAACCATTCGCTTCGGTCGGCCGGGTTGGTATCGCTCGAGGCCAACTGGTTGACATATGTGTATTTCTTTCCATCAACAGACATGGCTGTCAAGACAGCGTTGTAGAAAGCAAGTTCCATTATGTCAGTGTATTTTCCGTCCAATTCGTACTGGAACACGTCAGTAAGTTGGCCAGTGACTGGACGAAGCACCTACCTGCAGGACTCGCTGTACCATCATCATAATTCCAATCCCGGCACAGGTCTCAGCATAACAGCCACCTTCATCGGTGCCTTGTGGAAGGAAGTATGGAATGCCGAAACCTTCCCACTGGGCGATGGAACCTATGCCGCCTGTGACGTACATCTTGTTAGACACCATGTCGTTCCAAAGCCTCTCGATAGCTTCGTGCAGAGCCCCCTTTGACGACTTCTCCAATCTGACGATGTCGGCGACTGCGGTAAGCAGGTACGTTGGCCGGACGGAGTGCCCTTCCACTGCTTTCATTTCCGTCAACGGTACAGAGGCAGAGTAGTACCAGTTGGATGGGTTGTACTCCGGATAGTAGTAAGGACGCCTGTGCGGGTCGTCTCCTCTTCGCTCGGCCTCCCAGTCATAGAAATGTCGTCCATCTGCACCTTTCGGATTGCCTCGTTCAGTCACGAAGTACTTCGCGAACTCGAAATACCGCGTATCCTTCGTCCTTTCGTATAGTCGGACAAGTGCAAGCTCGAGTTCTGGATGGCCTGGGTATCCATGGAGTTGGCCCTCTTTCGGTCCCAGTACTTTCATCAGCAGTTCCATGTACCGCAACATTGGAGCCAGAAGCTTGTCATTCTTGTAATAATGCTGATGAGCAAGAGCGCCTTCGAGCAAATGTCCGGCATTGTAGCTGCAGCCAGAACATCAGCGGACCGACCGATCCATTCATCATAGTACCTACTCTTCGCACATGTCCCGAAAATTCGTGAATCGTCTGCTTAAAGGTTCGACGACCGAGTAATTGATGTTCAAATAACCGTCTTCGTGCTGTGCGGAAGCGATCATTTCGGTGAGCTCTTGCACTGCTTGGTCAACTTCGGCGTCATAGTCTGTCTGCAAAAAGTAGCAAGCGCCCTCAATCCACTTCCCAATGTCTGAGTCCCTGTTGCCACGTAGGCTTGGTTAAATTGACGTTCGCATCTGCTGGAGCGTCTTCGGCTTGATCTGACATACCAAAAGAGCCAAGTCCCAATGGGCCAGACCGTAGGAGGTTCATCGTATGAAGGATGCCATTTGAGCTTGAAAGCGTCATACCGACCCGTGCTCTTCAGGAACCCTAATTGCCGTTTCAAAGATACAGCGCTGGAAGCTCGTCGTTTCTTTTCAACCAAGGTACCTGGAGCAAGTTTGACTGATAGATAGGTCTCTTGAGGATACTGGGCAGAGGCTGTATCGTTGGCGTAAGAGATTGAGCCCATGTTGGCTGGTGAAATTCACACAGCAGTACGACGAGAAGCAGTGATGTGGTGATAGAGCAAGTCCAAGGTACTTACATGGCACATGCCTTCGTGAGAAGCACGCTGAGCTTACAAGTCATTGACCACTGTCACATGCAGTCTACCAAAAGTGTGCAACCCGACTCATCATTCGCTTCTTTGGCCCATCATGAAAAAGCGCGACAATAATGGAACGAAGGTAGGTGATGCTCCGAAAATTGACAAGGGCTACTTACCCCGAGATCCTCCAAACCGCGCCCGAGCCCCGGCCAACCCTGCGGACATTGAGATCGCCTAGGGCCGCATTACTGGGGCAGGACGCGCTTTCAGGCTGTGTCACACGGCTAAATTGTCCATGGGGAATTACTTGGACCAGCGTAATGCACGTCCCGTGTTCGTCCTCATTCCCCTGGCTGGAAACCAGATTGAACAGATGTTTGTCCTCGGCATTTTCTTCGTGCTCGTCACCACAACAACAGCTTGCTGGACGCGTACCGGACTTTCCCCATGGCGTCTATCACGCTTCAAATATCTCGTCACATTCGGCGACAGTTACACCGATGAAAGCAGACTCGAGTACTTCATCAAGCACGGTGGTGTCGGACCACCTCCTGGGACCATACTCGCTGAGAGTGCTCTGATCCGACCCTGGGCCCGGTACGTGGCCCAATATGCGGACTCGCTAAGCTTGCACAACTATGCTGTCGCTGGGGCAGTTTGCTCGAATGAAATAACGCCCCGACACTTCACGACCATTGCATCTGATTTCCCCTCGGTCTTGGAGTACGAGATTCCGGCATGGCTGGCGGAGCACTCTCTTTCGCCCAGTGGAAATGGACGACGGTCCCACGACTTGGGCACCAACACTGTGTTTGCCATACTGATTGGGACGAATGACCTTGGAAATGCTGCATTCCTGACCGACTCTCAAGTCTCCGGACGACTATTGCACCATTACACCGAGTGTGTTTATCGTGCCTTTGACGCCATCTATGCTGCTGGCGGCCGTAACTTCGTTCTCATGAACACTGTGCCTTTACACTTGGCACCACAGTACGCTGCTGATGGAACTCCTGCAACACGTTACTACCCGGATAAGCCGTCAAACCTGACACAGGTTGCTGCTAGGATCCAGCGGGACACCGCCAGCGTCAACGAGATCTTCAGATACAAGACACCCTATGAGCTTCTCATCGGCCAAAGATACCCTGGCTCCGACTTTGCACTGTTTGATACTTGGCGAATGTTCACCGACATCTATACCAACCCTCATCTCTATCTCAATGGGACCGAAGAACTCACCGTGGATGACTGGTCGCATCATTGCAGCGTGGCAGGGACAGATTGTGTCCATCGCCACAACAACACTTCTCCAGACTCATTCATGTGGTGGGACGAATTGCATCCCAGCGAGCAGGTTCATCGTGTTCTGGCTGGCGAAATCGTCAACGTGTTGGACGGCTCATCGGAATATGCGACATATTGGTCCAGCAGATGATTGACCTATTGAAACGAGTAAGACTCTCAATTGTCACTATGGTTTTCCGTCCCCGACCCCTGTCTCCCGAGAACCGAGCTGACCCACCGGCCCTTGTTCCTGACCCCACAATCCTTCGAACCATGAGCATGGATACGATGTGTGGAGATGGGGCAGGTCTCATGGCTCTCTCCGTGCCCATGCGGAGCTTCTGTATCACTGCTAGGTGACCATCCTGCCAGGTACAGTTCGGGCCTTAGCCCACTCACTTAAGATGGGGACAGAACTGAACGTCCAGGAGGAATGAGCAACATCAAACTCCTTCGAAGCAGTCAATCAGTCCTGCTCCAGACCGAGTCGACTTTCTCAGCTTCCAGAATTTGGTCCACAAACAAGATGTCCGCCGCCGCAGTAGTCGAAGCACCTCAAGCACCTCACACACTCGCAGCCCAACAGTCACCGCCTTCATTCCGAATCAATAGAGGCCACGTCGCTCCTTCCCAGCTTGGATGGCTCAGGTCAACTCCAGCCCACGCATCAATCGACGAGATCCGCCAACGCCTCCAGGACGATGGATACGTGTGGGTAAAAAGCGTGCTGCCACGCGAAGACGTGCTAGCCATGCGCGAACACTTCTTTTCCCAATTCTCTGGGACTGGCCTATTGAAGCCAGGCACGGCACCCGTCGAGGGCATATACAATGCGGCCGAAGACGTGTCCCTGCACCGGGGCGTGGGCGGCGGCAACCCCCAAGGCGACGAGGAACTTCGACGGCTAACCGACGCACACACCACGGCGCAATATCTGCAATTCGTCAACCACGTCGCTCTCCGCAAGATGGTCCGCGACATCACGGGCTGGGACGAGGAAGTCATGCTGCATCGTACACTGCTCCGGCACTGCGTCCCCGGCGGCTCATCCACGGGCATACACTATGACCGACTATTTCTGCGTGGAGGCGACGCGTTCTTCCTGACGGCGTGGGTGCCCATCGGCGACGTCAGCTCCATCGGCGGTGGCTTGCACTATTTGTCCGACAGTGTCAGATTGGGCCAGGCGCTGGAGGACGACTACAAAGAGCGCTCGCGTGACTTTTCAGAGGCAGACAAAATCAGCGCGTTCAATCGTAACATGGCGGCCACGGGCTACCTCGCAGACCATCCGGAGGAATTTATGCGCGAGCACCGGCGTGTTGCGGAGAAGGAAGGCACGGCGACGAAAGGGTTCAAGTGGTTGATCGCGAACTTTGAGGCCGGCGATGTCGTGTTCCATCATCCTTGCACGATCCATGGGAGTTGTGGGAATGATGACCCTTCGGGTCGGATCAGGCTGAGCACCGACCTCAGATTCTATGAGAAGAAGGATTTCGAGGCTGGGAGGGCGGATAACAGGTGGATGAATCATTGGAGAGTCGATGATAAGTTGTAACCATCAATCAATGCTTGGATACTGCTACCAACAGCATTTAGCAAGTTACATCTTGATCCCTCTCGCCATCAAAATCTGAACAGCAGGCAAAGAATCAACCACAATCTCCGCTCTCCCAAACTCAATACCCCCATGAGCAGCTCCCTCCTTCTTCAGATAATCGAAACGGAATGCCCCAGGTATCTTGACATCCCACTCCCGTCCCTGGCCATCCTTGACCTTCTTCTCGCCTGATTTGGCTTCGCCCTGGCAATTTGCAAAAAAGTTTGCCTGCGCAAGCGCCTGCCACCCATCCTTGGTCTCCCAGCAGGCGATCAAGATTGGCTCATGATATTCCTTGGTGAATGGAGCATACATGCCCTTCACTTGCTCGAAACACTCGCCACCAGCGCCAGTGTACGTCGATCCGTCGGACTTGACGAGGGTGAAATCCGAGCTGTGCCAGTCGTAGGTATCCTTTTCCCAACCTCCGTGCGCATTGAGGTTTTTGGTATAGTCTTCCATCCATTTCATGGCGGGGTGGCGGCGGGTCTCCTCGTCCCAGTCTCCGCTATGGATGTAAGCTTGGTGTGTTGGGAGTGACATGATGTAGACACTCTAGAGGGTTTCTTGCTGTGTAAAAAGAAGCACTATGTCGGCAAACGGCCAGATGGACTGACGGAGAGCATGGAGAAAGGCGCATACTTGACCAGTATTTATACCAGCTGCTTCACCGGGGCTTTGTCCAGAGCTGAAGTCTCCTGGCATGAACCACTGCAGACCTACCGGAAGGCATCTTTCAGCTCAGCCATAAGACTGGGCATCAGCTCAGTACAGCACCAATCCGCGCAAGTGGTCGAAGCATTGGTGTTCAAGCCAAAGGCGGGATCCCCGCACCTGGAGACAGTTTCCCCTAACCTGTTTCCGTAGGCGTTCCAGATTGACGCCTCAGGTAGTGGCGTTGAGGCTGGAGGTTGAAACCCGAAGTTCAGCTCTGGGCGCATGCTGATATGCCCATTGGATTGAACGCCTAGTCAAGCTGCTCGACCTGCTGTTCACCACGCGACACTTTGCCCTGCAAAAGATGCCAAGGCAATATGACGGCTCGAATATTGTCGCGGAGAGCAGTAGACACCCTACTAGCAGTGGAGGACGGGACAAAAACGAGTGAGCTGAAAGAAACGGGAAGAGTAGAAAGATATGTGTGAGAGAGACGCGAAGTATGTCGTCTACTATACTGTACAGTACTTACGTCAACATTGGCGGACACAACCGCCATAGACGACTTGTCAGGACCGGATAAACATGAATCCGGGCACCAGACTCAAAGCCTTTGAGTGCATTCGCGTCGCTGCATATACCACAACTCCATCGTCATCTCGAAATCTCGTCTCTACGCGTCAAGAAGCGAGAAGAGTGGATGACGTTCGCCTAATCTGAAATCTCAGTGGCTCTGGAATAAGCATTCGCTTCCTTTTCGCTTCCTGACAGCTTCATGTAACGTCTAAGCGAAGAGAAATTAAACCTTGACAAGGGAAACCTTGATAGCCGGCTCGTTGACACCTGGCGGGCATCTCTCAACTTACTACTTTTTCCATATGGAAAATAGGCACCAGGTTCGATTCCACCCGCTCAACTGTGATACATTAAGGTTAATTCCGCTCTGCTATGTTGATGCCCAGCTCGCTCGAAGAATATCATACCCGTCACACCCGTCTTCATGAATGCAAATCCAGTCTATGGGCCTGACCTTTTATGCCGTCTAATAAGACATGCCACCATGAACCCATATTGTACAGAAGCCGAGCCTGGCTCCATGAAAATGAAACTCAAATTGTTTGCAAGTGATTCCCCATCAGCGAAGACTGTCACCGCTTCCTCGTCAGAACCTTGGTGATGGCATGTCTTATTGTTATGCCAGCCTTCTCGATCTCTTTCTTTGTCAGGCCAATCGTCACGCAGACTTTCAAGGCCGGCAACGGTGGATAGATATCGCTCTTTGCGCCTGAGGGATTGGCAGGCAGGTTCTTGACACGCGTAACCAGAACGTTCTGCGTGAGGCACTGCTCTCATTATCAGCAAACACGATTGGCAGAAAACTGGGCAGTGCTTGATCACTTACCTCATCCACAACATCCTGGAGTAGCTGTTGCTGATCATCAACATTCAGCCTCCGCGAAGAAATCACCTCAGGTTTCAGGACCAGAATCATAATCGGGTTCTCTGGTGCGCTGGTGCAATACATCCAGTCGCTCCTCGGGTCAAGTTGAACCCACATTGCCCTGATGTTCTCCTTCAACTGGTTGTGTAGTTCGGGCTGGGTTTGCAGCATCATGAGCGTTTCGCTAGCGGTCACGGCCGCGATGGCTGGAAGTGCAGCCGAAAAGGTATATGACGCCGCAGACAATCGCTGATGCTCCACGACCTCGTCAGATCCTGCGCAAAATCCTCCATTGGCCGACAAGGGCCCTGACATGGATCCGATAATCATGTCGACCTCGGCAGCGTCCACATGCTGATGTTCTGTGACACCTCTTCCTGTTCTCCCCAAGACGCCGAATGACCACGTCTCGTCGAGAATCAGGCGAAATTTGTACTTGAGCTTCAGCTCGATCTACTTAACCGTCAGTCACTGTTCCGTCATTCTTTGAGTAGTGGTTGAAACTCACAATCTTCGGCAAGTCCACAATATCGCCAACATTTTCGAACAGGCCTTCCGTGATGATGAAGCGCCTGGTCAGTGGTTTCTTCGCTTGTTCTTTGGTGACCTTCGCCAACACTCTTTGCAAGTCTTCCATGTCATTGTGCTCATACCACCTCACCGAGCTCCTAGAGATCTGAATACCTTTGCGTATGGCATAATTCACGGCCTTGTCCGCGACAATGATATCCCCCCGCTTCGAGAAAGCCGGTATGACACTAGAAATGGTTGAAAATGCCTGAGCGTAGATGATGCATGCCGTCGTACCCAAAAAGGCGGCGATGTCAGCCTCGATCTTCATGTGCACATCTTGCGTGCCATAGAAGCCAGGCGGTCCGCAGGGACCAACCCCGTAAGTCCTCAGTGTCTGTATCGCCCGCTCTTTTAGATTTTCATTAGATGTGAAGTTGTAGAAGTTGTAAGATGCAAGGTTCGTTACGGTGCGACCGTTGGAGAGTTTCGCTCGAGGTCCGCTCGGTCTGTGGCATGCGATCAGCAAATTGAAGGACACGCATTGAGGAAAGAACCGACCCGACTATGACAGGCCTCTTTTCCAGTTCCGCCTCCTCGAATGGTGTCGTCTTCCCAACCAGGGGCTCGGGCGTCCACTCGTCAACTAAGTCGTCGATTTCCTGGTTCATGGTCAACTTCTGCAGTAAGAAACGTCCCACCACGGTAGAAATTCACCTCATCGGATAACTTGACGTAGTTCGGCTTCGTCGAATACTTTGGTGCAAGGAGATATCGGATCGCGAAGAGGACGAGAAAGAGCTCGACTGCAGAGCGAATAGGGTCGTTCTGGTAACTCGACCTTACATACCGCAGGAAGATGGCAGAGCCCGGGATTTTGTGAAACTGATCAGACGCGGTATTCGCCAGATTCGCAAGGTACTCTTGCGCGTCTTGAGAAGTCATGTTCGCGATGCGCCTTCAGCGGAGACCCGCCAGCGAGCCTGTAAGTCTACTCTGAATTATTTTTGCGACGAGGGTTTGCGAGGTGAGAACCAAAAGTCGATGCGGCAAGTGACGTGGCGTGCGTGGATAGAATCAGGGGCAGCATGCAGCGGTTGTGAGCCAAAGCCAAGGGGACGCCCGGATCTTGTCGGCACCACTCCGGGCGTCAACTTTAATGTGCCTACCTGGTAGCTTACTGTGTAGCCACTCTGTGGGAAAGCTTGCCCAAACCCATACCGTCACAGAGCATCATACTAATAAGATATCGAAAGCAAGCTTATTGTATAGGAAGCCATGGTTGTATGCAAAGTCATGTGGATTTTCATGTACAGTATGATGTGTCTAAAGAACAAATAATGCCTCAATTGCCACAACTCCAATCCCAGTATTTGCTGGAGGAAACCAGCTTGCAAAGACCATTTTTGCGTTCAAGGGCTGCTTGTCTATGCATTCATTCATTAGTTAATTGTTGGGATAATGACCGACAGAAGGATGTAAAAATCCATAATGGACGTGTCCTTGGCTCATGCAATCTCGCTCCGTAATCTTGCGTGTACAATACACGAACCAGAGTGCAAGCCACTCATGTCGATTCGATCAGATTTACCATCTGATGAATCGAGCACCGATGGTGAAAGGATCACTGCCACTGCCACTGGTCGTTCCAGCGGTGGCGGCGGCCGTTGTTCCGGCAGCAGTGTCGGCGGCAGTTGCATCTTGACCGAAGTTGTGAAGAGCTGATCCAGTGATACGGCTGCTGGTGTCGTTGTTGTTCTGTCCAGTAGGTTGGCTCAAGTTCAATGGGATGGTTGGAAGGTCCGTGATGTATTTGCGGACGATGACAGGGCCGACGAGGAGAATGACGAAAAGAATGAGCATGAAAAAGTACAAGATGGCGTAGCGGATGACTCGTCTCTTACGCAGGCGAGACTGCTTGATGGAGTAGATGGGAGGTCTGATTTGACGGCTGAAGAATTATTAGCATCCGACAGGCAATAAGCAATCTTGGGGGAACATACCTAGGACGCAGCCAGAAAAGCATGACCGAGTGGAACTTGTCGATGTAGGGAACGCAAAGCGCCGGCAACATGAGGAACATGAGAATATGTCCCAGGATAAAGTCGGCAGCGAAAAATCCGAGCTCGGTAATTTTGCACAGGAATTCACGTCCTGGTTGAGACATCGAGTGCCAGCCCATCGAGTACCATTTACCGGTCCACCAGGCTATGTTGGACGAATCTTGTTTGAACTCTCGGGTCAGAGCCAGGGCGATGATGAGCTTGAACACAAATCGTTGAAGTGCAACGACCGCGATCATGCCGAGCAGTGCCTTTGCGAAGATCCATCCTTCGAGGAAGAACATGACTTCCCAGAAAGCGAACAGCGAGATGACAGCCACAGCGTGTGCAATTGCGGCAAGCACAGAACCAAACTTCTTGCAACACATGCTCAAGACGGGGCCCATACAGCAAGCCATGGCAAAGAACACAGCTAGACATCCAGCGTTGACAGCGATGGGAGCGAAAGCCACGATAGCGACTCGAATGAGAGAGTTCGTTGCTGGCTTGAGATCGGAGCCGGTGACACCTGTTTGAGCGTTGATGAAGAGATAGGGAATCAATGTCAAACAGACGAGCACAAAGGGACCAATGACCTCGCTGAAGAAGATGCTGGTGAAATGGGCTCGAGGCACGTCGCCAGAGAGCTTCTCAGAAGGAGAACCCAGAGCCTTGCGCTTGTAACCAGTAAGGCGTGTTCGGGACAATCTGCAGAAGGCAATCCAGGAGGAGGCGTGTGAGCGGGAGTTGCCGCGAGACAGCCATCTAAGATAGTCTCTGTAGTCGATGAAGAAGTCGGTCCATGCAAACTGGTGAGGATTGAAGATGAATGGCGAGATACAGAGACCGAGCAGTGAGATCCAGAACCACAACAGCCAGGCACCCCAGACGGTGATGGTTCCGAAGAGCAACATCATCAACGACCGAGCACCGAGATAGATGGATGGACCTGCAAAACGCGAGTAGAGGACGCCGAATGGAATACGCGCAGTTGCGAACCCACGGCCGGTACCGATGTAGCGGGCGCCACCGAAGGATAGATCCTGCTGGATGGAGCTGGCATAGATTTGACAGACAAACACCTCAAAGACCGGCGATGCAGAAGCGAAATGCTTAGCAAGACGGGTAGCTGCTCGCCAAAATCCACGTTCAGTCAACTCTTGTACAACCAAAGGTACGAAAGAGATGAAGAAGACGATGAAGATAGAGACAACGCAACGCTCAACCCAGCCCATGATGGGAGTCAAGTTGGTGCATCCGGTAGGCTTGAGAGGATCAGTTGGTGGGGTGTTGCGGTTGTAAGAGCACACAATCGTCTCATGTTTCAGAGCACCAAGGTTGATCAAGACGATCATGAAAAGCTGCACCGACAACATGATGAACATGTTGTTGATATGGAAACCAGGATGCGCGTAGTAGAAAGACAAGAAGCGATCCAGAGGCAGCTGTGTGCCGAGGTAGTAGTACTCTCGAGACAACATCTGTTCACCCATACCAGTTCCGATCTTGGTCGTAAAGTTAAGAATCGAGCCAAAACCGAGATCACGACCTTTACCGCACTGATAGTACTCGCAGTGCTTGATGCGGCCACCACGGATGAGAGCGTTCATACCAGCGTAGATATCTTCGTTGAGATGCAGTCCCTTCTGAGCTTTGGAGACGCCGCCACGAGTGGTCATGAAGATGCCATTGAGGAAATCGGGGTGACCGTAATGGAGTTTACCACCGATTTGAGCCAGAGTTCGAGCGAAAAGAGTACCGAACGTTTGTTCCTTTCCAGCGGCAACGTCACCCAAGACACCAATGTTCTCGGAGAAGATGTATTCACGAGCACCAAGGATGGCAACAGGGTCGGTTTTGCTGTTTTGGATGCCAGGAGTGTACGGCGAGACGTTATCTGTCGTCATTTCCTCGAACTCAGCCAAAACGCTTCGGATCTTCAAGCACTCCTCGAGGTAGTTGTCCTGGTTGGCATCGATGAGCTGGATGTATTCACCGCGGTAGAAGATGATAGCATGGTTCTGGTTGTCAGACTTGCCGTCACCGAGAATGGGGTTACCGGAGAGCTGGACCCTGAACTTGGGTCGGCGCATTCCATTTTCGAGAATTTCCGAGTGACCATCGATCAAGGCAGAGTAGAGGCGTGGCTCTTCTCCTTCATTCTGGGGAGGCTCTTCGTCCAAGTAGGCAATCTGAAGATCAGGGTACGCGCGGAGCAGGAACTCGGTGTTTTCACGTTCTTCCTTCTTAAACTTCGCATATCGCTGCATAGAGACCACGATCTTGAACTTGCGTCTGGCCATGCGCTCAAGCTCGCGCTCCAATTTGTCCGAGTTGCCGCCAAACATCTGAACGACCTCTGGGTTTTCGACACGGTAGAGGAGTTTGATAGCACGGCTATAGTTCATGAAACCGGAGACTGTACGGTAAAGTGTCTGCGAACGAAGAGAAGCCCAGATACGAGTTCGGAGAGTGTATTCCGGAGCCGCAGACTTGAAACCAATGCAGTAGAAAGGCAGATCATCAATCTTGCTTTTGGCGGTGTCTTTCTCATTCTTCTCGTAGTCACCGTTGAATTGTGATGTCTCGTCAGCCAGGATCTTGGTGTCTTTGACGAAGCAGTCCCATTCGTGCGGATGAAGCTGTTTGAGGTATTCCAAGAGGGTGACACGGGAATATGGCTCGTCCTCACGGATGATCTCACGAAGGGACAGGAGAATCTTCTCGCTGTAGTGAGGAATGAGCACGGTGAAGGTTGGCATGTTGTCCACTGGAAGAGGCTCCGGAATTGGCGTCGACAAGGACTGTGCGAAGAAGGAAATGCGGCGTTCGGCCTCGCTCTGAGCCGGGAAGAACTCAGTCTTGAAAGAGTGATCTTCCTGCGAGACGAAGAAAGTTGGAGCTCGCAGTGTGCGCTTGCCCTCTTGCTCAGATGGAACTTGATGGTACAGCAGCTTCTGGACATGGTCGATGGCCAAAAGATGTTCTCGGTACATGGAGATGACAATGGCGTTCCAAACTTGAGAGATCAACACCTTCGGCTTGTATTTAATCTCCATGTCGGTAGTAGCCAGGATCTTGGAGTAGATACGCTTTGGGAGCCGCGAGAAGATGTTTCTCCATGGCGTCCAGATCGAAACACCAAGGTAGAAAGAACGCGCAACAGAGAAGACGCAATTCCAGATGATGTACCAGAGGTAGGTATCCAAGAAGAACAGAATCAAATCGGTGAAGAACATGATTCCGAGCAAGATCTGCGGTTGGTACTTGCAAAGGTATGTCTTCAGGATGGCGTCTCCTGCACAGTGGCGGATATGGGTGTACGAGAGAATCTTGATAGGATCTCGGAAGGACAGGGTCAGGAAGAAGTACGATTCGGCCAACTTCGCAGCGAAGACCATAATCCACAGACCGTACGACATCCACATGTCGTTACCCTTCAGGCGCGGGTACGAGGCGGTGAAAGTCTGACTGGCCACATAACGACGGGAGTTGCCAGTCAAGTAGCTGCCGAACAGTCCACCCAATGGCATGATTGAGAAGAAGAAGAAGGTCGCCAGAGCCACCAAGAATTGGACAACACCTAGGATCAAGGAGACCTTTGATGTCTGGGAGAAACCGAAGATGTAGACACTGGGAGCAATGTTGAGGACAAAGACACCGATCAGGAACAGCAGTCGCTTGGTCAGATGCTGAGCACCTGCCCATCGTCGCGGAACATAGGACCATTCGACGAGTGTGGCCAGAATCTGGATGAGGGATGCTACCGTTCCACCCAAGCCCACAGCAGACCACTGAGCAGCCGCATGAGGTTTGTTGTTCAACTGTTGCTGGTAGTTATGGGTGTACAGCGTTGGAGAGTTAAAAGCGGTGTAGAACCAGAAAGTCGTAAGATGGATGACCCAGATACGGTTGAAGTTGACGAGCAAGTGGAACCAGGATCTGGTCTCCTTGTAGGTCTTGAAGAAAACCTTCTTCCAGTGGACGTCCTGGAGTTTCAGGTATCTCTCCGCAGGAGGGAGATCAACAATGCGAGATTTGTCCTCCATGACGATTCTTTCGATACCCTCAGGATACCAGAAGAGTTGATTAATGTCGTCATAACCAATGACTCGGTTGTGATCGCGCTCTCGTCGGACGTACTTTCCATCAATGATTTCGTAACACTGATCTCTGATGTATGTGTAGAGAGGAGTAATGACATTATTCAGGTAGGTGAATTCTTCGACCGGCTCAACACGGCTTTGGCAGGCGGGAGAGTGCAGATAGTCGTCAGCACACTTGAAGATGAAGCAGAGCGTCTCGGGCATGAAACGGACTTGATTCGCTTCACCCCAACAAAGGAGATACAAAGCAATCTGTCGGGCGCGGTCATGCTGAGACATCTTGTTCATTCTGGTCTTCCAGCGGTACTCGGCCGCCTCAAGAGAGTTGTCTCCCTCCAAAGCTTCCAAAGTCTGCTCCTCATCTTGAGGATTTTCCTTGGCCTTCTTTGCGGCAGCTTTGCGTGCCTTACGGGTTCGACGATTGGCCTTGCCGAGCTTCATGTTGGCGAAACCCACTGCATCATCGAGATCCAGATGGGCAGCGAAATACCATCTGCGGTAGTTGGCATTGTCACCTCCAATGTAGTCGGCGTGCAGTGACAACAACGCTTGGTTTGGAGTCATGCGGGATGCCCTGGAGTCCAACAAGGTCATCAGATGGTCATACATGTTCCGCATGCTGTCACGCTGGAAACCAAACTTCGCAGTCAGGTCCAGGAAAATGTCTTCGAGCTCCTCCTTGGATAGTGGGATTTGAGCATCGGATGTCCAGGCTGGATAGGGCTCTCGAGAACGTTGACCACCGGGAAGTGCGTTGTTGTAGTCCATGCCATAAATGGGCGTAGACGCACCCGAAGACCGGTTGCCACCGTAGGAGATTTGGGAAGATGGTGGTCTGTAACCTCGGCCGCCTTGGTTATCGTAGCCGCTCTGGTATCTCTCATCTCCTCGACCGTAGTAGTCCATTTCGGCAGCACGAGCCATGTCCGACCTCATGGTGAAATCGCTGAAAGTCTCGGAATCTTCTTCAGAATCGCCATGGCGACGTGGGCGTTGACCTTGATGTTGTTGCTGACCTGCAGCTCCTTGGTCGTAATACTGGCCATCTTGATAGTAGTCATCTTGATATCCTGGGTGGCCTTCATAGTATCCGCCGTCATTGTGGTAGGGATTCGATGCATCGGCATTGTAGTAACCACTATCTTCGAGTCAGCAGAGGCCAGAAGAGCACTGAGTACGAGACTTACGATTCATCGTAGAATCCTTCGCCTCCGTGCTGTGGCTGATTGCCATAATCGTACTGATCATGGTAGCCCTCTTGATCTTGGTAGTAGGCATCGTTGCCTTGATGATGTTGGCCGTAGCCTTCATCGTAGCCGCCCTGCTGAGGATGGCCCGACATATTGTATGAGAGTTCTGGGAAAAGGAGGTCAGCACGGAGCGCCTGAAGAGCATTGACCTCGTAGCGAAGAACGCGAGCCGTGTTCTTGCTGGGGCACAGGATTTTTCACCATACCTTTTCACAAGAGTCCCATCAATCAGTCCTTGTATGGAGGATGCAAAGTATGTTGTACGTGATATGATTGCCGCTCAGTGTTGTATTATTAGGTGATATGCAAGAATAACAGCGAATGTTTTTCCAAAGGCGAGCGATTGAGGAAATGTTGTCAAGTGTGTAATGTCGCCGTGGGGATTGTGCCTGTCTATGCCTTGAAGCAGGAAACAATAGCAGGTCGACGACGACGAAGGCGCTCAAAGTTTGAGATCGCAGGTGTAAAGAAGGGAGAAGCGGTTTGTAGAGGGTGGTGGTGATTGTTGTGAAACGAGTGAAGGGGCAGGAGCGATGGTTGCTCAGCCAATGCAGCGGCGCGTTCGCGGCAGGCGTGGCTAGCAAACGAGTTTCCGGCCTGGCTAAATTTCCCACGCCACAAGGGTGACGATGGACAGCGTTCTCTACACTTGCCTTTCTCGCAGCGATTGAAGCGAGTAAAGGTCAAGATGTGAGAAGAAACGACAGGATAAATGCGAGGCTGTTGGAAAATGAAGAAAAGGGCGACACGGACAAAGGGACCTGGGAAAAAAGCAGGCTCCTTGGAGGACGTGCAGGGAGAACAGACAAGGCAAGCAGGCAATTGGGCCTGGTGCTGGTGCTGGTGCTTGTTTCGGGATTAGGGGCCGTGGAGGGGCGTGCGCAGGCCAGAAATTTGGATGGCCAAGTCTGTGTGGGTTTTGATTTCGGGTGGGCAGGGATTCGTTCTCAGGCTTGACTTGTTCCGGGCACCACGAGAGGCAGAGGCAGGCAAATTCAAACCAGGGGCAGATGGTCAACACCCAGGAGCAGCGCCACACTCAAAACACAGCTTGCACACACCTTTCTCCACGAGTCCACCAACAACCTGGCTGCAGAGAATCCACACGCAATTGTGTTGAGTTAGCGAGCCCACAATTTCAATGCTACACTCAATTTTACTGGAGACGTGGGACAATTAGAGCGACGCCTTTCACTTCGTTGGCCCTGGCAATTCGTGCCCTCGTCCTTGATTGCGACACTTCATCGGCGTCATCTATCGACATTTGTCTTGCATCGCTTATAGCGCTACGGACTGGTTGTCCGCCCCCGGCACAGCTCGTATACTATGTACGTGCTATCTCTGGACGGCTCGCCAACGTAGAACACCTATCCGTGGCTGGGTCGAATCAGAACTCTGTGGCTATGCATAGTATCACGAATCTGCAATCCTTCTAGGGAAACTGCACTTCAAGCATTTTAGAAAGAGGCAGATCGTTTCAGGGCCTAGACAATTGACTCGTACCCCGCCACTCTGGAAGACGCAGGCTTTGGATCATCATGCTGTGACAGTGTGAGCTGGTCATACGATAGGCGTTTCGTGCCATGGATATGCTGTGTTACAGAACTGGGCTGCGTTTCGGACTTTTTGGGGTGGACGGAATGCAGGTATCCGTAGTCCATCAACGTGGCCGGCAGATGCTCTCAATAACACTGAAGTCAAGAAGAAACGATAGGATATGTTGACCACTGGCAAACGGCAATGTGAAGCTGTCGGATAATGCCTGCGGTGGTGTACTTTTTATGTAGCTGACACAGACCTGTCAGATACGTGATCCTCCCACCATACTCGTTAAGAATTGTACATTATGCACCTCAACATGCAGCGCCGGTATTGACATTGTCCGTCTCGCCGATCATCCGTCTCTATGTAAAGACAGTGCATGATGATGATGGCTCAGAGATAGGAGTCCTCCATGTTATTATATTCCGCCAGCTCCATGATACGGCTTTTACAATAGCGCACTGTTCTGGCGAAGGTTGTAGTGGAACTGTCCTCAAAGACTTCAAGGATGTATACTCGTACATGGCCTCACACAAACAGCAACTCTCTCGGAACGATCCGGATATGTGCTCTCCCTCCAACGGCTTTGTTATGGCGCAAGTCAACGGGTGAGAGCAATAATAATCAATGGTTCGCCGGTCGAATTATTCTTTGCTTCCATGATTCCCACTGTCGCCTACAAACTGAAAGCTCGCATCATCCATTTTGTGGATCTTTGATAACGGGGCGGACGCCGTTGACGCCCGGTGGAGTCGGCTGTTTTCCAAGAGCAGACAAGCCGTCACCACTTGATTCACGAGGGGTTCTTATCAATTCACCTTGAAGCAAGAATTTGCCACGCCTGCTTCAACTCGCTGATCCTTTATGCGCAGCATAGCTCTAAAGATACCAACTCAGCTGCCGAATTGCGATGGACCATGCATTTCACGTACAATGATTCGCAAATCCCATCATTGTGCCCGCTGGATCATGCCATAAGTGAAACAAGCTTTGATGAGAACCAAATAGTGAAAGAACGGCACCGAGTGGCGAGTGCTATTAAAAGTTTGGTACGGCCTCTATCTCGGGCCTCGCAGGTCCAGGGGTTTGGCATAACAGCTTCTCGTGGATAGACGCTTGTAGCGCCGCTAAAGTCTCGGGGTGCATGATCGCCGGCAGATTTTTGATAGAGTGGAAAAAGGGGCCGCTCCCAATCAACCATTCTTGTCATTACCACGCACCACCTAGCAAGCCCAATCTCCATGATGGGCGAATCACATTAGAGCTGGTGCGGCGCAGCAACGTGATCTGCTTCGTCAAGTTGTCAACAGGAGTGGTTTGCAGGGCCCGAGACATATCTGGAGACACCGGAGACATGCGGTTCGGGAGACTCATCATGCAACCACAATCTGAACTAGGTGAGACATGCAGATAATTTTCCGACTATCATTTCCTTGACAGCCTTGTGGCAAAGTAGCTTCCCTTCGTGGTGTTTGGGATGAGTTTGACTTCAACCTTCAGGTTGTCAGCAACAAATTGCTTGAATATAGATGACTAGTCCAGGCAAGACCATGAATTTCAAGGTCGTTGAAAAAGTCATCGTCAACCACATGGCGAATCCTGATAGACAATCCTACCCTTTTAGTCGGGTCAAGCTGGGTCCTTTGAACTCTTCATGATGCATTACGCCAGCTCGCTTACGAGATCGAGCACGGCTCTCACTCTCCGGCTCTGTGGGCCGAGGATAACGCACAAGAAATATAGAAAAAGATGTTGTTGCTTCTGGCGGGGGAGGTGTCCAGAGAGAGTTGTAGCAGTCTTTGTGTGAACGAGCTGCCTCTATCTTCGCTTTGCCGTCGCACACTTCATCTGAGAAAAGGTTCGCCTCAAGAAGTAAGCATTGAAATGTTCGCCAGTAGTTTCACTCATTATTGAAGACTCCTCTGGCAAAATCGACCCCTGGTGATCGGAGGGTATAGAAATTCTGTTACTCTTCGTAACAAGTTGCCTTGCCAGGTCGTCGCAACAATGGATGCAGCACCTAAAATAAAAATAAGGTCTGGACGAAAAGGACGCGTGTCGAGGAATGGAGTATGCTTTCCAACCCGGCAAATGACACGGAGGGGATAGGCCTCAAAACAGATCTGCGAGCCAAGCTGGTGACCAATAGAGCTCTGGGTGTGCCGTACAACAGCCGCTGATTCAGCGGCCGGCGATGTGAAGCACCTTTCTGTATGGCCATAGGAGTGCACTTATGGGGGGGAGTCTGCGCGTTCTTTGTGTGCGTGGCCCGGAGAACCGTTCTATCACAGTATGGGCGAGAGGTACGACCGTATGAGTAGGGGGGCAACAGTGCGCTGTTCTGGCAGTGGCAGTGGGTTGGGTGGTGGGTGCTGAGGGATGATGCCGCGACTGCGCCGCCAGGCCCCGTCCATCTCTCGTGCCAATTCTGTCAGAGTTTGTATTTGTTGATCGAGACCATCCGAATAAACTCCATCCCTGGCTTCAGATTCATTAACTTAACTGCAACGCCGTGAGTGTGTTTCAAAGACTCGTTGCTTGTTTGCGGCTTCTTTGTCTTCACCATCATTCCGTGACACTCGTTCCAACCTACACTTCTAGCGCCCTTCGTTCCTGCCCTCGTTTCGTTGGCAAGGGCAACTTGGCCAACTCTTTTCCAAAACTCCTCGCTTAACCAGCGCAGTCTCTACAATCTCCGAACCTTGACTACGCGTTCTTGGACCATCGCATCCTTCTATTCGATCACATATCCCCTCCCATCGTCATCAGAATGAAGGGTTTCTCGGCGCTTGCGACAGCTGTCGTGGGAGCTGCGCTATTCATCAAGACCGCTGTTGCATCTGTAGACCCCATTGTCATCAAAGTACGTCAATTGCGCCAACATTGAGAGTTCAGAAGATCGGTGGTGCTGATATATTGCCAACTGCAGGGCTCTAAATTCTTTTATGAGACCAACGGAACTCAATTGTATGTATCTCTCTGACGCATTCACGTTGAACAGAGGTCTAACGAACCACAGTTTTATCCGCGGTGTTGCGTATCAACGTTCGTGACTTCTCATCCACTTTGTAGAGCGGTACACTAACCGCGTTATTCAGAGGACTATACAGCCAACAGCACCTCCAGTGACGACACTTCGGACGACTCTTACACAGACCCGCTCGCCGATGCCTCAACATGCGAGAGAGACATTCCTTACCTGATCCAACTGCGAACCAATGTCATTCGTGTCTACGCACTCGACCCGACGAAGAACCATGATGACTGCATGAACATGCTGGCCGATGCCGGCATCTATGTCATTGCCGATCTGTCTGCCCCGGGTGCCTCCATCGTCCGTGACGATCCCGAATGGACCGATACATTGTACTCGCGGTACACTTCTGTCATTGATGTAATGCAAAACTACACAAACACCATGGGTTTCTTTGCAGGAAACGAGGTCTCCAACAACAGCACTAACACCGATGCCAGCGCATTCGTCAAGGCTGCAGTCCGTGATATGAAGGCATACATGAAAGCGCAGAACTACCGTACCATCGGTGTAGGTTACGCCACCAACGACGATGCCGATATCCGTGTCAATCTCGCCGACTACTTCGACTGCGGTGACTCTTCCGATGCCATTGACTTCTGGGGCTACAATATCTACTCGTGGTGTGGAAATTCTAGCTACACTGAATCCGGCTACGACCAACGTACTGAGGAGTTCTCGTCCTACAACGTTCCGGTCTTTTTCGCCGAGTATGGCTGCAATACCGTGCAACCGCGTACCTTCACCGAGGTTCAAGCTTTGTACGGAGATGAAATGAGCCCAGTTTGGTCTGGTGGTATTGTCTACATGTACTTCCAGGAAACGAACGACTATGGTGAGTTTTGAGATATGCATGTGGTTGAAACTCACACTAATCGTGATATAGGTCTCGTCAGTGTGGATGGCAACACTGTTAGCACTTTGGCTGACTTCAACTATTTGTCTTCCCAACTTGCACTGATCAGCCCCAGTTCAACAAATTCTGCCAGCTACAGTCCAACCAACACTGCAGCTCAATCTTGCCCGACAGTTAACAGCGACTGGCAGGCAGCGTCAGCGCTTCCTCCCACTCCAAACTCGCAACTCTGCGAATGCATGTGGAACGCATTGACTTGTATACCCGATGATGTCTCCACCGATGATGCCGGTGATCTATTCGGTATCGTCTGCGGTCTAGGGTCAGGCACTTGTGATGGAATCGACGCAAACAGCACATCTGGTAAGTATGGAGCGTATGGCATGTGCAATTCGACTCAGCAGCTTGGTTGGGCTTTGAATGACTACTACGAGCAAGAAGTTGCGGCTGGCAACGGTGCATCGGCTTGCGACTTCTCCGGTTCCGCCAAGACCAAGGCTGTCACCAGCCCTACTGGTACTTGCGCGACATTGATCAGCCAGGCTGGAAGTGAAGGCACTGGTACCGTTACATCGTCGCCATCTGGTACAGGCAGTTCTGGCTCGAGTGGCAGCAGCAGCAGCAGCTCAACCAGCAAGAGTGCGGGCGCCGCGGGCTTTTCTGCTCCTGCGCACATTGGTTTCTTGCAGGTTGCATTTTATGTCTCTGTCGCGCTGGTGTCGGGTGCTGGAATGATTTTGTTGTAAGGGGAGGATTTCAAGTATTGGCATTGCCAGAAGGGGTCGGACTGGTCCGATGTGTTTATCTGGGTATGAACAATCCCGCTAGGTAGACGCTCTGGAGAAGGTCTTGGGTTTCGAGCATGTAGTCTCGAGCATTGATGGTGTTTGATCAGCGCGGGAAAATCCTTTTGTATCTAAGAATGAAAGACAGGTTCCGTTCATAAATAACCGTCGCCCTGCCGTCTGTTCCACGAGATCCACTCCTGCCTAGTACTGAGTTCAGGCTGCTGATCTTCCCGTTGACCAGCTGTGACATGCCCAATTGAACGGGCGCGTATTGGGATCTCTGATTGTAATATTGAGTGGATTGACTAAGTTACGCCGCCGGGTGCGCATTATACAGTACATAGCCTTGCAGATGACGGAAGATCTTCGGCTGATATAAGTTGGTTTTTCAAGATCTCCCAGTCGCTACCTCGAGGCGCCTATGATATGGTCAAAGTGTGGACTTCGTGGTATCGGAGGAATGCCTTGGTGAATTGTAGGGCTTTCCATTCGTGCGATCCAAACGGTGAGGAAAGATTCTAGAGCTAGGCACCAGGCTGGTCGTGCTGCCTACCCACAAGACCGCAATAAAAATAGCGGACTCTGCCATCAAGGACGTACCAGTGGCTTTAATGTCACCCATATCAGCTTCAATCCTATAGCCACAGCCCTATAGCATAACAACCTCCCCCACCAACCTCTTGTGGGTGGAAATGGCGGTCACATATGGCATGCAGGAGCTTTATGGAGGCACAGTGGCAGTGGAACTACCGATCAACTTGATAGATTCCAGGCATGTCCACCCGTCTAGTATTTGCTTTTTGCTTTCAATAGCAGCTCATTGATAACTTCTACAGTGACCTCCGCCAGATCCCCGACAATCAAGAAGTCTTTCTGTCCCCTACAACCCTGACCTCAGTGGTATTCGAAATAAACGAGTACGTTGAGCCTTCGACAACAGGCTTCCACCCCACCACAACCACCACTACAACAACGCAGCCAGACGGCACGACGACAACCACAACGGTCACCGCCGTCAATGGGAACACTTCTTCTCGTGAGGCCGACGCAGAGGCCGCCAAGTACCACTTCACAGACGTGATTGCAGAACCAGACACACTCGCTGATGACTTGCCCGAACCCCAGAATGTGACCATGCAGCATCCCAGCCTCGTCGAATTTCCTGCTTCCATTCTGTCTGGAAACTTCAACAGCGTCGATGCTCGGCGGGACCGGCAACAACAGCATCAGCCATCGCAGTCGCAAGTTGCTGTCCAACAAGCTTCGCCGTCATCTTCGCGAGGATTACTCGAGTCCATCGTCCACCAGATGCAACTTCTGGTGAGATTGAAAGACTATGACACCGATCTGTGTGTGCGAGTTAACGTTCCCTTGAAAGAGATTGCGAGGGACGACGGCCAGATCGCGGCCGAAGTGGCTTTTGCTAGGGATGTGCTTGCACGGGTCGTTGCTACGTTGGAGATACGGGATTTCGGGCTCTTCGGTGAGGAGGATTGAGTGAGTGACTGACACTGGTCAAAGCACGACGAGGCTTACGGTTATGCATGGCATATCGAGAAGGGGCGGATCCAGCGTCATCATCGAACAATGACGCGGTCGACGCCAGGTCGAAGATAGGATTGGGTCTCCTTATGCGGTGAGGATGATTTCGTGATCAGATGCTACAAGGCTGAAGGCCACTGGGAGGACTACAGGCTTATGCAGATAGCGAGCAAGTCGGACAATAAGAGAACGTCGTGAAGGAGCGATGATATGATGGATCATAATGGCATTCTCACAACGATGGGGGTGTGAATATGAGACCTTACAGCTCCTTGAAGTGCCAGAAGAGGATACTGGGCGACACATGTAGGGCCAAGAATTTTGGAAATTGTGGGATAGGTAGACAGCAGATAGACAGCATACGGAGACGAGGTTAGAGGAGATGCATCTCTATACATACCAACGCTCGGTGCAATATTACAATGACCAAAAAGACTCGCTTCCGCGACAGTCAGGAAATATTGTGCAACGAAATGATCATTGTTGATTGGAGATATGCCTGGCTTAACTCGAACAACTTCAGTCCATGTCCCTTTCTTCGAGATCCAACCGAACGCTGCATCCATCTGTGCTTTTGTCTCGACCTTTATCGGTAAACACCAATGCGTTTGACCTGATGTACACAATGATCCAACGCCGTTTCCAACATGTTGCTGACTCAGTCACTCAACTCAACAACTTCAGTCATGGTCTCCAAATTGCTCATTCCACTGTTGCTGCTTCCGGAAGTTGAATTGGACTTAGCACTTTCTGCACTATCTTCTCTTGTGAACAGCATCCTCGATTTCTTGACAGGACTCGCACGCGGTTTCGGTCTGACCTGTACCAGTTTGCCCTTACACTTGCCACAACGATGTTTATCCGGGTCAATACTCTTGCTGTGTCGACCGTACTCTGCTCCACAGCCGTCCTCGTCGTTAATGTTAAGGAAATTCATGGCCGGTGTTTGTTCCCTCCCAACACAAACCCAGAGATACTTGTGATTGATGACATAGCTGTGTTTAGTGGTGACTTCGACTTTGCGCCAGATTTCCACGTCACTTGCACGCAAATAAGATGTGACTCTTTCCGCCCACTGCTTAAAGGAAGCACCATGAGGCTGGTCGCGGATGTTGCTGATCATGAAATTCGTCAGATGGCAGAACTCGTGTGCCACAGTGTTAACGAGTCGATCCTCACAATCGACAATCTTCTCGGCAAGCTCGATGCTGGCAAAGTGCTGGACTTTGATACCCGGGCCAGCCACCTCACCACCCTTAACGGGCGACCCGGACGACTTGATCACTGTTCGTTTCCAGTTCGCACGGCCGGCCGTTGACCGAAGAATCTTTGACCATACGATTCGAACACCGCCTGTGCTCGACGCGAGCTTTGCAAGCTCTGACCCAGCTACGCTCATATCGAGCTCTTCCAGCAAGTCAACGGCAAGCTGCTCTTTGCGACTGTCGAAAGCTTTCTTCCTGGCCAGTGCAGCCCGCTTCTCGTCAAGCAGACGCTTCTTCTCCTCTTTTTCCGGACTTTTCACTGGCAACTGATTCTTTGCTCGTGTTTTTCGGGGTGATGAGAAGGGCCTGGGCAGTGGGGTGGAACTTTCCTGGTCCTGGTCATCGTCCTCTGAGTCGGACCAAATCTGAAAGCGAGCAAGTCCTCCTTTTCTCGGTGAGGTTGTCGGTGCTTTCTTTGGTGAATACTCGTCGATCCATTCATTGATCACATTATGATCCCAAAAGTCGTCCATACTCTGTCGGTGAGGCGATCGAGGGATAGCTTGTCTCTTCGAAGGAGACAGCAATTTTGAGGGCGACTTCAGTTTCGATGATGACCGAGGCGGTGTTGCTGGAGGTGTCTTGAAAGAGTCCTCTCTCGCTTCAGCCGCTCTCTCAAGAGGGTCTTGAATGGCCATGATCTTTGAGGGGACAGCAAGTTTCGGCCTCGAGGATGGAGGGGCCAATCTCAGTATAGTGTCAAAGTCTTCGAACGGATTCGAGCTGCTTGACCGCTGTATCTGAGGTTCGGGGTGCGGCAATAAGGTCGCCTTTCCATTTTGCCGTGTGTTCAGTTCGACTTTAGGCGAAGCCGGCGGTGAGGAAGTGAGATCGATGACTTCGACTACTCCCGCTTTCGCTTCAACTGTACCTTCGTGTAGCCTCATATTCCGCATGGCGTCGAACAGTTCACTTGTTGGGTTGTTCTCTTTTCCTGAGTTCGACTCGTGGTCCGAAGAGTCAACACGCCGCTGGTTGCGCCGCCCTCTCTGAAGACGTCGTCTGGAGGCTTGTCTAGGCAAACTCTTCATCCTCGACCGCTGGTCTCGAGCGTCGCCTTCTGAGTCCGGCCCCGCACTGTCGTGATAACTCAGCTCTGCATCGTCATCCACAATGAAACCGCTCAGGTCAGTATCTTCGTCCTCATCCTCCTCTTCCATGGAGCTCTCCGCGTCGTCGTTACACCGGGCTTCGTTCAAGACGAATCTGCTCGCATAACCTAGGCCCTGTTTCTTGGTGCGGGACTCATGTGAACCCATTTTCCTCGCTGCTTCTGTCATGAGGGACATTATGGACATCGATGGACTGTGGACGGCTTCAGCAGGCCGGGCGCTGGCCAACGGACGCATGACGGTCATTTTCGGACTCTGCTCTTCTACTGCCATCACTTTCATTGGTAACAGGAGTGAATCGACACTGGTTATTTTGGAATGCGTTCGGCCTTTCACGGGCGACCGGCGGTTGTTGGAGATAATACTCGTTTCCATCGCGGCCAACTTTTGAGGCAGGGCTGGATTGGTGTCTACAAAATAAGTTTTGTGAGGCTTCTTCGTTGTTGCTGCGTCTTTGGGCTTGTTTCGAATTTGCTTCGTATCTGTGTGCATTGACTTTGGAGGAATCGGTGTTTCGTGTTGTCTCTTTTGTGGTGCATTGGGAAGTGTGGAAGCGCCTTTTTTCCGTGGCGACCTTCTCACAGAAGTATTTGTGCTCGTCGCCATTAGAGGCCTCGGGGCAAGTAGAGCACCGAGTTCCGGTAACTCGTCATCAGACTCGTGTGTCGACATGTTCAGTGGATGGAGTATGACTTGTCACAGTCAATTCTCCTGAGCCTGATGCTGAAGTTGTCGCGGTTTATAGATGACGTCGATTTGTTTACGCGATTGCCCCAACAACGTGGTCACGTGAATGGTCGCGCTTCCATCAGTCTGCGAGTTCAAGTTCATCTTTACCACACTGCCACCTGCTCATGTTATGTGCTTGTTGTCGACCCCGGACTCTATCATGAGAGCGACTTTTCAAGACGCAAATTTCCACTCGAATAGAGTCCTCCATCCTTGTAGTCCAATCGAGAAGAGGGAAGCAAGCAAGCTGGCCGCTCGACTTTGATCGCTATCTATACAACTCATAGCTTTTCGACTGCGCAGACGGTATACTTTTCTCCAAAAGCCTCGACTAGATCACCTTCCTTGCAGCTTTCCTCCCACTCCATCTTCTTCTTATCTGAACCCTCCATGCCGGGAAGGCTGCCAATCTTTGACAGATCTCCGGCCTCGCGCAGAGTTTTCCAGGTGCTGTTCCCATCATCCCATGCCTGCCTTCGAGCACAGAACCCGTTCATGAAACTCGGTCCGTCATCGCCACCTTTCAGACCCAGAAAGTCACCTCCAACTCGTCCCAAGAACGTCTTCCCATCTGCACTGCGAATGATCCAGGCAACAGGAAACACATCCGGCAAAGAGGCTGGAAGAGTTCGCCAGACCTCTGCATACGGTGTGATCTTGTTGGTCTCTGGATTGAGCATGCTGCCGGTCTCGATGCTATCCGTGGGATTTGCGGCGGGCTCAAAGCTACCTATGTCTGGCTCCGTATAGCCATTGGAATCAATCCAGTGCGTCCATTTGCAGGTTACTGGCACTCAATGTCAGCCTGAGGCTGTAACAGGAGAGACAATACCTACGTGGCTCTCTGGACAAGATCAATCTCTCTCCAGCCATTCCCCAATCAATGGAGCCATCCTTCTTGGTAATCCGGAGGTCGACATACCAACCACCAACGCTCATCACGAGGGTGTCGGTAGGCTCGGACGGCTCTCCTGGAACCCAGCGAATGCTCAGGCGGGTTGATAGGCGGGAAGACATGGCTGATTGGCTAAGTCGATGATAGGTAAGAATCGTGGAATCAACGTGAAGGCTTGTTCTAACGAACCGTAAGGCGTGTCCTAGGTCAATAGGTCAAACTTAAGTATTTCTGGAACGACCATAACCTCCAAGCAGTATTGTCAAGTTTTCCGAGCCCGAACGTCAGGACCGCTTGGTGGGTTTGACTCCACGACGTCGGTCCCAATCCATACCTAGGTACCGTAGTCATGGATTCATGGTCCGCACGTCGCTTCATCTTTCCCCTTCTGGTTTAACACCAAAGGAACGAACGAGCGCATTGGCTGATTTGACGCAGTTCTCCGCTTTGCCCAGACCGTCCCAGAATTCAAGCAACATAAGTTACTAATACCTACTCCGTAATGTTCTCTGATCGATCTCGCGGCAATCGGTACATTTGTCGAATTTGTACGATGTCTTCTGGTCTAGGATGATATCGTCATAGTCAAAAAGACGTAAGGCTGCTCATAACGTCCCAATCAAATCCTACTCGAAGGACTACAGTCGGAATGTAACTCCTTTGGCCACCTTTGCAAATTGGGACAACGATGCCACCCGCGGCCAGGTCTTGGAATGGCTGCGTACGCTGCAGGAAGCGAAGACAGAAATGTGATGAACAAAAGCCACACTGCGCTCGGTGTCAAAAGCACGGACAAAGCTGTACTTACGAGAAAACATTGAGGTTTGGCGGTCGGCCCTTCTCGCAATCCCGCTTTGGGACTTGTCTGTCGAGCAAACAGGGCGGAGCTCGCAAAACAGGTATGGGCGCAAGGAAGTGGTGTCTCGCGCGTTATGATGCTAACAGACTGTTAGCTACCTCCGATGGGGGATTTGTCTACACTGCCAAAATCGGCGAAGCAGAGCCTTTGTCTCCTGTGCCACCGCCTCAACCGGTGATTGCGTCGAACATGCAGGCGGATGCTGTATGGCCTACGTCAATACCGGAACTCCGAATCGACCATCATCAACGACTTGAGCCCTTATCCAAGATCTCAATAACCCGGCAACTTGACATGATGCCCTCAGTCTCCTTACAGAATCGTGGCCTCTTCGAATACTTCACCTGCAACGCCTCAAGGGCGTTGGCACCCCATACTTTCGTTCACCAAGAGATATGCAAATTGATCTTGCCTATGGCTCTTGACAGTCCGGCTCTGCTCCATGCAACTTTAGCGTTAGCTGCCGTTCACAGATACTCAACAGGATTCAGTATTGAGCACCACTATTCCGATGGAGACATGCCGCTTGTGAACCATCTGACAGGCATCAGCATCCAGCATCTACGCAATGAGCTCCAGAGTCCTCAGACAGGATCGTTGGGGACGAAGCTTGCGACCATTCGAACCTTGTTTCTGTGTGAAGCCATTTCCGGATCTCCATCTTTGCGCACCTGGAGAGCACATTTCCTTGGAGCGCAAGCACTGATATCATCACTTTCCGGATTCAATGCTGAAAGTCGCAAAAAGGATACAGCTGTGTCTTTTCTGTGCAGGTGGTATGAGATCACGGAAGCGCTTGTTGCGGTTACCAACGAAGGATTGACAGAAAGTGGTACACCGGAGTTTACTGGCAATCGACATCTTCTAGCCGACATTGACACCAGAACAGCATGCATTGATGCATACACTGGTTGCGCAGAAGATCTTCCAGTTGCATACCGGGAGATTGGAGCGGTAGCCTGGGAAAGGCGCCGAACGATTGAAAATCCAAGCTGTTACCCCAGACTCTCTGAGCAAGATTTTCAATGTGAGGCTGATTACCTGGAATTATCGGTGCGGAATATGATACGACGCGATAAGTCACGAACAACGGTACTCAAGAACTCCGGGACGCCTGATCTATCGGTCGATGACTACAAGGACTTTGTCCTTTGCAATGAGGCGTACCAGATCACTGCGCTGATCCACATCCATCGGCGCATTCGACGGCTGCCACCAGCAGATGCAGCCGTACAGGAATGTGTCCAAAGAATTGTCGAGTGTGTTGGCAGCATCAAGCCTGCGGCGACATTGTCACCCCTCACTCTCCTAACCACGCCTCTCTTCACTGCTGGATGCGAAGCTATAGGCAGAGAAAGGATCCGAGTTGCACAATTGCTGAACAACATGTTTACGCTTCTACGAGTGCCGAACATGAAACGCGCCTTACAGGTGCTGGAGGTATTTTGGCATGAATCGGACGCCCGAGGCATTTTCTGGGAGGAATTTTCACGTATGCAAAGCCACGCACCCCATATTGTGATTGCTAATTCGTATACAGGTGAACGTGGGTGGGACTTCCTGCCGTACTAGTGAACCTCCCTACATGACCTCCAAGGGTCGTCCACTCCATTCTCGATCGGGAAATCTTTAATCAACCCTCGTCGCAAACTGCCTCGCTTTACTTTCTGCTGTTCATGCGTCCGGTGATAAAATAAAGCTCATTTCTTCTCACCCTGAACATGCTCGACGGCTGCATTGCTGGGCACTTCGTCAGAAGTCAGCACTATCGGCTTTACCCATCTTGGGCCCCATTTGTGCAGTACGAAATATGTCGGTGGCAGACAAATGGCACAGAGGAGGGCCTGGGTTCCGAAGCACCAGCCATAACCTGGCGCAGAAGCATCAGCAATCAACGTACTCTGGACCTGAGCAAACCACTTACCGACTGCCGCCGTCCAATTATATATGTACCACGGTACTATGAAGGCCGATATCTGGATATGGTCAGTGTGCTTACTTGGAATTCTCCAGAGCGAGCGGACTTACGTTGATGATTACTGAGTAGAAGGTGATCACCTCGATGGCATGCTCTGGGTAGCTGTCGACAATGTACGTCGACAAGGTTGTATTGCCCGCTTGAAGGCCGACCGCGAAGAGGAACAGTCCGATCTGGCCGGTGATCCAATGCCAGCCTCGTTGGACCGAAACACCCCAAACTGCCAGTCCGATGGCAGACGCGATCGCTCCAGGATACCCAAGCCAAAGTCTCATTTCAGGCGTGCGTATACCATGGTTCTTTCGCGCCAATCGGGCCACAATCCAATCGCTCAAATGACCTGAGCAGAAGATCTCTGCAAATATCACCCCTACCAGGGCTCCAGCAAAGAAAAGACCTTGAATCTGGATCTTGTACTCTGCGTATGCTGCAGGTATCATCGTGAGCACCGTTACGATCCTGATATTGTCAGTTATTACTCTCAGGATGGCGTTGACCGACTTACCACCAATAATCAAAGAAAATGTATCCACACACGCTTGCCACCAATTTTGGATAGGCCCATAACTTGCAGAATGTTATCAATGTTGCCCATGGCTTGGGGTGAAGCACGCCTGGGATCTTTCGGAAGTTCTGTCAAGAGCATTAGCCAACTTGATCGACGCACGAATTCAACTCATCTTTACCAGCCAGGGAAGTTGTGTCGTCCTTTTGATGGTCAAACTGCTGTTTTCCAGTCCTTCACCTCGGGCTTCAGCACCAGCCTGTCGTTGCTCGAATGCCGCCACTTCGGCGCGTGGATACTGTGTCTCTGGCAGGAAAAACACCTCCCAGGCGAGGAGAAAGGCGAATCCAATGGTAACGTGGTATGCGACCCAATATTGGCTGACCGTGGCAAGAAAGCCACCAACTGCGAATTGATTAGTGTCCCCGTCTGCTTTCATTCCGGGATGAGGCGGTGTTGAGAACTTACCTATACCACCCAGCACGGTGCCGACATTTGCCGACAATGCCCAAAGGCCGATGCGGAAGCCTCTCTCGTGTTCCCAGGAGACATCGTTGATGATGCTAAGACCGACGTTTGCTGCCGGTCCAGCAGCGAATCCCTGGAAAAACCTGGCAGCCATATATTGTTCGACGCTTTGTCCTTTAATTGATGTGCAGCCAGAAGCCAGCACGGCAATCGCGGTTGAAGCAATGGTGACAACTCGACGTCCATAAGTCTCCGCCAACGACGATGTGATCAGCGGTCCGAAAGCGAGACCGAAGGCTGAGATGCCGAAGGACCAATTCACTTGGTTATATGTTGCATCGAACTGCTCTTCAAGAAGCGAGAATGATGGCACAGGGGCCATGGTCAGGTATGTCATCAGGAAGTAGAAGAAGCAAGCGATCCCAACGATGTTGTACTTGCGCACTTTGGACCAGTTCAGAGGGTCGAGAGGGTCGTTCGTCGGAGTTGGCACAAGTGACTTGTCGCGGCCGTCGGCAGGAATATGGTGTATCTGGGCCTCATCTGGGCTGCGATCTTGAGTTGGAGCATCTGTGCTATAAGGCCGCTTCTCGGTGACCGTGGGGGAAGACATCATGCAGGACAGATAACGATGGAGGATCTGACTAGATCTGAAAGAATTGCGAATTCAACTGTGGCAACATAAGCAAGGGCAATGGCGTTCAATACATTTATATTCATGAATATCAGAACAGACTACGCGACCAGCTCCATAAGAGATAAGAACGAGGCTCTGGAATGTCAGCGGAAAGCGTTGCTCAAAAATCACTATGCTGCAAGGGGAAGCCTCAGGAGCCTATACCGTTGTGGAGGCCGTTAATGGTGCGTACATTACACAACTCGTGCCAGAACCGAAGTGGCGTGGAGGACATCAGTGGCATTGATCTACCTAGGCCAGAAAGGAAAGGATGAAGCGACACCTCTAGGTGCTACGTGCGCAACCGAGAGATCTCTGAATCAGTGCCAAGGCGTCCAGGCGTCACATCTATAGATCTGGTACTAAGCCAGAAAGGAAAGGATGAAGCGACAAGGATATGAAAGACCCTGCGTAACCAATCGGAGTACTCTGTATCCATTGGCAGCCAGCCGGCCTATCATTATGTGAATTTATGTCGACCCAATGACTACACGCATTCAATACCTGATACTAGACTGTACTCTTGTGGTACCTGGTCGTCTCGTCATGCCTTTCCGAAGATAGTGGCACAACCGTGGAGCTGCCAGGAACATGAGCCTCGTGAGGGGATACTGTCAATAGGGTTACCAGCGTTCATCGCCCCTACTTTCCGCTACAGGCGTCCCCAACAACGAAAATCATAACGACGAACATCTCCGAACCTGGGTTATATAGCCCTCGACGCTGGTCTACTCGCCTACCCCGTGTCTTTGAGCCAAGGGGTCCGACTCTGTCGAGCGAGAACTCCTATCAAGTCTGTTTTTCCGATCTCCGGAACGCTTTTCCCCCGGCATATGAGACACGGCAGTCAATATGGTCATATCATACACGGTAGGGCTGCTGCCGTACCTCTTAGCCGTTGCCGCCCTCATCAGGGTCATTCTCAGGCTCCTGGCACCCCTGGCCAAGTTGCCCGGACCGTGGTATACGGCGCTTACTTCTCTCGTCCTCAATTACCATGAATTCACCCACGGACGAACACTGTACATACACCGCCTGCACCAGAAATATGGCCCGGTCGTGCGCCTTGCGCCCAACGAAGTCTCGTTTTCCACGGCCGACGCTGTCAAGGAGATTTACATGTCTGGAGGAAGTGGCTACGACAAGACGGAGTTCTACAGTCTCTTCACCCAATTCAGGACGCGGACTTTGTTCAGTACGCTTCCGAGAGCTGATGTATGTGCTTCCAATCCTTCGTACATCCTGTTAAGAGGACACACCACAAGTACTGACAGACCTCTAGCATAGCTACATGAAGCGCTATATGGCCGACCGGTATGCAAATACTAGCGTCATGAAGCCTGAGGTCTTGGATGGCGTGTCCAGCCATGCGAAGGACTTTTTGAAGAAGTGCTTGGAAGGCTGTGCTGCAGTCAGCTATGCTGATATCTATGTGAGTGCACCTCTTGGTCTGGTTTTCGGGCATTGACGTTCAAGATCCATCTTCATTGCTTTGCTCTCGACGGGGTAACGCATCAACTGTTCCATCCCTACGGCACGCATGCCAATAGGGATGAGAAGGACTTTCGGTTGGCGAAAGAGATGTCTTATCATGACAGCTTGAAGAGTATGTTGCCGCTCATGCCCAGTAGGTCGCCGGACTGACCGGGTTCAGGCAACTTCGCACTTTACTACATGCCATGGGCATCGGACGTTGTCCACTACTTCAACCCACCCAAGCCGGCACCACTAACGAACGATTACGTCCTCAAATCGAGCGCGGGTTCTTCTCCATCGCCTTTTAGCCTGTTGTCCAAACTCCAGGCTCAAGCAAAAGCTACAAGCATGCCGCCTCACTACGTCCCAGCCGAGTGCAAGGATCATCTGGCTGCCGGAGTAGACACGACAGGGGATGCGCTGTGCTTCCTAATGTATCAACTTTCCCAGCCCACGCTTGAATCGGAACGGATTCAAGGATCATTGCGCAAAGAGCTTATGGAGAACCCATCAACTCCTTTCGACCGACTTCCGTACCTCGATGCAGTCGTCAAAGAAGGCCTTCGCTGCTTCCCACCCATTCCAATGTCCATGCCGCGATATGTACCGCAAGGCGGCAGCACGATCGAAGCACATCACATTCCTGGCGGTACCATTGTGAGCTGCCAGGTTTATACAGTCCACAAAGATCCAAGTGTTTTTCCTCAACCGTTGGAATTTCAGCCAGAGCGCTGGCTGGATGCACAGGGCGAGATTGAGAGAAACCGGTGGTTTTCTGCCTTTGGAGCTGGTGGACGAGGGTGTCTTGGAAGACAGTAAGCTCCCATGACTAATTTTCTTTGAAGAGAACGATGTGCTAACTTTTCCAAACAGTCTCGCGATGGCGGAGATGAAACTGCTTCTCCGCGAAGTGTATTCTCAATGCCGGACGACAGTGTCGGATCAAATGAACAGTGACATGGAGATGGAAGACCAGATTATTGCTAGTCGGCCGAAGGGACAGTGCTGTAAGCTAGTGTTTGAGAAAGTTGGGTGAGGTGGATACCATACAAAGCTTCGAGTTCCAGTTCCAATTTTCAGCGGTCGATCATGCCGTCGACTAGATGGCGGTATCGTGGCTCACGGCCTTCGAGTTTGGCTTGCTGATTCTCTTGGATGTATGCCGCAATTCGTGCCTTTTGCTCCGTTCCCGTCAACGTGGTCCGTCCTGAAGTATGTCGAAGTCCTCGGGATTCACCCCTATTCGGAGCGTACATCCAGGTTCTGATTGTGTTCCACGCCGCTATGGCTTCCTCGTTTGTGCATGCGTTCCTTATGGAGTTTGAAAATTTTGTCCCAATCGAGTCCTCAAGGAAGTCACCTGCCCGAAGCCCTGGATAATTGTCGAACAAATCTCGATACATTTGGACCACGGCAAGATGGGGCCGATCAAAGAAGTGAAGGCAGGCAACGAGATCGGAGTCAAGCTCCCGTCCACGACGCAGGCCTTTGGTTGTATCGAGCACCGCACGCGAACGAGGGTTGGACTTGCTCATTCTGTGCTCGTATCGCTTGGAGTACCTTGTCACAAAGGTAATATAGTTGACCTCCTGTTCGTCACGAAGGATTTGTAGCAGTTGTGTAATAGGAGGCGAGATCTCAAAGACCCAATCGTGTTGCAGGACCATCACATACGGTGTGCTGCAATAACGGATGGCAGTCTTGACACTCAAGGCGAACCCCTGATGCCGCTGATGCTGGATGATTGTCACGTCTCTGGATTGGTGAGACTTGAAGACCAGGGCGTCCGTTCTCACGTCCGTGGCTGGCTGGAGTTCATCTTGCGCAAAGAGTCGCTTGACTTTGTCGATATAGTCAGGATAAGCTTCTGCCATCCGAGCGGGGACTTGGCCTCGTTTCAGTCGACCGTCGACATAGTTTTCGTTCTGACATATTGTGAAGCTGTCGAATGTGATGATCAGTGGAACGAGGGCGAGCAATGGTGGGAGTGATTCCAGGACACCACAAATCAGCTCGGTAGATGGGATCGAGGGCGTCGGAGAGGTCGTTAGGATAATGGTGAGATCACCGGGTGAAACATCTGTCATGAGGGCACTGTGGCAGAGGGTGAAATTGTGATCGAGGACAATAAGATCTGGATTTGCCATGGCGAGAAGTACTTGTAAAGAGTTCTTCAACCTTAGTAATCATCCTCCGGGACTGCTTTCTAAGGTACCTTGAGTCAAGCAACCAATAGGGAACGTCTTTAGGCATGGGGGCACACTTCGGTGTAGCAAGTTTAATCTACTAACTTCAAGGCACTTCAATACCCCTTGCTTCACAACCACATACCTATCAGGGATTTGTGTCCCACTTACAACAGCCGATAATCTCCAGGATGAAGGAGGGCATGAAGGGCACAGCCCATTTGCTGAAAGTAGAATGCGACTCCAAGATAAGTGTTCAACACTCTGTCATGTTTCTTCTCTGCAACCACCCTCAGGCACTTCACCTTCACGGACAGACCTCCACCACGATATTAATCCCTCGTCAGGACTTCCAGTCATCAGGGACCGTTGCCGAAATACTGCCTTCAAATCAAAATCACCATGAGTGAACCGGCGGACGACTACAAGTCCTTCTTCTGCACCAATGGGCTGACCTGGACCTGGCGGGATGGCTCGGACATCAGTCCAGGCTGGTGCGTGGGGAATGTCAATTCTTACGAAATCAAAAGCACATTTCGACCACCGCTACCTCTAGACAAGCTCCTAGGAGGGTGCCCTCCGGTAGCCTCTGAGTCGCCGTTGTTTGCTCTACTGCCCATCGAAGCCCTCACGCGCATCCAATCATTTCTTCCTGCCAATCGAAGTCCTCACGCGCATCCAATCATTCCTTCCTGCCAATCGAAGTCCTCACGCGCATCCAATCATTCCTTCCTGCCAACGAGCTGGTCAACTTTGCCCTGGTGAACAGTGACTGTCGTCAAATAGCACGTTCCATCTGGTTCGAAACGCTGGTATTTGATTATGACTTTAAACGATTAAGACTCAGTGTACTTAACAACTCATCAAGGAATCGCGCCAGTCCTCGGCGCTCAACTTAGGTGCCTGCATACGTCGTATGGTGGTCGCCACGAATGGTGAATGCTTCCAGTCTCTCCATGCGACGGAATACGACACTCTTGAGAGAGTCAGTGGAGATGAGAAGGAGCAGCAGCTACAAAGAGCTGCAGATTACTACTTTGGATCCTACATTCCCTCACTCACGTACATTGTTGGCCGGTGTCTGCCTAATCTGGAATTACTAGACTGGCGAGACAAGTTGAAAATTGGCCCAAAGCTGCTGCAGACCGCCCTCCAGTCTCCTATTCTGCATCTGAGGCTCAACGGAACGATAATTAACCAAGAACTAATCGAAGCATTCAGGAAGATCGAGCCACAGCACACCAGCAGATTGCAGACTCTCGACATCGAGCTTTCCAAAGGAAAATTCGGTCACCAAGCAGGGCATTCATTCGACCTTGTCGCCCGAATGTCGAAGTATTGCAACTCGTCATTGAGGACATTCCGCTGGAATGGAGTCTACACCCGTTTGGGAGACGGAGAAGAGGCTGGCGAATCCCCAGAGCCGCTACCTCCTCTCCTCAACATTCGAGACCTCACTCTCACGTCGCTGAGAATGCGTTCGCCGAAAGACGTTCAAGCGCTGCTGCCCTCAGGGCTTGCCTGCAAACTTGTGCGTCTCGAAGTGGATTCTCCTGATGTGTACACGGTCCAACATATAGACACCTTCACCGAGATTCCCACACTCAAAGAACTCGCGTTAACGAATATCATGGGAGTGCCGCTCTCATTAATCGAAGCAAACTCGCAGCTAGACTTGTTGAGCATCATCGTTTGTGATGACCAAGCTGATATCATGGACAACACGCTACTCCCCTTGCTTTGTCGCCGTTTCCATAACCTACGGTCTCTTGCAATTGAGTATGGCAGTGCTAGGACACAAGTGTCGAACTCTGCCTTACAGTACATCAGCCAGCTGAAAAGTCTTGAAAGGCTCCACCTTTCAGCTGGTGAGCGCTATCTCTGGAGGAAAACATGGCTGGTTGACCATCATGCCATCCGACAGTGCGTTAGACAGCTGCCGAAGCTGAAGTCACTTGCCTTGAGCCGTGACACATACCACCCCGATATCTCCAACACAAACGGCGATCATTATGAGCGCTACTACACAAGTCCTGATCTCCTCACTGCTCGAGATTCGAAGGAGCACCAATTGATCTCGCGTCGGTATGATGAGTTAACCGGTGGCAATTTCGAAGGGGAGTTGAAATGGAAGTTTGAGATGATACATCGGCGACGAATGCTATTGAAAGCATACAAGTATATCTATTTGAGGTACGAGGATGGCCCGAGCCTAGACTCCCTATATTTCGGAGAGCTGCCCGCAAGTATGCCCTCTTTCGAAATCCTGTGACATCGGCGTACGAGTTTGCCAGATTTACCCCCGTCTATGCTGGCAGAGCTTGCTGACGTTTTCCCGATGAGGGTGGTAAGGGGCTCGTCAGGTGAATATAGACCAATGGCAGTAAGCGAGCGCCGAGACGAGGGTTGGACATTCTTGAGAAGGACATTTCGAGGGCAGAGCAATCTTTTTGATGGAAGAACCTGATTAGTGTCAATTTGACGAATGTTGACGAATGCAATGGCCGCGACCTTTTCATCCGGTCTGACCTCAGCTGGAGCAATGCTGTCACCGCTCTGGAGGGCTAATCCGCAGCCGTTGGCGAGCGGGACGCTGTAGTCACAGATGTTGCTCGGCTGAGAAGAGGAGACTTCGGTCTTCTGGGCCACGAGGCTTACTTGAAAAGGGGCCGAGCCCTGCCAATCAGCAACCCCATAATGTATGAATCGACATTGATCGAGCAGCGATCATCCGCTGAAGCTGGCACTGCTCGATATTGTAAATGCAACTCAAATAGACGGAGGACGACGTCCAGGAATCCAATAGAATATGGAGATAGCTCCATATGGATATGTTGCTGGAGGGCATCCTGGTTTGTAAGGCGATGTCGGCTATATTACTTGTCGGGGTAGTCGATGAGACGATCTTGGGGAATGGTGATAAATGCACCTCCGGTGCTGATCGTCAGAAATATAACATTCGCAGAAGCACCAGTCGGGTCGTGAAGAAAACTAAACTCAAGCTGTCAAGTATCGAGGAGACTACTGGGACTTGCAAGTACTCATATTAATTGCACACAACTTTGGAGCTCAATCACCGTCAACATGACGACCGGCAAGAACGTCCTCATTGTTGGCCCAGGCTTCATCGGCCTGAATATTCTGGATTATCTCGTCCAGGAGAACTACAAAGTCACCGGCCTGGTCCGACGAGCAGCCCATGCACAGCAGATTCAGCTATCAGGTGCCAACGCAGTCGTCAGCGACCTCGACGACAATATCACAATAAAAAGGCTGACGATCGAGAATGATATCGTCTTCCACACCGCAACCGCCGATCATCAGCCGTCCGCTGAAGCCATCTGTGCAGGAGTTGCAGAACGGGCGAACCAGGGCAAATCGACAATATATATCCATACCTCCGGTACGAGCGTGTTGGACGACAAGTCGCAGGGCGCCTTTGAGAACGACAAGATATATTATGACAACAAGCGAGAGGATATCGACGCACTGCCAGATTCTGCACCACACCGGAAAATTGACCTCGCCATCCTCAAAGCCCAAAAGGATATTGGCGACAAGGCCAAGATTGCAATCATGATTCCGCCGCTCATTTACGGTTATAACCCACATCACAGGCGTCTGACAATCCAGATCCCGACACTGACCCGGTTCGCGCTCAAGCATGGATATTCAGGCCATGTTGGCAAGGGGTTGAGTGTAGAATCTCAAATACACGTCGTGGACCTTGCCAGAGCGTATGTGACCTTGCTGCACCACATGGAAGCATCGTCTCCAGAGACTTTTCTGAACAATCCATACTTTTTTTGCGAGAATGGACATGACACCTCCTGGAAGACTGTTGCAGAAATGGTTGGCAAGGGCTTGCACAAGGCAGGAAAGATCCCCGATCCGACTCCCAAGACCATTCCTGAAGACCAGTATGACGATTTGTTCGGGCCATATACAGCTGCAGTGGTCGGCCTCAATTCACGCAGTCGGGCAGTCAGGTTGAGGGAATTAGGCTGGGAGCCCAGAGAGCGAAGTTTCCAGGACAGTTATGAGATCTTTGAGTTGCCAGAGATTTTGAAAGAGGAGGGTGTCGAATTCAAGGGGTATCAGGGGACTGCGGCATCTTGACTGGTCGTCAGTCGACGGCCTATGAAGACTTTCTCCCAGGAGCTTGAGATGGAGCGCTGTGACCAGAACAATACGGGATCCCTCGTCTCTGTTGTGTCCACGTAACCCAGGGTCCAAGGGTCCGGCAACCACAGTAAAGTGTAGACTGATCAGTGGCTGGATTGGGTGGACATACTGGACGTCTCCCGGCGCAACCTCGCCCGATGCAATTGCAGTTGGCAATTGAAACAAGATCATACTAGATTTCGGCATAAGAGGTCTGCTTCACAGGTCATTGGTAGTCGTGATATATTACACATTCTCATCTCCTCTGGTCACGGTGACCATCTCATAGCTTGGTCCAGCATCGACATTCCTGCCTCTACCCGCAGCGCCCCGTGTATTGTCATCGGCTTCCGCAGACCCATTGGCTGTAGCCTTTTTGGGGACTGTTCCAAAAGAAATAGGCTGCAATTCGCGATAGCGACAAGCCCAGACGCCTAGGCTAATCGTGAGCGCAGCACTGGCAGCTTCCAGGCTCCACCAGAGAAGATTCGTTGGTATAGATTTCGTGTAAAAGGAGGTGATTATCAGGTGTATGAAGTGAATCGTGAGGGCAAAATCCGGGACGAGTTTCGACCGCGCAACAAGCAGAAGAATTGGGATGACACTGCAACGATTGTCAGTGATGGCAAGCAAGAGTCATACAGCCCTTCCAACTTACACTAAAAAGCCATCAACAACCCACAAGAAACCAACGGTCCAGCCGACGGTGTTGTCACCTCTGACGCTGTGCCAGTCGAAAACCAAACCCAACGAGAACTTTTGCCCAAGGACAAGTGTCGTGAAGAGTATCAGCACAGATGCGGCCGCGTAATAAAAGAGCTGTAGGAGGAGAATCGAGCGGACAATCTTGAGAGGTGGAAGTTCGGTAAGGGCGCCTGCGCGAGGTGGCTTTCTTCGTCGTGGTGGCATCAGCTTAGCGCTATGCCTGAGATCGAAGTTATATCGTAAGACAGTGCTGGCATCAGATCAGCCATGAATGAGCGGAATATGACGCGCTTTCGACATATCTGATGGACGTGGTTGAGGTCGAGATGTTCCAAAGGACAAATGTTAGTTGACATATGGCCTTCTCCAATATGCAGGCGCGGACAATGACATACTCCGACGTCAATCGACTCCAACTACAATACCTCGTCGACGAATTATTTTCAGACCCAGTCGAATACCTCAGAGCATAGATTCGAAGAACTCCCCTCTCGCTCGAACGTCTTCTGAAGGTTCCTCACCAGGTAGATCACTCTCCTGCTAAGTCGCCTCGCATATTATGGTGGGACTTCCGACCTGGCTCGGTGGCACCGCCACTCCCTCACAACCTGAATCGGCCCGACCAAAGTCGAAAGACGGCGGCTTTGTCGCCCCTGATCGCAGTTCGAGAGAAGTCTGTTACGAGTCGCGGGATCTTTTCTTTGAGTGCCTGGACAAGAACAACATCCTGGACGCGATCAAGGAAGATGGAAAGGCTCGAAAAGTATGCTCCGAGGAAGTCACAGCCTACGAGAGAGATTGCGCAAGAAGTTGGGTTAGTACATGATCGATGCTCTATTGCCTGCGGTATGTGGTAGGCTAACCCCTTGGTTGTCCTAGATCAAGTACTTCAAGGAGAAGCGTGTAATGGAGTACAATCGGGATCAAACACTCGCGCGGATACAACAGGACGATGCGAAAATGGCTGCGAAATCCAAATCAGAAAGAGGGAAGGGTTCATGGTTTGGTTGATGCTTCGAACGGTACCATGCACGACGGCACCAACAGTGATATATTTGCGAGGCGATTCGAGAACCTACAACTTCTTCCGACAAGATATGGCATAAATGTGACCATGTTGCGTTCACAGCATTGATGAACATTCGCAACGTATCTTGCATGTCGGGGTTTTGAAATATTGCGGCATTTACAAACATTATATTGTATAAAGGACGGCTACGGACATGAGGCGCATTCAGGTCATAATTTGTCTTCCTCTTAGAGAGGAGGAAATCGAGCAGAACCACATCCTCAGTCTCCCTGGGATGTTCTGAATACAAGCTCTTCACTCAACTCTCGGTCTTGCTTGTGGAACTGTCGGAACCACTAGTGACTATATGTACAATGCGGCTCTTCGCAGAGGGTATGACCACACAGACATTGGATACAACGCTACCGTCCGAGTAAGCCAATAACACTGCCGACCATGACGGCGGCTTCTCTTTCCCAGTTCTCAACAGGCTCCTCTCCATTGGAGGAGGCTTTGGAATTTCTCAAGGTAACCGTCCTCGGCAGCCTCGATCCTCGCAAGACGCACTCCCGTATCTCCACCCGCACCACGTCCCGCTGGCTGCGAAGCGTGCGAGCCGAAATTCCACCTCGGTTGAGTATCTCGGTTACCCGAGATGACAGAGATGAGGCTAGGGAGCGCCAGAAATAGGAGGGCAGAGATGCTGTATCGAGCGCACTTAGAAGTAGAGAGAGAAAGGTTTCTGCTTTTGGCGTCTTGTTACCGAGAACTGCGACGTCATCGTCTTCGTTAAAGTCCAGGTCGGCTTCAGTCACAGCTTCCTCAATACCACCGCGACCCTTCTCATACCGAAGCAGAGGGTGATCAGGAGCGTGTATCCCACGTAACAGAGCCTCCAAAGCAATCACATTTTGACATCTCGCACTGGCTTCCAACAACGCCCTGTCCAGCATCGGCAGCTGGCCCAATGCTCTGCCAATCGCAGCAGAGCTGGACGTGATGGCAGTTTGCAGATAACCCTGTAGTGCCCGTAGTAGATACTCGGGCTCGAAATCTTTCTGCAGCATCTTCTCGCCATCAATCCTTGGTGAGGGAGAAAGAAGGTATAAGATGTGAACGGCACTCGTGAATCGTTGACGGCTATCCTCTGCTTCGCGAAATGTAGGACCTGAAGTTGTTCCACTAGTTGCAGGTCCTGCGGCAAGTGTGGTCATTGAGAATTCGCGCACCACTCGTCGAGCGGAGTCCAGTATCCTTGCTTCTCCATCTTCGAATACTCTTCCACGTAACGACTTGACGACATTTACTCGCCCTAATTGAGCACCTTCCTTACCACTGATGGCATCGCGGAATGCTAGGATTGAAAGACTGGCGCGGACGAGCGCGCCATGGTCTTCTTTCCCCGGTCTTGCACCACTTCCCAGACCTGATTCGGCGAGCACCATCTCAAATTGCCTCGCCACGTTCAAGATCCTCTGCACACTACGTCCAAGACGCATCACTTCCAAGCTCCGTTGGGCAGTAGTCTTTGCCTCCACGGCTCGCTGATGGCGGACAAGGACCTCCTTCTCCAGACGCTCGTAGCTGGTGGAGACGCGAGCACGTTCTTCGTCCACCCGGGCCAGTATACGCTGAGCGGCCGCATTCTGAGTAGACGTGTAACTGAGAATGTCGAGGGCGGAACGCGATGTTAGTGTATGGATATGAGAATCTATCTCCTGGAGGTCAAAGAGTACTCGCGACAAGGGTGTTGTGAGGTCTATGGAGGGATCCGATGGGTTGTTCGTTGCAAGAACGAGATTGTTGGCATGGTAGTAAGGCGAGAAGTCGTCGGAGGCTATATAGTCGAAATCAATATATGTTGATGTTGCGCCGGCGGGATCATGAGCGGCCATGTTCTTCACGCATAGAGCCAGCTGTCATGAGGAGGCAGATTTTGGTGTCAATTCGTCTTGGGACATGAATCCACCACGTTGTTCGCAGACGACCCAAGCAGCGATGAAATGTGCAGCTGAGAGCAACGTGGACTATTTCCCCCAATACTGTGAGGTCGTGGTCGGGAGCGGAGTTATATCGTGCCTTCATGGAGTGGTGAAGTGAAGTTTCGATGTGTCTACACGGTGAGGCTACCAATCGATGCCGAGAGCGAAGGCACCCCACAGCTTCGGAGATGGGCCTGGAAAGCAAGGCTGAAGCCATGCCTGAACCCCCTGATCTACTACGGAAATATACCGCCTATACGACGTATTCAACCTCTACTTAATTGGCCATTCGTCCATCAGCACATGCATCGCCAGGAGGCTGGAGTTGAAGCCATGGCACTTCACCAGAATCCTTGAACTGCCCACTTCGCTCCGACTCAACCAGGCAACCCCTTGTGTGCAAGCCTGGTACATACTTTGCTGTTTGCTGATGGTTTGTGTTGCGCTGTTCGTGCGCCCGTGTATCATAGCGGCTACTGGATGAGGGCAGTTTTGAGGGGCATTCCACTGGCATTCCATTTGATCATTGAACTATGAGGTGAGAGGGATAGCACCAACACTGATGTGCGATTGAATAAGTGTCCTAGCCGTAGACCCTTACTGCCCGTCGAGGCGAACATGGACGACATGCTTGCGAAAGGATCCCTCATGAAAATCAACGCCATACTTCATCGGTGTTGACCAGGGCAAATGAACCTCACAACAAGTCCCAATCTAGGATGTGCATACAATACTCGGGACAATAAGGGCTGCATGCATCCCAAAACTCTCAAAAGGTCATCTGATGGTCAGTCTGGCATGGATATCCGGGCCGCGCGACGTATTTATGGAACTACCAAAACGTGCCCGTGCTCTTCGGGCCTGTGCCTGAGTTTGAGCCGACCGTTTTGCTCGCGGTGGCCTAGGCTTGCGCAGAGACCAACTTGACTTTCTCCATAAGTCAGGACCTGGTTTACACGGAACTTTCAAAAGGAAGCAGGCTTCAACCAGATGCTTCCAAGGCAAGGGCCAAGATTCAGGACCAAAGGTTGTGAGCGGAAGTTGCACTCGTAGAGAACAGCAGCGGCGTTCGAATACGATGGCGGGGTATGGCTGCAGGAATTTGGCCTCGTTTTGTACGCGCAGGATAGGGTGAGTTGGTGAGTCAATTTTGACGCAGGACAGTGTGATCAAGGCGGAGATGTCAGCCTCGATGACATAGTCGACTTACTGGACGAGTACAGTAAACGGCCTACCTAGGCGAGTGCTGGGAATACATCTGCAGGTCGAGGACCATGCGATAGCGAGGATGATATGCTGGATGCAGCTGACATGTCATGGAGATTCGCTTTGGGACGCTGTTGCAGGAGGTGAAGCAGAGTGGACAGAGGAGACACTGCCATGGTTCTGGAGTGCCACCGACGTGCATATGGATTGCGTGGTGGGTGTAGAAGACGACGTTTAGACTTTGGCCCTGACTGGCTACGTTGGTGATCTTGCAGGGAGTCGGTGGGATCTTCGAGGTGGCTAGAATTAGGCTAGAGGTAAGTCAAGAGGCTCGTGCAGAAGCTAAACTACCCGCTGCATATCACCTTTCGTGCCTCTGCCCACCCATCAACCACTTGGTTTTCGCCTCCTTGTGCCTGTCTTGCCCTGGAATCGTGCCTTTTGGGGACCGCTTATCCAGTTAAACAGGGCCCATGGATAATGCATTTGCCCACCACGCCTTTTCGTTGGTTCAAGCCAGCTCTAGGCGTCCCGCAGACCACAGGAACCGCCGGTTTACCGACTTGAAACTCGACTTTTTCTGCCATTCTGGTAATGCTGCCCCTCCTTTTTGAGGCTGGGTTCCTCCCATCCCCTCGCAAATCCTTCTTGGTGGTGACGGCAATGACGGCTTGCGTTGCTCTTTGCTGCACTGACTATCGCCGCCTGCGCTCTGTCTGCACAAACTGCGCCTGCACATGCACTCGTCGTCTGCCTCTAGACTTCGATCCCATCTTGATTTCTCATCCTCTCCCTCAAAGCCTCGTCCTACTCCAATCTCTCCTTGTGTACAGACAAGACCATTCTGGCCATCTCCTTGCGGCAACCTTGATATTGCTGACCAAATCGACGCCATCAAAAGTCCACCATCCGTGCACACCGCTTAGCCCGGCGCTCCTCGTCACCCTTATTCTGACTCCACATGCCTTAGGGCCTTGCCGCCAATAATACCTACAACGCCCCTCGAGTTCGAGATCATCACATCCGATTCTTGATTGCCTAGCCGCAGTCTACCACTGAACAAGAAGACTTCCGAAGATAAGCAGTCTTCGAAACATCTTCAATTGCCCTCAGCGTATTCCTCCTCCTTGACGAGATCCTGACGATACCAATCGTATGGATCACTGGCAAGCGCGGCCTTCCTGATCACTTTTCCTCCGAACCAACCCGTTCTTATCACCGTTGACCAGCCCCTCCGAGAGTGCCCATTGGCACGCTGCATCTCAGGATTACATCGAGTCAACAAAAAGAAGGAACCCTGAGAGACCACTTTGCAGTCGTAATCATCAGACCAAACCGCTCCGAATGCGCATCAACGGCGTGGCGTAAACCGCCATTGGCGAACCGTCAACTGTCGCATAGCCTCGCAATCCCCAAGGATGGCAGCCATTTCGAGTCTAGTATTGACTGACGCCATACCTTCAAGGGATCGAGTGGAGGAAGTCGACACCCCTACTACTCCCAGGGCAGGACGTTACCCGTCAGCGCTCAGGGATAATGTCGATGTTGCCCTTGAAGACCATGATTCTGCTCGACGGTCCAGCACCTCAACGGTGTCGCAGGCACCAAGTCAAGGCCACATTATGGGCCTTACCGATCGGAGAGACCATGTACCCGACAGAAGAGACAGCGTGGACGATGGAGCAAGTATTATGGACCTAGACGACGATGACGATGCCTCCGACAACGAGGACCCGGAACAAGGCGAGGCAGACGGTACATCGAGAAAGAAAAAGGGTCAAAGGTTCTTCTGTACCGGCTACCCGCCATGCAGTCTCAGCTTCACGAGGAGCGAGCATTTGGCTCGGCACATTAGAAAGCACACCGGTGAAAGGCCATTTCAATGTCACTGCAATCGAAGGTTTTCTAGGTTGGACAACTTGCGTCAACATGCACAGACTGTGCATGTCAACGAAGAAATACCAACGGATTCACTTGCTGCCACTGGAACACGGTTCCAGCGCCAGATACGGACTGACCGCGTTAGGCCTACAGGCCGGCCACGCACGGGAACCGCAGGCAGTGGAGGCGGTCACAGTCGTGGACATAGTCGGAACCTCTCGACCTCTAGTATCGGCTCAACCTCGTCAAACTATAGCGTCGTCACTGATGCGAAGAGACGACCTCCGCCCCTGCTCATGGCCAACGACGGTACAAGCAGGCCAAATATGGGCATAGACGGCCCTCAAACACCTCCAAGCCAATATCGTGGCTATGACCCCAACTCTCCTGGTGGTATGAGTACGCCAACATCCGCGAACTTCTCGGCCACGCCCGGGAGCCCCGGGTTCTTATCGTCGATGGGGTCGCCGACATCAACGCATTCTCGACTAGGAGGTTACTTTGGGTCCCCGTCTCATGCTCGTCGGCTGTCGGTCCCCTCCGGCCCCAACCCCTACCAGTCTCAGTATCCACCAGGATATCCCATGGCTTATGTGAACAACATGGGCCCCAGCAGCTCTCATGGTTCATCAAATTCCAGCGTGCTTGCCAGTCCTACTTCGGGAAGTTTCCCCATTGCTCCTGGTCAACACCTCCCGCCCGGAGAGGATTGGCGAAGACGAACCTGGCACCCTTCCACAATGCCAGTTGCCAATTTCAACTATGGCCGACCAGCAACCAGCGGGCTGACATACTCGCAAACTCCAGACGCACCTCAACCCAGCGCTGCCCAACACGCCACTGCAGCTGCTGGTCAGGCTCCTCGCTTGCCAGGGATCGAAAGCTTCGATCATGTCCAGCACAGATCGTACACTCCTCCTCGTCGGCAACCCAGCCCTATGCAGATAGACCCCAACTTAGCTGATGTTCACCCTCGTTCATCAGGCCACAATCACGGTGCAGGATCTTGGGGTCAGCAAACGATCAGCGAAATTCAATCCGTAGGCGTGCGACAGCACGACCCACCTAGACACATGGATATGGGTCCTCCGCCTATGACCATTCAACAACATCAGCAGATGGCGAGGGAGGCCCTAGAGGCCCAATCACAGGTCCGGAATAGCAAAAGGCAGGCCTGGTACAATGGACCGGCTCCACCTGCCCGGACTTCTCCCGAAGATTCGAGCAGTAGCGATGGGATTCCAACACCTGGCATGACCGCTGTCGAGGTGCACCCGATGATCATGCACAGTGGGGGCTACATGGAAGCACAGCATCCAGTCTTGGGCCCAGATGTGCATCAAAACGTGAGTTTACTGATCAAGGAGAACGGACCTAGGAAGCGCTGACTTTGCTGCAGGTCTGTCTTGCTCCGGCACCCTATATTGAGCCAGGTCGTCAGGATACTGCCCCATCTTTTCATGATCGGGCTAGTCGCGGTAGTGACATGAACCGCCTGGAAGCTCTAGTCGCCGTCGCAACGAGCGAAAATGGACCGCGCTGAAGATTTTATGCAATGGTGTCAGCCTTGCATCTTGATGGTTACCACAACTCTTGCACGCGACGAACGATACATCATGTCCTGACTGGATTAATGCGGAGGCATATTTTGAACGCAGTCCTTCTGATCTTTGTCTGTTACAGATCTTGACGGCCTGCATACGAGATACCCTTTACGACGAGCCATTTATTTAAATGCGCCATGGTGATGTGTCATGATTCGACGTTGGAGACCTGCATATGATTCATGCTTTTTGATGTCGATGCAAGCGGGCGTTTAGGAATTTGGAAAGTCTACGCATGAATACCCTTGTTTTTGTTCATGAGTTATGGTTTTACGTCAAGGGGAAAGGGGATTGATTATGTTGATACAGAGTGTGATAAGAGGGTCATTGAATTCGCTTCACAAGTCTGTCGTTCAGCCTGCGTTTTCAACGGTATATGCAGTGCAGCACCTCTACTCTTCATTGTGGATCTATACTTACTGGCATGTTGTTTTTGAAGGGAACATGACAACTTTATATGCGCATGCTGTGTTATTCGAGCACTTTCAGCGTAATGACAATCTACATGTATTAGTCTTGGTTTCCTCTGTGGTATCAACTTGCCCTACTGCTGATCTTTATATTGGTTGGAAAGTACTAGGGCCAAAAGCAGCGCCTATGTCTACACGTGACCAAGCTAAAGCAACACAACGTCACGTCTCTTTCGACTGCAGACAACATCGCTATTCTTGATGTCGAATGCGACGACACCACTTCAGTGGGATAGATCGACATACACGTTGTAGTTCCTCGCGTGCGGTGTCGGCCATGAAGGAGTGCATGCCCTGTCTACAGCGGTCGAGAAATGTGTAAAGGCCACATTGCTTGTGCGACAACTGCTGACATGAGGTTGCTATACCCTTCCGGAGTGTACATCTTTTTGCGGAGCCGCAGATGGCTTTCTGAGAACAGCAACCGAAGGAATGTTCTGGTCGTCAGCTCAAATTTATCATAACGCCACAAATTCCTTCTGGCGGCGTTGGAAAACTGTGACGAAGTCTTTCAATCGGCCTGTGTAACTAAATCTTATAGCATTACAAGCTTGCTGCAGGTACCCGATGGATTTGGAAATTTGTTCACATCCACCAGGTTTCTCTTCGCCTGCAATATGGACGATAGTGGCTTTAGTCTCGACCCAACCGGGTGAGAGCAAACATTTGCAACTGCAATGTTGAAGTGGAATGGATGGGAGCACAACCAGCCAGAATTCCCGGGACTGCGGAAGGATGCTGATCGAGGTACGATGACCATGAAGGCGGCTGTGATTGCGATGGAGATCTGAGCTGTACAGATACTACCAGTAAGTGACACGAGGCACGCAACACCGCAGGGTGTCATGTTTCGATCTCAGACAGCCGCTTCCACGTGCGTTCTATGCCGTTTCTGTGGCTGCATTTCGAGGCTGAACATGCTTGACATACAGGAGATGGTTGATTGCTACAAAAGCAAAGCTGGCTACTTCGATTTCATCAGGGAAACAGGCATGAAGGAAAGAGGGTCAAGAGGATGGAGCATGGGAGCCAGAACGGAATGCGACTGAGAATTCAGGCGGTGACAAACTGAACAGACTGAAATGAGGAAATAGTATTGCTATTGGTCAAATGCAGATGAGGTGAGGTCCTCTTGCCTGCGCCTTAGGGAGATTGCAGGTCAATGTGAGTAGTGACTGCACTTTTGAGATTCTTCATAATTCCAGCAATTCACCTTTCATTCTTTCCCTCTCGCCATCGTCAATCTTCCACTTTCTTTCTCCCTTCCGTTCGACGATATCACTCTTCTGTCATTCCCTTCTTTCGAGATACAAGTCCCGTTACGTCGGTTCTCAAGACGTCGATCCCGCCTGTCCAGCTATTCCCTTGTTCGCCATCACCTTTCTCTCACCGAGTCACTCACTACAAAGACAAACAAGATCATCACACAAACAAAACGACCCGAACAACCATTGTCACAGTCTAAGGATGAGACTCGTACAGTCGATTCTCCTTCTTGGAGCGGTCTCTGGACTCTGTACAGCTGCTAGGTTGCCAATCAGACAAGATACTGACACTGATACGGACACTCCGCCATGGATGTAAGTGAAAAGAGCCCATCACAAGACATTGTATGGCAAGAGGTCATAGATTAAAGTCACTGACTTGAGATGTTTAGGCCTGCAACTCCATTATGTTCACCTATCTTCGTCTACCTGCCCTCTGTCACCGTTACCATCACCCAGACGAATGCTCCCGGAGTAATCACAGTGCTTGATCAAGACCCGAGCTCGATTGCAGCGTATATGGCCTCAATTGATACGGACCAAGTCATTGAACAGAGCGAGTTGCTGCCTATCTCTGACATCCCAGATCCAACTCCGACTCAGTTCACTCATACTATCAGCGTGTCAGGCTACGTGGCCACGGAGGTCCCCAACACCAATCCATATGGCGAATCAGTCTTCTACATCTCTGCAGGTCCAGCCACGACTGATTGGAGTTTTACCCCTTCGGCTTCAATTCAAGCGGAAGTGACCACTGTCACTGTCTTGCCTATTCAGGCGTCCACCCAGGGTAAAGGCCTCTCAGCAAGCAGCACTGTCCGTGCACCATTCAGCGCTCCATCAGGAGGTTGGAATAGCACAAGCGCAAACGCATATGGATGGACAGCTGCCGCCGGTACCGCAGGCACTACCTCATCTGTTTTGGTAGCTCCAACAGGCACTGCAGGCACAATTTCCCCGTATGGTGTGACCTCCACCAGCACTGTAATCAATACCATCTCCACGATTACTGAGAACGTTACGATCAGCGTAACCTCTGCTCCAACCTATGGATACGTGCCGCCTGCATATGGTCTGCCTGGCTCATCCGATCAGTATGGTTATGACACCCCCGACCCATCCATCAACAACGGTGATGTCGAAAAGAGACAGACATGTGTGTGGATCACTGCGACCATCAATGGTCAGCAAGTCGGCTGGTGTAACAACTGGGATGGAACAACAACTCTGACTTACACTTCCTGGGAGACAACCAGTACGTGCCATGTTTGGCAATGGGTCACTGGATATGCTGACTTTTTGCTAGCAACACCCACATACATACCCGGCATCGGCACTGTGGCAGCACCTACTTCCACGTCCGAGCAATCAACCACAAGTGAAACGTCGACCATTGTGCAGCCTTCTGCAGCATCTGCTGCACCCACCACAGCTTGTGGCCAATCTGGACCTTTCATGATCGGCGTAAGTCATCTTAACAGCTCCTATCTAGAGATGTGCTGACAGTACAAAGTTCGACGACCTTCCAGCCTACTCCCCATCGGACAATGATACTGCGGCCTTCCCACCCATCTTCAATCCCTATGAGCATTTCTTCTGGGGAAATGGATGGTCTTATGTACCTCCACCTACCGAGCCATATCCACCTCAAGCTGGTTCCCACCTTGCTGAATTCGTGCCATCTCAAGCCAACAATGACACTGGTTCTCCAGATGCTGGTCTCATCCCACCAAGCTCTTTCGGTGCCGGTCCACGTGCGTACGACAACGCATATTGGTTCACTGCCTATTCTGCCTGGGTTGGATGTGACAATGGTGACACCAATTGGACAGACACCTGCGATTTCGTTGCCACAGCGTACCAATGGAACAACGACACTCAGAGTGAAATTGTGGTTGCTACGCAACATTTTCCCATCCCGCCATGTCCTAATTTCCAGAACTGCCAACTCACAGAGATCACATTCAACTATCTCTTCTACAAGATGTCGACTTTGAGCTTCTATGCCAATGTGAAAGGACAAATCAGCATTTTCTGGCTGGACAGCTTGAGTATGAATTGGTACAACAATACTTGCGAAGCAGGATTGGAACGTATTTCGTCCAGGAAGATTCGAAACTGAATAATAGCGCGACAACGGGTGATGAGTCAAGGCGACAGGCATTGCTTTCCGCTGGTTTCACTGTAGTGATGACTTGAGCAGGAAGCACCGGATGACTTCAGCAGTGAATAAGGGATGATACTGCAACACAGCAAAAAGGGCTCTACATTAGCAGGGACGAAATAACATACAAACGGTTGTTCTATCATGCGGAGAGGTCATTTAAAGACAAGAAAAGTGACAGTGCTGAACGAGCTAGCAATGAGTACAAGATACGCTGAATACGATAGGGATGAACCCAAGCCCGATTGAAGGATAGGTCTTAAATAATGTCTGCGGCTGTGCAATCGAGACCTGCTGTCAAAGCCTGGGCCCATCATCGCGCCTGTAGACTTATTGGAGTAAGCTTGATTGATACTGTAGCAGTAGCTCTACAAGTCCATACCCGATAGTCTACTTGAATATCTCTGCGCTGCTTCAAGTCTCCTTGGGAGAACAAATTGCCACATATGCAAGATGGGCGACTTCGCTTCTCCACGGAACGTTGAATCCTATGAGTGATGACCTTCACCCATGACATGCACAAGCAATCCACTGCCTTACTGCCTGTAAGTTCCCAGCTGTCAATGCCATCCGGAGCATCGGTTTCCCGAACATGGGGCGAAATAGAGAAATCCAAGAGCAGACCCTGGTTCTCTCGTAAGACTGTGAGACAGCCGGGTTTGACTGGGCCTCTTCAGAGTCATCAGCGTGCACAGTGACTGTCCACCATCTGCGGCGCAGGCCGATTCAATTCATGTGCAGCAATGCGCGGCCTTCGGTCTCGAGCGAGACTGCTCCGTCCGCGCAATGCTGTGTATGATAATAAGTGAGGCTTGCGCGTCTCATCTCTCTCTCTCATGCCCCTGCGGCAGCAGTTGTGAAGTGGTTCGAGGTCATGGCCATTCGGAGAGGTTCTTCTGTGTGCATGTCGCTGCTTATTGTGGTGTGACTTTGGCTGGCCCCTCTTGGAATCCAGCAATGAGAACACTGACCACGGCTGCAACGAGCTGGGGTTTGCCTCAACCTCGATGAAGACAGGATGCTGGCTGTAGAATCGTTGATAATTGTGATGCCCAATATGCACAGCACATCGCGGCAGTAGTGCCTACACTAGCCCGACGTCGCTAAGAAATCTGGGTCGCCGCGGACGTCTCCCTTGAAAATGAGTAAGGTCCAGCCAGCCTGTAGACCACAGGCTGTGATGAAAGAACCAAAGTGCCTGCATGAGCAGAGACCAGGCACTGTGATGAATGTGATGCTGATCCCGTGAGCCAGCCGGCGATGGTGCGACAGGGGGTACGCATTAGTGGAAATGTCACGAGGGTGATTGGTGCGAGGCTCTAAAAACGAGCCAAACTAGCCATCTTCATCCAAAACCGGGGAAGCCTCCAAAGGGGAAGCCCCCTGCACCTCCGCCACCAGTCGAGAATTTGAATTGTCTCTGACCACCAGCCTGACCACCTTGTTGGAAGACGAATTGTTGTCCGCCTTGGCCGAATGGACTTCCCTGGAAGGGCTGCCCGCCTTGGTTTGCATGCGGGTCGTTTGGATCATCGCCTCTGTCAAACCTGGCTTTCAACTCGGGATCACTGAGGACTTCGTATGCTTCGTTGATGGAGGCCATTTTCTTCTCCGCGTCCTCTTTTGGTACGCCTTTTGCGGCCGCCTTGTCGGGATGATAGGTCTTGGTCGCCGTGCGATAAGCCTTTTTGATTGTTCGTTCGTCCGCGTCTCGAGACACTCCGAGGACTTTGTAGTAGTCTTTTATCTTGCTGCGTTTGAGGGCTAGCTGAGCATCCTGAAGTTTCTGGTTGATCGTGCTCTGAGCGTCTGGATGATTGTCCTTGGCTGTGCTAAGTGAGGCTATTGCTGCGTCGTAGTTTTCGTTCTCCATATGCTTTTGGGCCTGATAGAGGAGACCTTGAAGTGAAGTGGGATTCGAGGAAAGTACATCGGAGCAATATTTCCCGGCTTTGTTCATATTGTTCAGTGATAGGTACGCTTCGCATGTCTTTTCCAGGTGCATAGTGTAGAGCTCGGACGGAGCCTTAGGGTGGATGATGCCGCTTGAGCGCAGCGCGTCGATATTGGTCTTCAATTCTGACAATAGCCCAGGCTCGTCCTCGGTGTCTTTGCCCACAAGCAACTTACTTGCCGAGTTGAATTGGCGCTTCTCCACGAGCTTCTTGACGTTCTCTATCTCTTTCAATATGGCCTTCTCCTCTCGAAACAGAGACTTGCATGGTTTCGAATCTGGATCGGAGTGCAAGCATTTCTTCACTTGTGTCAAACCGCGTTCCGTGTCCCCCAAGCTGTAGAACATCATGGCTGAGATCTGGAGGTGGGGTTCAACGAGACCTGGGTGGATTTGGAGCACGTGGGCAAGATCGTTTAGGCCTTCCTGTACCTCGCCACGTTCAAAGCGACACCGTGCTCGCAGTTGACGTAGAGACAAGGCTGTCCCAGCGGTCATGATCGCGATGCCAGCTTGATTGATGCATGCTTCCCAATCTTGCTTCTTCTCCGCTTCAGATGCCAGGTATGCTGCGCCTTCTGCCTCGTCGAGTTGTGTCAGATCTTCCGCAGCCTTGTTTCCTAGTGCGAGATAGTCCTCTCTAGCAGCAGCCCAATCTGCGTTTCTTGCTCTTATCTTCGCCCTCTGCATCAACGCCCCTTCGAAGCCCGGTTTGATCTTCAGTACAGCATCGAAATCGATACCTGCCTGTGCATTTCTCCCTAGGGACAGGTATGTCGCTCCACGCTGGAAGCGAGTGATATAGTCTGAAGGGTCTTTGGACACGGCGGCATCGAAGTATGCTAGGGCTTCACTGTTGGCACCTCGAGAGCGGGCAGCTTTGCCCGAGGCCACCAGGGACGATAGTGAAGCGTCAGGCGGAATGTCGACAGCCTCAGCTGCACAGAGGGAAGCGAAAGCGAGCCCAAGAAGGGCGGCGAGCAGGCCGAGGCGCTGGATTTGGAGTATCATCGTGGCATAACGAGTGGCAAGTTGGATTTCAAGTGCAGGCCGAGTCGAAATTCCAACAATTACAAGTGGGAAGCACTGTGAGCGGAGAATCAAGAAGCGAAGGAATGTAGTGAGTGAATGTTACTATTGTTGTCGTTGGTTCATTCGATCTGTCCTCTTGGCCTGCCGTCGCCAAATGCACGGTTGCCTCCAAGCGCCGCTTTACTAGAAACCTCTCTCCAGTGCCCGCTGTCACATGACCACTACAGCAGCGTCAGCACCTCAGGGGACCACATCTAATGACTGCCGGGCACAAACATCGACATTGACCCAGGTAGGTTCAAAAGTGAAGCACCTGTAAAGCAGCCCTTTCCGTGGCGCCATCTGTCAACAATGAGAAGGTGAATCATTGAAGGGTGATCCAGCAGGATTCTGTTCTGCTTGGATGATCCATACCATGCCATCGGTGGTGGGAGTTGAGGCGACATCAGTCCTTCAAGAGGGGTCGCCCCATCGCGCAAGTCGCGCATCACTGAGAGTCCTGAATCGCAACATCGGCCAGGTCGTCTTTGGTGAATTACTCTTCGACACCTGGTACTACTCCCCCTATCCGGACAATATCATTCTTGGTCCTGAACATCAGCACGTGCCGCTTAAACACACTGGAACGGCAGCAGACCTTCGAAACGCGAGCGTGCATACTATAAATGGCGATCAACCGCAATGCCGTCGCCTGTACGTCTGCCCGTTCTGCTTTCGCTACACACCTGTGGAGCATGACTTCATGCAACATCTGCAACATCACCGCAACCGTCGTGAGCAAGGTCTAGAGACACAGCCCGTCCCGGAGTCTGCGTTCAAGGTGTACGAATGGGAAGGCCACGCCGTGTGGGAGATTGACGGCGAAAAGGAAAAGCTCTATTGCCAGAACTTGTCCCTGTTCGGGAAATTGTTCCTCGAGCAGAAGAGCGTCTTCTTCGACACGACTGGGTTCAAATACTACGCTTTGACGTACACGAAGCCAGCTGGTATCGCGCCAGCCACAAAAGGCCGAGGACGGAAGCGAAGCTCATCTGTGCTCGAAGATGACATTTTTCACGAGACGCAGGTGCTGGGATTCTTCTCCAAGGAGAATTTGTCATGGGACGCGAACAATCTGGCTTGCATCTTGATATTCCCACCTTTCCAGCACCGACAACTCGGTCAGTTGCTGATGGCAGTGTCATACAAACTCAGCGGATGGGAGTGGGAAGGAGGCATCATCGGAGGTCCTGAGAAGCCACTTAGTGCTATGGGTCGCAAAAGCTACCTGAGATTCTGGTCGGAGCGTATCGCGCGATTCTTCATGGGTCAAAGTGCAGATGCTGATGGAAAGAGAGTTTTCCACAAAGCTAGGAAGAGGACGGTCAACCCAAGAAAGGAGGAAATGACTGTCAAGGACATCGGAAGTCGCACAGGCATGTTGCCGGAAGACATCGTTGCCGCTCTGACCGAAATGGGAGTCTGCAAAGTTGTCTTGCCGAAACGGAAGAGAAAGGTTTCGAATGAAATGAACGGGTCTGCGAGTCATGCTGATCAGCCGGAGCCAGAAGAACTGGCTACTATGATAGTGGAGAGATCCAAGATCCTGCAATGGGCGAAGAACAACGGGGTTGGTCTGAGCAGCCCTGTCCGAGAAGAAGGGTTCTTGGGTGAGTGGGCACTGAGTGACCTTGAAGGGTCAGAGGATGTTGAGGAGTCCGGCGACTCCAGCAGTGTATGAATTTGACAAATCTTGAAATTACTTTGTCTGATACTGCCAGTCCTGTGAGTTGGTGGTAGTGTCACCAGTCAATAGTATTTCGTACGAGTACATCCTGTAACTTGGTCGTGTATAAAGCAAGTGCCGATGCCTTGGGAGATACCTTGCACATACTGTATGAGTTAGGAAGGTGAACAATCCAATTGAGTCATCGACAAGGATGTTCCTAAGTTTGTCCAGAAAGACGGCTCTTAAATGGGATGGTGATCGGCAACTAGGAATATGGGACTTGGTAACTTGGTATGTTTAGCCTGCCCGCCCTACTCCGAAGAATTGTGTTAGGCGAACTGTTGTGGACCGGGACGCTGGTCGAGTCTAGATGACCCACCTCTTATTGGTATCTTGGAATAAGTGTATGAAGATCAACACGGGACTGCACATCTTCAGCGATCGAGCAGGCCTGAATTGCTGCGGAGAGGATAGTGTAACGGGACTCGTGCCGTAGCCGTCCGAGGGCGCGAAGGACACTTGGGACAGAGCCCAGAAGCATTGATCAACCTTGCCACTAGATCTCCAGTGAACTGGAAGATATGTCAAGGATACCTCAAGAGTGAACGATCCACGTTTTGGGTACATGTGAACAGCACACTGGGAATCACAAGTCGGTCGGCTGCAAAGTCGTTGCTCTGTGCGGAGCGCGCAGGACCATAGTACTTCTTGGTGTAAAACGAAGTAAGTCCTGCCGTTGTGATGTGTGATGAATAAAGATGCTAAAACGGATCTAAAGGGGAAGAGCTTTCCCGTTGATTGTGTGACATTATTGAGTTGGGAGCAGAGGCGAATGACTTGATATCAACTTGATATCACCCGACGAATACCGAATGTTGCGGCACGGTATGCGGCCTGATTCTTTTCCTCCTCGAGGCGGAAGTCCTTCACGGTCAGCAGTCACGCAACGACCGAGATCATTCAACATCGATGCCCTGGTTGCCTGACAGTCGACCCGGCTAACACCAGTAGGAGCCGTTACTGATTCGCCGGGCCTTTTTGGCTGTGGAGTATCCTTATTAGCTTCACCATCATCAGACCTGGTAACGTTAGGTGTAACGTTAAGTTATCCTGAAGGCAGGGCAAATCGAACGACCGGGCACTACTATCACAGTAGTTTGTCGGTACCCCGTAGATATCTTCGTGTACGTACACAGATTAACATAGTACACAACCGATACCTAGCTCTAGCCAGCAGACGATGTGAGTGTGTCCCGTTCTCACGGCACCTACCTGACAGCCTAAGATGTAGATCATTGTCTGCGTGCCGCAACATTTTGGGCTCCGACTTGGTGAGCAAGTATTCTGTATCACATGTGTCAGAGGTGCTCCGTATCCGTCCTCTCATCGGATTTGGCTTGGGGCCTGCGCAGCACACATTTGTAACTTAGAGCTTAAAACACAAAATGTGAGCGGATGAGGATTGGGGTGCCGGCGAAGAAGTTAAAGTTACGCGCGTCAGTTGCGATTTGCCGTGCCCCTGCATATTCCTCCAGGTCTTCCAGATTTGTTTTAGCGACAACGATGGATGGTCAATAGGGGGGCCCGACATCAACGCGAAGCCATCCTTGGTATGGTCTGGTGCAGGAACAACGATTGTCACCCCTGCAAGCGTTAGGGAAGCCTTCGGAAGAAGCACGCAGAGTTTTTCTCCCAATGCCTTGGCGCGTCATTCAAACCCCCACAGTTGATTTTGGGTGCTGATGTCGCGTTCAAGGTTCCAACAACAAGACCAAACATGCTGCATTGGCAGAGACAAGATTGCATAATATTGACAAAAAAGAGACGCGGTAGTTAGGAGAGCTGCAAGACATGCATCGGGGCCAAATCAGCCTCGGTGACTCGGCGAACTGTGTCGATGTTATGGATCCTCGTGCCTGTGTGAGGCAGAACAGTACGTACATGTGTGGTAGTGATGAGCCTGAAGTTGGTGCCCAAACATGCCACAGGGAAACTGCATGCACCGTCTCTGTCCCAAAACTGACGTTGTTTCTGTGTTGCCTCATCATTGCTAGCTCGGCAGGACGTTAGGAATGATGGAAGTGACGGGCCGTTTTTGAAGGGCTTCACATGTCTATTCGGCTTGGATTCCGGTGACAGGGCCTTCCACAGCTAACGACTCAAGCAGGGGATAGGAACATGACATGCGCCTATCACGGTTTAAGTTGAAGCCCTATTTCCCGGATAAACAAGCCCAGGGAAATTTGGATACAGCCGAATGGGCAGCACGCGTGTTAGCGTTCCATTACTGCGGCGAACCCAGCCATCGGGGCAAGGCGGATCGTTATGTGGAGTGGAGTTTAAGGCTGGGATTCCAGTCTGATGCTAGCCAAGGGGTATTTTGATGAATTCTTTAGGTAGCGTTGGATACTTCCGCTACCATAACAGTAGTACCATCAATAGTGGGCATATCCGAGGAAAGCAAGGTCTCTCTTTATGCGCACTGATCGAGTCAAGGTCGGAGAAACAGAAAAGGAGAGGCGAGACAGGTTATGCCTGCGGTGCAGGAGGCTGATATCGTATAAGGAGTGTGATATCGACGCGGGGCAAACACGGGTAGACGAGGGACGCAGTCTGAGTCCGTACAGCAAACAGGAGGATGTTTGAGTATTTGAGACGGCATCAAAATTGGGTGGTAGCAGCAGTAGTAGTAGTAGCGTAGGGAGTATTCGGGTTTAATTCATGAACTGACACCCAGTGACACTATCCTGTTGATTGTTGACGATGATAGCTAGCTGCTTGTAGTCGAAGATCGTCTGTTGATCAACTCAGTTGAACTCATGTTTTTCCCGTCTTCCCACTCTCCACCTTTTGGTCGTTATAACTAGTGCCCTCTTTAGTGTTTGCTGCAGGTACGGAGTACTCTACTCGATTGATCCTTGTCCTGGTCAAGCCTCAAAAACTTCGAGCTCCCGAGACACATATCACCACCACTCTCACTACTCCGTAACCTCATACCACACTCACTCCCCTGTTTCTTGCTCGTCGACTTTCCCACTCGCCAAAAGTCTTCAGTCACTCATTCACACCTTACGAAGACACCTCTCCTCTCCTTCATTGTGCAAGAAGCAACCGGGTTGTTCTCAGCTCTAAACATCAACTTTGACAGCGGCCGTCAATCCTTAGCCTTCCCACGCCGTTCTTCCGATTGGAACTACAACACTACGATCTCGACCCCGAGTTTTTGGTGCACCGGCCACTTACTGCCTTCCCCAGTTTCCTGTCGTGTTCAACGCACTGTTCACAACTCGTCCTCTCCCCTCGAACGTCACAGGTCCTACAATCTCTGTGCGCGTTGACAAATACCCGCGTTGTTGATAAACAATTGGGCGCTGATCAGGTGGTACTCGACCCAGATGTTGGTAGTACAACCACAAGAGTAGGACCTCGAAAATTCTATCTCTGTACCTCACGTAATCGTACCACGACTTTCGTGTGAAAGAGGGTCGACAATACCAACCTGTCTCCAAAGGAGTGAAATTCAAGTGCCTAACCCGAAGATCTGGGACCTGGATTCATTCTTCTGAGCAGTACCTCCTTTGACCAACACAAGTGTAAAAGACTTACCATGGACAATATGGCTTCAACCGGAGGGGAAAACGGCTCACAAGGATCCGCCTACCCATGGGTTCTAGAGCATTTGTTAGCATATCCCGGCACCTACGAGCTTCCTCTACGCACCATGTACACTCTCAATGCCACAACACAGCATCAACCACAATCTCCGACTCTGCCATCATCGAGCTCGGTGCCAGGCAATGCCTTTCCACGAAAGTCTCAAGACGCTGTTGATGAGCACCAGAATATGACTACAATCACTGCTGCCGCCCAGTTACGCGCAAACTTGATGGCTCACATCTCCCAACAACCATCTCAGCCGACTTCGTTACCACCAAGCTTCATCACCAGCTTCGTACGACGGTGTTTCCCTCCCGAACTCGACCAAGTTGATTTCCCACAAGCTCTGACAGCAATGGATTACCTCAAAGACCTGGAGGTTCGACGAAGACGAGAGGTAGTAGCGGCACTCGACAAACTCGGCATTGACAGAGAGGACATTAGCCACCGAGATAAACTGGCACGCAAGTATCCCGGTGTCCTCCGTTGGGTCACGGAGATCGAAGACAAGGAACGAAAGGTCGAAGCCCTGTACACTCAAGTATACGTTGGGCTGAGACGATGGACTTTGGTCAATGAACTCTCCTTGACCCCCTTCCACAAGGCAAATTGCATTGCTATGCTCAATACCTTGTACCCTCCCGTTGGGTTACAAACGGCTCAATTTGTGCAGCCAACAGCACAGTTGACACGGGAAGTCTTGTCATCACAACGCAGTCAGTTCTTCCGATACATCACTGCCGTTGAGCAAAAGGGTCCATCCGTCCTTGCAAAGCTCCTGGATCAAAACAAGAAACCTGGCGACGCTACAGGATGGTCGATGTTTCGCGAGACAGTTGACAACTATCTCCGTATGGCGAACAGTGTGATCGATGAATGCTACGATATCACTGGCCGCGCTTCTTATTCTCCAACTGCCGCATCCTTCAGCTCGGTCGAGTTTGAGGAGGAAGGACGTCGCAAACACGTTGACTCTGCCATTTCCTTTGGCTCCACAAGCTCCTCAAAACGCAGCTCGGGTCAAAGCCATGGAACGAGGCCGAGTACCAGCAGCAGCTTTAGCAATGCAAGCCGTAACAATACTCGAAAAGTATCGACCGACAAACCGTTGCCGCCACCCAAAGATGATGACGTGACGGTGACTCAGAAGACTGCCGGCTCAACCCTCGAGCGCATTGCTCGAGAACTCCGGAAGATGAAGAGTCGCAACAACATCAAAGACGACGCTCGGCCTCGCACTGCTTCTGCACAATCGACCGATGCAGTGCCGACCACCGACCTGGATCAACCACCACCAACCCCTGCGAAGGATCGTGGTCTGAATTTCAAGCGAAGCCTTCGGAAGATGCGGTCGAATGTCGGCCTTGCCGACAACGGTGGCTCACGCCCCCCAAGCCGCAATGATTACGCGACCCAAGCAGTACCGGCCTTTGATGCAGAGGAGATGACAAGGAGGAGACAGGACTGGGAATCCCAACACAATTTGAGAAGCCAGACCTCCCATGCCAATTTGAGGGCATGAGAAGCAACACTGTAGGAGACAATGCTCGCCTCAGAAGTGCAATGTTTTTGGATTGAATGGCGTATTGGAGGCGGCTACTGCTACCGCAAAACTGCATGAATTGGAAGAGGATTTCCAAAGGAATGTTTAATGACACAACATGATGATTACGAGAGCACAGGATGTGTTTGATTTGAGCCTCGCGGCATTGTGAAAACATTTGGTCACAAAGACGTCGGGCTCTCAAGAGCAAAAGTAGTGTTACACGGGAGTGCTGCTAGGCGAGGATTATTGTAACTTTGTTAGCGGGCAATGATATTGCTTCATCTTCCTGATATTTGTTCTCTTGATCGTATTTCTGCGTGGTCAATTAGGGGAGGCATCGGGGAGTACACACAGCTACTGTGATAGGTACAAGTGGTAGAGTATAACATACAGTACGTCTGCGGGGAAAAATAGGTCTTCACTCAGTATCGGAGCTTTGAGCCAAAATAAATCCCAGCGAGCCTCGTTCTACCACCACAACCCTCGAAATCTCTCGAATACAACAATCACCGTTCGACGACTCTGCCTCTTTGCACTGTCCACCTCAGTAAAGACATCCTTGTCGACCAGATTCCCTTACAAACAACCCTCAACCCCAGTCCTGCACCCCCAGCAAGACAATGGATACCACGACCACCAACCCGCGAGGCATACCCAGCTTCCCTTTCATGAGCAATGTGAACGAATACGTCAAGTCCCTCTCAGACGTGGAGTCGACACTCCAGCGCTTCCAAGAGATGATATCCAAATACACCTTCATGCAACAGAACGTGGAGCGCCGGCAAGCTGGTCTCAAAGAGAAATTACCCGAAATGAAGCGCACCCTCGAAGTCGTCAGGTTTCTGAAGAAGAAGAGACAAGCCCTGGCCAACAAAACCGAGGATGATGACGACTTGGATGATCTGGACGACGGCGAGAGCAAAAGCAAGGACACAATAGAGACAACATTCAGTCTCCAAGACACCCTGTACGCCAAAGCCCAGATCAAAACGGCCGAGATTGACGAAGTGTACCTGTGGCTCGGAGCGAACGTGATGGTCGCGTACCCGCTCGACGAGGCAGAGACACTATTGTCAGGGAAACTAGAGACTGCCAAAGACTCGCTCAAAGCCGCGGAGGAGGATCTAGAGTTTTTGAGGGTGCAGGTCACGACGCTGGAGGTCGCGGTTGCGAGGGTGCATAATTGGGATGTGGGGGAGAAGAGGAAGTTGAGGGCGCAGGGGAAGTTGAAGGATGGTGAGAAGGAGGAGAAGGACTGAGAGAAACAACGACGCCTGGAGCAGTATTGCCTGCTGGAAAAAAAACCACTGCAAGCAAGGCTTCCTGAGTGCAGCTTGAAGAGTACATGCTAGCGTATCGTGTCTTTCGACTTGGCCGGCAAGACAACACTCGGCACAACGGTTGCAGCCAGCACGACCCGAGCGGAGCAGAGGCTATCGGCCCGATGACATGGGTTTGAGCTGCAGACTCGTGCAGAGAGGGCGGCGATAGCGAGAAGAAGTGTAGCATCGACTCCAGTGGCTTCCACACCAGTCCGTTGTCCGAAACATTGTCGTACTCGAAACCCGGCTCAGCTGATCATCACAACCCGATCCATCCCCAAAATTACTCTCAAGTCCGGCTCGATGCGTCGATACTGGTTGTCAAGTTCCAAGCAGGAGGTTCTACGGAACAGTCGTGCCCATTTCCCAAGTCGAGGCCCCTGCCACTGTTTGTCGCTGTCCCTACCTCGGAGTCGAACGAACAAGGGACACCAGCCAACTAGTGTGCTAGTCTGGCGAGCCTGGTGTGCGCTACACCGGCGTCTGTTGCTAGATAGAGAAAGAACTTTGGCTCGATCAAGCCAGTCGTGTTATCATGAGAGACTGAGCATTGGAATGTCCCGTCATCTCGAGAGTGCCTGGAATGGCAATCACTGTACATTGCATGCTAAATCTCCTCAAGTCGAGGAAAGACCTGCTATCTATAGAAAAGGCCACAGGTCATTCTGACACGTATACAGATGCATGTGCTACACAATAACGGAAAACATCCAAGCCATGCTCGAGGAGTTGTAACCATCCGCATTAAGGCGACGGCTATATAAGCCAACTCATATTGTACTATTATAGTACAGGGTATCCATGCTGAATCATTGCAAGGCGCTATACTAGGCAATGTTCAAGTCATAAAGTTCATTATTCATACAGGTGTAGCACTTGATCGTCGCTCGTACCCTTCATTCATTTTCAGTCCACGATTGTCGACTTTTGCGACATGCATTCAACACCCGGCCACGACTATCCAGGTTCCGTCAATTGAAGAAAGGAAGCGTTGTCACACTTGTAGTGATCGAGGTTCGACACGTCTGGCGTGCGCGCAGCTGGGTTGTGTTCATCGTACAACAACGGTGTGTACACAGACTCGAGTCCCTTACGCCCATTCCTTGTTGGTTTCAGGGTTTCATCGTTAAGGACATGATGGTGGCCCACTTCGAAGGAGGTGTCGCCTATTGCGATTGAAGAGATCACTGTGTCTGCTTTGGTGATAGGCATGCCTTGCTCTGCAGTGCCAGGTTCAAAGCGGTAGCCACGCGGTGACGGAGATGGAGAGCTGTGACTTCGAACTTTCCGGACCGTGTCTCTCGTTCTGGAAAGGTCGTGGCCGTGGATGACTTCAGCAGCTTCGTCTTGTATCCTGGTGTTGCGTGATTGGACTGGCCCACCTGGCTCTGCGAGCGGGCGTTTCTGGGAGCTCGTGTGCGTGACTTGAGGTGACACTACACTATTCGGGCGAGATCTTCGGCGTTCTTCGGTCTCGCGCAACATCTCACCTGGACCTTTCACGATAGCACCACCAACGGCAAGCATGATTGCAACACTGAACTTGCCCCAGAGAAATAGAGATCGGCCCCAGCCAGCTTTCGGCGCCGTTGATGGAGGCTTGGGAACATCCTGAGGCGCATTGTTTGCAGGGTCGTCTCGTTCCCGCCCGTTCCAGCCTTGTGGCGGACCGGGCGGATCGGGACCGAAATTGACGTTTGCGTCGTCTACCTGTGACACAAGGCACCGATCGGCGATACTCTCGCCATCGTATTGATCCCAGTTCCATTCAGTCTGGTCGGGATTTGATTGCTTGTAGCCGATGAAGAGTCCCAATACCCACCAACTCAACTTTCCAAACATCGCCCAATTGGATCGCCAGGCATTTGCTATGACTCGCCGAGCAAGGGCAAGTGGATCTCGCTTGAATTTTTGAATGTAAGAAGTATACTTCGTCAAGGTAGCGTACACGGTTCGTATCGTAATAGCCGCCAGAGCCCGTGACCCCATACTCCGTTGAAGCATTTCAAGCGGATCGCGTTTCCTCGCAGCGCTCTTATGTCTGACAGTGGGGTTCCGTGGGGGATCCTCATTTGTGCTGCCTACCCTGTCAATGACCGAACTTGGGCTGAGCGTGTGTCGAGCACCAGTTGCAACTACTGGGATAGTGGGAGCGTCACCTTTGGTGATCTGGTCGTCGTGATTCTTGCAGGTCGAGTTCGCTTTACAGCGCTTTCGTAGGTTTAGAGGAGACTGGTTGTCTTCGTAACAAAGTGGTGATTGTTCCGCCTCCTCAGAATCTGACAGCACTCGTGAGAACAGGGGACGTGGAATGTCGACAGTATCATCTAGCTGTGTGCTGGGAGAGATGCCAAAATCCTGCACGGTCCATACACTATCACGCGCTGAGTTTCTCGGAAACATGTCGTTGTTTTCATCATCTTTGGAGTCTGATAGGGCACTGTCATTGTCGACTTGAAGGTGCTTGTCCTGGGCCGGTGTTGGGATTGTTCTCAGCAACCAGGAACTTACCCGTGGACGGTAGTCAGTGTCCGGACTTGGTCCCTCGACATCCTGTCCTATATGTCTTGGTTGTTTCGGTGTCTGATATTGACCTGTCTCGGATCCTTGCGTCAGTCTAGCGAACGCGTCGTTTACGGCTTTGGAGCGCCATGTCTCTTCATCCTTTGCAAAGACCTCATTGAGACTCTGGAAAGGGGGACCAGGTTGTTCGCTCGGATTGTCTGAAGGACTGGGTGGAGCACTCTCGACAAGATCGTTTTCCCTAGTTCCGCTTGACAGTAAAGATGGGGCCGCCTGAGGAATGTATGAAAGCCCTGAACTGATGATACTGGAGGTAGGTCGTTTTGGTGAAGTAACATGGGAGGTTGAAGGCAGATTGCCGTTTTCGGCGGTGAATGTCGGCAGTAACAAGGGTTTCAACTGTGTTGAGCCAGGCATGAATTTTCGAGGTCTTCTCTTGGATGGCTGTCGAGTCGGCGCCGCAGGCCTAACCTCTGGGTGAGCAACTGGAAGAACTTCTGAGCTGTGGGAGCTGTGCGAAGCTAGCGTTGAGCGTCTGGGACTTGGCATGCCTGTAAGCTGCAATAACGACACACCGGATCCGGATCCGAGAGATTCCAGATCGTCGGGACCATTTGCTTTGACGCTGTCCAAGGCTGCGGCCAGTGGAGACGATGCAGCCTGGACTGGGAAGTACTCCGTGGCAGGTAGCGGAGGAGACACTAGTATTGACCTGCTTCCCGGTGTCTGACTTGCAGGGGAAGAAGGCATTTTAGGTATGATCATAGACATTGGGCGTGCACTTCTTCTTCTTGGAGTGGGGAGTTCGAAGCTGTAGTGTGCCTTGGTTGGTGAAAGTGCCAGGAGCTGAGTCAAGACCTCATTGCGCTTCATCATTCCCGCATTTGTGATCTCGAGCGAGGCCTTTTCTTCTTCCAATTTGTCGATCCTTGTCCGAAACGCTTCGAGGGTAGTTTGATCAATTCTTTCCTCTTCTCGGTCGCACTCCAGATCCTGGATGGTTGACTTTTTGAGCTCGACTTCATCTTCGAGATCCTTAATTCTCCTCTTCAGTCTTCCCTCTGTTTCTGTAGAGCGTTCGACAGTTTGCTGCATTTCCATATCGAAAGACGATCTCATGCTTTCGATCTCCTTTCTGAGCCGATCGTTGTCGTCTTTCGTCTTTTTGAGCTTTTCTTTCCATGATGTGTTGGTTGTGGGCGAATACATAGCATCCTTGACCGTTTGAAGTTCATTCTCAATGTGTTCAATGTAGTCCTCGGAGTTGAATCGAGGTTTGGCAAGGGACGACTTCCGGCGCGCATGTCCCCGAAGTGATCTATTCAATGGAGAGTCCTTGTGAGGCGACTGTCGCTGGAGGTTCACGGAGACCTCTCTAAGACCCATGCTGGGCGTGTCGCTAGCAGAACCAGTTACCGAAGGCGTCTGGAATTTGCTGGATCCGTCACGATAGATGGAGGATGTATTCTTTGTGCCGTCGGGACTATTTTTGTCTTGCGAATCCTGAAAAACTGGGATGGGACCTCTTCTCTGCAATCCACGTAGACAATAACCGGAGTTCGTGATCTCATTCAAAATGGAGGATCTAGGTGATGGAGTACTCAGATCCCGGCTGTTCTCTGGTTGAACGCCATCGTCTTCTTGCTTGGCTAATCGTGAAGTTGGATATTGATGATGACTGTCGTTCTCAACGGACCGCACTAGGCGAGGGAAGGGTATGGTGATGCCGTTCACAGATAATCTCTGGCCAGGAAATTTTGCATTACGAGTATGTAGCAGGCGCTGTTGGCGGGAGTGAGGGGCCGACTTTGGTGTTGTATTCGAGGTGCACTGGTCGAGTGTATTCAGGGCTGTGGTTGACCGGGGCCGCGTACGCTGCAGGGTGTGGACAGGTGAGCGAGGATGTGCATGAGCGTCATCCATAGCTAGGTATGCTGGGTGATTATGTACTCATTTCTCCCTTTCCGATCGAGCGGTTCGGTTATCGGCAACAAGAAGCACCATTGGTATCGAGGCAAAAGGTGGCGGTTAGAGGTCGATGGTGGTTGACGAATGATTCGATCAGATTGAAATTGACTAACATTCCATACTCGCACAGCGAGGGGCGGATGCAACGATGCAGGCTCTAGAAGCAAAGGAATGTGAGAACAAGAAGAAAAAGATTTGGGAATTTTGTAGAGAGTGACTGTAGTGAAGAACTCGAGCTGATCTGTCGACGTCGAAGCAGAAAGGGCAAGTGCTGTGCAGGTGCGACAGAAAGGAAATAACGGTGCAGTAGTAGCAGTGGGGGTCATCAGAAAAGAATCAGGTGTGGTTGTACAGTTCGGGGTGGTGTGTTTACATTTTACTCCTCCTGGAGTTCCACCCGGACCTGCAGCACAGCACGGTTCTTCCCGGCGACGTTGCACAGACCGTTAGTTAAACCGAGGCCCCAGGATAGAGTTACAACACGGAATCACGTGTACCTAAGCGACAACGGCCGCTGGTGGTGTTCTCCATTGCCGAGCCTCGCCCCTTTTTCTTCTCCGTTTCTACTCATTCGAAGCTTCCCGTCATCGACCACTCTTGAACATGACACCATGTACTTCACATATCAGCTTTGCGAAGCCTTGCAAAGCGCGCCGATGATGATGATGCCTATAGCCTGCAGGATATTACTTGCTCAGCCTCAAGCAGACTTTCAAGCTCCCCGTCAACAACCGTCTAGCTCCCGATCATTGACACCTGTCGACCCACTGGGCCAATGCTCCATTGTCCTTCACCACAATGACATCCTTTTACCCCAGACATGGACTTTGTCACTTTCCTATGTTCTCCGTTTGTCTTCAGTCCCCACTATCAAAGACTCAATTGTCAACTTCACAATGCTACAGACAAACGACTTCTGGGACAAAGAAGTCTTCGAAGCCTCAAAGGTAGGTCCATTGCAAGATGGCAATGTGATTGTGAGTATCCCCTTACTACACCTCTAGCACTCGATTTCTATGCTAGTATACCGAAAACCAGCCTAAAGCCCCAATATCAATTTATTGCAAGATTCAAGATGTGCAAAACTCTTCAGTATGTGTTCACTCAATGTTACAGTTATGAGGGAGAACACGTTCCCAATTGCAAAGGCCAAATGAGACCCGTTGTCATTGAGCTATGTGAGGATGCTGCCGCGCAGGGTTATCCTCCTCATGCCTACGTGTACAACTACTACAATATCCCGCGTTGCCAGCCAGTCGTGACAGAGACTCGCGAAATCCATACCATGTGCACCTGGCATCAGAAAATACACTGGAATTTTGGAGGAGCCGAGCGACCAGACCCATTTGCAGAGGCCTTTAACCGATTCTATATCCCCGCCGGAGACAATGACACAGGGTCACCCGTGTTGGTGGAAGACGACAACTATACGTATCACGTCGAAGGCTCTCCGTGGGAGAACCCTTGGTTCCGAGAGGTGAACTGGAATCCTGAGGCCAGGTCTGCCACCCTGGATCCACCTTCAATGAGCCCGAAGGATGCCACTGACTATACCCACCCTGAAACCGGCGTCGTAAATACTCATGAACATCCAGGAAAATGGCGCTCAGCCGATGGTCGTCCGGTTGTCTTGCTTGACGTCCCAGAAGATCCTCCACGGAAGAACTCACGATGGCCACCTTATGCTGCTGCTATCCAACCTCCCAGGCCCCAGCAGCCTGCCACAACACAGCCAAATGGGCATAATCCTCCCGCACAGCTCAACCCTTATGGGTCTGCGAGGGCACCCAGCCGAGAAAACGACACCTCGCCATCGACACGATCTACGAGATCTTCTTCAAGTTCCCTACCATACCAGCCGCCTCCGTCGCAAAGGCCGGCAGCCCAACAAAATCAAGTCGACGCATTGGTGGGCGCCCTGTCGAATTTTGGCGCTAACGCTTCCAACCAGACCGCCGGCGGGAACACTCAAGGACCAGCAAATGGAAGCCCATCGCCACATTCTCGACGAAGGTCTCCCTCGTTCCAGCCCGATACACCAACAAGATCTCGACAGCCTTCACCGGCAGGCTGGCAACCAGATAGTCCAACCAAGAGAAAGAGAGACTCTGAGGCAGAAGGCGACGACGAAAGCCCTTCGAAGCGAAGGCACACCGATAGCTCCAGCTCGGGAAGCACACCTTCCAGCTCATCCCCCAGTTCAAGAGCCAGATCCCACCCGACTCCCCTTCAAAGTCGTCCCAGGATCACTCTACGCCTTCCAAATCGGAACGGTGCATCATCCCAGCAACCGCGACCCAAGATAACCTTGAAAATCACCCAGGCTAACAATGCCCCCGGCGCATCAACAAAGCAATCACGGCCAAAACTGACCGTGAAAATCCCTAAGTCAACCGCTCCTCTACCTGAATTCCTCGGATACGCTTCCACACGCGGCACCCCTCCACGTCCCAGCTTCAGCACCATTACCAACAGCGCCAGCAGCCCCGACGACGACGACACTCCTCCCCCAGCCCCGACAACAAAGAAGCCCAAGATCACTTTGAAACTTAGGCAGCCTAAGATCACGCTCAAAGTCAAGCAGCCGAGAGTCACTCCCAGACTTCAGCTGAACCGGGCAGCTCGTCGGGGTCAACCTCAAGCCTCAGCACCAACTACATATACTGGACCTAGAACTCGAGCCCGTGCCCGAGCAGAAGCAGAGCAGGCTCAACAAGGTCCTGTGACGCGCGCACGGAGTCGAGTCAATGCGAAGGTGAAGAAGGTCAATTACAGGGTCTGATTTGGTTTTGCATTTGAAGTCCATGATGTTTAGCCTCGTATTGGTGTAATGAGGAGGGTTGTATGCTTTTTTTCAGCCTGCTAATATTACTTGTTTTGTCCTCCTTGTGCCATGTCCGCTTCTACCTTGACTGGAATGTGTACAACCAAATCAATCACTAATGCTAATGAAAGGATTCTCTCACGGACGAAGAGAACATCCATAGGAACCACATCTTGTCTCGATTGCCACTAAAACTGTATTCAAATGTAATCGTCGGAGTGGCCGCTCATTACAATTCGATAACGACGTTAGCTCATTGTGTCATGTCAATAATAGGTCTGCACATCTAGTTCATATTCTGTACAGCTCATGTGTTCGTAAGCTCCCATCGAAGAATCCTCCCGATAGCCCAAAACAGCTTGATCCAATTCCAACCGCTGCAGTGTTGACGTACCGCCTTTTGAACCCCAAATGACTCCACGCTCGTATTCGATGGAAACCACAATATGTACAGCCATGTAGCACGATTTCCCTGTGCAAGGGAGAAGAATTTCTTCACTGCAGCCCACAGAAACGCCCGTTGTCATTGCCTCGTTGCGTCAATTGACCAAACCAAATCCTGAACGCCAGACGAGGCGGGAGGGTATCATTCGCGCTACAAATACGACATGAAAACAAAAAAGAAAACTGCGACCAATTGAGCACCTTTAGACGTCGAAAAGACGGAGAAAAAAGTCATGTTCATCATCACCATGATGTGGTGAAGATGGACCAGGTCGTGGTTGTTGGCGCGGCCGAAGGAGTTGTGGTGAACAGAGACCTTAAGCCAGTCATTCATCATCCAGGATGATTATCTCATCTGGTTGCGGCGTGCTGGTCGAACTTTGAAGGACAGATGTCGTGGTCTGGTGAGCTCGTACGAGCACATTACCGGCCCGAAGTTCTGGAGTCTCCGTTTCCTCTCTCTCGCGACCGTGAGACTTGCCGATCGACTGATCAAGTCTTGCTGTCCAGGTCCCGTCTTCTTTGATGAGGATTGCCTTGGCGTCCAGCTTGTTCGTCCGAGCCAGCTCCTGTCGTACACCAAAGAGAAACTGGTCCATGACTAGCATTGGTGGCCGAGCATCTTTCTTGCATATAGGACATTTCCACTGATCGGGGCTGGTCGCGCCATCAACCTCCTTTCGACTATCCAGAAATGCATCAAGATCAAAGCATTCGCGATGCTGACAATTTTGGCCTCGGACCGGCGTCACCCACATAGTTGACATGAAAGGATCCACAATGTCGATGCTAAGTACTGGTTGGGAGATAATGAGTTCCTCATCGTCTTTGCCATTGTTCGTGGGTTTGAGTGCGGCGGTGATCGATTCCAAGGATTCTTCAGCACTTATGTATTTCATCATCGACAATACCGTGTTCCTGTTGGCGATACAAATGACCTCAATAGCCATCGAGTAAACTGTGCCAGCGTCTTGTCGAGTAAAGTCTGCGCAAACGACGACCTCGTTGATTCCTTCCTGGAGATGCTCGGTCACATCGGTAGGCAGGTCTGAACCGTGGTGAGCTTTGCGTTGGAACTCCACCCAGGCATTACTGTTGATCGAGACAGACAAGCAGTGCGGCCATTTTCCGGGTTGGGTACAGAATTCTGAAAGCGTCATCTCCAGGAGAAGGGTGTCTTGGTGTGCACTTATACATTTCAACCTGAATTGGGTAGATTTGTCTGAGATGCTTCGTCGTGCGGTCAGAAAATCGCCTACTGGCTCAAGGATTTTGGCTTTCCTTGTCCAGAGACTGTGGGGGATTTGCACCTTCCACCGCACCATCCCTGACTTCGGATCAAGCAGCTGTGGTAACATAATCAGGTCTTCCACGAACTGGAACCACTTCCCTGGAGATGGCTGGGCGGTATCTCCGCCGACCTTTTCATAGAATGGGTTACGAAGATGTGCTTGATGCAGAGCGCGCCGGTCAGGATCCGGTATAGCTAGAAGCGGCAACACAAAGTTCGGGTCGCGTGGAATGAGAGGCTGTATAGGTGACGGTTGTCCTCGCTGCTGGGTTATAGGTAGTGGTGTTGATTGCGGCGCTGGTGAGACTCCTTGCGGTGTAACAGAGGGAGTCTCGGCATGGCGGACGCTTGTGGAAGGTAACCGCTGTGCATGATTCATTACAGGAGACCCCCGAGGAGCAGTCGACCCGTGCAGAAACCCAGATCCAGGTGGCATGAAATGAGTCCAGTTGGCAGAAGCTCGATGGTGAGGGGGACCTTGTGAAACAACAGCTGAGGGCCTGTCCGACCCATTGGAGTGTCCGACACTGGGGTTTCCTGGCAAGGTGTGATTAGGAATGGAGGAGTATGGTTGACTGATTGAACCTCTATGGTATATGTGCTCTTGAACCGGCGGTTGCTGGGCTGGAGCTTGAAGGTTCTGCGGATGTCCTTGGGACTGGGTAGCATGCAGCTGACCAGATTGACGCCGAGACTGCTGAGGGAGCTCGAGAGCATATTGATTTTGAAGTCTAGAGTATTGTGAACCGAAGGCATAGGCTAGCGGAGCTACAGCCTGCCCATCGGTTGCCATAAGCTCACTGGCCGAGTGTGCATTCTGAGCAGGGTCTTCCAGCGCCGCGTCAAACAACCTGGTTGCTTGTTCGACCCAGCCGGGTTGATCAGCGTATCGACCGCGCAGGAGTGAGATATAGAGAACCTTCTGGAGCACTACCGATGGTAGCTGCAGGGCATATCTGAGTTCGATGGGACAGGGCGGCCATCCCCTAAGGGAAAAAATCTTAGTAATTTCGGGGAAGTTCGTGGCCAAGCAGTTTAAGAACGACTTTGCAGACTCAATCAAGCCCCTTGGGCCCTGGGGTGACACTGAGGCCAAAAAGGCACTGGTCGGGCTTGGAAAGTTGACACAGATGTCGAGCACTTCTCTGCTTAATTGCCGACTCGAACCAAGGATTCTTTGCAGGATATGAAGGCCCTCGACATGTGCCGGGTTGAGTTTGAGGTGCAACAACGGGACGGTATGATGCGGTCGAAACCAGACACAGAGAATCCAATGTGTGACTAAGAAGAACATGTCGTTCTGTCGACAGGCGTCACGCAGCAGGTTGATCCTGTAGGCATCCACAACGGGCGTTATGTCGACGGTCCGAGCACGGCCTGTAAGAGCATCGAGAGCCGTCTCTAGTTGTTGGGAAAGAAGATCAGTACTTGATGTCGTGGGAGAATCATGCGGTGTCGGTAGCTGCGCAGGGATGATTATGCCTGAGTTGGACTTCCTCCTTCTGCTGCCTTGTTCGGCTTCCTCCTCGATAGGCTCTGCATCACTTGGCCGCTTGGTGGCGCTGGCCCCAATAGATATTGCCTGCTGGGGAACGAACGTGTTGCTTTGAACATCCGTGGCTGCTTGTGCTGGTGAGTGCTGTACAAGGTCTCTTCCAAATGCGTAGGGACTCATGGTCGCGTTGAACCTTTCCACCGACCAACCAGACTGTAACGAATCCAATGCATCTCGTTGGGCTTGTTGTATTTGGAAGGCTCCCTGTCCACCAGGTTGAGCTTGTTGACTTCGCCCGGGATCTGTGTGAGCTTGTTCAATTGCACTTGTTGGCGTTGGAACGGATGTAGGGCTTTGCAGGTTCTGTGGGAGATCAGAGGGCAATGGCATTGACGCTGATGGCGACTGAGGAATGTTGTGTGTCGCGTGAGCAGTGACCAAGGTTCGGTCCCGTTCAATTGCTTCCCGCTGGTTTGCAATTGGTGTAGCAGAAATGGGGGTGATTGTTGGGGTGGTACTCTGGAACGACTGTGGCGGTAGAGGATATAGTGGACTTTGTACCACAGGAGTTCTATCACCACCTGCTGCTGGCGCTGTTGGAGGGCCTATTTTCGACGTACCTAGGGACGTACGCGATCGATGTCTCGCTGTGGTCTTAGGAGTCTGCGTCGCATTGCTGGGGGCGTTGCCTTTTGCAATGTTGACATCTTGCGTACCCGTCATCCAGGACTTTTGAGGACCACCGAGGAAATGGTGGGTTGTAGTATTGGTGGTTTGAACGCCTGCGAAGCCAGCATTTTTGAGCGCAGTTGCACCAACCTGTGGCGTCCCCGGCCCTGGCATTTCTGGATCTCGTTAGGCAAGGCTGAGGGAGGGATGAAGGAGTAGTGTCGTATTTGAGTGACGTAGAAACATATGCACTCTTGTCTGTACACGATTAGAGAGGACAAGGCATGCATTGAGAGAACAAAAACGTACCATGAAAGCGGTGAAGTGGCATTGTATCGTGTGTCTTTTCTGACTGCAATGGATGCGCGTGCGATGAGGATGAAGATGCAGCAGTCGATTGTCCCTCACTGCCAGTTCACTATAACGTGCTCATCTCGCGCATGTCTGTCAGACACAACTGCGAAATATGGCTCAATCCACCGATATTGTGGTTATTGAACCAACATTGAGTGCACGGATCCTCTCAAGAAGTGGCGGTGGTAGTGGTAAAGCAATGGTGGTGGAGAACATGGAATTTGCGGAGAAGGGAAAGGAAAGTAATAAGGGGAAAGGAAAAGCGCTGTTAGGGACCGGTTGTTGGTCCATAGGTGCGCTGCGTTTCTCCATCTTCAACCGTATCTAAAGTTCGAATATCAAGAAAACATCAAGCCTTCTCTTTCTTCGTCTTGATCTTGACGACCTCGGCTTGACGGAAAGATTTCTATCTGTCATCTTCAACGTCCCACAGAAAGGTCCTGTCGCTAATCTGGGCATGTGTCACTTTCTTTAACCTTGCTTCTCGAATGACACGACCGATCACTTTCTAGTTAGCACAACCGACTGCTGCCACCAGATCGCCTGCGCGCACTTCTTCCTCAACCTCCTCTACTTTGTACGACAGTTCCTACCGCTCACACCTATACGTGTCTCTTGCGCACCATATTTGAGACCGCGCCTTACCATGCAGACACTTGCAATTGCTCTCCTCCTCGGTTTGTCAGAAGCACACTCTGGCTGAAGGGTTCGGGAAAATCAGGTGGCATGCTGTTTCGTGCCTTTGCGCTTGATAGCGTGTTTTGATACTGTGTACTGCCCAGCATGTCCCTCACTGCTCTACAGCGCCAGAGGGGCGCATCACAGCCAGGAGATATGCTGGTGGTGATACGTATGTCGAGCCTCTGATCCTCTTGCACGTCAGCTAATGTTCGTGGATTAGACGACTTTGATGCTCGAAGCTCAGATGAACTCACCCTGCGAAAGACGGATCGAATTGAATTGCTTGAGCTAGATGAAGGATTTGGTGATGGCTGGTTCCTCGGAAAACATTTGGCACATGGGACCACAGGACTTTTCCCTGGGGGTATGGTGGCTGTCATATCTGTATGTCTGCATCTGACTGACTTGACACCAGTATATACTACGAAAGTCCCCAGCGGTTTTACCGCAATGGGCGTTCCAAGCATAGCAAACCCACAGTCTGGTCCAGAAAATCGTTCAGATGTCCAGCCTAGCCAGCCTGCACCGACTTTGCCAAACAGCGATGCTACGGCACACCGTATGGTCACTTCGAATCAATCGGCAAACCCGCATTCAATTGTGGCAGTCCCACCGTCCCCAACTTCCTATATACCGGGCGTGCAGCGCAGCATTGGCCAAGCACTTGATGGCACAACAAGCGGACAAGAGAGTCCTGTCATGAACGAGACGTTGAGTGTCATACAAGAACACATTACCGATTTGAGTACCCCTCGGCAGAGTCTGGCACCGCCTCGACCAATAGCCGAGGACTCAGACAGTGAATATAGTGCCCACCTGGACCGGGCTTCCTATGTGGCAGGCGCAGAGACCGATAGCGAGGATAATCCCCGCTTGACAGAGGCAGAAGTCCAAAGATGGGATGCTCAAGAAACGGCCGAGTATCTGAGAAGCATCGGTGTGGATTCAAAACATTGCGACATCTTCGAGGAGCAAGATATCACTGGGGACGTACTAATGGAGATGGATCAGTCCTTCATCCATATGAAGGAGTACGACTTTGGTCTCATGGGACGCCGTCTGAAGACGTGGCACAAGATTCGAGACTTTCAGTTGCAGGTGCGTAGCGCCAAAGAATCGCGTAGGAGCAGTCTCCGGCAAAACAGCTCGACAGAAGATGTCGCCAGGATACATTCCCGCGGCATGTCCGGAAACACCATCTTACCCCGGATTCCAAGTCTCATGGAGGAGCCGGGGCTTTCCATTCGCCAGTCCCAGCATACCCACCCATACATCCATATAGGCAGTGCTTCGCCACCTCCCGATCCTTCAATGTCCCCTACAGGCTTCACGCGGCCACAGCTGGGAACAAGCACTCCTCCCTCGCCTTGGAGGGCGTCTATGGCAGCCGAGAGCCCCAGTCGACCCTCTGCTGCCTCTATCCGCGAATTGAGCCATTCCCGGCGGCATTCATCCATCGACTTCGCAAAACAGGGCTCTCAAGACGTTGCCCCGGCGCCCACTAAAGCACCTGTGATTGCTCCGCATAAGAAAAAGGCGTCTTTAGACAGAGGCTGGTCGATGAGCAACGCAACGACAGCAAATGCTGACTCAAGTACGCCTTCGCTTGGGCTGAATGCCAATAGACAGCCGGAGAATTTGAGCCTCGCAACACCACCATTCATCGACGATAGCTCTGCGGTCGACATCGACCGTGGATATTTCAGCGGAAATGAGGTAGATAACAGGAAAACTAGAAATGTCCTCAGGAAAAGAGATGGTATAGACAGTCTGGGACATTCGCGCCAATCTAGCGCATTGGATGAGTCGAGCAAAGCAGACATCAAACGTCACTCCCGACTCAGCAGCCTTGACTCATCCAGAGGCCCAGGACCAAATTCTTCAGCGGCAAAGGCTTACCACAGCAGTTCATACAAGGCACGATTCCGTTCTGCCAGCGCACGGAATCTCACAGCTCAACGCTCACCCTCAATTATTCAGTCGCCCACAGTAACAAACCTCGAAGATGATAGTATCTCATCTCTGTCATCTCCTAAGGGTTCCGGTAACCCGACGTCACCAGCTGCACCTTCTTCCGCGCCGTGGGTGTCAAGTCAAAAAGCCCGGAAACTATTAGGTCTGCGCACAGCATCGGAGGCAGTTACTGGGAGTGAAAAGGAGGCTGCAAATCCATCTATTATCACATCCGAGTCTGTCAAAGAGAGCCCTGTGGCATCGCCCTCCGGCTCTCAAACCCCGTCAGCAAAATCACACAGTTTCGAGATGGACAACACGGACACTTCGTCTAAAGGCACAACTGAGCAACTCGGACCACTTCTCCACACCAAGGCTCCGGTGCGAACAGTTCCGAAGACAAAAAGACAGACCAGTGCATACACACGGGGCCTGCTCAAGATCTCTCCTGCGGAAGCGCGCCAACATTGCGACTATCATGGATGGATGAGGAAGAAATCCACCGGCCTAATTGCACAATGGAAGCCACGACTATTCATCCTTCGAGGGCGCAGATTGTCGTATTATTACTCCGAAACCGACACAGCGGAAAAGGGGATCATTGACATATCAGGGCATAAAGTACTCGTCGCCAGTTCTGATCCGATAACAGCATTTCAGGCTACCATAGGTGGCGGCTCAACACCACCGCTGGGCAGTATAGGTTCTTCAGTGGACAGATCCCCGGACCTTGCTCGCACATCTGGGGGAGGGGCTCCATTCTTCTTCAAACTCGTCCCTCCGAAAGCCGGCCTGTCTCGAGCTGTTCAATTCACCAAACCCACCATTCATTACTTCCAGGTGGACAATATTATTGAAGGCCGAAAGTGGATGGGTGAGATATTGAAAGCGACGATTGAGCACGACTTATCCAGTTTTGAGACCACCAATCGGCAGAAGACCATCAGCCTCTCCAAAGCCAGGGAAAGGAAAGAAAGGCCACCGGCATTGAAAGGAACAGAGGAGGTGTCTGAGGTGTCTGAACTCGCTGAACAGCCCACACCACTCGAAGAAAAGGAATCGGATCTTGGAGAAAGCGGATTGAACATACAAGGGCTCAATTTCAGGGAGTCCGATATCGATCTACAGTTACGAACCGGGCCACTGGGTGGAATCACCCCCAGTGAGGAAGATAATGCAGCGAAGACGTGATGATGACGAGAAGGGCTGAATGATTGGCAGAGAGGACGTGTATATACATAATGCTAGTCGGGTATAGATACTACTTGCGGTCGATTTGTTGACAGATACTGTTGAAGCGCGAACCAGAAGGACATGATGCCCTGTACCCGACGAGGCTGATTGGAATGGGGGTTAGGCAGGCCCTAGGCATTACAGTACTAGCCTGGAGTTGCCTCTACTGTATTAGAGTCCGAGTTTCGCGTTCTTCCCTCGGATACCTAAGTTAATGTTGGTTCACACCTTGACGGTGCATGAGCATCAGGTTGCTATGGAAAGGGGCCGGTCCTTCGATGTACGGGCTTGCGTGGTTAGACAGACTGCTGCGCGTTCTCATCCCAGTCGCCCTTTGTCTGACGACATACTTATACTTATATCCTGCATTCCACGGGTGCGCTTTTCCTTCCAAAGATGCCTCGATAGTATCAGCCTTCGGCGACACACTCGCTCAACACTACCCTTTTTCGCGTATATTGAGCGCGTCCGACGTGCCTTCGATCCCTTTCCGACTGCTCGTTCTTGCAGATCCTCAATTGGAAGGAGACAGCTCGCTTCCCAAGCCCGAAGATGCCTTCCTGGCAAAACTAAGACGGCGTTGGAACGAGTTATTCGCACAAGAGAAGGACAATATACTGCCGTCATTGCTGGAAAACTCGCAGGCGCTTCTGCTTGAGGACATTCCAGAATGGGTGCTGTCCCTACGGAAAAAGCTGGACCTCTTCGGTAACGACTATTACTTGGGCCACGTCTACACGACATTACATTGGTGGACAGTCCCCAGCCATGTCACTGTGCTCGGAGACCTTATTGGCAGCCAATGGGTCACCGACGAAGAGTTTGACTGGAGAGGCTGGAGGTACTGGAACAGAGTCTTTGTGCATGGTCAGAGAATTGGTGAAGAAATCACGACCTCCAAGGAGGCAGAAAAGGAGAGCACATTCGAAATGACCGACGCAAACTGGAGCAGGAACATCATCAATATCGCTGGTAACCACGATATTGGGTATGCCGGAGAGATATCGGAAAAACGAATGGAACGATTCGAAAGAGTATTCGGCAAGGCCAACTGGGATGTCCGGTTCGAGTACCCTGAGAATAACAACACTGTGGGAAGCATTGACACGGTTCCGTCGCTACATCTCATCGTGCTCAACAGCTTGATCTTGGACTCGCCAGCTCTATCCGACGAACTGCAAGGTGAGACATTTGCGTATCTGAACAGTCTCATATCACAGCGCCTACGACCTGTGGAGGATCAGTCTTCGTTTACACTCTTGCTCACACACCTACCACTGCACAAAGAAGAAGGTCTATGTGTGGACGCTCCTTTCTTCGATTACTGGGGTGACGATGATGGTGGAGGCGTCTACAAGCCCCATGGCGTGCGGGAGCAAAATCACCTCAGCACCCACGTAAGTCGACAAGGCATACTGAAGACCGTCTTTGGTATGAGTGGTAATCTAGACGCGCCGGCACAGGGCAAAGGCAGACAAGGTCTCATTCTGACTGGTCATGATCACGAAGGGTGCGATGTATGGCATTATATTCCTTCGAATTCGACGTGGTCTGGTTCCGAAGAGCAGAGTGAAGATGATAGGGACACTGAATGGGATGCAGTTTGGTGGGCTCTTGAGGACTCGGCTCGATCTCATACTGGGGTCCGCGAGATCACTCTTCGAAGCATGATGGGAGATTATGCCGGCAATGCAGGATTGCTGAGTGCTTGGTTCGACTTTGAAGCTGGGCAGTGGAAGTATGCGATCCAAAGGTGTAGTCTGGATGTGAAGGTTTGGTGGGCTGTACACGTGGTCGACTTGATTGTCCTTGCCTTGTTGGTTGTCAGCTTTGTCTCGCATATGATTTTTGCCATCAGACCGCCAACTTCAGGCAGCAAGCAGCCTCTTCCACCTCTAAAACGTCTCAGAGTCAAGCCCCCGAAGGGGTGAATCCCGTATCAGGGCCACATCAGCCCCTCAGACGCTGGGGAGGCCCAGGTGATATGCAAATACCGTCCATCAGTCCTGACCATCTGGAGGATGATCGCCAGATACACCGCCACGAGTGGCCAGATGAAAGCTTCGAATGGAACGAAAGACCCAGTGGGGCAAGGATGGGAACGGCTTGATGCTTCGACAAGTAAAGGTCAACTGAGGTCGAGCACGCATAAGCGAAGGCGGAGACCAAGCGCACTTTCTCAATAGAGCAAGGAAACAATACTCCCATTGTGGGAGACGACTCTGACTCACATACTGTGCGAGTTTTGCACCCGGTGTGGCAATATTGAGGAAACGAGCGACCGCCCCCAGCCGTCTATATCCAGAGCGTGACAGTGAGTGTCTTTCTCTACTAGTATTTGAATGATCAATCGATCTTGTACAAACATCTTCACACCATTTCCACAACCGATTGTTTATTCTGCAAAGGATTTCATCATTCACTCTCGGACATTGAATCTATCAGAATGGTCTTCTTCATGGTGTTCGGTGACGACCTCAAGGTCCCGTTGTCATACCATTGGGGCTTGGACATTTACGAAGCGTGCCCAACATGTGTGCGTGCTCATGAGCTCCGAACCTGCAATGGTGAAACCATCGTGACCTTTGAGCTCTGTGAAGAGCATGCTGCTACGTAAGTTGTATGATGCTGCTTTGTTTCCCTGCCTTTCTGTCTTGATGGTCGTTGAGTCTGGCTCACTTTCACGTCATGTTTGGCTTGCCGTCAGCATACGATGAAATTCCGTCTGAGTGAATGTGGCTGCTGAAATGATAGCAAGAGAAATCCTTTGTCCAAGTCCTTGGGCATGGTTTCATCCAGCATCGGAGTGCTGTCCAGGCGAAGCCTTCTCAAGTGACACATCAAAGAGCCAGACTCTCCAGGCCTATGAGACATATGCACATCGACCCAGAGACCAGAAGGCTAACCTTTGTCACAGAGATGAGAAGACATTCGACCTGACCATGCTCAATGAGATCCGCCATCTGGTGCACCCACTGTACTCAACCGTTCCCGACCCCAAGATCTCCCGCAAGGACCTTCGAAAGAATGTCAAAATCACCACCATGGAACCAAGTAACTGGTCCCGTCACCCAAGCAGACCCAATCGCAAACTTACGGTGTCCGATGAAATCGAGTCTCTCCCACTCCCAACGATCAAGTACGCCCATGCTAAAGGCTGCATCTACTCCGACGCGCCAGATGTCGTGATCAAGTCCGCCGACGCAGTCAAGGCAATGGACGAGCACGCGAAGACCAGACTCGACAACATTAACGCTCTTCTTGACGCTGGCGTCGAATTTGTTGATGTCGATGCAGGTCACGACTTCAGCAAAAGCCGGAGCTCGTCTTCGTCTTCGGACAGAGACATCGACCTTGCCGCGATCTTTGCGCAAGCGGCACAACAGGAAGCTACTGAGATCATGCTCGCCGAGAAGAAGAGGTTGGAAGAGTGTCTCGCGACGAGCAGTCTTACCAAAGGCTTGTACTTCAAGCGGTGTAACGGCGTGTACAGGAATGCACTGGACGATGTTCTCGAACGTGCCAACGTCTCTGTGAAAGAGGCGAGCACTAACAGCACAAACTACGGCTACGCTCTTCACCCAGACACGACTGCTGCACTACCATACATTTTCCCCGGCAAGAATGCGTCAGGAGGTCATGCTGCGGATGCTAAAGAGATGAGCTACATGTCCTTCCCTGCACCAGAGACGTTCAAGTTCACTACAGACATTCTCAAGGGCCGCGAGGACATGGTTCGTTCCGGCGCCGTGTCCGACACTGATTTGTGCTGTACTTGCTGGATCTTCCATCGGCAGGAAAAGAGGGCCAGAGGACGGTAAACGAGAAAAGTCTGCTTGGAGACCCCCACGCAGCATCACTGGTTAAATGCGAGGAGAAACACTTACCAGTATCTCAAACGAGGCGCGAAGATCTACAGAAGTAATCATGGCTTGAGAAGCAATTGGACTGAGCATCTCAGCAATCAAGCCGATTTCAGAATGCTGATGTGGACTGCAATCCAATATGTAATCAGTCAGGCAAGCACGGCACCATGGCTCCAGCTGAAAGAGTGTATGGCCATGGGAACCCATTGCAAGGAATTAGCTATCCAATTCCATAGAATCGAGTGGTTCACCAGGATACATCAACACAAAAAGCAATCAATCGAATAGTGGTAACAACAAGTGTCCAGGCAAATAGGGCTCGTTACGATATTATGACAGACGTGTAAGTAGGTCGAGAGCTCGAACTGAAAGAAGAGACCTTCCGCATTGTTGATGATCAAGATTAACCAAGGTTGACGGAGGTTGAACAAGGTTGGTGTGATAACCTTTGAAGACTGTGAAAGACTTGGAGACAATTCAACAGGACAAGCCATAGAAAGGACTACCATCATTACAACCATGTTTCGTGAAACTTTGTAAAAACGATGATCCGAATCATATTGCTATTTCTTCTGTCTTTTTGTCTAAGAGTAGCTGACCCGATCAGTTCCGCGTCGCGCACTGGCCGCAGATGTCTGCCATATCATCTGCTAGAACTATCGTTGGGATACCAGGTGAGAATAGGTGGTAAGGAAAGATTGTTTGCGTGCATAAGTGTGTAGACTCCCAGCTGCCACGAAACCTTCCTTGTACGCAACGCAGCCAGGCCTGTCGACAATGTGGCCGTTGACAAGATAAGCAATCCCTTACTCCGCCTTCTCCGCGGTCGCCTCAGGAGCGGCCGCACCCTCGGTCTCCTTGGGCGCTTCACTTGATTGACCAGCTGACTCTTGTGGCTCGGCTTCAGAAGAAGTCCAGAGGGTCTGGTACTTGTTAGCGGTGCCATACAGTACAACATAGGCGCGCAGGGACATACCAAGTTGTCTCTCAACAGTTGCATGATCAGTGTCGAGTCCTTGTAGCTCTCCTCGCTCAGGGTGTCGAGCTCAGCAATGGCATCATCAAAAGCCTGCTTGGCAAGATGGCAAGCCTGGTCAGGGGAGTTGAGGATCTCGTAGTAGAAGACGGAGAAGTTGAGGGCCAAGCCAAGTCGGATTGGGTGGGTAGGAGCAAGATCGGTCTGAGCGACTTCGGTGGCGGCCTTGTATGCTTCAAGAGACTTGTCCGCGGACTCCTTTCGCTTATCGGCAGTAGCGAACTCAGCGAGGTAACGGTGGTAATCGCCCTTCCTGTCGAAAGTATGAGCACGTGTCTCTACCCGCAGGCTGGAGATATGCAGGGCTTACATCTTGTGATAGAAGACTTTGGACTCGCCAGTTTGAGCAGATGGGATCAAGTGCTCGTCAAGGACCTCGAGGATGTCCTCGCAGATCTTGCCCAGCTCCTTCTCGATTGTCTGACGGTATTCCTTGATGAGCTTGACCTGCGCCTCATTGCCTTTGGACTCCTCCTTTTGCTCAATAGACGTGACAATTCTCCAGGAAGCTCGGCGGGCGCCAATGACGTTCTTGTAGGCCACGGACAAGAGATTTCGCTCCTCGACGGAGAGCTCTTGGTCTGCAGAGGCGACAACTTTCATGTTCTCCACCATCTCTGTTTTTTGTTAGTGGTCAGGAAGTCTGACGCGTCAATGAGATCTTACCTTCATAGCGCTCAGCTTGCTCGGCAAGCTTGGCCAGGTAGACTGATTCTTCTACACCCATTTTGATGTGGTTTTCGTGTTATGATCAAGAAGACACCTAACACAGAGGATGATTAGCCCACAGCCAATATCAACAACAACTGTGAGATGAGGACGCGGATTAATAGTATCGTGACCGATGTCTGTAGTCTTCACAAAAAACAGATTCTTCCGTCGTAGTTAATCCTCATGTTCCGTGAACGATTGGGGCGGCGCAGCAAAGTCGAGGTTTGAGGTTGTGGACACCAATCGACGGGATTGACGTCAATCAGGCACCGTGTACTGAGAGTGGTGCCAGACGGGAATAAAGGTGCAAGACAAGAGGAACAAGGCCGCAGCTCTTAGCGACAGCCAGGATCGGATAGTGAATACGATTGAAGCTCGGATGATTCGAAGGCGCAAGTGAGGCCTTTAGTTGTCGCGGCTGAAGACGTGGGGTATAGGTACCCCTGGGCAATGAGGCAGCAATCTGGAGGGTAGCTTACCGTTGAATCGGTGATGAAGGGCGAGCAAGACTCGTCGATGTAAGGACTCGGAGGATCGAGTGGTATCGCAATGAAAAGAGGGAGCGAGGTTGTGGTGAATCGATTGCAAGATGCGTGGTGTGGTTGGAAAGGGCAATTGTGAGATGTGAATCTCAGATCAAAAGACTTGTGTGCCAGGACAAGACGCAGGCAGTGCAGTGCTAGTGACAGTTTTTGGTGGGAGGGAAAGCACCACTGGAAGGGGGGAAAACGAGACAAACACCGGACTGCAGGTGGCTGCGTGGGAATCACGGGAAAGTCCAAGCTTGGCCCGATTGAGGAAGGATCTAGTTCTGCCCACCACTACGGAGTACCCTTGAGATTGTATCATTTGCAACGCGTCAAGTGTTTCAACCCTCACTCTGATTGCGGTATTTAAGGTGCTGTCAGTCTCAATATCGTCTTTGCAGTACTTTGATCTCAGGAGAATGCTACAAGTTTGACGCACGAGGGAACTTGATGCAATTGACTTGATCTTGCAGGTAACTACCTAGGTACCTAGTAGATAGACAAGTGAGCATCTTCGGTAAACATCAGTACCACAACATGAACACAGATCGTGGTTGTATCTCGTAGAGAGTTCCTCTTCATAGCATCTATGTAGTCTCGAAGAGACATCTGCTATATGCTACGCGGTCCTCTATCAACGTTGATATATTTATCGCTATCCTACTCTGTGTTCCGTACTCGCAACAGCATTATCGTCCTTAAGGCCAGTCACGTGAAAACAGCGTACTTTGATTGGCCTTCCTCTCTGTTGGCAGGGTAAGTTCCGCCCCTCGTCATGGCCTGAATCAGACTGGCTGTTGCAATAACGTACAAGCGAGCTTTCTTGCGGCCGAACTTCACTCTGCATCAACGACCACAAATTACATTGATCTTCATCCTCGACCTTGCCAAATCTTCATCCACAAGAACTCCGTCAACATGCTGCGTACACAAGTCGTCAAGCTCGCAAGAGCCACTCCGTCTGTTCAGCGATCCTTTTCCGTAGCCGCCATTCGTGCTGCGGAAGGCGACACCGGCGCTCCCAGATCTGGCGGAGTTGCAGGAGGGTAAGAATGCATCATTGGTCCCAGACGCGGCCGTTGCTTTATGGAATGAATGCTAACGCGCGGCTATTCAGTGATGCCTGGACCAAGCGTGAACAGGCCAACGAGACCAAGTTCATCCGCGAGAAAGAAATGGAAAGGTATGCCTTCTTTATGCTTGGACCTACGCTTCCAGAGGCCATCCGATCCTCCAAAACCCTCGTGTACTTGTGACTAACCTGCGTCTGTCTTAGTCTGCGGAAGTTGAAGGAGAAACTGCAACAACAGCGAAAACACCTTGACGAGCTCGAAACGCATATCAAGGATTTGGAGAGTGAACGTGGGGGTGAACAGTGAACAATGGGCCAAAATTGAAGCTGACTGGAGAGCAACAGACGGTCGGATAACAAAAGAGCTCAAGTGACGGGATTACTGCTCTTCGCAACACAGACTTGTTCTGCCTGTACAGACACATATTGCTGCAGTTCAATGTGATTCCACTCTCCCACGTCTTTCGGCGTATGCAAATTATCCTACACATGGTGGTATGCTCATGATGGCACATTCTGTCATCGGCACTTTTATTGTCTACATGGCAGCAATCCCCGAATGGCCATGTCATGAGCATTGACGAATGCCCAACACCATATTCATGAATACCTGATTACGGTGTCATCATATCGATGCAGATATGCTCTACCTCCTGCCCATGTAACTGCGATAGAAGTCTTGCACCGCCGCGCCGTTGTGTCCATTCGTAGAGCCGTTCAAATAACCCAGGCTGCTCGCCGATTTCTGTGCTGCGGCCACTTTTTCTTGAAGCGCCACGGTTCCTTGATCAATCACTTGTAGTTGCATGAGATGCGAATTCAGTATTTTGACGATTTGAGTGATCTGAAGATCATGTTAGCAAAGCATACACGGCCGGAGACAAAGGACACTTACCGGTTCGTCCGCCTTGCCATTCTTACTCAGACTTGTATTGGCGGCGTTAACCTCCTCAACCATACTTCCCAGGTCCCGCTCCATTTCCTCCAGTCTTTCTCCAAGTTTCTCTGCGAGTTTGTATGTCCGCTCTCTTTCTTGGTCTGGTCCGCCCAATTCGCTAGGATTGGCGTTATCCTTGGCCAGCATGTCGTCGACATCATTCTCGTATTTGGTCAGCCAGCTCTCAAGCTCGGTCTGCTGGTTTTCCACCGCTGCAAGTTGCATATCTACACTCATGGTCTGTCTCTCACACGTCCGGGTGCGTACATAGAGCTTGTCAATCTTGGAAGAGTTGTCCACAATGAGCTGATCCCAGCGAGCAATGGTCTCTGCTTGTTCCTTGAACTCCTTGGAGTACCGTGACATGTCCGTCGCCCAGCGTGTCAAGATTTCGTCCATGGTTTTATTCCTCAGGCGTGACTGTGCAGGTGGAGCTGGGCCTGTTGTTGAAGTCTGTGCTCCAATTGTACTTTGACCACCGAGAGGGGCGGTAGCAGTCCTGGGCGCTGTAGCCGTGGTAGTGGTCGTGGCGGTGGTTTGCGGAGCTGATGTCGTGTTTGACGATGGGAACGAGAAAGGGTTGGCAGAAGGAGCCGATGTTGCTGCTGGCTGTGAAGCTGTAGTCGTCGGTGGTGGACCGAACGAGAATCCTTTTGACGCGGGCGCAGAAGGAGCGGTGGAAGTCGTGGGAGCACTCTCAGCTGAGGTGGACGAGGCGGTTCCTCCGCCTAGATTGAGACCGCCAAAAAGTGGTTTCTGAGCAGCGGCGGAAGTTGTCTGTGCTGGAGCTGCCGAAATCTGTGTGGAAGGTGGTCCGAAGGAGAAGGCGGGCTTTGCTGGAGCTGCCGTCTCTGTAGTTGCAGGATTTGCTGAAAAAAGGCTTGAACTCGTGCTTGGCTGCTTCGGAACTTCGCCAAACAAGGACGAGCCGCTTGCGGATGTGGTTGGCTGCGCTGCTGGTGCAGCTGGAGTGCTGGATGAGGTTGAGGCTGGGGGGCCGAAAGAAAATGTTGGTTTGGGTGGTTCATTGCTTGATGTTGTATTATTAGCAGCAGCAGGAGCTGGCGTTGAGTCGGCGGGCTTTGAAGGTGCTCCAAAACTGAAGCCGCCAGATGGAGCTGCAGGCTTTGAGCCAAAAAGGCCCCCAGAAGTTGCTGAAGATGCCGCCGCTGGCTCGGTTGGTGCGGCGGGTTTGTTCAAGCCGAAGACCCCAGGCTTCGCTGCATCATCAGCAGGTTTGGCACCAAACAGTCCAGCACCACCCGTGCTCGCGCCAAATGTCGAGCCTGATGGCGGAGGGCCAGCAGGAGTAGTTGACGGGTTGAAGCTAAAGACGTTGCTTGTATTGCTAGCGGCAGGCGTGCCAAAAAGTGAGGGTGCAGATGATGAGGGAGCAGCTGTCTTGTCTGGCGTGCCAAACGAGAAGGTCGGTTTCGAAGTGTCATTGCCCTGAGTCTCTTCAGGCTTTTTGGCACCGAAGAGACCGCCTGAAGATGCTGTGTTTCCTGATCCTCCCGCCTGCCCAAAGAGACTCGGTGTTGAAGAATTATTCTCCGTTGGCCCTGCTGCTCCGAACAGATTCTGCGAGCTTGGAGCATTCGAAGTGGTTTGGCTGGCATTCCCAAAGCTGAAACCTGTTGTATTCGTTCCTGATGCGCCCGTATTTCCAAACAGTCCTCCTCCTGAAGCGGGTTTATTGTTTGCTGAACCGAACAATGACTGACCACTGGCACCACCAGTAGATGCCGGAGCGCCAAAGTTGAACGACATCTCACTGGGTCGGTATGTGAGGAATCAACTTCAATTTGGCAAGAGAGATATTTGACGAGATAGCATCTCCAGGTGGGTGAAATGTGATAGGTATCAAGGTGGTTGAACCGCTGTTAGAGGATAGGCCTTGATAGCTGTTATGACGATGCCAGCACGAGTACCAAGATTAATCAAGAATGTGTTCTGGTAGAGGTGTGACGATGGTAGTTATGGACAGACGCGAGTCGCGTTGAACAAAAAGTTGTCGCAGAAAGACTGCCGTGAAGCGCAGGTGCCGTATGGGGTAATGCCATCTACCCAACACCGCCTTACAACCTCCGCTCACTCAGCCTCTTACTATTCAGTGATCATTACCAGATCGACCATTACCTGCTCAATCGATACAGAGCAGAAGTATTCTACATTGCAACTATTCTCAACATACAATGTCAATGCCGACCTCAAGGAATAGTCTTGAACCACCACGGAAAAGCATTGAATTAGTCGATCCTGGGGCACATGAGCGTAAGACATTGCCAAACCCATGTTAGTCTGACCGCTTGGCTGACCATAGTGCCAGTATCGTCTGAAGGCGAAGAAGAGTACTTCTCGGACGCCTCAGAAGGCCGAAGACCAACAAGACCCGTCACTCCTGTCTCTCCTATACCGAAAACCCGTATAGAGAAGATCGACGATGAACCCAGTCACGGCGAGGTTCCCGGCACCCCAGCTTACGACAAACGAACCCAAGATGCAGTACCGGACGAAGTAGCCTTCGTTTCGCCACAGCAAACATCACGCCTATCTCAAGAGCGTCCAACTACGCCTGGGGGTACACTTATACCTCGTACTGTTGTCGAGAAGGTGGACCCAGAATCTCCGAGTTATGGCGAGGTTCCTGGGACGACTGCGTATTTGCAGAGGCAAGCGGATGCAACACCTGATGTTATATTGAAGACACCTGAACCCGGAAGAGGACGACTTCACACAGAGGACGATCTAGAGGAAGGAAGTGCTGCACCAAGTATTCCTATACCAGAGACCGTCGTCACACGTGTTGATTCAGAACCTGCGCATGGCGAGGTACCTGGGACTGAAGCACACAAGATGCGAGCGTTGGACGCGGCGCCAGATATTGTGGAAATGGATAACGGAGCAGGTAAATCTAGCGACTAAACACAGCATAGGAGGACCATTGACCTGATCCAGGGTCATCGACGCACAGCAGTCCATTGAGGCAATCGAGACGCCGTTCAACGCTCACAAGTGCACTTGGTGAAAACCATCATGACGGGGAGATGCACGCTGGGGATGATTTTGATGATTTTGAGGAAGGCGCACAGGTTGGGGTCGATGATGACTTTGGGGACTTTGATGATGACTTCCAAGAACCTGAGGCTGAGGCTGAAGATGCGATTGCATCGCCTGTATCTAATCCTCAAAACGATCGGATACCTGCCGAGCCCTTCGTAAGTGCCTAGCTTGTTTCTCTCTGTCTGTACGCTAATGTTTCTCCTACCAACAAGCCCTTGATAGATTTCGAAAAGCTGTCTTCGGTGCCAGAGCTACTCGCCGCGACCCAGATGCACTTGGAGGCTATGTTTCCATCGTCAACAGCCGCACACCTATCTTCTATTCCGCCTCAAGAGCCTATTCCCGAGTCTTCCCCAATATTTCCCTCCGAGCGGTCACTGTCGCTCTGGAAACAACTAATCACTCCTCCTCCTCTTCAGCCGCCGAATTGGACACAGTCTCGCATTCGCCGGCTCTTCCTTGTTAGCCTCGGTGTCCCCGTTGATCTAGACGAGATCCTGCCGCCATCAAAACAAAAGAAACTTGTCCTTCCAGACATACACCTCGCACCTTCCTCTCGAAAATCAGAGTCCGATAAGACCTTGGGGTCTGTTGCCCGTCTAAAAGCCCGAGCAGCCAATGACTCGACTGGGTCGGTTGACAGCACTCAATCTGCGTCTAAGGAACGCTCCGGCCGCTCGAAACGACCGAAAGGTCCACCTCCACCTCCTGACCTAGATTTGGTTGCCGTAAAGCGACTTTGCGCAACCACGGACGAGAAGCTGGAAGGATTTACCGACGAGGAACTGCAGTCACATGTCAAGGAGCTCCAGGACGTTACAGAAAAGACCTCGGAGCTGTTAGAATACTGGCTCCGGCGGCGAGACGGACTGCGGAAAGAGAAGGAAGCTTTTGAGGGTGTCATTGAGAACCTCGTCCGACACGCAAGGAGAGTAAGAAAATAGGCCTTATGCAGAGCAAATGGTCTTCTTGCCTACGCACTACCCGTACTTCTAGACATATCTGTCCCAGGACCATGGAAGTGTAATTTCTCTCCAAAAAACCTTGAGTTGCTATGATGAAGGGAGAAGAGATGCACAACCGCATCATTGCCGGCTTTCGAGGCTCACGGTTTGCGGCCGACGGAAGTACACCCCCCGGAACCCGCTGTTGTTCCATGAAATGCAAGCTGTATTCCCAGATCGAGGACCATTCTGTACGCAAGTGGAATTTGACGACCGAACAATGGAAAACTGTTCCGGATCGTGGACTTCACATCCGCTGAGGTCGACAAGTAGCAGAATCCGATCATTTCGAGACGAGGTGATAATCGCGGAGGAGGAAGTATTGTTCCGGAGATGGGAAACCTTCTTGGTAGCCTTTAAGCCTGCAGAGCCGACAAGCGCGTGGAAGCTGGAATATACTCCCGGGTGCGCATATATTGGATGACACCGCCTTGCTGGGCATAGAATACTCAACGCCTTAGATGGTTTGAAGTACTCGTCGTGCCCGATAGAGCCCTTTGTGCGCAGCGGCACCTTCAGCCCGACTTCATCCATCGCTTGCCCGCCACTGATTCAAGGCCGGATGTCGTTTGTCTATATCGATCTCATCGGGCGTTTCACTTCATAAAACCGTTGCCAAGGGCCGCCGCCATGCCTATTAGGGGCAATGCCGGTCCTTGCCGGTCAGGCATCAATTATCACCGTTCAGGAATCGAAAGGTTGATGGATTGCCGAACAGTCGGTCGATCACTGAGGTTACGAAGTGAGGCGCACAACATCCAAGACAGTCAGAATCCTTCATCTCTTCCGATACGACCATTGTTGTGCTCGACATGCCGGCAGGAGTGTCACCGCCCCCAACGAACCCCTTAAAAAGACCTCGACCTCGACAGGATCCAGTCTCTTGTGAATTTTGTCGCTCGAAGAAATTGAAATGCGATCGCCAACAGCCTTGTTCGAATTGTGCCACGAGAGGACTGTCATGTAATGGTCAGTCTATACGTTCGCCGCGCCACATCCGGCCATCTTCGAATGATGATAGTGCCTCTGTCCTGGCTCGGCTGAAGCGGCTTGAGGATATCGTTATCGGTCCCTCCACACAGGGCAGTCCTGCCCTTGTGGGACTGAAGCAAAGTCCACAGCTGGCATACCTCTCACCAGCGTCAGAATACGAAGAGGCGGTCCACACCCTGGAAGAGAGTGGCACCAGCAAGGAGAATTGGTTGTCTCATGCTTCCGAAAAAATCGGATTCCGGACGTCACCAGCACATGACATTGTCCATGCGAACGGCCCAAACGTATCTCATTTGCCATCATCGCTGAAATCAGTCTTGCTTCCACCCAAAGATGAAGCCTCTATATTGATGGATTTTTACTTCGATTACCTCAGTGGCCTTCAGCATGTTCTGTGCGAGCATACAGTTCGTCGTATCAAGGAAACACTATACTCGAATCTGGAGCAAGGGCTTCCTGTCGTACACAGTCATGCTGCGCTCCTGCTAATCATCTTTGCGTGCTCTACAGCCCTATGCTCATACCACACCGGGGAGATGAGTCGCTTGTACTCCCTAGCAGTCGCCTCCCAAGTCTCATTGGTCTGGGTCAAAGGAGCGCTCGACGTGCTGGACCACGCTCGTCGTACCACCGAGGGATCCATAGAGGACATTCAAGCATTTATCTTGATGACGTTTTTCCTCTATCACCTTGAAGGCTTGTCTACTCGAGCGCGCCGCGCCTTTGCAGCCGCAATCGTTACGGCTCGCGAACTAGGCCTCCACAAGCTCGACGCTGTTGCTAGCTCGAGACATGCAGACCCCGCGGAGATTGAGATCAAGCGTCGAGTTTGGTGGCACCTAGTTGCTACTGATTGGTAAGTACCTAGGTAACATCCGAGGCCAACGCATCAATGCTGAACACTCCAGGTTCGTTGCCCTCAGTGGAGGGTTTCAAGAAGGCACATATTTTATCCATCCGCGACAATTCCGGGTCAACATGTTGCGCAACGTCAACGACAAAGATCTAAATCAGATGCCATTGGTAGATTTGCCTCTATCGCAGCCAACCACAATGTCGTATTACATTCAACGAATCAAGCTCGGCAGCCTCTGCCGCAGTGTCGTGGATGTGATGCCCCTGTCGGGCATCGACCTGGCCACTCTGGACTACCAAGAAGTCATTCAGCTGGACAGTAAATTTCAGGCTTTCTTCGACGAACTTCCAATCTTCCTGAGGACAGATGAACACAGCCGTCGCCAGTCAGAACACATTGTGCGGCAGTATCCACACATCAGCACGCAACGTTACATGTTGAACATGGTGGCCAGGACGAGACGTTGCAAGGCGCACCAACCCTTCCTCATCCGTCGCGCCGTCGAGAGCCATTACGCCTTTTCACGGGACATTTCTTTGGAGTCAGCGCGTTGTGTGATCCGGCTTATGCGATCATTCCAAAGAGAGATAGATACTGTCTTCTCTGGCAATGTCAAACTTGTCAGAATGACGTGCGTGGTACATCATGTCTTTATGGCCACGATTGTCCTTGTCATGGACTTGTGTATCAACAAAAGCGAAGACGACACCGAGCGCAAAGCAGAAGTTATGGAGGCTTGCAACATAATGGAAGAAACAGCATGTCAGTCGCCCCTGGCAAGAGGATTCGTCAATTCCCTCATGGACGTGCTTCGGAAGCATAAGGTGCGCTTACACAACCTCACTGGAGACGGCGTGGACACTCCCAGCTCTCTGAACACTACGGCGCATTTGGGACCACCAAATATTCTGGATACCATGACCGCTCCAGAGATACCGCTATTGCCCAGCTCCCATCTATCGCAGGACAATTCCCAAAGCTACTCATCAGCATTTGATGAAATCTGGAAGGACTATGTCGAGCTCGGGCCGAATATGGACGTGCCTGGATGGGATTCTCTCTTCTCGGATCTCGATTCGAGGTTCTGAACGAGGTTGCTTGCTGAAGGCTGGCTGGTGGATTCAGAATGTCCCCCTAATACGGCAGAGCGGCGGCTCGGAGACACGCCCTGAACATCCCCTTAATGGAAGGGAGATGGTTATCAGGTTGATTAAATCAGAGGATGGCCCCTGAAGCACCTCGTAGCTGACCTCTCTGAGCTGATCGTGGTGTTGAATGTATTTGAACGTCGCAACTTTATGTCATCAAGCAGTAGTTAAAGCGGCGTGTGACACTCCGCAGGCTGTACTCCGATGCGCGGTCACTACGACTCCAGCAAACATATACTCTTCTTGTATAATAGCGTCAACAAGAACCTTGATTCCTATAGACTGCCAAATATTCTGTCACACCCTGCTCTCATCACTACGAACACAATTGTTGCCCAAATTGCCAAACCTCCCATCATACTGGGAAAGGCACACGACTCTTGACTGTACATCCGTCACTCCCTACACCTTCCAGTCCACGCCTCCGCGATGACTGCGTCTCTTGATTCGACGTTGCAATCGCTTCAGCAATCCCTCAGTCATGGAGACTCAGGCCAAGCGAAGTCACAGATACAAAAAGCTAAGCTGGCTCTTCTGCAACACAACGCCCTCATACCCTCCCAACAAACACCTGTAGCCACGCTAGCGACAGCACGATCGATACTGGAGGCTGGCGCTCTTTTTTCCATACGGTCTAGAGACCCGGAGTCTTTCGTGCGATACTACTCCCAGCTACAATCATTCTATGACTTTCCGGGTCTGCAGCGGACGCCATCTCAGAACCGATCCAAGATCACAGGTCTTTACCTGCTACTCCTCCTGAGCCAGGGTGATTATGCTGGCTTTCACACACTGCTGGAGACTTTGATCGTGGCAGAAGGATCAAACGACGTCTCGTCCGTGGAAGAAGACCAATACATAAGATACCCGATCGAGCTGGAGAGAAGTCTTATGGAGGGAAGCTATGATCAAGTATGGAGAAAGACAAACGGTCGGGACGTCCCAGGCGAGGAATTTGCCTTGTTCTCTGATGTAAGTGCTATCTGGTGAAGCCGGAGAAGAGCATGGGTTGCTAACAAGCTCAAGATTCTGATCAAGACGATCCGAAACGAAATTGCCTCCTGCGCTGCTCGCTCGTACCCTTCTCTCCCCATTGCTTCGGCCAAGAATCTCCTCTTTCTCGACTCTGAGGGCGCAGTTATGGATTTTGCCCACGAACAAGGCTGGAGTCTTGAGGACGGTCGGATCCAGTTCCCGGGCTTGGAGGATGCGAAGAACGCGGAGGAAGGCGACCAGAAAGAAGTGATCCACCATATGGTTGGATATGCAAGAGAACTGGAGATGATTGTGTAGGGCTATTCATGGATGGCTCGACACGGCATCTTTACTCATAGTATGGCGTTCACCGGGCATTATCGGTGAACAGGTTGCACGGGAACAGGCATAGACTTGCAAGCTGGTGCAGCACAGTGGTATCTGCTGTGCGCCAATTGCTAATACAATAAGCCAACAGTGGTATCAAATCCTATCCAATTGACCTGCTTCACGACGCTATCAATAAGGACGGACTACCAACCCAACACCGTCCACTAACCCCCTTGCTCGTCAAGTTGGAGGTATTATGCGATTTTGTTCTGATGCACCTTGAAATGATCAGCAAACTTCCACGTACAGATCTTCATGTCGTAGAAACTCGTGCTGACAACGGTATATGTCGGTGGTGCTTCCTCGGCTGTCCTATTATCCAGCCTGGCATCGCAGCAGTACACCATGCTCTCGTGGCCGGCGCGGAATGTCACGAGTGGAGTGATGCTCCAGGAGTCCGAATCCGCAGAATATGTGAGCCGAACCACGGCAGCACCGCCATGCATTAGCGAGGACAGGATGAGGCTGTGATGGTGTGGAATGCTGTCGCCTACTGTAGGTGTCGTGTATTGATCCAAGACCTTCAGCCGCCATACACCGCCGCCGAGTTTCAGCTCCGTTTTCCAGATGGCGCGGTACGTCTTTGTGTCTAGTTCGAAGATTCGCAGGTATTCATCGTAGCTTCCCGTGATGATGGTCTTTCGTGGGTGTGGGATTGGGGATTCATCGTTGCTGGGAAGCGGCAGGATGGCCACAACGCCGGCTGTGTGATTGCGACGGTCTTTCCAGAGAGGCATAGGGGTTGGTCCAAACTCGTCGGATGATGATATTGATGGCGTACCAGGCTGTGATGGACTGCAGGGAAGTTCGATAGCTGAAGCAATTAGGGCGCTATCGTCGCCGCCACTGAGGATCATGCGGTGGATGGTGTTGTCCTGACTCTGTGTTGCAGAGCGGAGAGTGACTGCCGCGACGGTCCATGCTTCAAGTTCGTGCTTGTGGATATTCGTGACGCCGGAGGGCAATTCTGCTGGAGGTGCGTTGGCCCGCTCGTCGAAGAGATCTTTGATTAAGGGTACGGACATGCTGATGATCTTGGTCTCGCCGAACGATGTGGATGCTGCGAATGAGACATCTTGCACATCGCTTATCCCTGAGACTCCGTGGTTACGCAGCTCAGGGAACCAAGAAAATTGCGTAACTAGGGCCGTCAGGCCGTGCTCGTCGTCCTCGGACACCCTCACGGAACCGAGCGGTAGGAGTTTTGTGATTACCCGGCGGCCTAGCACGTCTCCATGCTTGATGAAACGGAAGAAATAGACGTGCGCGTTACTTGTGGCCACGCCCAGCAGTGTGGCATCAGCCGGGTGGAAGTGGATGTCCAGTACCGCGCAAGGAAAGGTGACCCTATCGAGCTGTGGAGGGAGCATGCCTGCGTATAGCGGCTTGAACTCGGGGTGGACGGTCATGACTTGGATTGTGCCGCGGCGGACTTGAGCTTCATAGTCGCGACGGTCGTCCTTTTTGACAAGCGAGTATGTGCCGATGATCATGTAGTCTGGGTGGCTCGGGCATATTTCGACCGTGTCGACTTCCTGCTCGGCGGTACGGGTTGTGTACTTGATTTGAGGGTCTTCCATTTTGCGATAGCGGTCGATGAGCTTGTCGCTGGAGCGAGATGCTTTTTCGGCGCGCAGACGCTTGAGGTTGACTCTGGCCGCCTGTATCATATCATTCAGAGAACTTCCAGGCGGAGCCATTGTTGAGAAAGATATCGGAACAAAGGTGTGCGGATGTATTTGGGCATTAGGGCATTGAGATTTGAGAAGACTTACCTGGGTGAAGCTATAGAGTGATTAAGGCGGATTTGGACGTAGGCAGGCGGGTGCGGCAGGAAGCCATGCTGGAATTAGACACACGAAGCTGGACGCTTCAGGCTGTTGGTCTTCTTCCTGCAGTCGATTGTTGGAAGTGTTGGACACCGAGATCTTTGGCTTTTGGATCTCTCGGGAAGCCTGCTCAAGATGAAGTGACTTCAGCGGCCACCATCACTGCTCATATTGTTCCAGATAAGCTGCGCTTGGAAGCATTCGTATTACGCACTACCTCGTCACTTCCTTGTACAGTAGCAGACTGGGGGCGGTGTATAAGTCATTAATTGGAAAGCCGAAAACTCAGCCTGATCACGTGTAAGGCTGTGGGTCGACGGCAATGTTCCGAGGAGGACCGAGCCGTCGTTGACATATCAAGCTATCTCCATATTCATTCCTCCCTCCTTCTTCAAGAGACGCATCATTCTGATCGACTCAGTAGGGCATATGCCGTGTTCTTGTTGGTAGCTGTTAGGCACCACTGCCATAAGCCTGCTTTGGTGTTTCAGCCTGATGACGGTATTGGACCGGCCGCGCACCTTAATCATGGTTTTTTCCTGGTCCCTGTCTTTGTAACGTGCCTTCCTGAACAATTCCTCCCGTATCTATGTTTCGGCTCCTTCCGCCCACCTTGCATTGTCCTTCTGTCTGTTCCAGAACTACATTGTCTACTTGTCCGACATGTAGGCCGGTTGACAAATCCCTGCATCATGCCTTCACGTAATCGTCCTCAGCCCAGTCCGCCAATGACGTCGACGGAGAACTGGATCCCAGTACCTGATGACCTATTGAGCGAGGAATCGGATTTTCAAGGTAGGCCGTTTGACTATAGGGAAACGACGCTCGATTCTCTTCTCCGTTTCGCTATGGCAGCCACTAACCTTCGCGTTTCTAGGCAATGCAGAAACAAAAGCATTCTACAACAAGCTTGCTAAATCGTACAACCCACGGAACTACTGGGCTATCCATGACTGGAGCATTCAGGTGATCGCAGAGAGCAACAGGGAGGTGCAAAAGCGGATAGCAGAACCGAAAGCAGGCGAGAAAGTCGCTACACCCAGTAAACGAAGAAAGCTAGATGAAGCTTCAGACAAGCAACAACAGGCTACTCACCAAAGCGCCAAACCAGAACTCAAGCCTCTCCGTCAAAGTGGAGGGAAACTGCTGCCGGACAACACGCCTACGCAGAAGGCCAGCGGCGATGAAACAAATGCAGGCAACGAGCGAGACAAACTGAAACCGCGAAACTTTTATGAAGGTCAGAAGTCCGCGAAACAGCTCTCAGAATCGCTGTCAGAGTTCCTCGAACGACTTCCGCCTTCTACCACTCCGTTCTCCACCTGCGGACCATGGATATGGATTGCCAACCCCTATCCACCAGAGGAAAAAAACGCAGCAGGCAAAATTGTGACCGACCCAGAAGGTCGCGACATTGCAAGCTTCAGACAACTCGGCACACGTCTATTGGAAAATTACATGGCTCGCAAAGAAGAACTCGAAGCACAGAATCCCGACAAACAGCCAGGAAGCATCACCCGTATGCTACGTCCCGACCGTGTGCGCCTCGAATCCAGCATACGTGAGTTAGCAAGACAGAAGAATGTGACATGCGGGAAATGGATGCTCTTTCCAGAAGCCGGCGACGTAGATTTTGTATGGGCAGTCGTTGCCAAAGGTGTATGGGAGGGCAAGCTCGGCATCTCCGCCAAAGTGGCCACCGCGCCAGATGCAGGACCTACGTCTGATGAAGGCGACGAACGTGCCAGAGGCAGAGAGCAAAGGCTGATATGCGTGTACACCTACGATTTTTCAGACAAAGACGATGTCAAGCGTGTGTTGCTCGGTCTCAAGCAGCTCGGTCTCTTGAACAATGACAGCTTTGAAAATGGCCCGCGCAGTCACAGTGGCTCTGCCGACAAAGTCATCTACTACAAGTGTGATGCTTACACTTACCTCGATATCTCGAGCCACAATGAGTACAAGTTGAAAGCGAGTATGTACAGCAGCAAAGATATGCTTGCTGAGAAAGATTGAGAAGACAAGGATAACGAGACTGGGCTTACACTGAATCGAGGTGACAGATCACACTGCGTGAAAATCCATCAATGAGAAAGATGTGTGATCCCTCACGGGAGTGTTGAGGTGCTCGGAAAAGTGACTGATTCTTTCAACAGCGAAATAACAGGGACACCTGTATGATCTGGGAGCTTTGCAAGCGACGGCGTTATGGTGTAGGTGCTGGAAGGTGGATAGGGTAATACTTGTCCATCAGGAGAGATTGGCGGAAATGTCTCAATGTAGAGAATACCCTCAAGGTCGTTCTGATAGCGCTAGATCTGCAGAAGACGGCTGACCGTGATCCCATCATAAGATCGGAAATTGATGCTCCGCCGTGCACGCCTCATGCCCTCTACGAAACAACATATTCATGCTTACGCCGTGTTGAGTCGAGTCATCGACACAGCGTACTAGTAGCCTGCAGTGTACCGAGACCAAGAACTCATTTCTTGCCCTTGGTAGCCTTCTTCGCGGCACCGGCCCCTCCCATCGCAGCCTCTCTTCTCTTCGCTTCACGCGCGTCTTTTTCCTTCTCGCGCTCATCCCGCTCCTCTTTCTCGGCTACTTTCCTCGCTGCCGCTTGCTCGCGCTGTTCTCTGATCAGTCTCAACCTGGCCATGTCCGCTTTCGCCTCGTCCGTCTTGCCCTCGGCGTGGAGTTTCTGGTACCGCTCCTTAGCCTCCTGCGCGGCAAGCGCCTCACGCTCCCTCCTGCTCAGGTTTCCTTTGTCGGTCGGTTTAGCACGCGCCGGGGCATCGGCCTCGCCTGATGCGCCGGTAGCTGCGCGGGCCATCGACCTCGCCTTCTGCGTGTGGTTCGGGTTCGCGGGCATGTCCTCTTCATCTTCCTCCTCCTCGGATTCGCTGCTGGGTAGATCCCCGACCTCTGCGGTCTTTTTGTTCTTTCGAGCGATGGCCGCTTGCTTCTTCAGTCGTGTGGCTTCTCGGCGTTGTTCACGTGTCAATTCGCCGCCCGCCGTGGCTGTTGCTGAGGCTGAGGGTCCTTCGCCGCCATCTGATTCTGAGGATTCTTCTTCCGACGATTCTTCGTCTTCGTCTGATGATTCGGGCTTGTCTTGCGGGTCGCGCCACATGCCTAGTGCGTTACCCTCGCTGTCGAGGGGCTGTAGGTCGCGGGAGAACTTCTTTCCACCTGGGATGTTTGTTAACCATGCCGCCTGGAGCCATGGGTAGATGGAAGGGAGTTTGCAAGAACGTACCTCCTCGGGTGGGCTTGGAGAATTTTCCTCCTCTGCCTCTTGGAGCCATGCTGTGCTAGAGTTGAGCGTTGTTCGTCGTGGGTGTTCTTGTCCGTCCCCTGTGTAAATTGGATGTTTTGTGGGGTAGTGAGTCTGATGGTGGACGTTTGTTTCGGGACCAGGCAGCGTCGAGGTTTTATACCGACAGATTTGGCGTAGCGGTTTATGCTAGGTGAAGTCTCGACCAACGCTGCTGCACTTAACACAATATCGTCACCGGAGAGTGTTGTCCCAACATGTGACAGTGACAAAAAGCGGTGACCTCTTTTTTTGGTTGCAACCGAAGTTTCTTTGTGGTGCTCAGGGCCAATAGTATGACGTAGATACCAAAGCACGAACTACCATGTCATTCAAGGGACTAATGGCCTTGACGGTTATGCGCATGCGCATCGCACATCGCAACATTCTCAGTCCTTTAGGTGAGGAAACGATCAAAATCTACTTACGCTTGCCATTTTCCGTCTATGTGCCTTTTATATGCATAACCAACAGTTTCATTTGACACTGAATGCTTGAAAACTCGGTCCTTGCTCTACATGCGTATCCAGTCAAGGCTGGACTGCTAACATCATCGTCATCCAACTCATACGTCTCATTAGTGAAGAACTATGCGCGCTCTTGGTCGATATTGACAACTTCGGACTGTGCATGCCGGTGTGCCGGGTATCGCTGCGTCTCTTCAAAGACCCTCCTGCTTGAGCAGAGCCGCGACACTGGCGATGACATCGCTTGGCTCCAAAAGATGCCAGTTGGCAAGAGTTCGCTTGCTACTGGCACCCACAGTGCAGGCGAAGACGTGATCCTTCGGTAGGTCGGTCTTGAGCAGAGCACGGAACATATCTGTATCAACAACATTAGTACTCATGACATAGGTCAAGACGGACCCCTGGAACGGTAGCACTCACCTTCATCGGTTTGGTCATCTCCCAAGCAAAGCACAAACTCCGGCGGTACGCCAGTGTCATAGCCATACTCGTTGATGAGGCGTGTCGCAATAAATCCCTTGTTGACGAATTGCGGACGCACTTCCAGATTGGCCTTACCAGACATGACCTCGACATCCCAATCCCTCATGACCTTGTCCTCCAACGCCTTTCGACACTCTCGTGCCTGGAAAGCGCCGAAATCTGGGTCCACCTGCCTGTAATGCCATGTCAACGCGACGCGCTTTTTCTCGATCCAGGACCCCTGCGTCCGCTCGGTATAATAGCTGAAAACGTCCATAACCTCCTTCTGCCAGCCCATGTCCATGGAGGAGGCTAGATTCTCCCAATCCTCTGAGCCGGGCCGTCGCATAAAGCAACCGTGTTCTGCACTTAGACCAAGTTCACTGATGTGGCCCATCCATTCTTCGAGAAACGATGCATCGCGACCACTGATGATCCAGACATGATTCTTAGGATCAGCAGCTAATGCTTTTAGAGTGCGCAGTACCTTGTCGGCGGGAATGGCGGCATTGGGGTCTTTGACAATCGGTGTAAGCGTACCATCGTAATCGAACATGAAAAGTCGCTTTTTCGCGGCATGATACTGTTGAATCATGCGATTGCGGTCCAACGCAGGAGTGAGGTCGTTAGTGGTGAACGATGTGAGGTTTGTCAGCAGACGTCTGAGGAAATTGTTGGACCATGTGGACACCGTGTGTGTCGTGACATAATTGTAGAGTTTCTCATGGTCATGCTTCTTCTCTTCAAGTGGCATCTCGAGTGCATGCTTCAGCGCCTCAGCAACGCCGCCCAGGTCCCAGGGGTTAATGTGAATGGCATTACTCAAGCTAGCTGCTGTGCCGGAGAACTCGGACAGAATCAAGGGACCGTAATGGTTCTTCTGTGCGATCACATATTCGAGACTTGTTGTGTTCATGCCGTCTCTCACACTGGTGATAAGGCCGACGTCGGCAATCCGGAGTAGCGCAAAGTATTCTTGCGACGAAAGATATTGTGGGTAATGTTGGACTGGCGAGTGGCTTAGAGAACCGAATTCACCGTTTATTCTCGACACAAGATTTGAGATCTTGAGCTCAAACTTGTGAGCACCATCCACCTTATCTTCCATCACGCTGGTGGGACTGGTCACTTGGATGAGAACGACCTTATTGCGCCATTCTGGATATTTCTCCAAGAAGATTTCGAATGCCATCAGCTTCTGTGATACTCCTCTGACGGTGTCGAGCCTATCACGACCGACAATGATCTTCTTTCCGGCGTACATTTGTTTCAGGGCTTTCATATTTTGCTCAATGACGGGATCCATAAACGCGGCCTTCTGCACTGAAGCCACATCGATGCCGATCGGAAAGACGTCCACTGCGACGTGCGCACCATATGCATCAACACCAGCCGAACTCGAGTCAAAGCCCAATATGCGTTTGCAACACGAGTTGAAGTGTCGAGAGAAGCTGTAGGACTGAAAGCCTATCATGGTAGCACCCAACGCACCCGTCAAGAGGTCTTTTCTCCTAGGCAGACACCGCATGTATTCGCTGCTGGGAAACGGGATGTGGAGAAAGAAGCCTATGAAGATATGTGGTATGCGTTGACGTAGCATGCTTGGCAGGAGCATCAGATGGTAATCGTGGATCCATACAATGTCTCCAGGTTGGTAGACATGAAGAATGCGGTCCGCAAAAGCTTGGTTCATTTGCACATAGTCGTCCCACGAGGTCTTTTCCGTGCGACCATCGTCAGGTTCATGCTGTCGGTAGTGGAAAAGGGTATAGAGCTCGTGCTCCGCGTACTTCCGCCACCGGCCCTGGTCTTTGAATACATAACTGTCATCTTCACGCTTGACGTCAGGTAGCCAGACAGGCAGAGTCCTGCCATTGGGGTGATGATGCAAGATCTTTTCGAGGCGATTTCTGTCAGGACGAGGCACGCTAATATGGTCAGGATGTGAGTCTTCGGAACTGGGAAGGGCGCCATTGACAGGATATGGTGCTGCTGACTTGTTGATAGGAGCCGGAAGAGAGCCATTGGTCGCAGCTGTTGCAGCAGCATCTCCAGGTTGAAGTATACTCGTCGACTGTGTATCTGGTCGGGATTGAATTTCTCCGGTCCACCCAACCAAGGTGTGTTTCCATGGCGACTTGTCAGAAGCTAGGTAAGAGAATGAATCGAACAAAGCCGATGTGCCATGGCGAGTTGACAGACCCCATTCACCATCCCTGCCGTGCGTGAGCTGGTGGGGGATACAGAAGGTGGCACTGATGATGTTTCCACTCAGGCGTAGAGCGGGATGAGCCGTGCGAGGATCAACATCCAACGAGTCTGTCCCCTCGGGGTTGACGAGGCTCAGGCGCCGCAGAAGATCCCTGCCAGAACTACCTTTTGCGGCTTCGATCGGCGAGTCCATTTTGGGCGTCACCTCGGTATTGAGGTGGTCCTGCGGTTGAGGTAGGTTGAAGTATGAAGTGGCCGGTCGCGAAGGATCAGAAGGCTCCGCAATCCCAGGCTCGTCGTTCCCGATGTCTGTAGTTGGCACATTTTCTGAGGTTGCGGGACGATCTCCGCTAGACACAGCCTGCTCTGGTGCCGGAGACTGAGCCGTCATTATGTTCTTGCGACTGAACTAAATGGATGGAATAATAATGCAGATCGTCGGATAGACGTCGATGGTACAATGCCGGCGGCTCCCACCTCACAGAAGTTGTGCTTTGGTAGATCGGTGAGCGAGTGGGGTGACAAGCGATAGCCAAGACGATTGTTGTTGGGTTCAGGGTTGATATGAATACTAGGAAATTAGGCGCACAGATAGGAGTTGCGGTCTAAAGGTCTAGACGAGGTGTGGTATTGACTTGTTGTCGAGCTCTGGAAAAGATGGAGAAAAATGCTGAGACCATGTGGTCATGCCGCTGAAGACTGAAACGTCAGAAGGAACGATAGGGTGAGTTGGGTTATGGTCGGAGATGGTTCCCGACAACAGCTTGGTTCTCGATAGACAGCCGGCGATATGTTGTAAGATCCGGAGTAGCTAGCGTTGGAAAGAAAGAGAACACAGAAACAGAAGCAGAACCACAATATGACCTTGTAGTTGGAGCCCGAAAGTTCACAAGGTGAAGAAGAAGCGAATGATGAAAGAGGAAACGCTAGAAAATGGAAAAGCGAAACATCATGGAGAGAAACTGGTAGTGGATTGGCTGGATGGAAGCATTGGGCCTCTCTAATCCGGTAAAAGACACCGGCTTGACTGGTACCGGTACCTTTACGAGACGCTGACTGAGTCGCGTCAACTTCCCTTAACTTACAGTAGCTGCTGCAGGCATACCTAGTGGAGTGATACCGTTGAACGTGTGCACATGCTATCCAATATATCCCACACCGACTTCTTACACAGTACAGTCTTCTGTAATGAACCTATCGCTCCTTCACGCTGAAAGAGAACAATCGTGGTGCTTTCAAAGGTCTCGTGGTATTCGGACCTGACGTACGCCAAGTTACAGGTAGACAGTATTGCAGTCGAAAGAGTGGCATGGTCTGACCATTTATTGGATTCGAAATAGACATATTTATTGCTTGATATCTACATAGTGCTGACTAGGTAGGAGTCTTCTATCTACAGTGCAGAATCCTACCAGATGATTGTTTCTTTGTTCCCCCCGAGGGTCAATGGCCCCAATAGATCCCATTAGATTTGCAATCGTGGATGTACAGTAGAGCGCCCACGGCATCATAGGCGTTGAACCCCCAAGTGTCAACGTGCTAACGTTATTGGTCAGTCGGCGGATTTCTTTCCTACAAGCCGGCCAGAGCAGCGTTTTCTCGTGGACCGCCATGTACCAATGCAGTTGTCAAAACAATCAGGCTTCACATACGAATCTTTACTATACTATGCATTCCATGGGCCATTCCTCGGTGACTGTTTAGTTCTTGATCACTACCTAGGTATCTCGAATCAGAGTTCGAGGGTCTTCTGATTTCGTTAGTCCTCACCGACTGCTGCACAGTCTGTTCTATCTCAACAGTCTGACAACAACTGCCGCCTTTTCTTATGCCGCATGCCCTCAGTCTCACCTCTTCCACGCGCCTACGCCTCTCTTCGTCGCTGTAATGCTTCGACCCTGCTCCACCTCAGATCCCAGGCGGTCCGGGCTGCCTACATCCACCATGGCAATTCGTTGGCTGCCGACATAAACCATGACGAAGGCGAGCAATCTTCAGCGGATGCTCCGCCTCTAACCTTCCCACATGAACCAAATATCGACATTAACAGCTTAAGCAATACCCTCGATGCCCATCGCGAGGCAAACCGAACCTCGCTCATACGGAAAGTCGATCAGACAGGCCACAGCAAGCGCTTGGGAAAAGGAAATGCACCAGGTTCTGATCCGTCAAAAATCCAAGATGTCGGACCAGCCCGGACGGAATCAGAAAGCTCCCCACAGACACGCACGTGGAATGACAGCAAGAAGGTTGAGCTGCTTTCTGCCAGGTCTGACAGGTACACTCGGCGAAAGCGTAGGGACAACCAAGGCAAATATCGTGATGTGACTGTTCTCTGGCGAGTGAAAGAAGATGCAGAGACACTTCCTACAAGGTCCCGTCTGCCTTGGATGGCATGTCTTGCTAAACCGCAAGACAGTACTTGGATCTCGGCTATGGATCGACTCTCTGCCGAGATTCGAGCTTTCGGAGAGTACAGCGCTCCTTCGCAAGACGAGAAACGGGCTGCGGAAAACGCTCTTTCGGAAATCATCCGAACCATCCAGCTAGCTGATCCGAACTTGGATGTCGACGTAATTGGCTCACGAGCATCAGGCTTTGACGATCCTCTATCAGATCTGGATCTCAATATCACGAACCCCCTTTCCCCGAGAGCTATGAATAAGCTCAAAACACCTTATGAAATTCTCCGATTCTTAGAGAATGCGTTCCGCGGAAACCATCGCAAGGTCCATCTCGGGGCGTGCCCTGTCGAGGTGCTCATCAACGTGAGGCATGCCAAAGTGCCTATTCTGATATGTCAACATCGGCGATCTGGTTTACCAGTCCAAATTCAGAGCACCCCAAGGGCCTTCGACAACACCGAGTACGTCAAGGCCTTCGACAAGGAATTTCCGACCCTTCGCTCTTTGTTCAAGGTCATCAAACAGATAATGACTATGCGAGGACTTAACATTGGCAGTCACGGAGGACTAACTTCTTATCCTCTTATAATCATGATTGTGGCGGCTCTCAAATTCTCCGAGGGCCAAATTGACCGCATGGATGCTGGCAAGCAGTTGCTGTACTTTCTGGACATGTACACAAAGATCGATTTTACTTCTCAAGGCATCTCTACGCGGCCTCTGCGGTATTTCCCGAAATATCTGGGCAATAACGATCACAGGCAAAAACCGTTGGCCACTGAGAAGGAGCTCGCAGCGACGTCTGCAATGTTCGAAAAAGAACTCGCTGGTCAAAGACGTATGGGAGTGCGTGACAAAGGAGACATTTTTCTCATGACTTTGCAAGATCCAGCGGATCCGTTCAACGAGCTTGGGAAGAGCGTGTACTTGATTAAGGACATCCAAGAGACTTTGATTGGTATTGGTACCAAGCTCAAGGCAAGCATGGCAGAGTGGGAGGAGTTCCAATCGCAGCCGAGGTCTTCCCAGGATCAATATTCAACACAATCTCTTCTGGAGCCATGCATCAGTGGTGACTATCGAACTTATAAACAAGAGCGAAATGATCTGCAACTTCTGGGCCGTGAACAGGCGGCACCTGCTAAACGTCTCAAATGAATAATGACGGAATATTGTACATTAGAGATGATATTTTCCAGGCTGGAAGACTTGTAGGAAGATGATATGAATGAAATATCTTTTACGATCCGGAAGACAGAGTACATAAGAGAAACTGCATTTGATGCACAATGGGCGGAATCCAAGGGCGCAGTTGTAGAGTCGGTCGTGTTGACGAGGCTGAGGGTCATGCCAAGCCAGGCTCCGATCCATGCGTGGCTGTTTACCTGTACCTTTCCAAGGCCTCTTGCCAGTGTCCACGCATTTCAAGCTACACTTCTTTGTCCCATCTTCGTGCTTGCAACTGTTGCATTGCGTGTTTGGTCGGCCAGTCATCCTCATCTTGCCTCCCTCATAGCGTCCATCTTGCCCATGAGCAGTCCGCGCATCGCAACTCCTCGCCAGTATGGAGGTGGTCATTTCGGTGCCACAACCGCCGAAAGGGGAGGTTCAGATATCCGCCTCCCACGGTTCTTCAAAAGGTCAGTGGCGCATTGCACAAGCGAACCAGCCTACTGACGACTGCTTTGTGTAGGCTCTTCAAGTTCCCTCAGATGGACTTTGAAATGGCCGTCTGGGAGATGACACATCTGCTAATTGCGCCCAAGAAGGTGTTCAAGTCGATTTACTATCACAAGCGTGAGTCCAACCGGATATCTCAACAGCATGCGCTGACTGTGAAGCAGAGACCAGGAACACCTGGCACCGTCCAGATCCCTCATTCACCTACCTGTTGTCATTCTTCCTCCTGCTTACGTCCTTCGCATGGTCACTCGCATATACGCCGTCTTTCGCTTCCGTCGTCAAGCTGGCCTTGATGTTTGTACTCGTCCATTTCCTTGCCGGTTCGCTACTTGTATCAACAGTCGCATATTTCGTGGTGGGACGCCTGTTGGGACCAGGGATAGCCGGTCTACCTGGTCGCAGGCGTCAACAAGGGCTTTTCGGTCCACCCGGAGGTTCAAGAGGCGCTGAGGTCCTGGAATTCGGATATTGCTTTGATGTCTCTATACGCGCCTTCTTCCCACCTTATGTCCTGCTCTACATCGTCCAATACGTCCTCATGCCGGTCATCAACCATCCGAACCGCGCTTCGACATTCTTTGCCAACTTACTCTACCTTGCGGGCGGCCTCTACTGGAGCATGATCATATTTTTGGGCTATAATGCATTACATTTCCTCCACCACACTCAGCTCCTCCTCTCGCCTATGTTGGCATGGATTGTCATATGGCTCGTCTGCACCATCCTGGGTATAAACTTGACAATGGTGGGAACGAGATGGCTATTTCTGGGTGTGAAGGTCTGATCACAACCACCGCTCGGTCATACTCAATGGAACATGTTGTGAGTTGGCTTGACAGCAGCATATTAGCGACATTCCGCGGCAACAGCTACTTTCTGCGTGTAGACGCTTTCAACACAGCCATGACAAGCGAAGGCCATTTGACTCAGCGCAGAAAGCCTACGTGCAGCAAGCAGGGCCGACTAATGTCAGCCGCCATTACGAATTTCCAGATTGCTGAAGGCCAGACACGATAGACTGTTCTTCTCGCCTGGCACTCTGGGTGTTATTGTGAGAAGCACGACATTCGTTGTTGGTGGACCACATACGGGATCGGTGCCGAATTGTGGCGTATTATTGCAGCACCTGAGAGCAAGAATACTGCAAGATCGCCTATTCGACCGTTTTAGAGTTGGTGCCACCAGTGGCGCGGCTCGCGATGGCGATAGCGGGGAGGGCTAATGCAGGTCCATCGACCTCGGCTGGAAATCCTGCCCTCCAAAATGTCCACTCTTCAGGGACATCCAAAACGTTCTGATGGTGGGTTGCGTTCCCATCTAATTGGCAAGGAGACATGTCAAGCTCTAAGAGACTTCCCAAGACAACGCCTGGTATAAGGTATACCCGGAGTGCTTGTGCAATGAAATGGCTGGACAGACAGCTCGATTGTCAGGTCGTGGTGTGCTGTCTTAATTGACAAGTCGCAAACCGCCAGGTAGTCAAAGTGTTCCGACGGCCAGCGACTCCGCATGGCCAGTGCCGAACCAAAAAACTTGCAGGAATGACATTGCCGTTCAGTCACCGTTCAAATAATGATGGATGGCAAGCGGAAGTGACTTGTCTTGATAGGTATATGGTCATAGATTGATTACCATTCAAAAGTTGACAAGGAAAGTCAACACACTCTATCCAGGGCTTTTCCGATCATACCAAGCTATGGGTAGGCGATGGTTACAAGATCTCAAGCTAGGGTTTTGGCTGTAAGGAAATAATAATTCTTGACCCCCCTGCTTTAGGTATTGTTAGCTGCAGATTGACCCCCTATCCTTGCGTCGCAGGTGGTAAAAAAATGACCCACCTACAGGCATTGGAGTTGAAACTTGGCTGCGTGAAGCTTCCCCCATAAGAGTTTATGAAAGAGGACCACATCCTGCACTCCAGCATCCAAAGTTCCCGAACCCACCCTTACCTTTATCTATCTTACACATCCTTGACCTTGCAAGCCAACTGCAATAGCATCTTTCGATATTGCATGTAACGTTTGGATCAATCCGCATCGAGTCACGACATGTGCTGCAACGGCATCCTACCGGTCTCCAGTCGTGCGACATTGGCGGACGGTCAATGTTTCTAAGTTCGCAATCCTAAGAAATACAGTTAACACTAATACACGGCTCAGCCAAATTGAGGATCACCATCTACATACCTAGTATGTCCTCAAGTCTAGTGCTCTCGCCGAGCATGGCATATGCACCATACGGGTCTCCAACAAAACCCAAGAGTCCTCGTACTCATTCATCCAAGCATCTCGCGCAATCGGTGCCTCCAAGACAGTCGTCCGCCTCTGTCTCCTCTTCTCCTGCTGCCTCTCAAATCCAATCCTCCAGACAATCGCCGGCAACGCCTACGCGGACATACATGCTGAGCTCTGGAACACTTCGTGCCGACCCGGTCTCGCTGGGCCCCGGCAATGACGATGACGACGGCGAAGATCCCCATGATCTGTCTTTTTCCTCCAAACATGTCCTTCGGGCGTCCATGGTGGACAATCTGGTCATGTCGCTCGACCAATTCTCCGGCGGTGTTGGCGATGTGGTCTATACCCCTCGCAAAAACAGCTACGATATGGACGCAAGAGCTCGGTCAAGAGGACATACATTTTCTTCCTCGGTGTCTTCCGAGCCAGAATTGGGGGAACTGAGGTCTATGCCAACATTCCCAGAGACAGTCCCTCGCGTGCCTCTCCGAAACAACATGAGATATCATAGGAACATGCAGAGACTACCCAGTATATTCGGAGAGGATGAAGAGTCTGTCCGTTCGAAAAGGTCCGACGCTCAGCGAGCGGCACATCCTGGGCAGGCGCGGAGAAAGAAGAACGCTTCCACTGGTGGCCGAAGCAATGCGAGCAGCACATCTTCCAGTATCGACCTAGGTCATCTGGCAAGTCTATCTGGTCGATTGGGTGCAGCAGGCGACAGGCGATCCCGAAGTTTCGACCTGGGTCCAAGGACTCGTAATCCACGTCCTTCCAAGACACAGACGACAAATTCAGACAGCATTGCTCCTACACCAGTGATCTTTGCTGGGCCGGAATCCCAGAAAGGTATGCCCGGGAACTCTGCTGTTCCTGCACTTGCTCGGAAAAACAGTGCCAAATCCTCAAAGAGCGCGTACGTAAAGAGGACGTGGACAGGGACACAGACTGCCAATGGTCCGAGGTCGAACATTGACCCTGTACCACATTTACCCTCCATGAAGAGTGCACCAGTCCTTACTCACGTCACTCTAGAGCAGAAAAGCTATCTGGAAAATCTACCTGAACCGATTGTAATTGCAAGGCCGGGCTTCTTCCGACGAGTCTTTGGTTCGTCGAAGAACCCCGTTGTTCCCGCGGAGTATAATTCCAACAACTCCAACACACTCACAAAGTCATACGACGGTCGTTCGACGCCTGTTCAGGACGAGGCACCGCTTCCATCTACCCCTTCAAACAGGATGCCACGGCCCATTCGACGGCTGTCCACAGATACATCGGCAAACAAAGAGAATCAACCAGTGATTAGTAAAAAGTCGTCTTCGTTCTTCCGCCGAAGGAAGAAGTCTATCTCAAGCATTGTACCGCCACCAATGCCACTGACACTCAGCACCGAGCTCAAACCAGACACTGAACAAGCCGATGGCACGAGTCCAGTTAGTAGCCTGAGAGCTTTTATGGACCCCTATCTGGCGGAAGACCAATTGCCGTCCCATGGTCATCGGCGGACAAATTCCATGCAAGGCTTTTACACCCCAACTGGTCCACCTCCTGCTTTTGGCCTTCCACCAGAACAGGTCAGTCTTCCAAAAGCTGGGAGTCACAGTCGAAATCAGTCTCACAGCAGCAATAAGACGCTCAAGTCTCACACCAAACCTCCAACCCTACGCGTCCCTCATCAGCAGTCTTTCTTGGCCGACAGCAGCAGTGCAGAGGAGCCTTTCAGGCGATCTGTGTTCGGTGGAAGTCAGCTCTCCGATAGTGAGCGGTCAGAATTGTGGAATGGACGCAACGTGAGTGACGTTGGACTCGATCCTACGACATCAGCGAACCTACTGGCCAGCCCCACACCTAACCCGAGGCAAGCAACGATCCGACAAGGCTCCTGGATCTCTGACACAGTCTCGCCCTCATCTGGCATGGACGAAGACTCACGCACAGGTTCCATCGCACATGATGAGGAGCCAATCCCCTCCAACAAGAGACCGAAGGGCCTGGAAATGTCTCGAAGGAACTCCGAATCCTCGCAGTTGGCATCGGCGTCCGATGTGAGCGACTACCGCTCGGCGCCTACGACACCCATGATTGTGGAAACTCCTCACGAGGACAGCTCTGCGCCGTCAACATCCTATGTGTTACCAACGGGGCCTCGACCGCTTGACCAGAACGCTGCAAAACTCAGGGCTCAACAGATCTTTGACAACACAGACGACCAGGTAGATTCCTCAAATGCAGGAGCCTGGTTGGGAGAAGCAGGCACCGAACGGGAACGGGTGAGAAAAGCATATATGGAGCTCTTCGATTGGTCGAATCAAGACATCATCGAGTCTCTCAGGGGTCTTTGCGATCGCATCGCCTTCACAGGTGAAACTCAACAGATGGATCGAGTCATGGATGCTTTTGCACAGCGCTGGTGCGAATGTAATCCCTCTCATGTCTACAGATCAAGTGGTATGCTGCTTTCGCCTTCATTCAGTTACCTTTACTGACCTTGGTAGATGTTGTCCACACCATTTGCTATTCAATCATTCTTCTGAACACCGATTTACATCTAGCAGACATCGGGCAAAAGATGACCAAGACTCAGTTTGTCCGCAATACACTTCCCACCATCAAACGAGTTGTGCATGGGGCGGAAGCGAACAAGACCATACGGCCAACCAAAAGCCGTACAAATACAAGCTCTACCAATGATCCGAACCTGACTGTTCAAGCACGAGATGGTACAGGCCAGGACCATTCATACGAATCTGACTATGTCCTCGTGGAAGATGAAGCCTTGGTAGACATCAGAATAGGCAGATCATGGGAGATGCAGATCGAGTCTGTGTTGAGATCAGTCTACGCTTCAATCTCGCAAGCGCCACTGCCACTATTTGGCGCTCCAGGCGATTCGAACATGCATTCGAGCCAACCAAGCAACTTCCTCACTATTGGGTCCAACGCGCTACGTCGTACACCCAGCGTACTCAGCAAAGCCCACTCCGATTCATATCGTGGACGGTTTGGAGAAAGCAGATCTCTTGGTGCCCGATGGATGACCAAAGCCAGATCTCGACCTCGCTTACCCTCCGCGGCAGGCTTTGGTTCTAGCAGAACCAGCATAGACGAGCAGTCCTGGAACGGAAGCCCATCCATATCGAGCACGTGGAGTAAAGTCAGTCTTGGTAAGACCTTCACAACTATGTCGGTTGATTCACTTGGCACTGAGGCGACTCATGCCGACTATCAGTCCTCCATTGGATTCGCAAATGCACTGAGTCAAGCAATCATCCGTGAGGACCAGCTCGAGCTGGATGTGCCCGTTGATGAGGGCTTGAAGGCTTCTTCCCTACTTGAGGACGAGTCTCTGGAGCTGTGTGGTGCCCCATGGGCCAAAGAGGGCATCGTCAAGCACAAATGTCACCTGGAGGGTGTCGAAAAACGGTCCAAGGATAGGAATTGGTCTGACTGTTTTGCGGTGATTGAGAAGGGCTGGATGAGACTTTTCTCGTTCTCAAATTCGGGCAAATCTCTTCGAAACAAAAGCCGCCTACCCAAGGCAGGTGGAGTCGTGGGAGGTGGGAACTGGCAAGATAACGCGGAAGAAGTGTGGAAGTTTATGCTCCGACATACCATCGCCAGCTCTCTCCCACCTCCAGGATACTCCAAGGCACGGCCCTATGTCTGGGCTCTGAGTCTGCCGACCGGCGCTGTACATCTTTTCTCCGTTGGGACGCCTGACATCGTCAAAGAGTTCGTCACTACCGCCAACTATTGGAGTGCTAGGCTTTCCAAGGAGCCCATGATGGGCGGTATCAGCAACATGGAATACGGATGGAGCGATGGAGTGCTCAATTACGCACTAATGGCGTCAGAGGCCCCCTCAAACGGTCGCCCAAGCACGCAGATGTCGATGCGGAGCTCCTTGGACCACGTTAGTAGCGTGCGAGCGAAGTTGCCTGGGGACAGGGCCCATATCAACGACTGGGCGCCGCCTCAGCAATCCATGTTTGCTTCGCAGTTGCTTGAGGTCGACCAGCTGAAGGCATTGCAGACATACGTGAACAATGTTGAGGATGAGTTGCAGAAACACAACGAACTCCGAAGTCTGATGTTATTAGCATTCTCTACTAAGCATCCCAACTCGACGAAGGCTATGAACAATTGGGAGAAGAAGAGCAGCTACCTTCTGCGAGAGATTGTCAAATTCCGGACATATATTGATTGTCTGCAGAATGCTCAGGGCACGAAGGAACGAATCTACAAGATGAGGAGGGAGGAAGATGACTCACGGCACGCTGAAAAGGACTCGAGGGTTCTGACTACCTCGCACGAGATGGCATGAAATGTTTCCCAGTTCTGCGGTTCATCTTGTGCACTGCCAACTATTGTACAAGTGATGATAAAGATGCAGATGTGCTGTTCTGTGGTCTGGAGAAGCCATGCACATCTCGCAGTGAATGATTGACGACTTTACGAGAACACAAAATGACAGGGGGCGGGCTCTGGCAGTTCTGTTTCTTTAGCATGGCTACTGATACCTCTCGAGGCCAGTGGCGATGAATGTTGATGATACCCACACACACACTTGTAGTCTCTTCCACCTCTGCACATCTTTTGCTTCTCACGTATTTGCCCAACGCTCTACACGTTGAGGTCGTTATGCAAGAAAATCAGTGTCGGTATTGAATTGGTTCGCTTGCTCAAAAAGTCCGGAGCCCGCCTGCCCCTGTCTTGACTTAGGGTGAATTGTTGATGATATGCACCAATTGGGAAAGGAGCTTGGCGCGAATCGGCTCGGTGGCAGGAGAGTGTCAGGGGAGGGCGGAAACAGATTGACAGACAGACCGTGCCCCCCCCAGCCAGCACTTCACGATTTGGAAACAGCCGCGGAGTCGACCCTTTCGCAGACCCTCGATTCTTTTCGTCGCACTTGCGCATAATTGTCGAGAGTGACGCCGTTGTGCCATTGAAGGCCTCAAACGACGCCCGCAGATCTAGATATACAGTCACGACGCGCCCTTATTCACATCGTCATCCCGCGCGTCAAGATCATCCGAATCTCCACATGTCCGCAACACCGTCCTTGCAAGGCTCGAATCCATGCGGCCTGCGACGTCGCAACTGTCAAGAACAGTAGCCACCGCTCCCCAGTGCTTCAGCACCTACAATGTCGTCTTCATTCCTCTCAGATCGACCGCAGACTGCGCGCCGTTCGCTTTCTAGGGTGCCCGGAGGCTTCGATCCAGAAGAGGAGGACGACTTGTCCGAAGCAGGGAGTGACAATGCGGATTCGCATTTCGATTCACGGCTTGTCGACTCCTTCTTGCGGGGTCCCAAAGACCCCAGCAGCCTCTTACAACCGGCTGAGGGGTATACATATCCCGGGCTGCCAGCGAACCATGCTCTCGACGAAAGCGAGATGCACAAAAAGCTCTCCGACGTCGAGTCAAGCTTCCTACCCGAGGCATCACAATTGACCGGGAGAGATTCTGCGACGAATGGCGCGGACGATACTCATCAGTTTGGGATTGTGAATGATAACATCGCAGTGCGGAAAAAGCCACACCCTATAAAAGTCCCCTATCCGCACGAGGGCAGAGAGAATGATCCAAACACGAACACCGACACTGTACTTTCGCCGAGAACACCACCTGGCGGCTACAAGACACCGGCGCCAGAGCAGCAAGAGTTCTCCCACATGGACGGAAGTGATGGATTGACGCCTGAAGCTCCTAACACCTCCGCACTCGAAAATATGTCTTCTTCCCCAACTGCCGCGGCTGCTGCACGGACCCTTTCGCGAGTACAGTCTCTTGCGACAATGGGTGGTTATGAGACGGCGAATGAGCGAGAAGACGAACCTCGGGCTGGAAAGAGATCGGTGCAGGAACCAGAAGATAGCGAGGTAACGCCGCGAAAGAGCACGGGGCAGAACGATTATGACGATCGCTTTTTGGATGTCCCTGACACAGTGAATGGACAGCTACAGGCATCAGTCGGTGGCTCTAAGCCGTCGAAACGCCCACAATATCTCCAGAAGCGCTCGTCACAAGCGCGACTGTCGTACGACTCGATGGCTAGTTCAAACACCGAGGCCAGCGACGCCACTCTGGGAGCTGACTTCGCCCTTCAGTCAGGTGGTGCACTGCCAGACTCCACAGCACAACGCAAAGCTAGGACCACCCTCTCCCGGCAGGCCAGCTTGGGAAGCATGATGTCCGGTGTATCAGGTATGAGTGATGATGAACAGCGGGCCAGAAGACAAGCGAGCGTGACAGATTTGAGCACTTTGGAAGAAGAAAGCCCTAGGTCTAGCAAGGGTGGCGGCCTGTCCACGCCGCGTGCCTCGACCTTTCACTTCAACATGCCGACAGATACCGTGATCGCGAACAATGTCCGAGATCTGGAGGTTCCCGGCACTTTTGCCCGCCAGTATCGTCAAGACCGCAGCATGTCACCCGAAAAGGCCAACGCCATTTTTGGAACGACTCCTGGCCCTAAGAGGGGTTTGACGCTCAAAGAGCACAGGAGCACCGTCGAGAAACTCGGCAAAGAGAACTTCGACTTGAAGATGAAAATACACTTTTTGGACCAAGCTCTTCAGAAAAGGTCAGAAGACGGTATCAAGGAGATAGTCACCGAAAATGTACAACTGAAATCTGATCGACTCCGGCTCGAGAAAGACAATCACAATCTGCGCAAACAGGTTCGCGAGTTGCAGAAGAAACTCGAGGAAAGCGGTAACCGCGAATCTCCCGGTGCAGACCAGGGTTACGCGACGGATGAGGAGAGAAGTCCTACTGCCGAAGAGGAAGTCATCTATCTCCGCGAGAGGGTGGAAATCAATGAAATCGAGATTGAGAAATTAAGGTCCGACAATTTTTCCAAGGAGACCGAGAAACGAAAGCTGGCAGAGATGGTCAAATCACTGGGCGATACTCGAGGAGCTGCTTCTGATGTTGGCTCGAGGGAAGAGAGAGACATGTGGAAAGATATGCTCGAGGCCGAGACCATTGCCCGGGAACAATCCGAAGAGGACAACAAAAGACTACGGGATGAGATCACGAAGCTCAGAAATGATGCGTCTGTTTCTGCGAAATCAAACTCACGTAAGACACGGATGGGCCTTTCTCGATCTAGTAGCGTCGAGGCTGCCAATGCTCAGGCTGCGGAGGTCGAAAGACTGAGACACGAGGTATCGGAGTTGCAGAAGATGATAGGTGCACAAGCGTCCACATTAACTTCTCGAAACAAAGAAAAGGAACGCTTATATCAGGAGATCGAGGACTTGAAGTTGGGACGAATGAGCGGCCTCCGCAGCGTTGCTGGCGATAGCATACTGGACCGATCAGCGTCACGAGCGAGGTCACATTCCCGAGCAAGCAACGGCACACGTATATCTCGACTTAGTGACCGAGAGAGAGAGGGCCTGGAGACGAAAATCAACGAATTACGCGATGAAGTGTCTCAGATGAAACTGGAGAACCAAAATCTCCAGAATCAGTTTGATGAGGCACTTGCCGAACTCGACGCTATTGATGCTCAAGCGCAGGCCGATGCCGACCAATTCAACGAGGAGCTGAATCTGTTGACACAAGAACGGGACAATGCTCTCCGGGATGCCGAGGAGCAGGATCAAGCGTTTCAGCAGCTCAAAAATGAGGCTCAAGAAGAGATCGATGGCCTTGGCGACGAACTTGATGCTAAAGTTGATGAATGTGCACGACTCGAGCAGGACCTAAAGGCACAAGCTGAAAATATCAAGGTGTTGCAGTCTGAAATGCGGTCGGCCGCTGAAGGTCTTGTCCGTCTTGAGGAAGATGCCCAGCAGAATCTGGCACGTTATCAATCCGTCAAAGCAGAACTCGACGATGCCAATCGAGAGCTCGAGAACCTCGAAAAGTCTCTTGGCGAGGCCGAAAGCAAAGTACAGCGGCTCACTGTGCAACAAGAGAGTAGTCATAATGAGATCGCTTTCCTTCGTGAAGAGCAAGACGGCGATAAGATGAAGATTGGCGACTTGGAGTCATTACTGAAGAAAGTACACCTCAACCTGGAATCAGAAAGGGAGAAGAGCAGAGACTTGGAGCGCCGTATCAACGAAGAGCGGTCCCAGAGAGATGCTGTGGCGAGTCATGAGAAGCAAGAGGTGCAAAGAGTCATCAATGACCTCAATCGTGAAGCTTCTGGAGCCAAGGACGAGCTTCGGAAGGTTCGCAAGGCTTTGTCGGCGACTAATATCGAAGCAACCACGTACAAAGACCGGTTGTCAGAGATTGAAGAGAGCTTGCGAAATATCATTGGCGATCCTAACGCCTCGCGGTCAAGCATGATTAGCGCAGTCACGAAAATGCGGCGAGATCTTGATCAGACCACTGCTGATTTGGAATCAGTGCGGCAACGGCTGGAGGAGAGCGAAGGTCTACTTTCGGACCGTGATGCGTTGCTCGAGTCCACCGGCCACGAATGCAAAAGGTTGGCAGACGCGTATGAGCGTGAGAAGGCAGGTCGACGACAGGATAAGCTTGACTTTGAGCGGACCAACAAAGGTCACAACTCAACGACTCGCGCACTCTCGTCTGCATCTGCAAGAATTGCCGAACTTGAAGGGCAGCGCCAGAATGACAGGAAACGGGCTGCGCAGGCTGAAAGCCAACTCAAAGATCAACTTTCGGAACGGAATCAGATCTTGCTTAATCTTTGGAAGAGAATGTCATCCATGTGTGGTCCTGACTGGGCTCACAATAACAGCCTGATCAACGGCAATCTACCGTCTCAAGAAGTCATAGGAAACATGCTCTTCTGGCCGGGGTTCAGCAGGAACTTGTTGCTCGCTGCCAAGCAGGTCGAAGGCACATTGTCTACGTTCAGAGACAAGATCAAGCGGGTTGAGAGGGAGCTTTACAAGGAGTATCAGGCTCTTGAACAGACTCTAGAAGTACGGACCCGAAAGCTCGAACGCATCGAGGAGAGCTGGGAGAAATTGAGGTACAAATTGTCGGAGATGGAGACGCGGAAGCACAGCGACCAGAGACCTCGTACGCCCATGTCGGGCAGGACGCCTGAGGTCAGTAAGCTTAAGGGCGAGAATCGGTTGTTGAAAGCGGAGCTCGCACTCCTACAACAGCAGCAGGTCCATCATAACCTTCACCAGCGGCGAGACAGGAACGAGAGTCGAGCTTCGGGATATTCGATGATGACTCAAGACGGGCCCGGTCAAGCGCCTGATGGCGCCACTGTTGGTGTTCCTGCCCGCTCTTCGAGCATGAGACGCCATCGAAATATGGAGCTCCAACGGCATCATTCTTCGGGGGCTGTTGAGACTTTGGGCGGTCTGAATTCGCCGGACATGGCGTCGCTAAGGTCGAATTCGATATCAAGTCGAAACTCAGTGCTTCGGGATGGTGAGCGTGGGCTGATGGTCCCTTCGGGACCGTCCAATGCGCCTACCAATGGCAATTTTGCCTTACCGCCGCCGCCTCGAGAAGCTCCTCCTGCGCCACCGAGTGTTGGTTCGGGCTCGGATATTGCCAGCATTCACGCCGGCGCTGCTGGGCCGGGCCAGGAGAAGTGGATTCACCGACTGCGCGAGTTGGAGAGACGTCTGAAGGCGGAGCGGGAGGCGAGACTTCTTGACCGCAGTGGCGCGAGGAAGAGACTCGAGGAACGCGATGCTGTTAATGAGGAGTTGAGAAGGGAGTTGGAGAGGGAGCGTGTGAGGAAGAGTCTTGAAGGTGATGCGCTACTTAGTCCTTTTCTGGCGTTGGAGGAGCCGGAACAACGCGCTGAGCTGCCAGTCGACGTAGGGCCTGGGTATGGGCATGGCGTAAGTGCGAGGAATAAGCGGTAGATTCGTTTTCCATTTCAGAAGTGGAAAATGAAGAAAACTTGACTGGCACATTTTTTCGGGTTTGGCATTTTCATGAGGACTTGGTTCTGGGCAGGTGGGTGGGACTTTTGTATCAGTATAACTTGGGCTGATGGGCACTTGTATTCCTATATGGGACTTTCCGTCCTCGCGATCGGGGCAGCCTGGCATTCGGGTTATTGGAGACTGGATGAGGTGATGCACTGTCCCAGGCTTTTAAACCATTTCAAATGAGATGAGAGAAGAAATCAATTCAAGACCTAAGACTCGTATATGCATCAGTAAAGCCTATCAAGTCGACTTCCTCTTCTTTTCGTGTACGTGTTCCGGGTATTGAGGCTTCGCCGCCGCCGCCGCTCTGCGTCTGTCATACAGTTGTTTCAATTCCTCCTTGTTCAAGCCTTCTGCCTCATAATCTTCCTCCTTGATACTGCCGAATTGTCTTGTTTTTGGATCATATGCACCGTTTGGTCGTCCAGCGAGTTCTTCGGCCTCATGGAGCCTCTCGAGTGCAAGCTGATCCTGGTTGGCCTTGAGAACGCCGATCCGCGTCTCGTGTCCAGCACGCCTACCACGAGAGTCGCCAATCCTTTTGTTTTTTTGTTCTTCGCGCGATCTTATGGCTCTGTCGAGGACAAGGACACCAGTCAGTAACGCCACGTTGATGGTGGTTCACTGGAACCGTTGATCTGCACGCCCGTGGGTTTCGTATGGGAAAGAGACTCATTACTGACCTTTGAATATCCGGGCTTCTGTCCCTAAGGTGCGAACGACGCTTGGACGGGTCGTCCTTAGGGTAGTGTTTCTTCCCCCTCTGATAGAGACGGGCTTCGATATCTTTATGTTCCTTCCCGTCTTGGTCACTCACTTCTTCGTCAGTGCCGCTGTCACCATAACGGCCACGCGACCAGTCGTAACCACCATCATTCTGTGCGTAGTGATAACCGTAGAGATAACCGTCTCTCGGCATGTTTTGGTTGGTAGCTGCACAGAGAAGGTAAAGTCTTTTGCGTTCCTGCAAGGCAATCAAAAACTAGAGAGATCTGCACAGAAGGAGGAACAAGAAGTCGAGGAAGCTTGACCTCTGGACGAGACAGGTTATATCCATACTCGTGAGCCTCTGCCAACGTGCGCTCGGCGCGTTTTGCTGCCCAACCTCGATGCGATGGCCAGCGTTCGACGGCATTCTATGTATACAAATCGGGCAACTTGTGGAAAGATACTGCACCTGTGACCAGTGGTCGTACCTGAAGCGAACACGAAAGGTTGAGACCTACCAGGGCCACAACATTCGGCCCCATTGCAGCCACATGATCATGCCAATTGGCATTTGAAGGTACTGTGCCGGCCTTCCTCGATGTTGACGCGCTCTCTCGGTCACAATGTTGAAGGGATTTTGGAGGGAGTTTGTACCCTTCTTGTTAATCACCATTGACTTGACTTCGATATAGCTTGAGGTAAAAGCAGTGCGGTCAAGTGCAGTGGGAACGGCCCCACGAGGACGGAGAGAGCCGAACAGACCGAGGGGAAAAGAGCAAGTCCACCGGCTATCTGAAACTGGAAATATTGCCCTGCCACACCTACTTAGAAGGACTCGGGAGACGGACATTGCCCACTTCGGCCCGGCGTTCTACTTATTGTATGGCGTTTCGGGCGGGCATTTCCAGTTCATTAAGTGAAAAAAAGGGAGAACAGCGCCCGGACCATTTTGCCAGTGCCCGAGGGTTATCGATTCCGACGGTTTGATTCCGGTCGCAATTCCGAGTGGATGAAATTCCCCTTCTCATCGCATGATATGTCACCGCACCTCACCTTACCTCACTCTTGATCCGGCCTGATGTTCTAACCGACGCACTCTCACTTCCATCCGCTCTTCTTCCCCATCGATAGTGACCTTGCGCCGACACAATGGAGGGCCTTCGGTCGGCAGCACGAGCGACAGCGACCAGCCAGTCTCAGTCTCAACCGCAACCTCAACCTCACCCGACTCAGCCACAGGATACGATTACAGTCGCAAAGACCGAGGAGAAGAAGCGAACGGATGCCGAACCCGCAGAACAAGTCGATGGAGAAACACTAGAAGATGGGGAGGAGCTGTTAGACGACGACGAACTAGGCGAGGATGAAGAGTACGAGGACGATGATGAGGATGACTTTGAAAAGTGAGCAGCAGTTCTGAATTGCCAAACGCACGCATCTGACAATTGTCGCCAATTTCTAGTTTTACGACCTCGGAAATCGTAACCGTCTATGTCGGCCACAAGCGCAAACGGTTTTTCCTGCACCGCGAACTCATCTGCGAAAGATCGCCGTTTATGGAAAAGTGCCTGAAGAAGGACCGCTTCGACGAAGGGTACAAGAACGAACTTTACCTACCCGAGGACGACCCGAAGGCTTTCTCGATAGTAGTCGAATGGATCTACCGCAGCAAACTACCTGCGCGGACGGAGCCGACTTTTGACTTGGGCGATCTGTCGGCATCCTACTGCATGGCGGACAAATTCGGTATGGAAGAACTACAGAACAGTATCATGGATAACATCCGGGGTGCGTTCTCGCGGCGTGACGGCGAACTGTGCAAGCCGCCGCACTTTTCGGCGCTGGCGCTCACACACCTCACGGGCCCGCCTAAGAGCCCGCTCAAGCGATTCTACGTGGAGCATCTTGTGCACCATATGATGAAGCATCCGAAGTGGTACCACGAGTTGAAGAGAAATGAGCCCAATCGCGCGGATCTCGAGGAGTTGTTCAAGATCCCGGATCTGGTCAGTTATATTATGAAGAAGATTTGGCAGTTCCAGGCCGAGCCGTGGAAGGATCCTGCTACGTGGGATAAATGCTGCTACCATGTTCATGCTGCGACTGTGTGTCCGACTAGGGCTACGGCGGCGGCCGCTGCGGCAAATAACAAGGCAATCAAGGGCCCTGGGTCGGGACTGCACATTGGTTCTGGACTGGCGGGCCATGTGCATGGGCTGGGCGCGCCGGGAAGGTCGTGGCCTCCTTCTGCTATGGGTGTGTGGAATCCTGGTGTCGGGTGGTAGGCATGGTCCTGGACAGCTGGTTGTCAGTGACTACCGTGGTGCATGGTTGAGGAGGATGCGGTGTACCGTCAGTCCCTGTGAGGTGCCAGTGATTCTGGACCATATCCTCGGGGTGACGCTGTTGATGTGATGAGGCTGCGTGGGTGTTGACGAACTTTTCCTTACGTTATCTCATTCCGAACTAATGTCAAGTTGGATACTGACCGGTGTTATTGGATCATACTTCATGTATTGCGAGGATTGCTCTGCACGGCGCTGCAGGTGTTTCGGTAATGATCCAGATTTTTCACCATACATCTGGAAGTCTGTTGAATCGGATATTGAGTATGTCTCGGAACTCTTCATGATCGCTTATCATGTTCGAAAATGCGAATTAGCTGCAATATAGCTATGCCTCAGAATGAACCATCTTCCTTACCTCGTTTTATATGATCCTGCACGGACACTTAGCATACGAGCTGCTGTCGATCGACCTGTTCGCGCTTACCCGAAGAGACAAATTGATGCACTTTACACCCTCCAATAACACCCAAATTCTCCTCCGCACTCGCCATGCCTTCTTCTTTCCTTTAATCTCGAAAAGTCCTTTAGTATGATGATAAGTCATTATCGCCATGCTGGCGGGTGAGACGATCTATTATGACTTTTCCCAGTCGGGCAAAGATCCAACCCCGAATGTGTCGGACGGCGCCTCTTTTCTGGGCGGCGCGTCGATCTGTCATGGCAAGCCGATCGTGAGAGCTGAAAGAGCTTGCAGCTTCCTTTTCTTTCCTTATCAGGCTGAGAGCTCTCGCTGCCTCAATTCCTTGCGTCGTCGTCTTTGCATCTTTGTTCATCAGCATTCGTTTCTGCAGCGTTTCGAGCAAGCATAGTTTGTTCAGAGTTTTCAGTTGATCTTAAACGCGCCTTTTCAGCCCGTCGGTACCAGGCGCTACACATAACAAACCTTCGCATAGCTTTGCTTAAGGTGTGTTCAGCAGTCGGGCATCTCAAAATACCAGCTCGATCCCCCCTGTTTGTCTGACTTCCCCGAGAGCGACCGTCAATATGACCAACGAGCGCACACCGCTGCTGGGTTCCTACGCCTATGGCGACAGCGAGGAATATCCGTCTGCAGACCCGCACCAGCAGTTTTGCATGCTCGTTGGTGTCCCGTCCTCTGCCCCTGAGCTACAGGGTAAAAAGCAGCCAGTACCGAAGAAGTCATTGTATGGACGAGTCACTCGTCAGCTGGGCAGCCAGCGCTTCACATATCTTGCGACTGCCTCGTTGTCTAGCACACTTCTACTGACTCAAGTCGTACTTGGGGCCGCGCTAACCGCATTGGGTGCTTCGAGATCCTCGCATATCCTGATCACCATCTTTGGAGCCTTGAATACTGTCATTGCCGGGCTGGTGGCGTATCTGAAATCTCGAGGCCAGCCCATGCGTGCACGCATGTACCGAGACGACCTGGAGCGGGTCGTGGACGAAATCGAAAACTCCGAAGTCATGTGGCTGGGTATTGCACGTCATGTGCACGGCTACGATGAGATTGATACGGATGACCGAGTGAGTGTCCGTAGCGAGGTTGCTAGGCTTACCAGATTATACGATCGGGCCATCAGGACAAATACAATCAACAATCCTGACATGTACGAGGTTGCGGCTGCTGGCTTCGAGGGTAATGGCACAAACATAAAACATGGCGTCTCACATCCAATTGCACCTGTCCCGGTGCCTACACCAGCACCTCCAGTTGCTGTTCCTGCGCCTGCAGGAGAAGCCGCTCCTGCGACGACGCCATCGGTGCCAGCGCCTGCGCCAGCACCTGCTCCGGTAGCTCCCGATCCGGATGAAAGTCCTGCGACAGCTCCGCCACAGCCAAAAGCGGAGCCAAAGAAGGGAGAGGAAAAAGTTAAAGACAACGGCCAGGACAAGAAAGAGGATGGAGATGCTCCAACTAAGGGAGACAGCGGCGAGCCCGCAAAGGAGGGTGAATCGTCGCCTGATCCAAAGAACGCTGACAAGAGTACAACTGATGCTCAATCGTCAAAGTTGCCGCAGCCAAACCCAAAGCAAAACGACCCGGACTCTGAGCCGGCAAGCGATCCTCAAGTGCCACTGAAGGATCGCTCGCCGGATGCACCAAACAGGAAAGCATGATATCTTACCATTGCAGTCGCCATGGTTATTCAGTGGTTGCTTCTCAGCTAACTAAGCAAGCATCCGCGCTCAAGCATCAGCAATTCCCAAAAAGTGACATCAAAGTTCTAAACGACAAAAACTTTGCCATGAACCCTGTTGAGTAGGGGTCATGGTAAGTGAAAGCCGGGTTCGCAGGCTTTTTCCGAGATCCGGGTTCGCAGGATCAAAGGGGTTCGAATCGAAGTCTTAACGCCCTCTAGCCCGGTGCTAGTTTGACCAGATAAGACCTAGAATTTTGTCGTCGATAATTGAATCGAAAAGTCGACTTTTTGTGTGGATTGAACGAGGATCGAACTGGCGACTAATTCGTCACTGACACGCCTTCTAGCCCGGTGCTAGTTTGATAGCCTCGAAGAGACCCAGAGCCAGTGAGGAATTGGTGACCAGTTTTCCGTGAGTTTAATATATAAAGAGTGGCAATATCTGGTACCGGTACTATCGCTGACCGCCTAAGGACAGAGGTAGGCAAGGCATGAGCAGGGCTGGACAATCAACGGGAGAGCTTCGCAAAAAGGCGGGAACCTGCAATATACAAATCGAAGCGATGGGGCCAGTTCTCTTGCATGAATGTGGATCAGGCACACCGGTTAGAATCTATGGCACTGATGTCTACCTGGGTTTTGAAGAAAGACTGGACCTTCCACGGACCGAGAAGGCTCAATCGCTTGCCCCTCTGGCTGCCAATACGGGGTCAAATGCCTCCCTCCAGGCTTGTACGCTTTTAGCAGAAGACCCGGCAGGAGCCTCTTTGATCTCCTTGGCCGGCTTTTCGAGGACCTTCAGCGTCTCTTGGGTATAATCGTCCAGCTCCATTGGCGTAATGACGTGCCACAGTCGATTCTCCGCATCAAGATCGGTCCGGACGTACGGCGGCACTATCTCTATGACATTGACGTTCGTGTCCTTTAATGTCTGTCTGAGGCCGACAAGGAACGAATGCACACCGGCCTTTGTTGGCGAGTAGACGGGAAACATGCCAAACGGAACGAAGGCGATGCCGCTTGAGGTGATGAGGAAGTTGGCTTCACGTTTGAGTGAGATCAAATGTGGAATGAAGTGGCGAGCGAGGATGACGGGAGCTGTCAAGTTGGTGTTGATCTCGTTGATGATCTTCTCGTCGCTGAAGTTGACAAGCGACTTGAAGTTGCCCTGGTACTGGATTCCCGAGTTCACCCACACGGTGTCGATGTTGGGCCATTTGGAGAGGATGGTCTCGACGTGCTTTGGTAATGCGGCCAAGTCGCTGTTGTCCATGGCATAGGTCTCCAGACCGGGCACTTCTTTCGCGACTGTCGCGAGGCGGTCTTCACGGCGACCAGTGATGATGACCTTCTTGCCCATCTTGTTGAAGGCCCGAGCAAAGGATTCACCTATACCGCCGGTACCGCCGAACAAGAGGATCGTTGACATTGAAGAAGTCATTGTCACGTTGAGGGGTGAAATTGTGAATGAGGATATGGTAAGGTAGTGTCTGTCAAGGGGTGTTGAAGAAATGGAAGAGTGCATTGCGAAGCATCTGGGCACTTATATATACCCTCATGCAAGGCAAGATGAGACTGTTCACCTCAATACTCGCACTAAGCTCTGGAGCATATGGCAATGTGGAGCATTGTACGTCTTTGGACGGAGATAGCGGGGAGAAGATGCCCGATTTGGTATGAGTTACGTTGGAACCCGTCCAGGTTACTCCACACTTCAAAGGATCCCATTCAAGGACGACCTCTCTGCTTCACGTTCGCCTTCACCTTTACCTTCATCTTCATGTCGATCTAAGTCGGATCTGCCGGTTGGCTCCGGTTGGGTAAGTCACCTGCATATGGCGTTCACATACCTCGCAACCAATCGGACTTGAAAAGGCTCACCGTTATGTCACCTATTCCTGACTACGATTCATCCAGACGCCGGTGTAACTGAATGTTCATGCAGTGTCAACAATGACACAAAGAGGACATGGAACGGCCGCGTTTGACATTGAGTGAAGGCGCCTCGCCTCATTCGAGGTCAAAAACCCCATGCGCTGTTGAGGAGTCAGGTAAGAAAAGAGTCTCAAGTGGGAAGCCATCCTTTCTTCCAACACAAACCAACAATGACGCTCTCTTTAGCAAGTGGTGGCGGATATCCACTGAATATAACTCAGCCAGCTATAAACGTGTTCCTGGCTTCAAAGCAAGATGAAATCGGTCAGATCAACGGGCTCACGTACTGGCAAGTCGCCAACGGCTATACCGCAGTCGCTCTACACGATACATGGTCAAACACGACTTCCAACGCCGATGTGCTGGACACTCTCATATCCACGGTTGAAGCCAACCAGGCCGACTGCATCAACGAGATGAATGACGATTCCATGTGGTGGTCGATCTGTCTGTTGGAAATGTACGAACTCACACAGAACGCGCAGCACCTGAATGTCGCCGAAGCCATTTGGAATCACGTTCAGCAGTACGTGGTCTCGCCAGGTAGATACAACATCAACGGCCTTGACATGGCAGGTGCAGTCATGTGGACCAACAAGACCAACGAGACGCAAGTCAACGCGATTACCGCAGGTCTGTTCTCGGAGCTCTCGGCAAGACTGGCATGTCAAGCCGAGCCCGGGCCCACACGTGAGGCACTCCTCGAGTACGCAGAGTACACCCTCGGTTGGATTCTGCGATGCCGCTACGTGCCAGATGAGAACCTCGTGCTGGACCACATTGATCTTGCCACGGGACAAACCTTTGACTGGAGCTTCACGTACAACACAGGGCAAGCCATTGGAGCGTCCATCGCAATCTATAACGCCATGAAAAGCAATGGCACCGACCAGGGTCAGATGCAAACCTATATGAATCTTGCGAGCAACATGGCGCTCAACGCGATGAACCGGACGACTTGGATCGATGGCGACGGCACGCTCACGGAAAGAGACGCGTATCCCGGCACTGGCGCCGACCCGACACCGGCCTCCCAGGACTGCGACGCCATTGGGTTCAAGGCCATTCTTCTGCGCAATTTGGCTAAGCTGTATATGCTTTTACGAAACGAGGGCCTCAATACCGGGCTGCAGGGTCAGATCATCACATTCGTGCAGTGGCAGTTTCACAGTCTGCTGACGCGCAATTGTAATGGGCAAGATCAGTATGGCCCGTGGTGGGCTGGGCCCATGGACTTGCCGACTAGTCATAGTCAACTTGCCGCATTGGATGTCATGGCTGCTATCCACGCCGTGGGAACTCAGGGACAGGAATATGACCAGTGAAGGGATGGCGGGTTATGTGATACGATCTAACGACAATTACGAAGCGCTGGCGTCTCATGGATTTGATGATTTTCAGGATCTCTGGAAGTGAGGGACGATACATGTCCTCTTTGCAACATCGGAGACTTCTTAGCATACTGATATTAGGCCGTTCGGGCATGATTAGAACTCTTGCCCTTGCATTTGTCAGTCGGATGATCTTCTCATGCTCTTGCACTCTAAACCTACACCTACGGCGTTCAGACGAGACGTCTCGTTCATGCTTCAGGGCACACATCACTCACTTCTGCTGTAAGGGCTAATATCCGGATCGCTCAAATAGGAGTTTCTATCGAGTTTGCTTACCTCACTTGTGTAGCATGCATTGTGCATTATATAATATGACGAACGTCTTCATCCCGAAATGGAAGTTGCGCGATTCCATCCAATCACGACCACTTCGGCACCACTCCGGATGAACCAATGGCATGATGTCAATACTCGTACCTATCGATTTGCGCGTGCTTCGGCAGATGGAGTGGACACGAAGCCGACTATTTCGAACGAAATCCTTCCATTCTATGACGGCGGAGATATGGGTGTTGTACGTAGATTACCATCGTGTTATATCCGTCAAACCTCGATAAAAGTTCTGACTTGAGCGAAAGGCTGACTGGCCTTGAAGTATATAAGTCTCGAGCGTCTCCCGGTTCTTCGAATACTGAAAGTCCAGACAAAGTGCATGGTACTTGTGTGATCAAACAGAACGACTCGGCACATTCTCCAGACACCGCGAAGTAAGACAAGTCAAAGTTGTGAAACACCAGTATCCAACGGCAAACAACACTGTGTACCAGACCTTCGAAGACAAGAAGCAACAATGGCGTCACACAAATACACCACAAGACTAGCCGGCACATCCGTCCTCATCGTCGGCGGCACCTCAGGCCTGGGCTTTGGCGTGGCCGAAGCCCTCGTCGAGCACGGCGCATCCAACCTATACCTCTCATCCTCCCGCGAAGCCAAAGTCAACGCCAGCATCGACCGTCTCAAGAAATCCTACCCGGACGCAAAGACCAACATCGTCGGCCTGGCCTGCGACCTGGGCACCGAAGAGACCCTCGAATCCAACATCAAGGATCTCTTCAACAAAATCGACACCAAGCTAGACCACATCGTCTTCACGGCCGGCGATCCACTGGGCATGAAACCCCTAGCGGACGTGGACTTAGCATTCTTCAAGAAATGCGGCATGGTCCGCTTCTTCGCACCGTTCTTCGTCACCAAGTACGGCGCCTCGCACCTGAATCCGGGTGTGAACAGTAGTATTACCATCACCACGGGTGCGGTCGCAGAACATCCTAACAACAACTGGACGACCGTGGCGTCGTATGCGGCTGGACTGCAGGGTATGACGAGAAACCTCGCGTTGGAGTTGAAGCCTATCCGCGTGAATTTGATCCAGCCTGGTGCTGTTGAGACGGAATTGTGGGATGGCGCTTTCGAAAATGAGGAGGATAAAGCGAAGGCCCTGAAGGCGTTTGGGGACAAGATGGCGACGGGGCAGGTGGGACAGGTTGAGGACGTGACGGAGAGTTATCTTTATGCTATGAAGGATCGAAATGTTACTGGGACGGTGATTAGGACTGATGGTGGGAGTTTTGTTATGTGAGCGACCGCCCTAAGGTGGTCTGGGGGATCAAGGAGATGAGAGCGTGGGTAGACATATACGGGCTAGCAAGATGATGGACCGGAGATTCTTGATTCAAAAGATAACGGCTGTTGTTGCCACGTTTGAGCCAATGCAAGCTTTTGTTGCTAATGCACCTTCGGCTATCACGACCCTAGGTCTCCCTCCCAAGTAACCAGCCCACACCTCTGGTTTTATCAGCCTTCCACGTCTGTGCCTGTTTGATGGGGAACAAGCTCCAGAAAGTGTGCGGTGTGCCAGGATAAACGTCCACACGAGTCTGGACGCCCAAGTCCTCCAAGATGGCAGCATAAATGAACGAGTCATCCCGGAGCATGTCCATACCGCAGATCTGGAAATACACTTTCGGCGCGATGCCCGCATGCTTGGACATGGGTTGTGTGTTGAACGCGGCATGGATCGGCGAGCTCACGTCCGGCGCATACTCTCTGTCGAAGAGAGCCTTCATGTCTTCGCCAAGAAGGGGTGCCGTCAGACAACGCTCGTCAGTTCGCGACACATACGACTCCTTGTACTTGTCCGGCACGGTTTCTTTGGAGGGGATGAATGAGCCGGCCGAAAAGTATATACCTGTGATCTTCGGCGTGGTGGTCGAGTCTTTGGCCTGGAGTGCGATGACTGCAGCTAGACGCGCGCCCTGGCTAACGCCGCCGATGATCAGGCCGGCAGAGAGGTCGGCGCCGAAAGACGATGCCTTCGTGGATACGTGTTGGAATGCGTCAAGGGCATCGGTCACGCCGGTAGGGAAAGCGTGCTCGGGCGCAAGGCGGTACTGGGGGCTTACGACTACACAGTCGTGTGCCAACACCAGATCGCGAGCGAGACCAGCAACAGAGTACGCGTTGCCCATGACACCACCACCTCCGTGGTAGAAGATGACCAGCGGCTTCGGTTTCGCGGTTGGGGCTGATGCACTGAAGACGAATAGATTGAGCTCGCTGCCATCACGGGCAGTAAACTTGAGGTTCGACTCGATGACTTCTGGAATGGCCGGAGGTGGTGGGAACATCGCCTCCATGGCTCGTAATTGATGGATTGCGTCTGGCGATGAGTAGTCGAGCTTGGGGAATTTCCCGGATTTGACGATCTGCTATAGGTAAGTGAAAGAACGCATCGCTTGAGGATTCGCGAATGATCACTTACTGCATCGATCTCGGGATCTACGACGGCCAGAGAGTCAAGTTCTTCCTTGGTAGGAGGCGCCATGGTTGCTGGTTCGATCGCGAGTCGCAGTCTTACTGTGGTTTGTCGAGTCGTCTTTTGCTTGTTTTTTGGTAGGGCTGCCGTGGCCCAGAGTCTTCTTATAGTTTTAGTGTTGACCTACCATTGTATTCACCAGAGCCGGCTATTCTGCTATTCGAGGCGGACTATGATGGCTTATGAGATCCCGTCCGGATCAGGGAGTGCCGTCGGAACAATGGAGAAACGATTCGTCCGAAAGTGAAAATATACGAGCCGTGACTTTAGGTGGGCCTCGCTGAGCTGCACCAAAGCACTGACCAGGTCCCTTTGGGCGTTGAGGGAGTTCCGTCAGCCTTCTGCTGGGGTGATAGATGTCTAGGACATTCTTGAGCAACCACAGTCACACGCGAGAGCCATTCTGCACAGTGCATAATCCATGCTGACCAACCCTCGCCAGCAGGCAGCTTTGGGGATGCACAAAATAACGCTTCTCGACCATCCGGCGTAACTTACCCCATGTGCTGTGCTGTGGCGTGGAGATGATGCAAGGCTCCAAGACTATCAAGTGGGAACTCCTTGCAATTCAGTGCCTGCAAGCGGAGTGTACTTCAGCTTGGACATCGAGTCAAGATGCATCACAATGATTGTGGTAAGGAAGATGCAGGAAGAAAGCAATAAGTTAAGCGCAGCCTTGGCCAAGCACGGGCGCTGTGTCGTTGTTGCCGAGGTATCTAAAGTTAGGGATACGGTAGCGTTGATATACGTACCTTTATCAATCAATCACTTTTCACGTGTTTGCTTCAATCATTGTTGCTTATGAGAATTAGCACGTGTACAAATTCGCAAGAATGTCAGGCCAGCGCGATGTTAGCATGGTGCTCGAGACACACACCAGCCTTGACCCGTCACAAAAAGATATCTCTGAGCCTCCCAAATCATACACCTACTACCATGCCGGCCCGCTGTTTACCATGGCGGAACTGCATACCAACACGCTACTATCTCAGGCCATCCAGCGAAAATCGTCCGGAAAGTTCATTGGCATTCTGCCACAAGATCTCGAACAACGAGATCAAAGTCCGCACGCGATAAGAGACGAGGACCTCCGTGCACTACTGTCCTGTGACCTTGGCCTATTTACATTCGATGGGGCCGAACTCGACGCAGGCACCGTGGTCGAATACATGTTCTCCAAAATGGCGGACATTCCTGCCGTCGTTCTGCGGTCGGATTTTCGAGGTTCTGGTGACCAAGGCTCGACAGGTGACGCTTGGAACTTGATGAGTTCCAACTGGCCCCGGACTGTGGGCGTGTCTGTCAATTCTCTCGTGGAGTATAAGTCTGCTCTTGCCAAAACTCTGTCACGGCTCGAAGTCACCAATCCAGGGGACCTTGTCATCGATCAAGTTGCTCAAAAGGTGATTGATGGCTTCGAGAAGGTCCTCCAAGAGCCACCAAGGATGCCCAAGGAGTTGAGGGAAAGTGTTTACCAGTGGCTGGCGCTTATGCCCGGCTTCAGAGACGGGAGCAATCACCGGAACGTCGAGATTCTTCTCAAATTATGCGGACAGAAGCAAGCCAGTGGATTATTATGACAGCAACCTCTCGATTGTCATATTGAGAGGTTGACCATTTGCAAGAAGTGTTGGTTGCAGGAGCAAGACCCTATATACAAGTATTATTTGGCCTCTACGTTGGCCAGTTCTGGTCTTTCTTGTATACACTTACAACTTTTGCCCGGCCACAGAGCCTGTACTCGGGGTACTCTTTCCGATGCCATGCTTATTATGCGAACTGGGCTCCTGTTCCTTGATGAACACGCCCTTGAGCCAGTCGTGTGAGAGCAGCACGGGCGGCATATCTATCCACTATCCGTGACTTTAAAACTTGTAGACCTGCTCCTTCGTATAGCCCAACTCCTTGAGTATGCCGGAGAGGTCGCCCTGGTCTGTAGGGCTAACCTTGGGTCCACTGATGGCCTTGTACATTCCTGGTGGGCCACACACGAAGACCTTGATGTTGTTGCTCTTTGGGTCTGGGATAACCTCCTTCAATAATTCCTTGGTGATGTGGCCCTTGCCGTAAGGCCAACTCTCGGGTGGGGTATCGACTGTGTAAAAGGCGCGGAAACGCTGAGGGAACTCGTTCTCGATCTTCTCCAACTCCTCCTTCAGCAAGATATCCTTCTCAGTGAGATTACCAAAAATTAGCGACACTTTGGTCTTGTCTTCCGGATTCTTGAAGATAGCTCGGATGAGTTGGTACATTGGGGTGATTCCGGTGCCGCCGGCGATCAAGGTGATGTGCTCGTGCTTGTTGGCGGCCCAGGAGTACTTGGGGATCGGGCCCTTGAAAGAGAGCATCTGGCCAGGAGCCATGGAGTGCAGATGCTCAGACATGGGGCCGTTGGGGTATGATTTGACCAAAAGCTCAACGTAGCCTCGCTCATCTGGAAAACATCGTGAGCATCGATCTGTTCTTGGAATGACAAAGCTCCCATCACTTACCTTCCTCATTGATGGGCGTGTAGGGTCTGATAACGGGCTTTTCGTGCTTGGGGCTCTGGTACTTCGTAATGACCGCAGCTGTAGTACAGATATTAGTGATCGCGTGACGTCTCGGTGGGTGCGCACAGGGACTCACAAGCGACCGTCAACCCTGAGACCTGATCTTTCCCGGGCAACTCAAACTTGAATCTCTTGGTGTTGTGGTTGTAGGGAATGATCTCGGCGAGCTTGAGGTCTACGAAACCTTGGTCACCACCCCGGAAAGCCTTCGCTGCAGATGTAGTTTCTGCTGCATGCGTCGCATCTTCGGAAGGCTTGGGCGGTGCATCGGCGGAGGCTTTGTTAGAGCCTAGGAATGTGTAGCCTGCGATACCTGCGCCAACAGCTGCGACGCCGACAATCAAGGGCGTGGAGGACGAGGATTTGGGTGCTTCGGTCGCGTAGCTGCGGAAGTTCTGGATGAAGCATGATTGTCAGGTCTAATAGCTAGGAAACCCTCATAGTGAGGATGGGAGAGACAGGGTCCAGGATGTCAGCAATTCAATGCTGCAGGCCTCAACTTACCTGACGCAGTGGTCCAGCAGACCTGATCACAGATCTGGCAAACATTGTGGCGACGACCTGTAGCTGAATCGGAAATCGACGAGCTAGGAGGGAACAGGACTGTGGTTGTGGAAGGGGATTTCGTGGCTCAGACACAATTACTAAGAGACAATAATGATATCGATGGAGAGAGCTTCGAACTTTGGAGAGGTGACGTCTTCGGCCCTGCCAGTCGCACAATTCGGACTTACAAAAACAGCGGCCTTAGTTCCGTATGTGATATGGCTCGACATACTCGTACCTTTGTTCTCCTTCCAACATGTCTACATGAGACTGGGTATCATAAAACGCTCATCAACGCCCAAAATCCCACAGTCCACTCTGCGCCGACGCTGGAAGCGATATGTTACAGTTCGACTTCTTCCTCCTCATGTCCTTTCCGACCAGCACTGCGTAGAGATAGGTCATCCCAGTTTTTAGCATCATTGACCACCAGACAACGTCTTGCAGCATTGTAGGCTTCCATCCTAGCCCATATCCGATCTTCGTCATCCCAACCATCGTCGAAGTCTTCACCATCACTTCCCATTTCAGGGTACAAGTCGTACCCATCAAATATTTTCCTGGAATGGTCTGCTCGAGAGTCTCTCTGGGCGATAGAAGCCTGTTCATCCTCATGGTCAATTGTGTTCTTTCCACCATTGATGCAGAGGAATGCTTCTCTGATCTCCTTCAGCCTGCCAGGCCCAAGATTGCTGCGGATAGCGGGTTGTGTATCCTCGACAGGCGACACAGATGGCTTCACCGAAGCACCTAGTTCGGCAGCCTCAAGGCCAACTTCTTTGACTTCTGCCCTTGCGGTTTCGAACACCTCGTCGCCTTCCAACGATCCATGTGTCTCTTGGGTAGCGTGAGTGTCTTGCGTTTCTTGCGTCTCCTGTTCAACCTCATCGTCATCTCGGAATATCCGTTTCTGACCTCTTAGTGCATTCAATCTTTGTCGTTCCTTCCAATCTTCTACTGTCGCTCGTGACTCCTTGTCGAAATGGAATTCGTTGCCAGAACAAACGTCTCCAAAGAGTACCTGCATGCTAACCTCCTCGGACCAGACTTCTGGCTCCACAGTACAAGGGCAGATGTCCTTTGGTCGAAATACGCTTACCAGATGACGCAATTCCATGTACGACGAGTGACGAGAGTAAGGAAAATGAATTGTATCGCCACGACCTGCGAGCTTGCCGAGTGGTCCATGGTTCATGTGATGTTTCGAGGCATCCCACCTCTTCGACAAGAGAGCCACAAAGTCTTTCAATGATATCTTCGCATCAAGGCTTGCATCGGGAATTTCAGTCCCTTCAAGTGTCACGGAGAAGTTTCCAAACCTCGAAGCATATTCAACCACGTCTTGTATATCCGATCTCACCTTTTCGTCGTCCGTGTACTGCGCGCAAAACTCCCCAAGCTGTTGAAGGGTTGCCGTGTCCTCCATTTTCAGGTCTGCTTCTTGATAAAGATCGCCTCCTCCGCCTCCTGCTCCAATTTCTAAGACCTCAGTACCATCTTTCAGTCTCGTGATGATCGGTGTGATCCACACAACATTTTGTTGCTTGCTCAATTGCTGATGGCATTGCAGGCCAGGCTCGCAGCTGTGAATTCTGCTGCTATTGTCTTTAGTTAGACATCCGGGCATTTGGCTGTGTCCGACTTTGTAACCTGTAAGTGCTGCCTCTTCAGTATACCCGGTAGGTCCATGCTTTTTGTCGGGTCCGAGTATTCGAAGTTGATACTCATTTACGTGTATGCGTGACTGAAGAAAGTTCGACAGGGCAGTCCACACATTTTCGTACCCTAACGTCCAAGCTCGGAAGTAAAAGGTTGTATCTGGAGGACATTGATCAACTTTGTCGAGCAGCTCTTTAATTCCTTCAGCTTTTGTTGGAAAGTCACGATACGGCTCCTCACGAGAAGCGAACGTCGTGTCCAAATAGATGCAATCCAGGGTCTTCAGACCACACGCATAAGGCAGTAACACGGGATTCTGCACAATCGAAGTCACCCACCAGGGTTCTGATCTGATGTCTCCTGTGTAAACGACGGCTTTTCCATTTCCTTCAATGAGGAACATTACTGCACCGGGACAGTGGTTGGCGTCCAGCAACGTGACTCTTATTGTTGATTTCGGAGACAGCTCAATTTCTGTCGCTGTTTGGAGTGGCAGCGGTCTGAGAATGGTGTCGAGATGGTGGTAGTGCAGCTTTCGTGATTCAAGTATGCCCTTTACGAAATTGATACGGTGTGGATACTTCTCCAGCTTGAGTAGGATATTCCTCGTGGTCGTCGTGCAGTACACAAATGTACCTTTGACGAATTCGAGACCCACGATATGATCGCTGTGCATATGGCTGAGAAAGTATGCTTTCGGTGGTGGCCTGTTGGGATGTGACCTGAAGTAGTCGATCCTGATTTCAGGAAACTCCCTGACGATGCCATTAAAGGTCGACATGGCGGATTACGAGTGTCTCAACTGCGTTCGCTCACGTTCGCTCAGGGACTCCTACGTACAAAGTCCTGGTACTTCGTAGCCGGCCCCAGATGCTCCGGATGAGGTCTCCTAAAGCAGAAGAACGTGGCTTGAAGCATGTCAGCCAGTCGATTCGTTGTCGCGGAGAAGGTTAAGCCGACAGAAGCCGCATACCATGCAGGGACGACGGAATGGACGTATGAGGTGATGGTACCGGAAATGCTTGCACGATGGATTGGCGATAGGCGGGCCACGCAGGGCTTGGGAGGCTCTTGGGGCGTAATGTAGGCCGGCTCATTTGCCTGTCCGATTGGAAACGGGTCGGACAGGCGGTCATGCACCACACGGTTCAACTGGACCTGACCACCTGACGATACAAGAAAAAACGGCGCTTGCACGCTTGAAAGGGTTTGGAATCCAGATGCAATACGTGTTTGGTTTGCCAATTCTTAGTTGCTGATGTGGCATTGAGGCAAGACAAGAAAAGCACGAACCATTCTTACTGCACCTGCATCTTCCACTTATCCCGCATCTTCACTCTTCTTTTCCTTCGTAGAGCCAACGCAGTCGTTGTTTGCTTGTGACCCATCCACTCACGCATTCGATAACCGAAACATACGTCGCTGTCTCAGTTGAAGCTCGCCAGCAGCAGTTAGTGAGGATTGTGGGCGGTGCCTGACCAAAACGAGAACTATCCGAATCATTCCTCCGCTTTGCGAGATCCATTGAACCAGCCCGAATACAAGTCTACGTAGGCATACGCTTCTGTCACCTGCCACCTGCCACCTGGAAGGTGTATTACCTCCACTCGAAAGCCTTCCTCCTGACCAGCAAAGCCACAATAAGTCCAAGGCATCAAATATCTGCTCTGGAGACATCCAAGACACATTTGCCCCTTGCTCCCTACCGTTGTTGCATGCGAACCGGGTATGCTCTGAGACCAGCAACGACACAGCCTTCCACTGCAGCCCTCGAACCGACCACCAAGCCTAGACGATGCGGAAACCGTCCATACCCGAGTTGATCTACCAAAGAACGTTCCCCAAGCCCAAGCAAGGGGATCCAAGTTCCTTCTATGCATTCGTCCACCGTCACATTGTGGCAGAGATCCGAACAGAGGTACAGACATACTATGGGGCTCTGGACACACTAGAAGCACAATATCCAGGTCTTGACTACACCTATCTTCCGCACCGCCGCCGGCTGTCGAGACACACTTGGCATAGGAGGCTGTTCCGTGTGTTTGATGATTTGGGGTTGACCAATGATGAGATTCTGAGTCTGTGTCAATGGGAAGGGACAAGAGCGGCCAAAGAAAGATACGAGCGGGAGGCACAAACGGAAGTCAAGACTACGACCGGCAACGACCTCCCTACAACGACCCGCGGATCCGGTCCCAGGGCGGTGTGGGAGGATTGGAGTCGTTCAGCCCCGGGCCCAGCATCACCGGCTTACACCGCGATTCCTGAAGCCGACGAGGTCGAAGACACAGATATGCCCGAACCTCAGCAGCCCACCGATGACCAGTCAGGAAGTTCAGAGTATGACATTGTCGGCCTGGTCCGGGATGCCATGCAAGAACGATTAACTGGGACCTCACTGGCAATTAGTGAAGAATGGGAGCAGTGGCTGAAAGATGCACTTGAGCGGCACACCGTTGACGTCGATGTTATCCTGGCCGCTGTTCAAGAGTTGGAGCCTCAAGTACTCGGTACTGTATCCGACCACACAGGAGATCTCGACTTCACACCTGCAACAACCCCTTCACTGTCATCTCCACCTACAGCACAGTCTTCCCACGGTCACATTTATGACGAGCCCCACGACATTCTTAATGATCCCGACACCATGAATGCCCATCTGGCAGTCCTTAACAGTGCGCCTCTGTCTTTGTCAAGATCACAGACCGAAGCAGCAAGGTAGATTGCCCTTTGCTTTTCTTATCCATTACGACACAACATAGCGAGCTAGGCTGGTACATGCATGCAGACAGGACGGTAATTTTTGGCTTTGCATTTCTAGCCCACCGAAAAGTATGGCGTATGTGCTTTATTCGATTCTTATGACAGGAAACTTGTTCTTCGAAGCGAGGCGTTTGGGGCTGGGCTGGCTGTGGTCCAAAATGCTTCGAAAAACAGCGGAGCGACCTTGCAGCAGTAATAATGGATGCCTGCCAATTTCTTGTCGAAGGGATGGACGGTCGGCTTAGGTCTCGACAGGCACTCTGAATGGTCTTGCACATGAGCATCAGATCAATCGAGAAAAAGGGTATCAACGTATGAATTCCTACACCGCGTTTCTTCCTCCTTAGCCAGCAGTGTTTTCTTTCACAACCCCTCTAGCAAACTCGCCAAACGTGAGAGCCGTCTCGGCATCCACGAGTTCATCTAGGTTAGGCTGCGTGAAGACAGCCAGCGTATTCCTCGCAATCCTGCTGCTGGACTCACAGTTTTTCGGGTCCACACCCTTGACGAAATGCGGCACAGCCTTGAACTTGCCTCGCGTGATGAGCTCTAGAGCCTCACCCGTCTGGAAGGCAAGACAATCTCTCGGGATGCTGACTTTGTGGATCTGGCCGGATCGCGAGAGTATGTATAAGCCCGACTTTGGATCCGGTGAGGCAGGAAGTTCTGTGTCTTCCGATGCTTCGTCGATGAACATTGCGCTCGTCAGGCCCGTGAGACAGCCGTGGTCGAGGTGCGTTGAGCACCATGAGTCGTCGACCTCTTTTTCCTCCGTGTCCTGGCTGCTGTTGCTGTTGGAGTGCGTGTTCTGTGAGGACCCATTGCTCTGTGTGCTCTGATCTTGGACCGGTATGGGGAAATAATGCAATAGTCTCGCCTTCGTCGTCGTACTTCCCTTCACTACTCTCTCTAGATACCCATCTTCATACCCCGAAATTGCGTGCTCCGCGAACCGATCGCACGCCCTCGCCACAAGCACCGCCGTGTCGATGATCAGACTTATCAGATCCTCTGCATCACTTCGAAAGCTTGGGATGTGACTGTCCTCAGGCCAGACGTTGGGCGCTGTGTATTCTTCAAACCCAGGAAATTTGGTCGCATCTGCGCCGTTGAGGTCGGGAGACTGATAGAAGGCGCAGTTGATGTAGTAGCTTCCTTTTGCTGTGTCGATGACTCCTGGTCGTAGGGTCTCGACGCCGTGAGACCAGCCTACTAGGTATTTTGCCGAGGGTTTGGTGAGTTGCGACAAGGTGGTTGGTGGGAGGGCGGCTAGACGGGAGGAATTGGACAGGACTTTTGTGCGAAGGGTGGTGAAGTTTGGTGGGAGGTCTTTTACGACGAGTATGCCTAGGCTGTCGGGACCGAAGGCGGCGAGAAGGGTTTGAAAGGGTATGTTGTTGGATTGGAGGTCGTGGAGGGAAACGGTCACTGGGGAGGCATGTTTTATGGCCATTGCTGCTGCACAGAGATAGTGGTGGTGGGATGGCCTGAGGCGAATGGGGTCGAGCCGTTGGTATAGCCGTGTCGCTGGGAGAGGGTGGATTGTGTCTTTTCTACTTCTAGCTTTCGAACGCAGGGGGAACTCTCGCTCGCCGAAGGCGACAATACGTGGTACTTTTTTTCTGGCTGCGAGGATGCAACCTTGTTTATCAATCTTTACCCCACAGTGCGGGTTAAGTTATCGTTAAGACGATCCCTGAATCACTTATCTTAGCGGGCTGTTCGGCAGTGTCCGATTTCCCTTAGGCGCCACCCGTGCTGCGATCGTTGTGTGCACAGAATACAGAGTAATAGGTTTCTCGGTACCATAGACATTACTGGTATGTACATTCTATCTCAGCGGCCATTATCGTGTATTCATTCTGTCCTGGCAACAGTATTCATCGAGACCATTCGCCAGGCTGACATATGCAATCATCTCCACATCTACTTCTTCACCCCGAAGAATTCGAGGAGGTCTGGCAGATAAGGAGTGCCCCAACCACTGACGGCATCCCAGCCGGGTGCAGCAGGGAACCCAGTGGTGTTGCAACCCTTGGACGAACCATTCGTGACATCCGTGAACAATGTGTGGCCAATGCTGTACAGCCATGGGTTGATGAACCCCATGGGCGGCTTACCTTCAGCGATCAAGGCATCGTTCAACAATGTAAAGACTGAAGCACAGATAGGCGAGGAACCAGATGTACCAACGAGGCCCAGAGTGCTGCCGTTCCAGATCGTGGGGAAAGTTTGTCCGATGCACGAAATATCGGGATATGCACGTCCTGCGAAAATGGTCAGCGCTGACAAGCCACAAGTAGGGATTCACCGTCGGAACACTTGCCTGACTTGTTGTAGAAGCCATCATAGAGACCGTCGAGGCTAGCAACATACGCATCGACAGTGGACGCTTGATAGGCTGGCATGTCGAAGTAGTTACTGAAGCCCGCACCACTGGCGAAGGTAAGGCCGGAGCTCAGCAGTCTATCAGCAGCGACTTCAGGATAGTTTCGGGTGGCGCCAACAGTGGTGACATAGGGGCAGTCTGTTGGGAAGCTGGGGATGAACATGTATGTCGTGTTGTCGACGTTGCTGTAGCAGGTACTATCTGCCCCAACGCCAAAGTCACCGCTTGAGAAGAACAGGGTCACGCCTCGAGCACCCAACTGGGCGAACTGGTTGCACACTGCTTGGGCATATGATCGACTGACGGTCTGCTCATCGTCGCCATACGATGTGGAAATGACTTGTGGGACCTCGTCGTCGGGTAGTCCGGCCATATACATCGTCCAGGCAAGATATGGCTCGTCGCTGTTGGTGGGGGTGTTGATGTCTGGCATAAAGGTAGGGTTTTCACCTCCAACGTTGTATGTCGTGAGTGGTGTTGGATAGCTGATTCCGATGATGTATTCGGAATCAAGGTTTGCTTCTCTATCGTTGCCATCGGCAGCATCGCTCGTACCATTATACACGTTTCCGCCAGCGACGGAAACCTCGGTGAATTCCCAGGCATAAGCTGTGGCCTCTGGGCGATATTTGGACAAGAAAATACTGATGTCCGAACGATTGGAACTCTCGCCCAAGTAACTCGTATGTGCGATCTTGTTGATACCGGCAGCCTTGACTTCGTAGTCGAGCGTACCGTACAACGTTCGCAAGCAGTCTGGAGTGACGGCACTAAAATTGCAGGCGGCTTCCACGGTAGCATTGCTTGGAAGAGGAAGGGGTGCTGGTGGTGGACCCCAGTTCTCGACTTCCAGAGCGTGGGAGGACCTTTTCTCGGCTGTCAAGCTGCGCTTGACGATTTCGTTCGTCCTCTCCCGTCGTCCATTCAACCGTGCCCATGAGTTGGTTGGCTGAACTGTACTGATATGCTCATGGAGATGTAGCGGAAGGGAATATCCCTCTGTGCGGACCATAGTCGAGCCGTCATCGTGTTCGTAAACGGAGTACTCTGTGTCCAGCAAGTCTTCTACGGCTTCCACTGGGAGAGTGACCGAGACGAAATCCTTGGCGGGGCTGTACTTGAGTTGATCAAGCTCAACTCCATAGTCTTCGAGCCAGGCGTGAACCGCAGCAGAAGCGTCTTTGGATGGCTTGACCAGCTCATGGACTTCCTCGGCCGACAGATGTTGTCCGTAACGAGAATGCGACGGGTCAGACACTATAAGGACTCTGTTAGCCATTGCGTGGTGAGCTTTTCGGGTCTGGCTTTCTGTTTACCTTCGTACAAATGGCGCTCAAGCTCAGCAAAGCGACTTTGCGTGAGGCCGATTGTGAGATGGATCAAATGATCTTCCGGGGCACGGCCTAGGTTTGCCCATGCTCTTGGAGCAGGATGGTAGTCTTTGACAGCGAGGTCAGAGCGACGGACAACTGGTCCTGCAATGGAGGACTGAAAGCATGCCAGTAATGACAAAGCAGTCGCCACAATGGCGGATGATCGTAGAGGAGCCATGGCGAGTGTAGAGACCACCGCACTTGTAATGAGTTACGGAGCGGAGCACGATAGAGAGATCTTGAGGGTGTTTCCGAGATGGGGTTTGGGTATCCTCACCTTATACTGCAACCATCATGCCATCTTCTGTTTCCGGACTGTGTGCATGGGAAGTTCTTCTGCTAGGTCCAGGATGCATGATGAAGGACGTCATTTGGAGAAGCTTCATGGTCAGGTACCGTCAGGGTCAAGGATTCGATAGATGGATGTAGCGACTGAGGTCGCATTGAAGCTGTTAAGCCCATACTAGCTTTGCAGTAGACTGCGCACGACTGGGCCGATCACTCACATGTCTCTGGTATGGTAAGGAATACGAAGCAAGGCGATTGGACAAGGATTGATGAACTTCTAGATTGAGCATAGAAGAGTGGTATCTGAGGCAGATGATTGGGAGGTGGACTGATTGTAGAGGCGGGGACGCCGTCGTGGACTCTTGCCTGGGGAGATAAGCATTATGGAGCCGGGTTGAATCTTGAAAGCTTGCTTGCAAGGTGGATGCAATGGTGATGCTACCTGATATGCCTACCTGCCCCATTTGGGTCGCTTGAATGGATCTTCGATTGGCAAAACCAAGATAGGACTCAATCTCAGAGGGTCCGTGTCGGTATCGGTTCGGCCAGGATCAGGTAGTGGTGGGGTGATCATTGAACGAGAGATCGAAGAAGCAATTGCGGTCTCCAGCCGACGTTGTGGCGATACAACCATACAGGGTGTGCCATGGGGAAAGCAAGGTCGAATGGATGTGCAGGCATGTAGACAACAACTGGTGTGTAGAAGTAAAGGGCTGTGAAGGTCCCTCGTACAGTAGATGGTTGTGTAACTGTGTGTGCTGTGTTTAGGTTGTAGTGCAAATGGGCGGTCACAGGTGATGCTTCAACAAGCCCATTTCAACCTCGGCTCTTCCATTCTCCTGTGCAATAAGAAAACATCCCTCTGGTCTCGTGCAACCTTATCATCCTGTTTTCTTCTTGTGAACTCCTTGCTCGTCATCTCAATATGATTGCGATCCTGTGCGAAACATTAGAATCGTCATCTAGTCCGAGATGGCCCTCTGCGGACGCGAGATGCTGTTGGAGATTGATCGGACTTCTGCCGGGTGAGATAAGTCTCCTGTCGACCAGTGAGTGCGACGACGTCGTCGAGCTTGTTCCGAAGAGAAGTCTTTACACCAGTTCCCCAGGCAGAGGCACAAGTGTGTATCATTCCAAACATCACCCAGCGCAAATATGATTAACAGAGGTGAGTCTGAGTCAAGACGACACAATTAGGCAGCAGGTGGCCTTGCCTTGGGACATATTGCACACCATCCAATCACTGCTGCCACATCACACGCACCATGGACTCATCAGCCTTTGCCACGCTTTTCGTGCATCACGGTTGCCTCGTTTGCAGGGGCTATTTGAACGTGCTTCAGATCTCCTCAAGTCCCGGATATGTTGTTCGCGAACATCTTGTCGAAAACATTCAAAGTCCTTTATCTTGCCAACGCCACTACCAAATTCACCCGATCAGATTACATTCCCTGAAGCCTCAGCCTTGCAGCAACCCATCCCACGCTCCATCCCACGTCTACGGTCGACATGTGCCAGCTGTTCATCCCGATTTGCCCGCTCGTCCTACACTCCTCGACCTACCCTCATGATCCCAATGTGCACGACGTCCAACTAAAACCCGCCGCGGACGCCAAGTTACTTCTCGTATACTTGACGAAACAGCCCGACATGGGACTTCTGAGCTCCGAAGTTCTGAATCAGGCGAGAATGAAGCCCAAAGCCTGGGAGAAAGCAAAGCTATACAATCGCACAACCTGGCACACATGTTCTTGCTTCTTCAAGAGCGTGTCCATCCTTCATCCTGCTCAGGGTCACAGCAAGCCAGCCATGCGTCCATCTCTTCCCACTTGTGAAGGATGTTCTAAAGCCGCAGAACTTCTTCGCCCCTGTAGACTGGGCGGCCTAGCCGTTCCACGATTTGTGACCTCTCCATTTTATGAGCGTTGCACCTTTTCACCAGTGAAAGGCGTCCTCGAGAGGGGTCGGCACCATACTGAACGCTTCGGATATCTGGCTCCATTGACCGGCCGACAGTATGGCAGTCAAACCCAGATGAGATCTGGACTGCCAGATGGATTTATAGGCGATGCGTCAACTCAGAGACAAAGGGTTAGAGACGAGTACCACGATCGGTCATTGAATTCGCGACCCACCCAAAATGACGGTCGCCGAGAGACTACTCGTCCATTCCTACCTCAGACCAGTAATTTCCAACACGATCTGGACTCGTACTTGGCTGAGACGTATGGAAAAACCGGGAAGGAAGACAGGAAGACACTTTGACAGGACCATATGTGTTCAGTCTCGAGCTCAAGGGGATCAAAGACACAGTGCTGCTGGGATGGCAGAGCTGTAACCTATCATGACTACCTTCGACCATTTGGCAGCAGAGTAGTGGCAGAATGAGATCAGAGCTGTCCGAATGGGATCTTCTATGGCTCCGTGAAAATGTCTCAGCGTACAAGTCTGCATAATTGACAGTGTCGAACTCATTCGTCTTAGGATGAAATTCCTGGTAAGCAGCAGTTGTCCTACTCGTAACTGCAGGGCGGGTTAAGGCAGCAACACGTGACGTGGGGAATCTACACAATTCATTTGTCTCTGCTGTTCTTCCTTTATGCAACTTGCACTTCAAGTCCATGGCAACTCATATCTCACCATCCGGCTCGAGCAGATGCTAGCCCTGTATGATCCAGGCTAAGCATGCCAGCACATGATAATGTACTACATCTGACAGTAAGTCCAGGTGCTGGGTCGACTAACACAGTTAGACTCCTGCTCCTACAAGACGTTTCCTTCCCGCGTCCAGTCTGAGGTCCTCATCATCTGCTGCCGGTACAGTGCGCAAAACTCCTTTTCAGACCTCTCGAACGACGCAGGCACCCTTTTCCACCCCTTCCTCCACTACGGTTGCACGTTTTCAAAGAGGCATTACACAGAAAGATGAGATAGATAGCAGTTATGATGACGATGATGAGACAGAGTCACCAGACCTCTCACGGCGCCGTGTGAAAGCCACAATTGATGATATCGTTGGAGCCGAGACTGAAGATGTCGCTCTAGCATCTCCGCTGTTACAGCGGACCAAGAGGTTTCAACCTCCAACGAAGAAGCGCAAGGTCTCGCAGGTTGAACCAAAGCATGGCGAACCGATTACTATATCCTCATCCCCGGAATATGACAACCCGGACGATTATGAAGCGCACGACGGCACCCAACATGCAGGGTCCGATATCGAGGACACCAACCTCGATGATCTGCTGCAGGTGACAGACACCGAAATGTCATCGAAGCCAGCCCGGTTTAAGCCCCCCAATGCCGATCTGATTGAGTCTATTCCATTATCTAGAACAGTCTTCAGAACAAACCTCGAAGAGGGTCAATCGGGCTCTACAGCGACTGCCCCCGTCCTTCCTGACGTATTCTCGCCGTCCCGCCGTAAAGGGAAACGAGATTTTCTCCCCGGTGGAAGCGCGGAGCTGGTCAGGGAATGGGTTCTTGATATTGCTGCCCAGGACTCAATTACCCACAACTTGCCCGAGGATATCATCACCATCACGAGCACCCGAACTGATGATAGTGGACGCTTCGCAGTTGTCCGGGATGATACTGGCTCACAATGGCTTCTGCCTGAACAACAGCAGAAAGCAGGGTTAGGCGGTAAGATGGACTGGCGTCACCTCCGTCGCGATTCGCAAATCCTGCTCAAAGGCCAGGCAACAAAGTGGGCGCTGGAGTCTCACGAACCAGCCCTCGACAACGTAATTGTAGCTGGATACTGGGAGCTTCTTTTTCCCAGTTGACCCTTTTAGCAAAATGATACAACACTCTGCGCCACGGCCTACGCGAATCAGGGTTATGTTGTAATGGCTTGCAGATATTGCTGGCGTGACTGGTGGAATACCATGTCTTAGGGGCAAACAATATCTGATCCATCTCTCCGCTTTGATTCATAGCCAGCTCAACCGATATGTACACCTAGCTTACTTGCTAGCCATAGCGCACGATCCAAGGTCCAACTTCTTTGCCTCCACGGACGGTGAAATGTCAAACGAGAAAATATCCATAGGCAGACCGATGGTCGTGCATGCATTGGGAATCTGTCCGGCTGTGTCAGCAGACTGGGGCTATCAAAACAGTATGTGGTATACTCACATCGACAATGCCCGCCACATGTCCCTCGATCGGAATACAGCTCAACATCAGATAGATCTGATAGTCATTATACCCGAAGCGTCTGAGATACTCGATGACTCGGAGACAGGACTGGCGATACGCGACCGTGGCATCCATATAGTGCTGTTTGCCGTGCTCATCGACGCTGAAACCTTCAAAGTAAATCATCCGTCCGGGGCTGAATTGCGGCTGGACAGGACCCGGGATGTAAATTGGTGATTTGCCGCCCACCATCCCGAGCTTGGCCTGGCCATCCTTGATGACTTCGACCTTGACGGTGATGACGCCTGCGATTTCGATGGCGCCGCAGAAGGAGATTTCACCGTCACCCTCTGCGGACTGTTAGTCTCGTGACGGTGCGAGTGGTGCAGAGACGAGTAGGAGAACGTACGCGAAAAGTGCAAGTCGCCAACAGAGAATTTGGCGCCCTTGACATGCACAGGCAGATACACCTTGCTCCCGCGCGATAGATTCTTGATGTCGCAGTTTCCGCCGTGCTCCGGACGACCTGGGATCGTGCGGGCACCTTCTTTGCCGATCTTCGTCTTGGTCTCTTCGTCGGCACTGCCCGCGTGCACGTTCTGAGGCTGCGGGGGTTGAGCGACGATGCGCTCGAGCGTGGTTGTCTGGATGAGTTCGCCTTCGCGCTTGTTCCATTCGGCGAGGATTTCATGGGATGGCGCGCAGCCCAGGATGCCCGGGTGGATCAGGCCTGCGAAACGGACACCTGGGATGTGGCGGGAGGAGCAGAAGATGCCTTCGAAGTCCCAGATGGCTTTGGCACTGTGGGCAAGTCAGTGGGTGCGTGGACAAGGACGATACGAGCAGGGGAACTAGACATACGCCTCTGGGTAGATCTCGTCAAGGAAGCCGCCTCCATTGTCTTTGTGGAAGATACCCGTGAAACCCCATGGGTGGTCTTGGAACGGTTGGACGTCTTGGATCTCGACGAGGAGAACGTCGCCTGGCTCGGCGGTTTCGATCTCGAAGGGACCGGACAGGTAGTGGATCTGCGTCAAGTCGACGTTCTTGACGTCGTCTGCGCTGTCGTTGTTCTTGATCTGTCCGCCGGTCCAGTCCAAGCACTCAATCTTGACGGTCTCTCCGTTCTTGATCGTTCCAGCGAAGGGGACTGAGATATGGGTGTTCAGTTAGGAGTCAGAGTAGCTTGTAGTCAGCGTACCGTCAGGGTGCCATCTGTTCTTTGTAAGTGTTAGTTGTGGTGCTCCAGCTCCAGGTCCCAATGCTCACGTGTAAATATGGCTGGTCCTTCGCTGGCTTGTCGAGATCGACCTTTATGGCGGTTCTGAGGGGTCCACTAGGCATGATTTCTGATTGCTAGAGTGCCTTGGACGGATTCCCAGGCACTGAACAGGACAGACAATTGAAGAAGTTTATAAAGCTCAAGGTTGGACAGACGTTGACTGCAAGAAGGGCAGCTTGCCAGATCAGCTGCGAATCGTATGCTCATATGGATAATTGTTTACTGCTTTGCGGGGCTTGATAGTCGCTATCTTACCCCTCATGGGCAGCGATAGGCACTTGTCCGTTGGGGTTCGTCATTGATTTGTCGAAGCTTCGGATTGGCATTTGATAAGAGCTCCTGCATGCTGTCCATAGAACCCAATGATGACCCCTTGGTCTTTTTGCTTTAGGCCACGAAAGGCAGCTCTCCATGCTGGACGACCGGATGTCTGCCCCGCCTGTTCCTGGAAGAAGCCTGGAGTTACGTAGGATTGTATATAATAAAAGGGTTGCTTGACAGCCGTGGGCGCCTGTCGACTTTGGGCGGGCTTCTCCTTTGGACTGAAATCCAGCCTCGGAAAAGGGATGGAGCCACGCTTTTACCGTGTATGTTGATGCTGAATCTGGACGTTCCTCATGGCCTCCTGAAAAGGTTTACTCATCAGACACGTTGACAATAGCATAGTGACGACTAGTTGGCAGATTCTGGAGCTGGCGTCGACGATGCTGAAGTCGCTGTTGGTCCCTTTCTGGCCGGACTTGTATCGATCTCGAGGGTGACTGGACCATCATTGACAAGGCTGACCTGCATCATGGCTTGAAAAACACCGTCTTTGACCCGTTCGGCATGATAGAGAGCACGAACCTGGGTCAGAAAGTACTCGTAAAGCTCCTTGGCGACCTCAGGCTTCGCTGCGCCATGGAAATCCGGCTTGTTGCCCTTTTTCGTGGATGCAAACAAGGTGAATTGAGAGACGCACAAGACCTCGCCTTCGATGTCCTGAACACTCTTTTTCCAATTCGAATCGTTCTCATCGGGCCATAGTTTCATCTTTAGGACTTTTGCAGCCATGGATTCGGCATCTTTCTTCGTGTCATGAGGGCCAATCGCAGCCAGAACCAATATTCCCCTGCCGATGGCCGAGACTACCTGGTCGTTGACTGTGACGGAGCTCGACAGTACCCGCTGCAGTACTGCTTTCATGGCAAGCCGCGGTCGTCGTTCAATGGGATTCAACGTTAAGAAATTTATGTACAAGTATGAATGAAAAGGATACATTCATGGCCGCAACGGTACTGCCCAAAATCGCCAAGAGTCGTGATCGGTCTGGTATCTGGCTGACTCCCTAATGAAGACGACTTACTTAGTTAAACGTAGCCCTTATTTAAGCTTGGTGCTCACGGGTCATTTAGCCTCCCGTTCCCGTCAAACCCTACCTTTTTCTCAGGTACAGTACTGGGGGTCGGCTCGCTGCATCTTTGCTCTTGCATGCACGATGGCTCGAGAGCATGACCTCGTTCCACTGCGTCCACTCAACCCAAGAGTCCCTGAGATAACGCAATATCGAGCTGCTTGAAGACACTCCTTACTTCGTCTTGATCGAATTCTGCTTCTTGATTTCTTGCTCCAATACGTCGACGCCGCTCATCTTCTTAAGAAAGCCGTCCGTAAGCCATGTGGGAAGGCAGCTGACCAGCCAGATTTTAGTTGCGTCCGAACCTCGCCAGATTTCTCTCGGAGGAGTCTGTTTCGACAAGTCGCTGACTACACGTGCGGCCCATTTGTCCACGTCCATAAATTCGGGACCAAGCTCGCCGCCAATCATCTTTGAGATCTTGCCCTCTATGGGCTTGTAGATGCTGTCTTTGGGCAACTCAGTGTCATAACGCGTGCCCATATTTGCAAAGAATGTCGTCTTGACGGCGCCGGTACGTAAGTCGACCACTTTGATGTTGAACGGCTCCAATTCGAGCCGCAAAGTGCCGGTGATACTGGCTAGTGCAGCCTTGGACGCATTGTACGTAGCCTGCCAGGGCAAACCTATTACGCTAGCGATCGAGGTTTGGTTGACCACCGTGGCGGCGGGAGCTGCAGCGCGCAGCAAAGGCAAAAAGAGCTGTGTCGTGCGAATGACCGTACAAACGTTCAATCTGAAGAGCTTGTCTATCTCTTCGATGTCGGCGTCCATCTATCAAGGCGCAAGATCAGTGGGTGCCTTATCAAGGGTAGAAGGGTGTGGGTTGGCATACAAGCGGCATACTGTAACCTGCTCCAGCGTTATTGATCAACATGTCGAGCGAGCCACCAGTCAAGCTGGAGACCTGTTCGACGCATGCTTTAATCGAATCGTCGGTCAACACGTCAAGGGCCAGAGTCTCGATTCCAGCCGCTGTAAGAGATGCCATTTTGGCGGGGTTTCGCGCCGTCGCGAATACTCGATCGCCCCGTTTGTGGAAGGCTGTGGCCAGGGCTGCTCCCAGGCCGCCATCCGAGCAGCCCGTGATCAGGATAGTGCGTGTCATGATGGAGGAGCGCTACTACAACTCTGAAAAGTGGTTTAGTACTGGGAATCAAGGCAGGGCAAGTAGAGAATTTGGAGGATAGCCTCGACTCTTTAGGAGCAAGGACGTAGGTATATATTTGCAGCACCAACGTCAGGCACCACATATATACTAGTAGTGCCCCGTAAATCTCCTGATCAAATTCCGAGACCGAAGCAGGTCGTGCGAGATTCAGCAATATGCAGGCTCCACCAATGGAGCACCGCTTAGAGAGGAAGGGACTTGAAGATTCCATAATCTGCCTCACAAGCCGCCCGTGCGGAGCGGAGCGGAGGCTCAATTGTCGCCGGCCTCCGCAGCTTAACAGAGGGATTATCTAACATTGCCGATCATCTAAAGCCGTCATACCTAACACTGACAATGGATACTCCGTACTAGTAGCCGCCTGGTTTGGAGGACTATCGAAATTTAGTCTGACGCAAACGCGTCTCTATGGTCAAACAGGCCGTGCTTTTCAAGCCGGTGAAATCTAAGCAGCCAGGGCAGCTTAAAACGGTCCGTCAGGTACAGATGCTGATAAGCGATGTACTTTTCATCTGTCTTAGGCCTGAGGTTGCAGGCTGCAGCTGCATTTTCCACACCTATCGGCATGCTGTTCATCCGGACGGACGGACGAAATGCCAAACACCAGACGCGTCAAAAAGAACGCCTTTGACGAGGCGGACATGCAACGCGTGTTTGGCCATGACTGGCGCAAATGTAACTTCGCAATGGCGTTATTTCTCCAGCAGCCTCGTCACAGGCTCATACATAGATATGAGCAGCAACAGAGCCATATAGAAACCACATCAGGGGCCACATCATTCCGGCAGCGGCACTCAGATCTTGTGCTTCCGGCGGCTGGTGATATCTGGACTCTGGATCCTGGACTTCGGTTGGTGAGACTGGCGCATCCCCCTTGTTTGAGCATGGATATTAGTGCCTGTTCATGCCAGCACTCTTTCGTCAATGGTTCTATCATCGTACTCGTATTGACCTCATCTTCCCAAGGTCTGGCCCGGTTTCAAGACACCTCGGTCGCCGCCACCTCCCTTCCTCCAAAGCCACAAAGCTTCGGTGGCATGCGCTTTGGCACTAACATGTCCGCCTTGACGGTTTGCTTCTGCCATCATCACTTCCACTGGTTTTTCCTTTTCAATGACTGACCATAGTGCTTCGTGAAGTTCACTCCCTCTAGGTCCAAAGTCTCCTCGTCCCAATCTGTAAAGGACTCGACCCAGGATCTGATAAGCTATGCATCGTTGGTTGGGCAGTGTCGACCTTGAGAGCATTGCAAGTTCGGGTATTGTATAACCTGCGCTGCTTGGAGCCTCACCATGATGATGCAGACCCTCTTTGACATCAATTTCCAGGCTCTCCTTGGGCGGTATCAGGCGCCCGTTGAATCCAAAACGTAGTGCGGAGGTCAGGTACGATTCTTTTTCTGGGTTGTATAACGAGTCCTGCTTTTCTTCTTCGGTCGGGTCTTGTAACCAGGTCATGGAGGAAGGGTCGTGGGGAGTATCAGGGAAATAGTGTGATTTGAGCTCAGAGAAGAAGGCTGGGTCGTTTGGATCTAGAGGGACGTATTCGTCTTTCGACCGAGGTGGTACAGGGAAGTGCATGGAGGGGCCAGCTGGTTCACCATGTGCTGGCAATGTTGGTACTGGAGTATCTTCGAGAGTGGCCGAATCGAGGATTGTACCACTGTTTTGTTCCCTTGTGTCCTCATCTGGATTGTCTTCAGGCCACTGCTGTTGATCCTCCTCGATGTTGGCACGCTTCAGAAGACGCTCCACAAAGAATGGATTCAGGTTGCGCATCAACTCAGCTCTGGCCTCCTCGATATCCTCTACCGACATCTCAGCAATACGTCTCGTGTTCTCCTCGCTGATTTCCGCTTTTTGCTGGCTCTCGAGATCCACTCCGTATTTCTTGCCCACATGATTAGCGATTGCGCGGTCTGAAGGTTCTACCTCGGTGGGAACCGAGGGTCGTGCCGGAGAAGGTCTGGCTTGTTGTCTCTGTTTAAAGGCAGAAATGTTGCGCCGACTTTTGTGTTCGGGGAATCCAGATTTTGAGGATTTCTGGGAAGGCGCTGCAGGTATGGCTTCGGCATCGTGTTCTCGGACTTCCCTCACGGCAAAGGGGACGTCCAGGTCTGGTGAAGTGGCATCGTCGATAGGGTTGAACGTAAAGCCTGGAGCGTCGAGGTCGAGCTCAAATCTTTGGCCAGGTATCGCCATGCCGTGGTGGTGTGCAGGTAGATAAGCGTGGAAAATGCCGCCTGCGTAAGGAAATCTTTTGTACAGACCGCACTCCGCATCGCGGTCGGGTATATGATTATCTAAGCCCGTTTCAAGCTAGGCTGGACTGGACTAGCGTGATCGACTCCCAATCATCTTACGACGTTCAAGGGGGAAGGATTATCACAGCGATGAAGCAGAAAGATACTTATCCAAATAATGGGTTCGACTATCAAGGGTTAAGGCTTTGGGAACTTCCAAGGTTGCTGAGCTGGCGTCGATCAACACAACAGGCCACGAACAGCGAAATTGTTTCAGCGTGTCACAGAACGCATGCACGCAATTCGGAAGAGGCGACCCGCCGGACCCGGGGTCTTAGTGCTGGCGTCAAAAGCCACATTTAGCATGGAGTTGTGGGATCTGTCATGCTGTGGACCCACATGATCTTTGCAATCATGCAATGTATTCTACTCGATGTGTATGAATATATCTTGGGTTCCAGGCGCCTAGAGAAAATGCGAACGAACACGCTGCAAGTACATGCTTCAGGCTCACCACATCAAGATGTCATGTACTGAGAATTATATTCACCTAAAGTCGCGTTCTATGATCCGTCAGACTGGGGAGTTGTGAATCTTTAAGGGCAGAAACAAGCTTAAATGGTCAATGTACCAATCATGGTTGAGGTCTCATTTATGCGTGTAACGAACCTGCGGTTTTGCTTTCCCAGGTATTTTTTCTAAGTACGGCCCCTCTTTCATTGACATTGCTCTTTTTGCATCGCATGTCATGCAGAGAACCGATCCATCAGATGCCTCTTGATCTTCTCTCAGGCTCCTTGTCCTTCACTCTCTTTGCGGACAACTTCAAGATCAAGCATGCCCACCCAGCTCGACTCCTTCAACTGTCCTTTGGCCCATGGGTCCGTCCTGCATCTCCCTCAAAGCCCTCCCTCCTCACGATTCTTCTCGTGGCCCTATTTCCTGTTTTACCCTGTCCTGTCTCCTTCGTCTGGCTTGTTGCTGCTGTTGTCGCACTCCATTTCTATTATTTCCCACTGCAGCCTTTCCCTTCTCTCGCTCCTCTTGGTGTTTTGTTATCCACCACCCATCATCTCTCCCCCCAACTGTCTGTCAGAGTCCTGGTTGTTCCGCTTCTGGCCTTTCTGCATTCATTACCTTTGTCGTTCGTCGTGAATAATTGCTGGTGACCCTTTTGCCATCTCGAATACCTTTATATGTCTACCTTTCCCTCTTTCTAATCTTGCTCTTTCTTCCTCTCTTTTTCATCGGGTTTCCTTCATCTTGCTCGTCGTCTTGCAGCCTTTTTTCCGTCATAGCTTGCCTTTCAACCTCTTCTTCGAAATTGATGTTCCTCACGGTCGCCGTCACGCTTTTTGATGGTCACAACCTCGACACTAACTTTCCGCTAATAAATGCTCATTCCATTCGGTGTTTCCCACCACCGTGAAGTATTGGAGGTCATACCAATTCACATCACGTCCCACGTTACTTCATTTTCACCTTCGACACTGTCGCGTCATCAACTGGACTTGACTGTCTACATCGCCACGCGCTTTTATAATTCTTTATCACGGGAAGAAACAACCCATCAAGTCACTCAGCTTGCATCATAAATTCTTGCGCGGCCCAAACTCACTGTCGTCGTCGAATGAACTGTTCGTGGTGTTGTGAGAGCCTGTCTTGTGCAGGTCTGCTGAGTCAGCAGATTGCAGGGTGAAAAATGGAGGCGGGAGATGGGAGAAGTTCCTCCAATGACCTGTCCAGCGCACCACCAAGCGATGCTGAGAGTACACCGGGACCCCTGACTTATCTAACAAAACCTCACGGCATCCATGTCTCTGGCAAGAATGGTGTCATAGGTGCACCTACGGGCTTACCTCAGGGGACTGCCCTGCCGACGACGCAGCCTGAAGTCAAGGTCAAAAGACAACGAAAGAAAAAAGACCCCAATGCTCCTGCCGAGCCTGAAAAAGAGAGAAAGAAACGCGCTCCTGCTAAACCTCGAGTGACCTCTGGTACCACTGCGCCATCTCGCAAGAAGCCCAAGCTTGAGCCATCAGACCAAAGCAGCACCATCCATATCCCTCAGCCACAAGTATCAACCTTGCAGTCGTCCACATTGATACAGCCAGTATCCTTCTCTCCGTCAATGCCTTCCGAATCACGGGTTGATAACCCTGTCAAATCTACCGACTCTGCCATGTCAAGGCCCGACACTATGCTACGCCCTCAAGTTCCCTCCAATCAGGCTTATGACTATCCTCCTCCCGTCTCAACCCCTACGATCACATCACGCTCATCAAGCATGTACGACCCCATCAGATCTGTAACAATCCAACGAACAATTTCCTCTCTTCCGCCCGCGCAAACCACACTGCACCCTGCTCAAACTCCTCCTCGCCCAACCTACAATCCGAGCACCTCCCCAGCCATTTCGGGCATCATCGATCATCCACCGCCACCAGGCCCGTCTATCTCCACGATCACATCGCTAGTCAATCATTCAAAACCAGAGCCGATTCAAAGCCAGCCCAACGGGAAGATCGTTAATTCGCCTTACACGACCGTTGTTTCGTCCACCACGGAAGGTGGTCCCATGATTCTGGACCAGGCTCCCCCAAAGAAGTCTGCTCCAATCAAGAAGACTCCTTCCGAGACCCCAACACGCGCCACATCACCCAAACCCGCTCGGGCGAAAGAGCAACCCCCTCCACCACCGCCAGGATCAGGCCTGCTTTCCATGAGCTTGTTCGGCGGTGATTCTGGAGCCGACTCTCAGAAGGATGCCAAAGGACCGAATATCGTTCTTCATGTTGATCTTAAAGACCCGAGCAATCGAGTGATCAATTTCGCCCGCATGGCCGAAGAAAAGTATGGCTTTGCCGCCCTATATCCCCGTCAGGCCGCCCAAAAAGAACGACTGGCTAAGGTAGCGGCTGCTGGTGCCGCGCTGGAACGGTCAGCCTCAGGCAGCAAGGCGGGAGGCACTTCTGCCGGTGATAGTGGTGAAGAAGATCTTAGTGTCGACATTGACCGAGACTCGGATAATGATGGAGACGTGGCCATGTCGGGGCTCAACGGTCAAGAGGCGGCAAACAGCGGCACTGATGCAGCTGAACCCAAACGTCGCCGCAGAAGGAAGGTGGAAGAATACGATCAAGATGATCCGTTCGTCGACGACAGCGAAATGCTCTGGGAAGCCCAGGCGGCAGCTAGCAAAGATGGATTCTTTGTGTATTGCGGACCCCTCGTCCCAGAGGGCGAGAAGCCTGCGGTCGAAAGGTATGATCCCGCACCATTCAGAGTTTTGCCCTCATCACTGACATTGAGTACAGAGCGGACGGAACCATCAAGCGCGGACGAGGTCGAGGTAGAGGCGGAGGTCCTGGCTCACGAGGCGGGAGGGCTGCTGCAAGTACTACTGAAAAGGGCGCTGGACGTACTACCGGTGCTGGAGCTCGGGGCGGCGGGGTCACTCGAAAACCTCGAATCACCAAAGCTGACCGAGCACAAATGGAGACGGAGAAGATTCAACGAGAAAAGATGGCCACACTTGTTGCCAAACCGGCAGCATATCCCAGCTGAGATGCCGACATGTTGATCTCTTATGACCTTGTATTTGCATAGTCAAATTTCCCGGGCTGCAACAGGCACTCTTTGTTGTTGGAGCATAGCGTAGCACCATTGATGAGCTGAAGCGATACTCATCCACTGCAATGGGGAACTGTATTCTCAAGGTCATCGAAGCTTGATGACTGTCATGATCACACTAGAACCAAAACGACATTTTGATCTCCAACAAACCATTCTTCTCAAGGCATGATGAGGCTCTGTTGTGTAAAGTCCCCGCAAAGGCCGTGCCTCTTGCTGACGTTAGCGGTAGTAACAATGCCACAGCGTGTCCCCTCTGAACCACGTCACCTTGCATGGCTATCACGAGGGAACGCAGGGAAAAGAGGCGGATGGCCTAAGGGGCGCCACTTCTCGACCGCCGACTGTACTAGTCCTGTAGAGTGACAGTTTCCGATGCGGATACAGATTCAATTCTTGCCGACTGTCCCCCGTCCTGCCGGATGAAGCTAGAGATGGCAGTATGAACTCTCATTATTCAAGGGACACTGGACAAGGTACTGAGGTACTGTATTCCCGGGATACGTACCAACATGTCTTTCAACAGGATACCCTGAATTGTCTACGTTCGCTGCAACATGTCATGCGTGCTGCTGCTGATCGGGTACTGTGGTAGATTTCTAGCTCGGTGGGTGAGAACGAAAGTGGTAAGCACGGTCCACGTAGCATGGCACAATTTCCCAGGGATGTCGCCTTTGCCCGCTAATCACGGCACAGATGACAGACCCTTTAACTGGAGTCTGTGAGGCTGTGGGTGTGGGAAAGGACCGGCGAATCCCAATCCCATTCGGGCTTTTTCCATAGTTCGATCTTTGGCATCGTTGGTGCACAAGTGGTTCCTGGGATTTCCCCTTCGCTTCCCGCTTCTCGGACTGCCTGCCACCACTGGTTCCAACCGGCACCTGCACCTGCGCCTGCACCCTGCCAAAAGGGACCTCGCTCGCGACCCTTCGCCTGCGCCTACACTAACGTCCTATCTGGACGTCCAACTGATTAATTCTCGTTCACCAACGACCACGTTTCGCACACATCCCACCTGCGCTTGATTGCCGCGTGCACATTTCTGCACCTTGCGGACAGCCTCTTGATCCACGCACCATCGACTAGTCCATCTCTCGGCAAGCATGCGGTCGCCAGCAGTGCGCCAACTGCCTCCGCATCACTGGACATATCCGTCCTGAACGCAGCTCGACTGCCCGCAGAAACCTACCGTACTTTCTTCAGCCTCAGCGTGCGTATACGGCGTCGTGACACATCTTTGCAAATTCAGTCCGCATGATAAGAAAGAGGAAGTAAGAAAAACAAGCCATCATGGATGGCATGCATGGTTTTTATGGCCAAGGCTATCCAGTCATGGACCCGCAAGCTTCCATGGACGGATACGCGCAGGATGATGGTATAAACAACACTATCGCACCCGGGTCCATGGATACGACAGGCCTTAGCCATGCACAAACTCTCCACCAGATCATCAGCCAAAACAATGAAGCGCTCATGCGCCAGCGGAACACTTTTCAACCGGACTATCGTCAGGGTACTCATGGTACTCAGGACCGCAGTCGCAGAGCCTCGATGCTCGAGTTTGGCGTTCCAGTAAATGGCGGCAACCTAGCCAACTTCCAGTTCGACCCGAACCCGAACGAGGCTGATATGTCCATGTCCAACACCGTGTCCAATATGTTACCAATGCAAAAGAGTGTAGGACCCCGAAGAGTCAGATCCAAGGAGGACTTGTCCCTCAGCACCCGCTTCTCTCAAATGAATACTAACTTTGACCTATCCGGCGTCGACACATTCGGCCCAGGTGTGTTGGGCAGTACATCTGCAGGGGTCGAACCATCATCGGCTTTTATGGACATGTCAATGGATTTTGACCCCATGGCAGCAATCACAAATCCTGCTACGCAAATCAATGACTCCATGCTCTGCGATTCACCTATGGACCAAAGCTTCACGATGTCCTATCAGCCTTCCGGTCACGATCCAGGGGGTGGCTCGATGAACACGCACATGAACAACCCAATGGCTGCTATGGCGCCACCTATGCACAACATCTCTCAAGCATTCCAGAATCCACCTCAGCAGATGAGCAGGCAAACCCCCATCCCAACATCGGTCTCGATGGCGACGGGCACAGCATCGGCAATGGCTTCACCCGCGCATGTCCCGAACTCGAGCTCCAGAAGGCAATCTGGGGATCTGCCAGCACCCTTCTCCGGCAATGGCAATAGGACTCTAGACGCGAGGCCTATGAACCCGCCGGGCTTACCCCATATGCCCCAAGTACAAGGTCCGCAACCTCAACCGTCCAAGTTCGCAAATGCATATTCCTCTAGTGGGTTCGACATGCTTGGGGTATTGATGCGAGTTGCGACCAGGCCAAATCCCCAGATCAATATCGGTCCTGTCGATTTGTCCTGCGCCTTCGTGGTGTGTGACCTCGACAAGTTCGACCTGCCCATCGTCTATTGCTCTGAAATGTTTGAAAGGTTGACCGGCTACACAAAGCATGAAATCCTTGGTCGGAACTGTCGCTTCCTGCAGGCTCCTGATGGCAAAGTGCAGTCGGGAATAAAGAGGAAATACGTGGATGACAACTCGGTCCTCTATCTCAAAAATCAAATTGCCAGACGGCAAGAAGGGCAATTAAGCTTGATCAATTACCGTAAAGGTGGTCAACCATTCATGAACCTACTAACGATGATTCCCATTCAATTTGATTCTGAGGACTTCAAGTTTTATGTTGGTTTTCAGGTGGACCTCGTAGAGCAACCAGGCTCTGTTTCCAGGAGAAATCCGGACGGGAGCTACGAGATCAACTACAACCGAAGTGCTCTCCCTGCCTACACTCTCCCGGCACCTCCAGATCCAAGTCAAGGAATCCATGACTTGGCGCAGGGCCAAACGGTTCCAAGAGACCAAGTATCCAAAGTTTTGACCACTCTCGGTCGTGGCGACAGTGAGCTTTCAAAAGGACTCTGGGATAAAATCCTCTTGGAGAACACTGATGATGTTGTGCATGTTCTGTCTCTCAAGGGACTTTTCTTGTACCTTTCACCCGCTTGCCGAAGGGTTCTTGAGTATGACGCCGGTGAACTGGTTGGTACCGCATTGTCGAGCGTGTGCCACCCCAGCGACATCGTGCCGGTAACTCGAGAATTGAAGGATTCTTCTAATGGAAGCCCCGTAAATGTCGTCTACCGAATTCGGAGGAAGTATAGTGGCTACACTTGGTTCGAAGCACACGGCGGTCTGCACACAGAACAAGGGAAAGGCAAAAAATGCATCATTCTTGTCGGCCGGGAGAGGCCCGTCTATGCGCTGGATCGTAACGACCTCTCGTCAGAAGGAGGAACGGGTGAAAGTGAATTGTGGTCAAAGATTTCAACTGCAGGAATGTTCCTGCATGTCTCTTCTACTTCTCGAGTCATGCTTGACCGGCTTCCTGAGGATCTGATGGGTACCAGCCTGCAAAGCCTGATGAGACCAGATTCTCGGAAAGAGTTCGCACGCATGCTTGAGATGGCGAGAACTGGAGAGAAAGTGGCATTCCGGCACGACCTCCAAAACCGTCGTGGTCAAGTCTTACATGCACAGACAACCATTTACCCAGGCGATGCTCGACCAGGATACAAGCCAACGTTCTTGCTCGCCCAGACAAGATTACTTAAGATGACACGTGCTGCTCTCTTGAGCCAGAAGTCAACCTCACAATCACCGCGGACCGATCAAGCGTCTATGGGCTCCGCGACTCCGGCCACAAACGCATCTGGACGGTCCGGAACTTTGCGGCACGATTCTTCCACGTCTCTCTCCTCCGATAATCCCGACGGCCCTATAACTCAGGCAGGCAGCCAGGGACTTCCCCTCGGAAACCAAGACGAGGCGTTGGCATCCGAAGATAATGTTTTCGACGAGTTGAAGACAACCCGAAGTTCAAGTTGGCAATTTGAGCTGCGGCAAATGGAACGTCAAAATCGTATCCTGTCCGAAGAACTGCAGGGGTTGCTTAGTCGCAAGAAAAAGAGGAAGAGGAGAAAAGGCCTTGGACAGCTAGAAAAAGACTGTGCCAATTGTCATACCAGGGTCACCCCTGAGTGGAGGAGAGGTCCAAGCGGAAACCGTGACTTGTGTAACAGCTGCGGACTTCGGTGGGCGAAACAGGTAAGTCACTCCTAATCCGGCCTCGAACACATGTCAAGAAAACATCAATTGAAGCTGACCTGAAACTCACATGCAGAATGGCCGAGTATCCCCTCGAAAGAGCTCGAGTCACGGTGATAGAGGGTCTACTTCGCCTGCTCAAGTACCACGCGGCAAGTCGGGTGACATTAAGTCCACCGATGGCTCTGCAGCAGCAAACACCATTGGACCTCTTACGGCACTACAAGGAGTACAACCGAAGCAGGATGATCAGATGTGGCGAGGACCAATGCCACCCAAGATCGAAGAAGGCGACGAGCCTCCTCATCCAAATGTGCTGCCAACCTGAGAGAACCCGATGAGGTTAGATTTTTTCCGACTGCATATGCCTTGCACGGTAACTGTGCCCGGCTCTCAGGTACACCCAGGTCCAGCTGAACGGAATGGAGACCTCGTGGGAGGCCAAGTAATGAGGCCCGAATACCTGCCCCGGGGCACTCTGTCATGGGTCCGAGCACAGCGTGGCCCTGCAGATGCCTGCGCACAGGTCAGGCTCATTACGGCGAGGAGCGGCATCGCCTTCGCCACGAAGTTCTTTCTGCAGCAACTTCGTCAGCGTGAGTCTTGGCAGCAAGAACTGCCATTTAAAAAGGTCTACGAAAAGACAGGGCACGTGCCTTGTCCGTGGATCCCAGCCTTTGGGTTCACTGTGTTCACATCACCTGGACCAGGATCCCACGATACAAATATGCTGTGGGTGGAGACAGGACTCTCGAGCGAGGGACATCACGTCTGCATTCTATTTACTTTCGCTGCACGAACACAAACTTAGGCAACCTATACAGCCCGGGTGTTCTCTGTTGGATTACGGTAGGGTATGCATGCTGTTTTACGGTATCCCCTGCGGTGGCCAGAGGTGATGAGCTCGGACTTGCAGTACTCGTTTGAGGTCGCTCGCAGGTCGGTCATGACGGACTGATGTTAACGAATTTCTTTATGATGAATATGCAAATGGGCTATATGTTGTGAGGGTGTTATCAACATGAGGGAAGATCTTATATACATTTGAACGGTCGGCGACCAAGTTGATTAGGTGCCTAGAAGATGATAGGCAAGTATCATATCCAATTGTCGACATTACCATACTTGGAAGCTGTCCCCAGTGTTCTTGTTGACGTTGGCGTACCCTTGTCCGACTCCAGAATCCAAACCCCATTTCGCCGACGCAATTGGACTCGTTGCCCCGCAGCATGTGTGATAATACTACTTACTCGATTTGAATCCTGGTCATTGGATGGGAAGATCGTGTTGGAGAATGAAAAGGCAGGAGTTGACTTGCTTATGTTTTGGCCAACGGTCGGCAAACCACCAGCATAGCGGAATAACAGAGGTAAAGTGGACTCTTTCCAGAGGGCCATCTTCTGGGTGTGGGTGGCAATGATGGTCAGGGTCAAAGCTGCCAGACCCAGCGCGACGAGTGATAGAGGGTAGGCGATCCAAGCCCAGCGGACGGTGATGATTGACTGAGTGCGGAGCGCGGTGCCGGCTGTCGTTGTGTTTTGCAGGGTCTGGAAGGCTCCTGTCAACGCGTCGGCAACGCCTTCTGCTACGAAGGTGAAATTGTCGGCTGTGTCGATTGCTTGTTGGCCTGCGGAGGACCAGGGGCTGGATACTTGCGTGAAGCCCGTGGCGTCGAAGGTGTAGGAGTGAGAGGGGTCAGTGGCGTCGAAGTAGCCTGCTTGTGCGTAGGTGGTGTTGCCTTCTAACGCGGTGCGGAGAGCTTGAATAAGGAGTTGAGCGTGGCCTTCGGTGTTTGTGGCGCTGTCGAGGACGGAGAAGGTTGTTTTGTTCACCGTGGCGGTCCAGCCGGGGGTCTCAGGGGAGACGGTGCCGTAGGAGGTGAAGACGCGAGTTGAGATGAGACTGCCGGAACGGACTTTGTGTTCATGGTGCGGACGCAGGGTGTTAGGGCGCATTGTGTGGCGCGTTGGATGAGGATCTGGGATGAGTTTGGGCTCAGGATCGTGTCAAGGGAGCCCATTGCGAAGAGTGGGGCGGGCAGGCCTGCGAAGGTCGAGTTCGTCCAGGACCGTGACCAAAGGCTGTTGAGGGACGGATCGATGTTCAGAGGCCGGACCGACCTTCGTGGATAGGACAGTGTCCATTGCACTTCGTCGCCTGGAATGAGGGATAGAGTTACATCGACGAGAGGGAATTCCCATTCGGAAAGGAGTAGGAGGGTGTCCAGGACGAAGTGGTGGCGTTTTGGTTGCTCTGGGCGAAGTCTTGGAGGTGGGCTGTGAGGTTGATGTTGTAAATATCGCCTGAGACCGTTGCATGGTCGGTCATGTCCTCGCAGATGCTGCACATGCCGAGGGTGTTGTAAGCTGGCCAAGTGCAGTTTCCGGATGAGCATATGGGGCTAGGGATGGCCCCTGATGCGCCACCAAGTGTTCCGATGAGGGCGGTCATGGATAGGCGCGAACCGCCCAGATTGCTGGTGACGGTTTCGTCGTAGGATATTGGTGTTCGGATTGTGGCCGGATCAGAGATTATGGGGACGTTTCGCACTTCAAGGGTGACAAGTTGTTGGAGGAATGGCTCGAAGCCCAGGGGGAGAATGGTGATGAATGCGGCGGGAAGCGCCTGAAGGCTTCCGCGATATGTCATGATGAGGCGTAGAGAACCGTATGGACCTCGACTGGCCTCCTCAAACGAATCGACTGCGTCCAAAGAGCGTGGCTTCCCGATGAACCATAGCCATTTTTCTTGACGAATGGCAGCTGCAAGCACGATCATCAAACTGGCTTTGGCGATGGATGCGAGAAATGAGATGATTGCATTGATGGAAAGAGTGTCTGGTAAAGAGGGTACGGGCTGATTGTCGTATGCAAGAAGGACCGCTGCGATGGCTGACAAAATGCATAGACACAATGCAGTAGCCCCTACTTCCCATGCCCAGTTGTCCAGACTCAGTCGTGCTAACCTTGATGGTCCTTTTCGAATTGCTTGTAAAGGAACTGTAGTATGCGGAGCATAGCGACGGCTGAAGTCCTCGTCCGATCCAGACCTCTTCGGGAAGATGCTGTAGACTGCCACAGGCAGATCCTTCTCTGGTATCATGCTGCCTTATAGCAGCCTCGATAGAGACATGTACGTCTGGCGTGCAATGTCGCAGCCAAAGACCATGATATTTATCCCGTTAGACGGGTGGAAGGTATGGCTTGTAAGTATAAGAAAACCAGAAAATGAAAACTCACCATGCAAACAATACCGTGCAAAGAGACCATGGGGTCTCGTTGTTGGCAGTGTTGCTGACCTACCGTATGGTTCTCGTCTCCAGGCGGTGTTTCATGTCTGCTTGAACTCTGATATAGACAATTTTCGTGCGGCGTCAACCAACGTTAAGCGCTGAAGAACGTACCAAGGCGCTTCATATTCTGGCATACCTTGGGAAGGCCCGTTTGAGGCCGGAAACAGGCCGTCGAGTTGGTCGATTACAAACCCCCACCTTGAGGGCTACAAAAGCTCACCGCCATAGATTCGGCGATATGGCACTGAGTGCTCTGTGCCGAACACCAGAGCATGACCCGACCCGTGGGCAGAAGGGGAAAGGAGACCCGAACCGCCTCGTCCAACGGCTTCACACGTTCGTACGGAGTTCATGGACGTTAGGACACCAGGATCAGTGAGCCGGAAATGCAAGAAATGCCGTCGAGGTCGGAACGAAGAGAGTTTGTCTAGTGCAGCAAGCAGGAAACGTTTTGCACATGTGCAATATGGCATGTCTTGAACCGAAAGGGAAGGTAGATATGGTCATTGCTGAGGAGATCACGTTGATCAGCCAAATACCCCTTGAGCAGTACGTAAGGGGACGAATTGTATGCATAAGATGGGGAGAAGATGATGTACGTAAAGATAAATGATAATGTTGTTACCTTGATCGCACGATAACGGGCAAGGATTTACCAGCATTACCACAGTCAAGAGAAGTGGTAAGTTTGATCGGAGTGCGCCGAGCAGCCCAACAGGTTGGTTCTGACAGGCATAATAAGACAGGGAGGGGGCGGGCACATGGGAGAAGTACGAAGCCTCAAGCCCGACGATCCTTGATGCCCAACCAGACGGTGCGAATTGGCTGCCCCCATTAAACGTTAGCCACTTGTAGCCACACCTAAGGAAACCGGTTTGGCTTCCCCGAAGAGTTAATTGCATCAAGCACAAACTACTCTCGCTTAAGCAGCCTCTAACAGCCTCATCATGCAACCACTTCGTTGCTATGATACATCGTATACAAACCCCATGCGACCGTTGCATCTCATGGTCGAACATCATTTCCCTATACAAGGCTTTACGAGATGATCACTCACGTTCCTGCTTCTGCTTGCCTTGTCGCAGTCTTCTGCTCGCCTCACCAGAATGACTTGCAAATACTATGGTATCATACCTAGGCGCAAAAGACCATCCCCCATATCGGCAGCAAAGGGTCTATCAGTGGAACCCTACCTAGGTACTCCGTACCTAACACTGTCTCTCCCCCTTGACAACTTGACCCCTGTCGTTAACTAACCAGCCTTCCGAAACTCTTCGACCTTTGCACCACAAATTCTCTCGCACTTCTCTTCCCACTCTACTCCCCTTTATCAAATCACACGACTAGGCCATTTGGCGATTTCTCTTTATCCCCGGTACTTGCATTTCCTTGCTGCAACTGCGCCCTGCATCTGCAACACCAAAGCGCATCATATCCCCGCTTACAGCCCTGCGACAATTGCGCATATCATCCTCGCCGGGTCCTTTGCTTATCATTGCAACATCCTGCTTCCCGAACCCTGCGCATCACTCTCACGGCCACCGAGTGCATTGATATCACACTGCTCTACCTATAATATTATCACAGGATCACCCGTCCCGAGCCTCCTGGCGCATTCCGAACAAAGTCTGTGCGCAACACCAACTGCGTGCCTGGCGCGAATTTAAATCCCGAGAAATCGAAAAAGGACAATATACTTTTATCCCACTGTCAAATTTACCCGCTTGACGTCGTGTCTGTGCGGTGATCTCGGCGAGGCTTTCGTCGCAGAGGGAAAAAGACCAGCTGCGACGTGCAGTGGTCCTTGGGAGGTCATATAAGGTCGCAAATTCCTGAACGAGTCTGAGTACTCTTCTGTCAGTGCCAATTACTTTGGCTCCACGAGCAGGCATCTGCTATCAGATATCTCTGTCATGGCAGACAAGATATCCATCACCATATGCGGTGATGGCGGTTGCGGCAAGTCCTCCATAACTCTTCGACTTGTTCGATCACAATGGACCTCAGAGTATGTCTGAAACTGCTCCTTCCCACCCTACATCATACTAATTCCCCTAGATACGATCCTACCATTGAAGATTCCTACTCAGTCACGCGCACCGTCGACGGTCTGAACTACTACCTATCCCTAACCGACACCGCCGGTCAAGAAGAATATCGAAGTCTATGGGCTGCCTCAAATCTACAGTCCGATGCTTTCCTCCTCGTTTACGACATCACCAATGCTGCCTCTCTGGAAGGGTTGTCATGGTTTCTCGACATGATCGACATTGAAGCAGAAAACAGGGAAGAAGAAAACAGCCGGCTACTAAGAGAAAGAGGTCCCAAGGTACGAGGTCGAAGGGACGAAGGTTGGAAGTTCCCTCCCATCAAGATCATGGCTGGCAACAAATGTGACCTGAAAGATGCCCGAGTCGTCAGTAGTAAGGTTGGCTGGGAGTATGCTAAGAGCAAGGGTTGTGGTTTTATGGAGACCAGCGCAAGAGAAATGGTCAATATCGAAGAAACATTTGCCTGTATGCAACCTCAACTCTCTTTGGTCTCTCGTCCTGCTAACACTCTTTCCCAGTGATCGTCCGTAGAGTGGTCGAAGCCAGAAGATCACACGGTGGTGGTCGTGAAAACACCCCTCAATATCCCACATATGGCGGCAAAGGTCATACCCCAAACGCCAGCGGTGCCGGGAGTTCAGCCTACCAGATACCCTCCTCGATGCAAACCAATCAACAATCCAATAATCCTAATACCCTCTCTATGGGCGAGAAGTCCGACTTCGAGGATGATGGCGGAAATGTGCCCTGGTGGAAAAAGATATTCTGTTGCCGTTGACCGGTAATGCTAGCGTTTGATGAGTGATCTCAACCCCGTATGTTGTGGCTGTACCTATACACCTCGACATGGGTCGGGCTACTCGATTATACTTCAAGAGGAGGATCTCACGCGGGAACCGGCAGGGTAGTCTGACCGAGGACGACCCCTGGTTGTACCACTGTGCTTGCGAAACCCGATTCGACGCACGACTTGCTGCATCCGACCGAAACAGGAATAATTGCACAAGGCTCTAGCCGATATGGACACGCCGACATGTGCAAATCCCACCGCGTGCTACTTATGGCCTCGCCGATGGGAGCGAACCGCTGGTACCACGTCAAGTCATACAACCCTCGAACAAGCGATCCAGCTTGTTGAAGACAAGTCGAACCACCATGACAAGAAGCTGGGTTCCTCGTGTCCTGGCTGCGATATGCGGATCATTTGTACCAATGCGAACGACACATATTCTGCTTGCGGATAGAAGGTGAAGGGATACAATATCAGAGCCGCACGGCCAAAAGTCATGACTGCCTCATCAGGCCTTGATTGGCCATGTCTATCTAGCGGGATATTAAGAGGGCGAGATTACTGTGGTGCATGAAGGTGTCTTCCGTGCCGCTTGATAGCGGCTATGAGGATGTACTCTATTGTACTAGTATATCCATTTACAGCAACTTTAGACACTATAAGATCAAGATATCTTAATTTGATCTGCTCACCATACTCTAAATGGAACGGACTTTTACCGATTGACTGTATTGCATAATCCCTGCCAAGTGCTCCAGCCATAGCTCATCCAGATAAGCCGAGATGCATGTTCAGGGGCTGAATCTCCCGAGACGGAAATTGGTTGGGACACGACAATTGGACACGGGAGGCCATGATTCTCTGAGGCTACTCATGTATTCACAGTCTCTGTCTTTGTTTCTCGGGATCGTACTGGGCGATGTATGCGGAAAAGGAGCGGTCTTCTGCTGCTGTTGAGGAAGAAAGGGGGGCATGATACTCGGCAGGTATGGCGGTAGAAGTAAGAGGTCATGGTCACAAGGCTGGCTGGCGGTAGTAGTGATGATGGTATTTGTAGTCGGGCTAATCAGGCCGAGCGTGTTCGTCTCTGCGTTTGTATGAGGTTCGAGTTTTGGATCAAGCATAACCACGGTCAGGCGGCGTGACTGCATCATAGGCAGATTGTGGTGGTGACTCATGTGTTGGATCTTCTGCATCTCGCGGGCGTCGGAGGGGTTGGGTGGTGTGTAGGGTCTTATTGTGTGCATCGTTGGCATGGTGCCCTTGTCCATATGCTCATGGGTGCGGTCATAGTTGTGGTTATGGTGGTAGGTTTTGTGCGCTTGGCTGTTGGGCCTCAATTTAAGTATATTCTGGACGACAAACGATGCAGTCTTCGCGTCCCAGAGACCGTCGCGAGAGTGGGCGATGCTGGGATGTGAGAATAGCTGTAAAGCGGATGATAGGGTTTGCGGGTTCGTTGTCTTCAGGCTGATGAAGTATAGTGCTGCTATGAGATTCGTGGAGAGGGTGTAGGTCCTGGGCGGGCTGGATGTTGGTTGACCTTTCGAGTGTGATAGGCCCAGGAGGGAAGTTATGCTGGACAGGGTGGTTTCCAGAGCGTTCTGGGAGTTCCGAAATTGTTGGCCTCCAGTACTGATGGGTAGGGCATTGGTGTCATGTGCCGGGGTTGACTGCGCAACGTCGTGCTCGAGGAACGGTGTTGACGATGGGTGAAGACATTCATCGGCCTTGATAGCTTGTGTAGGTTTGTGATTGGAAAGATAGTCGCTGAAAAGGTGCTGGAAGGAGTGGAAGTGTACTTGGCAGAGGAGGAGTTTCTGAGTGTCTAGCCGATGTTGGGCTGCGATTTCCGCGGTAGCTTTGACCTCTTGGGCGCCGGTGAGATCAGAGAGGGCTGCGGCGAATCTGTCGAATTGTGTGGCCAACGCGTAACGCTCGTACGGGAGGTTTGCAGGTAGCTCATCTTTTGTTCGTCCCCTGTGGCCGACCTGCTTGATGAGATAGTTTAGTGTCCAGTTCTGAAGCTTAGCCAATGTTCTCTCCGCTTGGGAGATGTCCGAGAAGTTATCTGGGACAAGGTCGACGACACCTCTTGATTCAGACTCAGACACTAAATTCAGCATTGGGGCGCGCCGGTCATCGAATGCACTGGCTTGGATGTCGAGATTGTGTAGCAACGTCGTGAGATGAACCATGAGTGGATCGTCATGGCTTTCTTCGTCGAGATGGGACTGCTTCAGCAACATCAGACCACGGTCGAGGTGCCATGTTGCCTTCTGCGAGTCTCCGAGGAGCGACTCGAAGGTGTAAAAAATCAAGCTGCAGATGAGTGCGACCTGAGCCGAGGCGTCGTTGCGGGAGAGATAGTTACGCAATTGTCGGTGGCATCTGGCGATCATGCTTGCGGTCTTTGCTGGGGTTGGTGTGGAGCGAGACTCGCCGTCACCCGCTGATGCTGGCTGAAAGTCTCCGCAAAGATAATCCTTGTGCAGCGAACTGAGTGCAACCAATGCATTACGGATGATGGGCTCATTGTGGCTGCGCTGGAGGATCAATTCTGTCCAGAGCGTCGGGTCAGTATACGTCGACAGTATCCACGATGCTTGACAGCAATAGTAGTGCAGAAGCTGGCGATCGGTTTGGCTACCGGGGATCTTGAAGGGAATGCTGTATGCTGCGATCCCTGACGTGGTGATGGCATTTGGCTTGATTGCTGCATAGCCGTCACATTTGCGGCCTGCGCGGAGACAGCGGCTGCATGATGGCCTTTGTTCGTCGCATTTGACCTTGCGCGTTCTGTGATGTCGAGTTAGTCATGGGGACTCTTTGGAAAACAGGATATGAGAAGACCTACTTGCAAGTCAAGCAGCCCGACCGGACCTTTGGCGTACTTTTGCGAACCCTCTTGGTCGAAGGTGTCGCTAGCTGGAGCAGAGTATTCGTCATCCATGAGGCGGCCTGTAGCCATGGCGCACTATTGAAGAGGCATACTTGATGATTGGGCACAAGCGCAAAGATGAGTTCAAAATGTCTTGAGAATGGTCTGTGCACATCTATTGACAACCAATCTTGTCACGTGCTTAGCAGCCTTGCCCAGCCTTGTCATCTCTCTTTACTAGGCATGTCGTTTTTCGTTTTCTGGCTCTCCGATCGTGCAGAGCATCGACACGTCAGCTTCATTGTCTCAGGCCGGAACACGGGAAGAAGGGCCATTGTGGGGTGATCATATATCAATACAGTACGAATAAAACCCATGCAGGAGCTACATATATAGTCTGTCTACTGCTCCTCTAGCATGCCAGTCCTGTTTCTCTCCGAGTCATAGAGTACAAAACAGCAAACCCAATGATAAGACAAATTCAATCGGCCGTAATGAATAGTATAACCTCGAATACCCAGTGCATGCTCCTTGATGTAGACTGCTCCTTTTACCCAAACACCACGCTCGCTATGCATTGCCAAATGTTGCTGCACTGCCGCTGTCTTTGTCGCCGCTGCTCCTTTGAACCCGTGTATATCGATGCAATGCATAGAGATTCGTAAAACTCAGTATCTGGCTCGGTAGTGGCGTCTGATCAGATACTGGAAAAGACGCTTGTCAGCCTGGGTACCCGCACACAACCAATTCCAATACTTACTAAATTTCGATCGGACTGATCTGATCAAGCGGAAACAGCCAATTACTTCCGGCCTCAACTTTCTCAAGCCTGCGAAGACATTCAGGTTAGCATATGTCAGCCACGTCATGGTGACGAGATCATACCAATCATAGGGCCAGACGACAAGATGTCCTTGCACGCACTCCAACAACTCCTCGGCCTCTTCAATGCTGAGGATATCGTCGCTTGCACTGAATTCGCGTCTACTAGACCTAGTAGTAGCACGGCGTCGTCTGCGCGTACTGCCCGTTGCGGCTGAACCTGCCGCGGCAGCAGAGTTTTGGTTCATTGCATCTGAGTAGCCGACAAACGCACCGCTCGTAGTAGGTGGTGTTCCATTTGTTGATGACTTTTCTTTTTCCACAGCTGTTGCCGTGCTAGGACTAACATTAGCCGCATCGTTGCCTAGACTGTCTCCGTCCACTTCAGCACTGCCATCTTCACGGAGCGTCGAACCCTCGTGAACGGTCGGAAGCCCAGCTCTCTCTTCTCCTATAGTCTCTTGACGGTGAAGCGAGGGCTTCCCTGACCTATCGGCTTGTGCTTGATTGAGGTCAGTTGCCCATTTGCGAAGAGCCTCTTTCTCGGCATCGCCCTGCTCTCCTTTCGTTTTGTCACCAAACGCGCCCATGACTTTCTCTTTGAGGTCAGTGGTGCGCTTTTCGAGGTCCGCCGGGACTTCGGTGAGAGCTTTCAAATGCTGCGCGCCGGGTGTACGAGTAGTAATGCCTGCACCTGGTGGGCCAGTCTTGGGATTCGACCCTGATCGAGCCGGATGAGGGACCTTATCCTCCATTGGAACATCATTGCCTTGGAGGGCTTCGAACCGGTGTTCGTAAGCGACGTACTGGTGATAGTCGTCCCAGTTTCGGACCATATTGTCCGGCATGCATCGGAAGACACTGCGATAGATCTTGGTGTTGTTCTCTGCAACAGCATGCCAGGTATCGTACAGGAAGGCATCATGGATAGGGTCCATCATGCAGTCACGGTCGACCAGCGGTCTTCGAATGTCACTCATAAGAGGATGGTGGCCACGAGCAGACTCTGTCGTTGGCGTCTTGAGAAGTGAAGGCCCACCAATGTCGGAATCGTCGCCGTGTGGTAGAGAAGGCAGTGTCGACACCATCGGCAGCCCAAGCTCCTCGGTGTTCATCCTATGGATAGGAGGCTTTGGAGGCAGCGGTGGGTTTGGCATCTCCATCTTGACCACATATGACGGAAGGCGCAATTCTTCGTCATGCTTCCTTGGGTGCTGTAGACTGGCCTTTCCTTCAGGACCAACATCAGCTATCAACACTTCTTTGTTGCCTTTGACCAATGTAGTATCTCTGCCGATACCGTAACCTTCCTCACCAATTTCTTCCATGTGATCGAAACCTTGCCCTTCAACATCTTGTCGGTGCTGTGCATTTCCAGTGACGCGAGAGTCTTCTGTCAATTTTCGGTTACTCTTGAGGTTGGGGTTGTCGCCTTGTTCCCAGTCCACGTCATGATTGAAACTCCACAATTCCTCGTCACGCTGCAACAACTCTTCACGAACCTCTCGCACTCTGTCCTCGCCACTGTCTAGAGGAGCTAGAACGTCACCCTGCTCGGAGACTGGACTGTCGTTCGTGGCGTTTGTAGACGTTGGCTTTGCAGATCGTCCGGCGGGTTCATTCTTCCGGTGCTCGGCTTCCATGGCTTGAGCTTCTTCCATGATTTTGTCCACATCGAGGCCGAGATGTTCGCGCATCAACCGCATCCGGAGAGTATGGGGGAATCGGCCAACCTGGTATGGTTTGCCATTCATCCTTGACCAAACCATGTCTGTGTCGCGTACGACAGCCGCGCACTCCGAGTCGCGATTGCCCAGCATCGATCGTTCATTGATGTTCGCCGACCCAATCAAGGCGACCCGGTCATCGACGACCATACATTTAGCATGAATGTAGAGTTGCTCAGTGACCAGCGTCTTCCGAGGACCCAATCTGCCCCATTGTCGTAAGCTGTAGAACTGGATGTAGTCTTCTGGCTCAATGCCAAGAGCTTTCAGTCGGCCAAAGATCGAAGATTCTCCACGACAAATGCTGCGATATTGATACTGCATGATCAAACGTACACTGGTGCCCCCTTCTTGCTCGACAGTGTTTTGGAAACCAGGTATTAGGGGAATTACGATGACAGCCTTCCACGCTTCGTCATTCTTGGACGCTCGAGTGATACGTTCCACCAGAGCATCGCCGATCTGGTTGTGTACTGTAGTACCTTCTGTTTCACAACTCGAGATGAAGAATTGGTTCTCCATGTAGACGAAATGTTCGGACTCTTCGATGAGCTTGGTGTAAGCATTCATGATACTGTGTTCTGTCTTGTCTGGCGTGCCCATGGACCAAGGACCAGAGGAACGGACGATTTGAACCTCGCATGTGCCGTCGAGGCCCAAAGCTTCTAGGTCTGCAGGCTGGAAATCTGGTGGAGGCAAGAGGAAAGGTGTTGGACGAGTGGGTTTTCGCTGTCTCAAGATGTAATTCCATCTCTGCACAAAATGTCGAGTTAAATCGCGCGCTGGTTGTCCAACGATCTGCATGGAAATATCATGCCAAGGCATTCTAGCCACTCTCTGGCGATCGTACATTTCTTCATAGGGTTTGTTGAGTGCATAAAAGTCCTGGACGCGTGGATTTGAATAGTCCTTACCCGGCCATAATTGACAATGATCGGCATCTTTAGGCTGTTCGCTGGGTTCGAAACCAGTCGGCTTGTCATCGACAAGTGTATGCTGAGGTGTATCCCATCTTCCGAAGCACAGATCGATCCCGCCAACAAAAGCAACAGTATGGTCAACGATACACAGCTTTTCATGATGTGCCCAGAAGAAGGTATTCTGCCGGAATTGGTTGGGCGAACGCTGGACGAAAACGTTCGGGTGAAGGTCGAGGAGAGAAAACTTGGTGTACTGAGAATCTATCGGAATGGCCGATTCGATATTGCGATAGACAATGATGAAGATTTTGACGCCTTCTTCAGCCTTCCTTTTAAGCAGTCGATCAAGACGCCATTTCTGGCTGATAGCCGGAGGGCGTCTCATGTACAGCTCAGGACTCAACCACCAATCATGGATGTAGATCACGTCCTTGGCTTGGTTCAGGGCACGGGACACCACCCACATATGGTCTCTTCCATCTACGAGCCATTGAGCAAAGCAGTTTGGTCTGACGGGAGCAAAGCTATCGAACCGGTTGACATTGACCCAAGGCGAAGTTAGAATCATAAGCCGAATAGACTCCTCGAACTGGTGTAGCTGTCTTTCATTCCTAGCCAGGAGTTTGAGCTTTCTTTCCGAGTTGGCCAATTTCAGCCGGTGATGTTGTGGGTGCTTTGCGGATTCTCGTGCAGCTGAAGCTATTTCCTTCGCTCTTCTTTGCTGCTCGCCCTGCCGTGGTCTCGATGACTGGATCCTGAAGTCAGAGTCAAACAGAAACACATCATAGATATGCATTTCCTCTGGTGAATCAACGCAGACGACATAGCTATGTCTGACAAGGAACCACTTCGGTGCATGTCGACGGATGACATAGTGCGGTTTCAAAGTCTTCCTGAAATCGAGACCTTTTGCGGACCGTATAGCAAGGAAGCCTTCTTTGCCATGATAACTGCCTTCTGACGCGAGACGCATTCCCAATGCTGACACTTCCAAAAATTTGCAAAGTCGGTTGCTCTCCGGACGAAAGAGCAGGAACTGGATCATTTTTTGCAGATACTGTTCGAGCTTTTTGCGTTGCTTGTTGGCGAATTTATCCCGTTGCGCACCAGGAGTATCGGCCATCCCAGCTATGCTCGACTTCCGTCGATTCGGCGTCAAACCCGGGCGCAAAGGTGTCCATGGGCTTGGTCTATCGGTGTCGGTTGCAGTGCCAGGGTCGTTGTCCGCGTTTGCGTCTTCTTCCTCGTCCTCCTCATCTTCCAGGCCTCGAAATGTCTTTGCGTACGGGAACGCACTGCGAGGGAATTTTGGCATACGCTTGCTTTGGTCGCCTCTGCCCTTGAGTTTCTCCGAACTGTAGTGAAACTTGTATTTCACGTGCAGGTTCATAAAGTCACCAAGTGATCGTTTGACAACCCATTTCATCCGACTAATGCCGTTACCATATTCAAGTTCGATTCTGAAAATCAAGTGTCGATCCGCGGACTTCTCGTCAGCATCCTTGTCTTTGGCGACTTCACTGTCGGTGATCTGCACCTTGAGTTGTTCTAGTAGGACCGGTACTCTTTTGTGGTCGTGCTCATCACGTTGAAACATGCTTGCAAGCATCAGCGCAGCAGGAGTCCCAGCCTGCAACTCTGCTAATAGTTCGGCCGACTTTTCATGGTCGGGTGTACGCTCTTTCTTCTTGTTCTGACCTAGAAAACGTATGCTGTTCTTCAATTGCCGCCATTTCTGCGAACTCAACGTAGACCCTCGTTCTGCCATCAGCTTTCGACGGGAAGGAGTCTTGGGCGTCTGCGCATCCATTCCGTTGGCGTCTCGAGACGAGCTGACGTTAGTGAAGCTGAGCAAAGTCATCGGTCTTCTGTTCGCCTCGGGCGACTCGGTCTGCTTGCGCTGTCCTCCGTAGCTGAGCCCACGCAGGGGATGACGCGGTGTCCACCCGCTACCGGCGGCCAGTTTGCGTCCTTCGTCTTCAGATAGACCTGACTGGTTTCGAGTCATGTCTGTGTCTGTGGCCCTCCTAACAAGCGCACGAGGTCGATTGGGGTCAGAATCAAGAGGAGCACTTGCAAAGCCAGCCCGCATAAGACTATGCGGCGATGAAGGTGCGGTTTCGACGTCGTCAAATCGACGCATCTTCTTTCGGCGTCGATAGGGACCGGGCTTCCTGCTGGTCTCGGCAGCACTTTCTTCGGCGTCGACATCGGCATCGCCTTCAGCACCGCTGTCTTCTTCCATGGTGGCGGCCAATCCAGGCTCATTGCGAGATGCCTGTCCAGACAAGTGTCCATCGAAGTCTTTGCCTTCTGCAGATTGTGCACTCAGAGACAAGGCACTGGCACTACGGTTGTGGTTGATGGTCTGAGGGATAGCAAGGGCCCTCAATCTGGCATACAACGAGTGAGGTTTGTCCTGTTCTGAACTTTCGCCTCTACGCAAGGGTGGTGTGCTCTGGCCGCTGGCGTACTGGTCAAGGTCCAGTGTATCTCTTGAGAATTGAACGCTCTTTCTCCCAGCTACAGGTGTCGTTGCATTGCCGTCTAGTCCACTGTCTGACTCTCCCAGCTCTTTCCGACTCGGTGACTGCACGTCCGTCGCGGTCGACGACAGTTTCAGGGCGGAACCGAAGGACCTCTTCGACGGACCCGAATCGATCGATGTGGTAGAGAAATGGGTCACTTTGTCGGGTGATCCGTCTCCTTTGGTACCATTTGAGGATATCATCCGGTTACCCACATCCCCATTTATCTTGTCGTTTCTTCGCACAACCGGACCGGGGCTGCCATTTAACTTGCTATCGGGCACCGTCGTCTCGAAGTGCGCCATTGTAGCCGGCATAGATGCTCCCCCAGAGTCTTCACTCGACGGCTTCTGGCTCACTTCAGCCATCGTGGCCATAATGTCGGGAAGAAAGGACGGTGAGCTGTGGAAGCCGGTAGACACACGGTTATTGTTGTCGTACCGGCTACCGGCGGTCTTCAACTGCCACTCAACATCACACTTGTATATTGCGTCTCTTGCTCCGAGGATTTTTTGTCACGAGGTCGGAAGAATAGCGTTCCAAGAAGTCGTGCCGGTACGGGAAGTTTGTATTGGATAAAAACAGGATCGGTAGACACTTCGCGGTGACGTTGGACAGGCCCAGAATCTATCACACACCAAGTGCGAGACTTCCTGTGCAGCTCAAGGTACTCGTTCCGCAAGAGGATACAGCAGAGAAACTTTGTATTGCTGAGTGATACCCCTTCTAAGCAACCGCGGTGATCTTCAGTACGCAGATGCAGGTGGAGAACATCTGCCACATCGAAAACATTGGCACGGAGTCCGCCAAGCGCAGGCTGGATTTAGGTGTGGAAGCAATCCCCACGGGACGGACTTCTAGGCTAGGGGGCTCAAAAATACCTTAGAACGCCCCCACGAGGCTGCAACGTGGCTCCCAATTTATCTTATTAAGTGAGGTTGACGGGATTGGAAGCCCACCACACGATGGAGAACGTGATCACACAATCGTTTGAAGATCGATGCACCATAGATACACTCAACGAAGCATCAATCGCCAGCATAATGCTGCCACCAGACTCCCATACACGCTGCCACAACCAGGTCGCACATCTTCAAGCCCTCGTCGTCTATGATCAACTTTCCCAGTTTGGCACTATGGCCCTTGAATCCTCCACCAGCTCTCTCCCGGCCCAGATCAAGGTTCATCCGCCTTTCTTTGGGGGACTCTGGTTGAGCAAAGTCTCTCAGGCTTTGCTGGAATTCTAGCATACCATTGTCGCTTTCGCTACGAGACAGCTGTGCGCGAGCCTTGTGGGTAAAAGCTTGAAAACTTCGCCTCCACTGATCTTTGTTCGACGACGAACCTGAAATCGCAGTTGGAGATGTTGGTGAAGTTGGCGGCATCTCGTTTGTTGCTTGCCTGTTTGCATCCTTGGGACGAAGAATGGACCATGCTAGATTGAAGCGTAGTTCGGCAACGTCCGCCATCACGCCAACATTGGGTGAATTTGTAGACGACAAAGTATGGCGACATCGAAGGCTCCTTCCGTCCACTGCGTTGCTGAAAAAGCACATACCCTGCCACGGCGACATGAACGAATAAGCTTGACGTGGCTTTCTGTTATTCAAGCTTGCTAGGTCTGAGAATAATTCGCTGGAATTGCTCCTCTGCCTTGTCTTGATGGACTTCTCACTGTTGGGAACGACCCTATATTCCACTGTTCTGTTAAAACAGCGCTCTCCCGTCCGTCCTACTCGGCCAAACTTGGTGTAGCCAGGGGAGCTGAGCTCGATGTCAACTTTACTCAACCCGTTGTCTCTTAGTGCAGTGTCCCGCTTGATGAGACTGCCCACGTTCCATTGGCTGCCAGATGCTGGATCTCTCCGTATCAGGGTGATTCGCACATCGCCGGCACCTAGTATTTCCGGGCTGCGTGCTGGTGAAATGAGGTTCCGTAGAGGTCTATCGGGTTCTGTCGGAGTTGGAGAGACGTTGGCTTCCTCGGTAGGCGATGCTGACTGCACAGGCTTTCTTCGTACCGTGAAATGTCCCTCTCCGTTGCTGAGACTGTCTGTGTGGTTGCTTTTCAGTTGGCCGTGATTGCTTGTGTCTATCGTAGGCCTGAGGGGCATTGGTCGAGCGCCGACAGGCTTACGCTGCGTTGTAGAAGATTCCATTGGGTCTGAAGTCGACAACCTCAGGTGAGCACCACGGGCCGCATGTCGCTCTGCTTGCGTGGCATCCTGCGACCCATGCAACGGCGGCTGGTGATGTGGATAGCTCTTGGGCGGAGTAGGAGGCCGTTGAGAGGCAGGGTAGTTTGCATAAGTCGTAGGGGGAAGAGGTTTCCTCTGGATCGGTGAGATGTTCTCCCTGCGCTCATCGGTATGTGTCGTAGTCTCTAACGATTTTCTGAGGTCGTCATCCTCGGGTCTTTCGACATGAAGGAAGTATAGACTTGATTGCACGGCTTCAATGCTTATCGAGGCCTTGGTGGGCGGTTTAAGGGGTGTGAGAAAGACATCTACCAGACTTAGCACAACTCCTTCTCTTGCACGAAATATCTCACCTTTGCTGCCTGGGACTCGTACGATGTAAAGCACGAGGGGATCATGCTCTTGGTGGGTAGGATTTCGTGGATACTGAGGAGGGTTCGAAAGGAGAGTATAGAGCGATGATATCGACTGCGCACGGACAGGCGTACTCATGTGGGATTGTCAAGAATCAGTGGAGATGGCTGCGGAAGGTATTTGGTCGCGTGTTGACGACGGGCAGAGTGCGCAAAAGGTGTGATGCAGTCTCTAAGTTGGGTATCATTACAATCGTGGAATATCAGGCAGTCGATGTCCCTCTTCAACATGATAAATGGTGCCTGTTCATCACCTGTTGCTGTGTTGATAGTACGCAAGCTGAAATCTTGGAAGCCGGGCCTGCTTGATAAATAAACCCAAAATAGTGACAACCCACCGGGGCTGCAGGCGCCCCCCGGGAGGCGCACCCCACTCAGGCTATGTCACGCATCAACTCAGATTTACTTGGCCTGCACACAGGTTTGGAGAGACATACCTAGGTATACAGTATCACTTCCAGTCGTGTCGCCGTCTCAAGCCAAGTTGGGCTCCACATGCTCTTCGAATCGTGGCGCGAGCCTTGCTGGTGGCTTTGCTTTGAGGCCGAAGCACCTCGTACCGGAGCAATGAGTGTGAAGGGTACTTTCTCCAGCAAGTGAGTTCTTTCCTCCTCGCTACGGATGTACGCCAATGCCATCCACTTGCTACTCAGATACCGGAAATACTTACAAAGGTCGTGGTCCCTTGATGGAAGTAGGCTCTGCTACACCATCATCGCCATACACGGTATGTCCAGACCAGAGCACCAGTGAGCACTCTCCGCAAAGATAGCAGAATCTTTCCCCGCGAAATGCCACTGCAAGGTGCCACTTATGTCGATCTTCCGTGCAAAGAGCTAAACACTCTTTGACTTTTAACAGCCACGTCTTGGGGGTGCAGCGTCATACCTTGACTGGGGTTACGCTACAACACCCTTTCAACTCCGTGCGCAATTGACCCTACGATAGGCTATGGCAACGGTTGTATACCGGCGATTCGCCTGGCTGAACAAAAGGTAAATGTGGTTCCCTCCTCGTGTTCTAAGCCTGTCCCTTCTCTTCGTCCCATACAGCTCGATAGTCCATCAATCCAGTAGGTTACTTTGATTACACGGTCATTCTTGATCAGGTATTGAGATTGACGTCGACGCCGACTTTGGGTTTGGAGGCGAACAGTGTCAGATCACAATGACTACCGGCAATGACTCCAGTCCTGCAATGCGAGGGGACTTTTCCATGGATGAGAAGACTATTGCAAGCCATGCAGACAATCCTTCCGCTTTCAACACACCGACAGGCCACGGCTACGAGGAGCAGCTACCTGTGATAGATCATGCCGCTGAAGCCCGTCTACTCCGCAAGCTCGATTTATACATCATTCCACCAACCATGCTATTGTACCTGTTCTCCTTCCTTGACCGTGTCAATATCGGCAACGCCAAACTATATGGCATGGAGGCAGATTTGGGCATAAGAGACACGCAGTATTCGACCGCCGTCAGCCTACTATTCGTGACATACATCCTCTGCGAAACACCCAGCAACCTCGTCCTCAAAAAGCTGCGACCTTCTCGTTGGATAAGTTTGATCACGATATGCTGGGCCATCGTCGCAACTCTGACTGGACTGGTCCAGAGTTATGGAGGTCTGATCGCCTGTCGCCTCATTCTGGGGGCACTAGAAGCCGGCCTCTTTCCCGGTATGCATATAAATCTGATAGTTGCAAGAAGGGAGAAGCTGACAATGTACCATGCCAGGCATGACCATATACTTGACCCTCTTTTATACCAAGCAACAGCTGGCGTTGAGAGTCGGCTACCTCTTTGTTTCCGCGGCCATTGCCGGTTCTGTCGGAGGACTCCTGGCGTACGGCATAGGGTTCATGGACGGCACATGCGGTTATTCTGGCTGGAGATGGATTCTGATCATTGAGGGACTCCCGACTTTCGTCCTGGGTATTGCCGTCTACTTCTGGCTTGCTGATGAGCCAGAGACAGCGTACTACCTCTCTCCAGAAGAACGGGCGTTGATGGTCGTCCAAAAAAGGCGCCACATCGGCCATACAGCCTCTGCCGATCTGCAGCACAAGGAAGACGTCTACAAAGCCCTCAAGGATTGGAAGGTCTGGGCGTTCGGCTGTGGGCAATGGGGAGCAGACACCGTGCTATATGGGTACAGCACCTTCCTCCCTACAATCATCAAAGGATTGGGCAACTGGTCGACCGCCGAGGTTCAGGCGCTTACTGTGCCATGTTATGCATTGGGTGCCATCACCTACCTCACCGTCGCTTACTTCTCGGACCGATATCAGCGACGTGGTTTGGCCGTGGTGCCTCTTTGCCTGGTGACCATTGTTGGCTATATCATTCTTATGAGCGACGTGAGTTCCGGCGTGCGCTACTTCGGATGTTTTCTTGTCGCCATGGGTAAGGGATTCTTCTTCTTGAGACACTGAGCCTTTGAGGCGCAATCCTTCAGCTTTGTCCCTGTTTTTACTGCTAGAGCTTACGGACGATTCGCAGGACTCTATGTCGTTGTGGGCATTCCACTCGCCTGGCTCCCTACCAACAACCCTCGGTATGGGAAGAGGATCACCGGCTCAGGTTAGTACTCCCCTTTCAATAGGACCAGCTTTGATTCACTCTATGAACGGCAGGAATACAACTTACAGTCGGTAATGCTGCTGGCATAATGAGTGCTTACCTTTACAAGAGCAATGAAGCTCCTCGATTCATCCGTGGCCATGCTGTCTCGCTGTCCATGGCGGCTGTTGCAGCGATCATCTATACAATAATGTCGTTGTACTTTTTCAACCGAAACAAGAGGCGGCAGGCTGGCAAAGAGGACTCAATCCTGGCCGGTAAAACCGAGGAGGAGATTGCTGAATTGGGCGATGAGAATCCGAGATTTGTGTTCACATACTGATGAGTGAGGAACTGCACTGTCACTCTGACGGCCACCTCGGAAATGCGGCTATCGGACCAGAACAGCTCCAGAGCTTATTCTCGAATGATGCCGGTTGAATTCGGCAGCACATCTGCAAATGAATGTGGCATAGCATGTGTTTGAAGCTGGTCGTGTGGCCTAGAAAATATAAAGATCTTCGCGAAGTGTGGTTGATGACCTTGTCCAAACCACATCACGCGCTTCACATTTCCTCGTTCAAGCTCTGTCTACCTGACATTGTTGTGGCTGGAAGTCAGGGCGCTGGACGGCGACCCGTCTCCGTTGCGGGTTGGAGTTCTCGCCATTACGCAAGTGATGCCGTGTTTTCCGTCTAGTTATTCTACTTTCGATCTTCGGTTTCCAGCTCGCCAGCACGCATATTGAAGAAGCCTCTGATCGAGGCAAACAATCAGGACGTGTTCATGTTGCGGGTTAATAACACTGGTGTGTGACCACCACGCTCATGATTCGTCCTGGCCAGCCTTCACCACGAGACAGCAATATAGTAGTATCAAGCTCCACAAGTGATGATGCCGCATCCGGTGTCCTGTCAACATTGGATACAGATTCCAACTTGTTTCGCAGAGAATGTCGTCAGGCTCTCGTGCCCTGCTTGACATCACCGGCTCCAGTCAATCAAACAGCGGCTCATCGTCGGAGTCTGTTGGTTGGCTATCGAGTCACTGACGTGTCACAGGAATCGTCGGGTAGCATGGGCGCAATTGGTCGCATTTTCCCATTGAGCAACACAATCACTGGGGACATATGATGTAGCACATTGTATGATTTGTTGTCACAGACGCCTCAAGTTGCCAATCCATCAGCTTTGCTAGTCGAGCTCATCACTCGAGATCTGCCTGGCAAGCAAGAGATGCGGCACCGGCATCGAGAGGGCAGAGCTGCTGAAAGGTCTCTTTCTGCTTCCCCAGCAAATAAGAAAAGAGCATATGGGGGAGTCTCAGGTATACGAGCAGGACTGTAGTTCGTACGAGTAGTAAGCTGAATCCTTCCGAGGATGCCTGTCTCAATGCATTCCCTGATCGCCGGAGTTCTGCCCTTCCATCCTCCCCTTTCTCAACCCGTACTCAGGCATATGCACAACCGCGGGCATTTCACAGCACTGCGTGTGGTTGATTCGTCAACAGACCAAGCAATTGGCGGAAAGGATGCTTTTCGGCAAGGTTAGTCGGATCCTCCAGGGACGGATTAGCCAGGGTTTCCATTGGCGATCATGATCTCGATCCGGCCCCAGGGATTCTGCTAGAAGAGTGCTGGGCAAACAGGAGCACTGGTGGCGAGAGTATGCTTTCCTCGGAGCAGGGGGGCGCTGGGAGCATGATGAATTTGACGTCTCGTGATTCGCGCAGGCTGCGATAACAGGCCCTTCGCTAGACCTAGGGTGACGAGCTCGGATTGGACCTGAGACGAATTTAGGCGGCAGGACTCAGAGCCTAACCTCCCTTGGACGTGGCCATACAAAGAGGCAGTGCGCGCAAGGCCAACACGAGGCATGAGACGTCTGAGAGGGCAACAGGATTTTGTGGAGCTTGAATACCAGCCAGAAGCAAAGAGAAATAGGCCGAGAACAGCTTTGTATAAGCACTTCGACTCAACAGTAAACACCCTTGAAGAGCATCACGAGCAGAAGGCGGATGAATCATCGTGCCACTTCCCAAACTTTGTCACTCCATCTCCGAATCAAAGGATCGATAGCCATCCATTCTCTACCTTCAGAGTTCAAATAGTGATCGCGATAGCCTTTCCTTTGGGGCGAGTTCTCACATCATTTGATTTCAAAAACCGGTCACCATCCGATCGATCGAGCCAGCCATTTCGAGCAAAATTCATAAACCCGCCGAGGTCTTCTTTTGTGTTCAACCCAGAGTCAAATCGTCACAAACGGAATCAAGAATCTCGGCACTCTTTATGAGGGAAACAGTGGACTCGAAGGTTGACGACTGTCTCTAACCCTGTCCATCAACCCCAGGAAAACCGAACGGTCCTACTCTCAACACACTTTCAACGCCTCTTTCTTCTCCATTCCAACCCCTGGTCACTGGTCAGCCTGCAGCACAGGTGACAGACGAAAGCCAACCCTAAAAAAGCCGGGCACCACGCTTCTTCTCTCGGGAGGCTGTAGGGCAGAAGAGAAGCCAACAGCCGCGAAGCCGCCCCAAAGCCAAAAGAATCACCCGAAGGCCCGAAGCCGGAAGCACCTAGCCCCCCTTAAACGGTTCGCTTTCCTGGACTCTGGAGGTGCCAAGGGCGCCCCAACCTCAAAGCGAAGCCTCATCATTCATTGTTGGCCGTTGCCGAGAAAGAAAGCGGCCCAAGCTTTCCTCCTTTCACAAACCCCCCCCGGCTCGCATCGTGTCGTGGCCGTCGCCCGCTAAAACTAACACCTCCATTCCCACCTACAAACTGCACCACTGCAGCAGACGCGTTCCCACTCGGTTCCAAACATTTCTGCTGCACCCTTACTTTATTATTCACTTACATTCCTCCACATTCACCATCAATTGACGTCGACTTCACGACGCGACGATGCCATCTGTCGTGTATCCTTACACTGTTACAAACAGTCACAAAGGGTATGTTTCCGCACGCTTCCCCCGACCTATGTCAATGACCCTTGCCTCGAGAGCCAACCTCGCTAACAATACTTTTCGTGTCAGGGGCCTCTTCATGCGTACTTACAGCCGCAATGTCCGACGCGCTTGGGATGGTGAAGACTATCGTCCGCCAAAGCGCCAGCGTCTCGAAGATGCATGGAACGCGCATTCGTTCACCTCGGGTGGTTACAACGAGAATATGACGACCAAGTCAATCGATCTTGAAGACAGCCTCGAACGCGCCATTCGCGAAACCAGTGTTGCTGCACTATCCTCATCGCCCTCGCGGAAGAACAGCACAGTCTTCTCGGCAGAGTCCCGAGAAGACGACGTAGGCAGCACCATCACGCCCCCTTCATCACCTCCGCCAACGCTACAGCTCACGCCACCCAACGTGAAGGCGCGGAAACCTACATTCTCGTTCATGGACAAGTCCAAGAAGGAAAAGAAGGACCTCAAAAACGCGAAAAGGAAGCGCGATGCCCAAGTTGCTGGCTTGTTGGGTGCCGAAAACAACACGCGTCACGACTCGGAGCCTCTGTCCGAGATCTTCAACAACAGCACACGCGCGCAGGGCACACAACCTTTGGTCCGAGACGCGTCTGCCGGTCGAGATGCAGGAGTGCAGCTGGCCACAGGTGCCACGCGACCATCTGCACCTAAACAAAATCTGGTGCAGACAGTCCTCGATCTAGGCCAACCTCTGGCCCCCACAACTTGCGCACAGTGTCAAATGTCCTACATGCCCACATTATCCGAGGATGCACAGCTGCACGATATGTTTCATCATCGTGACAGTTCTGGTATTGAACTCGGGAAACCGTTCCTAAAATCGGCAATGCGCTGGTGCTATCAAGTGCCACAAATCCCCGGTAGTGTGGTCGTGGTGGACAGAAAGCTTTCTCTGCCCGCACGAAGGACCGTTCAGAAACTTCTATCAATCGTCAGTAAAGAGCTCGGTAGTGTCGAGATCAAAGAGGAGGAATTGTGGAGCCAACGGGCCTTGGAGGGCGAGAAAGACGAGGGCCGAAAATGTGACCGATACAAGGTTTTCCTGCATATCATCGACGAAAAATGCGTGGGCGTCTGTTTGGCAGAGCGAATCACCAAAGCTCACCGGGTCCTTCCGATTGAGACGGCTACCAGCGAGACTTTGGCTTTGAACGATCATTTCAAGCCCATTGCTCCTGCAACACCGGCAGCCACAGAAGTGCATGACGAAGACTCGACTCAAATGCACGTTAGGCCTCAGATCCCAACGCCAGTGGCCAGCCCAACATCTTCGGGCCCGTCGTCGAGCATCAGCATCTCAGAGGAGACGTACCCGGCGGTGGTTGGTGTTAGCCGGATCTGGACGAGCCGGGCGTTCCGGCACAAAGGCATTGCCAACAACCTTTTGGAATGCGTCATGCATCAATTCATTTATGGTATGGAAATTGAACCTCTGCAGGTGGCTTTCAGTCAGCCTACCGAGAGTGGAGCGGCATTGGCAAGGGCATGGTTTGGTGAGGGTCATGGGTGGGCTGTGTATCGGGAGGAATGAGGGCGGTGTACAATATAGGAGGGAGCGGCATACGCTGGCATCGGGGGCTTAGATGGGCATGGCATCACGGGCCGACTGATTCATGGATTTCATGGATTGTATGATATCTGCATTTGTTGGATTATAAAGAACGAAAGACAGACAGGATATATGTGGGCAGGAGTCGTGATGGTTTTTCTGTATGAATCAACGGCTCAAGGAGCTTGTGGATCACACGATTCCAGTAAAGATCACAGCTGAGAAGCTTCGTTGAATGGAGCTAGAGTGCAGTGTGCTGTGACATCAGGGTTTGATCACTTGTTCAGATTACGATACGAGTAGATGCAATACAGCACTGTCTCGTTCTGGTTCTGCGAGATGCTTGATGCTCAGGTCAATGTCCAGATGCTCGAGGTCTGGTCTGCTTTTCCTTTTCTCTGACTGCTATGCCATTCTTGCATCTGGCAGTGGGAGGGCCGGGGAACTAAAGGTCATGTTCTCCTGCAGGACCTGCTACTAGGAGTTTGTTGACTTGTATGATAAGGTGTGTGCCTTGACCCTCTCTTGGAGTGTGGATTGAACAGTTTTGGAGAATAAATATACACCTCCCACGACTTTAGATGTCCACCCTAAAGGGCAAGAATGACAACACGGGTTGTCAAGACCACGCTCAGACAACCTTGCACGGTGACAAGTCCCTCTTGAGTATCCAGCATGGGAAATCACCACTGATCGGATGGGGAATAATGCACTTACCCGAAGGGATGAACATAGACAATGTTGGCTGTGGACCAGCCTCGATGTCAGCATCGATAACGGACTTGCCCAGTTAGAGACTTCAGCCCAAAAGTCTTCCCACGATCGACACCTGAGGTCACTCTGAACTTGACAATACTGCTGCATGCTTCACTATCATGTCCAGCCCGCGGTCCTACACGGTGATGGATCAGGGTCAGTCCGTCTGCCTTGCCGTGCGTCTCTCTTGCGTTGGCGGGACTTGGCAGACAGGCTCAGCCACAGCCAGCTGTAGACAGAAAACCGTGAGATCACGACTTTGCATAAGACCGCAGCGACACCTCGTGGTCAATAAGGGCACCTGAAGCTGTACCGAGATATGGCAATGGCCTGGAGCCTCTGCCCCTGAAAAAGGCTGCACTGTGCCAGGCAATGATCGCACCATGGCAAGACATGCTCCGACGGACGATGTCCTACGCAACGCCTTTAGCATAATATCATCACTGACCGAAGAAAAACTATTCTCCAATGCTTGCACAATACACGAGCATTGCGAAGGCATCTGTGAAAGCCTGTCGAACGACCTGGAACTGGTGTTTGGAGCAGAGGTCGATTTCGGGGACCAGATCAAGGGTGTTCCAACGAAGGGCAACCGAGGACCGCGAGATGAAACCTGGCTTGAATCACAAGACCCCCCGTTTCCACCTTACGAGTATGATTCAATCAATTCCGAAGCGGGGACAATTCGTCTCCTGCGTGTGAACCGGGCTATCTACCGGGCCGACGTCCTGGAATGTGAATTGATAGTTTGCAACATCCCGAATATCCCAGCGTACGACGCACTGTCATACTGCTGGGGTCAGCCACTATTCGATCACAGCCTTCTCTGCAATGGCCGGCGCATGAACATTGGCAAATCTCTACATGCAGCACTGCAACGTTACCGGCAAGCTGAAGATAGCGAGAAGCAAGAGTACCTCTGGGCGGATGCAATCTGCGTTAACCAGAAGGATACGTCCGAACGGAGTCAGCAACTTTCACTTATGCGGCAAATTTATGAGTCTGCTCAGACCGTTCGGGTCGATCTTGGAGACGCTCCAGTGACCGGATGGTCTGAGGGATACAATTTGTGCCAATTGCTCGACGTTGCCGAGCAGGAGGCGGGCCTCATGAGAGAGCTGCAAAGCACCCAAGGCAGGGACGAAATCACAACGGAGAGGATATTAGAGCGCTTTGGTCTGCCTGCTATGGGCGATCCTCCTTGGATCGATCTCTTGCGACTATTCGAATCACCATGGTGGACTCGGACATGGACTGTCCAAGAGATTATCATGGCCCGCAGAGCCAGGCTGTGCCTAGGAATTTTCATGGTCCCATGGAAGCAATGTTGGACGGTGGTGCAAGTGATCAAACGCCTTCAACTGACGATTCCTACAGAATCTTTCCCAAGCTTCGCAGCAACTGTCGGCTTTCTAAACTATGACAAGATCAGAAGACTATCGCAGTGGAATGCATGTGCTCGCACGCATTACGCCCCGCTCCTTGCGGTGATGCATGCAAAAGACTTCGATGTCTCCGACCCGAGAGACAAGATCATCGGGCCGTTGACTCTGATTGACGAAAAGCCAGCCGCAGGTATTTCGCCGTTCTTACCCGACTACAGCCTAAGCGTCGGAACTTTCTATCAGCGTTTCACCATCCACTTGGTGGAACTCGGCCTCGGCCACCATTTCCTGGACCTTGCGGGTTTGCACCGGAGACTGGTACTGTCAGGAGTTGATTCAGATGCAGCACCTTCCTGGGTCGTAGACTGGATGGCACAAAACAAGTACGACGCAGTCCAATACTTTATTCGCTGATTTGCGTATTGTACCAGCCAAGCCATATCATGCTAACGGACGGACGACTTTCCGGCGGGTTTTAGCTCCGACTGGTGACGGGGTCAACGCAGACACCATGATCGTGAATGCAACAATCCTAGACGGCATCAAGGCTATGACTGGTGTTCTAAATGTAAGTGGTGCTAAAACATGGCAACAAGGTGTCCAAATTATGTCTCGCACAAAACTAGATTGGATTCGTGAGGCCCAGAATCTGGTATTCAAAAGTGAAGGTGTGATAGCAGCAACTGGCCGGTATTCCGACCTACCAGAAGCCTTTGCCTGGACAACATTAGGAAATGGTCAGTATGCCGGTAACAAGGCGAGGGAAGGAAAAGCGTTGATCGAGAATCCGCACGATGCTCTTCGAAAATTGCAGGCGCACCTCGATCAAGTGGCAGAGGGTGCGCCGATACGCTACTTAGATTCTGCCAACCCGGTCCTCGCCGTTGTGTCCAAGCAAACGACGTCCGTGTGCAACGGGCGGAAGTTTGCCGTCCTTGAAGGCGGCTGGATAGGTCTTGTGCCAGAGTGTGCAAACGAGGGCGATGAGGTGTGGATCATCCATGGGTGCCCAGTTCCCTTTCTGTTAAGACGGACAGGCACAATCATGCCTGACACTGGCATTCAACCGAGGCTACTTGTCGGTGATGCATACGTGCATGGTGTCATGGAAGGTGAAGCTCTTTTCGGAAACATTTGAGACAACAGAGCTTTGGATTCGTTAAGATATGGCACAGCACAGGTCGAGCAGTCAGTCCAACGGACGCAAGCTGTCTGACAAAGAGTTGGAATTATAGAACAGCAGGTTGTGAATTCTCCTTGAGCTGCACAGCATGAGTTCTATTTCTGCCGGCGAGAAGAGCGAAAAGGCCATTACTCTGCCGCAAGTCTTGTGTCTCTGCAAGCCTTCCGGCGTTGTGGGCAGATCTCGGAATCTCGCAAAAGCTTCATATTACATCCAAGAAATAGTCCGAGACCTTACTCCCCTGATCAACCACCATGTCCTGATCCAAATCCGGAGCACCATAGAAGTACTTCTTCCCCACGACGTCAAGTGCACCTTTCTCTTCCGCCCTAAGAGCTGGACAAACATGTTTAGCTGCCGTTCGCCACAAGAGGAACTGCTCCGCAAACAGCGGATGAGCTTTCGGTCTGAGTTTGTGCACGCTCCGGACGGTAAAAGACCAAGGCTTTCCCAACGCCGTGAAGTGCAAGCTGTACACGTCGTCATGGAAGATGGAGGTCAAAGGGTCGATGACGCCAGCGTCATACACGGCAGATTCCTGCTTGTAGTCAGACCATCTCGGCACCATGCCTGTTTCCCAGTGACTGTTCAATGCGAGGAACTGTGGCGGCAGAAGTAATATCTCGCCCTTGAACTCAGTATTGATCAAGTCCATATCATATGTGTCGGCGCTGAGACTGGCTAGCGCGGCATCCACTCTGTTCCACAACGACTCGGAGGGCGAAATCATCATCATCGCTGTCGACGCTATCGAGTCTTCGCGAGCCCAGTACGCACGCGCCGCTGAGATTCCGATGTCCTCTGGCACCCTGGTGAACAAGTCATCGAGAGAACGCAGGAGTAATTGGTCCGCGTCCATGACAATGATGCGTTTTACGTGCGGTGCCCAGCGGTGCAGCTTGAAACTGATCAACTTGAGCATCACGGCGTGATAGTAATTGGAGCCAGTTGGGCTCGGAGAGATTGGCGGCGGTTCGTGCTCGATGACCGTCACGTCGTACCGTTCGCGAAACGCTGTTTTGTATGTCACGGAGACGTCCTTGGACACCAGCAGGTATATGGGATGGCGGGTGTGGAAGAGATTGCGGAGCCGGTGGGCGTTGATCATGGCGGAACACGCGTAGACATTGTTGGTCGCGTAGAAGACATATGCATACTCCTTGCTGTTTGTGTGCTTGGGATCTCGCGCAAGCTCATGAGAAAAGTGTAATGTGTTGAGGCTGTAGAGGCACAGTAAGAGCGAGCAAAGACAGAAGAAGGCTACACGGAAGGGAAATCGCATTGTAACCGTAGGCCTGACGTTATTTCCATGTTCCTAGCCTGTTGTGCCGCAGGTCGGCGCCCTTTTGAACGCGATGAATATCTCAATCCCCTTGCATTGTGATTGCGGCGCACATTCCGCCCAAGTGCACAGGTACTGATGATGCAAAGCACACAGAACAGACATATGATTGCAGTAATTTGCATCGTTGACCCGGGAGTACAACCATACCACAGCACTCCTATCTAACCGTCGTTGGACCTGACCGCTGCCCGAAGCTCATTGAAGCAGAGAAATGGAATCATTGCGAAGCAGACTCAAAGACCGCTCGCACATCCCTCTTCGACACTGATTTGGCATCGAGCTTGAACACGGGATATCTGTGGAAGTGCTGCTCATTCGATGGCATGTTCGAGTGTCGTCGGCCGTAGTTTCTCCAAACATTCAGAACAATCGTGATCTGTTTCTCAGCGTCCTTGTCCACTTGTAACCTATGGTCAGTTTCGCAGTAATAACATTTGAACGGTCTCAATAGTATTTGTGGCTTCCTTTTCTTCGAGCCTTCGACATCTGTAACAGCCTTCGCAACAGCCCGGAACATGTTGTCTTTGCCAGGATTGAAACGATAGTGCAGGCATAGCTCCATATCGAAGAAACGTGCCATAGCTGCCATTCCTTCTCGCCCCTCCAGCTCCAATCGACTGACAAGTATAAGCTGGCCGTCTATCAATCGAGCCTCGTTGGTGCGCGAAATGCCGTGGCGATCCTTACCGCTAGAGTTGAAGAAAGACAAAGGTAAGCCGTTGGTAGGTCCATGCTCGTACGCCTGGAGAATCAGGTCGACAATGTTGCGTGACAGAAAGGTGTAATCAGTGTCACCTGCCCGGACCAAGCGTCTGTAAGACAACAGTGTGTCGGCATGTTGGTGTTGGCTGGCACGCGGACAATCGTACTGGGAGGTCTGCATTCTGCGCCACAGATATAGAAAGCCGCATGATCGGCATGTCAGATATTCCGGATGGTCGAGTTGAAGGCGTTGAAGGAAGCGCACTTTCGTTGCTCTGTCGTGTATAGCCAAGTCGACGAAGGTGTTGAGAAGAGAATGAAGTTGTTTGCAAGAGAGGCTTAGCAAGAGCTGAGACTCCTTGTCCAGAAAGCTCGCAACGTTTAGGACTAACTCGTCTGGAAGATCGACGAGCGTGGTGTGGTGATAACATTCTTGCTCTGCCCGTGTGTTGGTCGTGCCGGCTGTGCCGTTTGTGCTTTCCATCAGTTCTTTGGTGTCGTAAGTCTAAGTCACGTCAGTCCGCCGATCTGTCAACAGGTAGAGGAGTGGTACCACGACAGGACGCTACCGAGGCGGACAGGAGAAGTGCTAAGTCCTTGAGGACGCTGTAGAATTGCGATATCTTTTGCTTTCCAAGCGCACACGTGAACTTGCGGAGCTATGTGTAAGTCTCGGCGCAACAAACCAAGACGACAAAGAGAGGATCCAATAGAAGATGATTCGAAGAAAGGCGCAAACTGGGAGCGAGAAGCAAATATCTCGTTCGCGCCAAGGTGTGTGATACGACCGCACCCAATGCTGGGTCCGGCGACGAGATGGGACCCCTTGAGCCTCCGGAGTGCGTCGTGAACAACGTTACTCGTCTTCTTGCTAGCCGAAAGCCAGTGCCAGCTTTCCGGTCCACCGGAGAAGAAGCATCCTCATAGATTCCCGCGTCGGCTGTCACTGGTAGATCATTGCGACTCAATAGGACACAACGAACCAAACATGCCTGCCAGCATTGCTTTCCATCATTTTCGCCCGAGGGAGTCAGCCAGCTAGATCTGGAAGTCATGAGCATTAGCAGGCAGTCGACCTCCAAGGCCACCTTGACAGACGGTGGTATGGCCATTCACTGGGAGGTCGAATACGAGATGTGATAAAGCAAGCTTGAACAAGAAACAGAAGAAAGGCAACAGTCTCAGTCCGGAAGGCACCTTGTCCATGCTTTGATCGCGCTGTGGAAACACAGCCGACTCACTGTCCAAATCGCCATTCAGGAACACAAACACGCTTCTGCTATTTTGAAATCTTTGTACAAGTATGCTTTGCGGATTACTGCATCAGAACCAGAGGCGTTTATGCAAGCAGCATCTTTCTCGGATCTTCTATGTATTCCTGCAACGCTTGTCAGTGCTGTACCGGAGTGGAATTTTCAAGGGCTTACCTTGATCTTCACCAGGAATGTGACAGCTTCCCTACCGTCCAATAGACGATGGTCGTACGTGAGGGCGAGGTACATCATCTTCGCGATTTAGCATTGGAACTTGTTTCATGCGGGGACGAACTTACCGGTCTGATTTCGATCTTGCCATCGACCACGACAGGTCTTTCCTTGGTAGCGTGCAGGCCGAGCACTGCGGTTTGAGGTAGGTTGATGATCGGGGTTCCCATCATTGATCCGAAGACACCACCGTTGCTGATGGTGAATGTGCCGCCGGCCATATCTTCGATGGACAACTTCCCGTCTCGAGCCTGTTATTCGGTCAGTGTGCGATACAGCAAGTCTCATACGAGTCACATACCTTCTTGCCTAGCTCTGCAATGGCCTTTTCGATTTCGATCATGTTCATGCTCTCGGCATTACGGACAACAGGTGTTACAAGACCCTTGGGCGTTGCGACTGCAACACTGATATCGACAAAGTCTCTGTAGACGATGGTGTCACCGCCTCCGGGACCTTCGATTGATGCGTTGACGGTGGGAATATCCTTCATTGCAAGGACAGCAGCTTTGCTGAAGGCACTCATGAAGCCGAGTTTGACTCCGGTACTTTTCAGGATCTCGTCCTTGTATCGCTTGCGGAATTCCATGATATTGGACATGTCGACTTCGTTGAAGGTTGTCAGCGATGCTGCAGTGTTCTGAGACTGCTTCAGACGTTCTGCAATCCTTAGACGCATGCGGTTCATTTTCACCTATCGATCAGTCAGCTTTTTGCTTGAGAAAAGGCGGAAGATCGCGTACTCTATTCTCGTTCCTAGTACCCTTTCCGAAAGGCGAGTCGATTCCTTTCGGTTCTTCTTGGGCAGGTTTCTTGTCCTTCTTGTCCTCTTTGGGAGAAGCAGGCTTCTTCTCTTCTTTAGGTGGCGCCGGCTTCTCCTCCTTCTTCGGTGCTGGCTCTTCCTTCTTTGGTTCCTCCTTAGGTTCCTCCTTAGGTTCCTCCTTAGGCTTCTTCTCCTTGGGTTCCTCTGGCTGTGAACTTGTAGGCTGGTCTTCAGAAGCTGGCTCTTTGGGTTCTTGGCTGGCCTCTTTGGAACCTCCGCCGCCGCCCTCACCAGGCTCGATCTTTGCGATTTCCTGTCCGACCGTGACAGTGTCGCCTTCACTGACCAATAGCTCTGTGATCTTGCCAGCTTCTGGCGCATTCACTGAAACGTCGATCTTGTCTGTCTCGATTGAAGCGATCTCTTCGTCCTGCTCAACGTAGTCGCCCACTTGTTTGGTGAAGCTGCTGAGCGTGCCTTCCGAGATAGACTCAGCCATCTGAGGCACTTTGACAACGGTCTCTGCATACTGGACGGGAGAAGTGCTGAATTGCTGGTATCGCGAAAGGGAAGCATAGGAGGAGCCGGCGGCAGTATGTGAGCTGATGAGGCATGACTGCCGAGGTGAGGGTTTCGACCTCAGGGCACTGTAGCAGCGTACTCGAAGGGTAGAGCTGTATCTAGGAGATGCAATGGCAGAGCTCAGAGCTGGCGTTCGCCGAAGCCGAAGAGAAGCCATGTTGCGCAAGTATTGTTACCGGCTGCGTCAGAAGGGAAACAAGACGATCGATGCTCCAAAGAGCGAGCTTGCTTATTGTACCAGCATACGACGCGGGAACCCGCAAGCTTTTAACAGCAAGAAAAGAGATTGAAGGCCTCACAAACGCCTTCTCAATGCTGGGGCTTATGGATCGTGAAAGTCGAGAAAATGAGAGTCCTCGATCCCCAACTTGGAAAGCTTCTGGGGAGCTGTGACTGGCCTGGGCATACGACAGAATTGAAAGTCGCGCAGCGAAACGCAGCCGTTCCATGCCCGGAAGCGAAAAGGGCTTCCGCCAACCTGGAGAGCTTCCGATGCCAAGCCCAAAGCAAATGAACCTATTGCCTTAGCACTTCCAATCGACGTGCTGCCATTACGCAGAGAACAGCTATTGCTCGACAGACCACAACACCTTCCGACGTAGAGAGCAGACGAGTGCAGTTTGACTGGCGGGTACCCGGTCTCTGCATTGAGGAGGTTCTCGTCTACAAGTGCGCCTCGGTGCGCCTTTGTCCTCCAGCCATGTCGACCATCTCTCCTCACGTCAAGACCGTCCGGTAATGCTATCCCTAGGCAGTTGCTGCTCAGAACCAGGACTGATACTTTGATATAGGTCTCTTTACCGACGCTCATTGAGGCTAGCTCTTGACTGGGCCGTGCAGCGAAGTCTCTGGCGTGGACAAGCAGTCTACATCCGTTCCCTCTTCGATGCCAACAGAAGCGTAACCGACCCAAGACACCAAAGAGTACGATGATCGCTATACGGACCTGTATAACCAGAATGAGATCTGACATGTTGATGCTAGGTACTATTCACGGAGACGGAGAAATTATTAGCAAAATGGAAGCACCCTGATCCATATAGACCACCAACGGCTCCAGGAGGTTCGTACAGCTTTCACAAGATATTGAGGGCCACATCTCTTAACAAGTCTGACTCTACTTCTCAGGTTCCAAATTCGAGAGAAACCTCCCGGCGCCAGATCTGCCACCACCATCCAGAGAGTTTGTAAAGAGGTTATGAGGATCCATGCGCATATCGAAGTTTAGCATTGTACATATTGTCATTAGTGGATCAGGCCTTTTGATGCAGACCCTGAGGCAATGGAAAGGCCTTACTTGATCACCCTGTGATCTGGTTCTTTGCGCAGAGCTCTTCCCAGAGCGTTGCCTTCTGTCAGCTTTGACGTTTCTGGACTTGCTGCCTGAACAATCCGTCAATTCGAATCCTCAATGTCCAGGTTCTTGTACTGTTTGGAAAGGACTGATCTTGCCGCGCAACGCTCGCACTAGTGGAACTACATTACGGCCGCTGACACGCGCTTCCGCAATGTTTTGACCTGATTACGCGATGCTTCACCTAAACTGGGAGAAAGACTCAGGAGTCTTGCAAGCACAATAGGAAACGAACAAAATGTTTGGTGATGATTTGCCATTGTCTGTGGATCATGAATTTGCTCTTCATCAACACAGCTTTCGTTGCAAAGCTCATTGACTCGCCTTGCCAGCACATTTCTCATGCCCCTTTCGCATTCCTATCCATGTTCATGATGATGATAGGCATGCATGGGCATAATGTACAACCATAACCGTGAAAGCAAATTCTGAAAAGGCCAATTGACCCGGCCAGCCCAACCCCAGAACCCCGTGTGATCACATTGTCATGAAACTCCCATGTAAACCAAGCCAGAAACCAGAAAAGACATGTTTATATCTCTTGGCTACCTGCGGCCTTGCCCTTGGCGGTCTTCTTTGGCAGGAGGTCTGAAGTGCAACGTTAGTGACTGTCTTGTGATGAAAGATGATGTGAAACGTACTCTGGTGAATGTTGGGCAGGACACCACCTTGGGCGATTGTGACGTGACCCAACAGCTTGTTCAACTCCTCATCGTTGCGGATGGCGAGCTGGAGATGACGGGGGATGATACGGGTCTTCTTGTTGTCACGAGCGGCGTTGCCAGCCAACTCGAGGATTTCAGCAGCCAGGTATTCCAAGACAGCAGCGAGGTAGACGGGAGCACCGGCACCGACACGCTGAGCGTAGTTGCCCTTTCTCAAGAGACGGTGGACACGACCGACAGGGAAAGCGAGACCGGCCTTCGAGGATCGGCTGCAGTAGAGGTTAGTATTTGGATGGAAGACGCGTCGCATAGCCAATGCGATCACATGAGATGGGTCGCAAATGATGGAAGACTTACGATTGAGCGTTCTTGGAGCCAGAGGCCTTGCCGCCAGATTTGCCGCCAGTCATTTTGAATGAGGTTTGTGAGTTTGGTTTTTGAAAAAGTGGAAGTGTTGTGTGAGATGAAGTCTCAATGGACGTGAGAGATGAATGCGATGGAAAGCTGGGTTGACGATGGATGAAAAAAGGAGAAAAGGGAAAGCGTTGATGAGGGTGGGAAGCAAAGCAGTTATAAAGGATAAGGGCAGGCGGCGATGCGGGCAGTGGGCAAGCAAAGTCGCGCCTCCAGATCAACCTCCGGGAGAGAATCAAAGGGGAGGGAGTGACGACGGAAGCATGAGTTTGGATCAACAAGAAGCTGTCGCGGCCAATGAGAAGGCAGGGAGGGGAATGATCAAAAACGACTTTTCCAAGGCGTTTTACAATACTGCGCTAAATTACAGACTGTGACCATATCTTTCCGCCAAGATCTTTGATCCTGCACTCTGACTGGTTCAAAAGTGATCAAAAACGACGACTAGACAATACACACATTAATCGCGCAATCTCGTTACCCAGGATCAACCCGTGCGCGCTGTCTTCCCTCCTTCGCACTTCGCATCAACCCGCCTTCTCCTCCTGCACTTGCGCCTGGTATAAGAGTCGCCATCATCCGCACTTCGCGACTTCCACTTCTTTTCCTTCTCCATCCATCCCACATCTGTCTACTTGCATCACGCTCGTACATCTTCATCAATCCAATTCATCTCTTCAAACCACACTCACCTTTTTTCCAATCCAAAATCAGAAATGGCTCCCAAAGCTGCTGAGAAGAAGCCCACCACTGGAGGCAAGGCCCCAGCTGGCAAGGCGCCTGCCGCCGAGAAGAAGGAGGCTGGCAAGAAGACCGCAGCGGCACCATCAGGTGACAAGAAGAAGCGTGGAAAGACGCGAAAGGAAACCTACTCTTCATACATCTACAAGGGTGAGTTTGAACCTCATTGACGCGTTTGCAACTCAAGCGCATCTCACTTCGAATTTCATTACTGACGCGTCATCGCAGTCCTCAAGCAGGTTCACCCAGACACCGGTATCTCCAACCGTGCTATGTCCATCTTGAACTCATTCGTCAACGGTAAGTCGCATGCGCCAATCGATCTCTCTCCCCCAAATACTAATTTGCTTTTCAGACATCTTCGAGCGTGTCGCCACTGAGGCTTCCAAGCTTGCTGCCTACAACAAGAAGTCCACCATCTCATCCCGAGAAATCCAAACCTCCGTCAGACTCATCCTGCCTGGTGAGCTGGCCAAGCACGCCGTCTCTGAGGGCACAAAGGCCGTCACCAAGTACTCTTCCCAGAGCAAATAGATGGTTTCATAAGTTGCATGAGGATGCTTGGGTCTTGGGTTTTGCGTGTTTCTTTACTGCAATGGGGTTGTGGCACAATGGAACAACGGTGTTGAACGGGTTTTTGCAACACTTCACGATGCTTCATGGGAATCAGAATCGGGGATCAATGATGATGAGCTGTGTCAGGCTTTGAAATTGCTTGCTCATCAAGATCAAATCATGCTTTACGGGCTTTGTTGGCTTTTCATCATGGACATGGTGAACCAAATCACTGTACAATTACTACCAAGAGCCAGAGCATGAAATATCAAGATTTCAGCTTGGGAATCCAAACTGAGATTGAGGTACAGAAAACAAAATTCAAAGCATGAAATGAATCTTCCTTTTGCATTGAACACATCCTAGAGTGTCTTCCGTATTGGAATTCGAAGGTGAGTTCAGCAATGTTTGGTACGCGCTCTGACCCACGGACGCGCTAGACAAGGCATGTACTGTAAACACGCGATGAGACTGTCATGGGCGTGGCTGGGACAGCAAGCACAGGCAACCACGACAACGGTATCAGTGTATGCTAGAGCCGGTACGTTTTGACAACAGCATCAGGGCGTGCAGCAGCTACGGATAGTCTGGATTATGACTTGAATCTGGCTTGGTTTGTGATCTGATACGAGTGGACACTGCGAACCAGTACGGATGTTTCATGTTATCATGGTATAAGAGCAGCGGTATCAAACCCCGATGCAATCCACCCAAAACGCCATACCGCCATACCGCCATACCGCCATTCATCATAAGAAATCATTATAATCTCAAGCCACCTCCAACGGGACATCCTTGTTATGTTCCACCCGCACCGGTTCATCTTCACCTTGACTCGTGCCCTTGTTTTCGGCCTGCTCTTCCGTGCCTGTGACTGTAACAGCATCATTGTCTTCATCCTCATCGTCAAATGTCTCAACTTCGTCGACAGCCTCCTTGCGTTCCTTCGTCTCTCCAGGAATGGGCGGTTCCTTGTCAAAGACACTGACGATTGCCTTGCCCTTAACCTCCTTAAGTCTGCGCTTCCAGTCCTTCCAATCTGCCTCGTCCTTGATCAAAAATCCGATGAGCATGCTTGGGTCCATCTCGCTGATGCGCAAACCCCTCAGACGGCGCGTATGGCAAGTAGTGATCTCCTCCTCCGTGTAATCCGAAGCATTATCGTGATGGGGTAGAGCAGGTCGCGTCTCGTGTGGGTCGAGGTAGAAGAACTGGTCGCCTTGACAGCCAACGAAGTAGTGCGAAGAAGAGGGCCGGCCACCTGCTATTCCAATTGATTGCGGGTACGTGAGTGCGCTCTTTAAGGCTTCATGATAGACTGGCGTAATCCTGTCAAGGCCCAGTCTGATTCCCAGCAGTATCAGCGTTGGTTTGAGTGTAGGATCCGTAGGGTTCGTTGCAGCGATCGACCGAAACCGATCTTCGTAGACTTCCGATGCGGAGGGCGTAACGTAGACACGAAGTCCTGCGGCAGCACATTCTGCGGAGAGCTCCTTGATGCATGATGCGGTCGCTGAAGGACCAAACCATTGGCCTGGATGTTTTCCACAGGCGGATGCACCATGTTGGACAAATCGGTGGATGGAGAAGGGTGCGTCAGGCGAGTCGGAGAACAGGGAGAGAATTGAAGCCTCGCTTTTGGTGGTTTCAGAAAGAGTGTCTGTGGTGATGTGATGAGGCCGCCTCCAATCGCGCCCTAGCTGGAGCATGACCAGGGCGTTCGCAAGAAGAGATTGTCCAGATCTGATCATACAACCCCAGCCAGTATCACTGCTGAAGCCTTCTCGCTCGGTCAGATTACGAAGCCGGACAGAGAATGACAGGCCGACACTCGAAGAGGGATCTTGTGAACGTGCTATTGGAGTGAAGTTGGAGCGGTAAGTCATCCATATCCGCGACTCGAAGTCGTCTAAGAATGGGTGTGGCCAGCCCCCATCGGACGGGTCATTCGACAACGAAGGCAAGTTATCTCCTGTAACATGCTGAGCATCATCGAAACTGCCGGTGTTTTGAGGTGGTTGGGATTGAGTGTCTGCTGTAGTAGATGCAGTTGTGTCCGATGGATCGTGGGAGTCTGTGGACGATTCAACTTCAACCACATCGTCATGGTCTGTTGTAGTTACCGGCTTAGGCGGTGTAGGCTTATATTCTTTCCCCAGGAGCCATATTGACGTCCCAGACATGTCATCATATTTCGGGGGAGGGTCGTAGAAATAGCGCACGAAGCGCTTGTAGTCAACCCCATTCATGACGCCCTGGATAGGGAGGGTTTGAATGCTGGAGGAGAGGGCATTCAGCAACCCAAGGGCTGTGAGAGGCCGGTATGGATTTCGGCTGTCGGACTCGTCTACACGATGGGTGTTCTGCTTATCCTCTTTACTTGGCCAGTCTTGTCGGATGCGATAAGAATGGCGGAGGTCTTGAGATTGTGGATTGTGACGAGTTGTATACAGAGCACGGATGGCTTCCAGGGCGTTGAAGTGCGAGGGGGGGGCAAGATGGAGGATCGGTCGGGAAGGACGGTGTGTTGCCGCGATTCGCTGGTAACCCTATACAACGTATGCCGTCGGTGTGCTGTTGATCAATATCGTCTGGAATAAAGATGGAGGTTGAGTGCTATGTTTGCCGCAGTCGCAGGCATCAGGTCCGGTGGTCAGCCTTGCAGGGGGGTGTTGCCAATGATGCGTTCGAGGCTGCCAGATGCGGCGAAATGACTGGTGCGGGATCGTCATTGATTCACGCGCAGAAAGTGCTTCTGAGTTTCAACCCGACACACTCATCTCATAACGTGAATTCAATGTCTTAACAGTGGCAACAACATCTTCAAACCACACAGCTCAAATTGCTGTATAAGGTATCTGTTCGCCAATATTGGTTCAATCAGTTGTCCTTCCTCATTATACTACGTCAGAGTCGTCAATTGCGAGTTCTAACAGGTACTGGACACATTAACCCCCACCATGGGGGCGCGAGAACGCGCTCGAGCCCGAGGAAAGAAAGGCAATGGAGCACAGAAAAGCCCAAAGTGGTCTCAGAGACAGTCTAGTGCTTCTCTCAAAGGTATTGCAGATTGCACACACGGCAGATGGACCAGCAAATTGACCTCTTCTAGTCCCTGACCTTGATCCGCGCCTTCGACATCGAGCACTCTTACAAGACTGGCAAGACTTCTCGGACTCAGGCTCTCCCCATGGTCGCAACGGCATGTTCAGTATGAGCCAAGAAGCCAGGAACACTGAGCGCCACGCATCGGGTTGGGGTACGACCAGGTTAAGAGATCAAACCGTGGCTTTTGTCAGTGCCGGCAGTTTGGTTCGGGATGAGCTTGATGATGAGGAGAAACAAGATGATACCGAGCAAGAAAGAGGCGACCTACCTTCCGAAGATCCTCGGCCGGAACAGTTAAAAGCCAGGGTCGACGACCACGTTGAGGAACAACCACAGCATACGGACGAGCAAGATGGCAACACGGAGGCTGCCAGTGCTCAGACCCCCAGTCCTGCACCTGCACCTGCACCTACAGCTGCTCTACCTCCAAAAGACACGCAACCCAGAAGAGTCTCCGTATCATCGGACTCTTCGGGAGAAGAAATATTGTTTGCTGGTCGACAGAATGCTGGTCAGAGTCGTGCTCGCACAATCAAAGGTCCACCGAGAAACCTGTCACCTCCCGCCCAGGAGCCTCTGGATGATAGTGCTGACTTCCAGACCACCGAACAATCCGATGCTGCTCCACAGAACGACGTTACGTCTCCGTCACGCAAGTTCAAGCCTATATCATTACGAAGCAAGAAAATGGATCGGCGAGGAAAGCTACGACTACGATCGACAAACAAGAGAGATGAGGAAGAAGCGATTATGAATGATTACATCGCCAACCTTGCGATGAACGATGACAGTGAGGAGGACGACGACGAGGACGAAGGCGGAAAGCCGGCTGGCAAGAGAAATGAGCACTTCAGGTTCTTCGACGGCACTGCTGAAGCCAACGTGAAGGTCCAGATACAACGCTTGTCTGCCCAACAACCTAAGTCTCCAAAACCTGACCAGGCCATTGACTGGGATTCGGCGGACTTGGAAGACTTTGATGATTTGAGCACCACTGATGAGGAAATGGGTGAGATCAGCCAGGTTTTACGACACCGAGTCCGTGAGAGTGGCGCACAGTACCTTGTGACTGCAGAAGGACAGGAAGTTGGCGAGGCCCGATGGGTGTTGAAGGCCAACTTGCAGTCAGACTCTGCCGTTGAGGAAATTCGAATATTCGAAGAGATCCAAGCCTTCGATATCCAGGAGACGAGCGAGGACAGTGACAACGAGTCTGGAAGCGACGAAGCTCTTGATGACTTGGTCGAGGATATTGAATCGGAGGATGATGAAAATGCTCGTATCTTGGCTCATGCCTCCCGCATGACCGATGAGCAGATTGCACGTGCGCTAGCCAAGCAGGAAGAGCTAGGCATGGGTGGTGATGAGTTGCTCTTGTTTGACGGCGACGTTGGCAATGGGGATGACGACATTGTCGTGGATGAGTTCACTGCTGGTGATGAGTTCATCCCTTTCTCCACGAAGAGCCACCTCTCAAGTCGTGGCAAGTCGAAGCGCAACCGACGTCTACGGGATAGTTTCCCACCTGCTGAGGCATTTGCCGATGCTCTCGAACAAGATCCCTACGGCGCATTTGACATTATGGATTTCGACCGACCCAGTCTCAAGCCCAAGAAGCGGGGAAGGAAATCGGATCCGCTGAATTGGGGATTGGACGACGAGGAACTTGCAGAGCATCTTCACAGCACCTGGAGCAAGGACAGGGAAAAGAAAGCTGCCAGGAAGCAGGACAAGCAGGAGGCCCGAGAGGCTGCAATGCTTGACTCGTCGGAGCGAAGTCACCCAGCTGCAATCAAGGCCGAGATCAGACAGTTCTTGGTGCAGGAGCTCGAGGTGCTCAGGTTGGCGCCAATGGAGTCGGTTCTACGGGCCTCGGTCCACCGTCTCGCAAAGGCTCTGAAATTGAAGTCGCACTCCGAGGGCAAGGAGGGAAAAGGGATTGGACGGTTCCCTGTGTTGACCAAGGGTCCTCATACTCCACATTATACTGTGGACACGGTGTGGGAGATCGATGCCTTGATGAACACAAAGAAGTTCTTCCCCAAACAGGCTGGTGGTGCCTACCGCGGTGCCAACGCTCCTCGAACTCAAGGTGCTGTAAGAGCACGCAAGGGGGGTGGTGGCACGATGTCTGGTGCGACTTACATGAATGGTGAGGTTGTTGGTGCGTCGGCTCCAGAACTTGGCTCTAATAACAAGGGTCGGCTGTTGCTGGAAAAGATGGGCTGGACCAGTGGCATGGGTATCGGCGCCGTTGGCAACAAAGGTGGCCTCGAGGCTATCAAGCATGTTGTCAAGACCACCAGGGCCGGCTTGGGTTAGTTGTGATTGTGTCAGTGGCCCAGTTGGCATCCTAAGTGGTGGACTACTGTGCCTGCATCCGACGGCATTCGAGATGTGTGATGTATCTCTGGCTTCGTAGACATGTCACTGGTCATCCATGTGCTGGAATCATAGATTAGAAATGCTTTATGCACAACCGTGTGCGTCCCATCGATGTATGCTTTGGCATACCCTTGCCTTGGTCGTTGATTTACTTGTTGTTGGTCACATTATAATTCAGGCACGTGCTCGTGTGGCTTGTAAGGATTACCATTGAAATAGTAAACTGCTGTCTTGCAATCTAGACATCAATGCTTCGGTCGCAGGCAGTTCCATGGTTGTGTTGCAGTGATGGTGGTTGGGACTTGGTGGTTGTCAGCCACTTGCCAAGTCCGAATAAATATATTCAAGTCTGATGTCAATTCAACCTCACTTTCACTGACACAACCTAGGACCAGCCATGTGCACACCCAGTCATGAGCACAACCAGCGGTACTGACCACGGGAGACCAAGAGGTCGGAGTCTGAATACAGCATGGTGAACATGACAATTGCTTCCAGGCATCACAGGACTGTCTGGCCGCAGCACTCGCGTCGACACAATGACTCCCAGGCAACCCCACCATCACCACCCTTCAACACCCACTGCATCCATCTACCATCGGCGGCCCTACTGGGCTGACACCCAATGCACAATGCCGATTGTACTACATGGCCGCACTACAACAGCTTGATACCAGGTATGAAAGTCTTGAGATCGCGAAGCTTGTACCCTCCACCGTCCACGACGACATCAAACTAGGTAACAAGTGACCGTACAGGCAACAATGACAAGGATGTGGGAGAGCCCTTCTTCCAAGGGCTTGAATATTACAGGTGCAGACCTGGCGCAGGTATTGACCGAGACCGTCCGGAGACGCCACGACATCAACTTGAATCTGCCGCATACCTACTCAGATCATCGCAACCTCGCAGGAATCACGAAGCTATCGAATTTCGACAGTACAAGGACCGCATAACTGCTCATCAGCCACTCTACGATCCACTTATTCGGCAGAATATTGCTGGTAGATCCTGTAAAGACGCCGACCTGGACTGGTATTGCTGCCGTGCTTGAATTTGCCAGTCTGGAAGTGCATGCGAAGCTGTCATCCCAGGATACTCGCTGCCGCAAGTACGGAGGAGAGGCATTCTTGCCAGTTCCTGCAGGCCAAATTGGACCGAGGAATTTGTTTCGAGCGTACTGGAGACAAACGACGTCCTGCCACGGGCTGGCTGGCTCGCAAATAACCTAGAACACACTGGACAATGAACAGTGTGGGAGGTAGGTACGCTCCCAGCAGTATCAATCTCACAACTGGCCCCTGTACGCTGTGGGCAATCAAGCGCCAAATTGAAGATGGTGTCTGGAATGGACCATACTGTTGAGCGACGCTGCATACGCCATTACCCCCATCTAGAGCGCAGGATATGCCACTGAAGATACATTTCAATTCACGCATGTCATGCAGCACACGATACACAAAGGACTGCATGAGGTCGTTGGTGCACATCAATGGTTGGGACACGAATAGACCGCGAATGGATCACATTCATATCGAGAAGCCGCCTCATGCTGGTGTTTCTATGGTTTACCAGAACGAAGATGCAGCAGAGGTACATGGTAGATGTGTCGATAATGGAGCCGGAGTGGACTTGTCAGATGTTACCACTCGTCAGGGCAGGAAACCAGGCAAAGGCCAAGGACAATTTCTGGAATTCAGGACTGGACTTACCTCGTCGAGTACACATCAATGACGCTTGAAATTTCCATGGTCCACTGTCCGTCCGGGATTATCCTTATGGACGAGGCACTATTCAAGCCAAGCTCAGCACAGTCCACGCCCAACGTCAGCGTGGTCCAGACCCGAATCCATCGCAAAACCAGGAACGAACAAGACATATACGGCAAAGCAGACAAGTCACTTGCCAACGACACCAGCAAAACGCTTCATGAGTATGTACTCCTTCAAATGGTAAGGACATCGAAATTCCTGAACAACGATGCCATCCGACAAGTATATCTCCGAAACCATGCTCGTGAATATTCTATCGCCTAATCAACCCACGGACCACGTGGGTGGAGATAGGCACGCACAAGGGACAAGGCTGGCCACTGGGGCGCACAAGGGACCTACGATCCGCAAGGGTGGCCCCTACAAAGATTGGTCGACCAAGCTAGCGGGATCTCGAATTCGCAAATCTGACTTCGGAAGGCCTGCCGCCACCGTTTCATAGCCACGGTCTACCCGCCTGGACATTTTCCGAGGAACAAATCACAAAATCGCCCTTGTTGGATTTGAAACTCAACCACTTCTAATCTCCCTATTATCAACACTATGCGGGAAGATTGATCGATATGATCGCAGATGACATGCCTTGTCAAGGTCTCTTCCATGTCGACAACATTATGGTGCGACACTCCGGTGGCCACCTGACAGACTCATTCGATCGCTTAGATCTAAACGACATCATCACTCCATGTGGCAGCCATGAAAACACAGACAGTACTTTGGCGCAAGATCCTTTCAATCAAAGAAGACTGCGAGGGAGAAAGACACCATGAAAATGACGTCGAGGTATTGAGATATATAAAGTCCGGCTCAACGCTGTTCGAATGGTGAACCGAGCTTTTCAAATCTCATAGCCGCATTCATTCGTTCATCCACGCGTCGATCGAGGTTCAGTCATTCGTTTCACTTCATTACTTCGGCTCATTCCCTCCTGCTCTTCCAGGACCTCAGTGTGCTGAAAGCTCTCAGAGTTCAAAATGTACAAGTTGCTACAAGTGTTGCTCTCCGGCACCGTGGCTTTGGCCTACCTTTCGTCAGGCGTCACGGCTGCCCAAGATGCATACGCACAGTGTAGGCAACAGTCAACAAGTCATGTCTCTTCTTGCTGACATTGAACAGGCGGAGGAATCGGCTGGACCGGCGATATGACTTGTGTTGTAGGCTGGACCTGTGTCATTCAGAATTCATACTACTCCCAATGCGTGCCGTCCAGCACCACGGCAGACGGCACAACTGCTCAAGCAGGATACGCACAGTGTGGGCAACAGTCTACAATTACTCTATCTGCTTTCTGACACTCAACAGGTGGAGGGACCGGCTGGACTGGCGGCACGACTTGTGCTGAAGGCTGGACCTGTGTCGTTCAAAACCCGTACTACTCTCAATGCCTGCAACCCAGCAGTAGTAGTTCGAGCGCAACGACTCTGCAGCCTTCGACGTCGACCTTGGCCGTCAGGGCAGCCTCTTCCACCACAAAGACAACCTCGACTACCAAGACAACCTCGACCACAAAATCCACTTCCACCACAAAGTCCACTTCCACCACAAAGTCCACTTCCACCACAAAATCAACTTCCACCACAAAGTCATCTTCCACCACAAAAACGACTTCCACTACCAAAACGACTTCCAGCGTGAAGACAAGTTCCAGCGTCGTGGTTGCCGTCAAGGTAGCCTCGTCCAGCTCCAAGACTACTTCCACCACAAAGACCACTACTACTACGAAGTCAACTACCACCACGAAGTCGACTACCACCAGAAAATCGACTACCACCTCAAAATCAACCTCTACCACGAAGACATCCTCTAGCACAAAGACGTCTTCCACTAGCGCAGCGTCCACCGGAGTCACCTACAAGGCATCTTTCACCTACTATGGCGCCGGTGATGGGAACGGTTCTCCCAACTGCAATACCGACACCGCCGCCTGTGGCTTTTATACCTACCCAGGCTACAGTGCAGCAGTGAGCCAAAACTTGTATGGTGCTGCACCTGGTGCCGGAGCTGGCCCAGCTTGCGGTACATGCTGGAAGCTGGTTGGCGAGACCGATTCCTCTGGGAATGCGCTCAGTAACGCGGGCACGAGTATCGTCGTCATGGTGAACAACTTGTGTCCCGCCGATGGCAATTCATTGTGCGCCCAGGACGGCCTCTCCGGGACGAATGAGTATGGTGCGAATGTCAACTTCGATCTTTGTAGTGACAGCGGTGCTGAAGCGGCATTCTTTGATAACGATGGTGTTGGCCTTGCTGTTGGTACGGCCACAGAAGTTTCCTGCTCGAAATGGTCTGGTACCGTTATTTCTTGAGCTGTTATTGTGAGAAAGGATTATCAGGCGCCATAGGGCACAATTTTCGGCACTTTTCGCTCTTCGTTACTTGGCCGGTTGAGTCTCGAGTACTTGACCTGGCATTGCTTCTTGGGGAGGAAGGGCCATAACGAGATACACGGGCTCGGAACCTTTGATTTGGATGGTTTGTGGGAGATTTGATGATGAGCTCCAGCTTGCAATGAACAAGAAAATCTTATGCCGCACCTGATGCCCGGCTGCACCACCTTGCTGTTCCGATGGTCTCGCGTTTGCATTTCCCGTGGCAAGTAAGTAATTGTGTTCGCGCCCAGTAGTCAGAGCTTCCGTGACCAGTGCAGGCAGAGATGGTTCGACAGGGGAAATCTAAGTCGCTATTGGTGCGGTACAAGCAGTAATGTCTAGGCTGCTCTTTGTCCGCAATGACATTTCACTAAGGGCCAGCCCCGGGAACCCCTCACCAACTAACAGCCGTGGGCTTGGTCCCATAAACCCCATCTTGAAGCCCTAGCCTCACGAGCCTTGGTGGTGAGGGGTTGTGGCCGGTAGTGGACATTCAGATCATCTGCAGGCCACCTCTTTCAACCTCCAGGTCTTTCGCATCTTGAGCAAGGGCCCAGTAAAGCAGGCGTGGCCCAGAAGTTGCAATACGTGAGGACATCCACACTTGTGCAATGGGAGAAGAATCTGTCTCGGGCCGTCCCAACCCGCTCGCGAAAGCATGTCTGTCCTGTCGCAATCGCAAAAGTCGTTGTGATGCAGTCCGGCCAAGCTGTTCCGCCTGCAAAATACAGAACAAAGAATGTGTCTATGGTTTGGCGAGGGCGCAGAGAAGGTGAGCGTGGCTGTTGAATCCATACCTACTCATTGACCTACGGTGGGAATACTGATTCACCTTAATGCCATTCAGGCCAACACTTGCGCGGATCCATGAGCTCCAGATTCAAGCATCTGCGCAGGATGCATTTATTGCGAAGCTGAAGTTAGCATCTGGAATCGAACGAGAAAGGCTCCTAAGCTCGACCTCCATCATCGAAGGGCGTGTCAAGCTCCCTGAACCAAGTCCATCTCAAAGCGGTGAACCGTTACAGCTCTCCTCATCTTTGGAGTCCAATCCTCCACGCACAACACTGTCTGGCGCAGATTCAGGCGCGAACGAGACAACAGAGCGTACGCATGATTTAGAGGGTCTTGATGACTCTTCGGGCGATGACCTCGACATCGGTCCGTTTCTATCAATGGATGAAGCCGGAAAACCAAGCAGCTTTGGGCCGTCCTCGGCCTTGCACTATTACCCTGCCAATGGCTCCAGCTCTTCACACTCAACGCGGTCATTAGCCAGAGATCATATCAGAAATGCGCTGATCGCGGAAGCGGCCTTACAGCGTCAAAATGAACGCCAGCTTGCACTGTGTCCCAACATACATGGTGTACCCACCGAGCTCGCCCTGCATTTGCTCGAATTGCACTGGAGCCGTCAGCACCATACCCTGCTCTTGACATATCGTCCCGCAATCACCCGGGATCTGTTGCAAGGTGGACCGAACTGTTCGAGATTTCTACTCTATGCGCTGTGCGCGTGTGCAAGTAAATTCTCGTCCAGAATAGAGATAAGAGATGACCCGGGCGACGTCTCAACTGCGGGCCGTGCATTCTTTCGTCGTTGCGATGAGCTACTGGCGGAGGATACACTCCTCATACATCCAACGGTACCTACAGTCATTGGTCTCCTCTTGCTTGGCTCCAGTTACAATGCAAAGGGCGAGACTTCGAAAGGCTGGCTGTATACCGGCTATGCCTTGCGCATGATCTACGACCTTGGCCTCCACCTTGATCCGAAAGAGACCGTCGACTCACCAGAGCAAGTCGAAATCAGGAGGAGGGTCTTTTGGGGTGCTTTCGTATCCGACAAACTGCAAAGCTTATACCTAGGACGCCCGGCTGCAATCAACCTACGCGACTCTCACGTATCGCGAGATTTCTTGGACACCCTCGAAGAGCAGGAGCTGCATGTACCGTATATCGATCCTAAATACCCAAATCCACCAAATCCTCAATTTGCCACTCCGACTCCTGCGTACTCTGTCTCAACTTTCCAGCAACTATGTTTACTATCAAGAATCATGGCCAAAATCATCAATACATTTTATGTCGTTGGTGCGTCACCACGCAACGGTCAAGCAAGGCTGCAAATCGTTGACAAGGCTCTGCAAGCGTGGCGAACTCAACTGCCACCGAAGCTGGAATTCGAATCTCAACAGATAGGGTCGACACTGGCATCCTATCCACCACCCAATCTCATGAATGTGCATGCGTTATACCATTCTCTCGTGGTCCTCCTTCACAGGCCTTTCGTCTCAGACGGACATTTACGCTCCACCGCTACACCAGCTCTGTCCTGGGGACGGTGTACATGCGCAGCACGAAGTATAACAAACATCGCCATGGCATGGAAAGATGCATATTCATTGCGGGGAGCGCCATATCTACTGAGTTATGCCATCTATGTCGCTTGCACCATTCACGTCAGGAATTCGGCAGCCGAAGCGACCGGAAGTCAATCGAAAGAACATACAGGACTTCTTGCGGCAAGCTTAACATGCCTTGAGCAGCTTTGCCTGGCGAATCCTGGCGTGTCAAAGCCAATGAACATTATTAGGAGATTGATGGAGGCCAGCAAAGTTCAGTTAGAGACTGGTGAGTACAGCCCATAATAGTGGTCACTACTCATAGTTGCTGACCCGGAGCAGATACAACACTCTTCCCGAATTATTCTCCCGCCTCTTTTGATTTCGATACAATCTACAGCATGTTTCCGGACAGGAGTGCGACGAACTGGAACCCAAACAACCGGGATGTCGCCTTCGACTCGAGTATGCCACATGACCCACTATTTGGCTTGATGGATGAGTCTTTACTGTCGTTTCCCGAAGTGTCGGAGACAATCTTCCACGACTCTGCAGGATTTTGAGAACATGACGGACAACCCTGATACTATACCTTGAATGTTGGATGTCCACGCTTGGACTAGTAAACCCTGCAAGCCACACAAAGTTGCTGTCGTCGGTTGTGGGCGCGGAGAGTAAATCTCCGTAACCCCAGGACTCGCCATTTCGCCCCATCACGCTGACAAGCCGTTGGCTGTGCATCTGCCAGCGCTACACAGTTCGGCAACGATTGCTCGAGGCTAGCTCCCTGAGTATTGAAGCTTAAAGTTACGGGTGAGTTGCAATGATCACACGCAAAGTCTGCAACAACCAGCAAAAGATTTCTTGACCTGGTTCGACCTCTTCACACCTACAGTCAAACAACTACCATCCAACGTGTATACTCGTGGTCATGTCGGGCGAGAATTCTTTGTACGACAAGGGCAAAGAAGTCCGCATTGCCGTACTGGGCGAGGCACACGTCAAAAGATCACTTGCAGCACGACAAAGCGAATTCGCCAAACCTCTTCAGGACTTCACCACCGAGTATTGCTGGGGAAAGGTCTGGTCTCGTCCCGAACTCGACCGGAGATCCAGGAGTCTTGTCAGTAAGTGCTCCATTTCCTTGATCGAGCAAATGTGCCAGAGCTGATATCCATCCATATCTTGGCTTCATGATCGCCCTCCATAGCTGGCATGAATTGGGCATCCATACAAAAGGAGCACTGCGCAATGGCGTTACCGAGGTCGAGATTCGCGAGGTCATCATGCAATCCATGGTTTACTGTGGGGTTCCTGCTGGTGTGCAGGCTCTAAAAGTTGCGGAAACCGCCATCAACGAGATGATAGAGAGCGGAGACCATCAACGACAGCTGAAAGAAAAGGTGTAGTGTCCCAAAACAAGAGGTAGCGAAAGTGAAAAGTACACAACAAAGCTAGACCTTTCTCCAACGACCTCGAGCAAGCTCTTTACTGTTGCCATTACCCAGTATGCTTGCCTGGCTGGACGAGTGGAAGTCATTGATATACTGCCTCAGTACATGTAATTTGGAAAAAACCGATGCTGATTTCCACTGCACCACTTCCAGTCATGCGCCACAACCCACTCAACTGCTTCACCATTAGTCTCGATCAATTTCTGCACATTCTTTATCGTTGCTCTGGCCTTGGACAGTTCAGCATGAGAACTCTTCAACGTCCCGTGACCATTGTCATATTCAAGGATGCCCTTTTCGCCAGTCAGGATTCGTCTGTCGTGGCAGCAGTCACCTCCCAGATAAACCCACTTGTCGGCTGCAACACGGAGCAAAGCATTTACGTGACCGTGGATGTGACCAGGTGCATCAACAATCCACAAACTGCCGTCCCCAAAGAAGTCGACAGCATGAGGTAAGACTGATAGCGGTTGCCATTGATGGTCACTCTGGGCCGCCGCTGCCATATGCTTCCTGTCCGAGTCTGGTACTGGCGGTAATTCGACAACCTGGTGCTCAGGTAACGAGCCCCGCTCGATGCGTTCCAATGGATAACATGGTGCGCCGTTCTCTAAAATGTACAGGGTTCCAGATCCTACGATGAACTTTGCCTCTGGATAATCTGACGGAAGCCCAATATGATCCCAGTGGATATGGCTCAAGATGACATAGTCGATGTCCTTTGATGGGTCCAAGCCCCCGTTGAGTAGGCTCGATTTCACATCTGCCGTCGAATATACTGGTTGGCGTGTGGTTATGTGATGCTGGGTAGCCGGTTGCTTGTACTTGGTAAGATCCCGTTTGATGCCGAGATCAAAGACCAGTCGGGTGGGTGTGGAAGCATCTTGTCTTGGATGCTCGATCAGGAAGCACATTGACGGGACAGTTGTCGCTTTGTCTGGATCAGGGTCGGTCACAAAATTTCTCTCGGGCAGTGTCAGGAAGCCTCCATTGAGAGCCGAGACTCTCACATACACCTGGTCCTTAGCAGGATGTGGTAATGGAGAGGTGCTGCCAAGGTGGCTCTGGCCTGCCGATTGAGCCTGCGACATGGCTGGGAAGTGCCAAGGTTGGCCTTGTTGAGCTGCGTGTATCTCTGGATGCCGAATTACCAGTATCGTTGTGCCCTCGGCTGACAGCACTTGAGTCGAAGTTCACTTCATGATAGTTGTTAGCAAGATGACGTGAACGTAAGACATGCTATGCTGGCTGTCCTTCATGTCACGTCCGGTTTTTGCCTGGAACAGGTATGGAGACATCCACTCGCGGGAGGGGACAAGACTGATGACATGCCCAGCAGGGGCCCTGGTCTCGTTGCGTGATCCTGGGGCATAATCTTTTCCCCACGGGAAAATTGGCCGGAGCTTTCCTCTCCGGAGTCCATCTGTCCCAAAGCGGAGCAACATGTGAACGTTGCAGGTCTGGTAGGTGGGTGGGTCGATCGATTGACAGACCCTAACCCAATTGCCTGTGCTACCAACGATGTTCGATCTGCCTGACCCATTGACTGTGGTTTTAATTCTACAACGCTTGAACTCTGCCTGGCGCTGGTATTTGCTCAAGTCTCAAGACTTGATATACCAGTGCACCCCTGGTACTTCAGCCAAAACAGTCGGTATCAGCAAGATCGAAGCAAACAGTACCCACATAGCAACCACTGAACAAGACACAAGATGGGTTCTTTCGCCGAACCTCAGTTGCCAAGTCATATTGGCTTTATCGGTTTAGGCAACATGGGTTTTCCGATGTTCTCGAACCTTTCCAGCAAGATTCCAGCAACCTCGACAGTACATTTCTATGATGTCGTCCCAGAGTCCATCCAAAGAGGTCTGAAAGAATCTGGGGCGGTTGCGCAGCTCGATCCGTGTAGCAGCGCTCGAGAGGTGGCTGAAAAGAGTGTATGTGTCTATCCCTCATACTTCTAGGATTCTCAATCTCATATGCTTGTCACAGGAGATGCTTGTGTCCATGGTCCCTGAGGGCAAGCACGTTAGTGCAGTCTACCTTGATCCCAAGGACGGCGTTTTGGGTGCTACAGACCTAAGCGGTAAGATTCTCATCGACAGCAGCACCATCGACACTGCAACGTCGCTCCAAGTGGGCGAGGAGACTGCAAAGCGGCACCCCCGGGCACATTTCTTCGATGCTCCAGTATCTGGTGGCACGGCGGGCGCGAAGAAGGGGTCGATCACCTTCATGATTGGTTGTGCTGAGTCCGATCCTCATCTTCCCATCCTTAAGCTGCTCCTTTCACTTATGGGTCACAATATCTACACTTGCGGGGGACCCTCTCTTGGATTGACCGCCAAATTTTGCAACAACTATCTCAGCTCCTCGATAACACTGCTCAATGCGGAAATGTTCAATTTCGCCATCAAGTCCGGTATGGACCCAAGAATATTGCAAGATATTCTCAAAACCACCACTGGCTGCAATCGTAACGCCCAGTGGGCCAACCCTGTGCCTGGGCTAAGCCCAGATGCTCCGTCCTCGAAGAACTATGCTCCTGGTTTCAAGATTGAATATGTCAAGAAAGACATTGGCCTAGCGATCGCTGCATGCGAACGAGTTGGTGCCAAATTGGCACTCGGACCTACAACTTGGAATACATATGTTGAGGCTGGTCAGGATGATCGTTGTGCTGGTAAGGACTCCAAAGTAATCTATCGCTGGATTGGAGGAGACGAAGAGTGGAAGGAGAAATTTGCGGGATAATTTGTAGACTGTCGAGCATGAGATAGGCTGTAAGAAACCATGGATCGCTTACTCCTTTCTGCTCCTTGCCTGGCACAAACAAATGTCCAGATGCATACTCTTCACATCCACTTGCAATAGGTCACCGGTAGTTATTCGCCAATTTACTTTCATTTTCTATCTATCAATTTTTGCAGACCGTCAACCACAGACTTTTCCACTTGCACAATCCCGCCCTGTCTGGTACGTTCGCGAATCTCCCAACTACGATCAAAAGGCATTCTGATCGGGCCGTTGCCCTTCAAGGGCTGACTCGATCTGATGGTGTCGGAATATGTATCGACTTCTTTCTTGAAATCTTCAATCGGCCTAAACATCTCGGGGTCTATGGCAATAACGAGAAGTCCCCAGCCGTCCAAATGTCCCGTATGAGCGGGCGCGCCAGCTAGAGCACCGAGTAACTGGATGGCCACCGCCAGACCGCTGCCCTTGTGTCCACCCCAGACTGCCATGGCGCCCTCCATGCCTTTGACAGGATCTTGGGTAAGCTCGCCATCTTTGTCGTAGGCAGTTCCTTCCGGCAGTTGCTCGTCCATCAATTGTGCTAGCTTGATTTGCGCGTGTATGATCTTGGATGTGCCGATGTCCCAGATGATAGGCTGCGCTCTACCCGAAGGGAACGCTATACACATGGGATTTGTGCCGAAGCGAGGTGTGAAGCTGCCTTCGGGTGCGACCCATGGTCCAGCGCTGGCGGCGATAATAACAGCTAGATCGTCCCTCGTGCACATTTCGGCATAGTAGGACAGCATACCAGCAAAGAATGTGTCGCTTACCCCGACGATTCCTATACCACCGACTTTGGCCTTGTCGATCGCTATCTGGGTGGCCCGATAAGCTGCCAAATACCCTATGGCTCCTTTGGCGTTGAGCTGTGCTGATCCAGGGCGGTCACGAGTGACGATCATGTCATCGCTGCCCACTAGATTGTCCATGACACGATCAGCAACGGTAAGAACTCGAGCCAGTCCTGTAGGACCATAGCCTCGCAGCTGAGCGTCCATGACATGTGAGCATATTGTATTGGCATCCGTATCGTTGTATCCCACAGCCAACAAGGCAGACGTTGCCAGATGGGTGGCATCCGTGATCGACAGTTCGACTAAGTCTTCTCGAGCCATTTTCCAGCTGGATCCCGTCGCCATGATTGTGAAGATTGGAGACTTCCTTGAAAAAGAGAGGAGAACCTCTCGAGGCTGAAAGTATGAGATGGCTGAGAATTAAAAGAGCACGATAAGGCTCTGCTGAACGAATCAGGGTGATACTATGGTACTAAGCTTACTGTAGGTACTGTAACCTATCCTTCTACAGTCCAGACACACGTTTTGAGATTAAAGTGCACCGCTAAAACGAGGAAAATACAGTACCTGTCAGCCTTCGTGCAACGTGGGCGGCTTCGGCTTGCAAGCTTCTCCGCAAACCACACAACGGAGGTCAAAGTCCCGGGGCTCTTGATGGGGTGCGGGGAAGGTTCCCCGGGTCATTGGGCTTTCATCAGACTTGGTCGGTGCTTTCACATGGTGTCGATGAAATCAAAGTCGTCTGAGGCTTGACTACTGCTAGAGGTACCTGGGATTTGGCCTTCCCTGACGATGATACTAGTGCTAACGCACCACCAAGGCAATCAACAAACCAACAAAAAATGGTTCACTGATTCGTTTGCTGCTCTACGAAGTGCACGATCCCAATTTTAATATGTGCAGCAATCGGTGCTGCAGAGCAGCATTCTTTGCGATCCCCGAGAGCCTGACTACTGTCCTCGAAGCCGTCCAACTTCGGCCTTTTACATCAAAGTCTTATAGTACTCATTGACGGTTCCTCGTGTCCTGCAGGCTAGTGCCTGGGATACCCTGAGTGCCACCATGACTAATATGTATACCGGAAGCCCACTTGCCCCTGAATGACGATCTCGCCCCGATCCGCTCGCTTGTTCTGGACGTAGAAAATGAAGAAATTCTTCGCCACCAAGACCAGGTATAGCATCTGATTCAAAGTTAGTGATCTCAACCTTTACATCGAGAGGTCGGATTACCTGAAAGCTGATGCAAATCCACAGACCAGTACGGTAGTTGGGTGCATCAGTGGAGACAAAGACGTTTCCAGATATAATGCCCCCAAAAGCTCCACCCATAACTTGCAAGGACATTGTTAAGGCTCTGCGATTCTGGCCGACCTGATTGTTGTGACTGTATGCCCATTGTGTCGGGATATTGGCAATAATGCCCATCACGCCTAGGAAGACGCCGGCATATCGAGCGTGGACCTCCTCGACAAACCCGACCATTGAAACCCCGATGATGTATAGTATCGCATTAAAGCACATCACAGGCCCTCGAATCTCGAAGTGGTCTGCCACGAAGGCACACGTAACAATCCAAACAGCTCCGACAGCATAAGGAGGGAACGTGAGCAGTTGAGCCTTGCCCGTGGAGTAACCGAACCCGTCCTTCAGGATGACAGGCAAGAAATACGAGAAAGCGTAAAGAGCTGTGTTGTTGAGTGTAAGGTACAAAGTGAATTCCCAGACTTTCCAATCTCTGAGATGCTTCAGGGCGATCTTGAATGACATTGCATCCTCGACCGCGTCACCACGATCGCGCTCAACCCGGGCAAGCACGATTGCAGCTTCTTCAGGGGTCAAGAAACCTGGCAGCCCGAGGGAGTTCTTGACCGTTGCTTTCTCTGGGAAGTCAATGACCACGAAGAAGCTGACAATGCCGACGACTGTGCTGATGACACCTTCCTGTGTCTGTCAATAACACTGCTTCGACAGGTAGAGTCAGGGAAGGTAGACACGAACAATGATGAAGATCCAACTCCAGCCATTCAGACCCGAATCCCCGGCCATCCGCTCAATGCCGTAGGCGAGCAGTCCGGACAAACCACTGCAGACATTGCCAATGATATAAAATGCAGCAATGCGCTTCTGTATTTCGTATCGAACATACCAGTTGTAAAGCAGGAACATGGCAGCAGGTACAAGTCCTCCTTCCAAAAATCCAAGAAGAGCTCGACACAACGCAAGCATTCCCCAGGATTTGGTGAAGCCTTGAGAGAACGTGACAATTCCCCAGAGGGTCGCAACAGAGCCGATCCATAGGGCAGGGCCAATTTTCCGGACCAGAAACGTGGCAGGTACGTCGATTAGGCAATAACCCACAAAGAAAATCATGGCCAACACGTTGTATCTATTTCCAATGCTGGTTTTTAGGTCCTTGCTTAGGCCGGCGATGTTGGCCTGCATGATGATCAGAATCTCTCTGAGGCAGAAGTGATTCGCTCCACAGATTGGGGCAACTCACGTTTCCTAAATTTGACCTGTCGATGAATGCCCACATGTACAAGACCGACAGCATGGGCACAAGGCGAAGGTCAACCTTGCGAATGACTTTGCGAACGACTGCCGGATCCTCTTCGCGATGAGACTCCAAGACTGCCTGGATAGGGATATGGTATTTTTCCTCAAGCTCTTTTGCATCATGCTGCAATTGCTGCCGAATTATATCTTCTTGCTGGCCGTGTGTATGCGTATCTTCGACATGGTCGAGGGAGGTCGTCTTTGAATTAGCAGTAGCCATCATGTTAGGCTATATAGTGTGGTAAGTTGACCCAACAAAGACGATTGAGCTGCGCTGAGAGACAGCTACAACTTTGGGATGACGACAATCGCTGAGTTCTGATCGCAGGATATGCTGGGTGGCCACAAGTAGAGATAGGAACTTCACGACACGAATTACATGGATTATACCAACACTGTACTGTTATACGAACTCGTGATGCATGCAGGCCGGCTCGGAGGTTGATGTCGCTCCCAAGCCACCTCTTCCTGCACCATCCCGTTCAAGGGATTCTCGACCCAACCAGTCAGCATTCAAACGCTGGCAACACGGCTTCATCCGACACCAGAAACATGGACTTCCAAAGGGTTTTACCCCGCGTCTGCACTCTGGCCTCGTGGCGAACCCCCGGGAATTCGTCAGCCTTCAGTCACCCCGCAAACACTGGTCGCTAGTTCCAGAAGCGGTCGAACATTCTCCGACATTATCAACACTTCCCAGTCCATGGGCTGCACATCCGGAGGTCGACACTCCGGCCTGAAGCACAGTACTAGCACCATTGTGACGGGCATGATATTGTCGTTGTGAACTTGAAGTGTTCGCAAGCAGAAGAATCTGTCATGTCAGGTGGAGTCGATTGTAGAGCCGTTAAGATTCTGCACCCAAATTCTCATGTCTCCAAAGCGCAGCGCAATTGAACCTCGTCCATCTCCTTCTGGTCCATGTTCTCGTTGCTGACGCTGTCTTTGCTTCTCCGCAGGGTCGCTGTTTCGCGTCTCGACCGGCTAGCCGCTGAGAGAGATTGCTTGAGGCTTCTAGACAACGAAATCGAGGCACAGAGGCGGGAACGAACAGTACCAGTACTAATTGTCGCTTGTTTTCTGATGTGATACTGCTTTCTGCGATCTTGAGCTGGCCACTGGGTTCAAATCATTCGCAATGATACAGTACAAGTACTATGTAAGTACTACTCATCAGGATCTACCCATCAGAAGGGGTTTGACATGTCGATTGTCTGTGAGAGATGAAATGAAAAGACCAATGCTTACACGAGAAAGGGAATTGAGAGAGTGGCGCCTTATGCCCACCCATAAGTGGAATGTCCCATGTTGCCTATGTACCTTCCGTGGGAGGTGATGTGTGCTGGTCGCCTGGTGGTCTTGCAAGGAGTCCACAGCGGTCTCGTAGTCGACCTCTTCATGTCGTGAGCACGCCGTGGTAGCTGTTCTCATCCACTGGAGGTATACTCATTTTCTTTCCACCTTTTACTTCATATCTGGCTTTGCCCAAATCATGCTCTCTCGTGAAACCAGCAGCGTGGGTGTACTAGTATCAGCTGGTACTTACAGTATCGATTGTCCGGCTCATGTGGCTCGGTCGACGGGGCATGCTATCGATCGGATTTAGGAAGGGCATCGACGAGGTTCGACTGGATTGCGAAAAGTGACTTGTTGTGAGGACTCATCTGGAATTGGAAAATTGCTAAGGGATTGATTGACTTGGGCCGGTACTGTCCATTGAGGCTTCTACAAATACTGCAAGTTGGTCTTGAGAGACAACATAATTTTGAGGACAACGATACATCATACGAAAGTCGAAGCCGGTCATCGAGTACTGTAAATCAATCTAGTCCTGGTACCAAATCAAATGCCCAGCTACGCTTTTACCGCAACTAAATTTCAACTTTCACGTACATCTCATTTCGCGTTCACTCTTTCATCGTATCGCATCGTATCTCAACTCACCTCAGCTTTACTTAGTACATTACCGAACTTCAGTAGTCTTCTTCTCATCGCAGAATCCGCCCACCACCACAGCTTATCGAGTTCCGTTGCGGTTATCGATCGTTAAGTGCAGGGCAAGAACCCTTTCCCGGAACCTTCAGTTACACCTTCCTTCTGCCTGTCTCCTCTCTTTGGGACTTCACTCGACGATCAGAGTGATCGCAATACTGTACATCGCCTACAGATCCTACTGGGGCGACGCGGTGGCTGAGCACGACTGGCTAGACGAAATACTCTAGGTCAAGTAAGATCAGCCTACTACTCCTACGTTCGTCCAAATACTAGTCTAGGAGTACACCCTTCTCACCAGAGGCTGAGATGGGGCTGGTGGTGACCTGGCCCTGCGTCCAACGCGCTGGGTCGGTGCCATCGCACTCTTGCATTGCTACGACAATGGGGATGGCGTGGAAATGTACTCAGTCCCACTGTATATGGTGCTAGGTAGTATATCGACTGCGTTGGCTTGTCGACTCAGGCTAACTATATCCACAAGATGACCTGGAGATGATTGCGTACCTAGGTAGCATTTGCTGACAAGTACAGTACTCCTACTACAGTACTGCACTTCATACTACCTCCTCATCAGTTTCCTTCGAGTACTCGTATCCTACCGTGCTGGATAATGTGTTGAAAGTTTTCAGTGAAAAAAAAGCTGAACCTATAACATGAACCATGAGGCATACTGTACTTGGTAACCTCTTCCACACAAAACGAAACCGGGATCGATGCTGACGTAACCCCTTTCCTCCTGCGACCAGTCGAAGGTTCGAAATCTTGAAGTTTCAGATACACCTTTCCAACTCAGCCAGGGTAGGGTCTCAAGGGGCGTACAAAACCCACACAGTAGTACTTTCGAGTCGAAGTTCGCTCAAAGGACTGTGCTAATCCGCAGGAAAATAGCGCACGCTCATGGTTCTGAACCATTCATTGTAAGCTTTGCTTTCAGCGCTGCACCGTCAGATCCCTTGTCTACTACTGACTAAGTACTGTACTGGTAGTACCATGTACCGGTAGTCTTGAGAGCACTGGTACTGTAGTACTCAGTTCATCGATACGTCCATTCACCTCAAGCTGCTTGCACCTCGCCAGGCAGCAGTACACCCTGTCCGACTGGTCATGGCCCGTACTGCCAACACTTGAATCGTGCAAATCATCTACCTACATGTCCTACATGGATCATTGAAGTTGCCGCTGGCGGACATTGACATACAGCACTGTACAGTCCTGCATTTCAGGATCGAATTGGGCTCGGGTCAAGCCCACAGGCAGTTCCAGCCCGGACTTCGGATCAAGTCGAATCAGTGGTGTGCCCCGAGCCAGCCCTGATCTCAGCCTGATCTAGCACCGAGCTAGTGTCGAGCTGGTGTCGAGCTGGTGTCGAGCTGGTGTCGAGCTGGTGTCGAGCTGGTGTCGAGCTGGTGTCGAGCTGGTGTCGAGCTGGTGTCGA